CTTGATCTGATGGAAGACGGGTATATAGTTTTACAGCGTCGGCTCCCTTTGTCCTTTGAGCGGAAGCTAGTCTGTTGATACGCAAGAAAAACAACTTAAGCGACAAGAGCATAGTATTGATAGAGCTGTCGTTTAGATTCATAAAGACAGAAAAAAGCTCCTAGTGTAAAGTAAAAAGCGTTATACATAGCAAAATAATGAAATTAGAAGATGAAGCTATATTAATTAATCTAGACGGCGTAATTGTGTAAGCATCCCAAGAGATTTTAATTACTAATGTCATATAAAAGACTAAAATGGGTGCGGTTGTTATTTTATCCGATGGTTTATTTTTGATTATGTAATATCGGATTAGTGATTTTTAGTACATCCGGCGACAAACCTTTTCAATGTTGACAAGATCGTCATAACTTTTTTACACCTTTTTAAATCCTTTTCAATACTATCTGGTTCGTCCGTGATGAACCTGATAAGATTCGACTAGCAAGGTCAAGAGTCTGGTTTATTAAACGAAGGTAAGAATGACTTACTTTTCTGCTCGGACTATAGTTTGAAGTTCGTCAGTCATCGCTTCTTTCAATCGATTTTCCACATCAGGCATACCTATCTTCATTTCGGCCATCCGCTTACTAATACCGCTCAATCCAATCGCCAATTTACTGACTTCCGTCAAATTAACCCGGCATTTATGCTTGAGAACGTCGGAGCGAATTTCTTCTACGCAAAGCTCTAAATCCGTTAAATCTTTTTCTAAAGATATTTTATCAGTGCACAGTTTATCGACGATCTTCTCAACTTCAGATTTCCGACATTGGTGTTCGCCGAGCACGGTTTGTATCTTATTGAAAGAGTCCCTGAACAGATCGTGCATAGATCGTACGTTTGTCAAGTGTTTTTCTTTTAGCTGCTCTTGCTCACTTTTTAATAATTGTATTTCTTTTTGAACGCTCATCAAGTGATTCAAGTACACGGAAGTAGGCTGAATTTCAGAATCAGAAATCATCGAACTGCAATTACTCGACGGCCTATCCGGTTTTACGGCGGTTTGCACCCAAGCTGTCAGATGTGCCAATTGAGCTTCCATTGAAGCCATTCTAGCTTGAGTTTCTGGATCACGAGGAGTTGGCGTTGTAGACCCGGAATTGCCTTGCGGCTGAGAGAGGATACCTAATTCAGATGGAGTTGCATAGATTCCGTAATTAGGCGATGTGCTCTGGCGGTATTTGTGTGGAACAGAGTAAATTGGCTCATTCATAGGATAACTTTCCCCAGGTTCAACTTCAACTACTTTTAAAACTGATCTGTCGTGAATATCATGAACATTTTCCAATTCGTAATAAACGTTTGTTGTATGGTCTAAAATATATATTCTCTTATTTTGCCAGCCATTGCTGGACATTGAGAGTATTGAAGGAAAGGAGCGGACGAACAAAGCTCGAACAGTGTCCATGGAAGTGACTTCATTGGGCAAAGTGGCTCTTTTTGTTTCATTTCGGCAAGTCAATAAAACCAATCCTGATTTATTGGAATGTTATAGAATGGTCCCGATGGGTAGGCGTGAGCAAACACGCTAACTTACCTAAAGGCCTCTCTAGGGTCTTATTGGTAGATTTCACAACTGGAAGACTGCAACGAGCTCTACTATTTCTGCGGAATTCTTCTTCGTCCGTAAGATTTCGCACCTGATGATCATTCTAAAAGGCCCAAAGAAAAGAATAAACTAGAATTTCTTTTGAACCATTTTTACAGTTTGCACTGCCTAACAAACATAAACATTGGCGAATGCCAGCAGATTGCTAATATATATTTTTCTATGAAAACACGTACACGCCTATTTTGCCTTACCTTTTTTACATAAGCTCCGTAGATAGCTTCAGAGTGAGCGGGGAAAGCAGACGCCAGATGCTCATATACACTACGCTTATCGCATACGCTCTACAATTGGGAAAAAAATATTATCTAATTGGGTGATAAGCGACGAAAAAGAAATGGATAAAGGGATATTCTCTTACGCTGCAACTAGTGCTATTTGACTTTATGGATTCGACATCGGAAGAAGAGACTGTAACTGTATGGCGTCGATGTTCCTCATGGGACGAGCCGTTTACGCGTCTCTGCACGTCGTCGAAGGACGCCTTCAATCCGTGCTTTCTCCCCTCAACATTCGCTCCTGCAGAAAAGCGATTATTCGATTAGCTCTTACAGTAATACTACATTTGCTTATTTTATTTTATGGTGCTGCGCGTAGAAAATTCGTGCCAAAGCAAAAATGAGAATAAAGAGCAGCATTGTTCTCTGGCAATCCGACTCTCACACAAAGTATTCGAATATTTTTAAGCAGAAGACATTATTTTCGCCTCTAACATTATTGTTTGTCGACCGATTAGTTGGAGAGATACGCTCCAGTTCTTACATAATATTGTCAGTGTATTCGAGTTAAGCCCCCTTTGTTTGCCTCAAGTAAACTTACGTGATGCGCTGTTGGCCCTTTCATTTCTAGTTCTAGTCCATCGGTGTCTGGGCGGCGTCTCCTGAGCAGATTCCAAATTCGAGGGCGGTGTTACGGATTTACTTCGTCTTTTCACCATATCTGAGGAAGATAAACGCTTTATTATGACGTCATTCCTCGTCTGACGTCATTCTCTAGTCGAGGAATGACGCCTCTTTATGACCGTCTAACACCGTCGCCGTCTAGCGGACGCCAACCGTTTCCGTGGAAACGGTCGAGTTTTCTCTATGGAAAACAAACGCCGTTGTAAATATAGATATAGATATACAGTATATAATTCGGTCGCGCAAGGCGCGTACGAGGCTCTATTTACAAACGTCAATGCCAAGGTCAAATTTCTAGCGGCGTCTATTTATACTAGTATAAAACCTAGCTCGTGGCATATAAGCTAACGTATTTATATATGCAATGTATATGTACACACAACTGACGTGCTGGTTATTTGATTTCATTACATGATCGAAAATTCCAAGCCGAAACAGCGGGAAGCGTCGGGTGACATTTTAGACGCCTAATTGACTAGCGCTGTCCCTGTTCTGCTTTCTTGCCAATCATTTAGAGAAACGCTGACGGCGTTTGCGAATCAATTAACTTCTTATCTATAGGCTTACGAAAATAGTCTAAAGCAGTTGATATTTTATATATGAAGTCGTTAATTCAATTAGGAGAGGCTTAATCGCATATGGTTAGTATCGAATAAACTATAAACGGAGTTCTTAATGAGTGCAAAAAACTGAAACAACACCACGTGACGAACCTTCGGCACGAATATGGCGAACCGTATATTTTGGAGTTGAACAATCTTCCGTCGCCGTATCTGAATCAGAATCAAGCCTTTTCAACGTCGATTGGGAATAATCCGATAATCCTCCGTCACTGGCGTCGTCTTCCATTTTCTGGTTATTTGTCTTCTGCTCATCTTTCTTCGCCTTCTTTATAAAGTTCAACTTGAACTTTTGACGAGGCTCCTTCGACTTTGGCTTAGTACTATCCTTCATGTAGCGCGAATAAAATTAGGTCGGCAACTGCAAGAATTCCGTAATGTAAACAATAAACTCTCGAGCGCTTCTTTCTAGAAAACGCCGGTTTTTGCGCATGTCTCTTCCATCTTAAATCTTCAATGTTCGCAGGTGAAGCGGCCAACGCTTTCTGGTGTAGATTTATTATTGCTCTGCACCCAGTCCGGTCCGATAGGCTAGTCTACTGATAAACAACTTCGATACGGCTAGCCTTTCTGACAAATTTTTTAACACGGGACGTGCTCTTTAATATGGTTTCACTGCCTTTAATAGCAATATGGCACTTTTTTATAACTGTCGAGAGGTCGAGGGTTCGTCGGTAGAGGTCGCTTGGGATAGTTGTTCGATGACTATGGCGGCACCTAATGTTTCCCGCCATAAATAATTCGCTAGGCATTATATTACATCTTCGACTTCTTCGATGTTGGTCGATGCCAATTAGCACCTATTATCAAAAAAATAGGGAAAAGAGAAGAGGAAGTGTAATTTGATCACCGATAAAAGCGTTCTATTAGAGTTAATCAGAATATTAGCTGGGTATTGGTTAGGTTCCCAATTCCCGTTAAAGAAAACTTAAGATGATGTACGTTTCCCTAACTAAAAAAGACGAAAACGTCCCAAAGCGCATCAATAAGCTTTTTACACGAAACCGAAGATTTTTAATATAATTACTCAAGAGACGACATTTGCCTATTTCATGTTTCTAAAACATTCGCGTTTACAGCAAAGCAAGTTGGTATCAAGTGTTAGCTAAGGTTAAAAAGTCAGTTTTGTGTATTCTTTTCTGTGGATTTGAAGGCCCACTGCTATTTTCATTGCAGCTGTTTCGGTGCAAATGAAATGTTAAGATGCAGATCGTCATACAACTATATTCAACAATGACGGCTATCACCCGTATTAGTCCCATGAGGTGTATTTAGAAAGCCATAAATCGTGTATATTTTCTAGAATTCCACTTTTTTTTTATAGAAATTGTTTATAATAAGAAATAGAAATCAGTATGGAGATAGCATCAAGAATTTTCTATTTCCTGGAATCTGTAGGAGAAAGTAATGTTAATGCATATAGAAAGTTTTGAATTATTAAGGAGGTCAAAAACTTACTTGCACTGAGGACAACTGTAAAATATTGTTTGACCTTCGTCAGCTGATCTCGTTTGTCTTGTTGCGTATGTCATACCGTCGTGACCACATTGAGAGCATTGACGATCAACTACAGGCCCAGAAAAATCTTCTGAGTGCAATCCTTCAGATTTAGCTTCTACCGTATTAAACACTATCGTTGTTTTAATTTCTATATTATTAAATTCTGTGAGTTGCGTGTGGGAAAAATGAAAAGAATATTAACATCATTAAGATATTTCGTATAATAAGCACGTGTACCTGCAACATCGACTTCTGTCTTACATCTGTAACACTTTACTGTGGGATCTCGGCCAGGTAAGGGTAGGATTGTTCCACAAGTCGAACAGAAGTCAATTTCGGTTTTAAATAGCTTATTATCAGTCATTTCTACGATTATTTCTTACTGCGAGCGATAATAAGCAAGCATTGCCCAATAATAATTAGCGCCATCTAGTGTGAAGTTTTCTTTATAAGAAATAATAGGTAATTGCAAGGAAGAATGGAGCGAGACCGAGTGCAGTCAATCGGAAGCGATAGAAAGGTCATTCTTGTACTTTTACCACCAACTTCAATAGGGTAAACCAACTAAACGAGACTCTTTTAACCCGTCATTCACCATAGATTTCCCGTTTATATACAATCACTATTATTTCAATATAGGCTTACTGTTACAATACAATTTTGTTTATTACAGTACTACAAAGACAATTAATTACGTCTAAGAGGCAGAGAGAGAGAGAAAAAAAACAGCAGAGTATTAATGCTTTATTGATGAAGCTATCAAGTTGCTATCGACGAATAGATGAACAAATTCCTTTTTACATTCTTTTTTATTCCCTTTCATCGGAAAAAGACCGATTCAGCAAGCTCATAAATAAGAGAAATGTAATGCATCACATTAACTTGACGTTTTTTAATTGACATTTAAATGAAATAAATGTGCTGTCTGCCGTATATAACGTCTAAACCAATAGCCTAATCAAAGAATACACCGATAACGGCACTGACAGATTTAGTGATAAAAATTGAGAGACAATTAAATATCAAGGGACCAATAAGAAAACAGAGTAAAAGATATCTATTAAGGTTTTAGGAAGAATATTGTATATTTTCTTAGTTGAAATACGAACGAAGGAGGAAAAGAGGGAATAAGAGTATTTAATCACAAACTGATTTGTTATGCAGCTTATCTAAACAAGAGAAGAAAATTAGTATCAGGTCTGAAGAAGTTCGAATGGGATCCAGATGAAAGCATATTGATTTTCTTAAAAGGAACCTTATCTTATTAATTTCTCAAGAATATACTTCACTAAATTTATCTACCGTCTATAGAAACAAGATGGATTTGATAAATAGAATTTTATTAGGGAAAATCTAAAAGAATAATTGACTACAGAAACAAAAAATGGCCGTTAAAAACAAACGTTTTTTTAATAGGGGTGTCACTCATCGAATTCAAAGTCGTCGAAAGCTCCGGCTGATTTACCGTATAATTTGATAAGTTCATCAGATGTTTTACTTCCGGTCATTCTCCTAGAAATGTACGATTCTTCAAAATTTCTTAAACGGTCTGTAGTAAATATAGTAGACCGCCTCTGTTGGATTAACTGTGGACTGAGTTGTAGCCATCTATGCTCAAGGCATTCTTCGGTTGTTATTCTATTTCTATATTGATAAAAATGATAATAAAAGGATTAACGTTCCACACTTCGTATGAAATTAGTTTCATATTACTTTGGTTTCCGCTTGAAAATCTGATAGATAAACTTCAAGCCATATTTCGTTACGTTATGATAAATTTCGTGGGCATTGTATCGAACATGCTTAATATTGGAGAATGTCTCCCTTTCATCTTCACCTCTGAATGGCGATACACCGCTAAGCCTGTTTACAGGATGAAGATTACATTATTAGATGAGTAAGAAGCGAAAGAATGCGAAAATGTAAATATTTACAGAACAAAAGCGAGAACTCCGGCTCCCCAAATATCCGCCGGCACCCCAACATAGTCGTTGATGACCTTCTCGGGAGCTGAATAGAATATGAATTAATAATTAAAGACTATGTAACCCTAACATTAGGTTCATACCCATAAATTCTGCCGTGCCCTCTCGCATTACTTTAATACCCTCGTAGCTTGTAATCTTTCTCGATCGACCGAAATCTATTAATTTTATATCGTATCTTCTCGGCGATACCGTAATTACGTTGTCGGGCTGGATATTAAATTTTTTCCAATGAATAATTCATTATGTAATATTGAATAGTTACTTGTAAATTTAGATGTACAATGCCTCTGTGATGTAAGAATTGTAAGGCGTCTAAGACTTGTTTCATTACGCTTGTTACGTGATATTCTGTGTATTTATTACGTAACGACAAAGTTCTAGCAATGTTTTCACCAGATAACTTTTCCAAAACTAGAAATAGGAAGTCTTTGTATAAATAAGCTTCAAAGAGTCTGACGATATGCTCTTGGCGAACGGCCTATTAGGATAAAATACACATTACGATGATTTATAGAATACACCGGAAGTCTTTAAATATAATTCCTCACCTTTAGCATTTCATATTCCCTTAGGCAATCTTCGTGCTTCCACTCGTCGTAACTTACGATTTTAACAACTCTTTTATCATTTTGCGAGCCTGTTTTATTGCTGCAATCTCTTATTAAAGAGTATCTTCCTCTGAAAATTAGATTATTTTGTAATATGTCACTTTTGACCCAAAACTTTCAAAATTGCTTATGATTGATACGGTAATTTAAATTCTTACCTCCAAACTTCACTGCCAAACTTCAAATACTTTTCAGGGTCAACCTTTTCCTGCAAAAACACTTCCTGTTCAACAAAGCCTTCGCCTTCTACACTCTTGACCTTTTCTCGTTCAACAGAAGTCTCTCTAGACGGTGTAGGTGTAGCTTCCGGCGAAGGTTGGCAGGTGGCTTGTCTAGACCTTAGCAATATCTTTTTCGTTGTTGAGTCAATATTAATAGAAGGCGCACCCTGATAAAAATAGTTAAAGGTTTATTATTCTTTATATTTGATAAGGAATTCCGTTACTTACTTTTGCCTTTGTTTTAACTTCAATTGAAGCCCAACTGTAAGGACTAATACCAAATTTATTTAACGCTGACACTCTAAAGCGATAAGTCGTGTCTCTTCGTAAACCTTTCACTAATGCGCATTCATCAATAGAGTAAGTTGCTGTGGTCCAACGTTTATCCCCTTTTAGGAATAACAAATAATTTTTTAGTTTTATAAATTTCCCAAATGATTCGTATTGTTTAAAATACTTATTAAATTTTATAAATTACCTAATTTAATATAATCGATTCTGTACGATAGAATATATGAATTTCCATCCTGTTCGGGTTCTTCCCATATTAAGAAGGCTTCTATATCTGATATACTAGTTACGTGAGGTCGACCAGGTCTAGATGGATGATCTAAAAACAATTAAAAATGAAAAAATTCTCTATTAGTTCCCCTGTTGAATATTAATAAGTACTAAGTGGATTTTATTTACCTCCCAATAACATTCTTGCTCTGCACGTTACTTTACCATATTTATTTCTAGCGATACACTTAAAGACTCCAAAATCGTTTGGTTTAGTCTGATATATACATATAGATAGATAGAAATTATATTATAATTAGTTTTAGACATCTGTAATCGGGCAATATTAATTGATAAAACCTGCAAGATTGTTAGCGTATGTCGACCTTTACCATCATCCCAAGTTCTTACTCTTCCACCTTGAGTTAAAATTTCGTCGTTTCTGTGGGAAAAAGTTTGGATTAAACAGCTATAGTATCAATCGGAGTGTGCGCTTATACAGATCGCATGTTTATTCAAGGTAATCAAGAACCTCACCTATACCAACTAACTGTAGGACTTGGATTTCCAATGACATAAACAGAAACAGTACACGGTTCTCCAACGTTGTATGCCTTATCATTTATTTTTGTTTTAAATATTGGCGGTAAGGCTGAAGGGAAAAAAATTACATGTAATTATTTTAACATCCGCAAAGGTTTACATTATTAACATGACCGTTATTAGTAATTTTATTTAATAAATGTTACATTTTTAATATTGCAGACAATATTTTTATTATTAATTAAGGGAATTGGAAATTTAGACAACATTTTGACTTTTCTTTAAAGATCAGAAAGCTATGCTCCATATCTAACCGAAAACTTTCTTAAATATTGTAATGGGGCTCTTTTTAAAGATTCGTTTGATGCTTGGAATTTGCTTAGAGGGACTGAATCGTCTCGAGAGTATTTGCCACTTCGAATAGACTTAAACAGAATGGGCGTTCTGTGCTATAATTTAGTGTATTCTACTCTATGAAAAGCTTATTGAACTGATCTAATTTCTTCCATCTTACTGCTTACTTTCATGGTACATTTCCTTGTTGGAATTGACTTGATACTTGGTTACATTTTACCAGTTAAAAGGAGTGTTAAATATTAATAATTTCTTTTCATATCTCTAGAAAAGATCTATTCCCTTTGGAGGGTTTTTTTTAGATCTTTAGGAAATAGAAGAAACTCGCTTGTATTACATTGAGGAAAATAATTACCTTCTTGCGTATCGGCTGAGTTTTTAAGATGCCACAAGGAAGTCTTCTTCGGTTTCCTTTCCACAACTGCATTATCTTCGGCCTCTCTCTCTAAATCTCGTAAGTCTTGTCTTTCTCTTCGGGACCGACTTCTAACTGATGTTTTCGAAGATGCTCTTCTATATCTTGCCATTCGTACGTTAAATTTAACATCCTCTGCAGGGAGGAGTTGAGCTTCGGGTCCCGATTGATAAGCGGCTGACCATTCGTACCAAGTATCTTCATCCTCGTACTCTTTTTCCCAATCGGAAGATGATCCACTACCAATTGTGGAAGGAGCTGCGCTCGTTATCATGGACGGAGGACCCATAATTTCGAGCATTCCAGCAGCTCCAGCCTCTTGAAAATCTGTGGCACATGAGAAAACTGACGAAGCTCTTGTTCTTGGTGGTGAAAAGAATCCATCGGGTTCGCTTATTTCCGGAAGCTGCAAATTGATTTTTTCAATTATCATTATAAATCATTCTATAAAAAGAATTCGAGAAAAACAGTCGGCTGTGAATAGTTAATTAAAAAAGTTGAGCTATGATAAACAGGTGGTAAAGTATATAACTGGGGCAAAGATGTGCGAAGTATATCCTCTTTTTATATTATTTCTTGGCATTAACTGTGTCCTAATTTCCTACCTGAAGAGCTGGAACAGTCATTGGACCGTTAATGATATCGTTAATCGATCTAGGTTCCACCATGGTTTTAATGGATCGTAAACCGCGTTGACATTTTCGTCGAAAGATATATGATTTATGCCTTTCCAAATTTATTTTGTCCCCTAAACCTCTTCGATTAGATAGATCAATGAAAGGATGGTCAATAGCTTGGCTAGCGGTTATTCTTTTCCTGTAAAGATTAGCGATAATCTTAAATTTTTATGAACTCTACATTTAAGGATTTTGAAAGATTTACCTAGGGTCTTTAACTAGTAAACGAGATATAAAATCTTTTGCTTCGCCTGAAACTGTGGAGAAGCTATCGTTAAAATTCCAATCAGCTTTGGCAACATTCAAAAGAGCATCTCTATCAGATTCATTAGCAAAAGGTGAAGATCCGGATAGTCTGCAAATCATTAGGAAAAGAAGAATAAATAGAATTGAGAGGTAAAAATCTTAAATAAAAAACTAACAAAATATATGCGATAATTCCTACGTTCCACATATCAGCCGAAGTACTTATTGGTTGATTATCAGCAACTTCCGGAGCAGCAAACTCAGGTGTACAATACTTGGCATGTAGCTAAAAAGATAATTAAACGTTATAAATAGCCCAAATCAAAATTCCCAAATGGAAATACCAACTGGCAATCTTGGATTTAATTTTCTAGCAAAACCAAAATCTATGAGTTTTATTTCTTCAGATGAAGAATTTGTTAGCAATAAATTCTCTGGCTGTAAAATATTATTCAATAAACTATCCAACGCTCTCTAAAAGACACGTTATTTCAAATGGTTTGTTTTGTAATATACCTTTAAATCAAGATGAACTATGTTCTTTGAATGAATATGCTCTACGGCTAATAGTAATTGCTTTAGATAATGGGCTGCTTCACTTTCTGTGAATGAATCGTCCTTTACAATTTTTGGTAATAATTCTCCTCCCGTTAATCTATTATGAAAGATTTTTATAAAATGGCTGATTTTATAAAACTCTATGTAAATTATTACATTTCTGTAACAATAACAAGTCTTTTCTTATCATCATAACCATCTTGTAATTGCGCAATATTATGATGATCTAGGTATGTCATAACTTCCAATTCGGTTGTTAATTCTTCTCTAAGAGCTGGATCGGAGTATCTTAAAAATTTTGCCGCGTACTGATAACCTGAATTCTTTTCTATAACCCTTCTAACCACACCGTAAGAACCCCGACCAATCTCGTCTATAACATGAAAATAGTCTTCTATGTGACAGGGGTTGAATTTCAAATCTCTGATATAATTCGCTTTAACTAATTGAAAGGAAATTACATTTTTAATTAGTCATTGACAAATATTGCAGTAGTTATTAATAGCCAACCTGAAACTTTAACGTTTGCAGTACAATAAACTTTGCCAGCAACGTTACTAAGAACGCACTCGTAAACACCCTCGTCCAGTCTAATGGCATTATCAACACTTAGAGTCCAATGGTCATATTCTTCCCGTCGAATCTTAACTCTATGAGAGTCTGCTATTACTCTCCAATCTTTCTTAAATTCAACGTCAGGGTATGGAATACCGAAAACCCGGCATTCTAATTTTCCGGTTGATCTCAAATTGAAAATTTGATCCTTCATGGGTTCCAAGAAAGTTGGTGGATCTGAATTACGGAAAAGGAATAATGATAAGGAGGATTTCAAGTAATACTATCAATGTTTTACCGGCCATGTCAACTTTAATATCTTGATTTGCGGAACCAACTTCATTTTCAACGTGTATTTTATATTCACCAACGTCAGACCAACTAAAGTTATTTATTTCTAGGATAAGTTCACCGGAAGCCGCTAAACTAGAACTGTTTTGTTTTTTAAAGAAAAAAAACAAGTCAAACTATTTGCTTTTTTTTTACCTAAATTACAAACAAACCAGTATTTTTCCCCCATATAAAGTTTCTCCTTGTTAAAATACCAGATAATTTTAGGATCTGGATAAGCTTTTATAGCCGTTCGTATTTTCATTATCTTTGTTTCAACACCGTATTGTGTATCGTCCATTTGACCGATAAATTCTGGGGCTATTCCTAGTTTTACATTGATAATACAAGGTTAAAATTTAATATCTATAAATGATAGTTTTTTATACTTAAATGTTCAGGGATTTTTTTAGTTCTAGCTTCATTTTCTTTATCTTGTTTAGACTTTTTCGGTTTTTCAATTTGTTCCTCGTCTTTCACTAATTAAATTTAAATTTTTTATAATTACATTAAAGGGAAAACGTTTCTAATTATTTTTTTCTTTTTACCCTCTTTTCTTTTTAACATTGCCGGCATTGACGGTTCACTAATTCCGAACTGATTTGCGGCTTTAACCCTATAATAAACGTCCTTATTTCTATCCACTTTTGTAATCTATGAAGAGATCAATTAATCGATTAGAAAAGTGAAATATAATCTTAGTTTTTGGAATGCAAACATTATAGGTGGTCTCTTTTGTATCAGAAACTACTTCGATCCAATCTTTCCCTGGAGGGACTCGCTTTTCAACGATGTACCATATAGGTACCTGCATAGCGTATGCTGGGAGTGAAGAGGCTTTCCATTTCAAAGCAAGAGAATTGTCAGTCACGTCTGATATTGTAGGTTTTTCCCAAATTGTCCTAGGTTTAACCTTAGATTTTATTGTCTCTTCTAATTTCTTTTGTTCCTTCTTTTCGGCTTCAGCTGTTTAATTTAACGCAATTGTTTGTGGTTGGTGTGATTAAAACACAAAGTAATTTAATAAGATCTAATTTTGTTGGATAGTTACGTGGTTTGGCAAACACTTGAGTTGACATGGAAGGATCACTAGTTCCATATTTGTTAAAAGCTTTTACTCGGAACAAATAGTCTTTTTCTGGTTTATAACCCTTAAATGTATATGTTGCTTCCTTAAGATCGGTGACGAGTTCTATCCAGTTTTTACTTGGTGGACATCTTCTTTCGATTGTATATAAGATTTCCGTCTGAAAATTAGCATGTAGAGTAAAAGATAGTACTTTATTCGATAATCTTGCATTTGATGAATTACCGTAACGGCTTGGCTTGGTACCGTAGCCTCATCCCATTCCAACTTCAAAGAGTCTGCAGTAACATCTGAAACTTGAGGGGCATTCCACGGAGCTCTTGGAGGTAATTTGGCTTTATGCTTGTCAAAATCAACTTTCTCTTTTGGTTTTTCAACAATTTTTGCAAAATAGGTCAAAGATAGCGTTGGTTCACTAAACCCTGCTGTGTTTTGAGCTTTAACACGGTACATGTAATCTCTATCAATTTCATAATCATCAATTAGTAAATAAGTTTCTTTGATGTCTTTTTTTGCTTCCGTCCAATCACCAGACGGTAACTCCCTCCTTTCAACTGCATAAGTAACTTCTGACACTGCCACGTTTGGACCTAAAAGAAAGAGTCAAAAATCATCAGAAACTAATAGGAAGGTTGGCAAGAATATCTTTTAAACCGTATGTTGCCTCCGGCCAAGACATTTTAAAGGACTTTTCCTTAACATCTGTCATATCCGGTTTGACTAAAGGCATAGTTGGAGGTAGCTGGAAGATTGCGTGCTTTTTCGGCTTTTTCAGCTTCTTTGGGGCTACAAGCGTAAGAAATAAATTGAATAGAGAATTTAATAAATCTCCAAAAGAAACAGCAATAATAACCTTCAACAAACAATTTTGCAGTTGAGGAAATCGAACCAAAGCTATTCTCTAGAATAACTTCGTATTCACCATAATCATCCACTTCAGCATCTTCGATTATTAATTGATAAGAGTTGTTTACTCTAACTGTTCTAATTCTTAGAGTCTCTTCAATAACGACACCATCTTTTTTCCTAATTAACAAAGAAGAATTAAAAATATAGACTCTATTCGCATATTTTAATCATTTAATATACCAAATAGCTGTAGGCTTTGGTTCACCGAGAGCTTTACATTCAAATTTCGCTGTCATACCAACAATAATGTCTTGTGTAGATAGTTTTTTTGATAAGGTTGGCTTATAACCCATGTCATTATTATCCTCAACAATTTTTCTAAGAAAGAATTACACGAAATAAGGTTAATTTCAACTTTTGAACTCTATAAAGTGTTTTTGGGCGAATAAGAATTGCTTACTCTTCATCATCAATAATACTTAAATAGGCTGAAGTTCGACTTTGGCCTGCAGCATTTGAAATTTTGCAAGAGTAATCTCCAGCATCCATTTTCATACATTTAGAAATGATGAGTGAACATCGGTTTTCAACTGCTTCGGTTCTTATTCTCTCAGTTTCCTAGATGAATAACAAAGATGGTAGTTATTTTATGTGAAATTGGCAATAGTATTTACTCTAAAACTATATTTCAACTTACATAGATTGGTCTACTATTATAGAACCACTCAACTTCCGGTTTTGGAGTACCAGAAACAACAGCATTAAACATATATGTGTACCCTCTGCGAATCTCTGCGTCTTGCAAGGCGGTTTCAAATATTGGTTTAGTACTTCTTTTTATTTCATCTTCTTCTATTCTTACTTTGCAATTACTTTCAGAGGAACCTCCTTCGTTCTCCAATACCAAGGTATAAGTTCCCGTATCTTCTAGAACAGTTTTTTCGATTATTAAAGAGGCTGAACCTAAACGATTTTTGTAATGATAGCGATCCGATTTAATTATTTCTTGCCCATCTTTCATCCAGGTGGTCTTGGCAGGTTCATCGGCGGTATATTTACAAGAGAGTTTAATTTGAAAGTCCTCGGTTGTTTTCAAGTCCTTAAGATGTGTATCAATTAATGGTGGGAAAATGGGTTCTACTGATTTCTTCTTTTTCTTATCGGATTTAACCTTCTTTTCATCGCCATCAACCTCATCCTTTTTACTTTTCTTTTTCTTATCGCTATCATCGGATATAATAGAGTCCTTTGATGATTTTCGTTTCTTTTCTTTATCTTTTTCGGCTTCCGCATCCGGGGATTTTTTACTCCTTTTAACTTCTCCATTTTCTTTCTTCTTTTTCTTACTACTCTCTTCGGATGTGATTGAATCCTTCGATTCTCGTCTATTTTTCGTCTTCCTCTCATCAGTATCGTCTTTTCCTTTCTTCTTTTCAGTTTTATCTTTAGTTTTTGCCTCGTCTTTCTTCTTTTTAGCTTTAGAACTGTTATCAGAATCTTTCGATCCCCTTCTTCCCTTTGATTTCTTACCGTCTTCATCATCCTTTAATTTCTTTTTCTTTCCCTCTTCAACTTCTATATCCTTCTTATTCTCTGCATTCTCTTCATCATTATCCTGCTTTTTCTTTTCTTTTTCATCTTTCTCTTCCTTCGTTTTCTTTATTCCATTTTCTAGTTGATTCTGAATCGATTGTTCAGGTTCGACGGTTTTTTCATCAATTTTGTCCTCAACAATCTCCTTAACTAATTCCAAACCAAAAGTTCCTGTCTTCTCCTTGTTTAGACATTTAACAAAGATCTCGTAAGTACCAATTTCTTCAGTTGATACTTTCTTTACTTTTACAGTTATAGTTTCTTTTTCGTATTTAATCGAATATTTCTCGTTTTTAGTTATTTCTTTTCCATCTTTCAATCTAAAAACGATTTAATATGAAAACTTAAAAACATTAAACAGAACAAAGACTATTTATACAAACAATCTAATAATTGGTTTAGGTTTTGATGAAACTTTTACACCAAATTTAATATCTTCTCCCGATTTAACCTCAAAATTTTTCAAATTTGAAAAGTCACAGTTCAGAACAACTATAAGGAATTGAATAATGTAAAAATTATACATATGAATGAAACGAGTTTGGTTTACCTTCTTTAACAATCAACTCGCAACTATCTTCAATTTTACCATTTTTATTGCTAACGGTTACTTTTATTGTTCCTTCAATTGATTTATTTGTATTCAATATTTTAAGAGAATCTTTATTGATTTCGTGTTCAAGATCGCTATCTTTTATTAGCTTATCGTTTAACGACCACTCAACATCAACTTCAGGTAATCCTGAAGTTTTTATTGTAAATTCTGCGGATTCGCTTTCGAATATCTCTACTTTCTTTAATTTAGATTCAATTTTTGGTAGGGTAGTACCATCTTCGAAAACACCTTCTGGTCTAATGACAACCTTGCACTCATCTTCAATAGATCCATTCTTATTCTCTAATCGAACTTTAAGAGAGCCGCTCATTTCCGGTACGGTTCTTAGTAAATGTAATTCAAAGTTATCGGAACTACTATTGATTTTACAATGCTTCGATGATTTTAAAGGCTTATCATTCAGAAACCAAATACATGTCGGATATGGTATGGATGAGGCTTTGATTACGAAATTTACTTCCTTCCCCACTAAAGATTAAAAGACGTTTCCGGGTTTTAAAGCTTAATGATAAAAATATTTACGAAAATATTATACACACTTTCAACGTTAACTGATTGAAGGTTTGACAGTAGCTTTGGTTTGCTTGTACCATCTTCTAGCAATCCTGAATAATATAAGTAAAATATATATATATATATATAATATACGTATATATATATCTGCTTAAATTATTTAAAAGTATAAGATAATGCTTTACCTCTCTTACATAATAATTTCTTAATATCATCACACCAAGCCTTCTTTATAAATTCATTTTTTGCTTCGAAAGTCCATCTACCTTTCTTATTATTTACGAAAGGTAAAGCGAACCTAGTTGGTTCGTCTAAATGCTCGTCCAACCATATATCTTCAATCTTAATAGTTTGTAAGAATAAACAATTACAATTGGTTAAATTTAAATATTATAATAGTACCATAATTTCAGATTGAAAATCAAAGATGGGAAGATCGTTTTCGTCCTTTCTCATCTTTGTTATTAGTAGACGATCTTCAAAAAGGAAAACTTTCCTTTCTTTTCCTTTAGCAGAAGGTTTTGGTGTATCTGACCATACGGTTAACGTATCCTATTAACAAAGATAGAGATACATATCATATTTAGTCTTGTATGATTTAGCATTGTTTTTTTTTCTATATTCTTACATATCTATCAAATAAACAGAGATCCTTTAGATTGTCGTAGTTTTTGATACTGTTTAATAAATTAAACTTTTCAGCTTGTATCTTTAGATCGAGTAGCATCTATGAATTAATAAATGAAGAGATGATAAATCATGTATATGTTTCTTGTTTTAAGGTCAACATACTTTAACAGCGTCATCTAATTTAGTTACAGTTTGTCCCGCTCTTGTATTATACTTAATCAAATCACGCAAAACTTTAACGTAATCGTCTAATCGATTGAATGGAAGTTGTAGTCCGTTAACTAAGTTTGGCTTCTTAGAATCTTGAGATTGTACTTCCTAATTAACAAGAAAGTGGGTATTAGTTAACATTCCGAGGCAGAATTCAATTAGGTTCACCTTTAGAAAATTTTCTGCATCCTCCAAAGCCAAGAGGTCCTTAACAGACTTTCTATCCACAAGATAGGGTATGTATCGGCTAAATTGAAGGGCCTGTTTGTGAATTTTAATGAATTAAACTCTCAGAAAAAGGTAATAAGTTCTTTTACATGATCAATAAAAGCTTGTCCTATGCTATCACCCTCAGTGGTTGTCTGATATAAAGATTCCAAGAATTCACTATAACAATTGAAATAGTTATGTAGGTTGAAGAAAGGTAATAAATCTTTAATATAATTACTCTTTGTGAAATTTAAATATTTCTGGTAAAGGCCCAAAAGCAAAATTTTGTTTATCTTTTAAACATTCAGGAACCTCATCGGATTTAAGAAGATTATAATATCCGTCGAGAACTCTTTCTAATTCTCTGATATAATCTCTCTCGGATTCTATTAACTCTGTTAGAGCGTATCTCCTCTTAACCATGGCTTCTTGATCTTTGTCTTTAATTTGAATAACGTCATCTCTAAACACCTCTCTAGGAGACCTTGTATCTAATTTTTCCTCTTTAGGTTGAACAAGATAGCTTGGTGGAACCCATCCAGTCTTTAAACTATCCTTACAAAGCCATCTGTAAAGTTGGGTCATTTACAATCACTTAATAAGTTGAAATGTATTTAACATCGTTTTTCTTACTTTTCAGGATTATTAGAGTCTAATACTTCGACTTCTTGACCTTCTACAAGAGCTAGTCCATCCGTGTCTGTGGGATTATAATCAGTTAAAGCTTTAAAGTACTTCTTAGCTTCTTTTCCATCATCTGAGAAGATTTCTTCTGAGGTTTCCTTTTCTGTTGATGGAACTTCTAAAGCCTCTTGGCTATCTCTTTGTTTAGACGAATCCTCATCGTCACCTGTTCAATTTATGGTTGATACAGAATTAAACCTTGAAAGTGACGTTATCTTACTTTCACTACATTCAATAACGTTAACTGTTACGGCGCTTTGACAAGTACCAGCATTATTTGAGGCCCTAATGGAATATATTCCTCCATCCTCAGCTTGAATTTCCTCAAACCGCACGGAGACAAAATCGTCTTTGACATGAATTTGGACTTTATCTCCTGTTTTAATTTCTTTACCATCTTTAAGAACACTAACAACAGATTCCTCCAAGCCTATTTATAAGATTGGGTAAGAAATTATTAGTGCCTTAATAAGTAAGAAAGGAATGGGATATGTTGTGGGCTTTTAAATTAAAACCTTGAATTTTAGTGGAGAAGGATAAGCTTTCAAATTCGTTAATATTTAAGCTGTCTTCCAGTTGCTCAAGAATTTTAGGAGCCTCAAGGGTTTCCCTTCAGGATAAGAAGATAATGTTAAAAGTGTTAAAATTCTCAAATAAATAACAAATAAGCTGTTTACTTAAGTTTTTCCGAGGCTGTATCCTCAGATAAAGTTTCTACAGTAGACTCTGTGCAGCTGCTCTCTTCTACTTGTTTTTCTTGAACTTTACCTTAGTTTACACAAAAAAAAATATTTAACTTTGAAAATATATCAAATAAATAGAAAATATTTAAATTACTTTCTATGACTTCTATTTTAGTAGAACATAAACAACTTCCTTCTGTATTTGTTGCTTTAATTGAGTATTCACCGCTATCAATCAATTCAACTTGATTAAACTGTACAGTTATCATGTCTTCTTCCACGCGAATTTCTAATCTGTCTTTAGGGACGTCTTTTCCGTCTTTTTGTACTGTAAGATTTGATTCTTCTAGACCTATATTTTTTTAAAAGAGAATTGTTATATTGGCCAAAAATACATATGGGAAAGATATCGCATACCTTGAATTCTTGCTTTAATGCAGGCATCTTGGAATTGATTTACTTTCAAGTGCTCTTCCGGTTTATCAACAATTTCTGGAGCTTTCTTGACAATTTCAGCTTCACTATAATCATATTACACATTCTGTGTATGCAAAAGCTAAAACTTTTTAAAACAATCTTACTTTGAAATTTCTACTTCCGGTACAATTTCCTCAGCTACTTCAGAGATTTCTTGTTCTTTTTTCTCTTCGGATTGACCTATTTTTTTATAAGTTCGTCAGTAAAATAGATGCTTTTAATGGCAAGATAATTGTTACTTTGTATAACGGCAATTTTAGCTGAACAGAGACAACTGCCCTGTGAATTTGTAGCTTTGATAGCATATTCACCACTATCAATTACTTTAACTTCATCAAATTTTAAGGATACAGTATTATCTTGAACAAGGACTTGAATGTTATCTTTTTGAATTTCGTTACCATCCTTAAGAATACTAATCTCACATTCATTCAATCCTTTGAACAGTAAAATTAAGAATTACTATAAAACTCCAATTTTATTTATCTTTACCTTCTATCTTAGCAGCTATGGAAACTGATTCCTGCTCTTGAATTGTAATACTTTCTTCTGGTTTTTCAAGGATTTCTGGTGCTTTCTTTTCGGGTTTCACCTCTTTCCTATAAGATATATATGGATGCGTCATTTACTATGTTGCAATTTGATTAATTAATTTTAAAATCATACTCTTTCTTCTTTTCAACAGATAATTGAAAATTACTGGTGACCTTTCCACCTTTGTTTGTTGCAACAATTGTATATTCACCGCTGTCTTCTACGTGAGCATTTTTTATTTTTAATACAACTCCACCTTCCGTTTCTGATAGTTTAAATCGCTTTTTGCTCTTAACATCTTTACCACTCTTAGTCCAGGAGATTTCTGGCCGAGGTTTCCCTGTACAAATTGACAGAAAGTCGTTAATTAAATGGTTCCTTGTTAATTGGATGGTATAGAGGAGAAAGGTAATTATGGATTGTTGTAAAGGAGTTTTGTTAAGGTGGATAAACAAGATTTAGAGAATAGAAATATTAAAATGAAAAATTATAGGTCCGGTTCGTGAAAAAAGAGGTCAACTCCTGCTTGCCTGATACTAGAATATTTAGTTCAAAGTTCTTCGCTTCTTCTAAAGTAAAATCAGTATTTTCAATCTCTATACTTGGGTTCTCCACAATCTCAACTACGTTAACACTAAAATTATGAACTATGCTATCATCGTCAGTGGTAGCTTGTATGCTATATTGTCCAGAATCGGATGGTTTGCAATCACAAATAAGTAAAGTGTATTCATCGGTTTCAACTTCCCAAGACTGTTTAGTATTTTTAAAAGCCATTTTCTTTGTATTTATTACAACGTTGGATTTCAACCATTTTACGTCTATGTCGGCAGAGGCTGTACAGGGGTCATTATATATGCACAAGAATCAGTGCATATATAAAACTAATACTTTTTACTAAATGCTTTATCTTACCGTTTACTTTACATTTAAGTTTAATTGTTTCTCCTGGAGATGCTGTTACGTCCTCTGGAAGAAGAACAAACTCTGGCTTATTCTCTTCGGATTCATCACTTTCTTCTGAAGTTTTTTCGCTGCTGATAAATTTAAATTCATTTCTATTATGGTCCAATGTTCAATTCATTGATTGTTTTTACCTGCTGGCCGCTTCGCTAGAAGTTTCACTAGAATCTTGAACAACAGGCTTTTCGGTAATTTTCACTGAGAATGGCTGTTCAAGTTTCTGATCTGTTTAAAATGGTTAGTTTTTCAAGAATTTCATTGAAAAAATTTTTCTGAACAATACCTTCAGAAGAGACAACTAGTTGATATTCTCCTGCATCTTCTTTATTAATTTTTGGAATTTTTAAGGAGTATTCATCATTTTTAGAGTCTAGTAGTATTCTTGAATTTCCTGCAAGCTTTTTACCATCTTTCATCCAAACCACTTTTACTTCGTTTCCTCCCACAATAGCACAAGACAATATGAGTTCTTCGCCTTCTTCTACACTTAGATTGTTATCTTTGTTCAACAGTTTTATTTTTATTTCTGGCATTGGTTTAGGCTTAGGAGACGATTCTTTTTTCTTTTCTGAAGCTGAAACTTTTTCAGACTTTTCCGATTCGGTTTCTGTGCTCTCTTCGGAGCTATCACTTTCCTCTGAACTTGTTTCTTCTGAAGAAGTCTCAGAACCCGTGCTACTTTCTGTTGATTCTGATTTCATGTCCTCAACTTTTTCTGTTTCTGAGGGTTTCTGTTCTTTGTTTTCTTGCTTTTCAACCTTCTCTGGTTCTTCTTTTATCTTTTCCTGCTTTTCAACTATTTCTGGTTCTTCTATTATCTTTTCCTGCTTTTCAACTATTTCTGGTTTTTCCATAGATGCTTCTTCTATCTTTTCTTGCTTTTCCACTTTCTCTGGTTCTTTTACTTTGACTTCTTCAGATTTTGGTTGACTTTGAAGATCTTCATTTTCGCTTTTAGATATGGTAGCAGTTTCTTCAACAGGTGTCGGCTGAATTTCTTCAATTTTTTTGTCTTTGTCTTTTTCAGCTTCTGGTTTTTTCTCTGCTTCAACTGTTCCTTCTTTTAGTTTTGTAGAAGGCTTTTCTGCGACAGAAGATTCGCTTTTACTTGCTGATTCTTCTTCGCTCGATGTTTCTTCTTCACTGGAAGATTCCTCGCTGCTACTTTCTGTTTCAGATTCAGACGAAGTTTCCTCTTCCGAAGACGATTCCTCAGATGATTCCTCACTTTTTGAAGACTCAGATTTCGGTTGTTTTTTCTTGTATTTTTCTTCATCTTTTATAACATCAGGAGCTTTCTCAGTAGCGACTTTTTCAGGCTCAACTGAAGCTTCTTCCAAAGATTTAGCCGAGTGGTCAGGAGTTTCCTTCAACTCTTCTACATTCTCAGCAACGACCTCTTCCTTTATTTCATTTACCTCTTTTTCCAGCTTTTTAGGTTCTTCGATATCAACTTTTATGGATTTTTCAATTTTTCCAAATTCATTTTCAGATAATATTACATAGTCGCCAGAATCAGAAAGTATGGCATCTTTTATTATTAATGAATACTGTCCATTATCCATATTCCAGTCTATTTTAATCCGAGAATCTTTTTTTGGTTTCAACTGTTTAGAATCTTTCATAAATTTAATTTCTGGTTCGGGGTCACCTAAAAAACGAAGATTACAGATAAGATTACCAAAGTTTAGGAAGAGAAATGATAGTGTTATCTAACCTTGACTTTTAAATGAAATTTCAATTGGTTTTCCAGTTTCTAAGTTAATTTTCTCTGGAAGGTTAACAATCTTTGGCTTTCTCTTTTCAATTTCTTCCGCCTTTTTCAGTTTATCCTCTTCAGTATTCTTTTTCTCCTCAATAATTTGGACTTTTACTTCTTTTTCAGCCTTTCCAAATTTATTTTCTGCCTTGATTAAGTATGTACCACTGTCTTCGGTAGAAACTTCCTTAATTGATAAAGTATGAATATTATTTTCCATATCCCAATCTAATTTCATTCGTTCATTTTTCTTTACTTTAATTGTTTTTCCATCTTTAACAAACTTAATTTCTGGTTCCGGTTCACCTTCTAAATGACATGATATTTTCATTGTTTCACCCGTCTTTAGAGAGAAGTTATCTTGAACATCTTTAATTTTCGGTATGTTTTCTTCTAAGCTTGATTTTGGTTCCTCTTCTTTGGATGATGGCTCTTTTTCTTTCGGTTTCTCCTCAATACTTACTTTAACAGTCTTCTCTAATGTACCAAGATTATTTTCAGCAGTTATTTTATATTCTCCGCTATCTTTACAAGTACAATCAGATATTTTCAATTTGTAAACATTAGTTTTCATATCCCAATCAATTTTAATACGCTTATCCTTCTTAGGCTTGATGGTTTTACCATTTTTCAAAAATTGCACTTCAGGCTCAGGTTCACCTTTTATAAATTGTTGAAATGAAAATATTTTCAAAGGACTTAATACGAAAACATAATTAACTATTTATATTTACCAGAAACTCTACAAGAGATTTCAATTACATCGCCCGGATGCTGATGAATTTCATCTGGTAATTCAGCAACTTCCGGAACTTTTCCTTTCACTTCAGGTTTCTATAGTTTTTTGAGTAAAGTATTTATAAAGATTTTACAAATCTATTATATGTTAATGGCTTCTTTCGATACCTCTTCTGCAACAGGTGTTGTATTAACTTCGACAATTTGAGGGGAAGAGAGCTGTCCATCGGAACCCTTGGAAACTATTGCTATTTCATATGGTTTGTTTTCTTTCAACTGACAAGATGAATAAACAAATGAAATTCAAATTATAAATATTTTGTATTATTTCATTACCTTGTCTAATGTATATCCTGTTTCGTTTGAAGATATTACAGCTGCTTCTTTCCATTCCTTTTTCCCTTGTTCTCTATATTCAACAACAATGGCTTCTAAATTATCAAAATTTTCCGGTTTCTGCCATTCAATCGATATAGATTTGCTATTAGCCTCTTTAACTTTCAATTCCTCCATTGGTTTAGGTTTTTCTTTCAATTCACTTTCATTTGCCAATTGTTTCTCTTCATCAATAGAGATTTTAATTAGTTTTTCCTGTTTACCATGTTCATTTTCCGCCACAACTTTATACTCTCCCGAATCATCCGGATTAGCTTCTTTAATTGTCAAAGTATATTTATCGGCATCCATATCCCAATCAACTTTAATTCGTTTATCACTCTTCTTTGTTTTAATTTTCTTGTCGTTTTTATAGAAACTAATCTCTGGTCCAGGTGTTCCTATTGAATTTCATTGATAAGAATTAGTTGGTTGTTTAGCATACTGAAAAGCTAAAATATGCAAATTTTACCAGTTGATTTGCAGGATAACAGAAGATCATCGCCAGCTTTAATTTTAATATCATCTGGTAAATTTTCTAACTTCGGTAATTTATCATTAGGAGACTAAAAAAATTAGCAAGGATTATAAGAATTGAATGATGCTAAAGCTCATTTATTCTACCTTTTCAGAAACAATTGTCTTAGCTTTAATAGTATCACTTGAAATTAAATCACCAGATGAAAGTTTAGCAGCAACAGAAATTTCATAAACTTTGTCTTCGTCCAACTAAAAAATTATTGAAATTATTTAATTAGTTTGTCAAAATCTTTCTAAAAATGTAATTATTTCTATAATCTTACATTTGTTAAATGTACGAGGGAATCTTGAAGATCAACAACAACTCCTTCTTTCCATTTCTTCTTTCCTTCTTTTTTATATTGTACAATAAATGATTCAACCTTATCAAGAGATTCAGGTTTATCCCATTCAACTGTAATTTCGTTACTCTTTGTCTCCTTTAATCGTAGGTTCAAAGGCGGTTCCGTAACTGTAGCTACTTCCTTCACTTCTTCTGTATCTTTAACGATAGCCTTAGTACAGACAGGTTCGTCAAGAACTGCTGCATTTTCGCTGCTACTTGTTTCGTTGACAGATTTCACTTGGAAAATGTATTTTTCATTTGGAGAGAGATTCTCTATAATAGCGGAAGGCTTGTCTGTTTTCTTTACTAATTGAAATTCCGTTTCAGTTGTTTTCCTTCCTTCAACAATATATTGAAGATTTTTCGATTCGTCAGGTTCGATCCATTCCAGCGTCAGAGCCGATTCGGTAACATTCTTTACTGATACACTCTTTGGCGCATCTAAAATGTCTGTTAAATAATTTTTTACTAATTCAATTCAATTCAATGGTAATCATTATTATAAAAAAAATTACCGGAAGTCAGTTCCTCTAACAGTCTTACGCTTTCAGCCAGTTGAATAGGTTTACTTTTGCCAGCTTTATTCTGAGCGTAGATTCTAAATTGCAGATCGTATTGGCTTCGTAAATTTGATACATTAAATTTTGCTTGATCGGATGGAATTTCTGAATTATTCAAAAGATTCTTAATGATGTTAACTTTGTCAGATATTTATAAATTGTTACCATCTACATATTCCCATCTTCCGTTATTTCTACTTAATTCAATAACAAAAGTATCTGGACGATTCGAGTCATTTGAAATGACATCCCAACTTAAAACCACTTCTTTTACTGTCGGCACAGCGGTAAAATTTGTTGGAGTGGAAGGTCTTGATATAGGCTTAACTAGGTAAGAAGGCTCGTTGAGTTCTATTACGGGACCTTGACCTTGAGGATTTTTTGCAGATATTCTAAATTTATAGCCAGTGTTTACCTTAGAAAATTACAACTAATGTTAAACTGATAAAATCATTCAAATAAAGAAATACTTGTAAATTTTCAAAATCGTAAAAGTTCTTGAAAGCTGGGACATCAGCAGCAACTGTAAATTCTCCCCCATCTTCAGATATTTCAAGAATGTATCCTAAAATGTGGTTTCCGCCGTCTGTTTCTGGCTCATCCCACGCTAAGCTTATTCTCTTTTCGTCGGCTCTTTGAACCTGTAAATTTCGCACTGCTGAGGGCGCGGTGGGGGGTCTTCTAGCGCAAACAGGTTTTTCAAGCTCACAGTACTCTCCGACTCCTGCTTCATTCTTAGCTGAGACTCTTACGAAATATCTTTCATTCGGTTGTAGAGTGTCAATTTCGACGTTATTTTCGTCTGCCGATGTAGTTTTAACCTAAAATTGATAATCGCGATATTATAACAGGTAATCTGGATAGTAATAAAATAGGAGTGACAAACCCAACCTTGCGATATTCTAAATTTGCAAATTCGCATACTTCTATGACATATCCCAAAATTTCTGATCCCCCATCCTTCTCTGATTTTTCCCAGTTTACCGAAATTTTGCCTGGTCCAAGTTCATTGGCAGAAATAGACGCTGGTTTCGAAGGCTTATCTATTTTGATTAAAAGTATGGAAAATTACTAAAAATTCTATTAGAAAGTAAATCTTATCGTTTATTATCTTACCAAACGGTAATTTGGTTCTAATTCCATCTATTTGAGCGGGTCGGGTTGATGCTCCTGCATCATTAACAGCAAACAAACGAAAATCGTATTCTCTATTCTCCTTTAGGTTTTTCACAACAAAACTATTTATATTAGCATCTAGTTTGCATAAACGTTTGAAAGACACTTCTAATCCATCCTTCATCTCAAGAATATAGCCAGTAACTTTAGACCCGCCATCTTCCGAAGGAGATTCCCATTGCAGTTCAATATAATCTTTCCATATCTTTGTTTTAGTAAAATTTTGCGGCGAAGCAGGCTTATCTGTTTATTTTCAATGTTTTATTGCATAAATGTGTGTTTTCTTTAGAATATAATCATACCGAAAGGCAACTTAGCCGTGACTGGATCCTCATTTTCCAAGTAAACACTTCTTCCAGCTTTATTTTCTGCAGCTATTCTAAAAAGATAACTTTCCCCTTCAAATAAATTATCCAAGGTAAACGTTGTTACATTAGCCGGCACTGCACCAGACTGTTTATCAAATAGATCAAGATAAAACCTTAAATTATCAACTAATTAGCTCTTAAACTTTACCTGTAGCCATATAGGTCTCGATATTTCACGTTTCTCAATGACGAAACGTTCAATGGGAGAACCACCATCATCCTCGGGTTTCTCCCATTCAATCTTAATTTTATCAACATTATAGCTAACAACGTGAAAGTTACTTGGTGCTTGCGGTACATCTGCAAATGTTGGGAAATATAAATAATCTATTCGAGATTGCGTGTAACAGTAATTACTAAATGGTAAACGGGGTTGTATAGGTTCGAAAATTTCGGCGCTGGTTTTACTAAGTCCAACTTCATTCTCAGCAAATATTCGGAAAAAGTACGATGTACGTTGAAAGAGATTATCAACTTTAAATTCGTGAGTAGCACTATTAACTCGACCACATTTCATCCATGTTGGAAGAGAATTTTCTTTCTTTTCAATTATGAAATTAGTAATAGGTGAACCTCCGTCAAAATCTATTAATAAAAGATGAATATTTCTGTTGAAATATTAAAGAATTAAAAACATTGTCTTTATGACCTGGATTATCCCATTCAAGGACAACATAATCGCTCCATGTCTCCTTGACTTTTAAATTTTTCGGTGCATTTGGTTCATCTAAAAAAAATATCAAGGTATCATTATTAATATTCAATTAAAACTATCAAATTCTTTTCAAACCATATGGTAGTCTAGCCAAAATAGGTTTTTCCATTTCAAAGGGTTCGCTTGTACCTGCCTCATTTTCAGCGTATATTCTAAAAAAATATTCATTTCCTTCAAATAGTCTTGTTGCTTTGTACTTGGATTCTCGAGCTGGTAAATCAACTATAAATATCCATCTAAAAACATTGTTCTAATTGAAAGATGTAATCATATGACAGATTTTAAATGTTTAATAACCCTGGTCTTTTAGCATCCCTCTTTTCAATGACATAGTTTGTAATTTCATTACCACCGTCGGACTCGGGTTTATCCCATTCTAAGTAGACAGAATCTCTGTTTATTTCAATAGGACGTAGATTTAGAGGAGGAGATGGTTTATCTAGAAAAAGAAAATTGAGTATGTTAACTGTTTTGAGAAACTTTTCCATTTACCGAATGGTAGTTTTGTAGTAATAGGTTCTTTAGTTTGTAATGGTTTACTAGGTCCGACTCTATTTTCGGCAGTTATTCTAAAGTTATACGAATTACCCTATAATTGAATAATAATCAACTGTGTTGAAATCTTTCAGTAAATAAAAATAGTTTGCTCTACAAACCAAAAATAGTTTATCAACTTTTAAACGTCGTTCCGTAGGTTTTAGCGTTTCGACAATATTCCAAGAATTACTAAATTGGTAAATATTTATGATATATACATTATCATATCACCATATTGTATACCTACCTATATCTTATTACTTCCGACTTTTCAACAATGTATTGAGTAATCTCCGAGCCACCGTCACATTCTGGTTGATCCCATTTAAGAATTACAAAATCTTTATTAATCTCTTCAAACTCTAAATTTTGGGGAGGGCCAGGAGCGTCTATTATATTTGAAATAGTCAATAAATTTTCTATCAAGTAGAGCTTAATTATGTTATTTAAAACGAACCAAATGGTAGTTTAACTGTAATACTTTCAGCGAGTTCTATAAATTCACTTAATCCAATTCTATTTTCGCAAGCAACTCTAAATAGATATTCAGAATATTCGAATAGTCTGGAAGCCTTATATTTTTTAACAGAACTATCGACGTAACCAGCATTAACCCAAGTTTTCGTTGGTGAAGCTGTTAATAACTTGTCAATCTAGAAAAGTAATCAATTTGAATAGGTAATTAGAGAAAAGATATAATTGTATCTAAATAAAAACAAACATGATATCCAGTTATCTTTTCATCTCCATCATTTTCAGGCTCTTCCCATTGCAGTACAACGTAATCTCTAGAAACCTCAATAGCTTGCAAGTTTCTTGGACTAGATGGTACGGCTGAGAAATTATATTTTTATGAAAAATAGAGCCGTCTGGCAAAGTCGGTTAAGTATTAAAATACTGACTTCTTATTTTTACAGAGAACTCGGCAGTGTCCCTGCCGTGTGAATTTTCAGCGAGTAATTTATATATTCCAGAATGAACGCCTTGAACGTTACTTAACTTTAAAAATGCGTAATTATCATCGTATTGAAGAAAAATATTGCTCGATGTAGTTAGCTAATTAAGAGAAGTTTTGTTTTCTATAAAAAATATCTTTTCATTAAAATCTTATTACCTTTTGATCTTTAAAGAACCAATTTATCTTAGGCCTAGGATAACCTGTTACTTGAGCCTCTATGTAAACAAGAGAGCCCTGCTTAGTCCTCTTAAGTTCTTCTAGAAGTTCTTCGGGATAAGTGATTTTAGGAGCTAAATGACAAAGGCAACGACATATATATCTAGATGACTTTCTGTCTATTGAAAGAAACCTTCTTTCTTTTCTTCAATACTTTCTTCTTCGAATTCTTCTACTCTGGTAATATACTCCTCAATAACAGCAGCCTTATCAGTTTTAGTGACCTGAATCTGAGAAGTTTCCTCTTCAGTAGATCTCTCATAAGTGAGAGGAGTATAACCGTCATTACCTATCAGCATCGTCAATATATATTTAAACAGTTATCAATCACATTAAAATGTTAACCTCTAACAACAAGAAAAGCTGTCGTAGTAGCAACACCTTCCGAATTCTCAGCTCTGCATGTATAACATCCTTCGTCGTGGGAACTTACATTCTTAACAAGTAGAGTAACAATTCCACTCTCTTCATCGTGCCTTATATTATATCTTTCGTTATCTGTTGTTTTATATCTCTATTATTATTTTATTCATTATGATATTTGTATTCAAATCACTGAAAAACATTGTAACATTTTCACTATTTATGATAGAAAGTATATAAATATAGAAAGCGATTTGATAAAGTCAAAAAAACAAAGCCCGCCTTAAAAGTAACTTTCTTTTATAATATATTTCATAAAGCTATGTAAATAGGGATATTCTTATTAGGCCTGTTTAGTTAATTTAACAGTTTTATATGAAAGAACTTTACTAATAATTATATGATTAAAAGTACTGTTAAACCCTCATTTTACTATAATAATTAATCATAATTTATTATCTTTTATTACTCTTCGGTTATTAAGAAAGTATATAAAGCAAACTTAACTACTCTTTGAGTTTAGGAAGAGAGCAATATCCTGTCCGAAATCTAGAACTTTTAAATCATTCGTACTTCACATACGGTCTAAAGAATGCAGCTTTTTAACGTATAGTCATTAAAAAGTTACTTCACGAATCTTGTTTTACTTAAATACGAATTGAGAAAAATGTATGTTGTTCTCCTTTTACTGATGAACTTTAACCTTTGACTCATTAGAAATAGGAGAAATTTGAAGAAACGGAAGAAACTATTTAGGGTTTTATCTCTTTTTTGAATGTAAATTAGTTAGTATGTTTATTAGGAATTGGATTTTCCTCGAAAAACATTATGCAATACTTAATTAATAGAATCTATTTATTCAGGTTTAAAATAAATAGTTATGAGTTAAATTTTATTCTCCCCGACCACTTTACACATTTCACTCCTGCGAACTTTAATATTTTTATACACAGATGGTTTTTTTTATATATCAGACGTTTCTAACGAAAATAAACGAAATATTCGAATATTTAACCGACTTTTTGACAAGAAATGAGGGATTTTTATGAATAAATATTCTACATTTTTGTGTTTCTTGGTAAGAAAAAATCTGCACAGTAAAAGGAACAAGTGAAAAATCTAAATATATCTTGATATTTTTTATTGAGAAGTTGTAATTTCTCTTCTTTCTATCATTCTCTCTCTCTCTTTCTCTTGCTATATAGTTGAAGAACATCTTCGTATTTTGATTATGTATAAAAAAATATCAGTAAGCAATATACCAGGAATATAGCAATGTTTAGAAATAGTAAAAGTTTTCCTTCCACCTTCTCTACCTATCTATCTCTTTTTCACTCTTGTTTCTCTCCCTTCCTCTCTCTCTCTCTCTCTCTCTCAGACAGACGCACACACGTACAAAATATTCCCATTCTCATCGTTTTCTCTACAATCATTTCAAAAGTTATCTTTAATAAATAAAGAAGATTTTCGTTTGCTTGAAATTACGCAATATGATTCATTAAAGAAAAAAAAGTAAAGGTAAATAGAATAGTAATGTGCACCAATTAGAATAAATTTTATAATCAGTTAAATGAAATTGTTTTTTTTACTTATTTTTGAATGGAAAGGATGAAAGAAATCTTGTAAAATATATAAGCGTATCATCAAAAGTTCTCTTGTTGAAAAAGTTTGCTAACAATTAGTAGGCTATAAAAATTGGGCCTACATTTACGTTTTCTGACTTTACCAACCGGCTAAAAATTTAATACTACTGACAAGTAATATCCACATCGTCCTTAAACCAAGTTATTCTAGGAACCGGAAATCCAACAACTTGACACTCAAATCTTTGAGTTTCACCGTAGGGTAGAATGTCTTCGCTCATTGTTTCATACTTTTCTCAGAGAATTTGTCGAAAAACCACTCCTAAGCGCCGAAAAGCGAAAAACTGCAATAGTCTACCATACCGCATGCTTTGCAGCTGCAAAACAGCCGCAACGCATCGTTTAAAAATAGCAGGGCAAAAAATTTTTTTTCTGCCCTACATTCATTTTGTACTAGTACGTTTCATTTTTCCTTAATAAGCTATATATAAACTAGCATATACTAAGCAAAGGTAAGCTTGTAATTAAAAATCATAATTATTCATTAGCTTAAATGACAATCAGTAACTTCAAATAAACAACTCAGTAGAGGAACAAAAAAAAGAGAAAACAAAATACTAAAACTGTAATTACATTAAGATAAATTCTTAATTTATTCAACAAGTTTAGCGGCTAAGATAGAATTTTCATTCTAACTTGACGAACTTTTTTTCAACGACAGCCAGAGGGTTACAAATAATATTTTACTCAATATTTGTAATATTTAAACCCAATAATCAAGTTCAAAGGCAAGAGGATAGAGAGAAGAAGACATTATAAAGTTAAATAATGTTTAATCATTTTACGTATATGTTTAAACGTTTTCCCAACGATGTAATAAATTTATTCTGCAATGATATGCCTAAATATTATCATCGATCTCTAAAATCCACTTGAAATAGCCATAATATCTAACCTTAAGGCAATATATGCTATATAACATAATGACTAACTGTAGTTTTAATCTTTATACAAGTATTATAAGAGAGATATATTCTGCATATATTCGAATGTTGTCTTTAAGTCGAAGGCTCAATACCATTAGTTAAATCTGGAGAAGGAAATTAATAGAATCATCAAGTCTTTATCATCCTTCTCCTTAATCTCCTGTAAAGATCTTCTTCTAAATAGAAAATAAAAATTCTCATTTGATCATTGCATCTGAACATTTCTCTATCTCTCTTTTCTTATGTATATATATATATTGCATATTTTTAGAATAATCCAACAGGTAGAAGAATCTATTTTATTAGAGATTTCTACTAAAATATTTCCATTATATACCTTTTTTTACATTATTTTAACTTAATCTTCAGCCTCTTTTGTATTTTTTTTTTAAAAAACAAAAGTATTTACAGTAAAAAAAAATATTTTTCTTTTGTTTCTTCAAATTTAGGTTGTTTTTTTTTTTTGGTTTTTTTACAGCAGACTATAAATGTACTCTGACCTGTCTACTCTATCATATTATAGGCCTAAGTATATGTACTTTTGTTCGTTATTTTTTTAATTGAGTACTTAGTCTAATTCTAACAGTTTAAAAGACATAGAGAGCTTTTGCATACAGTCTATAGAGGCATATAAAGAAACTAATTGCGAAGACAGTAAAACTTTAAAACAGTTGTTTAAAAGTGTAAAATTGCTCTACATTTGCTATATTTTGTTAATTCGGATTTCTTAAATAAGTAATTTATCAAGGTTTGTAAATATTTTAAACGATTCATTTTAATTACCTTCTATTTAGCATATTTTCATATAATAACCATTAAAGAAACTGTTTTAAGGAATTATTATTAAATATTTATATAGTTTAATTGACAACATTTCTTTATTTTTTTTTATTTAATGATATGAATGAAGTCGTAGAAGAGTACTCTTAAAAGTTAAATTAGTGATAAAAAGATAGGATATAATCGTTTACAAAACTATAGATATATATACTTTTTTCTTGTAATTTATTATTGATATTTTGTATTTATTTTAGTCTATCTGGTCAAGGCTCACTTGTATAACTATACATGTGGTTTTATATAGACAGTACGGAAAAATGTTTTTACAGGGATAGCATTCGTCTGAGAGAAAAGCTTATTGAAATAATTATAAGACTTTTGCTTGTATGTTTTTGCTCAGAATCATATCAATTAATAGTGAATACTTCCGAACTTGGTTTTTATTAGTGTTTTAAATATAAAAAAATGTCAGCCCTGGGCTATTGACGTCATGATAGTTACGTAATTTCTAAGAAATACCAAACTTAAATAATTAACTTATAATTATTTAGTCCATTGCATTGAGATACAAAAATATATTGACTTCGTAAATTAAAGTCGGATAAATTAAAGAAAGCAAAGTAAAAGGAACCTCAGCGAAAGCTATTAAATTGTTAAGGAAATTGAATAGGAACCACTCTACCAGTCGCTATTTCAAATTGAGTCCGCCAAAACCACGGACATTGTAAATAGTGAATAATTTTCGTTTTTATATCCCATAGATCATTTCACTCCTCTCGGACTTCCTGTGACGGTTGTTGTGTGCGGGCTAGGTATGTCGACAGTTACTCCCAATAAAGAATCTGTTCAGAAGAAAATTGCGAGTATTCTTACACCTCTGAAAGATGAGAATGAGGTAAGTACCTTTTTCAGCGAATTTCTTTACTCAAATTTAAACTACTGTGTCGGCACCACGTTTTCCATGCGTCGTTGATACGTTTTACCGCGCAATATTTCATTAAATAAAGTGAAGTACAATAAAATATCTACTTAGGGGAATGTCATATGCTTCCTTTTATATATCTTAATCTTCATTCAACAGAGAAGACTCAGAGGATTTCAGATTGCTAAAATGTGTTTTATGGAAGGAATGCTGGATGAAGCAAACAAGTAATATCAAAACTTGTGAATAATATATGGCTAAACTTACTTTTATTTTTTAGATATATAAAGGATTTTTTAACAGTACATACATCAGCCGCTGCTTACAAATTACAAGGTGAAATTCTAGAGCAGCTTAAAGAGGGAACAAAAGCTTTGGAATCATATAAGAGAGCATTTGAAATTGATGAAGCAGATAATGTCGGAGTGTTGAATAAAAGTATGCAGTTTTCCATAAATGAATATTTAAAAAATATTATTCTTACGTTAAATAATTCTAAATTTTCTATATACTCAGTTTGTGAATTGGGTGCTGCTAATAAAATGGATGAAAATGTACAACAAGTAAGTCATCTTAACACCATAAAATAGCAAATATAAAAACTTTTTCTTTTAGTTTTATAGAGAGAAAGCAGAAGAAAAGGAGAAACATAATTCGTTGTTCAGACTCAAGGTTGAAATTAAATTTTTTCTAAACAATACAAAGCTTAGGTTTCGTTTTCGTTTCTAAACAGAATCGATCAATGGTAACGCCCCCTACTCCATCAACACATTTGTTTTCAACATCGACGCCAACAAGAACCACTTTTCAGGCACGTAACAATGCCCAACCATCTCCTCAAAATATTAGTGCTGTTTCAATGACCCAACCGGTGAATTCAGCTCCTCCATCGGCTCCCACTCCAGCTCCGATAAAGGATACATCAAACGTTTTAGAGCATTTAGTTAACGTCCTTATTGATCAGAACAAGTCGTTGATGGATACTATTAAAGAGGTAATAAATATTAATTACACTTAAATTTTCTTTATTATTATTCTTAATAATATTCATAGACTGTTGACTATGCTGTTAAAGAGATGCGTGAAAGTCATGTAAAGGTTAATCAGACAGTTGAGAAACTTCGTGAAAATAACACTAATGTTAATAAGAATATAGATGAATTATCAGATATGATTGTGAGTATTTAAGTAGTTTTTTTGTTGCATGAATTATTAATGTCGTCCATAATTCATAATTGTTGTGCAGAATTCGCTACGTGATCTTAAGGTAGCCCCATCTCAAGTAAAATCTGATGAAAATACACCGAAACCGAGTCCCCCAAGACCTCCTGCTCCCACTCCAGTTGTTATAGAACAGCAAAATATTCAACCGGCAAGCACATTATCGCAAATAAATCCACTGGCTCAATACGCACTTCAGGTTATTACTTTAGCATGGTTTTTAGCGTTTTTTAAATTGAATTTCCTTATGATGTTCATTAAAAAAATAGAGTTTTTTGAATATGACACATAGTAATATTATTTTTCTAAAATGTTATTGAATATTTGTAGATGCAAATACAATCTGCAATTCAGCAACAGGCCACAAAACAAAATTTAATGTATCCTCCTCCATTTCAAAATCCAACTGGACTACCGGAATATAGAAATTTGATGTACTACCCAAATCATGGAGGATCTTCTATGTGTGGAGGTTCTACTGTACCCACTCAAGCTCCACCAGTCTCCAATTATCAGTTTGGACCGAATATGGATAATCAGGCTGAAAATGCCGCTAACAGTTTGGCAGCATTGTCACAAATGGCAAGAAATCAACAGCCATTATCGAATCCTCAGTCCCGACCTTTGGCTCCAAGAGAACCCGTTCCATTGAATTTTACAAAAACAAACACAGGCGAAGGGTTTAAGCCAAATTTGGGTGAACCTTTTAAACCCAATACACAAAATGCTTTTAAACCAAATCAAACTGAAACTGGAACTGTCAGTCAACAATCGCTATTCAAGACAAATGCAGAGGATACTAGCAAACTCAACAACACAACTCTGGATAGTCTTAAGGGACAAGATTTAAGCACAATTAAATCTCCTGAAAAGGATGAGCATGAAGACTTTGAACCAACAGTTTCCTTCAAGCCTATATGTGAACTCCCTAGTAATATAGTGATCAAAACAGGAGAAGAAGAAGAGAAAAGTTTGTTTTGTCATCGTGGCAAGTTGTATAGGTACGAATCTAAAACCAACGAATGGAAAGAGAGAGGACTGGGTGATATTAAAATCTTACAGCACAAAGTAAATGGAAAAAGTCGAATAATATGTCGCAGAGAACAAATTTACAAATTAGCTTGCAATCATTATATAACATCTGATATGCATATTTCTAAATTGAGCACCGCAGAAAATTCATGGTGCTGGATTGCTCAAGATTTCGCCGATGAAGAGTTAAAAACAGAAAACTTTGCTGTAAGATTTAAGCTTGCAGCTACGGCTGAAGAGTTTAAGACCATATTCGAACGATGTGCGGCTTCGGATAAATCTACCTCTACAGCTAGTCCACCAAAACCAAAGGAGGTTCCTCAGTCCTCTAGCTGTTCGGCGCAATCTGCCTTCGATAATCTTATGAAAGGAAAGGAGGGAGAATGGGAGTGTAACACATGTCTTGTCCGGAATCCAAAGGAAAAAACCGAGTGTGTCTCTTGTTCTGAGCCGAAGCCAGGACATGAGAAAGCTAAAGGGAAAAAAAGCTCTGGCGGATCATTCACTCCTGGATTTTTAGGAAATCAAGGAGCTTTGAACCTATCAGCAAAAGATCCTGCTCAAAAGGGTTTTGCTTTTGGCTCACCTGCAGCCGTTACTACGAGCAAAGCTACTACTCAAGCTAGTTCTACTGACACTGCAGTGAAACCGCTAGGCTTGACAACTACAACTTCAACAACACCTGCTTCAGCTCCCTTCAAATTCAGTTTTGGTTCCATTGAAAAGGGTGGATTTGTCTTCAATAAAACTGCAAGCACCCCAACTACAACATTTACAACACCTCAGAAACTGCAATCAGAAATTTTTTCAGCCAATAGTCCAGCAGCTACAGAAAATCAGAGTTACCTAAATTCTTCATCTGAAAATCCCGAAGAGCACGAGTCTAGTGCTTACTTTGAGCCGATAGTTAAATTAGATCCCGTTGAAATTGTTACTGGAGAAGAAAACGAGAAAGTCCTTTATAAATCTAGAGCAAAACTTTATCGATTTGTAGATGGTGAATGGAAAGAGAGAGGTATTGGTGACGTAAAGATACTACAAAATAAAAACAACAGGAAATGCCGCATCTTAATGAGGAGAGATCAAATTCACAAAATATGTTTAAATCATGCTTTAACATCTGATTTAACTTTATCTGAGATGGCAAATTCTCAGGGGAAAGCTTGGATATGGCAAGCTGATGATTTTGCAGATGAAGAAATAAAGCACGAACGCTTTGCTATTCGATTTAAAACTCCCGAAATAGCAAACAGCTTCCAAGATACTTTCGATAAGGCAAAGAACAGTAAAGACAAACCTGTGGATTGCGAAGTTATAATTAGCCCTCCAAGACGAGAGTCCGTAACTAACAGTGGTAAAGTCACTTCCCCGAAGCCAGCCACTCCAAAAGAAGGCAGTGAAAAGAAAACGACCCTATTTTCTTTTACAACTCCTACACCTTCCACACATAGATTCTCTTTTGAGGCACCTCCAAAAAATACAAATGAAATTAAATTTAACTTTACTGATTCGCCAAAGTTTGCTTTTAATAACAAACCTGAAGAGAAAGCTAAGCCTGTACAACAAAGTAATAGCAATAGTATGCTTCACCAGTTGCTTGCAGGCTCTGAAGATGGTAATATAATGTTTTTATAATACTATAAACAGCGAAATAAAATTCGTTATTTTCAGCTCTGAAGACAACTGATGAAGCAGAGATAAAGGATGTCATATTTTTGGAGACAAAATTACCGATCAAGCAAAAAATTGAACTGGCTTTGAAATACAAACTACCAGAATCTTTCTTTAATTATGAAAACAAGAAAAGTTGCTCAGGATGTGTAGGTTGTAACTCAGAATTTTTTGATTTTTCAACCATTGGAAAGAAAATTGAACCTAAATCAGGTAAGTCTGAAAGCTATGAGGTAGTTAATGATAAATTGAGATTTTTATCAATAGATATTAGTAAAAAAGAAACGGTTCAATCATCCGAAGAAGAGAAACCACCAGTTCAACAGAATTTATTTGGTAATTTTTATGATACCAATACTCCAGATAGAAACAAATCCTTAAATTTTTCGTTTTGTAATAGGCAATACATCATCCTTCTCATCGTTTGCGTCACTGGCATCAAACAATAACTCTGTGCCAAGTTGGTCAACAAAAACCGAAGGATTTAAGTTTTCTGGAACCGGAAATCAACTATTCCAGAGTCCAAAGCCTCAAGAGGACGATGACGAAGCTCCTGCTAACAATGACATACACTTTGAACCTATTGTCAAACTTGAAGAAGTGGATGTGAAAACAGGCAAGTTTATGCCATAACCTTCTCAAATACATTTTATACGTTGAACTTATTAGGTGAGGAAGACGAAGATATAATTTTCAACGAAAGAGCCAAATTATATCGTTTTGTCGATGACCAATGGAAAGAAAGAGGAGTAGGTCAAATGAAAATATTGAAAAATAAAGCAGGTTAGAATCATTGAAACTAAAGTTATGGATATGAATAATTAATATAAATACACCTTTCTTTAGGCAAATATCGTATTTTGTTGCGAAGAGAGCAAGTTTTAAAATTGGCTTGTAATCATCGTATAACTCCATTTATGACAATGGATCCACTGCTGACATCAGAAACAGCTTTATGTTGGTCTGCAAATGATTACTCGGAATCGGATAATGGTGTGTTTGAAAAATTCTCTGTTCGATTCAAAGTAAGTTAAAGTGACTTTATTTATATCGTTAACTAATGATTATTCATTTCATTTAGTCAAAAGAGCTAACTGTAAAGTTTAAAAATGTGTTCGAAGAATGCAAGAAAATGATCCAAAACGAAGAGAAAAAATCTACATCTAACAGCACACCGCTGCTCACACATGAAAATGATGAAAATGACGTAATGACATATTGAACTGTTGTTAACCTTTCATATAGCCGTATTGTTACTATTTCAGGATGAAGAATACGAAACTGAGGATGAGACAGAGTTAGCTTTTGAGAAACGTGTTACTCTCGGTTATGTTGGAAGTGACGGGCGAATCACAGAAAGTCATTTAGGAGATTTGACAGTTCACTTGGATGATGATATAAACGCATATAGATTACAAATGGTGAACGATAATTCGGTTTTGGTTTGCAATCATGTTATTTGTCAAGAGCACATGTTATATAAGTAAGTAAGATCTATAAATGATGATAAATTTAAAAACAGCATTATTACAGGAGTCAATCTAAACCTATATATGTTGAGTGGACTGCCGAAGATTTCTCTATTGATGAATCTGTGAAGAGGCGATTTCGAGTAACTTTTTCATCACAGCAGTCAATGAATGAATTCGAAAAGATATTTACAGAGGGGATTGAATTAGCAAGAGAAGATAACGTATCCCAAAGAGGACAGTCAGTGGAGATGATGAAGCCGTGTGTGTACAGTTCTTGAAAAGACATTTTATCTTAGGCATTTGTTTTAACGTAAATTACTTTATTGTCCTGTTAACAAAAAATTAAGTCATGTTTTTTTGTGCGTGATTGATCGTATGAACTATAAGATAAGTCTTAAAGTTTCGCAAAAAAAATTATTATCTACTGTATTCATCCATTGAACATTCCTAAGTCCTGAAAAGTTAAACATTAATTGTTATTAGTTTGTTGAGAAGACGTAGAAGCAGAACACATGCCTGGAACATGAAAGATTTTTACGCAAAAGTGTCCATTTTGTCCCAAACCCGCTGAATTAGATTCGACCAAAACTAATCTATCACTATCTGTTTGTAAATTTAAATGAGACGGGTACTTAATACCGTCGTGCCGAGTCAATACGTTCTTTATGAATTTTCCATCGGTTGAAAACATAGCTACGCGATGATTGTCGCGATCTGCTACGAGAATATTTCCGTCGGTCGTTGAACATATTCCATGAGGCCGTCTCAAGTGCCCGTATGGTCCGCCTGTAAAATTGAAAGAGGATCTCACCGTACCATTTTCACTATCAATAATTTTCACATGATCATCACTACTGTCAGAAACTATTATAAGATCGGAATACACAGCAACTGAATAGGGAAAGCTCAGTTGGCAGCAAGAAAAATGACGAAGAATAGTTCCATCTGATAAGGCATGCACAGTAACACATCGCCTTTCTGTATCTGTTATGATAGCGTGACCGCAGGATGTCACAGCAATACCCGCTGGTCCAGCGAACGAACCCCATATGCTGAGTATATCACCTGAGGACGGAGCCATTACTTTAACGCAGAGATCTTTCTTACATGTTATAACAAGATTGTGATCAATTGACGACAGGGCAAGACCTGCTGGTTGAATTTTGCCCCATGCCAGTATCCTTTTGCTTTGTTTGGTTGTGGCATCGAATACCTGAAGACGATTTTGTTCAGCTACGACTAGCTCCCTGCTTGGAAGAAAGATTGCGGCACATGGTTGACTGATTCTACCAGGCCAACCACCCTGTTCGCGAATGGTCAAGAGAACCGTTGCTCTTTCAGTACTTTCAGGCTTAACTTCCTCCGATGAGGTTGGTCTAGTTGGGGACGATGGAGGTGAAGGAGTCGTTGATGAAGTTTTCGATGGAGAGGAAACAGTCGCTCCAGATGTGGAAGTAGCAACTGGAGTATTAGGAAAAGTCAACTCATGATGACCTTTCAACCTTTTGTGTTTTGTTTTACTGGGTGAGAGAGCAGAGAGAATGGACGAAACACGTTTTGTCGAAGGCTCACTCATTTCAATGTCACCATCACCGCGTATTTCTGATAAACATCCAATGTTCATTTCGTCTGAGGTGGGTTCAAATCTGAGGGAAATCATCGGTGGTGTTCGTACTGGACCGGGAAGTGTATGTTCAGTAACGGTTTTTGCTTTTTGCAAAAGATCACCGTGAGACAGAACAGTAGAATATGAAGGAGCAGATAATACTTGGCGAATTTCGCTTTGTAACGCTTCTATTCTTACCCTTTCGACATGTAATTCACCGTCTTGATGAACGTGCAATTCCATCTTCTTAGCAGCTTCAGAAAGAAGCTTGTTTTCTGTCTCACGAACCATTGAGATTATAGAGGAGCACTTTTCTCTTATTGCACTCTGTACCGAATTTAAGTTTGATTGTTGCTGTTGCCTGATTGTAGTCAATAATTTCTCTCTATTTATAATTTCGTTTAGGCGCATATTCAATACTTTAGATATTTCCTTTAATTCTTTGCGCCTTCCTTCAACCATAGATCTGTCTATCTCTATAAGGGAGTGTCTCGAATCATGCTCCAGAACACATACTGTGCAAAGTGCAGCCGAACACGGTTGGCAGACGTAACGAATCGGGTAAAGCTTATGACGGCAGCATAAATCTGACAATTCAGATGATGATTTTAAACTGACAACTTGGTGTGAAGCTAACTGAGTATTCGATGAATGTCTTTCGTGACATTCTGTGCATAAATAAAGTGCGCAATGGACGCAGTGAAATTCCGCTGTTGTATTATTTGATCTGGCCATGCAATAATCGCAGTTTTTCTCTGATAAGTCTGAATTTGTTGATTGTCTCATTAGAACTTCTCGAAATTGCTCCAGCTTGAAATCATTCGGTAAACTAGACACTCCAGGACTTGGTACTAGTGTCACCTTTTTACAGATTGGACAAGATATGTGTCGTCTGGACGGTCCCAGCTTTGTCATACTCTCTAAACAAGTAAAGCAAAACGAGTGCAGACAGGATAGGACGCGTGGATCCGAGTAATTTTCCAGGCACACTGCGCACCTTAGTACATCGTCCATACTGTCCGATGATGCAGAACTTGGAGAAGGGGGGTACCATTGCGACGATGCCATCTGTTTGTACAATTTATGAACTTAGGCCTAGTTGCAGAAGAATAATCAGTTAAATTTGTTCAATTACTTCGCTCTAGCGAAGGCAAATTCTCATATCTTAGGTTGGTAAGCCAATAGTCCGTCGGTTAGCATTTCCAGCTCTTGTCTTTGAAAGGGTGGATCGCTTATTGACAATTCAATAACTGACTAAGCTTGGGCTAAAGGATTCTACTTTGTTTATGTTTCTTACGCATGCGTAGTAGAGTTAGTGAGGAAAGTAATCCCACTCTTTTTGCTGGGTAATATGTAAAAAGATTCGTTGTTGTGAATACCGGTTCTCGCAGTCACGTGACAGTTGCCGCGGAAACTCAAAATGTCCTCGTAATGATACTTTTGCGAAATAGTTAATATCAGGAGATTATAAATTGAACTTGTAGTATACATTTCATAGGCAAAATATATCAATAATTATAAAATCAATGTCTAAAGTACTTTATCACGATTCCTTACCGAAAAGCGAGGTAAATTACTAATTTTTAGCAAATATTTATATCCAATATATACGTAATTGAATTGATAGCTTCCAGAGCCAAAAAGTGGAAAATGGGAATGGCGGGAAGACACAAATACTTTGGAATTCACTAAGTCTATAGATCACATTTAAAAAAACTCATAAACCTTGTAAGAAAAAAAAATCCTTTTTTTAACAGTTTTCAAACAAAAAAAGATGCCAAGAGAAAAGCAGCTGCAGATAAACATAAAAGTGTTGATAGAGGGTAAAAATTTTACTTGTTTTTATCCAATATTATATGCTTTATCATTTCGTTGTTTAGTGCTACTCCAAGTAGAGCAAATAAAAAATCAATTCCAACTTGGATACCAAAAAAGAAAGATAAGGACGAAGGACCTAGCCATATAAATCTCGTACATATAAAAGGTGAATTTCCAATTGAAACAAATGATTTAGGTTCATCTAAACATATAAATAATAGAAAGCGCATTAAGCTATCTTACCGAACACTATGAAGAAAAAGACGATACAGAAGATATGGACAAATTTAAGGCTTTCGAAGCTGGAGTCTACCAGTATGAAATAATTGATAAAACGCCGTCATTCTTACTTAATATTCTTAATTTATTCGTTTCCTTTTCCAGCACAAAACAATTGGATGAATTTTTAATGTTTCTATTGAAGTATTTTGAATTATTCTTTGAAAAATTCAATCTCGATAACAAACCTAATCCTATGAATATGTAAGATTAAATATAGAAAAAAACAAGGCAATTCTATATATCTTGTGCTTATATACTTTTCATTTTCATCTAGTGAACCTAGTCAAGCAGAAGTTGCATATTATCACAAAGTATGTGATAAATTATTAGCAGCTCAAAAATTAGTTGGATACGCGTATGGGATATTGATTCTTGGCGATGGTATGTCGACACATCACCATATGTCATGTGGAGTGTAAGTTATTGTTTAAAATTGGGGCTATTATAATCTTTCATATATTATTATTATATATATAGATCGAGAGTGTCAAACACCTACAAGGATCGAAATATGTTTGAATGTCTTTATAAATTCTGTTCAGTTGTTGTTGAGAAAACTTTTGTTAAACGTAATGATGAAGCTGTTAGAACTGAAGTTAATAGAATGATGAGATCCCATACATTCAATCCAGCTTTAAGAATTAAATTAGCTCCAGACGCAGGTTTAAAATATATATAATAGACCAAATTTATCCTTGTACTACTTTCTATATATATACATATATATACAAATGCAGAAAAGAATACAGATGAAGTAAAATTAACTCCTGCCGAATATAGAAGGCAACACGGGTAAGTTCTTTAATTAGGTTGATGGTAATGTGCACTATTATTTCAATTAACTGTTCTTTTTTTATTCAGGAATAGGCCTGCAATAAAGAGTATTATAACGTATGATTATTTTAATATATTAGTATACGAGGAAATAATTGTTTCAATGCTTATATTTAGGCAAAAATCTCCTGCTCTTATATCAATTTTACCATCGTCCAAAGAAGGAGCAACCTATCTATTTCAAAGAAAACAAGCATTATCTGCAGCAGGAATTTCAGATAATAAGAGCGCTGATGAGATAATTAGCGATGATTCTATTGAGAGTGTGACAGAAACCCTGAGCTTAGAAACATTAAAGTATTAATAACAACGATAATAATACATATAAATTTATAAAATATGAATTCTAACAGAGTTGGAATTATTGGAGAATCATCTAAAGATTACGATTTAAAAACACTGATACCACATAGAGGAGGTGAAGGGGACGATCCTTCAAGAGATGAAAAGGAACGATTATCAAGCAGAAGGGCGTAAGTTTATTATCTTTTACTATCCTTCTTATCTCAATGTCAATAGATATCAAGTATTTTGTTTATCACTAATTTTTTAAATGATGTACCCTTTTCTTTTGTTAATTATTTTTAGGAAGTATTTTAACCTATAAAAACATAGGTCTATAAACTTCAGTTTTGCACACAGACAACAAATTCAAGATTTAAGAATGTTGTGGACGGATAATCTGGTGTGTCAAATAGTAGCTGATAATTCTAATGCAAAAACATTGCGTTGATTTTGTCGCTTTAGCTTTTCTGATTTGTTTTTTATTGTATATATATTAATTATATATATATAATTATATATTTAAGATTTTTTCCCTGCAAAATGCATTGCCCTTATCATTCTTAAAGCTATTTTTTTATATGTATAGACTATAACTGGGAAATAATCCTTTCTTTCTTTTATTAATTTATTTAGATCACTGCAGACGTCTGATGAGCAAGCAGCTTCGAAAAATAGAGATGAATCTCCAACGCTATCGAGGAGAGAAACTACTGCTACATCAGTTGTTACTCAAAATGAGCAATAGAACTCATTTTGTAACTTTTTTTATCACTTCTTAAATACTAGTTAACTGGTATAATTGAGTAAATGAATAATAAACATCTTTAACTATTTCCAATTGGTCCTTAATTTCTGTACCTAAATACAAATTTATCATTTATTTATTGTTTAAATTCGACTTTTAATCAAATAGACATATTGTATAAGCCCCAGTGCTTTTTTTTCTTTGCATGCGCATGCGCTGTAAGAATTTTAACATTTAAATTTAACCTACCAATTATCGCTCATATTTGTGAAGATTTTCTTATAAAATATCACTAAATTCAAGGAAAATATGCTTAAAAGGCCTTGTACAAGAATCGAATTGAATAATAAAGATATTGAAGAGTTTGATAGACTGCAAAAAGAGAAACAAGAAAAGCAACACGTCCAAATGCTACAGGCTCAAACCTCAACACCGACGATGGATACATTTGACCCACAAACTCGAGCAAAATCAATTAATGAGAGAATTGGACTAATCCAGTATCAAAGGCTAAGTAAGAATTTAGCAAGTCCAAGAATAGGATTTCGTTGATAGCACAAAAACTAACGTTACACAAGTACAACTATAGTCTTCATTCGGATTATTTATATATATATATATATATACTTTTATTGAATTTGATATTTCATATGACAATGAGATTTACAAATACAGACGTGTCAATCTTACAATTCTCTTCTCATACGTTTCTTAACTCTTTTAATGTCTTTGTCCATATTTTGCAAATAATTTTTACTTTTCGATATCTTTCTGCAAATAATAACAAATCAGAATTCTATATTAAATTCTAAATGTATTTAACCAACTGTAATAATAATCTATCCCCATCATCAGGCTCGTTTCCCTTGCAGATTCTCACACAAAACCGGCATAACTTACAATATTTGCAATTCTGTAGAGATATAAAGTATACAATCAATTCACCTTCAAATACACCAGATGGCGTTGACTATATAAATCTCTTAATTATCCTAAAATTGGATGAAGATCAAAAAAAGTCTGTTTATACCTGACAGTTTAAGCAGTTTATATGATTAGGATCATCCTCTTGACAGGGGCATTCTGTTTTACATCCACGACATCCCTGCACAATATAAAGAAACAATGAGACTTTTCAACAAAGTATTTTACAGGGCTACCTACTTTGCATAATTTACAGTATTTGCACATATACATTGTGACTTGTTCAGTCAGATTTGATTCAACAATAGCATCGTCTTTATAGTCGTCTTCCTCTTGACTAATCGCGATGAAAGGTATTGAAAAAAGTGCCAATAAAAGGTAGAAGCGGTTAAACATCATTATTTTGACTTGGAGTTAGATGTTAAATATTAATATTAGTATTTAAAGTTAATTTATTGTATATATATTTTTAATATCAATATATCGTGTTAAAGATAGTTAATTTAATATAGGCCTAAGGGCGAATGTAACTTTGTCCGACAGCACGTTCATAAATCGTAATTTACGTCACGAACTAGGAAAGTTTTTGAGCCGGAGGCGGCGGAGGTGCAATCGGTCGTAAAGCGTCGGTAATAAAAGCGTCTCAAACTTTCACCTTCAGAGTCACGACCAACGTAAACGTGACATTCATAACCGGTTATTATTTTTCTATTGAGGGCTCGTTTTTGAAGAATAGGTCTCAGGGGGGCTCGGATGTGGAAGTTAAAAGTGTGACGTAGAGAGGAAGAAGAGAAGGGAGGGAGGGAGGGGGGAGGTAAGAGAAAGTATGGAGAATTTCTTTAATAATCATAGAAAAAATAATAAAATAAAAGTATGTAATTACATACTGGGATAAACTTGGAAATATTCTTGTCAAAAATCAAGCGTTGCTGTAATTTAAAACTGTGAGAAAGAACCATCCGTTTTTAATATTTGAATACCTAATTAGCAGACAAAGAAAGCTCTGAGAAACTGCATTTTCTCTTTCTTTCATTCTCCTCTTTGGACGAAAAACATGTGCTCAGTCTCTATCTTCTTTAACATCTGCTTTTTAAGGGCAAATAGAAATATTAAAAAAGGGGACTAATTAGATGGATTACTCTGAAAATTGTGTTGTCCGGCGGCTAATTAAGAGGTAATTAGAGCCGTTTGGACGGTAGACGGAAAGTGTAATTGGATACGGTCGTTTTTGTTCCTCGCAGGTGTTTACAGCTGCATCGAACTTACCTCCTCCGATGCAGAAGTTTCACTTTAATTAGCACGACTTTAATCACTTTTTTCGCCTGCATAGACATTCTTTGAGATTTTTATATCTTCCTCTTTTCCTATTCTTCCCAGTGTCGACCTCGTCCTTTATTTCTCACTCCCGCTAAGACAGTTTCCATTTCTGAATTCAATCCAATATAGATCTGTCATCGCTCAATCGAATAATGTATTATTCTGGTCAGTTTGACGCTTTTTTCAACCAAGTAGCTTTTGACAAATGACAATTTCATCTATAATTCCGCTCTCCCGCGAAGGAACCTAAAAAGGCGGGAGAAGATCTCCCGTTACCTTTTCAAATAGTTGACTGAAATGAAAAATATTTTGGTGTTCTTTTTTTGGCCCCTTGCTGTTTTTATTCATTCCACTTGCCCTCTCCTCTACGCCCTCCAATCCACTAACTTAAACTTCCTCTCCAATATTCAACTTCTCAGTCTTTCAGATGACTATCGAACGCCTCCCATAGTACCGGTCAGTTTAGAAAGGACGCTTAAGCAAGCAGCTGACCGTGAGAGTGGACACGTGTTTCCTAAAGATTTCAATACTAGTATATATGCACGTGCGCTTAAACTGATAATGATCGATTATAATTGCATTCTAATTCAGTTTTAACCAGCTTTGTTCGATTTTTTTAGTTATCTATGAATCATTGACAATAAAAAAGAGAGAAATTTGCATATATAGCTTCTCTTGACTAGAGGCTTATTTTTTTTCTTTATTCAAAGATCTATATACATAATAAGTTTAACAAAACATATGTATAATACGCTCATTAATATTCATGATTCTTTTTTTTTCTTTTCTCTCTTTTAAAGCGTAGTTATACATAACTATACATATTTATCTTTATAATATTAATAATAAAGAATACATAATGCATATTTATATACATACAATTGCAAAAAAAATAAAAATCAATAAAAAAGCGTATTCAATCGTATAAAAGGAAACACCGTGAAATAATTGAACACAGTTTTGAAAGAGTTTTATCACAGTCGTCCGCGCATTGAATGACAACGTCACCGTTGTAAATTAATCGCATAAAAAAAAGAAGGTATCACACGTGGCTAGCTTTACATAATTCACTATCGTCCCATCGTCTACCATTCAATCGGTTTTGATTGGCCGATTCGATCCGATTAAGCTTACTATCTGAAGCGCCACCATACGACGATGAAGATGTTGATTGAACGACGTTTAAACCTCTGTGAATCCGAGCCGTTTGTATGCTTTTACCTTTGAAAAAAAGAGACAACATAAGGGAGAATTTATGAAATTCAATACATAAAAATATATATTCAAGGGCTTTATACTAAGATAAATTTACAGGCAATATGTTATGTATTATCTTTTTTCCCTATGAAAGACAATACTCTTCTTTTATAAGAGAGACTTACCCTTATTTCGGACATTCAACTTTAGCATTAGCTCCTCTTCATTATCATTTGAGCCCCTTCCGCTATCGCTATCCGCTGACAGAACGCTATCATCGTAATTACAGGGAGACTTAAATTGGTCTCCACTCGCCGGAGTGGCTCCAACAACAGAATAGAAGGGCTATTAGAGAATAAAGAAAGAATTAAAAATAAAATTGACCTATTATTCAATTTTTTTATTATAAGAAAAAACTGCTCTAGTCAGTAGGAGAGTAAATCGCAACTTAAAAAAAGTATAATCTAACATCAACCTTTATCAATCCCTTCTTTTACCCTTCCTACCCCCTCCTTCTTCTACTTTATCTACTCCTATTCCCCTTTACCCCTGGGCAGGAGAAGGACATAAAAAAGAGAGAAAAGGAATTTAAATAAAAGAAATAAAGAAAACGGGGATAAAATACTGTTGGAAAAATTTTTTCGTTACTGATAAGGATCAATCACATTCGTTTCGACTGAATGAAGGAGACCCCTAGATTCTTTATTCTACCCCTTTCTTGCTTTTAAGTAATAAAGCGTGAACAGTTACAAACCGACTGTATGTATTAATTTATTAGGGAAGAAAAAGAAAGGAAAATAGTGTAAAGGCGACCGTATCCCGTTGTGATGAACTTTCTGTTTCGAATGGGGATATTTCTCTTTTTTATTGCGGATAAACGTCGCGCTTAATTACGCCGTTACAATGCTATTAGCATTAAACTGCGCTTTATGAACGTTCCATTAAGGCGAGAGTCGGTCATAAAAAAAAAGCTGGGGTTTCTATTTATAATAACTAAGCCAATTTTCAGTGGCCACGGCCAAAAAAAACTATAGCCTGAGGTTATCGTATATATCTCCTCGAGCGAATATTTTCTACTTCTCTCCTCCCTCCCCAAAAAAATCTGCTGGATATTGAATGAAAAGAGAAAATATTAGAGTAGGTGAACGAGTGAACACGAGAGGGAGAGAGAGAGAGAGGGGGGTGGAGAAGAGAAAGAGTAGAATTGAATTGTGAGTACAGTTGAAGCTGTAGCGTCGCACGCACCGATTACGCAATCAGTCGAATTACGTAAACATAATGAAATTGTCGTTTATAAGACAGCTGCGAACGTGAGTAGGAATTTATATTTATATGTATATTACACTTAAACGACCGAACAAATATATGCTTGTTTTTTCTTCATTTTAACCCTTTTTTTGTATGTACACAAACGAAATTTATTGAACAAAATAAAGGAGGTGGGGATGGGAGGGACTAAGGAAGAGAAAAAGGTTAAGGGGAAGTACAAAAGAAAAGGTGATATAGCGTCTCTTTATTCCTTTATGCAACTTTTTTTTCCTTCCTCTACATATTGTTAAAAACAGATGGAATTGTATAAAAACTTAGAGACGCCTTACGGTTTTGAGAAACCATTGCAAAAGAAAAAAAGATCCCTATGTCATTAAGGTTAGCTTACAACAAAACGCGGATTAGACTGATTTGTTTATTTTGAAAGCTTTGTACTGCGTTTTCTACACCTGCCGGGACTTTGAATAATATCTACGAGCGTATATAATCTATATACGGCGGCAGTCCATTAACTTTATTAGAGGTGAAGGCCGTATGTGAAAATTCTTTGACCGTGTAAATTGCATGCATGTGTACACGTAGACGCCGCAAGATGCTGGTAGGGGGTTGAATATGGTAATATATAAAGTGAAATGCCGCTTTATTATTAACCTTATATAACTTATTCATCATTATATATAGTGAAAGTTGCAAAGACTGGAGGGAGGCGCATGCAAGCGAGTATCATCTCGGCTGGTTACCCCTTTGATCACAGTTTACGAGGCGAATCCCATTAAATCAGTGTTTTTTGAGCGCGTTCAACAAATGTTTCTCTCTACTACGTAATTAATACTTAGTCATGCGAAATTCACCACCCCTTTTCTAGATTAATCCTATTGAAATAAGAAGAAAAAAAACCTGTCCCTTTTTTAGTGATTATAAAAAAATCATGACTTCTCTGAGATGTCTACATGAAACAGAGACGCCAGCCGACGCCTTTCTTGTCTTGACAAACTCCTACTATATTATGTATTCGTTTTTATTGTCCGGTATGGGGAGCGAATCGATTCCGGTTGAGGGCAGTACGGAATGCGTTTTTGTTCCATAATTAGCCGAACGATATGCGGGGCGTCGTTTATAAACGGTTTCTGACGTTTCTTATTCAAAAATATTTGCCAGTTGAAAATATATGCAGATAAAAATATTGACAGGTATTTTCTACCCCCTACAGAGTCAGCCTAGCTGAATACAAGTGGCGTAACAGACAAGACCAAGTCGATTTTAAAAAGCTCATGTGTCTCATTCAAAAGATAAAGGGGGGAGAAGGAAAAAGTTGGTTTTGGGGGCGGCGTGGCGGCGGCTGTTAGGTGGGAGGCTGACTACCTTAGAAAAGAATTGAACGAGCCCCTAGTTTAGGCGATGATTGATTATGCCGAGACATTTGGCAGGTAATTATTATACGTTTTCATATAGACGTATATGTTTATAATACGTTGACCAGTTGGAAAATATGCGATCAAACGCGTTACTAATTACTATACGAACGTCAATACTAATAGGGACATTGCGCAATAAGCGACGCCAACTAGAGGTAAATGACGTTCGCGGACGTCACTATAATGCGGTGTGCAGGTGTATACACGTTTAGAAGACTCTTTGAAGTGACCGGCAATTTGGATCAAGGGAGAGCCACGGTAGACGTCTCTACCCACCCGCCTCGCCTTTTCGATTAAAGCTAATGAAGCGAGCTATGTCTGTTTGGAAGAGTCTCTTTGAAAAACTTGAACATAATAGGAAAAAAGAGTGAGAGGAGATAAACGTAAACAACATGGAACAGCATCTGTTGCTTAGCCGCGAAACGCCAAAAACAACGTTTATCTTCAAAACAAATCGGATCGAACCCCGACAGATCTTAGCAGGGGTGTGGTTCTTTTAATACGTAAGGTGTTAGTTAATTAACTAGCCTTATACAAATAATCGAAAGGGAACGGGCTTCCTAAAGGGCTACCATTTGTTTATAAAGTAATCGGACCGGGAAAAAGAAAGGGAAAGGCAGATGCCCAATGAAGGGGCCTCAGATGAAAGCGGTATGCGCGTTCTCGGCTGGACGTCCCTAGGTACCCTACCTACTTTGCCCGCCCAATTTTTTTTGTTCGTGGAAATTTCAACGCGTGCGACTAGGCGAAAAATGGAAAACCCTCGGCGCTCGCCGCGAAAGGTCTCTGAGGGGTCGGTAGCGCTTCGAAACGGAAAGTGGACGCTAATTGCCCACCCGAGCATGCTATTATATTTTGCGGTTGAGATTACCGATCCGAACCTCCTCTTAACCCCTTTGTTTACCCGATTGTCATGGTAACTCTAACTGACGCGAATTGCTCTCCTTTTTACTCTTATGTATGGCTAATTAGACGTACCTGATGCGGTTCGTTATCCACGGTTTGCGTCTGTAATCCAGCTGATGATGAGAAGACACTCTTCTGATGTCCTAAACGAGAAGCGTACTGCAAATTATTACGATTGTCGCATTTAATGAGATAGAAGATAGCAGCAATGAGAATGGCAGCAAGGACACCAGTAATGCTTGTTATAACTATGATAATTATCATATTTGAATTAGACGTAGTTGTCCCTCTCTTTTGATTGGAGAAAGGTAAAGATTTATCAATAATTATAGTCACATTAGAAGTTACAGAAAGAGGAGTAGGAGAGCCATGATCTCTCACTTCGACCGTTAATATATAGCTAACGTATTCAATATCGGAGAATTCTACGGAAGTCTTTAGCCAACCATCTTCCGATAGCTTGAATTTGTTATTATTATTCTTTAGAAAATAAGATAATTGACCATTTTCTCCATCATCTGGATCTTTTGCTCTTATTCTTACTATCGGATATCCAACTTCAACGTACGATGAAATGCTAACCGTATTATTATAATACACCGGAAATATAAATTTTGGTTGATTGTCATTGACATCTCTAATGCGTATCTTCGCCCTACATTTGCCGATTAATTGCTTTCCAGTATCCCCCTTAGCTAGGATAATAAGATCGTATTCACTCCTATCTTCCCTGTCTAACCGTCTATTTGAATATATTTTGCCGTTGTACTGGTTGATAAAAAATAAAAAATTGGGATTGTTAGCTTGATCTTTTTGAATTTCATATTGAAATTCACTAAAAGCAGGTGAGTCCTTGTCAGAAGCCTTAACTTCTCCGATTTCCTCTCCGATATCACCCTTCTGTTCTTCATCAACTTCAAAAATGTAAAGGCTCTTTTCGAAGACTGGTGCGTTGTCATCTACGTCAAGTATCTCGACTATGAGATCGACACTAGAATTCCTTGGGGGACTCCCATTATCCCAAGCTAGAACGGTTATTTTGTAAAAATCTCTGTCTTCTCTATCGAACTTATAATTAGCTGTCACTTGACCAGTCCTTGTATTAATCTTGAAGTATTCTGAGAACTCGCCACTCAACGAGTACGTTACCCTACCATAATCTGAGTCCAAATCGGTAGCATTAACGATAATTATAGGGTGCCCTAAGTCGTTTTCTTCATAGAGCGACGTTTCATACCTAGGTAGCTTGAACTTTGGTGAATTATCGTTGATGTCAACAATAGATGCTTGTACTTCTTTCCGCGAGAGGAGCGGCGGGGAACCCTTATCCTGACAGGTAATATTAAACCTAACGGACGCCATCTCTTCTCTATTGAAATTTGTTACTGTTGTTATTTTATAGTTTTTCTCATTACCCTCATCAAAGAACGGATCTAATAAAAATCGGGAATCGCTTATTTTACAAGAGAAAATTCCTGCATTTCCATCGTCCTTATCGCTAACTCGAACTTGAGCAAACAGTTGATTTTCACCAGCCTCTTCTTCAATTTCTATACGAGAGCCAACAGTAACGACACTTATTTCCGGCCGTTCATCGTTCACGTCTGAAACGTCGATAAGGGCTTGGCAAGTTGTCTGTTTACTGTTAGTAGCCTTATCTGTGACCGTAACTTGAAAGCGTAAGCTTTTTTCCATCTCGTAGTCTAGCTTAGCGTCAGGTTTAAGGTAAATATTACCGTCGCTGTTTATTCTTATTAAGTCTCCGTACTTTTGTTGAGATTCAGCTGATAACGAATATATTAGTTGACTGTTCGGCCCATCGTCGTCCTTGTCTCCCGCCTCGATCTTTATCAAGAGCTCACCGGGATTAAGATTCTCCGGAACGGTGTTAGTAAACAAGTCTTTCAAACAATGAGGCGGATTGTCGTTGACATCCGTGATCTTAACATTGAAAGTGAAATTTGAAGATCTGGCTCCTTTATCGACGCAAGTAAGGATAAAGTTTTTGTAAGCAGCGTTCGTTTCACGATCTAGATCATTTGTAATTATTAAAGTAACCTTATTCGGATTGAATCCGAAAGGACTACCCGGCGGCGTTTGTAAACGGTAGTTGGAAATTCCATTCTTCGGGCTATCGTAGTCGACCGCCTTTGGCAAACTGAATTCATCGCCTATTTTAGCATCCTCAGGAATATCCACAGTTGTTTTTCGCGTTTCCCAAACCGGGGAATTATCGTTTTTATCATTAATGTTAATTCGAACTTTTACAGATTGGATAGCTGTTCCAATCGTTTTTGTAACATGTAAGTCAAAAAAGCACTCTACCTTTCCTCGGCACACGTCGACAGCGTCTCTATCGATAACCTTTGTTGTTGTTAATACACCAGCAGGGCTTAAGTTAAATAATCCAGAGCCTTGATTGAAAGATAGAAAAATTGGCGGAGTCGAACTAGTCGACTTTTTAGTCCTTGATAAATCACCTATTAAGCTACCGGCTTTTAAACCTTCGAAGACAGAGTAGTTAGCCACCTCTTGAGTTTTGACTACTGCAAATAGGCAGACAAAAGCTGTAATGCAAAACATGTTTGCGTTGTAAACGTCCAATCCGGAAAAGGGCGTCGAATATATAGGTAGATAGATAGATATTCTATATAAAACTTCAGTCTATCCGCTTAGAATTCAGTTTACTTTAACAATATCGATCATATTCTCTTTCTAATTCACTGCGGCTGGCTGCCGTCGTCGAATGACGGCCGATTGTAAAGATAGTCGATAGTCACGTGACCGTCCTGAATGATGATTGGTTGTTGTTCTGTCAGCTTCTTGAATATTCATCGAATGGTAGTACGAGGATTGAGGCAACGAGCCGGACAATAAACAATCAATAAAAACAACACTTGAGGTAATCGAGACATATTTTCCTTGTCGTTAGAATATTGGAAGATGAAACACAGAGCGTTCTCGCTCTAATTCCTAGCGACGCGCTCCTAATAAGATAGGCCTAAGGCAGAATAAAAGGTGAGAATGGAAGGTAGAGAATTGTGCGTGCGAATTTCTATAATACAGTCGATGTTAACCTTCGTAAAAAAGTCAATAAGATCTGAAAGGTGCTAAAGTAAACTCATAACTCTCAAATAATAGATCATTTTTCCTGAGGTCAAAATCCAAGAAAAAAGCGACGGTCCGACATTTATTTACTGCTTAAATCTTGAAGGTATTCAACTCGACACGTCTATCAACACAATCCTAATCCGATGACATGTGTTCACTGCCTATATTCAGTCTAGTTCCGTATAAAAACTTTGCAGTCTACCATTAAAAACCATCTAGTTCTACCAAAGCCGATATGTATGTATATATTAGTATATGTGTGTTTGTGTGCGTGTGTTTTTTTTTAAAAAAAAAATTGATTTATTATAAATGAAATACAATAATAATGTATAAATGTTTTAAATATATACAGACTATATGGCGTATAGGTAGATTCTATTTATATATATAAATGTATGTGTAAATTGTATGCAGATAGAAGAAAAACGGAAGGCGTCTATGACATTCTATGTAGAGAATAACCGTCCGTTGGACCGTCTCGGATGTCAACTGCGAATAATTACCGATTTTTGTGACTATGCATTTGCCATACCCCCCACAGTACTTTATATATATAATAAATACATTATCCGAGCACGAACATACGGGGGTTTCAACCACGTCTATGGATCAAATTATACGAGTTAAAGTATGTATACTATACACTTAAATATAAATAGTATATTCATAAGACATGGGTAAACAAATAGAGTGTAATAGCTTAAAATATATATATAGATATTTAATATATATATCCAACTACTTTATATGCTATAACACCTAATAATGAAAAGAAGGAAATCTATAGATACGTAACTAGTTTTCAAGTTTACTAATACTACAGGAAAAGCGAAAGAAAAATACGATTAATCATATATCTCGGAGACTATATAAATACGGTAAGATCAAAAAGAGAGATCTTATAAATACGCTTATTCAACTAAAGAATATAAAGTCATAACCGAAAACAACTTCGATAAAGGCCGATTCACGTCTGATTTGAGCCGTTCAACAATTAACAATGAGTCTTTTATGGATCGCGTCGGTTTCGAAGGAATACGAACAACTCTCGAATGTCACGGCAAAATTAGCCTATTACTGCGACAATAATCATAATAATAATAATGCGTTAGATAATTAATTTTTCATACTATACATCATACATCGTTGATGCCTTAAATGAATAAGACATTTATTCCTCATCCATTCTAATTTTAATATAAATATACACCTTTCTTTCTCTTCCTTTTATTACCATTATCATTAATACATTAGCGAAGGCCTATAAAAACGGTAGAAGATCTCGCTTAGTAAAAACGGTAACAGGTTTCTAAGCCGTCCCCTAAAACGATAGTCAACATTGGAAAAATAAGAAGTACGTATCGAGTAGGAATTGTTTATCGAACCTTTTTTCGAAATAAGTCTTCTGCATACAAGTGCACATAGAAGAGGGTTTGTGACGGAGAGTATAAGTTTGTTTGACTAAGAGATAATTCAACATTTTTTATTCTATACCCTATCCTCGAAACCTGCGCAGTTCAATATTAAGGAAAAAGACAGCAGGCATGTTACCTAATCAAGCCATCTTCTTCAATCTATTAAAAGCTTTAACCATAAACTTCAATCTTTACAATTTTAACCATGCGAAATGAAGTAGTTTAACGGAAGAGGCACTCTTTCAATGACAAAATTGACGGAGGCAATAAGGGTTTAGGAATAGAAAGCTCCTCGATATCTGTCACGTGACAAACGACGGTGAAAATGAGTGCATTACATCATAATAACTAGACATTCGACACCCCCGCATGCGTCAAGAGGTGTGACGGCTGCGTTTTTCTCTTTATTTTATTTACTGGCGATGCTAGCTTCGAAACCCATTTACCTACCTTTCGACGTTTTCCTATAATTCTCCGCATACATATTTAGGGAGTTTGAAAGATCCTTTTTATCCGATCACGTCCACCTATTTGGAATGTTGTTATAATGTTTGGCGACTTGAAGACTCAGATTCGAATTTATATTTACCGTCTTGTTCAAGTTGACCTTTTTCTTGCCGACGCCTATGGAACAGGTGCGGTCAGTCACGAACAGCAGTAATATAATTCCGTATACAATCACGATTTATACGTTTTTGTGTCGCATTCCATATGATAAATATTAAAAATTCAAACAATAACTGTTGGAATGGATGCAATAAAGGGAAAACCGCAACATCCTTTTTTGAAAAATTCTTATCATAGCTTTACTCTGAATTGTTAGCATTATCATTCTTGGAATCTGAATTTTCCCTGATCTATTCCGCCCTCCCCCTATCTTCCTTCTTATACGCCTCGTTAGACTCAAAATATAAGCCAAATAAAGAGGTTAAGAAATGTGGGCGGGATGGACGTTTCGCCCTAACAATTTTAAACCCAATTTTTCCCATCATTCATTCAATTCTTGACGCGTCTAGCGGCTACTTACTAAGCGCTACATAAAATATAAAAGGATACGAAAACATATTCCGATTCGACAATTCTACATCAAAAGGCCGCCTTCAAAGAGAGGCGAAATTAGAAATCGCCGCCGTTCAAGTATTCAAAAATAGAGGGAAGGCGGAGAGCGAAAAGAAGAGAGGAGACAGTGCGACAGGCTATGAATTTTACAACGCCTCTCCTATACATTATGTAATTATACGATTCTTCGCAGCGTTCAATAAAAGAATCTTTCCCCTTAATCGAATCGGTCAAAGGTCGTAAGCAAGCGGGCGACAGAAGCGTCACCTCTTCCTCCCCATCTTCTTCGTTAAGTAAAATAGGGTTGAGGTTAGACGTTGCTCGGAGCAATAAACGATGGGGATTTTTTCATTGACACAGACCTTTCCCGCCCACCACTTTGTACCAAGTTTTCCGGCCTTAATAGCAATACGAAACCGAAACTAACGATAACCCAAACGGATAACGTTTCGGCTAAAAGCGCAACTGATCTCGAAACATATTTCGAGTGCTAGACAAGCTGTTTTAAAGTGGAAATTCGATACGATCTACACTTTACGGACACATTCCTTTCATAAAAAAAGAAAGGTAGAAGAGCGACTAGTAGAGTTTCATAGTAGCAATGTATTGAAAATATACTAAACGATGTTTAAAAGAAACTTTAAAGAAACTCGTAAAAATTTCATTTATTTTTCACACGATACTATAAAACCTTACTATTCGGAATAAAAAGGTGGAAAAAAATGTATTTAGGTGCAAAAACTGAATGGATGAAAGGAGAATTCAGGAATCTAGGATATTTTTTAAGTAAAAAATAAAAAAATAAAAATAAAGTATAAATCGCACAGATGTGCTTTCGTATCTTATAACGCCTCGTTGAACACGCGAGTCATTGTAAAGGCGAGGGAAAAGAGGTAAACATATTTTTTTCACATTCCAAAACCACCTCCTCTAACAAAAATAAATAAGGCAGATACATAAACTATTGGGAATAGACCGCTTTTTTCCTTTCTACACTTCTTATCTTATTACGTAATATTTTACGGTTTCTTATCATGATAAAATGCAATCAAAACTCTATTGCTCTAGCAACCTAACTAGCATCCGATGGCCGAATTAGTGTTTGATTAAGAGATTTGGGCAACTAGTGAGAATAAGACTTTGTTTATAGTCTTACGTACCGATTTATCAGTATGGGAAATACGATGATAAAGCGTCGTATAACGATTGTTGTTTAGTCGGTGGAATTAACAAAAAAGAAAGGGATTTAAAAAGTGGGTGGAGACGCCTTTTTGTCTGTTAGAATAGACTCTTTAAAGCAACAGGTGACGTATTCCACGTTGCCCTTTGAAAAGACTAACAGAAATTAGTTGCTTTTTAATGATAATAGACAGAATCACGACTAAAACGAAAAGCTAATTATTGAATCCGATAAAGGGTGGGAGCGTCGATTATTACGTGACTAGGGGAGAAGGGTGGGGTCGGCATTCCCTCTTCCTTCCTATTTGTACCCTCTCATCAAGAGGAGAAAAGCTCTGTCAGCCGTGCTGTTCTAATGAAAACATTATATAACTTACGTAAAAAGCGTCTAGTTTTCAAGTAACTCACTAGTACTTACTAGTTCTTTGGCTACTTTATGCTCTCAAAAAAAATCCCGTTTCCTACTTAATTAAATCATTACATAACATTATATAATAGTATGTTATGAACAGTAGAATTTTATTACAAATAACTTAATAACATGCCATTATAAAGGGAAAAGGAAGAAGACAAGACGGAAGGAAAAGAAAGAGAGAGAGAGAGAGAGAGAGAGAGAGAGAGAGAGAGAGAGAGTAGGAGGGAGGAAAGAGAATGAATAATAACCATAAAAAAATAAAAAGTTAAATTAAACTATTAACCCAATTTCTCTTTATAAAGTTACAAAGTTAACGCTGTTTCTCCCTTTTTCCCTTTTATTAAAAAGAATAATAAATAATTTTGAACAAATAAAAATCCAGAAGTAAAACTATCAACCTTTCAAAAAATAGACGTCTCATAAAAATTGAATATTGAACACGTTTTTTTTATTATGAAACTTTTAAAAAGAGGGTTCAAAGTTTCACAATCTTTTAAAAATGTCAACGGCAAAAATGGTAGTTCATGTAATTCAAAACTACGACTTCTTCCCCTTTTTGTATATGTCTAAATAAGAAATCGTTTAATAGAACAACAAGGGGCTTCTTTAAAGCAATGCGCACCGTTTAATGCTTCCTTTTATCTCTTTTAAAAAGAAAGCAGAGAAGTATAGAGAGGGCAGGGGGTATGGAAGAGTATACGGAAAGGGAATTGAATTGAAAGGAAAATCGGTACCAGTTCGGCACGCGTTTGGGTCGTATCCTATGAAGGAATCTCGTCTATCTGGAAATCTAAGGTAGTTTATCTTAAGAAAATTAACCGAGATAAGTCTTTATCGTAAAGGAACAATGCATTTAGAAAAATGGCAGGTGTGCACTAGTTGATTCTAATTTGTCTTTGTACCTTTTCGTAATTATTTCCTTTCTTTCAACGCCTTTTTGCAATATCTAACCATCGGATAGTTTGGAATTTCTTGCCGTTATAAATACTTGAATAAATTCCTAAATTAGCCTCCCACCGACTCTCGCTCGTTAATTCCCTTGATTTTATTATAGGATTGGGCGCATTCCTAAGCCGTATCTAGTCTTGAAGAAGAGGGTGGGAAGGAATCAAGTGCAAAATATTGAGAAAACGTGCCTTTTAACATCCGTGCATATTAGTAAAGAGAATAGGAACTTTCGCGTACCGGAAGTAATACATAGGTGAGACGGAAGACTAAAAGGGATAGAAAGCTAAAAATGTATACAAATGTATAATCCGAGCCGGTGCACCGAGAATAAACCCACCCTTCTCTGTTCTCCTTTCTTCCCTGAAAAAATAAAAAAATAAATAGAAACGGTACACCGCCTTTATCCAACATCAAATAGGAAACCCGGCCCACCGACGTTCAAAAAGGTAAAGTAAGAATAGACTGGTATCTAGGGCAACAAACGAACGGAAAAACAAAAAAAAGAGAGAGGCAATGAGTAAGAAGGAAAGATGAACATAAAAAGGAATAGAGAAGAATTTTTAATCCTTTGTTTTAAAACCGACAGTATTAAATACTTTTTGATAGAAAAAAAAGGTATTCGTACTGTTTATACTTTTATAGTCTCTCATTTCTCTTATCTTACTTTCTATTTCTCCCATTTCCATTCTGTCATTCCCTATCTATCTTTTTTTGTTGCGTATTTTTAACCTTTCGTCTAGTATTTCAGACCAAAAACTTTTACGGGAGGGGTGACATTTTGTTAAAAGAGGGTTTTATCACTTTTTATGTAGATATACGGATCTATTCCGGAAAGGCGATAGTCCCTATTGCCCGTAAGCGAACTTTGAAAATCCTCTGAACAAATAGTATGCTCTTTAACGCGTTTTTTTTCCTCAATTTTATTCAATCCCTTGAATAAGACCCGGTTTAAAAAATAACAGCCTTATCCCTACTCACACCTATTCCTCTTTTCCTTCCTATTCGTTTCAAGTTTCTCTTAAATTTTCGAGTTTAAAACATAGTCCCCGCCCAACCCATCAAATTTCTTTACTAAAAATTCTAGTATAGTGTTACTATTATTGTTATTTTGTATATTTCTAAAAAATTTTTATAGAGCATTAAAATGTAATTAAAATAGAACCCCTGTGAATTTTTGTAATTAACCTCTCTGAGGTAAACATACAATATAGTGTACACACTTTTACATACATGTGTTGATTCTAAAATAATCGTTTTATTTAATAGTTTTCTGTATTTGAAAACATTAGAGGGAGTCTAGTATACTATTGGTAAAACTATTAATATACCCGGCTACGAACCGATTAGAATCTCAAATATAGTTACTTATTTCTCTTTTTTATGTAAAATTCGCCCGAAAAACTTTAAAATACAAATTTACGATATGCGTTAAATAGTTGCATATATGTTTATAGCATGTTTATAGTCTATAGTTTTTTTAGCATCGTTCAATACTATAATAATAAATATACTGCGATAAATTGTAAATTATATATATTACTCCGTGAAATATTCAAGGGAAAATTTAATCTTGTTTCATTCTCTCTCTTCTCTCTCTGTCTCTCTCTCTTTCTCTCTCTTTGTCAATCGCTAACTAAAATCTACTTTATCAAATGAAAGAAAATATGAATTGATTGAAATATTTGACAATTTTTCAGGCCGATCTAATAACGCTAGTGTTAATCATACTGGAGAGGATAACAAATGCAACTTTAAATAGACGCATTTGAGCGCTATTCTTCGGTCAAATAGACTGAATTGGCATAATTTTTTTTTCACTACAACAACTACTATAAATTAAACTCGAAATAGCAATATAAACACAAGTATAATGTATTAACTGAACTATAACGAAAATTTTTGTATTGGCGAGTTTTCGTTTGGTCTCAAATAACTTATAAGTATATTGTATTTATTTATATAAGAGGTAACAGATGAGAGAGAGAGGGGGGGAGAGAGAGTGAGAGAGAGACAGACAGATAGACAGACTATGAAACAGAGAGTCTTAAGAGAGGGAGAGACACGGAATAAAAAAGAGAAAAGTAAAGACAACATACAAAGTAGGCATAAGAGAGAAGGAGTGCGGGAGAGGGAGAAAAAAAAAAGAGAGAGAGAGAGATGGTATCAACCAGAAAAAAATAAAGGCCAATAAAACTAACCCTAAAACTTCTTTCAAGTAAATTTTTTTTAAGTTGTTACTGTTTAAACTAATATTCATCAAATCAACTTTTCCATTAAATATATAATGTTTTGTAACTTTTTATTATTTAATCCGACTTCTTTTTATATATATATGTATATAAAAAACTAGTCCCAAACGATTAATATAATCGTTTCTGACAAATAAGACAAACATTTTATTATAAATAATGCTTTCATATGGGAAGTTTATCAATTATTCCCTCTTTTCTTTCTGAAATTCGATGGTGTAGATAAAAAAAAGGCGGGTTATTTAAGTGATGATGAAGAGAAAATGGCGGTAGCTTTTGAAGAGAATTAACCCATTTGCTTCTAATTCAAAACTCCTTTGATGTTACTGTAAAAGTAGTTTATATGCTAGTGGTACAAGAAATTAGTTGTATTACTTACATGCCTAATTGGGCCTTCTATGAAAGGATCGTATACATCTTCAGGAAGATCGGTCAAATTTTTCAGATCAACTTCACTATTCATACCGTTTAAAACGTTTCGAATATGCTTCCTAATGAGCTCAGGATCGTATCTTCCTGAATTAACGACATTCGAACAGCGTGGTAATTGATTAAAAGCCGAACAATCTATATTCTTATTTTGTTTATATTGTACAAGGTCAATGTAATTGCCTTTCGTTTCTGGCCCTTCTTCAAGTTCTTTTCGAGTGCAAGGATGGGATCCCATTTCACTTTTTTTCCGACAAATTAACCTTCTAATTTGCTTTTCACTAAATCGATCTCCCGGACTGTAAAGGAATATTTAAACAATACAAACTCATAACTGAGAACGCATACAGGTATTTAAAAATATACAAATATTACTATGGCATGCTTTATTTACTTAAAACAATCTTTATCGGCAGGAATCCAACATTCGTCGGTAGATTCCCAACTAGACCATTGGGGAATTACTCCGGTATATCTATTACATGTCCTACCACTGTAATCCGGATTACAAGAGCAATTAAAAGAAGATATCGTATTGATGCATACACCTTGATAGCTACAAGTCGGAGAATCCCTTCCGTCTGTTGAACTCGTACCTGAGCAATTTAATCCATTCTTTTCGCAAGTTTCTTCCGGTTGGCATTCATTAACATCCTCACAAGATGGATTCAAATTCCAAGCGTTACCCTAAAAAAAACAAACTGATAAAATTAAATGTTTACCAATTACATTCTCCTTAAAAATTGGTGTTTTTTTAAACTAGTAAAATCACTTGAAGTAGGCTTAATTTTAGTTAAAAAAAGAAAAGAGACAAATTTGTCTGTTGACATTTCTCAATAGCTATATCTACTGAAATTAAATATTTATAAAATTATATAGCACTCACAGCAGTCCTTCTGGTAATCATACCGTCTTTACCATTACATATACAACGAAACCCGAATCTGGACTGAACGAAATGTTGACATTGACCATATTGGCATTTAAGATTATGAAACTGATGACTAGGTTTTTCAATTTCGGAGCAAATATCAATTTTCGTTTCGCAAAACTTGCCGGTGTATGAAGCATGACAAACGCACTCAGGTTTATCGTTCACCATTTGGCACTTGCCACCTAATCCACATCCATCATCAATGCCATCTCCTTTGTCAGGACGCTTGCAACCTTTCGTCGCTTGTATTTTTTCATCTGTTTTTTATCATAAATTTGTTAACGATCACAGTAGGGGGGTGGGGCAGCCCTTGAGCAAAAAAATTAGATAGACGAGCATAACCCTGTTTTCTTCTGAAAGGCCTAGTATTGCAACAACTTTGCTCTAAATTGACCATTCTTTACCAGCAGGTACGCCCCGAAAAACATATACAAAAGACTTATTGTAATTGAAAAAAAAGTAATACCTGGAAAGCAAACAGTCCGTTTGTATTGGCTTATTTCTTTGTAGCCAAATTTGCACATACAAAACACTTGTTTGTCAAACAACGTAACCTCAGTTTTATTATCAATAATAAAGAATTTTGAATGATAATCTCTAAAAAAAATAGCTATAAGATTTTCTGTTCAATTTTAAAAGATCATAAGGGAAAAAAAAGAAAGAGGTGAGGATAAAGAGAGAATGAAAACATACTTGAAAAAGGGCCATTCACGGTCATGTTCATAGTAATTTTTAATCACGCTATTCGATTTATTATATACGCTATAGCATAATTCAAAACCATATTTTTTTACTTCTTGGCTTGCATTTACCTTTAGAGGATCGAGAAAATTCTTTCCTTTATCTTTCTCCTTAGACTCTATTGGTAAACAAGCAATTTTCTCATTGCACGGATTCGGGCAATGTCGAATACTAGTTTCATTCCTCTCTCTCATAATCCTCTTACACTCAGCGTAATGGTAATAGACAGACTGAAAGAAAATAGCTATTAAGCGACTTTTTATGCATATAATATTCTTATTTATTTTCTAAGTAGGATGTCGTAGAATATCAAACGATGCAAATTTCAAAGGTTAAGAGTACAATAAAACAATATATATTTAAATTTATGAAAATCTTACAAACAACTAATCATTTGTTCTGCCTATTGTAAAATACATGAAAGCCTACTTTATCCTATATCTTAATTTGTCAGTTTACGACCAAAGATGCAAGGCATGCTGCACTAATAAAGCTTTTAAACATGTTCACTTAAAATTGAGGCTGTGTTTTCATCTATGCCTACACGCTTCTGTTTATGCATGTTGGCCGTAAAAGGTATAAAGCATCGTTCAATAAAGTACAGTTAGATAGATAGACAGATAGATAGATACCATTCCGGCCCAATTTCTTAATTGTATGGGTATATTTGAAAATATGGGATCTCCCAGTCTTGATTTCACAAATTTACTTTGAGAATACGTATGCTTGACACTCTCGCGCCTTAATTCTCTCTTATGGTAGGTAATAAAGGTCTGAATAACTTGCCTACCGCTATCCGCCACCCATCCGAGACCATTTATAAACTTATCAGTAGAAATATCTCTTGGAGGTCCCGAAAATACACCTTAACAAAGGGAAATTCCTCTTTCGTATATAGTTCATCTCAGAATACCCGAATCAATTTAGATAAAATAAGAAAAACAACATTAAATAGTATTACCATAAAAGTTTATTTTCTGTGCAAAATTTTCGGACTTTCTACCATTAACCTTTCTGTTCAACTCAAGTACTCTTGATTTTTCATTCAAATGTTGCAATTCAAAAATTTTGACATGATCCGGCATGATATCTCGATCGGAAATTTCTACTCGGTCGCATTCGTAATTACGCTTATCCCATTTACCATTTAGACATGCCTAAAAAAATGTCTAAACTATATAAAGGAAAATATCGTTTTTCAGGTTTTTGCTATTAAAGTTTTGTACATAATTAGGCCCACCGAACTCTTGTAAGACATCTACTGAACGCTTCTTAAGGAAAGTAAGTGCTCTGTTAAATATCAAATGTAAAAGGGAGGGGGTGAAAATACGTTTTTGCCTTTTATATTATTCGAATATAAATACCTCTTCTTGTTAACAAATACTTCACCTTTAGTTAGGGTTAATACGTTCACAGGTAATAATAAAAAAAGTGTTACAAACATTCTTCAAATTTTGACTAGGATTAATTAATTAATTAATTATTATAATAATTTTTTAAATATTTAAAACAAATGTAATAAACGTCAGACAAAATGCTTTTAGATTTTATTGATCTTTACCCGTTAATTATGTCCGAAACCCCATTACCAGAGCTTCGTTTATCTTACATCCATTACCGTGTGGGAATAAAGAAATTAGGAAGCTTTGAAATAGGAGAGGTACGTAGTTTATTACCTTCTACGTTCAACTAATATAGATAAATAGTACATACAGTCTCTTTATATCCTATTTTTACTGGTATTTTAACTACAATGAAGATGTAGATACACAAAATAGAGGTAATTTTTTAACAATTCTCCTTTTCTCTTTTATCCAAATAATAAACGCCCTATTTATCTGCATAGTAGTTGAAAGAATCGACCTTTTCTTCAGAAAGTGAGTAATTGACATTTATTCAATGCAATTACGTTACCTTTGATAAACGAAACGTATATATTTTATAGCCTTTTATTTTCAACAATTATTAAAGAAATACATAGGAATGAAAGGTATTCGAACTGAAAATGTTCGAAAGAATACAAAAAGGAAGTAATTGCCTTATTGAACAAGCTTGTTAATGAATACTTAAATTTTTCTAAAACGTTCGGTTTTGTTCCTCTATCTTTTTAAGTTTTCTTAAATATAAAATATCTATACTAATTTCTTTTTAAAACCTGTAATTTTAAGCAGTGGTATTTTCTTTAGTAATCTTTAATTTATTCTATTTTTACATTGAGCGGGAAAAAGTTATCTGAAAGGGAATGTATATACAAAAAAAAGTGAACGAGTCAACGAGAGTGGTATCGCATTCATTTATTTTTTTGACAAATATTGAAAAAATGCATGAATTGACTATTTGCATATCTTGATATCAAATTTTAATAATAAATATACTATTTAAAAAAATTGAATGTATTTATTTTTTAAATTTGTTAAGGATTATTTTGAGAAATAGAATAGTTTCTACGTTTAAATCAAATTAAGAAACTATTTGTAGTTTGAGATGATTCCTCAAATAACAGTATGTTATTATAATCACTATTCTGTTCGTAATTAATTGGATCCTTTCTAATTAATTAAAGAAAACGAATACTTTCCGACCGTAGAAGAATTGGATATGCTGATTGCAACGGCTGGGTAACCGGTTATCACCTTCAAACTACATCCGGTAGAAGTGATTTATTTAAATTTCTAATGACTTTTTATTTTCACCAATTTATTTGAGATAATCACACTTTATTATATCTAAGGTTTAATAACATATCATATGCTTTGAACGCTAAAACTATTTTAACGTTTGAAATTATGCTACTTTATGAAAAGTTTTTAAACATTTTGAGCGATAATATAGCATTTTATATTTTAGCGGCGATATGGTGAAATTGTTCGTGGGAAATATTCCAGACGACTTATATAGTAATGAACTGAGAGAACTTTTTGAGGAATATGGAACTGTTGAGGAGGCTACCAGGTTGTCAAAATTTGCTTTTGTTGTAAGTGATACAAGTCCTTTCTTTTTATTCTTACGTAGAAAAAAGAATAGATAAGTATTCTCTTTTCGTTTTTTCCCTTCTTTTTAAAAAAAGATCTAAGAGCTTTAAATTGTCTAAAGAAAATTTTAATATTAGCTAATAATCTCCAATTTGGCTTGATTGGAAGCGTCAAACGTGCCTGAACTAAGAACCTCAATCAATAAGCTTGTTTTAAGTTTTGTAGTCACGTAATGTGATCAGGCAATAAAAGAGAATTAAAAAGAATCAAATATTCTGATAATTTGTTCATTGAATTAAAAATTTATTTTTGCAGCATATGCCCAACGAAGAAGAAGCTAATCGAGCCTTAAAAGGATTGGACAAGTACCATTTACGAGGATTTAATATAAATGTTGAAGTATGACTGCAATAGATTAATAATATATTTATAAATACAGTTTTTGCCACTTAAATTATAAATATATACTGTATATATATATATATATATATATATATATATATATGTATATGTATATTTATTATAAAATAGATATCAACAAGCACTGCAGGTGAGAAAGGAGGTCCTAGAAATCGAGGAGATGGCACTCATGGAAGGAGTCGAGGTGGCAACGGCGGTCCCATAAGGGTTGGAAACGGTGGGGGTGGTGGAGGAGCTGGGGGAAACCGCGGAGGCTTTCAATCCAGATATAACCCGTACAACTTACCACCTAGCAATCAGCATTATCAACCACCAGGATACCGCTCCGAATATGAGCGGTATTTCGAAAAGCGACCTTTAAATGACATGGAAAGGCGCTTATTAAATGTTCTTCTTCGCCGTCAAGATGACTTTGACGGTCCTCGCATGACGCAGCAACAAAGTACTCTCTGGGATCCGTACAACAGACCGCCACCTGATGCTTATAAAAGGGGAAATGAAGGGTAATTGTTATATTTTAACCAAAAATATTTCTTTCATTTTTCAGTATTATTTTGAATATTTCCTAATATATTTTGGCTTAATTTTATTTGTTTTGGTTTTAAATATTCTGGAAATTTGGCGATTAACGTGGTTCGTGTTTTAACTAAATTCCCTTTATCTTGACTAAACATTCTTCCAGCATAAGGGGAATTTTTACATCTGATTATTTACCTTCTCTGTTTATCTTTGTCATAGTGCCAATATTGTGGTTAGAATTCTTTGAACGATTTTTAGCTGAAACCCTACCTTTTGCTTTCTCATTCAATATGATTCTCTAAGTAAATTTAGATGTTTTGTTATTACCTTTGTTATTTCAATCAAATAAGTTTCATTTTTAAATAGTCAAATCCATTTTGGTACTACGTATTACATATGAGCCTATCCAGAAGAGCTGATTGATAATAAAAGCCTAAATTGACTAATATTTTTTTCTAGGCCCGGGGGAGTGAGTACATTGACGTCAATTACTGCTTCGACTGCTGCCAATAATACAACATCGGGAATAAATACTTACAGATCAGCTTAGAAATTTCAAAAATATAAAGTTTTATTGCCCAGTCAAAAATTTAGTTTCGTTTTTATTTTAAACAGATATATTGGTGAAACTTGTGAGTATTATGTGAAATGAGAAATATTGTAATATATTTTAGAACAGAACAGAATTAAATCTATAGTGTATGTCAAAACACATTATTATTGTAAATGTAATGTATACAGCATACTTTATAAACATGTTGTATATATCTGTATATATCTCTCTATATATTTGTATATATATATAGTGATGTATAGATATAACAATTGGAGCATTTCCTGTAAAAGATATAATATATCTTTCAAATTTGTATCATGTGATTAATATTTCCATTTGAATGTACCATACTACTTGAAAGTACCAGTGTCAGACTTGCGTTAATGCCTGTTACGAATAATTAATTGATACATTCATAATACATTTCATCTGACACCGTCCATTAATTTATTGACTACTATTAATGAGTAATGAAACATGGGTATGATTTCTTTCCTAGTCTTGAAGAAGGAAATAATGTTTGAGCAACGAAAATTAGTTCTGAAACACTTTACAACGATATATTATTGCTTGTCTCTAATTTGCTGTAATTAAGGGCTTATAATGATACTACCATTGGTAAGCGCCATCTGTGTTTTATTATCTTCCTCTCTTGTGACGTCACGTGACGAAATCGAGGACCTCTGGGTAAGCGGGGCAAATGTGATGAAAGCATATCAATATGTGCTTTGGCCGACATTTGCAACGAATCACCTAAAAAACGATTTTTTCATAAGGATATCCACAAAAGTTTGATCGAAATCTCATTGAAAGACAGTGCTGACAGGTAATAATTCACTCGTGCAGCGGATCATAAAGTATAATTCGATTACGGAAATTTCATCGGTATCAGTGTTTCGCTGACAGAAGGATGTTGACAAAGACAAATTGTTATGTACTAATATACAGTATGTAAGAATGAAGGAAAAGAAGAAAATTCTGAAGTTTCCCAGTTTAATTCCCCAAACAATTGTTTCCATCCAGACTTTTATAGTTGGTTAGGCATAAATATTTCTACAGAAATAGGAAAGATACTGATAGACTTTGTACCAAAAAAAAACCTAAATACTCATTTCTTTTTTTTTAAGCATCATTCTTTCCCCTTTCCTTAATTTTATTAAAGCCGAATAGACTATTTTTTGCAGAATAATCGTATCAAATAGGACTACATCAGTAAGAAAATGAGGCGATCCGTTATATAGAATTGTAATATTCTATTAGTTTGGAAAAAGTCTTATCACAAGAAAAAAAAATCACTCAATTTTGCTAAAGTTGTCTTATGTCAAAGGAAATTGAGGTTTTTTTTTATTATTGTTTTGCTTTATATATACAGTATATACATTCTTCTTTAACTAGGCCGGATTTATAATAGTTGCTAACTTTTGCTATTCGTTAAGAAATTGAACTGTAGATTTTATGTGGATTTTTTATAAAAGAAAGAGAGACACAAAGACAACAATACCCTTCTACACTGTTTATACAGTTGGTGTTAAAAACAAGCGAACCGTCTGTGGCGTTTCTCTGTAACGGAAATTGAAGTATTTAGACGCTTTTTACGATCCAAGCTTATATATAGTTTAATAACATGTGATATAAAGTAACCCTTCTTATGAATATACTGATAGACAGCGTATAATTTATTATATATATATGGCTTAATATAGCAAAAATATAATCTTTTAAGCAAATAGGATATATCTAGATGGTAGTCATCAGTTTAATGGACTTAAAAGATAATAGATTATTAGAAGCTCAAAATCAGAGACAACTTATATCAATAGTGTTAACTATATAAACTTTATCTTCCAAGATAAATAATTTGTTCTAATTAGCTTGTTTTCAGACAAAAGAAAGGAAACTCTCAAACAAAAATGATAAAATTGGAATTTTTTTGAAAAGAACTATAAGAAGGAAGACGAAGAAGGAGAAAGAAGAAAAGAAAATATATAAAAAAAAGAGGAACAAAGCAAGATAGAAAGAGAAAAGCTATAAAACTAGCGAACAAGCTTGTTATAATATAATATTAAGGAAGTGTAATTAAAGTAGTTACGATTATCCTTTTATTTATATTTCTAATGGCCAAGGTTTGTTAAATCTAACCTAAAAACCACATTACCTTACTTTACTTGAAGATAATGAATGTAAAATTATATCATTTCCTTCTTAAATAGAAGAGTATTACGGATCTTCCGGAATCGATAGAAAATTGCTCGCCAGAGTCAAATCTCTCCCTTTCCCCATTATCTCCATCAACTGAAGACGGAAACGGTAACCTCACTCATAAATAGTATATTTACGCACCTTTTATCATGTTTGTTTTATGCCTAAAACATTCAGATAGTAGGAAAACTACTTCGTTCGACGAATTACGCTTAGATATTAACGAAGGTCGGTAAAAGTAATGTTGTTATTCTTCTTAATTTTAAACGAAATCCTTAAAACGATTGCTAAATTTAGAATTGGAGAATGACAGCTTTGAAAAAGACGGTAATATTAGAATTGGATAAGGTAGAACTTTACTACGTAAAGAGACTAAACAGTTTATTTTTATAGAGGAAGCTGTAAATGAAAAGCAGCGTAGCGTTATTAGTCATCTTTTATCCCAAGTTCGTATTGGAATGGATTTGACTAAGATAACTTTACCGACATTTATTCTTGAAAGTCGGTCCCTTTTAGAGATGTTTGCTGACTTTTTAGCTTATCCCGATCTTTGGTTGGCTATTGCGGATGGTCATACAGAAGAAGAGAGAATGATTGCCTGTTTAAAATGGTATTTAACTTCTTTCCGAGCTGGACGAAATCCAGTAGTTGCCAAGAAACCATACAATCCGACTCTGGGAGAAATATTTCAAAGTTATTACGACATGGAATACTTATTTCCCCAAGAAGGAGACAATTCAACCCAAGATGGACCTGTTCCTTGGGCAAAAGAGAGAGACGTTCAAGTAGTTGCCGAACAAGTTTCCCACCATCCACCAATTTCGGCCTTTTACGCTGAAAACTCACTCAAAAAAATGTCGATGAATGGACATGTTTGGACAAAATCAAAGTTTTTGGGTTTGTCTATAGGAGTTTCCCTAATAGGAAAGGCGGTAATTTCAATGCTTGATTACAATGAACAATATACAATTACTTTTCCGTCCTGTTATGGAAGATCAATTCTGACAACTCCTTGGATGGAATTGGGGGGTAAGACTCAGATTACGTCAACGAACGGATTTACTGCAGATATTGAATTCCATACTAAACCCTTTTACGGTAGTAAAAAACATTTTGTTGACGCTTATGTTATGGCACCAGGTGCGGAGTCTAATCGCAAACCAATTCTATGCGTTAAAGGTGAATGGAACGGCGTTTTGGAAGCTCAATGGACATCTTATAGCGGGAAAGCTGATTTTACAATAGATACTAATAAATTAAAGCCTCAGCCTAAGAGAGTTAGGCCGCTCGATCAACAGGATCAGCAAGAATCGAGAAGATTATGGAGGAATGTTACCTATTATTTATCTAAAAACGACGTCAGTAAAGCGGCAAAGTATAAATCTTCGATAGAACAAAAGCAGAGAGACGAAGAGAGAGAAAGAAAAAATATGAATTGTCAATGGAAACCTAAATTATTTCGAGAAGTTTCGACTGATTGGCTCTATGTTAATCAATTGGAAGATCGTATAATTTCTTGTAATAATTAGCTGTTATTAACTACGAATTAGACAACAATAAAGGCTTTTGTTGAGAATATACTACTCAATTAAACCATTATCCTAATCTATATTCAGTTTGTATTGTATGAAAAGATAAAAATTTGAATCCTTTGCCATTTAACAAGTAGTTTAATTATTTATCAATCAGGCATAGATGAATTCAGAATGAGAAACGGTCACCATTTACAAGTAAATTTCATATATAAGTAATGACAATTATATTTCAATTCAATAAGAAAAGATGACACGAAGCAGCGATTATCTAGCTTAAACGTTAAATGGTATTTGCAATTCTCCCCTCTATTTCCCACCTTTGACAAAATTTAACCGAAATTTCGTGATTGTTAGTATACTTGACAGTTGGTTTAGATGTGCCATAACCTTGTAGACTTTTGTGGTGTTGAGGGAGGTGATTTCTAATTTATTGATCAGGGCGCCGGGTCTTGGGGACACCAACTGCCCTTCGTTTACAAAAATTATGCGTCCGAAATCTCTTGATAGCGATTCCGCGCAACGGTCCCTTTAAATGTACGATCGGAACCGTCACGTGCCACTCACGACAAACGCCCTTTTTAAACCCGTTTCAAATAAAAGTTACTTAAATGTATACTTTAAAAAGAAAAATGAAAATTTGCCCTTCATTTGCATATTGAGACTAGAAATGTAATGCGCCATCTCTAGGACATTTAAAAAATGACGATGCCCGCCTATTCAACTCACTAAACCATCGTTATTATTGATTCCTTTTATTGATCAAAAAGAGATTAATTAATACATTCGTTATACAGTATAGTTTTATTTTTTCAAATTATTCTGATTTGGGTCTATTAGATAATTGCCTTGTTAGACGTGGCGTATCTTTGGTTGTTTGAGCAAAAAAATCTAGGTTGTTTTGGCATCTCCAAGCTAATATTTGAGGTAATATAAGCAGTAATAAATTGAAAAACCAAAAATTGTATCTAGGGAAGTCATTCATAGGTACTCGAAGGGGAAACGGTGTTCGATGATGTAAAGATGACCCGATATACGCAAATTGACCCTAAAATATAATAAAAAGTAAATGAAATACTACAAAAATCTACATTAAAAAGTAATTAAAACCTGTGCAGTTGCTCCAGCTAATAAAAGAGCCCAGTCTGGAAAGTAGCTTTGCGAAGGATATATTAGACTATAAATCGCTATAAAGAAGAGTGGTACGAAATAGAAGAAATGAACTAACATCTGAAAGAAAATAAATACGTAAATGACAGGTGATATAAGAAAGGAATGTTATTGCATCAAGTACCTGCATTTTTCCATATGCATTGGGATCGGTAATATAAGGTTCATATTGTTCCAAAAATACTTGGGAAAATTTATGATTTAAACCCATAGTTATCTAAAAAGAAAAATACAAGAATAGCTTTTATCGTTTATAATTATCATATTGTATAGTACTTACAAGACTTCTAAGTAATGTAAACGCTAAACAAACAAGAGTTGCAATTACTAACAAAAGGTCAATAGGCCTTTTCAAGATGTTGGTAGTTTGTCTTTTTGAAGTAGTATTTAAAGGTCTCTCTTTAAGAAATCTCCCAGCACAAATAAAAGGAAATATAATGTATGGCAAATTCAACAGAAAGGACGGTTTAATTTCGTGTTTTCCAAATAAATTTCCAGGTATAAATACTAAAATGCTATGGGCTATCGATCCAGACCAGTATAGGCCTACCTCTCTAAAATTTTGACTGTAACGAAAGATAGAAGAGAACAATTATATTTATTAGTAAATTAACATAATATAAAAGTAAGTATTATAAATCTATTATTAAAATTATACTCTACAAATATTCAATATTCAAGTGTTATTATTAAAAGATCATGTCTTTTTTTTATTTTTGCCTTGTTTGTCAATTTTGACATTTTTATAGCTTAAATACTAAGAGAGGACAGGTGGAGATAAATTCGTACGAATTAAAAGATTATAGAAGTCAGAGATAAAGAAGAGAAAAGAATATAAAAATCAATAAAAATAAAATTCTTAAAACTTAAATAAAAACAGAAATAAAGTAAAAAAAAAAAACTAGAACATTTTCATTGCTTATTTCTATTCTTTTTACGTCTAGTTTATCACATGTAATCTGATTAAATGGGATAGTTATTTTTAACAAAATATTATAATAGGCCTACAATAGTATAATTATAATGTTTGTAAATGTATAGTATACGTATTCGTATACAGTATATGTACAAATGTACTTTAGTAAATCGCTCTTATCTCCCTCTCCCCCTCCCTCTTTCCTCAACAGAGTTTTCTGTTATTTAATTATCAAAGGATGATCAGAATCTATTCTTTAATGCGTAATCTTTCTTTAGAAATACTTAATAATAGATAAATAAAGATATATTTCTGTTCTTATCAGAAATTTCTGTTTGTTATAGATTTCTTACATGTGAAAAGAAAATTTAAAACTAAATATAACAGATTTATCAGAAAGGATTCTTAAAGATTTCTTATAAAATGTGTAAGGTGTATGAAAATCAATTGAGTATCATGGATAACCTATATATATATATATATATATATACAGTATATATATATTTAAATAGACAGATAGACAGAGGGAGGGAGTGAATGAGAAAGGAGAAGAATATTAATATTGAAAAAGACGAAGGAAATCCATAAAAGTATAGATCTGTAAATTCATTATTACCCTTTCATATGCAAAAAGATAGTTAACTGTCTTTTCATTTCTGACTATCGCCCCAACTCAGTTTTCTTTATCATTACTCTTATATAAACCGATACTTACTTCCATGATAGTGCTGCTAACATCATTAGATACATAGCATAATGGGCAATGCCATCCCAATAGCAGATCATGGTTCCGTGAGCACTTTTCAAATATGGTTCCCCATCTTTTAAATAATAGGAAAAGAAACCACTGATTATACCGTCGTTTTCTAAAGCCATTAATATATCGCAGGCCGAAGAAAAAGTTCCCAACATGAAAACTGGTGGAGATTTAAATTCTACGATGAGACTAAACATTTACTTGCATACTTTTCTTACCGTATAACAAAGGTTCATTAGCCAAGGAAGATGATTTTATCACAAAATATACAACTATGCAAAGGCCAATAAGACTTGATGCTCCAGAAACTAGTAGGCCTACTTCACCAAGTGTTTGTGCTGAGAGATTGACAACAAACGAAATTGGAACTGCCGTAAGCGAGAGAAGGAAGACTACCGTTGATGTTGACATCGACATTCTTGGTAATAATGTGACTTGTTTAGGAAAATTCGACCAAAGTTCAAATCATTTATGAGATTGTCTGCTATTGTCCATTAGATTAAAGAATTTCCGTTTCCTACCGCCAAAATTTAAACTCTCATTTCAAAACAAATAACCCTACCATTTTAACCCCATCTGTCGGATTTTTAAAGAAATACATTATAATGATATACTGTATTCAAGGTATAATCAATATTGGGACGAGCCACCTACTCACCTACAGAGCGAAAATGAAGACAGCTCACGAATCAAGTTTTATATTGTTGAATTGACGTTAAGAAGGCAAATCAGAGTTAATTTAGATACCATTGTTAAATAGAACGTTATTAATAATCATGTCGTTAAGAATGGTCATTAAGACGGTATTTAAAAAAATTTTGCGATTGTGAGTATCAAAATCTCAATAGCAAAATGCGTATTTTGTACTCATCTTACTCATCCACACATTACTTCTTTCATTTCTCAAATTATTTCAGCTATTCCAATATTATAGTCAAATTTTGGATTGGAATTTTAATTCTTACAGTGGTTCTAGTTGTAGCCTGTGGAGTTCCAACGTTTCTTACCCAGAAACTTCCTGATTTCACTGAACCAACAAAGGTTTCTATTAGTATAAAAATCTTCTCACTTAGTTTTTACTTTCATTTTTACTATGATTCTTATTATTTAAGGGATTTGAAACAAGAGGAACAAAGATTAAGAGGGCGATCATCTCTGAAGAAAATATTGATACCGGTGGATTAACTAGACCGAGTTTTAATAGAATAAAACGAACAGTAGTTGGGCCAGAACCACCAAATGAGAACTCTAATTCAAATACTGACCTCAATCGTTGCTATACAATCTATAGCGATTTATCATATTTCTATCCGAAAATGTGTTGGAAGGCAAAAGACGATTCGGATCTTTTTACATTGTCAAATTTAAAGAAATTATGCAGGGTTGGATATAAATATTTCCTTAATGTTGGTACCTTTTCGACTCTTTGCGAGGTTCAAAGTTTACCAGTCTATATAGCTAATATGAAAGGATTAAGAACTTGTGAAGAGATTACTCAGAACGACATTGAAGATGTCCATGAAATGTTGAAAACTTGTGCTCCATTTTACTACAATCAGCAGCTAACAATATCTTGTAGAGAGAGTAGAAATTGCCTAGAATCTCTTCCTTCTGCATGTAGAAATAATTCGAAGCACATTTATAATATATTCTATTATTTCGTTGATAAGGATTTTCTTAGGGATCAAAAGAGTGAAAATTTAAAGTTGAAGATAACTTTATTAATAGGTACATCAGGTAATGGCGATCACTTTGAATATTATAAAGAATACGCTGAGGGTAAACAAGAATACGAGAATCTTGAACTAGCTGGTTTAAAGTTAAACGGAGACGCTCGACAAGAGATCTTCAACAAATACATGCTGGAAGATATCTTATTTATAGGGATAGGTCTAGGAGTCATTCTCCTTCTTGTGATTTTATACTTGAAATCTTTTGTTTTGATGATTGCCATTATCTTTCAAATAAGCTTCAGTTTTGTATTCGCTTATTTCTTTTACCATATCGTCTTCAGGATTAAATTCTTTCCGTTTATGAACTTGCTTGGGGTAATTATTCTGGTGGCTGTTGGCACTGATGACGTGTTCGTATTTTACGATGTCTATCTTCAAGAAGTAAAATTCCTAAGGGGACAAACCTTCAGTTGTAGAACTGGCAAAGAGATAAAGAAAGACGAAACTAAAGACCCTGATAATAAAAAATCTGATGACAATTGTGAAGATGATTGTGCCACAAAGGAAAAGGAAGAAAACGAAAATAAAGAAACGTTTGAAGAGAATGTTAATAATCAATCTATTAAAAATTCAAATAGAGATTTGATTAGTAATGAAGATAGTTTGGGAGATTTACCAACGTCTTTAGAAATTGACGAAGTAATCTATAATACATTTAAACACGCTATTTCGTCTATCAGTATAACATCTTTTACTACTGCCGCAGCTTTTTACGCTTCAGTAGTATCGGATATTACATCTATAAAATGTTTTGGTATTTTTTGTGGAACTGCAATCCTTTGTAATCTCTTTTTTATGGTAACTTGGATTCCAGCTGTTGTAATGGCAATAACTGTTATATCTAGAATGTTATCTAACAGGATACCGAAATGTAATAAGTTAATGAAATCGACTGAAGGTATAAGTAAGAAACTTTCTTCCCTTAACAAGTTGATATTTTGTAAGACTTTACCTAAGTTGGTTGTTAAACTTCGGTATGTTTGGATAATTTTCTTCACACTTTTGGGTATATCCGGATTTATCGTAACGTTCGTCACTCCAAAGCTTAAATTGCCAACATCCGAGACATTTCAATTGCTAAAAATGGATCAGCCCATTGAAGCTTGGGTTCATAAATATAAATTGAGATTCCAATATGCCATTAAGAAGGATGAATCCAGATCGAAGAATGGAATGCCTTTAACGATGATTTTTGGTGTTAACGATAAAGATAATGGTAATCATCTTAATCCTGATGACAAAGGGGAACTATCTCTTAGGTCCATTAATCTATTCTCCGCTGACATGCAAAAGACGTATTCGAAAATGTGTGAGAAATTTAAACAAGTTGAATTTTTAAGTAGTAGAACGAAGAATATTTGTGATATAGTCCTCAAAGATCTACGTACTCAATGGTCACAACCATGTGCAGTTGGACAAAACTGTTGTGATTTAGTTGGTCCAATCTATCCTGATAATAAATTTGAATACTGTCTTACAAAAGCTATATATTTTGGAGGATCATATAATAGTATGATACTTGAACCCTTAGGATATTCTAATTCAAAAGACATACTGGCAATAAGAATGCAGTTAGAATTGAATCAAAGTTGGACAAGTAACTATGACGATATGGATAAATTATATAAATCTATTGAAGCGTTTTGGAGCGAAAATGTTGGGGATCGGGGATGGTTCACATCCTATTTTGATTTTTATGACCTTCAAAGATCTTTAAGTCAAGGTACCTATGTTTCATTAGGCATATCAATAGGATTTGCGTTTGCTGTCATGCTTTTTACAACTTTAAATCTTTTAATCACATTCTATGCCATACTATCAATTGGTTTCGCTATTTTCACAACGATCGGAATGCTTGTCTTAGCTGGTTGGGAATTGAACATCTTGGAGAGTGTGGCAATATCCTTAGCCGTGGGTTTGAGTATTGACTTTCCAATTCATTATGGAGTAAGCTATGTTCTCTCCTCCTGCCCTAGTCGACAATCAAAAGTGGCGGAATCATTCAGAAGGGTTGGTTCATCCGTCGCTATGGCTGCATTAACAACTATAATAGCTGGAATATCTGTGTTACCATCAAGAGCTTATTCGTACTTTCAGCTAGGTTTATTTTTAGTTTTAGTAATGATTGCCAGTTGGCTATACGCAACATTTCTTTTCCAATCCTTGTGTGCGGCTTTTGGACCGGAAGGAAGTTTCCTTCAATTATTATCCATTTGGAAAAAATGAATACTTCAGAGGTTCGTTCAAATCAAAATTTCCATAACTTAAATAATATTACAAACAAACATATCAGAGGGCGGTTCTCTCGATATAATTTAAAGTCTTAAATACTATGTTTTTCCTTGCAAATGTGCCATGAAAGAATGTTAATTTACTCTTTTTAATTTGTCAATTCATTTTTAATCTATAGAGAAGAATTAATTGTTTGTTCCCTTTTTTCCAATGTACCCTGCAGAAGGTTTTCACTTTTTCTTTTTGTATCTTAATCAAAAGGCATTTAATATGTTTGTAATAAAATTAACTTACCTAAAGTAAAACCTATTTTCAATTGAATATTGACGTGTCTCCTTTGTCACTTTTTCACTTATATTTCCTAATTTTCTTATGTTTGGCAATAAACTTGTGTTCATATTATACAATACTATTAATATCATATAATTAACAAGGGAGACTAAATTATAAGAATCATTTTTTTCCATCTTATCATACAGTCATCAAATTAATTATAGGAAAATATATTAATTAGATAAAGGTCAATGCATGATACTTTGTGCTACAACAAAATATGATAATGATCATCATTATTGTTTGTTAATCTTCAACCTTTCCTCTCGTCATTTTCTGTTGGAAATATAATAAAGTGAAGTTTCACTATTCTTTCTATATCTTGTCATTAATAGTGCCGCAATTAGGTTAGGTACTCCACCGGAATTGGCGCCTATCATAGTCCCCAATGCTATTAGGTAGGGGGGGTTCCTGAAAAACCCATAGATAGCGTAGATGACAAACATAAACCATTGAACAAGAAAGGCAGCGACAATAAAAGTCATAATTTTAGCAGTTTTATCATATTTTCCTCTGGAGATTTGTAAGTTTTTATACTTGCATCGACGGCTCAATTTAATCCAGATTATTGCATAACAGATGAGCGTAGTCAAAAATACGGTTGGTGGTATAAAACCTGACGCCGTTCTAAAAACTCTTGAAGCATAGGTTTTACTATTCAATGAACACCTGAATAAAATATCATAAAACGGAATAAAGAAGAATGATTACTAGATAAAAAGAAATATCTAACCAGAATCCATCTCTTCCGAAAAAGTTGAAATACGCAAAATTAATATTAAATATTAAGGGAATAACAAAAACAAAAACAAACAATCGCCAATCGTATTTTCCAAGATATAGCTTCTTCTCTTCAATAACCATAAGAAAAGCATTAATTGCAGCAAACATAATTAATAAATTTTGCATAACAGCTGAATAATAACCAAAAAATCCGATTGATGCACAAGCAATTCTAGAAGGAACTTCTCCATCGGTTACAATTGAATAAATTCTATCATAAGTGTAATTTAAGCCGTAGACTCCATCAATTATTGCTATATAGATTATGATTCTTTCATGTAAAGGCTTTTTAAACAATGAAATTTTATTTTTAGAGAGTAGTATCATTATACAGCAAATACATAGTAGAGATATTATGCAACTGCAAAAGTTAGTAAATAGTCTAATTGTAACTTGAATTAGCAACTCTATCATTAGCAATGTTTTCATTGCGCTTACTTACCAGCTCAAACCTATTCCATGGAATACATAAAATTTTGTACCGCAAAGTGGTTGAGCATTATAGAATTTTGCTTTACAAAGGATTGATGAATTTGCATCCATTACCCGTTAACAATCTACATCATATGAAAATTGACCATAAAAGCTAGAAAAATTAAATAGTACACATTAAAGGAACAAAACAATCTTTACATATCTTTTATGGATGTATATGTTTGTCTATTGTATATAGATTTTTGTTTCTTAAGGCAAAGAGGATAGAAAATAAAGCTTACGATCCTCTTTTGCTCCTTATTTTTCTTTAGTAGAACCTAGTTATCATTAGAGTTTGCATAGACTAATAGCACATCTCTTTTACTTTTCTGATTATCATTATAGACCTTTGTAATTTCATAAAAATAATAATTTCTCTAATCATAAGATTGATGTTGTTTTTTTCGTTCCTCCCTCGTCTTCCCTATATTCCTATAAATCTTCAAAACAAAAACTTCTTTATGCTATCCAAGCAAAAGAGAATAATAATACATAAAGGAGAAATTATTCTTTAATAGTTTATGCATGCAAACATCTTATTTATACAAACTTATAAGTATGACGACACAGCAGAGTTCATTGACTCTTATAATATAACAAAATATAATATTTCATCCATACTATGGGTTTTTTGCGGCCGATTAGTTATTAGATAACTATTATATACAGCTAAACGGCTTTGTACATATACGGAAATCAGTAAGAAAGAATAGTAAAGTCAACAATTACAATCAATACTTAGAAATGAATACATCTGCCAGTGTAATAGGAATAGTCTAATGAACAGAGAACGTTCTTCGAAAGGTTAAATGCGTTAAACAATTCACTAAACCTTTAAGTATTAAAGATGAACATTTACATAAATTGTTTTCTATTTGAAATCAATGCGTCTATATATATACCTTATCAATCCGAGAATAAATCTCTATACATCACCTCTACTCCTTCTCTTTTCAAGTAATACCCTTTCTTAACAATCACTAATGACCAACAAAATAAATGAAACTTACTTGCTCTTATTCTTAAAAATTCTTTATAACCCTCTTCTTCTACAAAAGAAGTGTTTTGCATATATGAAAACAAACGAGCGAAGACATTACTTGATAGCGTCTGAGTTTGAAGTGTGTCCGCTGCGAAAAGCGCCATGACTATAAAAGATACAACTACGCCATTAATTCTCGCCAGCAAAAAATGTAATAAATGATAACATCTGTTGATTTTTCATTAAAGGAAAAAAGTGAAAGACAGAGACTTGTCTAGAATGGACTTTGTTAGTTTTCTAATAATTATGAAATAAAATTCATTATGCTAACAAGTTGTTTGTTCTTCTTAAGAAAAATACCGAGTTTAAAATCTTCCTTATCGGCTTAATTTGATTTTTAAAAGACTTTTAGCAGTGTTTACTAATTTCGAAGATGAATAAATAGTCACTTTTGCTTTTATCAACTTAAAAGAGTACAAATAAAAAATGTAAAGATATTTGCTAAATGTTTACAATTATAAGAAATAGTGATTACGGCTGTTAAAGAATTTTATATTAATAATAAACTTGACAATTCTGTTTACTCTGTTTTATTTAGAAAAAGAATATTACGATTTAAAGCAACGTATTAATTTTTCGCGACCGGAAGTTGTCTTAATTATTTTCGTATATTAGGGTTTATTCAAATGAAAATAGTAGCTAAACTCATTTTTTCGAACCCTTTACTATTTAATAAAGCAAAAATCTAATAAACAGTTGGAGAAAAAAAAACATGAAAAATAAGTGCGGTATTAGCATTTCAGGACGCGAAAACATGGCAACGGCGATGAAAAACCCTCACACCCAGGCGGTTTTTACGAATTCTTGTGTAAAAACTGCACCGACATCTGATAATGGAGCAAGTAGGGTTATACAAGATACAGAGTCACAAGAATTCGCAAGAACTTGGAATGAAGAAGACTTATATGACGATGATTACGACTCAAATGATTTACGCGCCACTACGAACGCGTCAATGCAAGTCGATTTGGCAAACTTAACTGATGATGAATTTTATCAGAGACTTGTCAAGTTGAGGTTGGAGCACAAAAAGACACTAGACCTTTATGCCAAAATGTATAAGGAAAAGGTAGATGGTGAAAGTTTGTCAGAATCGCAGGAATTTGTAGATACAAGCAGATCTTTTGATGCCGGCCGACCACCAACTGGAAGAAGTCGCTCGAGAAAGGTTCAAAGATCAAAAAGTCCCACCAGATCCCCTTATGAATCAGAAAATAGTCGGGGTGCAAGTCCAGTCCAGGCACATCGTTGGAAATTAGTGCCCACTGGTAATACTGCCAGTCGCGGTTACGAAAGTGATAATGGATCCACACAAAATAGACGACCCAGGTCCATTTCACCCTCCAGATCTAGGAACTCTAGAAATAGATCTCGAACACCAGATGGTCGGCATGCTTCAAAGTCTTTGATTGAAGGCATGTGGAACGATTTCTCCGTTTCCGATTACGCTCCAAGAATATCTAGATCAGCATCACTTTCAAGGCTTTCCTCAGCTTCTGAATCGTTTCAGAAACGTGAATCAGCTAAACGTATGAAATCTGCTAAACTAAACGCCTGGCGTCATAGAGTGACAATTCCAAAACCATTCAATTTGACGGAAAGTAAAGGTGTCAAAACGAAAGCAATGAAAGATCTTGACGATGCACGTGACGTAAAGCTCAAAGAAGAAATGGCCGAATGTAACAAAAAATTTAAGGCTATTCCAGTACCCGCTCATATTTACATACCTATGTTCGATGAGATTAACGAAGAAAAGGAGACACGAAGAAGACTCTTCAGAGACCATTGTCATAGTTTGGCAAAATCCGAAGAAAAACCATTCAAATTTATGAAAAGAGAGGAAGAGAGAAGACGCTACAAATCTGACGTTCATAAGTGAGTAGAAAGATGAATTATGTTTCATCTTTATTGTAACCTTTCTTCCTGTTTTCTTTAAAAATTATATATCCTTTCTTACAGATGTCTGACAGAAGGAGAAGTACTACCAAAGCATAAATTCCATGCAAAACCATTTCCAAAACACATGTTTGATGGTACTCAAGAAGAGAAAATAAAGGAGGAAGAAGAGTTAAAAAAGATTAAGAAACATATGAGAGCCAAAGAACTACTTAGAGAATCTTCCCTCCCAAGAAGTATGGCAGTAAATGGACAAGCCTATGCAGAAAATAGATATCGCACAGCAAAATATGCAGAAAAAGCTAAAAAATTGGGAATTTCATCGGAGACCGATTTTAAACCTCGCATCTCCAAAACTGTACCAAATTTCGAAAAGATTCATCGTAAACAATCGCAAAAAGACATGAATTGTCATCGTGAAGTGAGAACTTCGACTGTTTGTAAGCCATTTAACCTGAGAACTTCACAAATTCCGTCCAGGAGGGAAAAGATTTACGAAGATATCATGAACGATGAAAGATATCTTTCAGAAAATAGGTATGAAGATACTGATTGCTGGAATTAATTAATAAAACTCTTATTAACCATATGTTTAAATAGTAATATAGTTAATTTATATTTATAACTTTTACTCCGAAAATGTCGACTCTTTGAAATACATAATTAATAATGCTGTCGTTTTACTATAGATGGCCGTTTCAAATGACGCGATCGTCCACACTATCTTCATCAATTGACTTTAAGAACTCTTCCACTCTTAGATCAGCCATGTCCACTTCATTAGACGCTATTCCGGCAAAAATGACCTCAGCTCATGAAAAGAGGATTACTTCTGCCAAGTTGGAATACATTTGACATTCCATAATTCATTTTTGTTGATTTATTCATTTTTCACTTCTAGAACAAAACAAGAACAGGATAGGGAAAAAGAATTAAGGAAAAGAAAAGAAGAAAGATCAAGGAGAGAGAAAACTAAAGAATTGGCAAAGGTTGTTCTGGAAAAAGCAAAGGCTAATGATAGATCTGTAGATCTAAAGTCTTCAGGGCCAAATAAACTTAAAGCGCTAAAGTATACATCTTTAAGATAATAAGCAAACAAATGCCCTTTTAAATCTAATATATTGATCATTTCAATTTACTAGGGCAGCTGAAAAGCAGAGAATGAGAGACTATCAAGAACAATTGAAAGAAATGAATGAAAGAGTTAACTCTAAACAATTTCTTTTTGAAAGGACCACCATGGTATATTTTCAATTAATTTGCATATACCATAATGATAATTTTAATATTTGTGCTTTAAACAGAAAAATGCAGCTCAAACAGCCGACAGAAGATATAATAAACATTTATTGGAACATGGCGTTCAGCCAGAGACAATAGAAAGAAATGCATCCAAAAGATACGCATTCGAATCTGACTATGGTTCGGAACCTGCAGATAGAGAGGATAATGACATTCTCGGACAAACTTTCGAGAAAAGCCACGATGAATATTCGGTTGATGATAAAGATTATGATGATGAAGATTATGAACAGGCGTCTAAGAAATATTCAACCGCAGAAGAAAGTTCATTAACCGAGTCGGTTGAAGATGTTTCAATTGAATCAGGGAAAGAAGCTGCTCTCGAATAATAAATAAAAAACAATAGTAATAAATAAGCAAACTCTATCGTTTCGTTCATAAGGAATTGTACATGTACAATATGTTCTTTGTTTTATTTTTGCATAATTTGAATAATTCCAATTCTATGACTAACACGATTTCATTTTTTTATAATTCAATGAGACTTTCTCATCTTTTCTCCTTCTTCTTAGATTGAGAGAATAAGGCGTGCTCTTACCATTGCTGTCCCATACCGCCCCCCATCATTGGATCTTGTCCCATACCCATTTGACTTGGTTGCATACCCATACCCATACCCATATTACTTTGTCCACCCATACCAGGCATACCTCCCATACCCATATTACTTTGTTGCATTCCCATTGGACCACCACCCATACCCATATTACTTTGCATTCCCATTCCTCCTCCCATCATACTTTGTCTTTGCGACATGCCGCCCATAGTGCTCGCAGTAGCCCTTGGTCCTCCCATCATACTCGCAACTTGTCCCGGCATACCACCGCCCATAACACTTGCCGTTTGAAGAACTTCTTGAACTCTTCTTTCAGTCGCCTCTTCATCGACAACTTTAACAACAGCCGGTTGATTAGGTCGCATACGTCTAATACAAACAACCAATAAATAAGTAAGTGCATAACCTAAAATGGACATAGCAACTGCGCAAGCAGAAACGATTGCCGTAGCCTGTTGAAAGTCTTTTCCGGAAGTATCCTTACCAAAAGCAGTATCAATAGCGTAAGAATAAGAGATAAGACATAGGAAAACAGTAATAATTTCTATCATTTGTACTGATATTCTATTTTTTCTTTACAAACAAAACTTTGCCTCTTTTTTATTTCTATTTTTTCTATTAAATTAATATGATAAATACACTTTTTGATGAACTTTTTCAATATTTTAAATGTTCTTTAAATTAATCTAACACTGTTATTTTTCTATTTAACATATTATTTATTTTAAACTTTCATTACGTTGATTTTCATAATGTTTGTCATATTTATTGTTTTCTTTTTTTTTTAAATAATAAATATATTTATTCCTAGGCCTATTTGATTAATTATTTCTGTAACAAAAGGAAAGAGAGTGGATAGATAGATAGAGAGAGAGAGAGAGAGAGAGAGGGGATGGTATTTTAAAAAGTCCTTTAACCCTCTGACCTCGCTTTCCCACGTATAAAACTTTGGAATAGTATATTTTTCTTATTTTTTAATTGATTAGATAGATATTCTTTTTTTTATCTTTTTATTACTTCCCTTCTTGTCTTCTTCTTCCTCTCTTCTTCTTCTTTCTCTTCTTCCCCTACTTTTACCTTTACTATCTAAAGAAATGTGGAGAAGAAAGAAAAAGGAAATCGTTAACTTTCGTTTTTTACTTTTTTTCTTATTTATCGACTAATCTAATTAATACGGATTAAAGATAGTTTTTTAAAGAAAGGGAATAACGAAAAAAGGATTAAAATAGGTCTACTAGGGATTAAAAGAAATCCTAATTTAGTGCGTCTGTAAAACCGGTTAATTAAACATGGTAAAAAGGGGTATTAGCTGATGTGTTTTACGGTAATTCGTTAAAAAGACGTTTACCATTCGTATAAACAACATCAAACTAGCTTGATAGGATATTTTGGCATGTATGTTACAATTTTTTAACGGGAATATATACCCTAATTGTTTTTTCTTTTGATAAAAAAAATATCGGGCACCTGGATTGTTTGTCTTTGACGGATCTAAATATAAACATTGGCTCTTTCCTGTTTTTTATCATTAACCCCATTGATTTTATTTAAGAGTATAAATCTGTCTGCTTCCTTTTATTATCTACAATTATTGAAAAATTAAGAAGATTAGCTATACTAATTTAGATAAAAGATAACAAGAAAATAAAAAACATACCCTCAATTGATTTATGATCACTTAGCTAATTGTTTAAAACCATTAGCTTTTTTGTTGATAAGCCTATAAATAATATATACATTTACCAAAAAGAAAAAGGAAAAGATAAAAGGAATTGAAAAAAAGAACTTTGTATTATCGAATAATTGTTAAAAGTAGAAGAAAAGAGGAAGGGAATGAAGAGGAGGAAGAAGAGACTCGTAAACAGTTTTAATATAAAAGAATTTATTGCAATTTTAGTTTTATGACAAGTCATAAATGGATAATTTAAATCCTCTAATTGAATTATATATATATATATATATATATGTAGCTTTACTATAAATCTCCGTACATTCTCACTGAAATATCTATTGAATGTCCCATGTTTTTTGACTTTTGGGAATACTTTTATTTATTTGTTTTAGCTTCGATTTCTTCAACTAAACAGATTTTACTTTTATTACTTTAACACTACTTTTTTAATATTATTTACAAATTTGTTCATGAATATTCATAAATAATATATAATCTATATTTACATATACTGGATTTTAATGTATATAAGAATGAACTCTCTTATTATATCTGTAGGAACGATCCTAATGATATTTCCTTTATAGTTTCTATTGTATTTCATAATGAGTTTAATTATTTCTAATCATGGGCGTCTACCCTTAACGAGCGTCCCGCAAGGTTGAACGTAGCCGGAAATTTTTCTTGGCAGCGGGAGTGAACAGCCCGGAGCTGTAATTCTAATAAAACGTACAAGTAATTGCGTAATAACATTCACGATTAATCTTTGATCAAGTGTATCACGATTACTCGCCTCAAAGTGTACGATATATCGAATCGTTTCGTTAGATGCTTTAATAATCGATGTTTGGTGCGTCTCTTCTTTTATTTATTACGTATTAAATGTGTATGGTTATATTAATGCTAATTACACTGAAGGTCACCTAAGTAAACTTATCTAGTCTAGCTGTGATTTTTAAACGAGACAGGGGACAAAAGGTTAAAAGTAACAATTTTCACCTTCGCTGACCTCTCTTCTTGTCTGATGTAGACACAAAAAAGTGATAAAATCGATATATCTAGTTAAAACTGGTAAAATAGTAATTAAATTCTACTTAGATTAATAAGATAATAATTAATTCTAACAAATAACATAAACGTTTGACCTAATTATTCAATATAAATACACATCTAGTCATGTAAAACCTACTTGAACAACTTTGCAAAGGGAAGTTTCTTCATTACTTTAAACTTTTAAATTTCAGACAAGTTTTTTAAAATGATAATTTATTAGCTTAATTTATTCATTCACAGTTTTAATAGCGCTAAAGGAAAAAGCGTCTAAAAGGTCCTTGAAAGATGTAGATAAGCTGGAGAAGTATTATAAGAATTTTCTAAGAAATTGCGTTCACTTGTCCAATCGTTGTTTTCTTTTCGCGTTCTTTACTTATCTTTACTCTAATTTGCTCTAGGAAAAAGATAAGATGGAAAGGAAACGGAGATAAAAGAAATAAAATAAATGGCGAATGTTTTTATTACGTAAATTATAGAATTCGTAACTTTTCCGCTGAGCTCCATATGGCACGGATTATTCTAATTAAGGATTTTTAAACGGGCGTCCCCTTAATTATAGAGAATGTTCGTTTAGCAATCCTCATAGGGAATTTGCTCTTTCTTTATTTCTATGACCCAATCCGACAAGCAATCGATGCTATTATAAATAGGGAACGGCGAGGTGAGAAAGAGAGAAAGAGATGTGAATGGGACAGAAGGAGAAGAGGGCAGGAGGGGGGAAGCTGTTGACATAGTTTTGGGGACGCCAATATATCCCTACAATTTTTTCATAAAAGTCGGAATTGAATGGATAAAAAGACTATGGAATTTTCTAGAAGATGTTTTTTTTCCTTGGATTCTATTCGTATTGAAGGATTTCCGTGCCCCTTGTTAAGTGGACAATTTATGGATCTCAAACAACAATAGGCCTATTGAAATATTTTTAAGTACTGAAATACTTACGAATACTGAAGAAGCTATTTAATTGGGATTAGCACTCAATTAAACCTTTAAAATCAAGTTGAAATAACGATATTATCTAGTTAGCAAATGGGTGGCTACCTGTCACAAATTAATATAGCTAACTGAACTTTCCAGGAACAATGGACAACTATTTCCATATACTAATAGTAACATTTTATTAGCCTAAGGGAATTTTCCCTGAAGAAAATTTCTTGACGTTTATTGGCCAATTCACAAACGAGATTAGGCAATCGCCTCTCCTCCTTTCTCACCTCCCCCCTCCCATTTAGCCACCTGTTATATCTCCTCTGTCAAACGGGAACTTTATGGGGGTTTTTTTATGGCGTTGATGGCGCCGAGAAAACGCGTCTTCTATTGTCTACTTACTAAACACGTTAAAGCCGGTTTAAGGTGCATAAACAAGGAATACCTTCAATAAAATAAACACTATTTAAATAGTTAATAAACATAGCACGACGAAAATTCCTTTAAATTTATAAATTTGCCGTTAAATTTGCCCCAATTTTCCTGGTTAACATCTTCATTATCTTTAATAATTAAACATTGTAGAATTTTTGAGTACTGCCTCGCTTCACTCTCGTCTTGATCGATTACATAATCAACTAGCATTATGTAATTATTTGAAAGCGCTTGGGGAAAAGAGAAAGAGTTAGAGTGACAGAAAAGGCAAGGGGGGTGGATGTTGGGAAAAAGGGAACGAGGAGGTGATGTTGAAGAAGGAATTGTTTGAAAAGTTGTAGAAAGAGAGATAACGGTCTATTACAAAGCGTATATAGTTGTGGGTCTATTGCGCTTTTTAATCTCAAGGAAAAGTGGGTTATTTAAAAGGTGCCATATCCAATTGAAATTACGTATAGATTGAAGATAAAGACATAAATTAATAATAGTATTTCAATTACACGTCATTTTAGGAGTATTTTGTTTCTTTTTTAGAAAAATAAACATTCTTCTTCTCTACTTTGAAGGTAGAAATGAAGCAATCCATCATATAAAAAGGAATACTCTTAAAGAGTAGATTTTAATATTTACATAAGAGTAATATATGGCCATTTTTCTACCCGCACCGTCCATTTAATTAGCATATTAATGAATGAATTTTCAAAAAAGATTCTCTTTTGTCCCTCGTTGCTTCCGTTTGCGAAAAGTGCATTTTCTTAAGACTTTGGCACGTGCCGAACGCTTTTATTGTTCCCTTTTCCACTTGACATTTCCCTTTATTATACCTTCCGACAGAGTCGTTCTAAAATGCTATATTTCATTAGGTGTACACAAAAAGCCTGTTCTAACTAATATAATTGATACAATTAAGATAAACAATTATATAGGACTATACAATGAAACCTTTCTCAGTTAAACACCTAGGAAGAGATGAAATTGTCATTTCTAAAGAGTTAAAAAAAAGAAAAGAAAGGACAATAGGAACAATCCTTTAATTAATTGGGAAAAACTTGTTTAGTGATGATAAACAATAGAAATTAGTTAGAATAATGGGAGGAGGAGGAGAAAGAGGAAGAATAATAATGACAAGCGTCATCAGGAAAAGTATTGCCTTTCTCCAGAGTTACAATTTTTTTTATCTTATCAATAATCGAAGCGGAAGCGTTTGTTATCGATCAAAGCGTAATCATTTACGGCGTATGTTTTTTTTATTTATTTATAAAGAAATAAGAAAAGGGAGGGAGCCAGAGAGAGAGAGAGAGAGAGATTACTCTTTTCGCTTGATCCGCCTACAAAACTTTTCTCCTCCTCCTTCTCCTTTTCCTTCCTTTTCTTTCACGACGTGTCAAATTTCTCGAGCGTCGCTTTTTTTATGTAAAGTGTATAATAGCACATGCTTCAATTTCCCTTGTTATTTAATATTTCCAAATTTCTATACTCCCTCCCTGCAATCTGTAACAAATATTTGCAGTCGACCGTTACAAAAAACTCATTAATTCCCATTAAGATTATCTGTATTTATAGTAAAAAAAGAACTAATTGAACACACTAAATGTAAAAAGAAACCCACAATACGCTATAAACAACATACCAATAGGAAAGTATCTAAATATAGACTATTCTTAAGAGAAACTGAGAAAATAAAAGGCTTAAGCCTATTCTCTCTTGAAGGTGGGTTAAACAAACTAATGAGTGACAAACGATATTACTAATCAACGGATTTTTTTAAAAAGTAAACTATTACATCACTTTTCCTTTAAAATTCAACTACGCAAAAAACACACAAATATAAAAGATTTTTTTGGTCCTTTAGTTTCGGTTTTTGGTTTTTTTTGGCGGGATTCTTTAAGAGGAGTTGATCTCTTCTAAATATCGGTAGTGTATTGACCTGTAACTTAGGTATAGCGGCTCTTCAAAAACGTTATTCTGTTGTCTGTGACGCTCTTTATGAATGTAATAGGAAGCCAGAGCGGCAGCCGTAGATGCTTGCAAGCAAATCAGATCGAATACTCGGGGAATTGGCTTCCTCCCCTGATGTTTCCACATGACATCAAGCATCGCTTTTAAGGGTGATGGATCAAATATGCCGATAACCGAAATTTCCAAGCTAAATACGTCTATCTTTTTACCGTCAGGGGATTCAACATTAGTGTATCTCCCTCTTCTATAATCTCTCTCCCACTCCATATTGGCTTCAAGACAACAGGAGAGTTCCAGAATGAGGTATTTAGAACCCAAGTCAACTACCAAGTCGGGATACCTATTTTTACCGTTTGCGACGAATACCAGTTCCTCCATTGGTTTATAGTCTCTAAGACTGTCAGCATAGACATCAAAATTAAACCACTGGGTAATACCATGGGCTATTTGCTCAAGAATGGCATCATGTCGCCATTGATATCTACCAAGTCTTGCTGGGTTCTTTCTACTTCTATTCATTGACATTTCACACTTTGAGAGTGAGTGATCAATGTCAGACCGAGTACTACCACATAGGATGCAATCTTCCATTCGTAATTTAACCATTATGTAATTCAAAATAAACTTTTGAACACAAATGGTAAAATACGGAAAGAATTCATGGACCCAATTCCATACGTGGAGGTCTTCTATGGAATATGTTACCAAGCGACGCAAATCACAACCTTTTTTATCATACTTCAGGATGTCGATTAAGCTCTCGTGTATTCTCTCCTTCTCTCTTAGAGTACCAGGGAAGACATAATTGACCATTTTTGGCTTGTAGTTTGTTAAGGAAATCATCTTTTTTTATTGAACGTCCGGCAAGTACGTTGATGTTTAAAAGAATGAAGAGAAAACTTTTCTGCCAGTCGATAGCTTTTTCTCACTACATTTCATTCAGCCACTGAGCGATCATGAAGGGTAAATAGGCTCCGCCTCCGCCTGCACCCCAGCGTATGCTCCAAATTTTATTTACACTACAAATTTAGGCGGAGCTTAATTTCCTATGAGAGGAACCAAGGCAAAAACCTACGTAACCTCCTTTTCTCTCTTTATCAGCGGTACCAACACTTTGGTAAATGATTCGCTAATTGACTTCGCACTTGTTTGACGTCCATTTCAGGGTTGAATTTTTTAGATAAGCAATCACTCCTAACAGATATAAATATATAAATGGTTGAGAAAATAGGAAAGAGAATTGAACAGGAAATGGAAAAGTAGAGAGGAAGGAGTAAAACTGAACACAGAAACTATATAACAATGCTAAGGACAGTTACGTACATATTTTATGACTGTACAAAAAAAAGGTTGTGATTGAGAGGAATGAGAAAGTGAGACAGAAATGAGGAAGGCGGGGGGGGGGAGGGGGTAAACGTTTAACTTTCATCCTTTAATCCTGAGTTGTTTATTCTATATAAAAAAGGAGAAGAAAGAGAAAAGAAAAAAATTTAGCCATCTGTACAGGTGACGCGATCAAAACTCCCGCCTCTTTTGTTGATCGGCGCAAGAGAAGAATGGATAAAGAGTAAAAGAAATCGTAAAGTATACAGTTTTGTCAACAATTTATCAAAATGAGAATAAATACATTTCTATATATGAACAGAGAGTGTAAAAATCTATTATATTCCTCTAAAAGCGTCTATGTCTTTGTGACTGCAAAAACATTCTTGGCTATTTGCCAACATTGAAAAAAAAAGTGTGGGTGGATAGTAAAATGGACAGTTATTATATACCTATTAAATAAAAAAATAATAAACCGCTTTAAGCTTCCCTTCCTTTAAGGAATTTATAGAATAATAATGGAATATTCTAAATTCTTGCGTAATCATTTTTCAAAGTTATAGTCTGCTCTCCTCCCCTCTTCTTCCCTTCCTTTCTCTTCAACTCATCGGCCAGAAGAGATTTACTTAATACTATTATATAAGAGTCATTGTTCTTTTTTTTATGTGTTATGTATACATATATGCTATATACACACACTAAACGACGATAAGAGTGGCGATAGATTGAACTATCTAAAAATAGGCCATCAATAAAAAAAAGAAGGGGGGTGAGGATGAAAGAAAAATGTAACAATTTCAAGCTAATCCGGAAACTTCATTAGATCGGCAGATCTATAACAGAGTTATTCATTACGGTGTTTAGCATCTTATTTAAATAAATTAGGCAAAAATTTTGTAATGAATTACTTAGTAAAGCTATTAATAAAACATTAAAAACAAACATAAAAACAGGGATAAAAGGAAAAATGTTACACTAATGTTGATGAAATCAGATAAAGTCTTCTAAAAATTCCGTACAAGTTGAGAGAATTACCCTATTACGGGTTCTCTCCTAATCAGTTCTTGTTGTTACATAATAACCTGTTATCAATATCTTTACCATTCAGATAGGAATATTAAATGGGATAATAAAACACGTTTCCCATCCTAATTTATTTGTTAGCCTTAATTGATTTTCAGGTTATATATTCAATTTAGGATTATGTTGCAACGAGATTCCCTTGGGCAATATTGGAGAAATATTTCAATACCTTTAAAGGAAACTTGAAAGAAATCGGTAATCCAAGGATAAAATAGGCCTATGGCAACTTCCGATCGGTTTCTTTTCATATTTAAGGAATGGTAAACATTTCAAATAATTTAACTTCAGATTTGACCTACTTTATATATATAAATAAAAATAGACGTTTCCCAAGCTTTCTTAGTGTATTTTTTACGTTGTATAAGCAAATATTATATAATTTATTGTTTCATTTATTTTAGGGTAGTTTTATTAAAATATCTTTGAACTTTAAAAAAAAAAAGAGACGCTTTTTACTTTTACTAGTACAATAAAATGTTACATAGGTCACAACTAAAGAATTTTTCTTGTTTCATTTCTTATTCTGTTACGGTATTAAAAATAAAAACAAAAAAAAATATTCCTAATATTGATCTTTTTCACAAAGGTTAAGGATAACTTTTATCCATTTTTTTCCAATATTTCTTGTAGAGAATGGGAGAAGATGGAAATAGGTAAAGAAGGAGAGAGAGAGAGAGAGAAAGTAGGGGAAAATTAATTATATTTTGTCAACAAATGTCTAATTTCTTCTGTTTTCTACTTGCAAGTGTTTGGCGGAATATCTGTTCTGCGGCGCTTGTTATTCAAATCTTTAAAGAATTCTTGAATATCTTTAGCTTCTACGGTCTAAGTGTGGGAAAAAAAAGAATAAAGATTTTAAGAAAAAAGTATGTAAGAGATGAAAAGACTGTAAAGAATTAAAATTCTTGGCGTCTCTTTTATTTACGTGTAGACTATATAGAAACTTTGTATACCTTGCGTTTTTCAGCGAATTCCTTTAGGAACGTTCCAAGTTTAGTTTTCATATTATTGTAACCGGCGAGAACTTCGTTTTGTTGAACTCTCGACATATTTTCCAGAGCTCTATTCAAATTTCCTTCTTCGCTTGCTGTACGAGTTTTGGCTTTTTCTTCGTAAGCTTGAACACTGTCCTCTGGGTCAAGAAGGAATCCTATACCACTTTCAGTATATGTTTTCTTACAATTTTGACACCTACATAATCCATTACGCCAACCTTCTCTCCAAAATACCGCTTGGGCGGAAGATTTGCTCTTCTTTTTCAATTCATCTAAAATACAACCTTCGACATCAAGTGCCTCTTCGGTTTCAGTATCCTTTGAAGATTCATAGTGAGTGATATAGGGGATGAGAAATGTGTGCTTTTCCACACAACCTTTACAAGTGACTTCGCTGTAAGAATTTGGTGAGATAATAGATCCTTTTAAATCACCGTTCAAGTGTCTGGTGTGATGCCAATCTTCGCATATTACGCATTGGACCATCTCGTCTTCACTGGTATCCTCAGGATCAGGGTAAGGCCGACTACAGATGCAATAAACTCCGTCGTAATTATGATTATAAGTATTTTCCTCATTTTTCTCAGCTTTATCTGGTCTCAGTTGGCATTTGCCAGGAACTTTAGAATTACCGCAATCGCATCTCGTATTGCGCTTTGTGTAGAGTTCAACAAGGTCATGAGTATCGTGACATTCAAAGCTACAAGCCAAGCATATAGCTCCAGAACCACAACTTTTACAGCTATATAATGGCTGACGTTTCAAGTATCCTTCATCATACGTACAAATACGAGCATCGGCTCCTCCTAAAACAGCCCTGGCATCTTCCTCTAGTTGATCCTCTTCCCTAACAATATCATTTAAATTAACAATATCCTCTTCTTCCTCAGATTTGTTCACAATATTCTGTTGTTCGTCATTTTTACTGTTTGCGGTGGCCATTCTGGTGAAGGAGAGAAAAAGAAAATAGAAGAAATAATTACGAAATTATTGGTCATTTATACTTGTAAATAGAAGATTACGCAATAACGAATTACATTATAGAAATGTTGGAAAAAAAAGAAAGATGATCAATTATAACTATATTTTTAACATTAAAATTTCTAAAGAAACACATTCTAAATGTGATAAAGAACATAATCCATTAATAGTTAACCTATATAATATTTAGCATTACTACACAGCTATGTCACAGATACAGTATTTACAACATGTTTAAGAATAAAGTATGAGTCATTGTGCTGTCTCATCAACTTTTGAAGTCTATGGGTAATATTTCTTTAATATGAATATACACACATGAAAGTTTGTAGGGCTAAAAAGAAGCATTTTCTTTATGTATTGCTAAAATTTCTACAAATGTTAAAGATTTGCGTAACGGGCATGAAATCATTAAATCGAAATATATTACATCTATAGAGTAATGATGGGAGAGTTTAAAACAGTAGCAAGGTCAATAATAAATAGATATTTAACTACTAAACACCAGAAAATCATTAAATATCTTTGTAATATAAAAAACAAAGGTAATATGTTTTATAGATATATACTATATATAATACGTGTACAAATTGTACAAATAACTAAAAAAACTCCTACCTTTCGTGATTGATAGTTAATCAACTATATTATCGGTTCAGTTCTATGACACAAGTAAGGACTACAAACTCTACATTGCTCCCTCTATCAGTATAATCTTGAACATTTTATACCGCCACTAGCAACGGTTTCTAATTACAAAATCACGCATCTATAACAAAGTATTGTTAAATCCAAACAACTGAAATATTTTTACTTCCTTGCACTTAATTTTAAAATGAATGATAGAAAAAGTTTAATGTAGCCTCTATTTTTAAAACTATACAATCCCCCTTATACTTCTTTGAGTAAACAAATATTAATCTATAAATAGAGTGTTTTTTCTCTCTATATAACTAAGAAACTAATAAAAAAAATCATTTTTTTTTCTTTTTAATGATCGGCATGAATTTTACTTTCGGCTGTTAAATATAGAATAAAAAGAGTATTAATAACTTGACAATTAACATTATATTACAAGAATTCATATTCACTTAGGAGTTTACTTTTCATCCAAATTATTAATACCAGTTGTATTATATATCTCTATTTTTGGGCAATTAATTAGTTTATTTAAGAAAAATGTATCAAGATGACAAAACGAAATAGGAAACAAAAAAGCCTTTGATGTTTTATTACATTCTACGCATAGAGTGAATTTATTGAAGAGTTGGTACGTGAAAGCCGGGCAAAACAAACCTTAGGTAAATGACTCAACTTATGTAATTCGTATTATTGATAAGAATGTATATCTCTTTCTAAATAAGTATGTAATGCCTATAAACATTACCTAATATTCATGAGGATCTTTCGCTCGCGTTAATCCTTTGATAAGGTATCGAAAAAAAATTACATCATGTGCATGTCCTCTCTTTTTTTTGTTTCAGGGAAAAAAGTAACATTAGGAATTTTCAGGGATTTTCGGTCGTTGACACAAAAAAGAAGATAAATATTCAGTGGGCGTACCTACCCTTTAACACCTAGATATCTATTAAAAAATTTAACTTCCGGATGAAATAAATCTCGACGATACCTCCTAAAGGCGAACACAAATCTTTTTTGTTGCAATTTTAAAGCTAACTATTCGTATCACGTGGAAATAGACCTTCTTTTGATAAAAAAAACTGGAAAGACAGTATCTAATTGATAAACGAACTATAATATAACATACAGTTTTTCAAGCCGTTTCAGCCATACGAAGGTTCTTTATTTGCTTTTTTTTTCTCTTCTAATTTAAGTAGTTTGTTAATCAAAAGCCTAAAAAATAAAAGTATTGAAAAATGGACAAATTCGTTTGCTTGTTTTTTTTAAAAAAAAAACTTTATAAGATTCTTTTTTTCTTTTTTGTTCTTTTTTTAATTTCATTGGCAATTTACGCAAAATATTTAAGCAATTATTTTAGTATTGACAATATTTAGGACATACTTAAATTACTCATTAAAGGTCAATACTGTTTTTTTTCAATACTGCGACCAATGAAGTAAACTGGAACGTTTCCATTCTGCCTTAGCACGTTCCGTATAGATAAAATGCGAACATAGCGTAACGACTTGTGTAATTCTAAGGATCGTATGCTTCATTCTTCTCTTATCCCTGCCGCTTAACTTCTCTCGCTTTATAGCGCGCATGATCTCCTCCAAAGGACTTGAATTGAATAAGCCGAACGAAGAAACTTCAAGCGTATAAATTGTCAACGGTTTTCCGTTCAATTCTGTAAGACCCTTGAACTTATCTTTCTTACCATGCTTGTAGACGTCTAAGCTAAGTTCGTTGCAGACGGTCAATTCTAAACCAAAATATCTTTCTTCGGTTTCAACTATTATACCTGGTAGCTTTCCCTTCATTTCTTCTTCCTTCGTTAATTCATCGATAGGAGGATAACGTTGCAAGTCGTTCGCAAAAACCTTGTGTTCGCCGAATCCCTTTAACCAATCAGCCAATAGACGAGCGACAGAATCATGTCTCCACTTATAACGGTCTGCAGCGTCCTTGCAGTTTGACAAAACATGAATATCATTCACATCAGTTTTCTTACACAAAAAACATTCGTTCCCAACGGACAAACCGTCCGTAAGGAAAGTTAAAATAGTGCGTTGAGCGGCTAAGGCACACCATTCGACATTTTCGCACCATCTTCGTTTATCCAGCCAACGTAGGGATCTTTCAGTCGGCCAACCAACAAAAGCTTGTTCATGAATTGAAATAATACGGTCATAGACCGTTGAATGATAAAAAGTTGGCTTTCTATGAGAAAAGTATGACGGCATTGTTCGAGTTAAGAGACTTGATGGTAAACTGACGTTTTCCTCTTCTAGATAGCTTTTGAAATATACTCAATAACTGCCTGTCTTTTATTTTGAAATATTCCATTTGAGTTCTAATTACTTTTGTAACAATCCAGGTGGCATTGCAATCAATAACCTTACGATATACTATCATGTCAGGCACAAAATATCAACCTATTAAGAGTAATCTACAAGTCTATCCTGTAAGATTTTTGCCGGATGAAGATTTGAAGGAATGTTTAAAAAGATTTGTTCAGGATGCCGATTTAAAAGCTCCATTTATTCTTACTTGTTGTGGAAGTTTGAAAAGAGCGAAAATTCGTTTGGCTGATGCAGAAGTGGGCAAAGATAACAAAACTGTCAGATATATTTTCTAAATTGCCTATCTCTAGACTAAATTCTTGAAATATTTTCAATCAATTCCTATTAATTTATCATAATAGATTACTTTGGATGGCCGCTACGAAATAATATCTTTGGTAGGAACCTTAAATGGTAATGGTCATCTTCATATATCTTTGGCTGATGACAAGGGTCAACTTATTGGTGGGCATGTGGTAAGTGATTTAATCATCTATACAACAGCCGAAGTTGTAATTGGTGAATGTAATGACACATTATTTTCACGAGACACATGTGACAAGAGCGGTTGGGATGAATTGGTTGTAACAAAAAAAAATTAACATAGACAAGATGTTGATGTGCAACAATAAAATATGCTTAGTGTACTACCTAATAATAAAAATCAAATTAATTACATACCTGATTAATTGAAATGAATATGTTTTGTGTCCTTCTTCTGTTACCACCGTTTTGCTTTTCGCGCTTTTTCTCTCCGTTTACGCTTCCATCTTTGATCACAATGCAAATTTTCAATGTTATTTTCGTATTTCAAATAAATTTTGATTATGGTTTTTTTTTTAAAAATAACTATACAAATTTAGCTTTATTGTTCATAAAATCTTTATAATAAAGTAATATTTGAAAAATTACAAAACTGTTCATACCGGAAGAGGCAAAACTGAAATTTTTTAAATTTGTATACTCTACTGTAGTTATTATTTTTACTAATTTTCTGTGAAATGGAAAATATTTAATAAAAAATAGATATTGATTATTGGTTTACAAAAAGCGCTCTAGTCGAATCTACTAGTACTAATGACAGAATCCTTAAGTAATGATAAATATAATTCAAAAAGAGTGGAGCATATGTTGAATCAATTCAAAAGTTACTGTAAAAAAGTATTGTAGGGTATTCATCTGTTTAACTATAATAACGTACCGCTAATATTAAGTTATCTTTGTATCCAGTACTTATTTTTGAATCGTATTTTTTATTGACTCTGAATGACATTCAATGACTCCTAATTTTCGATTTCTCACAAATAAGAGCTATTTAACAATCGTCTTAAGAATTATATCAAGTTGTTCATTATTCTAATAACAGATGTGACTTCAAACATGAAGTAGTTACAAGAAAGGTGAGCCTTTTCTAGAACATGTTTACTTAGAATAAAAGTATTTGACATCCCACTTGCCTCTTTTACATCTGACTTGACCAAAAAATGTAGCCCGATAACATTTTCATTATAATTTGTGTATGCCACTCCTGAAAAAAATGATTACTTTTAATAAACTTAAACACATTCTACATTCTTTAAATATGTTTTACATTGGCAGTCGTTTAATTTTATGAAAATAGTTTCTAGCTCTTCTTTTAAGCCTTCAAGACCAATACTCTGTATTGCATTTATCAGTAAACCATGAAACTCTGGTAATGTTATATTTGATTTGCTTTGTAAAATATGATTAAGTAGCTTATAATTTATATAGGAGTTAGTATTTTGTTGATGGCAACTTTCTATAAGAGTTTTTGCTTGCCGGTCATACAGAAAAATATAAAATGAATCTGTTTTAACACTGGAGGCAACTATTATTTTGACTTTTGGCATATCCGTTTCGAGTCCTTGAAAGAGGATTGCAATTATCTTTTGAAAGAATCAAATACAAATGATTACCTTTTATTCTGTCTAAAACCTGTTGCTCTCCAAAGCGTTTTAACGTAATGATCAATTGATCGTAAAAGCTTTGATACCGACATTCAGCTTTGTCTATTATCTCAAGGTTAATCATTAAACGATTTTGAGTCCCTCTTGCTTCTTGTATCTGTACATGTGACAAGCCTAACTTCAACGCAATCTGACTTCCATATTCACCAATTACTCGCGAAATTCGATAGATATAATATTGAATATCTTCACTTGTATCTATAGAAGATTACTAATAACAACAAATATTTACAATGGATAAGAGTTACCTTGTGTCCTATTGGACATTCTTTTCATTTATTGGCTACACGAAATGGTTTCAGAACACTTACAACCATTAATGTGGTTTTAGTTCAATTCTAATAAACGACATAATTTAGTTAAATACTGCAAGTTTTTCGTAAAGTAGCTCTATTGCATAATCGTAAGGAGCTTCTGCTATTGTATGATTATTTATATTTTTAAACCTCTTCAGATATTCTAAATCTTAAAATTATCACGCTATTAGATGCAGAACCTCAATTAGTCATTTTACTTAGTAATTCACACAAAATGCCTTTAATACTTGTGGACCTTTCTTGTATCTAGTATTTTTGGAATATTTTCTGGTTATTGGATCTCATATACCCTGAGTGATGAGTAATGACTATATGCCCCTATTACAAATGAGCTCTAATTCAATTCTACTAAAAATTTACAATACTTTTAGAAAAGGTTTTAATAGACATTTAAGTCATCTATAGAAAAGTTGTTCAACTATGAAATAAACAGTTTTTCGCAAAAAAAACCTTATTTATCAAAAAGGCGGAAGTAAAATTTATGGCATTCAAGTTTCCAATATTGAGTAAATAAGAGGCCTACTAAATTTTAGAGGAAAATAACTCTATCTCGTCATAAGCATGAATAAGAGGAATGAGCGAATATGTCAAAAATAAATCAAGTCATATTGTTTTACCAGCAAGAAATAAAAAGTCTGTTGAATGATGATCAAATTTTTAAGATGGCTGCACGTGAAAACGGCATCATAAATAATCAAGAATCGGAAGAAAATTTCGCTATTTTCTTTGAAAACTGTATACTTCGTGTCCCGACTAAAGTTTTCCAAAATTTGTTAATAACCTGTTCTCGACAAACGGCTTCTAAGAGATACGTCGAATTGGCTAAAAGCATTGAGTATCCCTGGTCCCAATTAGTTCAAGAGGTTAAAAAGTATGTACGAGAAAAGTTTGTTAATATTTCCATGTTTAAAGACAAGAAAATCTTAGTTAATTATGAAAATATAATGGCACCAGTGCTAATTTCTACGTATTTAAACAATGATCAAGTTGATGATGTGAAAACTTCAGATGATTTTTTTAAGCTATCAAATATTATTTATGAAAGAGGAGATAAGATTCTTATCAAAGGAGGACCTGGCATGGGAAAAACATATCATTTTAGGAAAATTCTCTGTTCATGGGCTACAGGAGATAAGAGAGACTGTCTTCTTCTAAATCTTCAATTAAAGAAGACAGATCAATGTAATAATATTATAGATGAACTATATAAACATAATTTTTCACAATCTTCAAAAATTTCTAGGTCACTTTTTGCTTGTATTTTTAATAAGGAATTTTCTGATTTCCATCGGAAAATATTTATTTTGATAGACGGAGCAGATAAATTCGCAACCCACGTTAAATTTTTGAATAAAATATTTACAAGTTTTTCAAGGCTGGTCATACTTGTATGGTCAAGAAATTGGAAGGCCTATGAAATTAGTAATACATATAATCATGTCTATGAAATATTCGGATACGATGAAATTCAGAAAAAAATATTCTTTGATAAGTTTTTCTATGAGTTACACAAAAATAAAGTTTGTCAACAAGTTACTCGTCAACGTAAATTGAGTAGTGACGATCCTTATCAGGATGTGACAAGCGCTTGGATTCATAATAGATCGGAAAGTGATAAATTATGGCAATATTTATGGACTAAAAGAAAAGATTTATTGAAATCTTGTTCAAGGCCATTAGTTGCTTTCACAACAGCTGCTGTTTGGGAAGAAACGAAAGAATGTAAAGAAGGGTATATATTTGAAAAAGTTATCGATAGACTTTTAAAGAAAAAAGCTATTACTAGAGATACTATATACTATGAAAAGATTATTAATCATTGTTCAGAAGAGGCATACAATCACCTTTTTCGTAAATTACCCATTAAAATGACTGATATTATTAAAAAATCGAGTAATATTGGAAATTTACTTATGGTAAATCCTTACCAGTCTGCTGAAGATCAAGAGTTAGCTTTTATTGATATTTCATTTTTGGAGTACTTTGCAGCCAAACACATAATCAACTGTTTAAAGTCGAATGCAAACTGTGAACAAGGACGTTTAGAAAATTCGGTTGCAAAGCAGGCATTCATTCGATACCTGTTTGATCATAATTTAATTGAGTTAAAATTTATATTTAGATTTATTAGAGAACTATATCCAGAGTTTTTCTCTATTTTACCTGCAAAAAAATCATTTCCTCTCGAACCAATAGATGATGATGCATTACATACGATTAAACATTATCGAAATGAGAGGGTTTTTAAATTATGTAACACTACCTTAGCATTTCACCATTTGAATCCAATTGTTAAAAGTTTGTCAAGAAATGTTACAACTATACAATTAATGAAGGTTAGTCTTAATCTGGATTATTTTTTGGAACTTATAACAACAGAACTTAGCCTTCAGTTAATAAACTTGGAACTTAATTCTTTAATTGAAGATAAGAGCATATCTGTTAAGATTCTTACTGAAATAACTCGGACTTTTGTAAAGTTGAAAAGCCTTTTTCTTATCAACGTTCCCCTCTGTAAAAATTTGAGTACACCAGTGGATATATCTTCAAACTCCGTGCTTGGCCTTACTTTGCAGAATTGCTGTTTTTCACCTGACATGATAAGATCTTTTAGCTGTCAGCGTTTATATAAATTGAATCTATCTTTTAATAAAATCGAAGGTAAGTTTAATTAACATTACATTGTAAATAATCAATCTATTCAAATTTTCCTTCTAATTTAGATCAGAAGTTCAAAAATTTTATTAATTGCCTAAAATCTAATCGTAGTTTGAAGGCTATTGACTTTTCTTTTTGTCAGTTGTCAGACACCCATTTTGATAGTTTAAAAACACTAATTGAAGAAAATCGTAGTCTTACAGAAATATCCTTACAGGGTAATGATTTTAACATTGAAACAACGAAATCTATAGGAAGTTTAGCAGATGAAAGGCAATATATCAAAGTATTTGAAATTAACAACTATAAAGCTTTGAGCGAAAACGATAAGAGTTTTATAGCATTTAATCCGAATCTTGAAGTTTTAACTTTGTCAAAGAGTACAATACTTTCGCCGGTTATTGAGAAAATAATTCAATTGAAAAATCTAGTGGAATTGGGATTATCTTCCATAAACATTAAATGGATTGGAAATCATTTTATTCACTTGGAAAGTTTTGTTAATTTAAAGATCTTTGACTTCAGCTATAATGATATAACAAATCAAAAGAGAATGTTTCATTTATTTAAGGAAATTCTTTCAAGTTCTTTCAATTTGAAAAAACTTGTTATGAACAACTGCAATATAAATCCAGAAGGTCTTAATATTTTAGGGAATTGTATGAAAAAACTTTCCAATTTGACTTTTATAAATATTTCAAATAATAATCTAGATTGTGATAGTTTTGAAGAATTCTTAAAATTCAAGATATTCACAGAACAGGAAGAAATTGAATTGGATTGTTCAAACTGCCATTTGGAAAGTCAAAATCTTGTTTCATTACTAAAATTACCGAAATTTAAGATTTTAAACTTTTCACAGAATTATATAAGCGAATGTTATGTGGAGTTGGAGAATATTGCATTTTTTCAATATCTCAGAGAGCTATATTTAAGAAATTGCAATTTACCGGAAGAATTCCTACAACAGATTGGTAGGAACTTGGAAAGTTTTAGTATGGTTCAAATATTAGATATATCGGAAAATAACTTTAAGGATAGATCATTGAACTATTTTTTTGAAAGAGTATCAACGGAGGAAAATAATCTTAAAGAGATCTATATTTATGGCAATGAGTTTTCAAAATATGTAATTTCAAATATGTATTCGTGTATTAAATCTCTACCAAAGCTTAGTATTCTTAATTCTACTGAATCTGTCAATGATTCGTTATTTAACCAAAGCTTAAATGAGTTAGTTAACAGCAAAAAGTTTAATTTAAAAATGATCAACAGTTTACTCTCTAACTACGATGATATTGTTGAATTAAAGATATTACAATTATCGCTTATAAGCGGTCAGAGAGAGAGTTATCTTCATTTGATTTCTGAATTAGAAATCAAAATAAAGTTCATTATTTTCGATGATATCCTTTCGCCAAGTGAGAGTTTAGAAATTAAAAAGATTATTGATCAAAAGGAAAAGACTGTTGAGAAAATTTCAATTAATGAACATTTTATGAAAAATACAGATTTTTCTCTATTGTCAGCTAATTTTAATTTAACATCATTAAAAATTGCGTTCAGATCGGAGGAAATAATTAATTCAGAAATTTGGAACTTGCTATCGGGACAGGAGATGCTGAAAACTTTATATTTGTCTAGAGTTAAACTGGAAGATAGATATTGTCAAAATTATGAGAATATTTTCATTAACCGCGTTTCAAAACTTGAAGAACTAAAGATTTTCTCGTCAACATTCTGTGGAGCAACTATCAGGAATTTTATTTCCCGACAAGAACATTTAAAAGTATTGGAGATTAACGAGTCTAAATTTGATAATCTTTTCGATAGAGAATGCAAATGTCGCTCTCTCAAAAAGCTTACTTTATTCAAATACGAGTTTTCAAGAGAAGAAATGGAAGATTTTAAAATATTCCTTAACAAACAAAGCCATTTGGAAAAATTAAATCTAAAATTAAACAATTTAAAAGATAATATTGGTTTGAAAATATTTAGTGACAGCTATAGAAATGATAATAATACAATTACCGAGTTAAGCTTGCACAAATGTAAATTATCAGTAAATATGGCTGATAAACTTGGGCTGTTTATTGGTCGTCAAACGAATTTGGAAGTTCTTGATTTATCTGGCATAAACATGCAAAATAAAATTGGTTGTAACTTATTTAGGGCGATCTCGGAAAAATGTTGTAACATCTTAGATTTGAAGTTGGGTAAGTGCACTTTCTCAAGGGATATGGCGGAATACCTAATAGAATTTATTGATAATCAAAAACGCTTGAATGTCTTAGATTTAAATTCAACAGATTTATCTGTGCTTAATACGAATAAAGAGTTTCATTTCTGTTATGAAACAATCATTTGCCTTAATTTGCATCATTGTACTCTATCAGAAGAAACAGCTTACTTATTTGGAAGACTTATTAGGCATGAGCATTTGGATATACTTAATGTAAGTAATTTACGATTGGAAGAGTGTGGAAGTAATTTGTTTGAAACTAGTGGGATATGTTCAACTATTTCAGAGATAAATTTATCTGAAACTACATTTTCCTCCTCTACGGCAAAGACGCTTGGAATATTTCTTGGTTATGCGGTCAATCTTAAAACACTGAATTTGTCTAAAACAAATCTTACAAGAGATATTGGAAAGCAGCTATTCTCAAATATCTCCTGTGACTGTTGTAAGATCATAAATCTTAACTTAAGTCTATGCAAATTCTCCGCTTCCATGGCCCAGTATCTTGGAATATTCATTAAATATCAAGATTCTTTGAACACTCTTGATTTATCCCGCACAGATCTCACAAACGAAATTGGAACCAATATATTCTCACGAAAAGTTGACACTAAATACACTAAATACATCTCCAGTTTGATCTTAGTAGGTTGTTTACTGTGTTCTAAAATGTCTACCTCTCTTGGGATATTTATTGAATGTCAAAACAATTTGAGCCATCTTAATTTATCACATACAATACTGGAAGGTTCAATAGGAAAAAATCTATTTGAACACGCATCTCATACTTTTCCCACAATATTGACGGTTAACTTGAAACGTTGCAAGTTTTCATCAGATATGGTTGAATCTCTTGCTAAGTTCATAGGAAAACAAATTAATCTTACAGAGCTGAATCTATCATCAACTGATCTTTCACAAATTGAAAAAGAGCTATTTACAGAAATATCTAAATCTTGTTACTATGTTAGAAATCTAAATATTCAAAACTCCACACTCTCCAATGATCAGACAACTGGCATTTTACAATTTATAGAGTGTCAAAAATATTTAACTAATGAGGAAAAACTGTTGATAACCCAAGAAATTGTTGAAAGAAAGTTTAGAGCCTCTAAACCCTTGATATAAACAGATATGAATATATTGTTAACTATTAAAAGAAGACTATGATAATTTTGTTAAATAATATTTTTTATCTTGTCGTATCGACTTTTCCCCTTCAACTTTCTGTTTTGATATGTGTTCCATTGACAAACAGTTAGGTAGGTATATCCATCATAGTGTCTGACCTGTTCAATATAGAAAATTTATATAAGCTAAAGAGCTTTATCAGTTTAATTTCATCTATTAACCCATATGTTTCTTCCTGCGAGAACGGTAGACTTCTATTCAACAACTCGTTCCATTTTATTCTCAATTTTTTAGAAGCACGAGCATTTCCAATGTCTACTAAAGCTTGGAGAATAGTATTAACTCTGCTTTGAATTTTGTCCTTTTCACTAGTAGATGGCAAATATTCTTGATTATTTGACCATTTTTGCAAACATTTCAAATTAACTTGAAAAAAATCTGGGGTTTCTTCATGCCTTCTCTGACCTAAGCTATCCATCGCTTTGAGTCCTAATAGACGATAATAAAATCTATCATCTTGAATTTTTTCAGAAAGCTTCCTAATGAGTTGTGTTTCAGATTGTGCTTCACCTAAGTATTAATATTTGAAATAACCTTCACAAAATTCTTTACTATACTGTATATACAATATATTTACTTATTTACCTAACAAATGTAGATAGCCTTTATTACCAGACTCCGTTAATGCTTGCTTAACACACGTTCTAAAATTATTATCTTCAATTTCCCACAGATCATTCATTAACCTTTGAAGGTCGTTTTCATATGGCGTTCGAACCTGTACACATTGAACTTCAGCTATTTCCCAACCTAACTGTAACATCAAACTTTGACCTTTATTTGAAACAATTTCAGCTACATGAACGAGAAATAAATCGTAAGCCTTAGACGCTTCCATTCTCGAGAATGACTATGTGATTACCAGTTCATATATGGTTATTAAAGGTTAATAACCATCTAAAATATACTTTTAAGAATTATTGAAGGTTATAGTTCTTATAGTTTTATAGTTAAATAAAGTTTAGAATTGTATTTGTAAACAAAAGTCTCTTTTCTACTTCGTAAAATACATAAAACATTTTTATGCATTTTTAACTGTTCAAGCAATCTTTCACGTTTCACTATTTTTTTCTTGTAAATCATATACTCTTCATTCAGTATTCATATAATACTCTTTGAATGTTGAAGAGGTTTAATGTTAGCTGTACAGTAGTCAAATTATCCATTAAAACTATGTATCTCCGATTCACACGAATACGATAGTTCTCTACAGGATTCTGTCTGCCGTTCTAGATATATTTTTTAAAAATAACTATTAATCAGTAATTGCATATTAAGCAAGTATTTACCACCTGAGTGTCCATTAGCAGCAGGAACTTCATTTAAACTTCTCCAGAAATCATTTATTTTTTCTAAAGTATTCAAATGTCCTAATTCTGATAGGACTCTATTTATGGTGCCTCTCAAAACTATTTCGCTTAAATTACTATTGTTTCTACAAAATAGCTGTAGTAATTCATAGTTGACGTCAGAATAGTGTTTTTTTGTTGTCACCATTTTCAATGATACTTCGTATTCATCAAATCCACAAATAAATCTAAAAAAATTTTCTTCACCTACTTGGCTTGATGTAATCATTATCCATTTTTCTATGTTACCTTCACTCTCTAGTTGGAACAAAAAGGATTGTTTATGATAGAAATAAATTGATTTAATAACTTTTACCTAGTATAGACACTAAATCATTCCTTTTAAGACATTTTAAAACTCTCATCATTTGTGCTTTAAGTGCATCCGAACCAACAATTTGTAACTTTTGTCTTAATGCTATCCTTCTCGCGTCTACAATTGTACATGAACCACTTGCTTTTTGTACATCATCATAAGACATTCCCAAATTTAATGCTAAAGTAGGACCTTCGGAGGACAACAATTCGGCTAATTTCCTTAAATATTCTTCAACTGTAATTAAATTAAAATCACATAAATTAATGGGAAAAATTCAAGTCTACTACATTTGTCTCGTGTTTCAGGACGAGCTGCTGGTCTTTCATTTGAATGCTGAAGATTATTAACGGTTGGGTCATTTGCTTATGTTGAAAAAGACTATATTATTAATAATACAGCATAAAGGACATTAATAAAGTTACCCCTGTTACTGGATACTGTCAGACGTCGCCACCCTTCATCCAACGATGTAGCAATTTCAGTTTTACCCATTATCCTTAACGCCTCTAATATTTTATCCTTCTTCTCTTCCTCCGATGGAATTCTCACTGTTACCCATTTCAGATAGGCATACGTTAATTCTGTTAATCAGAATAGAATGATATACTGTTTTATTACCATACATGATATTTATGACAAATACCGGAATTTGATGCTACTATATGTATACCATGGCGACGTATTTCTTCCTCTATAATTTTTCTATCGATACTTTGATCAATACGAATTTGTTGAGTTACAACTTTGTCGATTAGGCGTCTTCTCACCTCCTCCAGATTTTCTGGTTCCATTCCCAATTCAATAGCTAACTGTTCACCATACTCGCTAACTTCATCAGCGATAGTTTTTAGAAACTGTAGCAGCACTGGAGAATTCATATTCTGACAGTTTAGAGTAACAATCTAAATAGGAAACTAAACCGCGCATGCGCATCAGAAACCAGTCTATCTATTTTCGTTTTTAAAAGCAAACTTTAACAGTCCGATTGAACGAAGAAAGAAAGTAATAATATCCTCGAATCAAAAATAATCAAAACAATTTATTATATTAGGCATAAAACTACTGTTTGTAGTTATAACTCGACGAAGAGAAAAAGTATTCATTCTTCATATTCGGTTTCAAAATTTAAACATATTAACAGTTATTACTGAAAAACAATTACGTATTTAAAATCTCTTATCATTTTCTTTCCTTGAAGGAATTACTGCGAATTTCATATTGATAAATTCATTCTTCGAACAATCTTGCACATCTATTTTAAAAACAATATCAAATATTAAGTTAAAATGGAGAATGTAAACAATGAACAAATTTTTACCTAATCCTTCGTTATTAGCCGAAGGAAGTACTTTCGCACTTTTTTCACTAACGCGTTTCCTGTCAATTTTATATTCCTCATTCAACTCTTCTGCAAATTCTTTCATAAGGCGGAATGTCTTCTTTCTACCAATTTCAAGTAAAGCCGTCCCAAGATCTTCGGCTAATTGAGAGAAAGTTTTGTTTGAATGTTCTTTTGAGTACCTATCTAATAATTCATAAGCCAAATCTGAATGATTTCTGTGCTGTCTTAAGCTTGAAAATACTGATTGTGCGTTATCATATCCATATAATAATATATAAAATTTACTATCCGTTACTGAAGTTGATATGATAGAGAAAATTTCATTATAGCCATTATCGATTGAAGCATTTTCTTTAAAATTACATACATTAATACAAGTGTATTCAGTATTTTAATTAATTAACCTATTTTACTGTAAACGTCTTCCCTTCCACAAGCTTTAAGATGTATTTTGGCTTCGCTTAAAAACTTTGATCCAAGTTTTGTATGAGCTTTAACGCAAATTTCATATCTTACTCCAAAGCTGGATGGCAAGCGTTTTATATCTGATATCTGTTTGTCATCTAAACCTAAATGCAACATAAATTTCTCCCAATCTTGAGACAGGTAATTCGATAATTTTAGAGCAAAATGTTTAAATTTCTCCTCTAATCACAAGTATAAAATCAGTTATAAAGTAATATTGTTATTCAATGCCTACCTCTGGACTTTTCATTCATCGGGAATAAAGTGTGGTTTGAAGCCTAATTTCACAAAGTTGTGGTTATAAAATATGAGGAATGGTTTTCAAGCGAGGTAGGAATTTTAGTTAATACTATATAAATTTAATTTAAAAATATATATATAGTTTATTTTATTGGTAAATAAAAAAAGATGACAAAAATTGATTGTATTATTTAAAACAAGGCATCGTCTGCTATATGAGAAAAAACAGAACAGGTACAACAGGAAGTAGAACAAATGGCGCAAAATTCAAAAAATTTCGCAAAAGTAATTTTGCATATATATCTAACTTTACACATTATTAACATCAATATATGATCCATAGTATTTACATCTGCTATTTACACACCTTTAAATCATTAGTGTGTATAAATTTGTACTGTATATTTGTAAATTTGTAAATTTTAAACAACTGCTTTAATTCATTCTTTTCACTTTTCTCAAAAATTCAACTCTACGATTTTTGAGCGCCATTTGCTTTTTTTGATTATATTTAACCTAAATAGTCTGTTTATTAATATGTAATAAAATAATAATAGTAATATTGAGACGTTATCTGTCTAAAAAGTCTATATCTTAATGGAGGATTCTATTCAGCTAGTTTTTCTATTAAATAGCTCTATTTAAGAAAAGAATTATTAAACTTTCCTATAGGTTGTTTGTATATATTTATATTAATATAAAGATATATAAATTAATCCTGTCATAATTGTGAATAGAAAGCCTTTTCGTTTTGTATTTTTGAATATTTGAAGTAGTACTAAAAATGACTGCTAAGAGGCTCTCTTTTATTAACAAAAGAGATTTCTTTCCTTTTATCAAAACGCTTCTGATTTGAATATTTTCTATATTCGTTATATGTTAATTAGTTTAATTAGTTTAAAATTAAAATATTTCTTTTCTTAGCTAGTCAATAATTTATCTAATTATCTTAGAATATCTCTATTAGTTTTCATAAGATATTTCATTTTGTATAGTAATTAGATTCGTTTAAATTATTTAATGAATTAAAATAGCTATTATCAAATAGTTGTGCGTTTAACAAACAGGATTGAAAGCACTTTACAAAAGTTTACATAATGTTTTAAAAATTTTAACCAATAGATGTCGCCAGTACTGTTGATAAACTGGTATCCAATTGCTATTGTCAATATTAGTGAAAACAGTTTTGTAAAGAGATCGGAGCCAAGATCCAGGCCAGTTCGTTTTGCACCTTCAAGGAGGTCTGACTATTCTAACGAAAAAACCAGGTTTTTCGGACTAACAACCGGGTATTAGTAAATTTCTTTTTTACCGCCGCATGGCGGTTCGTGCGAAATGGAAAATTTGATTCCCAATATACGCAAACTTGGTAAACAACCCATTCTTCGCCGAAAGAGTAAACATGTTCCATTAGCTGACAGAGTAAGTTGAAAAATTTTCATGAATTGAATAACTTTGAGTTGAATGGTAAAAAAGGAAATTGATTTCAGGCCTGTTTAGAGAGAGTTCTCGGCTTGACGGTCACAAACGGCGCCTGTCTAGCGGCTGCTTGCGACGATGGACAGCTGGCGTACACTGCTGGTTGCGTTCTGGTTTTATATGACTCAAAAACGGATGCACAAAGACACGTTATTAATCATGCACGAAAAATTTTGACCTGCGTTGCTTTCAGTCCAGACGGACGAAATTTGGCTACAGGCGAAAGTGGCCATGATCCTCATGCTCGCGTCTGGTCAAAAGCGGATCTACAATGTGTCGCTTCTCTTGGCCCTCTCCATAAGTTTAGCATTAACTGTGTTGTGTGGGCAGGTAACGATATGCTAGTTTCAGTTGGATCCCAGAACGATCAGCTGGTTACCGTCTGGCAATGGCAAACAGGTAAAGAAATAGCCTCTAACAAGGTCGCTTCAAGGGTGGTCGACGCCGCTGTGCACGATAACACTCTTGTAACTGTAGGATCTAGGCACGTAAAGTTCTGGTATTTAGGAGATGGTACCCGAGCAGAAAAGAAGGTATTGTACGGTCGAAATGCTCTTTTAGGAGATGTAAAAGATAATCACTTTGTTGGTGTTCGATGGAATGGTCCTTCCACAGTTTTCGTTCTTACGAAATCTGCCAAATTTTGTCAAATTGACGCTATCAAGAGAATTATTGTTAAATGGGTTGATGTTCGCGCATCTTCAGGACTTTGCTTAGATATAAATGACCAATGTGCTTATGTTGGTTGTAACGATGGCATTGTAAGGGTGTTCAGCTGCGATCTAAACTTTATATGTACTTTACCAAGCCCCCATCCTCTAGACGTTGACGTTGCCTCAAAAATACCAATTCAAACTAGTGATAAATATCCGGACGCAATTGCAGTTCGACAGCATATTGTCAGAGAGAATGGAGAAAAACGTCGGCTAGTGAGTGTTGTCTATAAGGACAGAAGTTTATATGTTTGGGATATGTCAGATATGAGACGAGGGGTTGGAAAGAAAAGGTCTCATCTCTTTCACTCTGCAGCAGTAAATGGCATAGATGTATATAATTCAAGTTTTTATACTGTCTCCGGTGATGGAACTTTAAGAGTTTGGACTCTTGACTCGATGTGTGCATCACAAAATATATATAGTAAACATTTATTGAAAATAGTACGTGTTCTACCTGAATCAGAAGGTGCAGCTAAAACTATTGCTTTTGCTGAAGATGGACTTCAGGTAGCTGTCGGAGATAAAGTTGGTAATATTCATATATACGATACTAAGAGTTGGGAAAAAGTAACCTCATTAGAAGCTCATGACTCAGAAGTTCTTGCACTAAGCTTTGTAAACCATAAGGGTTTACGGCTGCTGGCTTCAGGATCACGTGACAGAATGCTCCATGTCTTCCATAGAGATCAAAACTACGGTTTAGTAGCCACTCAAATAGATCACTCAGCTGCTGTTCAAGGTGTCTTATGGGCAAAGTGTGGAGATGAATTAAAATTAATCTCTTGCTCAGCAGATCGTTCTCTTTTATTTAGAACATTGAATGTTGACAAACAGACGGGAACAATTGATTTTACTTTAGATAAATATGAAGCTGGAAAAGCAACTTTCTACAACCTGCAGTTAGACAGTAATAAAAACCACTTGTTGGCTGCCTGCAATGATAGAACTATCAGAGTTTATAGCATTAGAAGTGGCAAATTGAAAAGAAGCTTGAAAGTAGCAGACGATTGCTCATCAGTTACGCGTCTACAAACGGACAAGGGAACTTGTAGTGTTATGGCTGTTGTTACAGGTGATAAAACTGTAGAATTACGAGATTCCCATACGGGAGAATGTTGGGCTGTATTGTGCGGTCACGCAGAACAAGTTTCAGACGTTGCATTCTTACCAGACAATAAGCGCCTTGTCACGGTTGGTGCCGACGGAGTTATCTTAGTGTGGACTTTACCAACAGAAGTCTCACATACACTAAGATCGAAATCATTAAAAGCGAAAAAGTCGCCTATATCAAACAAAAATGAGATAGCCTCTCCTTCAGGTAGATTAATGCCGAATATTGACGAAGTTCTCGCTTCCCTCTCTCCAAAAGTTATTTTAAAACCAGAAGATCCTAGTAGTGCAGTTTTACCATCTTGGGCACAAAGAGCTGTCGATAATAATGCAACTGGAACTCCTCGATCAAAATGGAAAAGAAATAGTGAACCTATTAGACCAGCATCTGCCCCTATAGTAGTGGCTGATAGCGGAAGTGACGATGACAGCGAATCTGAATCAATAGATGTCCCGGAGATGCATTCGTCCGAATCTGACGATGCTGTAGAGGTAGAAACAGTTGATGATAATGAAGTAGTATATCTACCTCAAAGATCAGATTCTGCTAAGTATGATGTTCATTCAAATTCTCCTGACGCAGAAACTTTTAATAGTGACGACTCTGCTCCGTCTACCCCTTCTTCGTTGCTACCACCTCCCAGGGAGCAACAGGAAGACACTCCTCTTGATCCATCAAGATTAAGTATCTCAGCTCGTGTTCTATTAGCTGCCTCCCAGGCAAATAATGCTCAACAATCACCTCCATCACCTACAAATAAGCCTACTGCTGCTCGTCGAAGGTCAGTGAATAACAGTAAACAATCTTCCTATGCAGCACCAACTTCTGCTTCACTTCAAAAGTCTTCACGCTCAGGAAGCACCATGTCAGTTAATAAAACTTCAACAATGACTTCTAGACGGAGGTCTCGAGGAACTGGCGATGGTTCTGCTACGGTTACCGCAGCTAAATCCACCCCAAATTTGTTTGACGCTGTTGAGGCAGAGAAGGATGACAAAGCCCTCAGCGCACAACGGTATGACTCTTTCGTGAAAAAAGCATTAGCTACAACCAGGCGAGAAGTATCCATTGAAGAAACGAAAGAAATGCTCAAGAAAAGGTCAATACAACCCGCTCGAGGACCTCTGGCAGCTGCTCGAAAGCCTATGAGCACTGGCCAAGCGGATGAACCCCGAGAGGGCGAACCAGATGACCCTGCACCTATTCAATTGACACCTCCATCAACAAGCTCAACAAATTCGAGTACTAGTCCATCACCCATTAAAGCACCATTAAGCGGAGACTCTTCAAAAACATTCCGACCATTATCAATTTGGGCTTCAAACTCGTCACCTAGTAATTCTGACAGAAATACACCGAATGGGGACTCATCCCCACCGAAAACTTATTCTGCATGGAGAACTAGAAATAAAGATGAATCGCCCACCAAACACAGAGTTTACAGTTGGAAAAATTCGGATGACGAAACTAACGACTCTGACTCAGTTAAAAGGATAGTAACTAATAGTGTAGTCTCAAATTCTCCAGCTTCTGTTATGGTTACTAAAAGTGAAACGAATGAAACTGTAGATAAATCGAAATTTATTACGTTTAATCGTGGTAGTACCGGCAGCGCCAGCCTATCATCCCCTCAAAAAAACTTGAGCAATAACGTTACGAAACCTGATTTACCAAATACATCGTTTGTATCTTGCAGAAGTAGTCTATCTTTGGAAGGAGAAGAGGCAGCGGCAGAAGGAGATAATGATGATGACGATGATGACGATGGTGATGTCATTATTGAAAAGAGTCCCCCACTGCCTAGTACCCCTGTCCCTCTTAGGAAGATAACTTCAGAAAGTTTGAAAGATGCAATGAATCTAATAGAACGTGCCATCGATTTCTGTAAAGACGATAAAAAGGAAGAAGTTGAAAGTCGAACGCGAATGAAAGGCGTTTTAAAATTAATTAGTACTAAATTATACAGAGAAGGCTTTTGCTCAGATATTCAAATAGTGAACGACAAACTAAACGCAATAGAATTGATGTGTTCGGATTTAAAGAAAGAGTTAGTACTGCCAAATGACTGATCATTAGGAACTTGAACAATTCTTTTCAGTTTTTAATCCGGGTATTTATCTCTTGAAAAAGAACTCTTTAACATAAAAAGTATGGATTTTTTAGTTAAAAAAAGGATTTCTCTGTATATTAACATTATTATTCTTAATTTTTTAAGAATCTAACTGAATACTGCTGGATAAATAGAATAGATTAACGAAGAAAAAAATAAAAACTGCTGTAAAATAATTGTTACGGAGTGAATTCACATTCTGTCTCCAGCTTTCTCTCTCTTTCCCTCCCTCTATTAATCTATCTATCTAACTACCTTTCTAAAGTATTTCAGAATGTGCTTGCTTGTTTAATATATATATAAATAGGAGCCGATTAGAGCTCTCTGTCAACATCAGTGCACTAGTATTCATTTATTATAATCTTTTTACAATTAATGACAAGCATACTGGATTTATCCTTTTGTAAACTAATTTTTAATGCATAAAAAATTCAACGCAATATTTTCTTAATTTAAACGACGGCATATATCGTATTTACTTCTATTTAAATAGACGAAATGAGCGTTCCTTTACCTGTTGCTTGTTCAAAACACTTCTTTTTGTAATACTTATTCAAATTTTCCAATTGATATTTATATAAACAATATTGATTGTTTACATTTTCCTTTATTGTTTACTATGAAAGACAATGAGAAACTTACTACTCTGCCCTAAAGATTTAGCCCCTAGTTTCTTTTCACTTTTCCTCTTAGAACTAATTAGTAATCAATGTCATACGGCACACTTTCGCATGGATTTTAGGATAAGAGGATATTCATTTAAAAAGAATGCCGGCTGTGATACGGCTAGTTCTGGTATTAAAATATTTTACTATCATATGATCAATAATAGCTTAATTAAACCTTTCTATGGGATTGATTACAGAGCATGCACGCTGCGATCCATATTTCAGAGTGTTTTGTATAGGTTCATGCCCATTCAAATTGGAAAAATGCCAATGCGAATATTATAAAACTGCAGAGACTTATAGCAAAAGTAACATTTGGTCAAGATGGTATGGTTTAACGTTCGCAAACCGTCCAAATCCTTTTAAAATACCCTTAATTAAAAAAAAAAGTGTTTACCTATATGCTTCTTTATACGATGAAGATATTAATGGAGAAGAACTAATAGAAGAATTCTCACATAATTTTACTATAAATAGAAGCATTGAATACAATCAAATAATCATCAATGGAAGTAGAGTAAATTTACATCTATATGTCAAGGTTTTTTACGAATAGCCATAGTTTTCTTTACTACTTATTAAAACCAATTAATTATGCTCTTTCCTATTTTATTTACCTGTTAGTTTTCGTGTTCTCGTAATTATTATGGATTAAATTGCAATACGGTTTGTAAGCCTTCTTCATACACAGGAGAAGTTTGCGAAAAGGCCTCAGGAGCCCTAGTATGCCCTACAAATGGAAAACGTTTTTATGGCCGATATTATCAGAATTGTTATAATCAACAGGTTGATTGATAATTCTTAGATCGTTTATAAAAACATTCTTATTTGTTTTAGGAAGAAACGTTAAATCGGGTTAGAGAATGGAAATATATTAAGAATATTCGATCTAAAGTGAAGAATAAATATTTTACGCTTCATGAAATAAAGTTTGTTTTTGACAAACATAGTAGAGTTTGTAAACGTAAAGGTAACGTAAAATAATTTAATCTAAGACATCAACTAATTAGACAAAGTTCATAAATGAAGATAGGACGAATAGAGAAGGATTTTGCGGTATTTTTTTCCCATTTCTCTGCATTGGTTTATACTGCGATTGCAGTTTTCTAAGATTATTGAAATTAAGATCGAAAATAGTCTACTATAGATATTACAACCGTAAATCAATTTACACAATCTATTATTCAAAGAGATTAAAGATACCTGGAAGATATATCCATCTTAAAGGTGTTTTTATTGATACAAGTAATTCAAGTGATTCGATTATTAGTAAATTTTGTATCGACATCTCTACTGGGGATAATTACATTTCACAAAGAAAAGTACTCAGATATAAACAATTTCACTTGTACATTGGCTATAAGGTTTGTATTGCTTATTTCTCTCTTTCCTTCCTTCTTTCCTCCCTCCCTCCCCAATTTAATCATCTATGTATTTATGATAATGATAATTCCGTTTTTGTTTTGATATATAGGCCTATCTATCATATAAATCTATGACTTTTTTCTTTCTTATCTCAATAGATTGTTCCGGTTTGAAGAATAGAGAATGAAGTGTAAACCTATTTAATAACTTTACTCTATCAAAAGAGCGATTGTTTAAATGAATCTTCTTTCATAGTGGAAAAAAACTATTAAACTGTGATGAATTTTTCTTCCCTTGCTCTCCTTTCTCTCTCTCTCTCTCTCTCTTCCTGTAATTTTGTTTTTACATCATGCCAAATATATAAAGTAGGCTTAGAACATTAACAGGCTCATTATTAACCATATTTACTTTTCAATACAACTCGACTTTTTTTTTTATTATCGAAAAACAACGCCGCATAAAACTAGGCTGTTTAATAAACAGCAGCGTTGGCCGCTTAGATACGGTCGGTCGTCAAACATGGCTCCGGTAAAACGTCCGTTTACGTGAGTTTATCTTATTTTCTTTTATAATCGTTCAAAATAAGTTTTTTTCTCTTGAAATGAAATCATCTAGAAAGTACCGAAAGAAGCGTGCAGCCCAAAAATTTTCACCGGAAGAGCTTCATCATAAAATAGGCGTGGTTTACGACCATGTGTAAGTTTTTATCTAGTTTAGTAAAGTATGAAAAGTAGTTTTTGTCTATATTCTATAAATTTATAAATATATTTATCTATACAAATTTAACAGATCAATGATACTACAATTCATCATCAAATTTACAGTATGCACCATTATAGTTTTATATACTGTAATTGCAATAGGTCTAATTTGTATTCCATCTATTTTACCACGAATAATACTGCTCAATGATATTCGTATTCCGTTTTATACGGATTTAACAAAACCGGAGCTATTGGGCTTGAATTCTACAAAGAATTTATATATTGAAACTGAGGATGGACGGCGTTTAGGAGCTTGGTATAGCTACTCTGGAAAAACATTTAAGGAAAGCTTTCATGACAACCGGCCGGCTTTTTTATATTTACACGGCAGAGAAGGAACAAGAGCTGTTCAACACAGAATTGATCTTTATGAAAAACTGAGGGAAAATGGGATTCATGTGCTAGCTCTTGATTATGGATCATTTGCCGATTCCGAAGGCATTCCTGCTGAACAAGCTATAACTCAAGACGCTATGACGGCGTATTACTGGCTAAAGAATAGGACTAAATCATCCATATTCATATACGGTCATTCTTTAGGAACGGCTGTGGCCGTGTCGGCTGCGGCACGCATACCAAAAGAATTAAAGCCCGACGGCATTATTCTACAATCTCCATTTAATAAATTAGATGAGGCGTTTACTCAGCATCCAATGGGTAGGCCGTTAACTTGGATACCACCAATCGCTCATTTATTCGTCTCAACACTTCGTTCCCAAAATATTACATTTTCAACTGAAAGTAAAATTAGCGATGTTCAATCTCCAATTATTATCCTTCATGCTCAAGATGATCGTTCCGTTCCTATTCACCTTGGAGAGAAGTTATATAAAACAGCAAAAGGATGCGGAAAAAGTGTCAAATTTATAGCATTCGATTCGAAAGCCGGCTGCGGACACAACTATATTCACGAAGATAAAGACTTTATCAGTATTATCAAAAATTTCATTTCTAACTGCACAAGATAGAGCTTTTCTCTAGTGCCAATTATCTTATTTACATATTAAAGAAAAGTTCTTTTCTTTCATTTTATTTTTTTTTACTGTGTACACAACGATCTGCTTTTCTTATTTATTGCATAAAAAAAAACAGCATATGTATCCCTTGGCTTAGGTTATATTTGTGTAGTTTTTACGGCCATCCATTCAAGTCAATTGAGCCTATTAATAACGTTTAGATATGCCAATAGATGGCCTCACGTAACGGTGTGAGTTATTATAGATGTCGCTGATCCAGTTTGTCGAAAGATCGGTATTGACCGGTTAACCAACTAATAGAAACCGGTCTTGAGTAATTGAGGAGTTTCATGAGGGGAGAGGATAATACAAAGATATAACATAAGGTCTTTCGAGCATTATTTTATTCATATATCATTGACTGAAAGATATTAATCAACTGGTTTTGAAAAGATCTTAATAATATGGGGAAAAAAACTAGAAGAATTCAATCTATATCTGAGAGGCGAGGTCTTCAGGATGAACTTTTGCGTATTACTGCAATGCAAGAAGGTGTTACTAGTGCCAAGCTGGAATGGCAAGCGCACGAACAAACACGTTCCCTAGTCGATAAAATAAGAAATCTAGAGGCGACCTTTGAACGGCCAACCACGCCGAGAAAGGAGCGCATGGAAGCGCTACTGGAGTGGGCAAAGGATTCGCTAAAGATTGATGTATCGAGCATAAAAATTGAAGAAAATGAAAAGAAAGGATTTGGTTTTGTTGCCTCTAGGGATATGGCCGAGAATGAGGTAATTTTGACAATTCCCGATAACTACTTTTTGAAACTGCCTAGAAATGGTCCAGTGGCAAAATTCATTAGTCAGGATAAGATGCTCATCTTTATGCCAAACGTGGCTTTAGCAGTTTATCTATTAAGCGAATATTTCAATAAAAAGTCGTTTTGGAAAGTATACTTCGGTAAATAACATTGTATAAGTATTAAATTTCATTTGTAATAAACAATCATTTTTGTTCCCCTCTCTCCATCCTAACCAGATGCTCTTCCCGATTCGTTTGATACAGTATTGTATTGGTCCGACGAAGAGTTAAAAAGACTCAAGGGTTCAGTAGCATTCGGTAAAATTACTACACTATACTATAAAATCTATTGATTTAAAAAATTTTATCACTTTTATCTTTCCAAATAAATCTATTATCTATTTCGATTTATTATAGGTGAAGCAATAAAGCTATATCGAAATATTGCAAGACAGTACGCTTATCTATCAAAAGTCCTGCAGGTATGTATATACAAATGATGCAATAATACACGTTTCAAGATAATATACACAGTATATATATATATATATATATATCTATATATATCTATATATATATACAGTATGTATTTTATATATTTTATCTATATCTATATTTATATATATATTATATCTATTTATAGTACAGTTTATATTTTATGCATAAAAATAATTTTCCTTCTTTTTTTCACACATGTTCTATTGTTTTTTGCTGTAACAATTCGTCACGCTTTTGCCATTTCAGGCTTATGGTGATCCACAGCTCCCATTAATCTCTTATGATCAATACAGGTATTTGGGATGCTAGTTACTGTTTCTCTTGCTTTTATAGATCACTATCATAATTATAATTATTGTAATTATTATTATTATTATTACTACCACTATTATTATTATTTAAACAGATATTTAAATCATACAGTATAAGTGAATTGTTTGTCTTTATAATAAACAGATCTATATTGATATTCTCTTAATGTATTGTTTTTTAATCCTTTATTTTAGATGGGCCGTTTCAGTAATTATGACTAGACAAAATGCTTTAAATCCTGAAGCTTTTAATACTGCACTTGTTCCCTTGTGGGATAACTGTAATCATGAAGTTAATGCAGTAGCCAGTACGGATTATGTAATTGCTAAAGAAAAGATGGATCATGGTTACGCCGAATGTCATCTTACGCAGGCTGTAAAAGCTGGAAATCCAATTACAATAAACTATGGCAAGAAGCGAATTCTGCAGGATTTACTTTTACATTGCGGGTTCGTACCAGAGATTACTAATGCGTTGGAGAATCCAATTCGTATAAAACTGGGTGAGTTTGATTGTCTTCTTTAACCTGTTTTTTTTGTAATCCAAAACGATATTCTCTGAAGGAATTAGCACGGCCGATCGATTGTATGCTAAACGGTTGAAATTACTGGCTCTCTTTGGCTTGGAAGCCTCTTGTAGCTACGAAATTAGCTGTGACCTTCCTGAGAAGTCTCTGCTATATGTTTTCATTAGGGTGTTCCACATGGATGAAGGTAATCATGTTAAACTGTCGATTGATGAACTATAGAGTTTTCTATATTGTTTTACTACTATTTTTTATAGCAACCATCGAAAAATGGCTGGAATCTGATAACTATTCTGTAATATCGATGCTAGAAGATTCTCCAGCTGGAGAGGAGATTGAACGAAAAGCTTGGAATCTTTTAAAGGAGCGACTATCTTTGATTCTTGCTTCCTACACAACCACCAAGGACGAGGATATGGCAGCTGCGAAGTCGGATCAGAATCGTTTGGCATTTGCAACTCGTCTAAAAACGGCCGAAAAATGTGTTTTACAACGGCTAAAAGAAATTTGTATTGAGTATATAGAACGTTTGGATAAAGAGATCCCTTCGTTGGAAAAATAACGATATAGATGAAACATTTGTTTATTTTTATAAATCCACCATGCCATTCAAAACAAAAGTTGTAATGTTTATGATACAAAAATGGACTGTGTATGGAATGGTACGTTTGTTTTTTTGTCTTGACTTGTTTTTGTTTGGCATCTAACCAAGTATTGTACGAAAGTTTACGTCTCTATTTAGATTCATATACCTCTTCGTTTGGGCATCCCTTTCTACTTCGATCTCATGAAATCTAAATGGAACTGAATAATGCTTTCATTACTTTTCAAAACATAAAAACTAGAAAAAAGAGCAAAAACTATTGCCAAGTGGTATTTTACATAATAAACAAAAGAGCTTGTTGAATATTTATCTATATTATAGACAAAAGACTATTATTGAGTTATTTTAGCCAAAAAGTCTAAATAAAGACAGAAAATATTGACTTTAATTAAACTATTTAAGATTAAGAATGATCAATTCAGTAATGTTTAATAATGCTTTTTTCAAAGCCTACTATCTTTTTTTCAAAAACTGAAGAAATGATAAATCATATCATTCTTTTATCATATAATTGTAGGTTTGTTTGAAATGCATATAGCAGAATTCATGATCTATCTCCCCACCGAAATATTCAGAGAATTGCTTACTGATTATTCAATAATAAGAAATACAATCATATTAGTCAATTATTCATATAAAAAAAGAAGTTATTTATTTAATTAAAAAAGCTTATCATTATATTATTATAATATAATTGATTCTTTTAAAATATATATTTATATATAGTATATATACAGTATATGTACATGTATATATATATATATATATATACTATATGTATTAGGTGCAATTAAATACTATCACCTTGAACACCAGGAAAAAAAATTAGAAAAAAATTCAGCTTTAGTACACTTTTAGTAGTTTTTATAAAAGTTTCTTTTTTTGTTTCTATCTTTTTTTTTCCATATAATTTAAAACATAAAAAAACGCATGCATAGATAAAAACAAATGCTTTTTGATAAAAATGACTTTCTTCTTAACAGTTTTGTCTATGTTTTTCTTTCCAACAACAAACATTATTTCGTTAAGTGTTTCATTAAAGACAAAACTGCTATTACTATTATTGTAAGAAAAATTTTACTTATTTAATAATATTAATAATAACATATTCGTTCAACTTTTTGGGAGAAAATATTTTAAAATTGAACACGGAGAGAAATTAAAGCCAGACAAAAAAATAAATTAATTTCATCGTATTGGCCTATTTAATCAAGTTGTTTAAATAAAAATTTAACTTCTCTTAATTTAGAGGCAGATTTTGTCAAGTATTTTGACTGCTTTGGTGAGTCGATAATGCTACGAACTTTTAGTAATAGACTATTGCATTCTTTGCATCTTTGAAAACGTTCTTCCCTGGAAATATCTACGGAATTACTACTTGGCGGGGTTGATATGTTGGCTTTGATAACTGAGGCGAAGCACTGAAGTATTGTTCTCACTGATGTAAGACTAACTAAGACATGACTGAAAAAAATTTAAACTATAATGAAAGAAAAGTGTAAAATCAAAATTCATCTTACTTTTCATATTTACTATTCAATAATTCAATAAGACTTGGTAGAATAATTACGGCAAGATCAAGAGTCCAAAGAGAACTAAAGAAATAAAAAAAGTTAATGTTTTTTGAAGTATTGTTTTACTTAAAACAAATATACTTTTTCTTTAACACAATTTCTAATAAATCGACAATTATTGAGGGATCTTTCATCCCTATTGCTGTTTCGATAGATGTTCTTATATTTCCTGCAGACCAAAGCACTCTAACGATTTGTAAATTTTTTGCTCTAGCCTGTAAAGCTTCTATCATTGACGAATGACCTTTGATCAGTGATGCGGGAATTTCTGCTCTTGAAGCATTAGCATCACTATTTGTTTTTGGCATGAAGTCACTCATATTTATCATTGGTTCCACATTCATCACGTCTTTGTCTTCAATAGGTTCAATGTTCGAATTTGGTTCCGCCTTATGTTCAATCTTAAGAATATTTTTTGTGGGATCCTCTTTTAAGACTTTCACTTTAAATTTATTCTCTGTTTCTTTCGTTTCTTTGTCGGGTTTTTTCGGAGTATAGAGTTTTTGGACAGGAGGAGTTCCTTGATGAGATTTCTTTGGCCTAGTTGGTTTATCATCTCGCTTAAAAGGCTTATGCTTCTCAATTAATTCTTTTTCAAAATTTTCTCTATCGTCATTGGAAGCGTTAGGTCGAAGAAGACTTTGAGTAACCTGATATGTTGCAACATTTGTGCCGGAATGAGAAACTCCCACTATATAATCTTTACAAAATGCCAAGTCGCTTAAATTGCCCCATCCAGTTTTCACTGAATCTAGATATTCATTAGGTTCCCAACTATATACCTTTAAATAATCATTGCATGCAGCATAAACACAGTTCTCCGTAGAATGAAATTTCACACATTTATAATCTGATGTAGTATCAGATGATTTAGATGAACCTAATGATTTAAAAACATCAATATCCCAAAAAGTTAAAGTTCGATCGGCTGTAGCAAAACATAGAAGGAATTCATTTGGATGAAATGCAACTGCTTTAACTGCAGCATTGGCCGACAACTGCGATATCTGCTTTCCAGAAGTAATATCAAAAATCCTAACTGTTGAGTCGTCTGAACCAGAACAGAACCATCGTCCATCTGGACTAAACTGAACACAATTGATACCCGCACTATGCCCACGATACGAGTAGACACAAGCTTTACGTTCTATATCCCAAAATTTAATATTTGTATCGTTACTACCAGATAAAATATAACGATCCGTCCAAGGATGAAAGTCAATAGTTTTCACGTTTGACTTGTGCCCGCTTAAAGTTCTAACGATTTTGCACTGTTCCAAATTCCACACTTTGAGACAGCCTGAAGACGAACCTGCTGCTATTAATTCTTCACTTTTGTTAAATTGAACACATTCTACTCCACTAGTATGACCAGAAAGGGTCTGTTTATAAATATTTATATTAATTTTAAACAAACAGTATTTCTAAGAAAAGAAAATAAAAACTAAAAAAAAGTAAATTTTCAGGAATAGATTTCTTGTATTGTTGCTATTAAAAATATTTTTCTTTTTTTTTTGCAGTTTTGCAGCAACGTGCTAAATAAACATTCTGTTTTCTCAATCATATAATAAAAATTCTGAAAATGAACTTTTTTTTCTCTAAAAATATCCCTCACCATTAAGCAGTTAGGTTTATCAGTTGTCCATAAATTTACTTTTTTATCCTGACCCCCAGTAGCCATTACTCTTCCAGAATTTTGGCCCAAAGTCACACAAGTGACTTTTGAGGTGTGTGCCACAATTTCCTCTAAAAAGTTTCAAAGTTTTTAAGTTAAATAAACAAAGATTTGTATTTGCTATGTTTTAGTTTTGGCTTACGTATATTGGAGCATTTATTGGATGATGAAGTCATGTTTTCTGTTTTATATCATATATCCAAATATTAAATCTTTGACAGCTAATATTAAAATAAATTAAGAATTCATAAAAACTATAAATTAATAATTGCTTATTTTCAATAAACCCAATATGAAAATATATTTAAAACCATTCCTTTTAATTACTGATTGGTTTAAATTAACAGATCTGAGCGATTTTGTGAGAACAAACGGTTTGACATGGGAACAGGAAGTTGTCTTAAAGAGTTCAACAGATTTTTCATCTAGCTTAAAATTTTCATTTAATAGACATTAATCGAAACAATTTTAATAAATTCTACTAAGAAATATTTCAATTGTATATTTTTGTATAAATTTCGTACGAAAAGAATTATTCATGAAAATATCCGGTAAAGAAACTGATACTTTTCATAAATGACGGTTTTAATTTTTTAAGTTTTACGCTGTTAGTATATATTTTTAATTATTAAGTCATTGATTATCATATAAATCGATTCCTTAAAAATTAGTGTGCGTCTCAGATTTGTAAGATTTGTTAAAAATCAATTTTGAGGCAATTATCATCTTGCTGATGGAAAGTTAAATATTTAAAATTAAAATTTAATGAAGTTATCATCCAGATTTCTTGTAAAAGCTTAGGCTGTAAAGATATTATCAATCATTCGCTGCAGGAGACAAAATCGATTGGTAAAAGTTGTAGATTATTCTGTAGAGTTTCTAATATAGACAACGATAATAGGACTACTTGAAGTTAAGCACCTGTCTTTGTTATTTTCCATAATGTACGAATTGTGTACTTAATCCATTGAAAGGTGTAAAAAAAAAAGAAAATCACTGATAGTGTACAACGTCTGGGGTTGCCGTGTGTACGCTTATGTTTTTCATAATACTTATAAAGGGCAAGGTCATATTATGGATTCGTGTATGAATTTTTTTTTCAATTAATTATCCAATTATTCTAGATATTTTTAGGAATTAACGTACTTCTCTACATAGGCAATATTCGATATTTCTGTTAGTCATAAAATCTTGTCTATAGGCAATCATATTCGGTCTATTTTTAGTATTAACGTAGATAAGATTTAATCGATAACAGATACTGCTAAAGAATTGGGCAGGTTTTTGTACTCTGGCAGGCAAACTTTGAACCCATTTTAGTTGATACACTATTAATTAAACGCTTTTATGTACCTGTAAGTAAAGCGTAAAATCAATATATTATCATTGTACAAATGAATGTTTCACACAACATTTAATTATGTGTCTACTTAAGACGCATGTAAGATAATTTTCTTTTGCCTAATTACAAGTGTTTTATATTCAGTTCTAATAACATCTTCCACGATATTTCTTTCAGGTAAGGGGAGATTATCAAGCATGAAAGTTTACTTACGGTTACAAGACGTTGTTCAATGGTTCGGAATGACGAGTCTAGAACTATTGTTCCATGTGTTCTCCGTATTAGCTTTTTCCATTCTAGCTGCATTAAAGCAAGAAAATATTATCTCCTGGTCTTGGAAACCTATTTTTATACCAATAATAGTTGCCGATGCTTTACAGTTCTACTTGTGTCTTATTATAGCAATAAGACAATGCAAGAATCATGAATACAAGAAAGCTGGTATTCGTTTCATATCATCAACCTGCATTACTGTGTGTGTCTGTACATTTAAACTTTTACTCATGACAAAATTCGAAGAACCAAAATCTCATAGCTATTCTCAGGTGTTTGCTCCACTCTTTGTTCTTGCTCAGGTACTCATGGTAAAAGTCTGTCATACCTCCAATACTTAAATAAAGCATTTTTTCCTTTCTGATTTTAATATAAATTCGTTCAGAATGCATGTGTAACGTTTAAATATACACATTTCATACATTTGAATTCATATATATATATATATATATATATATATGGTGTATATATGTTTATGAATATAAAATAATACTGTATATACATATGTATTAGTATGTATATAAACATTTATTTATTTGTTTATATTTATAGAATTATATATTTTTTATATGTAGAACATAAATGTAATCAAATAAAAAGATCATTTCACAAAACATGACTAAATGTATGCTCTATAAATTTTTAAAAGAAAAAAAAAAGTAATAACACTCTTTAGAAAAGTTACAAAGAGCAAAAAACAATTAATGATTGGTCGTCTGAGAAGTTAAAACATTGAGTAAGAAAGAATCAATAGATGTATCTCCTATAAACTTAAAAAAGAACAAGTGTTCGATACATTTCAAACCAATCGACCTTAGTGCCGGTAAACGCAATAGTAATTTTGCGAATCGCCCAGGTTCATCTGGATATTGTAATCGACAATATTCTTCCAAACTGGCGTAGACTTTCTCACGAAAATTCTCCACTTCAGTAACGGCATGTAAACTCTTGGAATCTATCATGACAAAGCACATTTTTAAATGTCGAATATATTATTTTCTTTATACGCTCAGAAAGTATAGATGTGTTCCTACCTGGATTAAACAGTACAATTGCTCTGAGGCAGCCCAATTCGGTTCGATCCATTTTCATTTCACGCATCTTTGAAACTAACTCTGTAAGTACTCGATCGAAAATCATTCCAACTCCTGCCTGATGAGCTGTTGATCGGTGGACATGCATTCCTGTTGATAGAAGTATACCATCTTCAATTACTGTGGAACGATGAGCGAAGCTTGCGATCAATAACTCATTCCAGCCGGTTCTGAGAAGGGTGACTTGATCATCAATGGGCAATTCGACAAAATGTGGAATACGTTTAGCCCATTCAACCAAATTAAATAGTTGTGAATCCGCAGCTTGGCAAATATTTACCATTGGCTCTTTTTGAACGTCAACATATGTATCACTCTTTGGTTCGACCGACATTTCAGCATCTAGTATCTTCTCAACCGGCATCTCGGAATTAGCACTGGACGTGCTCTCAACTTCCCCCTCGCCTTTCTCTTTCACTCTTTGCCTCTCTTCTTGAACTGCTTCGCGTTTCATTCCCATTGCCAAACATTTCATATATCGGCAATACTGACAACGATTTCTCTGTCTTTTGTCAATTACGCAACTACGCTCGTCTCTACAAGCGTAGGTTAAATCTTTGCGCACAGTTCTCTTGAAAAATCCTTTACAACCTTCGCAAGAGTAAACCCCATAGTGCTTTCCAGAAGCCCTATCGCCGCAAATAGCGCAAATATGCTTCGATGAAGCTGCAGCCGCAGCCGCATTATTAAAGACGCTCGAAGGAGGAGAATGCATGATTCCACCAGGAGATGATTGCAGTGCATTCATAGACATTTGCTGTTGCTGCTGTTGCATAGGTGGATAGTAGTTCGATGATGACATATCGTTATTTCCTGGTAAACCGGATACGGTTGAAAGAGAGGCGTCCATTGGTATATTATTCTGGTCCATGAGTTATCTGGGTTATAAGACAATATATAGAGTAAAATGCGTAATATAAATAAGGAAAGTATGCTTACAATTGATATAATAACTGGAAGCTAGTGGCTAAAATATACTTTTTAGGATTCAAAATTAACAAGAGAAATATTCTATTCGCTTCAGATAATCAAAATATTGGGAGAGAAATTAATAAATAGTCAGCCTTGCCTGGAATCGCCCTAAACAGGGTTTACCGATAGTGCCCGGATGTTTTTCAGTTTGGGAATTCTTCGATAGATGGCGGATGGAGTGATAATATTTAGAGAAAATTTCTGCTAGAAACTGGTAGAGTTAATTCAGAAAATTTTCATTTAACTCTGTCTAGAGATCATATGTACGCAGTAACTTTGAAAGGGCTTTTATTAAATATTTGAGAAAGATCATCGTTTAGACAGCTCTGATCATAAGGAACGGTCCTTATTTTATTCTCCTCATTATTTCTTTAAGAATCTAAGCTCTAAGGGCAGTTATCGCTCAGAGTAATCATAAAACAACGCTGCATTACACAAAGAGCTGGGTCATGAACTCTTCGATTGCTAACGAGGGGCCGGGTGAGGAGACACTAATTGAGAGGGCTCGTTTAGAAATGCTTAAAAGATTGGCAAGTTCAACAGTATTTGTAAGGAACCAACAACGAAACGAAGAACCGTTAACAGACCAAGAAAGATTCGAAATTCTTTCCGACATTCTGTCTGCCAAACCAGGGTTATTTATAGAGCGTTACCACGGTGACTTAATTCAAGAGGATCTCTTGGTGTTTGATAAATTAAAGGAAAGGAACACTTTAGTATCCTATTACTTTGATCAACTTTGTAAGAAATTTAACAAGCAGACTATAACGCTGCCTAAAGTGAACGTAGTTACAAAAAAAAATCGTCGATATATAGCCTTACAACGACTTATTAAGGAAGGGGATTATTTCTCGTAAGGATAAATATAATATAACTACACCTGAAAGAGTCTCGTAATTAAATAAATAAAAAAAATTACCACTTTTCCTTAGGGAAGAAGAAATGAAATCGCGAGCACCTCGCTTATATGAGGAACTCATTGGTCAATATTTGACTGACAACGAAGCTTGCGAAAAATCTCAGCAATTAAATTCCGTTCAAAACCTTTCGACTTTGTTATTAAAGCAAATGGATTATCAAAGAGAGCGGCAGGAAAGGGACGCTTATGAAAGTGAGGAAGAATCGGAAGTATGATATCTTTTGCACGCTGTTATCAATATCATATTAATGAAAAGATAATCTGAAACTTATAGAAAGAAGACAATGCAAGCGTCTGTTCGGACGAAAGTGAACTCAACGATGAACCGGAAAGGAAAAGCAAAAAAAGTAATTATATAAGCAAATTTTTAATTATATTTCTCATAAATACATTTACACTCGTTTAGTTATAAGTCTAGAAGAAAAATTGCAGTTAAGAGAAGAATTTTATAAACGGATGCAGGAGAGTTTCTTAAGTGGAAATGATAAAAATGTAGATTATCTGTAAGTAATGTTAAGAACATTTTTAGCTTAATGGCTTATGTACTTGGACAAGTATTATTGTATATTATATATTCTTCTTGAACAGGAAAATCGATAATGACGCTGCAAATGACTGTATGAACCAATTAGAAATGGATGAACAAGACAAGTACTTTGACGATGAAACACCTGAAACAGTGAACAATTATTAGTTACTTAAAGTTTGAGCAACCTTTTAGAAATTTAATCTTAAATATACGTAAAGCTAGACGGCGTTAAATCGTGAATATTGATCGAGAAATGGGTAACGCGCAATTCCGTGACACAAGGTCGCACAGTCTTTGTATAGTAACGGCGAAGCATTTCTTTGCCTCTCGTTATTTTCACGTTATGGAGCATCCCGTACCTTTCGAATCCGTTAAACGAGAATATCATCCGCCTGATTTTACATCCTGCCAATACGCAACAAGACCTAATCCTTGTGCTCATTGCTCACCTAATTATCAACCATCTATATTATATTCGATTCTTACGGGAAATGCAACTAAAGTTGGATACGACTGTAATAATCAGATAGCAACTCAGCAGCAGCAACAGCAACAACAGCACCACCACCAGCAACAGCCCTATCTTAATAAGTAAGTAAAACCGCTTTATATATCGTAAAAGTTAATTAATTGAAAATTATCAACAGTTACACTCCTTATTACGGACACGAAAATTTACCATAAAAAATTGAGATAATCGAAAAACTATCGAAGCCTTTATTCTCTCTTTCTCCTCTGTCTCTCCATCTATCTATTTATCTATCATCAATCTATCTCTCAGTGGATCTGATAAAATGTTATTTTGTGAATGTAACTTTTATTAAAAGAATTAGTTTATTAACTTTTTTATTTGATTGTACAATATATAAAAATTTTTTGAAGATAGATTATTATTCTAAATATCACAGTCATTAAGGAAAAATGAAGAGCAAAATTTGTAAGGAAAAAATATTCATCTAGAAAGCACTTGAGCTTCTTCTTTATTTATTAAATAACAGCGTTGTGGCCCGAAAATGACAACCTCGTCTGTAGATAAATATATGTAAATAGCTTAATATAATAAATTTTATCAATGTGAAGAAAAGTGTAGTAAAATAACTAACCCTGTTTATACTATCTAAATATCTTCTGTCTTCTGCTGATGTATCCAACAGTGATTCATCAAATCGGCTATTATCGTCTAGTAATATTATTCTGTCGCCGTCCATCGATTGAGAAGTCATTTCTACTTCACTCTCTTCCTCTATTATCTCAGTTTGTTGTTTAACGAAGTTAATGAAAACCTAATACGTTGAATATTTTAGTCATTAAATACATTGATATTGCCTACAGGGTGTTTATTATATAAACAATACAAGAAGATATTGTATAATAAGAGATTTTTTTTAAATAAACTTACGTTGTCCAAAGTATTCTGGCTAACTGAATAATCGATTATGTTCATATCTCTCAAAGATTCTTCCATAACGGAAAATACCAGGGACAGATTTACTGACTTCATTTCGAATTGTACAGAATTGTAATGAGCTTCCTTTAGAACGGCACCTGCTAATTTATCTAGCACAAATCGTTTCACTCGACGGACATCTCTCTCGTAGTTAGGGCCTTTCAATCTGATTATTAAAGTATAACCGTCCCCAAAACGATTTTTTAAATGTTGAGCACTACCAAGACATTTTAATTGACCATTTACCATTATGGCCATTCTTGTGCATAAAGTCTCGCACTCTTCCATACTGTGGGATGTTAGAACTACACATCGTCCATCTTTAGTCAATTGGTATATAGTATCCCATAAGAATCTCCTAGAATGTGGATCCATTCCTGTAGTGGGCTCATCAAGCAATATTACCGCTGGATGACCGATTAAAGCGATCGCGGTAGAGAGTTTTCTCTTATTTCCAGCACTGAATGTATCAGACGATTTATCTGCTAATTTAATCAGATCTAATTTCTTCAGGGCCCAATTCACTACAGACTTAGTTTCCTTTACAGGAACGCCTCGTAGTCTGCAGAACAATTGTAAATGTTCTCTAGCAGTTAATTCGTCAAATAAAGCATCGAATTGCGGACAGTATCCTATATTTTGCTTGACTATATTATCTTCCCGTAAATTTCTACCATTTAAATAAATTTCGCCTGCAGTTTGTAGCAAGTCTGCAGTAAGCATTTTAAAGGTTGTTGTTTTTCCGGCTCCATTTACTCCCAATAAACCAAAACACTCTCCAGCTGAGACTCCAAAACAAGAGCGATCCACAGCTAGGTGACGACCCAGCCTTCTTGTTATATATATTTTTGTTAGATTATCAACGACCAGTACATCTCTCGATACACCGTTCTCCCTCACTCGTTTTCTTTCGGCCGCAACGTCTTCGTCTTCAGAGGAATTTTGACGGTGTCTATAACTAGTACACGATCGTCCACCGACAAAGAATCCGTATTCGCACAGTACTGTGCCACAAAAGTATAAAAGTCCTACTCCTGCCATGGCTACAAGATATCTTGTTGTTAATTCCCATTTAAAAGGTGAGACAATTTTGTCGTATTGACCAATTTTTAAATAATATTCATTTTTGTACTCGTTGAACGCAATGTCCATCAGTCCTCTCCCCAGACAATAATTTGGAAAAAAGAGAAAGATATTTTTTAGAACATGATTGGCTTTTCCCAATTGAATGTCTCCGTATATTTCGAATATTTCTAATAGGAAACTGGTTATAATGCACGTTAGGCCAATAAATAAATTGATAACTATGAGAAATGTATACGCAGCGCTTGATTCTTGGAAGACAAAAGATATTGGATACATCATTGGGGTAATTGACCACCCATAAAGCAAAAAGAGGGATACCACAGCGGGAAAATTTACTTTTGATACGTAAGCTGGTATATCAAATCCCTTTAAAATGACTATGCATACTAAAGCTGGTATTACATAATTACACATGTCCCATATATAGTTTGCTAACCAATAAGCAACAGGATTGAGTCCAGATAAAAATTGTAAATGTTTCGATTTGCTTGATCTCTCTTGAACCAGGAAAACAACGAACGAGGCAGGTACAAAGGACATGGCTATTATGATAAATAAAGCAATCAAAACATCCGTTCCGTTTAATCTAATAAAAGAAAGAAGCATGACGTAAATACTATTTATAGTTAATATACCTTTGAAATTAGATCAAGAGCAATACATTATAGCTAACTTACATGTAATCCATTGTTTCTAATCCATTGGTATTTTCCATAGGGTGATTGATGACTGTTATGCCGTACGCCGAAGGGTTTCCCATATCCAAAGGTAAATTGGCTCTTAAAATAGCATTGTTTAATGTGTTTAGGTAAGCAGGCATACTATGTAGTCCTTTGTGATTGAACCAAACTCTAGCAATGTTTCTCACAGCTAATCTTTTAAACATTGATGGAGCATTAGCTCCAAAATCAGTAGGAACATAATCTCTTATCAAGCCAAAAGTAAAAGCTCCATAACGATGTAAACGATATTCGTCAGTTGTGTACAAATAGTAAGAATTTTCTTTCAAATTTCTTTGGCTTATATTTAACATGATATCTGATGTAGTTGACATAAAATCATCTGGTTTAACGACGTTCGACGAATCGCATTTAAATCCTGAATTATCCTTAACACAGTGACATTTTGGATACAGAGATGGTGATCGTTTCTTACTTATATTACTAAGTGTTTTAATATGGCCCTTTGATTCTGCCATTTTAATGATAAATTTGTCAATAGGTAAGCCTTCTACAAAGACGCTTTTGCACGAAGGGTTTGACTCATAAAAACGAAACATATTCCCAAGATTGTGCTCTAACTCTTTCTTATTACTTGGATTATTAAAAGGGTCTTTAAGAATACAGGTTGCTCCTACGCCAGCAAGTAATTTGAAAGTTTCTGATAATTTTGTTGGACTTGCATCCTTGGAATTTTCGGCAAACGGTGGTAATGAATCAACAACGGCAAAAGGTATAAAGTTACCCCTTGGTCTGGTATAATTGAAATACATAGCCGGACTGAGAACAAGCGGTGGAAGATCATCCATTTTGGGAGCAGTTAGGGCGACTGTCATAGCAATGAACACGAACACGCTGGGCAAGAGAATTTGAGTAAACAAGCCTTTCCAATTACGCCTAACGTAGTAGAATCGTTTGACTATAACTGCAAAGAATTGCTGTAAGGTCAATTTATAACCTTCGACCACATAAGTGCCCCGACCAGGCAAGGATCTATGCTGATCATTAGCCATCGTTGGCTCTTGAGCTGTATGATTTGTTAACAATTCCACATCATTCGCATGGCGCCAATTTGTAATGTCATCAAGAGGAACATCATCATCATTAATAATTTGACGGCTGGCAGCTTCAGAACTTCTGTTAGATTCATTAGACTGGTTAGTATTGTTATCATCATCGATTTTTTCATCTAAGTTACCTGTAACAGGTAAGAAAACATTCATGAGTGAAATAAGAAAGAAAAAAAACTACAAAACTGACTTTCTGATGCATTCCTTGCTGATTGCGTGACCTTCATAAAAACTTCTTCCAGCTGAGTGTCTTTTATTCCGTAACTAGAAATCTGCAGGTAAAAATTCAGGTATAAATAGAAAAACATTTCTTTGATTCGGAAATTACCTTCAGATCAGCTATCGACTGATCGAGAGACTCAAATAACCTTTCGAATGACCCCTTGGTAACTTCCGCAAATGGCAAAATATAGTGAAGTTCCTTTAGGCCATCTTCCTTCAAATAACCGCTTTTAACGTACTTATTGATAAATTTTGTTACCGCCTCTGTTAATAGTGGGCGATCTTCTTCGCTCCAACATGTTTTAACCATAAATAAATGATAACCTTCGCCAAAAGTTGTCTTTAGGAAAACTGAGGAGCCACAGCACCTTAGACTGCCATTAGATATTATGGCTATCCTATCTCCAAGTATATCTGCCTCATCCATGTAGTGAGTTGATAGTAAGATTGTTCTATTAGCCTTAAATTTGAATAGTAGATCCCATATGGCTCGTCTAGCGTAAGGATCAACCCCAGCGGTTGGCTCATCTAAGATAACAGTTCTCGAGCCACCAATAAATGCAATAGCAACAGACAATTTTCTCTTCATTCCTCCCGATAATGCATCGACCTTTGATTTTCTTTTATTGGGTAAGCCTATATCTTTTATCATGGCTTCAGTTTGACTATTTATTTTTTCATTTGGCACCCCTTTCAATTTGGAGTAAAAATATAAATGTTCTTCGACAGTTAATTCTTCGAAGAGGACATTGTGTTGAGGGCACATACCCAAAGATTTTCTTATTTCTTCCATATCAGTACGAATGTCATGATTGTAGACTGTTGCCCTTCCAGACGTTGGTGGAAATAACCCAGTTAATATTGACATTGTTGTCGTCTTACCAGCACCATTATGACCAAGAAATGAAGTAATTTGCCCCTCAAACAAATTTAAAGATAAATTATTTACGGCTAATTTACCAGTTTTATATCTTTTAGACAAATTATCAATGCAAACTCCAACTCGACAATCATTCGGTTCGGTTTCAAAATGTGTCATATCTCTGTTATTCAGAGCACAAGCTTGATCTTCTTCGGTAACATTTAAACCTCTATAACGCCTGAAGCAGTCCATCAAAGAAAAGCTTTGCTGTTGAGCATTCATACGGCCGCACCAGTAGGACTTCGTAAATGGAAAATACCAAGGTTTTGGCAATCCATACGAACCTAATTGTACAAAGAGAATGTTTAAATGAAATGTCTGTGATGTTAAAATAGGTAAAAAAAAAAAAAATTCTGCAGAAATAGCTAATAAGCGTTAATTTTTTGTTTTTTTTTTTTGCGAATTATCAAGAGGAATTATTTTTTAATAACAATTTCCTCTGAGGAAAGTATAAACACTGAATGGACAAGCGTAATTTCTCTTCGCTAAAATTAAATTACAACAGAAATAATAATGATAACATTTAGAATGGTATGAGCTGCAATTTATCTTTTTAAATTTGAATTAGAAAACCTTGTGATTGATTATTTTCTGTCTTGTTATTATTTAATAACTTTAGGAAAGGTTTAAACGGGAAATACCATGGTTCAGGTACTCCATAAATACCTGCCATATATTAGTAAATAGAGTTATATATAGTCAAATGATTATAAAAACATTAGTTAGAAATGAAGCTACATCAATAATATAGATTAAATTCAAAGGAGGTATTTAATGAAATAAGATAGATAATTACTAACCCGGATGAACATTTTCTATATACCAAGTGAGAACCCCATAGAGAATTGTATCGACTATCATCATTTCCAGAGCCATAATGAGATTGAAGGCGTCACCTTCAACTGGTGATATATGTAGATTATTCCACTGAACCCCAACCCCTGTAATTTCATAGAAGGCAAAATATTTGGCTCCTAGGCCAAAAGCTGAAGTTGAGAATAATGACGCAATCGATTTTGCCCAAAAAGGAATATGATCTCCAGCAGCCTCCTCTTTTATTGCTACATACATTGACGGTACGTAGGTTAATATATAAATAATACCAGCGCAGGCAGCGGCTAATCTTGCTTTAGAATACCACACGCTTATTAAAAAAGAGAATGAGATTGTCGCCATAGCGAAGATTTCTAATAAAAGAAATAAAATCCACGGATTACTATAGGCTAAAACTTTTCCTTGATATAGCATTATGGTTAATGAACCCATCGTGATGGTAGTTTGAAAGAAGACTGTTATGAACCAAGCCAACCAATGAACCGAGTTGTTCAATCCCATCATTTTCATGACTTCCTTTAATCTTTGCTCTTTTTCATAGACGATGCTCTGAACCAACATTGCAACTGTATAAACCCAACTGATCGTTAATAATAAAGGCATCACATGTTGGACTATAAATAAGAATTTATCGTATAAGTAACATGGATATGGAAATTGAGTTAAGTAGCTTCCAGGTTCAATCACGTCATGACCAACGAATGTATCAATGATAGCTCTCTCAATAATATCCTGAATCCACACGAATCCCATATGATAATAGTAATAACCATACGTCCTAGGACCAGGAAACCAATACTTTGGCCTTACTAGTTTGGTTGTTTGAGTAAAAGTTGAATTTTGACGAATTTTATAAATAACATGGCGAGGCAACGTTCCATTTTCTCGTATATTTGTAAAAATCACACCTAAATAGGCGAGAGAGAAAAACAAGCATTAATTAAACGAAACGGATAATAAAAGTAAGTAAACGAAAGAGCTTAATGTCTTACTTGCGAAAACTGTCGTATTGTCTCTATAGCTATCACGTAGGGTATATTTTATAAGTTCTTTTTCAGTTTTAAAACCTTTAAAGACATTCAGCGATATTCCGCTTATTAGTCTTAACCAACCGCAGGCAGCATTATCAATTATATCTAATTTTGCCACATAATCTTCAGGTTCAAGAACCGTAAAATTAGATATTAATCTATCGTTCACGTGTTTATTATTCTTTCGTATACTAGTTTCCAAAAAGAGTCGTAATTTTGGTGAATCAGTTAAATTTTGTTTCATCTATAAAAGCAAGTTATTTCTTGTTTATCATATTATTTGTTAGTAATATATAGTTTACTATTAAATATTTTATAATTAAATATAATTACCTCTTTTATAAGTTGTAAATTTACCCTTGTCGAGTTTAAAGACAGATAATTACGTAATTCAGATGAAACATTCAGCCATATTCTTGCATAGGATGATATTCTATCAATTGTTGCGAACGTGCTGTTTGCCTATTTATTAAAATAGAACTGATATATAATTTAAATTGATCTGTATATTGTTAAAGGCATTTATATTTCACAATTTGAAACACAAAGGAAATTCTCCTGTTATTAGAAAAAGAGAAAAGCACTATATCGATTAAAGAAAGAATATAGTACAGTGCATAAATTTTGTCTTCTATCTAGATCAGGAGATAAAAAATCTCTCTTCTCGTTTGTACTGTAGATCTACTCTATCTATTTTTCCCTTATAAAATTAGTTTTTAAAAATATTCAAGTAGTTCTATTATAGATTGTACGTATGGAAATTTGTACAAAAGTGTCCTTATTTTTTGAATGCGTTCTTTTATCTAGAAAATTTTCCTTGTTTTTTTGTTTCTAAAAAGAGAATTCTATTTTTCTTTACAACTTTGTATTGTTGCTAGTAATACATCGATCATATCACCCGAGCTGAAAATTGACCTAAAGAACGTGGACGATAAATATGGGGGAATAAGAGAGCGAGAGAGAGAGAGAGAGAGAGAGACAAAGGAAAAAGGGAGAAAGAGGAAAGGAGGGGGGGGAGTTGATGAGAATGGAATTATGATTAGAATCAATAGACTAGGAATCTCAATATCGACAACGGCAAAAGAGAATTATAGAATATTATTAACAAACCTTCTGAATAACTTTATCAGCATCAGTACCGTTTGGTGAATAAAGAACCTTTGGATTACTGTAAAGTACGTGTAGCAAAACTCCTAGATTTCTATGATTTAAAGCAAGAAGTTCGACATTTCCTTTAAAAAGTTAAAAAAAAAATTATATTTTTAGCCTTTTTCCCTGAGTGATTCATTTACCCAAATTCACTTCTGGTTCGCTATTAAATGCATCAATTCTATCTTGTGTGACGTTATTACCGCAAATAGTTTGTTGCATTTTGAGCCAGAATTTAACGATACCACTGTAACGTTTCCTTTTAGCTTTCTCTATCTAAAAATAAAATTAATGGGTAATAGTAAACATCGCTTCAATCGTTAGATAACATTTTAAGTTGAAATACAAGTAATAAATTCTTTAAACTCGTTGCCTATGGACTCAAAAAACATTGAAGATAAAACGGTCAAATAGACCAAAGAGCACCTAATCAATTTATTTAAACTAGTTTACTCTGGCGTAAACATGGTATTGCAGAGTAACAAGAGTATAAACTGCAAAATAATTATGTTTGTTTTCTTTGGCAAGGATGGAACAACAAGTCAATTAGAATTTGTTTATAGAGTATAAATGAAAATAAACATATAGCATAATCATATATAATAAAATAATAAAGCAATTAAAATCATTTTTATATTTATAATTGATGAGTCATCAAGGTCATATTTTTAATTATTAAACGTTACTCTATTTAGAATGAAGGGATAAAAGAAATTACATAAGAAAAAGTATTTATATGCGTGCAGAAGAAATATTATCTATTATTTTAAATAATAATTTAAGAAACGATCAATAATTTCTATAAAAAAATAATCAAATAATTGATTTTTCTTTCAAAAATCAATAGATTAAATTTACAATAAAAATCAGAAGGCCTCATAATTTTATATTTTATATAATAATAAACTTACACGTTTTTGACGGTCTTTGATTTCCTTGATATTTAAATTTTTCTATATGCAATTTATAAATTTATAGTACACTTTGTTAAAAAGAAGGTTAAATATAATATAAAACTGTATCTTAAAATGTTCTTATTATATAGCTATAAAGCTCGTGTTTGTTTGTCTTTTATATTAGAATTGAAAAAAGAGCTATGCATTTGTTGCATGTACTTAAAAATAATTATCGAATAATAATATTCCTCTTACCTCTGTTTGTTTTTTATCGTCATCATCTTTGGGATTTTCATCGTTTGGCATTTTTGTTGTGGACTCTGTTGCATTTGATATTGTGTCGTTGAGACAGGCGTCTTGTGGTAGGTGAATAGCCCACTCAGACAGAGACGACAATTCAGAGTCAAAAAGCGTTAGCTCCTCAACATCTTGGTAAAACTGTTCAACTTCGCGAACAGTCCCATTTATCCAATCAAGGAGGTTAGTCTATTATTTCAATTGGAAAGAGAACAATAAATTAATCAATATGGAATAATATGATTGATGAAATATTATCAATAGCAGCTGTATATTAATAAAGCAAACCTTATTTAATAGTGGACGGAAACTCATTGATTCATTTGCAAAAGCTGATAAGCTGGCCCATTGATCTTCAGGTAATGCACACAAAGTCGTCTTAAATTTTACTAATTCAGGTTTATCCTTTAATAAAATATAATTCAACAGGCCATCTGAACATGTTGCAGTGTGCAAACCGGTTGGATTAAGAATATGTGACTGAAGCAATTTATAAGATAATGGTACAGTTTGTTGAAATTTTTGTAATTAATAATTAATTTTACCTTCAGTAAATTATTGATTAAATCAATTTTTGCTGAATCTGATTGATCCAAATAGACAATTTTCACAAATTTCATTATGAATGAATAGTCACTGTTACTGTAAGCACTTCTCTTGAAACGGCTTCGTTGGTCGCGTTCATTTGGTAAGCTCAAAGCATTATTGATTTTATCAGCTATTTTTGTTAAATTTAGTTTGGCATTGAAAAACGAGTCGATCTCATTGTCTGTCAGATAATGAAACCTTCTTTTCAAGTTATTCCTTGCGGATGTTTTATTTACAATCAATTCTCCTACTGTTACATCATCTGCAAATAAAGAATACGTTTCTTCTTTTTAAAAAACAAGTTCCTCTTAAAATAGGCTTTCAACTCACATTCTGTAAAACGGGCAATCAATGGTTCTAGACTTGCAACTTGATCTACGACCCCTTTGTATACTTTAGGTAGACTTTCCATCTCTTTAGGCGTGAAACCAGGAACAAAGAAATTTTTATTTTCCCCTATCCTCTGCAATCGTTCTAGGAACTGTTTTACGCTGATAAGAGATTGTATTAAAACCAAGTGCTGATAAGTCTAAATAAAGAATACTTAATTAATCAGAAACAAACCTAGCATTAGGCCACTTCTCAATTCTTGTTTCGGAATCTATAGTTGACGAATTGCCATGACAAAATTCTTGCATGATTGGAATAATTCCAGATGAAGGTAAAGCCCGAGTATGGAAACTAACTATATTTGTAGAAATAGATGCTAAATAGAGTAAAGAGGTAATGTTTACAAACCTTCATGATGTCGGACGGTAGGATGTTTGGCTCGTATGAAGAGCAAAATAATGAATAATGATAATGGTATAAAGAGCTCGAAAAGCAAGACAAGCTAAAAAGAAAAAAATAGATTTTTATTGTATATTTATGTTAATATATCTGTTTAGTATTAGATGAAAAACAATCTTTGTAAAATGTTCCTTATGTTATGTATTAGGAAGATAGTATAGAAAGCTCACGCTTATTTATATTACTTGTAACTATTTATTTACTTATCTAATCTTGACCTGCCATTGACTCTTTTAAGACTAGTAGACTATATGCTTATATTTAGACATTAAAAATTATATTTCCCGTTACTATGTGTGATATGATTGATAGATTTTACCTTATCAGCTTATTGGAGCAATTTGGACAAAAAGGAAGTAACTTGTCTTATAAAACAGAATCAATGAAAACAAGATGTATCTTATTAATAATTGTAGCTAATTAAAGCTTAGAGCATCCTTTAATAATTAATAGAAAAAATCCGGTTGACTTTCTTCATGCAAACAGCATGGTAAGGTCTATCTTCTTTCTAACTTATCTAACTTTTAGCCAGGAAATGCTCCTTACTCATACAGTTTTTATAAATGTATTGTCAATCAATCGATAATGATTTCTTTTTAATCTATCAACTACTTACAGGCCGTCTCTTTTTGAGGGTAAAATTCTTCCACAGCAAAATTCTCAGCTGATGAAAATAGCCACCCATCTCAACAGCGAATTTGAATTTGGCAGTTTCTAAGAGAATGTTATCCACTTCACACCAATATGCTTATCCTTAAATGTTGTTTTCAAAATACAATGATCGCAAATGATGAAAACTTGTTAAAGCTGTAGTATAACTTATTAAAAGCGGTTGATGGTAGACGCTGACAATTCTGTAGCACCACTCAGGAAATTTTTTCTCCACTGAATTGTTTCTACGAAATCTACACGCGCCATTTTGTTTTGTTGTGTTCTGATCTGAAAGCTGATTGGCTCGTATATCGGACGAGGAGAATCCCTAACCAAGGATTTCCCTAGTCAGCGTTAAATTTTATAAATGAATTGATTAATGTGTGGGTTAAAGCCGCATTAAATATATTTGTTAAGGAGCCTTCTTTCAGTATTTTTTATTACGCAATATTTATCATTTTCTATGTAATAAGAAATATGAGGTATTGATAGATATTCTGGTCATTCGCGTCTAATCATGTCAGGAGTACAAAAGAAAGCAAAAAAACCACGTTATGGAATTTTAGGAGTTAAGAAAACAGATAGAATATTTTTTTCAGCTGCGGGAGAAGATTGGTCCTCAGATTCGGAAGATGACGATTATCACCCACCAGGCGAAGATGAAATTGTTGAAATTAACACAAAGAAACGAAAACAAGAGAGAAGAAAGAAACAAGCTATTATTAAAGAAGAAAAGAAAAAGGGAAAGATTGATATCAAATTAAAACAGGGGATAACTACGTGGCACCTTCTACCACCGGAAATTTTAGTTAAAATATTAAAATTTTGTTCAATGAACGAAGGTCATCTCAGACTTGATGTATTAGGTACAGTTTGTAACGATTGGAAGAGAGTAGCCCGTACAGAATCATTATGGAAGTATGTTGATTTAGCTAGAGGATCGGAAATGCTAAATAAAAAAGATTTAGAATCAACATCTAAAAAACTTTACCCTCTGATGCGTAAAACAGAAAGAATAGTACTTAACAAATCAATTACGATGTCGCAATTCACAAATTTGATACGAAATTTCCAAGAAATTCGTGAAATCTCTTTCAAAGGTTGTTCCAAATTAAAACCTGAATTATTAACAGAAATTGCGGAATCGGGAAATTTAAAAAATTTACAAGGCGTCGATTTTAATGGAACGTTTCAAGATTTTATTGGATTGAAAGATATGTTTGTATTCATCAATAATATCTTACCTAACTTGACAAAATTAGTCTTGTCAAATAACAAGTTTAACAAAAAAACAATAACAGCAATCTTTCAAAAGGTTGCATCCGATTGCACAAAACTCAAAATATTTGAACTGGAAAATTGCCATTCATCCGCAATACCTCAGCTAGATTACCTAAGCATGTGTAAAAATTGCCGTTCGTTGAGAGTGTTGAATTTCAACGATACTCTATTCCATCCATTTAATTCGTCAGGAAATAGTCAAAATGATGAAACAACGTATAAACTTAACCTTGAAGAATTCAGAATGAGTCAATTTCTTCATGTTAATATTTATGTTTCTCCCTCGTTTATTACAGATTTTATTGGGATGTGTGACAATCTAACTTTACTCGATGTTAATCATTTGCGTAATTGCAACAGTTTCAACTTTCTACTCAAATTACATGCTCAAAAATTGAAACATCTGTATCTTAGTAATACCTTTACTAAGAATTTGGTCGATGATCTAGAAATGGAATTACAAGTTAGACAAGTGTTTTCAAGATGGGGACCGTCTTTGTTAGATTTGGATCTATCCAAGAATCTTTTGCCAAGTACCGTTTGGGATGCTATTTTTGATAGTTTCGGACCAAATCCCTCATTAATAACATTAAATTTGGAAAGTAGTAATATAGCTATAGACACTTTAGATTATATTATGAAAACCTTTCATAAACTACGTTACGTAAATATAAGTTTATGCCGAACTATCAGAGAGAGAGGAATTAAGAGAGAGTATCAAGCCGAAGAGATAAACATCCTTCGAAGTAAATTCTATTCCTAAAAAACTTGTTTACAAGAAATATTTTGGCTTACACTTTGGATTTGTTGTTTTTCTTTTATAGATTATAATATTACTACTTTTACCAACTAGCGCCATCTATGTTATGAAACTGTTAAAGGATATGGTCTATTTATTTTTTATGTTAGATTGATTAGTGGTTTTTAAAAAAAAACTTTGTTTTTGTAAAGCGTGAAAGGAAAGAGATGATAAAGTATTTGCTGCAAAAAAACGTGTATTTGTTTTTCATGCTGCTGAAATTTTTATTTATTGCGTAATAACAAAAAAAATAGAGAGAGAGAGAGAGAGAAAGAATGACATTGAAAAATATGTTAATATTTGCATATTAAATATTAAACTTAATTGTGTGGTGTTTTTTCCAAGAGTTGGTGTGTTTAACAAATTATGTTCTATTTAAGAGAATATTGAGTGTTTTATACGATAATACGATGTTTTCACTAATCCAATTGGAAAAATATAAAAAATAATTCTTTTTCACAAGTGTTTATAGGTTTAATTGCTTTGCGGAGGTTGAATAACTTACTTTTACTTTTGTTGGAACATTTGTTCAACAAGAGCACTTTTAATATAATATTCCTTTTATTTTGGTTTTATTTATACTTTTTTTTTATATATTTAATTGAAATGTTTCGTAAATAAATTTATTTACAGTCGATATATTATAGGTATTACCAGTTTATAGTTTGTTTATTAGATTATTTTACCTTTATCCGGCTTTAACTAAAGGAAAATTAGTTTTTACTTAAATTTCACTTGAATTATTTTAAATTAAACTCTAAAGCTTTTTTAATTTACAGAGTTTTTATATCTTTTTTTTTATCCAACTCAAATAGTGTAATACTCTGACGATACTTGAATATACTTTCTAATTTTCGTCAACTTCCTGTTCAATTTTCTGATTTATGGCTTAAAAAAATACCGTTAGAATAATAATACTCATAACTAAAAGATGACTAGACAAGGAAGAAGACGGCGTGGATTATTAAAGAGAAAATTTAAGGAGACTGAAGAGCAAATGAAAGAAATTAACTATATTAGAGATCTGCATTTGAGAAAAAACCTGAAGGATGTAGTAGAGATACAATCATGCCTACCTCCTGAAATTTTGGTAAAAATATTCGGCTATTGCGCCACAAACGAGGGAAATTTAAGTCTGTTTAAGTTAGCCAATGTCTCATCGGGCTGGGAAAAGTTAATCAAGTCTAAATGCTTATGGAAATGTGTGGATCTCGTAGAAGGTGTTGAAAATCTAACAATTGAAAAATGGAAGTCAATGAGAAAGACGTTTGTACCCCTTCTTAGGGAAAGCAAAAAAGTTCGTCTCAACACATCAATCATAACGACTAGATGGGATAATTTCTTTTTTAATTTTCCATCCGTCACCGAAATATCATTTGTAGGAACAAGAAATCTTCGGCCGGAAGTTCTTCTCGATATTATTCATTCCAAAATTAAAATTGAATCTCTCAACTTTGACGGTGTATTCTTAAGCTTTATCCCGTCAAAGATTATTCGTAAAATGGCTACAACTATATTACCTAGTCTAAAGAAGCTAGTACTATCCAACAACTCTTTATATATAACAGCTATTGAAGTACTGTTTAAAGTAGTGGGTCAGAGTTGTGAACAGCTGGAAGTATTGGAATTAGAGAATTGTTTACCTCCGAATAGGATTGCCGTCCCAGAATTAGATTATAGTTCAATACGTCGTAATTGCCGTTCTTTGAGAGTATTGAATTTTAGTTTTACTTTTATCGATCCTCAAATTCCCAAAACAGTATATCCACAGAACGATACATTGGATTTACGAGAACTTCATATGGGCAGTACTATCCGTTCTTATCGACGTTTTGGAGATAACTTCTTACTAGATTTTGTCGGTAATTGTAAGAATTTAGAGACAATCAATGCTAATTATTTACCAAACTGCAATAGTCTACATTTCCTACAAAAAATTAAGGCGAAAAGAATGAAAAATTTGTATATTTGTAATATTTTTAATGGAAAATACGATATACAAGCTATTACCTCTCAAGCTACAATCGTATTCGGTAGATGGCAGTCAACACTATTAACGTTAGACCTATCAAGGAATATTATGATAGATTCACTTTGGTTAACAATATTTGAATCGTTCTGTAAAGACTCACCACTTGAAACTTTATATCTAAATTGTAGTAATATAACAACAAGACCGTTCATAACTGCCATTAAACAATTTACAAATCTATCATATCTTGATACATCGTATTGCACGAATATTATCGAAAGAAGTTTAAGGCAAAAGTTTTATAAAGAAGATTGTAAGAAACTTAAAGTAAACTATTTTTGGTTTGACAATCCCTTATATAATATTCAAAGAAATTCTGAATACTTTATAGACATTATATGAAGATGTATTGAATTGTTTTTAATTGTCATTTTTTTTTCCTATTAAATAAAGTATGCAAATTAATTGTAGACAAAAGAATGAAACAATGTAACTCCTTTTTAAAAGCGAACGAAAAAAGATTACCCTAAAACAAACACTTAAACATATTTGGTAATATCAATGCTTAAAAAAAGAACAGCGATAATATAACATTCTAAAAGGGAATTCATAGAAAGCGGGAAATATTTTTTTACCAGTTTTTTTTGAAAACTGTCACTTATTGGCTTATTACTATTGTTTGCCAATTAAGCCGTTAGGTGTCAGCTGATACAGAAAATCTCGTAAATTTTTTTTTAAATTGTCGGATAAAAGTCAAAGAAGTTGTTACCAGGTATGTTAAATATTATTATTGAAATTTCTGATTAGTTTTGCAACAAATGCGTTACGCAAAAAAGTTACCGACATTCTAATCACCGGAAAACAACTATTATTACAAGGCGGTTGATGTCTAGGATTAAAATGTACGAGAGCACACATTAAAGCTTATAAATTGGTATTTAAATGAACTTTGCATATATAATCAATGTTTATATTTAGAGCTGAGTATTTTTTTTACTGTTATAAACTTTCATTTAGCATATTTCTGTAATTGACGATTTTATGTACCGTCAGCTACCAATCAGCACTTTCGTACAATTTCCGGTGTCGTTTTCCTGAAGGAGAAAAATTTTGCTTTATTATGACTGGTACAAAAGACAAAACTAGACAAAGACAACGGAGGAAAAAGACTTCCTATCATATTAAATCTACTAATGATAGATTAAACACGTTTACGATAAAAGGGGAGTCAAACAAGAGCGGTCAATTAGTTCCAGTAGCCAGCTGGAATTGTTTACCAATCGAAATTCAAGTAAAAATAATTCATCAGTGTGCGTTGAATGAAGGACATATAAGATTGTTTACATTGGCAAACGTTAATAGCGAATGGAGACGGATAATCTCAACTGATTCTTTATGGAAAGATGTTGATTTAGCGAAAGGAACTGAAAAAATACCTGAAAGAGATTTGCACCTAATGACTATATATCTATATCCACTGTTGGATAAGAGTCGAATTGTACGATTCAATAGATCGATTACTGATCAAAACCTTCAAAATTTCACAAATAGCTTTAGCAATATCAGAGAGTTGATCTTTGAAAAGTATAGCTGTCTCCATCAGACAGTATTATTGCAAATTTCTAAAAATAATCTATTCGATCATTTGATATCTCTAAATCTCACAGGAGCTATTGAAGGATCCATATCAAGACCGGTAATGAAAGCATTTATCGATCATGTATTACCAAAACTGAAAAAGCTAGTACTGTCAAACAACTTTCATAAATTGGACAGTTTTGAAATGCTATTAGAATATATCTGCACTAAAAGTAATAAATTAGAAATTTTGGAATTAAGCAATTGTCTTCCCAGTGATTTGGGTTCGTTTGCTAGATTTCAATTTCATTTAATGCGAGAGAATTGTGTAAATTTGAAGGTGTTGAATTTAAGTAATACTTATATTAATCCCGTTCCAAGTTCAACCCTCACGAACACGGGTGAAAATTTTGATCTAAAAGAATTCTATATGAGCCGTTCAATACATTCCAAATGTAATGGTTCTGAAGAATTTCTAGTCGATTTTATAGGCAGCTGTAAGAACCTAGAAGTTCTTGATGTTAAATATCTGCCGAATTGTTGCAATTTTGATTTTTTACTTTTTTTGCAAACTGATAAATTGAAATATTTATGCGTTAGTCATGTGATAAGTTCTATTCCTATTGGACAGGATTTTGCTATTATACAAGTTTCTATTGCTTTCGCTAGATGGAGACATACGTTGTTGGTTTTAGATATGTCTCAAAATGAATTGTATAGATCTAGTTGGATGGCTATTTTGGAGGGTCTTGGAAGGAATCCAGTTCTCAAAGAGCTATATTTAGAGGGCAGTAATATAACTTTTGATGCCGTTAAATTCGCATTAAGGAGATTTACTAATCTGGAGTGTTTAGATCTCCGATCCTGCAATAACATAATGTATCCAAAGCTCATTAAAAAGTTCCAAGGAGAGAGTCTGAATGCTCTAAGAAGACAGTTTTAGTGAAATATTTTTGTTATGCTTTGTTCAATTTTGTATCATTCAAGTGTAGAATATTTTGAAATCAGTTAGGTACTTTATCATTTCATGATAAGGAGATTATACATTCTGTTAATGTTACGGATTTCAACATACACGTTATTTTAGCTTATTCTCTTTTTTCTCGTTTAAATAATTTATTAATTCGACAAGCTGTTATCTGAAATCCATACGGGAATTTAGGAGAAATTGGATAAAATAGGATTTACGAATAAAGCAATGTTTTTAAACAAATAAACAATGTTAATATCAATGACGTTGACGACAAAAAATGTTTTAAGCTACTTTGTCCAGCTTTTTGAAAGGCTACGACGTCTTTTAAATTGTGTGGTGTGACCTTTAGGTGAACGACCGGGGATACTCCCACTTTTAAATCTTTTATCTCGGCACCACTGCCTGAGCCACTTCCAACATCGTTATAATCCCCGCTATAATCCCCGCTTTTGTCTTCGCCTGATCCCATTAAATCTTTCAATGTATTATCTCGCACACAATTTTCGGTATCTTCAAGAAGTTTCATAACAGTTTCACGTTGTTCCTGATACTCATTACAATAGCAACGCGTCTTAAGTTCATTAAGGGTTCTACACCTAATAGGAGGTGTTTGTATTTTCTGCGCCAAGGTTATACAAATAACATTTATCCTAAAACATCCAGCGACAGTAACTTTCGAAAATTATGAAAAGAGAAAATAATACAATTAGCCCAACATAGGCTAAATTGAAAGTAAATCGGCATCAGAAAATACACTCACGACAAGAGTCCTGTAGACTTTTAGCTAAAACTTTCGTATATAAATTATCGCAGCGGGTTTCAATGCATTTGTCCAATTTTGCGCCGTTAGCTAGACAAGTTGATATTGAGTGATTAGACGAGGTCAAATCAGGTAAAATTCTTCGTTGTTCAATATTACATTTTCCGCAATTTGCTCGAAATTGCTGAGCTATCATATTGATTTGAAATTGTGCTTCTTGTATACTTAGACCGCTAGCTGGAGATTAAATTTATATAATTTTTTTATTGTTTATTTAAATAATACAAAAGGTGGATAGGGAAGGAAGGAAAGAGTGGGAGGGAGAGAGAGAAGGGAGATATATAAAATTTGATTAATAATCAATAAAAATCATTTAGTCACCTAATTAATTAAATAATTAAATTTAAGAAACTAATAAAAGAAAAATATAATAATAAATGAATTAATAAAAATTAGATATCACTGACCCAAATAGTAAAGGTTAGTGATAAACAATCCAATAGTTGTTGTTGGGGAAAACATACTTTAACCAAAAATAGAACAAAAGGTAACAGTATGTTCTTGAAAGTTTTAAAAATTTAATAATACGTCATTATCCTATATTTAAGTGAATGTGTGCTGTCAATAAGGTTTTTCTATAAATTATTCATTTGATAATTAATACGATCTTATCTCGAGGCTTTCTTTCTTCCTTCTTCTTCAGTTTCTTAGCTCATATTAAATATATTTGTGAATTTATCTTAAGTAGTTTCTGAAAGTTTTCTATAGTCTACTTTCACGGTTTTAAAAGGATCAAAGGTATAATTCTTTCGAGTGTTAATTCTTCACTTGAAAAGGAGAATGATATTACCGGAAGGAGGTAAAAACATGACACAACCTTTCTGAAGGAAGAAACTTATAAACGAGTTATAATCCTTTACAAAATAAAGATGTAAGGAAATGTATATATGCAGTATATATAAAAGTAAAAGATTAGTAATTACTTTTTTTTGTAGTCCTTCAATAGGTTTTGTTTGGTGTAAAGAAAACAACGGAAGATTGTATATTTAGCATAAAACTTTATGATTTAACAAGAAATAGGCTGGGTCAAACTACGGAGAAAGTAAGAGATTGGTAAAAGATAAAGGAGAAAATTAAAAGAAAACCTGATTAAGAAAATAAAATCATATTTGTCGGTTCGTTGATTAAAGAATTCGAATAATAACTTCTAAGCTTTTTAGTCAACTTTCTCTCGCTTGATTATTCCCTTTATACCGACAATGGCTATCGGCATTTCTCTCTAAAGTGTTCTTATTCAAAACGAAGTATTCAATTAATACATTATGAAAAAAATTTTCAAGTAATATTAAGGATTATCATCTATTATCGGTCAATGTGTAAATAATCTGATAATAACTAGATTTTGGAAAAAATAATTACGTTTCTTACATAATTGTGATATAATCAACGAAATTGGATATAAGACTATTTTATTTACTGCAGTCTACTATTATTTATGAGCTAATCTGATAAGTATTATAAAGAATACTTGAATTATTAGCTGCCTGGGAATTTTTCTTAGGTAATACAAGTACGCGTTGGTCCGACTATTCTCTCTCTCGATAACGTCCTATAAAAGCTTATCAACGACCGTTGATTGCTTCGATTTTTCTTTATTTTTTCTTTCAATTTGAAAATAAGGAGATTTTATTAACTTTGAATAGCGACGCCTATTTATTAATTGCAGTTTTTTCTGCTTCTATTTCACGATTAAATGATTGATAATACAGTAATTTATTCCTTCAAAAGAAAATGATAAACAATTGAAGACAATTAGTCTGTTGATATACAATCTCAATTTTCGAATATACATATATCGATGATTGAAGATTAAGACTTAAGATAAGCTATATCAATTATTTTTAAAGTTTTCGTTATCGGTCAACAAGAAATCATGTATCTATTTTTTCCCTTTATTGTTATATTCCTTACTATAAAGTAGAAGTTACAGCGATCAAGTCCTTTTCATTTTCTCCATTCTTTTCGCATACATTCTCACTTCACTCTCTTTCTCTCTCGTTCTCTTTTATTCAAAATGCTGAGTAGGCTTGTTATATTCTTTATTCTATCTAACATAAGTTTGTCACTTGGTAAACATTTTATCAATTATTTATTCTATAAAGAATATGAATATTCAGCATATCTAATGTATATATATATATAGTATACACATTACATTCTAAATGTGCTCTATGTATACACAAAAAAACAGGTCTTACTGTATAAAAGTATACAAATATTATACACCAATCCAAAGGCTTATGAATTGAAAGAAAGTATATAATACTTACAGGTATATCATATTTATGTTTTGTTATTTTATAACAAATATAGGCTTTACTTTACTAGCGCATAAGGAGAGAACCTTATCAATAGGTTGATCCAGCCTTGTGCGAATGATATACAATTACCAATCAATTACAAATCAATTTTGAACACTTGGACGATAGATTGCTGACAAGCGGACCGTCTAGCTGACTTTCCATTTGGTTTTCCAGATTGACGTCCGGGAGGCTCCATTTTAAAGCACTTAATGTCGACTGGTCGCCGACCTATAGCAGGCTGTAATTTACTTTGATCCCTCATTAATACTGTATTTCGATCGTCCTTCTCAAATTCAAGCATTGCTTCTTCGGCCGCTTTTTGGGCCGCCTCAAATATTTCTTTTTCTCTGTCGGTATGATCTTCTGCTGCAGCGTATTTTTCACTAGCTTGTGTTTCGGTCTCTTCTATACCGGAATCGCCTAGACGAGATTCATTGGAGCTTACATCCGATAAAGCTGGAGCGGCAATAGGCTCTTCCGCTTTGAAACGGGGTGTCGATGGTTTCCTAGGCGTTAATTGTTGTTCATTTGTTGGGCGCTGAATGCGTCTAAAACGGCTTTCCAAACTGGTCGATCTATTAGGCTTTTGTCTGATGACGACTGGAGTACTGTAAGTGGATCGGAATCCGAAATTACTTGCGGCATCGTCGATATTTATCCTTGGCAAGGACATAGCTCTAGTCGTTGATAAACGATCGTTTGATCCGTCTCTAGAACGAATATCATCAGGAAAGACATCGTTCGATTTTGTCTGTAGGTTCGATAATCGAACGTTGATTGTTCTATTAGTTTTTACCCTTGATCCGTATGACACTTTTGTAGGGCTGCAATTGGCTTTAACCGAAAGAGGTACACTTAAACCTTCAATAGGCTTATCGCTGTCGGCTTTAACTTGTGACGATGGTGTCCTAACCGCTCGTCTCGCGGCTGCCGAAGCTTTTCTAATACTTTTAACTTCGTCATTCTGACTCAAGTTCCCGCTGATTAAAGGAAAGTGAAAAGTCCTCGTTGAAATTTGTTCACTAAGACGAGCTCTTGTAGAATTTGACACGTTCGGTACATTGGAATCGATTTTGTTAGGACGCCTCGTTTTTGGTCGCGATCGTCCATCCTCCCCTGGTGCTCGGAAGAACATTACCGATTTATTATCATCGATTCGACATGGCTGAGAATCGCTCTCCGTACTAAGTTCTTTACTCTCTTCAACAAGATGTGGCCTAGTCTTCCTTACTACTTCAGTTTCGGGAACGAAGAAGATATTTGACGGATCGCGCATTGGCGGATCCAACTTTGATGACCGATTGGTTTTGGGCAAGGGTTCGAGTTGTTCATTGTGCTTGAGTAATATTAATTTCCTATCCGGATCTGTAGGTGCATGAACATATGCCGTATCCGCTTTAGAGGAGTTTAATCTATTCCTTATATATAAGGGAGTTTGACTATTCCACCTTGTTGGCGAACCTTCATCATTCCAAACAGTTCGCCTCGATTTCAACATGCTGACTGAACGTAGCGGCGCTCTGCTCCAAATATATTCAACCAATGAGAGGCGAGCTGTTCTATTACAGATTAGTAGATAATATACGCCGATTTCTTTTTTTTGTCAACCTATTTAATTCCTGATATCCTTTTTTTTTAAAAATACAGACCTTGTTCTTCCCCTGTTAGTTGGCAGATAGTTATGAGCTGTGAAAATAAAAAAATGACAATACGAAGCTTTTTTTCCTTAGCCAATCGATGTTGAATTGTCTCGGCTTGGCGACCGTCCGAAGCTTCGCATTGACAACGGCAATTGAAAATTGCCGACTATTAATATTAAATAAGTCCTATATTGTTCGGTAGTAAATAGAAATGAATATAAAGTGATATTCTTTCGTGGCCCCCACTAAGTATTTCCTCGTAGTTAACAAACTATAATACTCCTAGAAGAGAGCTGAGAGTGCAAAGAAATATAGACTTAATAAAAGTTGTCATTGAACAACGGAGGGGGCGGTGTCAACGCGTACGACTGTTAAAAGTCAATATTATTTGTCTCGATATTTCTCCTTCCGAAGAGCAAACATTCCGACGAACGCGCTCGATGTTTGACAAAGGTATTTGTTAGGCCTAAAATCACCGAGTTTCCGATTGCAATTAAACCGATATAGGATTACATCGTTCCATTTACTTTTCTACATATTGAATAACTTTTGATTCATTTATTGCAACATTGTAATGTTATAAGCCGGTACGCTTTTAAATTTATTAATTGCACTTCGAGATTAAGTATTAAACAGTTTATTATTAAATAGTTATTAACTGCAGTTTGATTCCAAATCGCCCAAATATGAATTCTCCGAATCGGCAACGGAAGTATTATCTTGCGAAGAAGACGGAGTATATGACTTATTTTCACCCGATTTAAATGTCTTTTGTCTTACAGCTTTCATAATATCACCCACAATTACGGTGGAGAGGAGATCAATATCACCCATATTATTGACGATAGGATCCCATACATTGCTTGATGTTGTTTGATCCTTCCACACAAGTTCCGATAAAATTTCCTTGTCTCGGAGTATTTTTAACAGGAGATGACCCTTCTCCTCGTCTAATGCTTGGAATATATCGACTAACTTTACGCAATTGCTTTCTAACATTTCCAACACCAAATCCATATTTGGAAGACGTTTTATGATTTTTATATACGAATCCACCTCTAACTGCCTCACCTTGCAAAAGGAAACAACAAGAGACACGTGAGAAATCCTAGCTAGACAAACTGCAGCTTTATCGAATAATCGAAGGGAAGTGTATATTCTATGCGATAATTGCATGCGCCTACACGTGCAAATCGAATTACACATGCAATTAGCTTCAATTAACTCAGCATCGGCTTCAGATAGATCTAACTGATTTTGAGTGACCCAATGTGAGAGGGCATCCATATCCTTTTCTTTTAGGGCAGTCTGAACGCACACAGTAGCCAAATAACCAGACACAGGTTGCTTATAAGCCGGCGACGTTGAACATAGAGCTTCACAAAATATCATCAAAATTTTTGGTTCGTTTATCTCCTTTAGTCTATCGACAGTTTCAGGAATTCGGAGAATACCCTTAGGGCTAATGGCTGCGTGGTAGGCTGCTGATTCATAAAGTCCTTCATCAAGTAGTTCATTGAAACGGTCAATGTACTCAAGCATTCGTTCAGCTTCCCGTTCTTTTGTTGGGTCGTCCTCTTCGGCTGCTACATCGTCCTTCATCTCGAAAGAAGTCTTTGCCAAAGCCGACGAGACTGTTTCGCCAATAGTCTGATGAGGCGAAGGCTGTTTTAAATAATCCTCAGCCGCTTTAACTGCCACTTGAAGCTTGTGACGTTTAATTCTAGCTAATTCCTTCTTCTCCTTCAACTCATCAGCCTTTTCTACTTTCCTATTAAGTTTAGCTTTCAATTCTTCTTGCCGATTTTTTGGAGCAAATTTAAGGGCCGATGCTTCTTTTAACTTTTCCCAATCGCTTTCCACTTGCCGTAGTTTTTTTAACAAAACTTCCTCTTGTACTTGTTCTTCTGGTGTTAGGCCTAAAATATAATAAAGTAGTTACAAGTCAACATTACTATAAGATTATCAAAAGAAGTAAAAAAAGCTTGTACAAGCGATTTGTATTACCAGGAATATTTCTCCTTTCTTGCTTAACTTCAGGCGGGGGAGGATTTCGTAATTTTTCGTCTTCCTGTTCTCTGATTGATCGACGCCTCCTTACATCTTCCAATTTAGTTTTTAACTTTTCGTTGTCATTTTCAATTTTTTCGATTCTTATGTAATAAATTATTTAGCTTTTTTATTTCATTAATATTTATTATAAAGGTAAATTACTTTGTCATTAAATCCTTGGACCTTTTCACTAAATTATTTACTGTAGAGGGTTCAGTTGCCTTCTTTTTCAATTGTTGAGTTAAATATTCCGCCTCTTCTTTACCTAATTTTACAGCTGATATACAATTCTCATATTCGGATTTTATAGCAGTAAGTATAGGCTTATACGCTGTCACGTACTCGATTACCTGCAAAACAAATTAAAACGTAAAACCAATTAGGGCAAGGACGTGGGAAAATACTTGGTCAAAAGCAGCTTTGTGTACGATATATCTCTGCTCTAAATCATCCTCTCCGACTTCTTTTAGTTCATCGTCAATAAACGAGTATATTGATTTTAGAAAAGCTCTATCCTTTTCGCAGGTAATAATAGGAGGAATAACATAATGCTTGACCGATGACAGCGATCGTGAAGACGAAGAAGAAGAGGGTCTTGTGCTAGTATTGGTGTCAACCGAGCGGTAATATGAAGTAGTATCAGTAATAGACATTTTTGGCAAAGTTTTAAAATTTTAGAGCGATATTACAATTTTTCCGCCATTTTCAAACAGCTGGTAGTAGTCATGCCAACTATTAGGTTATCTTCGTACATTCCCCCATTCGCGGAATATTTTTAAAAGTTATTGGGTGCATTATTGATATGACAAATTTAGTTTGTTAACTTAGGATAATTGTTTACAATAGAATATTCAACTTGTTTAACAACAATTAAAAAATTAGTAGAAAATTGAACAGAAAGTATCAATTGAAAAATTTACTCTATAGAAGAAACTAAACATTTGCAATCCTTCGATCTTATCTTTATAAGGCAAAAGAATCTGTAAGCGGAAACTAACCAACTCACAAACGAACCCTTGATTTATAGAATAAATATAAAAAAATTGCCAATAATCTTAAATATAGTTTGTATAATTAACTATTTTTAGATGATATTTTTATAAGGCTATCAAAGGAAAAGAAAGAATAAAACTTGCTGAAAAATTTATGTATATATATAAAAAATTCGATAGAGAAAGATAAAGAAAAAAAAGAAGAGAAATTGTAATAAATTTCAGTATTAAAATAATTAATATGGAAATGAGCAAATGATCAGAGTTGCTTTCTTAACTCTTTAAGGTTCTCTTCGTAGAATACTCCATCTATAGATTTTGTAGAACAAATATTATGTTTACTGCAAACATTTAGATAAATTAGCTTTTCAAATCTTTTTACAATGAAACGTATTTGCTCTTGTGGAATGTCAGTGTCCCTTAACCACAATTTTCTCAGTGCGGGATCTTTGCCAAAACTTTCAAATATGGCAGCCCAAACAGGCTCTAAAAATGTGCTACCCGATATATTTAATTCCTCTAGACAATGTCTCCATCTATCGAATATATCTGTTACTTGGCTAATGAGATCAATTTGAGCAGGAAATATAAAAGTAAATAAATAACTAATATTAAGAGATCGTAGTTTTTTGGTTTTTAAATAAAGTAGAAATTCAAAATTATCCATATGCTTTAGGTTACAGACATTAATAATTTCGAGATTTTTACAATTTTCGACCAGACCTAATATTCTTTGAGGTGTTTGGTGTAAATGTAAAGCAGTTTTTGAACACAAGTATATCTCTCTTAAATCTAGACAATCTCCTGGGATAACGACGCCTAATTCGGCGTCTGGATAATACGCTTGAAATCTCGTACAACTTATGTTGAACACTTTAAGAGATTGGCAGTTTTGACGAAATTCTGCATAATCTAATTCGGGGTCTGAGAATCCGTTAACATATAAGCAGTTCTCCATTTCAAATACTTCCATTTTTCGGCACTTGGAATTGATCGTCTCGAAAAAGGCTTCTGCTGCTGTTGCATGCATTTTATTATTCGATATGTTCAATCTTTTAAGCCTCGGCATTAAATCGAAGCAGAAATTCAAGGCTGCCTTGGGAATGATAGATTTCCGAAAAGTTCCATTTAAATTAATCGATTCTAATGATTCCAAACTACGAGCGTCCGCTAACTCTGTGAGTAAGCCAGACGTTACTCTAGATGCTGCTTGGAAAGATAATTCTCTTACGTTGTTGAATTTAGGCACCATATCAACAAACTGTCTATTAGTAAGACAATTATTGAACCGTATCGTTTCACAATCAATAAGCAGAGGGAAGAGATTTCTCGTCATTCTACCCAATTGCTGATTTGTACATTGTTCCGATCCTTTAACGAAGTCAACATTTTTCCAAAATTTCTTCAATCCAATAACCTTAGCCCATAAATACGAAACAGATCCAAGTTTCTTCAATACAATATGGCCTTCGTTCCATATACAAAATTGAAAGATTTTCTCAACAATTTCCAAAGGTAAGAAATTCCAGTCTGGTAAAGAAGGATCTCTTTTCGCTGATTTCTTTCTAAACGTTTGACTATAACATCTTCGTATACTTTTCCGTTTTCTCGTCTCTCTATACATAGCTGAATTGATTTGATAAAAAAAAGCTATAATTTATCAGTTTTGTTCAAAAAAAATGTGTTGTTCATCGAGTCTGTCCAAAAGAAAGAATTCGTCTATAATGTTTTCTATAACGAATTTAAATGATAAAAGGCAAGAAACAGTTGACTAGTTCTGTAAAAAGAAAAAAAATGGAGATGTAAACAATAAGTATAGTGCTTTAGGCCATATTCTTAAACCTCCCTTCTTTTCGAAGGGTAGAGAACATATAATTAAGTCATTCGTAGGACAAAAAAGTGACAGTTATCGTTATTATACGTAAATAAATATATTTAGATAGTTAAATGGAGATAGGGATAAAAGACAGAGACCAATAGAGAGAAAGACAGAGAAAGAGAGAGAGAGAGAGGACGGGGGAAGAAAGAGAAAATAGAGACTTATGGAAAATACAGAGACAGACAGAAAGAGATATAGAAAGAAAGAACCAGAGTCAGAAAACAAGTGAGCAATTAAATATTATCTGCTGTGGATTTCTTTTTTCGGGGCTAAACCGCCTTCAAATAGTTGGTACTACACGGTACAATAACCTTCAAACATCATTTTAAGTCTTGTTGTCCTTTTAAAAAAGTTAATCAGTCTTTTAATTAGCTCTATTAAAGCTAGTTCGAACTCGTGTTAGATAGGTTACTGTACATAATGCCCTACAAAATATTACGTAATACATTGTTCTATTAATAAAGATACATAAAGATTTATATACATTTGTATTGTATTTTTGCCTAAACCTGAATTTTTCTATTAAATTTTCTAATAACAATGAATAATAATGAAACGTACCTTTATTAACTGATAATTAACACTAGAAAGATGCTGTTAATTCATTTAATTAGTCTGTTATTGGCAATCCGTAAGATTCCGGCACGTCTTAAAGCCCGATAAACAATAAATCTTCTTAAAGAAGAAACTGGTTATTTCCGCAATCTTTTACTAAAATAATTCCTGGTCATGAGAGGAGAGTTTATAGGAAAATAACTCTAGGTTCTATATTCCTGTTTGATTATTTTACTTTTATATATCTATAATTAGAAGGGTGAGATCTATGGAATATTCTTATGGGAAAATGCTTAGGGGTGGAAAGGTGTTCATGTCAGATTTATATTAAACTGTCCCATTAAATATTATTTTTATACTTTAATGTCTTAAATTTTTTGCTAAAGAATATAACATATATTAATATATATTAATATAAATATGAATATATATACAGTATACATATATTTGAACAGGAAAACCACAAATTTCAATTTAAATAAAGATTTAACCTTCACCCTGATTTGCGACGAATCTAAAATGAAGTAAACAATTTTTTATTTGTCGTCTGGAAGGAATTGGACGGTTTAAATCATTTTGAAATGTTCTAGAATTATAATTTTTGTCAATTATGAAAGAAAAATTCCTCTTTTATTTATGCATTCATTTTTTAAAATTTTTCTAAAGGCTCTTTACCATAAAATTATATTGTCCTTTTAGAATGTTCCAGACTAATAGGCCTATGATGTAGTTTTTTATCACCTGTCTCACCGGAGCATTTTGAGTTTTACTCATAAAATTTTGACATGTTGAGGAGTGTTTGCCAAAGTATATATAAGGAGAAGAAAATTTCTCTCTTCACTTCATATGGCCCACTACTGTTCTTAACGTAAACAGTTAAGCGTGGAATGGAGCCATTGATGAATAACTACAAGACTTGGAAGATCACGATCGTTGGTTGCGGCAGCACCGGCTGTAAGATCGCGGGTACGTAGAAAAAGAATATTTGGTTCTTGAAAATTTCTAAATATTACACGTTTTTATTGTTTTGTTAATATCCGTCTCCCTAAACAGGCTACTTCATTAACAATGGATGGGATGTTAAACTATTCGACCGTTCTCCAACTGTTATTCGTAACGTGTGGAAGATGGTTCAATCCGATATAGAGTATAAGTTTGCTCGCAACCGTTTTGCTGGTACCTGTACAGTAAGGAGAATAGATTATTTCTTTTCGAATCCTTAAATATGCCTATTCTATGTCTATTCTGTCGTTATTTTAGGGCGGTTTAATTTGCGCTAATGACATTGCTGACGCAGTCAGGCATGCTGATTTAGTTATTGAGGCCATTGAAGATGAACTTCTATCTAAGCAAAATCTATTTGAAAGTTTGTCTTATTTTTTATTATTACTCAATACTAAAAATGTTTGTCTTCTCTATTAAGTCTTAGGTCGTCATTGTAAGCCAAATGCCATTTTGGCGACTACAACGCACCAATATGATATTTCTCAAATTGCTGAAAATACGCGTAATAAAGATGTAAGTAACTATTAATTGGTTAGAATTTCGATAGTAAAACTTATAATATTTTATTTATCCAATAGCGTGTTATGGGTATACAATTTATGTGTCCTATTTACGATAATCCTGAAGTAATGGTCACTCCTGCTAGAGAGACTTCGGAGGAGAAGATAAATATTAGTATGTACATTTTTGTCTTTATTTTCTCGAATTCTAATTAAATACTTGTTGTTTTCTGTTTATTCTTTTTAACAGTTAGCAACTTCCTCTCAAATTTGGGAAAGCGAGTAGAAGTAAATCATTGGTCTATTTTTTCGGGTAGAACTGTTGAAAATGAAGATCCTGATGTTTTGTGGTCACATAGTAAGTGTTTAACATATTAGTCTACACTTAATAATTATCTGTATATTAACGATTTTATTACTATTTTTAGTTAATAGAGTTTTATCTCTTCAAATGAGATCACCAAATTCGGGAAGTTTACCTGGAATTCCTTTTCCATTACCGAATTTGAATCCAATTCCGAATACGAATATGAATACGAATACGAATATGAATATGAATATGAATACGAATATGAATACGAATACGAATATAAACACTAATCCAACTACTAGTTCTATTCCAAGAACCTTATCGAGTCAGACCCCGAATCTTGGTGTGAATGCGAATTTGGGCATGAATACGAATCAAAATCGAAGTCGTATTCTCAATTCCAACGAAGAATTATCTTCACTATTGACTCGGGTGTTTGGCTCTTCAGAAGCGCTTCCAACGTTACCACCATTTCCTCAGCTAGGTGCTCCTGGAACGCTTCCACCGTTACCACCATTGTCACTACTACCTGAGCTAGCTAGACTGACTAACAGGGCTCCAACGACGGCTCCAACGGCGGCTCCAACGACGGCTCCAAAGGCATCCCGGCCCGTTCCTCACATGGATTGGACTTGCGAGGGTGAGTTGAACTTTTTTGCGTCGTTTGTCTAGACAAGTCAACCAAGTCTTTTTTTTGTGATTAAAAGTTGTTAAACTCGTACATTTAAGTACTCGTTACATAAATGTCAAAGTTAATCACGCTTTACTTAAGAGGTCATTGGGTACTGTTTTTACTGAAATTTTTTCTGTAATTTTGGCATTGACGACTAGTTTGACCTTGTCAAATAAATTTAAAGAAAAATTTATAGTTTGTTAAGTATTTAAAATATATTCTTCCATAACTTTCCAGATGAAGATAAAGACGACGAGGCGGTTGGCAAGCCACCTCAAGAATGTAGTATATGTTTGGAAAAGCCAAGAAATTGTTTGTTCAATCCTTGTCATCATATTGTGTCATGCACAAAATGCGCTGGTATACTCTTGAGGAACGGGGCCGGGTGCCCTTTATGCCGTCAAGTAGTCTCGAATGCTGTTAAGGTTTACTTTGGTTAGACAATTTTGTGAAGTTTCTAGTAACGTCTATCTGTTTTTTTTTTTTGGAAAGTTTAGAAATATCTAATATTCCTTTTTATTATCTCATGAATATTTATAAGAAAAAAAGAAGGATTTTATTTTCTTTTTTGTTAGGTATGAAAAAAATATTCAGATAAATAATTCAATTCTTTCTATTTTTGGTTATTGACCCAATTTAAAAAAAAAAAATGTATAGTTTTGTTAATTGGATTTAATAGAGTGTATTAAGAAAAGAAGAAATGAAAAAAAAAATCTATAACTACGTGTAGTTAAGCAAATTATATATTATGTTCTATTGTAATATATAGTTGTTTATGTTTTTGATTCGTTTTCGTTTGGAAAATGTAAAAGAAACAAAAAAGAGAATGTGTTATGAATTTTTGTATGTTCTATTATGTATTTTTGTTTATCTTTTTCATGTCCTATAAGTTTGAAAGTTGTTGAAGAGATGTTATATTGAATAAACTTGAGAAAGGTAACTTTATCTAAAATTGCCTTTCTCTTCTTGACAACTATATACAGTTTATATTATTATTAATTTATTATTTACAATAACCTTTTCTTTTATTAAGATTATTTGAAGTTATCTAATAAATAACTCTGCTCATTCCAACTAAAGTTATTTTAAATAAAAGAATGGATTTTAAATCTATACAGTTGAATAATCTAAGTGCTGTATAAGTAATAAGCCGATAAAAGAAGTATATTCCTTATAATATCCTAATTTAGTTGAAGCTATTGAATTATTGAAGAAAAAGTAAAGGAATTTTTTATGTGTATAGATTTCTTTGTAACATATAATCATTTCTCTTTCTCTCTCTCTAAAAAAGCACTGTACAAGCTTGAACTAAATAGATTGACGTTATAGATGTTATAAACAATTTTTAACTGTTTAAGATGACCTTTTGAAATATAAAAAAGTCACTTTTCTTGTCTATGTTTTGTCCTAGTTACCACAATAAAAAATAAAACAAATGTCAGACAAATCGCCTTTTATTATGAGTTATTTACTCAGTTAATTCGAAAGTAACATTTTTATTAGCCTATAATGATTTTTTCTTTCTGTTATTGATTGTTTTCGTGATTTTCCTATATTCTCCTAATTAAACTCAAGTACATTATTGCTTTCTTACTTGAAATTTTTATGCCATGCATACTTATTTCACTTAAAAAACAATGTTTATAATTTAAACAACACTGTCTCCATCTGTTGTTTTTTAATTTATTACAAGGGAAAAATGACACAAACCGGTCTATCAAAATAATGTACGATGAAACCGTATTGTGTTTATGAATATTAACTGGTAGATAACTTTTTTCCACTTTGAAATAATACCAATTTTTTCACCTCTTTAGTCATTCGCCTATTCTAGAAACATGTGTGAGAATTTCGACATGTTCGACATGAAAGATATTAGTTACGAAGTTTATAAGGTTGGTTCAAATATTATGGAAGTTGACCTAGAAGAACTGAGGTTGAAGGTATTCGAAGCCAACCATCCTGTAATAGAAATACCATTAATTTTTCAAAATTTTCCTGCTATAGATAAACCTCTAAATCCTTTTCTAAACGTTCACGATCACATTATGATTAAAACATGTTTAGAACCAATTTTCCTCAATATATTATCCAATTCGAAATTTAGAGAAAAGAGATTTTACAATACACTTAAAGAACTGTACGAAAATGATAATTCACTTAATAAATATGTTACAAGGAGGAAATTAGGAAGATTTTGTACAGCTCAAGAATATTTCATAAAATATAGAATACTTATGGCAAAAAAATACTTTGAGGAATCATTTTTCGGTTGCGGAAATTCTAAAAATGTATTTTTAGAATACTTAACGGAAGAAATAAAGAATGATAAGAATTGGGATAAAGTTGAAGAGATACTAATTCCAATTGTTAATCCATATACAACTTTGACAAAATCCGTCAGATTAAATGGTATTAACGCTAAACAATATTTCGCTATTCAATACCGAATAATGCATATTATCACAAGACTTATTGAAGATTCTAATCAACCATTAGAAGATATTATAAATATAGGATTTTTTGATATTAAGTATAAAGTTTGTTTCAATACAACTGAAATAGTTACATCTATTATCGGTCAATCTGAAATAAATCCATTGGCAACCTATAATACTGTATATTTAGGTTCATATAACGAAATTTCAAAGGCATTTCAAACTACAGGATATCATAATAATTACGAAACTAACTTGATAATGGAAATGATTATTTTCAGTGCAACTGGAATTCCCATCGATCCTGAAGATATTTTAATATCAAGTTATCCTTGCAAATATACAGAAACATTAAATGAAATATCTTTTATAGTTTTGTTTGAACAAATCTCGATATGGCTTACAAATTCTGACTTAAGTAATGACTTACGTTTGCCTATAGCTCATGCAAAATGTATTCTTCTATTGGAAACTGGTTATCTACAACTAGAAGAAGTCTTTAAAAAGAATTCACTCTACGGTATTTTCTCTAAAGGTGACATCAGAAATAGGAATGATAGTATTAAACGTACAATAAAGAGGATAGAAGAGGTTTTCTCTAATAAAATGGGTCATATTACCGACGAAGCAGTACTTGAAAGAGTTTACGGATAAGATCAAACAAACAATTAGCTGACAATAAAATATTTAATTAATATCAGAAAAGATAAATGAATAAAAAACGCTTTTCGTTTATTATAATATAGTCTTTGTAACAAACTATAGTCTTTAAATTCAATAGCTACAATCAGTAGTTATAAGGCAAATCAAAGGCATTGTCTAAATCTATGGTTATTCTAATTTTAGTATCCATTTTGAATCTGATGAATATTGATGATTTATTTTTAGGCCTACAAATTATATTTTGACGAGATATCAACATTAAAACAGTTTCGAGTGTAATATATAATAAGACAAGTTAAATTGTACTGATTGTTGAATTAAAAAGCTTTTTTTAAACGATTAAAGTTTTATTCGCCAAATACTTTTTCCATATCTTGAATTTGTTGTTGTTTATCGTCCTTTTTACCATTTAAAACTCTTTTAATATACTTTTTATTAATCTTTTTCATTTTTGCCATAACTAGACAACTTTTACTTTCTTTATCCTTGTTATATTTTATCAATGATTTTGATTTCTTATTCCAATTTCTCCATAAATTTTCACCTGTAAATATTCCGTATTTTGAATTTGGAGCAAAGACATCTTTCATTCTTAACACACCTAATTTAATTAGGATCATCGATCGAGCATGAGCAACTGCAAGAGGTTGATTATAATTTTCGTGTTCTGGTAGAAACCATTGAGGTATTTCCTTAAAGAAAATCTTAAAGCATATTCTATTGATCTTATCCGTTAGATTTATTAACTTTTCTTCATCGTAGCCAATGCAGATTTTGTTGAGATCTTCTCTAGAGATTTCTATACCCGTTCTACTAAAGTCTATAAAGTGGCAAACAAGCTTTTGTTCCGTCGATTTATTGTCCTTTGTTATTTCTTTGATTGTTTTAAATATATCGCTATAATCTGCAACGTCTTCAATTAGACAAGAACCTTTTCTATCAGATTCCGAAGTTGTTTTTTGCTGGAATGTTATGCTTGTTGTACCAAATGTAATCGTTGTGGGTTTAGTATACATCATATTAAGGCTACTCTCCTTATAAGGTAGTACGATGAAATTAGGACAAAGAGTTCTTTTCATCCTCGCATCAAAGTTTTCCAATAAAACTTTCATCTCGAATGCAAAATATTTCCTGGCGTTGCATCCTCTCAAACTGATAATTCCTTGTAAATATGGTTCATTCGTTTGATTCCTAATATATAGAAACGATTTCCATATTTTATCGTCATCTTCGTTAAAGTTTCCCAATGGACATTTAACAAATTCAATAACCACTGACATTATCCCCGTTCAAATCTATTAATCTATTAACTGAGTAAAATAAATTTCTATCTTTATGATAGAAAAATAAATAGAGCGTATCTGATAATAAGAGTTGTAAATACAAGTGTTTTTTCATTATCTTGCAATGGAATGCTATTATTATTAGTATTAATATCTTTACTAAAAGAGAGTAAAATTGATTCTAGAATTATGTTTATTGTTAGTTTCTTTTATATTTTATCTTATCATATCAACTATTTATCTATCTTTTTTTATATTCTGTAAAATTAAGGTGTTTGTCAAAATAAAAACAATAAATTTACAACTAGATTTATTCAAAGGTGTTTCTTACTATATAATATATTCCAATATATTTTGTAATAGCATATAGAGTCATAGTAAGTGATACCTTTAGATATTATCTTTTAAGCCTTTTGTTAAAGTAGTGTATTGCATAAATATACATATTCACAGGCTCTACTCAGCAAACAAAACAATAGAATATTTAAATGTCAAGGATATTCTATAAATACTTTAGGCTTTTAGACAAAAATTATACCATTATGTTAAATACTACAAACTCAACATTCATGCTTAATTAACGAAAATAAAGTACAACGAAAATTCCTTTTATATTTGTCATAGTTGCTTTTTTTTACTGACTGAAAAGTATAGAACAAGTACTGATATTGATTATTCAATATACAGTATATACAGTATATATATATATATATTTATATTGAACTGTTTAATATTGTTAAATAAACTATTCGAAAATAGGTTGAACATCTAACATATTACTTGTTTTCTCTTGATAAATACTTCATAAAAACCCCTCATAAATAATGGTAATTATACTATATTCTACAATAATCATAACAATATTGATACATTTCTTTTACAGGATGTATCTACAAAGAAATCTTATAGTATCGAATCTTATGTGCAAGATCATATTAAACCAATCGAAAGGGATATCATTGGAAAAGACAAAATTAATTTAACAGATATCGCAACAAGTTTCAGCTATCATTTTCAATCTAAAGATTGCTTTGTTGGAAACGAAGAGAATATTGGTAAACATCTACAATCAATTTTCTTTCGAATATTACAAAATCGTAAACTTTATGAGGAAATTAAGAAGGAAGATATTCAATTTGATAAATGGAAAAAATTCTGTCAAGCTTACGAATATTTCCTTAAATATCGTATTAAACTTGCCAAATATGATTTTAATACCATATTTATTAAAAAACAAACAAATGATACATTCCTTAATTATTTAAAACCTGATATTATTGGAGATAAACACTGGGATAAATTAGAAGTGTTATTATTGCAAAAGATTAATCCAAACTATTCAAAATTGTTCAATTTTATTGGTATGAATGCAAAGATATATTTCGCAATAGAATATCGAATTATGTACATTTTAAGAAGAATTTTAGAAGATGCTCAAGTAATTCCGCAAACTTATATTGAGTTTCAAGATCAGTCCGAGTACGATTATCATTTTATCCTTTTAAATCATGATTATGAAATTAGATACGGAAATGCAAAGACTGGTTTTTCCGTGGGGAATATAAGACCGCATACCGCTTGTCTCGATCCAACAACTCCAAAACAATTTATAAAATTCAGTTCATCAGGAGTAGTTGATAGCATCACTGAAGAAGATATGGCCTGCTTTAAGGTATTATTTGAGAATGTTTCCAAACGAGTTTTTGGTAAAAATCGTAAATTTGCAACAAACATACCTATATTCTACGCAAAGCATCTGTTACTCAAATATCATAGTTCTTCGGAGAAAATTCAAGAGCATTCGAATCTTATCTTTCGAACAACCTTGATTAACGCCCTACGCTTAGGAGCAGCTTCTGAAGCTGATTTTGCGATAAACTTAAAAGGAAGAAATCTAACTGATGAAGATGTTTTAAAGTTAGTTTACGGCCGTTAAAAAAGACACAAATAACTAATTTTCTTTGAATGGCATCAATGTTGAATAATTAATTATAAATGATTATATATAAACTGTAGCAATTGCTTGCGTTCCGCAAAAGTTTACTGTATTATTATAATACATCTTATTATCGGTAGTTCTATATTATTTAGATTAGATTACTGAAAGAAAAGAAATTACACATTGTTCAGAGATGGATGCAATAAAAGAGTCTTGAATAAGAAGAATACTAACTGTTCAATAATTTAAAATGACTTTTATATTCTTATAATACATTCTTTCAATTTTCAAAAGTCTCTATTAAACCTGATCTTTGGATATTTGATATTTTTATTTGTCTTCTTCGATTCATTTCCTCCTCCCTGTCTGACCCTTTCTCCAGGCACAAAATTCTTATCTACGTTTGTTTTTTGCGTATAATTACGGTATAAGCCTATTTATGAGACGAAAGTCAAGTGTAATTATATTATAATCACATTATCTGTCTATTTTTCATACAGGTAAGATAGAAATTGGTTAGTTCCGTACAGTCAAGCAACTATTGCGTTTATTACATTAAAATACAAAGATGGACTGGAATTCTATGCTGTCTTGCGCTCAAGAGATTAATAAAGAATTCACAGAAAGTTTTGAATTAACTATAAAAAGTATTATTTTTAATTTTAATCGATTGCCTTTGGAAGCTCTTTCTGAAGATTATAGATATATAATAGGAAAGAAACTGTCACCTACATTTTATCGCCTGTTACAAAATCAAAAACTCTACGATGTTATAAAATCGCTACAACATGCTCCTAGTATAAAAGAAGATGTAACAGGATTCTTTACGGCTTACGAATGCTTCTTTGCGTATCGTATTCAACTCGCTAAGCAAGAGTTTGAATCAAAAGTTTCTAAACTGGAAACTTCCGATCCTTTCCTAAAATATTTGAGACCGACAATCATATGTGATGATCATTGGGATAAGGTTAATGGACTATTATTACAAAAAATTAATCCTTATTATACGAATTCATTCGATTTTAATGGTATGACTGCAAAGATTTATTTTGCAGTAGAATATCGAATTATGTATATAATTAGAAGAATTTTCGAAGATGCTCAAGTGATAGAAAAATCAAAAATACAATTCGAAGATACCTCAGATACAGATTATAGCGTTGTGTTTACTAATCCCAATTACCAAGTAAATTATAGTTATTTAGATAATCCATTAAAAAGAAAAAATGTTAGAAATAGCACAATAGGAAGGGAACGTGAATCTAAATTAATAATAACGTTCAGTTCCGCTGGAATTCTTTCTACAAGAACTGATTACGATTGCGTAAGTTTTCTGATAATGTTTGAAACGATTGCAAATTGGGTATTTGGTAAACAACGAAAATATGCTCAATCTATTCCTTTAACATTTGCAAAGCATTTCTTAATGGAATATCAAACTGAAGAAAAGAAAACTTTAGGTTGGTCTTTTGAAAATCTAATATACGATTTAGGTGTAACTATACGTGCTGGAGTTGATATTCGTACTAAATTCTTAATTCATTCAAAAATTAAACATCTAGATGATCAAGAAATCCTTAAACTTGTCTATGGACTTTAAATTTTCTTCTATCATAAAGAGAATCCATATTGGAAAGCAAGCTGTCTAATGTTCACTATTTAATTCTTTAATGATATTTGTAGATAATGAAACTTTAACTGTTAATCCTTCTAATTGAAAATATCACTGAATAAACGAATGGGTTGTTTATCAAATACAATTATTAAATATTTATTGGTGACAAACTTCAATAATTTGCAGGCAAGGAAAAAATTGAAACATCTAATTGGAAAATATTTCAACTTATTTTCCAGTAACAAACACTTTAGTTAAATTTCTCTACTAATAAAGAAACAAATATATCAACGTTTTTCAAGACTCTTATTCTACTTCCGAAACATCACTACTGCCAGATCTTCTCTTTCTCCAAACATAATACCAAGTTAACCCAGCGAAACCAATAGCTATTGCTCCAGTAACTGCAATAGTTATTCCAATAGCAGCTTGCAGTCTACTCTGCCTTAAGCTCGATGTTTGTGGTTTATTCTTAGAATCTATTAGACTGCTATTTTTAAATATTACATGTGGGGAAGAACTGTCAGTTACATTCTCTTCATTATTCTTTATAGCTGCTTCTGCTGTAGTTTCAGCTTCTGCTGCAGAACTTACTTCAGCAGAACCTTTTCCAGTAGCCACTTCATTTTCCGCAGCTGGTGTATTTTCTGCCAAAGTTTCTGCAGTAGCTTCAGCTTCTGCTGCAGAACTTACTCCAGCAGAACCTTTTCCAGTAGCTACTTCATTTTCCGCGGCTGGTGTATTTTCTGCCAAAGTTTCTGCAGTAGCTTCAGCTTCTGCTGCAGAACTTACTTCAGCAGAACCTTTTCCAGTAGCTACTTCATTTTCCGCAGCTGGTGTATTCTCTGCCAAAGTTTCTGCAGTAGCTTCAGCTTCTGCTGCAGAACTTACTTCAGCAGAACCTTTTCCAGTAGCTACTTCATTTTCCGCAGCTGGCGTATTTTCTGCCAAAGTTTCTGCAGTAGCTTCAGCTTCTGCTGCAGAACTTACTTCAGCAGAACCTTTTCCAGTAGCCACTTCATTTTCCGCAGCTGGTGTATTTTCTGCCAAAGTTTCTGCAGTAGCTTCAGCTTCTGCTGCAGAACTTACTTCAGCAGAACCTTTTCCAGTAGCCACTTCATTTTCCGCGGCTGGCGTATTTTCTGCCAAAGTTTCTGCAGTAGCTTCAGCTTCTGCTGCAGAACTTACTTCAGCAGAACCTTTTCCAGTAGCTACTTCATTTTCCGCGGCTGGCGTATTTTCTGCCAAAGTTTCTGCAGTAGCTTCAGCTTCTGCTGCAGAACTTACTTCAGCAGAACCTTTTCCAGTAGCCACTTCATTTTCCGCGGCTGGCGTATTTTCTGCCAAAGTTTCTGCAGTAGCTTCAGCTTCTGCAGCAGAACTTACTTCAGCAGAACCTTTTCCAGTAGCTACTTCATTTTCCGCAGCTGGTGTATTTTCTGCCAAAGTTTCTGCAGTAGCTTCAGCTTCTGATGCAGAACTTACTTCAGCAGAACTTTTCTCAACAGCTGCTGTATTTTCCGCGGCTGGCGTATTCTCTGCAAAACTTTCTGCAGTTGTTTCTGCATCCACATCGGGAGTAATTTCTTCGAAATCTTCCTCAGTTGTTTCTGTGCTTGCTTTAGGAGTATCGGTTGTGCTTTCAGTTCCTTTGGGGTAAATAGTTATATCTTTCCACGGTCTGAAGGTATTTTTTATGGGGCCTGTTAGTGCATCGCTATCAATTCCAGAAGAAGATATAACAGAGTTTTCCACAAGGGGATATTCGCAAATATATCCATGCGCAGTTCCAGCGTTTGTAAGAGCATAAAGTTCCACTTCACTTTTTCTGAATACTCTTAAGCTGACATATTTCAAATCGGAACTTTTAGTTAAAGTATTGGCAAAGATAGGAAGTTTAAACTCATAAAAGTCGTATAATCTCTTATTAGTATCCTGCCAAATCCAATGACTATTATTGTAATATAAACCAGTCCAAAAGGATACATAATCTGATTTGATACTGGAAAAAAAGATACCTTATTGGAAAAATAGGATAAACAATAAAAAGGAGATATTACGTAATAAATTTTAATTCACTCCTTATTGCATCAATAACTATTTTCAGGGAAGATTGATGGTTAAACGTCGCTACTTTTCCAGAATCTAGAGCACATTTATTCTTTGCCTCGTCGTGAGTTTTTGAAATAAAATTTCGCTACAGAATAAAAAAGAATGATGAATTTTTTTTTTGTATTAGAAAATAGAAAAAGAGTTACTGGAATTGAATTATCAATGCCTATTTTATATCCGAAACATTTATTTTCTAAGGCAATTTGATTATCTATGCAAGAAAAGTGCGAAGTCTGTTCAATACCATCTATAGCAAAACCTTTTGGGAAAACGAAATAGAATGTAATAACTTATAAAACTTTACTCTTTTTGTTTTTAATAAATACCAAACAAATAAATTAGAAAAAACATCAACATCGTCAGCTTCTTCTAACTTCCTTAAAATGTATTATTAACAACTAAATGACTACTTGAATTCATATGCTGAGTAGTTTTGTATTGTTTTTTTAATGTTCAACCTAATTCTAAGTCTAGTTGAGGATCTTTCTCTAACGACATCTAGTGTTTTAACTTTATTAATTTGAATTTTTTTGGTTATCGTTAAACGAATTATAAATATTAGAATTTAGAATTAGATACTGTTCATAGTCCGGTTTTGTTTTTTTAATAGTTTCATATATTAACTGAAGATGGCGTGCTCGATTTGTTAAAAAGTCGTTTTAAGAGAGTATAGATGTTACAACTCTTTCAATTCATAAATTTTTTAGTAGAGTTTGAAAGCAATGGTGACTTTTTGAAAATATATGAATGGAATGAGCGAGGGTTGCAAGTAACAATACAAAAATTCCTCTATTATTATATTCAAATTATTGTTCAGAAATAACTCTATCTAGGCCTTTCCATATCTAGACATTAAAGCAAAGAAGCCTATTTAAAATTGTCGCAAGTTGAAAGTTCAATAAGCAGAATTTCTATCAATAAATATAAAGTAAAGGGAGTTTCTTTCCCGAAGAGCTTGTGACAAACTGAACAAAGATGAAAAGTTTCCAAGTAAATATCTTCATTAAGCATTAACTATACATATATATATAAAACATTATATTTTCAGGTTTTATTCGTTTGTTTACCTACTTTTTCTTGTTTTTCTATATTTTTTAAATAAATTAACGATTTGAATATAAAAGATATAAAGGAAATTTTACCTAAGGGAAGAGTAGTTGAAGGTGACGAAGAGATGAATTACGACAACGAAACTATCTCTTAAACCCAAGTACAATTTAAACTTTGCTCTTCTTATTGAAAGTCAATAAATATGTCAAAGAGACGACTCTCTTTTCAAATAATTCGATATGCAATGAATATTGAGGGCTGATGAGGGGTGGGACAGAGAAGAAGGGAATAGGAACAGGGCAACACAGAAACTAGTGACTAATCTAACAATTAATGGAAGTATTCCAAGTAAACGTTGTGCGTGAACTAGCAAATTGAATAGAGAACCATTCAGGTATTTAGCGAGTTAGTTCAAATAAGAAAAATGATAAAAACGCTCTCCAATACGCGTTTAATTCTATTAATACTTCTTATCATTGTTTAAATTAGATTTTAATGTATGCTTTAGTAATATAAATAATTTATTTATATAGATTCAATTAATATTATACTCATTCGACAAATAAAATTAATAGAAATAGTCATAAATTTCATAAAAGTTCTTCCTATTCTATTATTTTTGAATAAGAATATTATAAATAAGAGTTAAATAAAAGAAAAAACAATCTAAATTTTATTAATTTCCATAAATATATATATATATATTTGATATATATATACTCTACAGTGTTTATGACCTTTATCGACCTAGTTACACATAAACCTTTTCTATTTTTTTTCTAACACGTATACTTTATACTAACTTTGCAATTATTACTATAAATATCTCTTCATTTCATTATCATTTAATCAGTGAAAGAAGATTCATATATATATATATATATAGATTCCTCGAATAAATAGAAACTAGTAGTCTTTCATTATCTTCTTTGGCTTTTTTTCATTTTCAAGATTCTCCTCTTCTAAATACGATTTAACCGCCTTCTATTCTTTCATTACTTCCACTTCTCTTGCCTTTTAATTTATATTCTCAAAGTGCATTAACCTTTAGGCAAAAATATATATCATTTATGATAATATAGTCTAAATCATATAATAAATACAGCAGTTTATAAACTATTAATAGGACTATATTGGTTATAAATTAACTAGTTAAGTAATTAAGTAATTAGTTAAATTTTTATGTAAATATATAGATATTTAATTTATTCTAAACTCTATTTTTTTAAACCTTCTCTTGTTCTTCAAACAATGAAATTGATATTTTTTTAATTGATTTTTTACTTCTATATTAAATAAAAGAGAGAAAGAATAGACGAAGAAGAAGAAGAAGAGACTAAAGAAGATTGATTGAGTGAATGAAATGAATATTATCTATTCAATCCTAAAACTTGAAACTATTAGTTAAGTTACTAAGCATTTAAAAGTTTATTTTATAAGACAAGAATAAATATTACTTAATATTTAAACTGTCATTTAACCTTTAAGACATTATTCTATACAACTAAAAAGCTTTAATTCTATTTTTAAATAGGCTTTATTACAATATAGTGTTAAAGTAGATCTTTGTTACATCATCTTTATCTATATATTGTATAAGTCCCTTTATTCAACAAAATTCACTTTAAATTTGATAACTAGTAATAAAATATATGATTATAACGTAATAAATGCTGCTTTGGTGATGATATACGTAATAATTTAATGGATTAAGATGATAAATTGCGGACAGCTTGTATATATTAATTATTTATCTCATATTTTAGAAATATTTTTCATATTTTTAATTAATCTTTTCCACCTTTTTTTCTTTCTATTTCACCTCTCTCTCTCTCTCTTTGTTCTCTTTCCTATCATTAATTTCATTTACTATGCGTAAGTTGCAATTCTTTATCATTATCAATTACTGTTCGTTGTTGTATTATCGCAAGATTTTGCACTCGCCAAGGTAGATACTATTGCATATCTTAATTAGGAAGGGAAATATTACGTAGATTTCTATTTTTTAAAAGCTTAGATTGATTTATCTAAAGAATTTCTATTTATAGTTTTTTAAGGAATTTTATGCTTCTCTCTCTCTCTCTCTCTCGCTCTCGTCAATAATTTTATACCCCAAAGCTAAGATTATCGTTTAAATATATTCAATAGTCTAACGTAATTTGAATAATTATTCAATAGTCTTAAAAATAGGTCTATTTACTTGTACCGGTAAAAAATAGTTGCCTTGTAATAAAAAAAAGAGAAAAAACAAGAATTATTATTATTAATTAAAGAAGGAAATTACATAATACTATCAATTCTTTTGATGTTCCGACATACAAAAAAAATGAAACAAGCAAAACTATTCTCTAAGTATAAACAACCAAAAAGAACGAGGGAATAAATATTTACCAGAATTGGTTTTTTTTTCTATTAGTCAATACCTTACTTCCGGTTCTTTATTGTTTTTTAATTAATGAGTAACAATCATAATGATATATACTGTACATAGAGAAGTATATTTTGGCCATAAGCACAGGTTTCGTGGTTGTTTTTTCTCTCCTTTGTTTACTATTGATTTGTTATCTTAATTAAGATAAGCTTAGTTCAGTTTTAAATAGATTAAATTTTACTATTTATATATAATGTTCTAAAAAAGAACAAAAAAATTTCACCCATATTTTTTCTCCTTTGGTCTATAATTGATCACTTGGTAATATACTTTTATTATCAATCGATAATATTACATTTTAGCTTTGACCTCTTATCGATTCTTTTACTTCAAAAGTATTTTAGCAATGGAAAGTAATTTACAAGCCTAAAAAGAGATATCTATAAAATTACAATAAATTCAATTTTTTATTGGGGAATTTTATTTATTTTAATGGCCCCCTTATTTTCGCGTTTTAGAACCTTTCAAGTAATTATCGAAACTAGTGGCATTTAATTAAATGTTTTGAAAAATAAAGAACGTTCTTTTAACAATTAAACACTAAAAAATGGAAATTATCGAACGTAACGTTCGAAAAAAAGAAGAAAACTTTTTTAACGGAATGCTTTCTTTTTTTTAATGTCAAAAAGAGAACGGAACAAATTTCAGTTATTCATTATATGGTTATGTTATTCGAATAGTTTTAAGATAATTAAGAGCCTGTTGATAGATATTCCGTTAGGTGTATATGATTGTTGATAGTTTCTTATCGTTATATACCGTTAGATAAGGAGATAGGAATTTTTGTGATCGTGATTAGTCGGAAAAAAATCTTTATGATTAATTATCGCTGTAGAATATATCTATTTTTCGTTTGTTATTATTACTATTAACGATTCAAAGCTGCACATTTTTTCCATTAAATCCTTTTTTTTTAGTGACTTTTTCTATAATTCTGCAATTATGTTATTAAAAGAATTAGGTCAAGATATCAATAAAAAAAGAAAACCTCTTAACACTATAAAAAAGATTAAGAAGGTAATTACTATTAATTTAAAGTTTTAAAAATTTGTATTATCGCCCCTGCGCTAAAAAGGCTGCTCTATATTTAAATAATTCAAAGAGTCTTTGATTCGCTTTTATATCCATTGACCTTCCTATTGAAAATTTGTATGATTGCGAATATTTATTACTATTTAAACTACGACGTAATCCAACCCCCTTGACTATATATATAGCAAAGTTGAAGCATTGACATATTCTACCGAAATGGCTACTAGGTCAAATTGTCAAAAGGAAAAGAGAATATTTAAAATTCCAATTGGCTTTCTTTTCAGAAAAAAAATGGAAATTTTTTCTTCTATTTTTTTCTCTTTATTTTGAATTTAAAAAAGAAAAACGTAAAGTTTATTTCCTTTTAGTTCTTTTCTCATTTTATTTCTTTCTTTATTTCTTTCTTTATCAACCTGTTGTTCCATTTAAAAATCTAATAGTTTAGAAAGTTTCAAGTGTTTTTGTTCAAGTATTCATGAGCCCACTAGAAAATTCTGTCGAGCTTAAAAAAAAGAACAATAAAAACTCTAGAAGAAACTGAATATTGTCCCCAATCCATTAGAGAATTGAAAGAGAGAGTACTATACATGTTTTTGAACTCCATCAAAGAGAGACACTTTTGTCCTTAGATTACTCCCTTTTTAACACTTGGAATACTTTGGAAAGATTGAAAATTTCTTCTCTTATACTATTATATATATATATGTGTGTGTGTATTCGTGTATATATAAACTATAGTAAAGCGATTCAAAGCCATTTGCATTCATTCACTTTTTTCAAAAGAAGGGGAAAAATGGAAAGAAAGAGTAAGTGAGTGAGTAAGAAAAAGAAAAGAAAGAAGATAGACAGAGAGAGAGAGAGAGAATGAGAGAATGAATGAAAGAAAAAAGTATGAATGAAAGGAATGAAAGAAAGAATAGAAAAAAAAAGAAATAAACTTCCATCTATCACTGAGCTTTTATATTTCAATTAGTAAATCCTATTAATAAAATTAATACAAAGATATGATTTCAAAATATGCAATAACAAAAAAAGAAATGATGGAGTGAAAATAATATAAACCAGAAAACCTTGAACGATAGATATGTAAATAGATAGACAGAGGGAAAGAGAGAAAGATAATATTGAATAAATAAATAAATAAACAACTAGTAATTGTAGTGAAGGGTCTAATATATTTTATATATTTAAAAAATGTCCTGGTTTAAGCCACCCACATAACGGAACAAGAATGCAATTCAAATATTGTACTTATCACCGAATATTATTGGTATTCTACTATATCAAATTACATTTGTATATTTCAGTTCTTAAAGGATATTAGGCAAGATACTCTCCATTTTCAACAGCTAAAAACTCTATAATAATAAAAGGAAATTTGACTTACCTTTACCACTCTAGAAATGCTTGTATTTAAACTAAAAATACATTTTTTTATGACATTATATATATTTACATACTTTATATTTGTTAAATAATTTAACAAAAGAAATGTTTTAAAAAAATTGAAAGCCTATTTAACTAACTTAACAGAATGGGGTCCTTAATTAAATATATACAGTGGAAATATATATATAGCTAAAAGATTTCTCTCTTTTTCTTTCTTTCTCTCTTTCTTTCTTTCTTTCTTTCTTTCTCTCTAGTCTTCCTTTTTTTTTTTAATTGATTAAAACATTAAAATAGTTTCAAGTATTTCTTTAAAATAAACATCTTTTTTTAATGGATTTTGTCTCTTAATATAATATATAAACTATTCAGAGTAGTTAAAAGATTATACAGTATATACATATATAAATAGTATATATCAGTCTAACTATACGTTTTTCAAGGTTTTCTATCATTTTTCAAGTAGTTATTTACAATCGTACAGGAAAAAAACAAGAGAGAAATCAATCGATAATTAAAAATATGAAAAATGGCTATTTATCTAAATAAAAAAAAAAGAAAAAGGAATTTTCATTGATAAAAGTTTTTTTTTAAAAAAAAACAATCAATCATTTTCATAAACCTAAATATCTTAACTTCAACAAGAATTATTTAGTCTTTTTTTGAGTTTTTCTATAAATAAATCATCTTATCGTTAAATTAAATAATACGGCTTTTTTTAAAAAGTCACCTAAACAAATTTGAATTATCTCTATGCAATGATATAATAACATTTAAACAAATTTTTTGATCTGATTTATGGATATAGCTTTGCGTTTCTATTATACTTTTATTAACAACACTTGAATAAAATATATAAGTAATAGGCCTATTAAGAGTTTATTTCTTCGTGTTTTTTTTCCTATCTTTCGCTCATTCACAACGCTTATATGTCTGTTTTTATTTCTGTTTCATTTTCTATTTCTTTCTCTCCTTCTGTATGTCTCTCTCTTTTTATATAGACACATCCTCCTCCCTTTCTCTCTCTGTCTCGCACTCTTCCTACTCTTTTTATATACATACGTTATATTCAGTTTTTATTTATATATAAAGTAACTTTATTATATTTATATTGCTCCTGTTCTAAAGATAGCTTTATTTACTTTTACAAACTACCGTTTAACATAATTGACTATACAATGCGAAAGGGTATTTTTTTAAACTGGGCTTAATGTTTATCTATACAAAAAAAGGAGAGATTGAGGTGCATAGCTCTTAACGGTATATTTTGTATCGATCAACTTTCCAATCAAAAGTTTAGCCTATATCTTTGAACATTGACGACCTAATAATTGGAAAATTGATAACATAGAAAAAGGATAAGGAAAAGAATAGAGCCCGATACAAGAAAGTTAAACTCTTTTACCATAACGTATACAGTACTATCAACCGACTCAAATGCTAGGTAAACTTACAAGAGCTTGTCTAAACAATTAAGTCACGTACGACTTTTACGTAGCGTACGCAGTATTATGATTTTCTCTTTCCTGTCAGATTCAATGAGGATAAAGGCTTAGAGTTAGAGAAAAGGGAAAGAGAGCATATAAGTTATAAAGTTTATATTACTTTCCTATTTCCTAAACTTTTTTTTTATCTATTAAAAAAAAGAGAGAGAGAGAGAGAGAGAGAGAGAGAATATCATACTGTTTTGTTTTTTAATCTTTTAGCAATTCTAATTAAAGTCTTTATCATATAATTTATTCATAAGATATCGAAAAATATCATGTTTTTACTTTTTCCCTTGTTTTTAATGCAACTAATAATTATTAGATGGATATTATTACCTGTTTTTATGAGTATTTATACTTAATTACTATAAATATAATATAAATAGTTTGTTCGTATTAATAAACTAAAAAAGAATAGAATTTATATTCTGAGGTTTAAAAGTTCTCTCTCTCTCTCTACAAAATTACAATAGTATTCGAAAGTAATGACGATACTATGCTACTCTAGACCTATAATGATAAAGAATTGTTAAAAAAAAGTCACTTGAAATAAAGATAACTTATAAATTATTATAGTTATAATCAATATACATATATATATATCAAACACATAGGATATTATAGATATTTTATACATCACATCTCTAACATCCTTTTTCAAGATTTTTTACTAACTCTACTCTAGTATTTGTATACTTGTTACAGTATTGCTGAATTTCTTCTACAATTCATTTACGTTTTGATAAAGTTTACCTAATTGTTAAATTGATAAGAATTCGATAAGGTTTCAACGATGAGAATATCAATATGTATTAAGGAATATCAAAAGAACAAAAAACAAAAATTGCATTAAATAATAATAATAAAAAAAAGCGTTCCCTCTTTTTCAAAATTCATTTCTCTCTAATTTTTATATTTTTAGTTTTTTATTCCTTCGCAAAAGATAACTTTATTGTAATTAACTTCACATTTTTTAAACTTTTTCTCCTATCTCTCTTTAAATATCTTTCCTTTTCTTTTAAATTGATTTTTCCTACTTCACTCTATCTTCATACAATAGAATCTTTTCTTTATCTTTTCTTTCTTTTATACTGTATACATAATATTTGAACTCTTTTGTAATTTTTTTCCTAATAATATTAATAACAAGAGCGATAAAAATGCAATAAAAAAGAACAAAAGGTCAACGAAGTATTCAAATCGGAAAAGGAAACGCTATGAAAAAAAAATGAAAGAGAAAGGAATAAAAACGATAAATGTTTTTACACCTGAATGCTTAATTTCTTCTGTACAGAATCAGTTCATCAAGCAGTCTTTATTGCACTTCCGGCCAAAATAACCGTAAGTCTTATTTTAGGCTTCGGAATCGTTTTTGTTATTTTTTACATATTTATCAAGACCTAAGTCCTTCAATAGGCTGCTCGTAGATTCATTCTCATCGTCAATAGAAAAAAGACCGGCAGGGGGTTGAGGCGGGTCAAGACCCACGTAATAGGACATCCCACCGACTGATACCTGAGCTGGACGAGGTGATTGTAGAGTTACATTATCGTTGGTGTCTTTGATTACGGTTGTTTTACCATCCAACTCTGCCGAATAACGCTTATAGCTCAACGGTGCTATTGTGGGAGATGCTGATTCTTCTATTGGTTCACCTTCTTTGAGGCTATCGTTATCGGTATCAGGTGAATTTACAGCCTTTACAACCACAGCTTTGACGGCAGTACCATTATCGCCACTCTTTCGCCGAAGAAGTATATCCGCCTTCTCATCTGCAACAATTACATCGTCCTCATTTGTTCTTGGAGTAATTGTAGAAGACGGCCTATCCTCTTCCGACGAAGAACTCGATGTTCTCGACCTTTTCTGCTCATCTACCATAACAACAGTTGTTGAGGATTTAGCGTTAGGCGATAATGCCGACATTCGTTTGGCATCTTCTGGTTCGTAAGACGCCTTAATTATGTCTAATTTGTCGGCATCAGATAAATGCTTGAATTCAATCTTTTCGCTATTTTCCTGAATCCTAATAACTTCTTTTATGGCTTCTTCTTCAATAATTTTTGCAGTTATTTCGGCTTCAGCGACAATTCTAGCCTCATCTGTCATGTCCTTCTTTTCTTCAACAATTATCGCCTCAGGCGTTTCTTCCAGCGTTTTAGCCATTAACTCGGCCAACGTAGGACCGTCGTGTATTTCAACCACTGTATCATTACTTTCGGAAGATCTCGGCGCCTCCTCAATATCAATTCGGTGATCTTGAACAAAAGCGGGAACAACTGGTTGTTCTTCAGCGGCTATATATTCACATTGTGAGCTACTAACGGACTTTTTATCTTCATCTCCGTCTTTATCATTTTTTTTCTTGTCGCTATCATTTTCGACCTCGTTAACATTGTGAACTACAACACTAGCTTCAGTTAGAAGCGTTGATTCTATGCTGACATTTTTCTCTACCAAGATACTTTCCTCTTTCATTCTTCCTTGCTCAAAATTTGATGATACTTCAGATAGCATTTCGGAACTGTCTAGCTTAACATCGGGAAAGTTAAAGGTAGTATCAACTGTATCCGTCTCATCTTCTTTTCTTATTTCCTTTTGGCTGAGCACTCTTCTAGTAGTTGCATCCGAATAGGTTGGAGATTTGTTTGTCTTGTCGATTTGATGGATATTATCCACAGATTGACTTCGGAATAAAGGATTAAATGGAGTTTTAACAAATCTTCCACCAGCCTCTTCTCCTTCGCTTCCATTGTCTTCTTCGATGTTTTCTTTGGCTTGACTTTTACTTTCTCTTTCCAAAGTGATATCGCAAGGGTGAGTAGATGCGTAACTAATTATAGTTAGAGCATCCTCCAAAACAATATTCTCAAAGGAGACAGTAAATGATAAAATCTTATCTCCAACTTGTATCTTGCCACTTTCCTTAGCAGGTCCTCTGTTGCCTAATTTACTAATATAGACTCCTTTAGTCATATTTCCTTTGATGTCGAAACCGAGCCCCCAAGGATCGTCACTCTTCAGTGGCACACTAAAGACCGTAGGCTTCTTCAAAAGAATATTAAAGTTAATTATTTATACACTTCATATGCATATAATTTGCATAAAACTTACATTTACTTTATCTTCGTAACATTTACTAAACACAACTCGTTTGTCGGAAGTCGATCTCTGAAGTGTTTTAACAATTATATAACCATGTTTTGATAATGATTACACCGAATTTCTTTTTTTACATATGATTTGAATAGAAATAGTTTTTTTTAAAAGGAAGAGAAGAATTTTCTTCTTTTATTCTTTTCTTACAATTATTTTCTATTTTTCTCAAATGTTTACCTACCTTTCTAAGCTTGGTCGATTCGTCATCTTGAACTGTATGTTTGCCTGTTCAGTAGTAAAGGTAGAATGTTTACAATCACAATCAAAAACCAATAATCGCATTAAGAAATAGGAAGAAGACGTAAAACATCTGCCATCCTAAAATCTCGATTGATTTTAATATTTTTACGGGTTTTATGCTAATCCTAGCATATTAGGTTTATATTTCTGTTCTTCAAATTTCGCCAAATTATCAATAAGAAGCAAAATAATTAGAGAAAATATCCCATTATATTAATACCAGTTGTATATATTGATATATATATAATTCGAGCAAAGTACGAAATATAACTTGATTGAAAAGCTTATGTTATTTATATGTTGGTCTAAAATAGTATAATCGATAGGTTATAAATGAAAGACGTTAGTCAGAAATTTAATCAGTTTGGCCATTGACGGGACCATTTAGCGGAATGATCGATATAATACTTGATTGCAACAGTGTCGCATAAATCGTTTATGCAAACAAGTTTTTAAACTATCTAAACTCTATTAGTGTCTTTACTCCACTTAGCCGATGTCAAACGGGGAAAAGTTTCTATTCTATTATTCCTTCAAAATATTCTCCCTATCGAACGAATGGAATGCCTAGAATGCTCGGAATTGGCTAACGGCCAAAAAAAAATTTCGTATTGAAATTACCAAAAGTCGGTCTAACTTGTTTCTCCAAAAAGAAACGTTTGTAATAGAGAAAAGACTCGTCGTTCATCCGATAGAGTTTGCGTAAGCATTAATAAGTTGATTCAACGTAAATATCAATAATTTCAGGAATGCTCGATCGGCACCTAAAGATCTAGGCCTATTTTAAGAATTGAGTGAAAAAGATAAAGAGTTTTTTTCTACATGAAGAAAAGGTAAAAAAAGGGTTATTCACCTTCCCATTTAACTTTAGATTTATCTACTTTTCCATTCAAGTTCACGGCCCCTTCTTCGTCCTGTTCGTAGCTTGGGTTGTCAAACGATTGTAGATTTTTCCTTTTACCGCCCTTTTTACCTGATCGAACAATTGCATCTAATTATTCAACGAAAGCCATGTAATTAAGGCAAATACCATTACTCTTACTCCCTTACAATAGCTGTCAATAGCTTGAATCTTTTCTACCTACCCCTTTCCCCTTTTACCTCCTTTCTTTAAACATTTCTATTTATACCTAAACGTCTGCGGAAGAAGGCGTAACAGGTAACATGGTTTCGCGTGACACTCAAAAAGGCTATGGGAGGAGATTGAGGTGGCAAAAGGAGTAAGAGTGAAAGAAGAGATAGAAAATTATTGAAAATTAGTATGAATGAATGAATGAATGTGTGAGAAAGAGTGTGTGAGTGTGTGAGTGAGTGTGAGACAGAGGGAGAGAGAGAGGGAATGAATGATTGACTGAATGAATGAACGAGCGAAAGAGAGAGCGCGCGAAGGAAAAAGAAGGGGTAAGATAAGAAAGGGGGAAGAAAGCTCCCCTAAATCTATTCTCAACCCAACTCGATTTATACGCTCTCTTGCCCGCCAACAATCATTATGTTTTTACTACGTCTTTTTCATTAAGTAACAATTGACATACTAGTGAAATAAAGAGTCAGTGCATATTTTAGTTTAACACTTTGATAAGGTAGAATTTTTTGCTATCATTTCTAACGAGCGCAATTCGGTAGATAAAAACGAAAATTTCTATTATCTCAATTGACAAAATGTAAATTTTAAATCGCATTTTTACTGAATAACACATCTTGTTTTTGCATTTTAAAGGGACGCTATATTACATAATCAAATTTTACATGTACTCACTCTCAACTTGCTTAGTAGCTCTTTTCTTTTCTATAATTCTATAGGCGAGGAATGCTAATGCACATAGTATAATCGTTCCGGCAATACATCCAATAGCTATTCCGGCGGCGATACCTCCCGAACAGGAGGCCGCTTGAACGACGAGAGGTAGAACGGAATAGAGAAGAAGTCGAAAATTGCCCCACCCGGCGCCGTGCATCATTCACCACTGAACATTAAAAAAAGAGCTATGAGAGCGACACCTAGTTGTATGAAAGTATTCATTCCGCATAGTTGCGCTTCTTGTGGTCGCGTATTGAAATTACTTCCAAACCACATACTTTCTCGATTTTTTATGAATCGAATACTTAAACAGGTAGTAATTCAGTTTTTTTTATTTCTTTTTATGTATTTGACACCAGGAAAAAATAACGTTTAACGACATGGAAAAGCATACATATTATTATATAATAAATATATATTGTATAGATATTTGCTAGGAGACTGTTAGCTATTTATAACGGGAGAAAAAAAAGACAAATTAATAAATTAATACAGAAAAACTTACGACACAAGCATAAATTCAAACACTATCTGAAAATTATCAATGCATGTAAAATGATTATAATTTTCGTCTATTTAAAATGTTAAAAGAGGGAGAAACATCTGCTTTTTCTTCCCTCAACAACTGCTTTCTTTTCTAGAACATAGAACAAGAATTTTTGTCTGTACAAATCTGTACATAATATATACTTTTTATATTATTTGCATATTTTCTTGTAGTTTTGAAGTAATATTTCTTTTGATGGTAGGAAGAGAGAGAAGAGAGAAGAGAGAGAGGAAGGAGAAATGAAGAGGATGAATAAGTGAATACAGGATTCAATGAGAAAAAGAGATATTAGGATAAGAGAATAAAAGAGAGAAAGAACAGGGAGCGATTAAGTCGCCAAATTATAAACACTTTCTTTTTTCTTGAACAATTCTCTATCGCCATAAATATCGTTAACAAATAGTTTAGGATAAATTGGAGAAAAATCCATAAAAACTTTTCATATTTCTAAAGATAGACGACAACTAGAGGAACACCGCAACTACGTACGAATGCGCACACCAATCACACACTTGTGACAAGAGGGCATTATTTTTTTAAATGTTTTGCATGACTAGAAAAAAGAGGATAAAGCAGCACTGTTCTGCGCCCGAGAAATTACAAATTATCAACAAAAATTTAAAAATTAATTAATAAAAACATACATAGTCTATAGAAAAGATCGTAATAAACGAATTTTTGATGGCATTATATATCGATAACCATTTTCTTATGTACATCCAAATTTCCAACAACCTATTTATGGAATAAAAACATTGAATTTTTAGTAAAACGTAAAGTATTAATTCCAACTAGTTTAAACTAAAAAGCGGTAAAAAAAACCGAAACATTAGTTAAATCGAAATTAAAAGAGTTTCAACTTACTCCACAAAATTCTTCGAACGAAATTTTACCGTCTCCATCCGAGTCAGCGTAAATAATAGTTTTGTCTACTATTTGCTGCAGTTGTGCATCTTTCAAATTCGAACCAACCATCATCTTAAGTACTTGAAATAATTCACCATTAGAGATATAGCCATCCTTATCCATATCATATATCTTAAAGGCAACTGTATAAACGGAAAGGGAGGGGAAAAAAGAATAGATTTTATTTCTTATCTGTTTAATGAACTAAAAAAATATCTAAAAAAAATATCTAAAAATATACATATATACATATGTATAAAATATATATATATATATATATATAATTGCATAATATATGTTAATAGATAATAAATAAATAAAGTGCGTGTTAAACACTCACATCAGTCGACAAAATACTACTAATAAAATAAAAGTGCGTAATATAATCAGAATAGCTGGGAATTGTAGGAAATCATTAAATGGGATTAAATTACTTTTTTTACGCTTTAAAGCAGCGTTAATAAAACTTTTGATAATTAAGAAAAAAAAATAAAGTGTATAATGTAAAAACGTATAAAGCTACATGCTAATTTTTTGTTTGTTTTTCTAATATTGAATAACTAAAATCATTGATAAAAGCTATATATGAAAAAATAGATTTATCATGCGGGTTATACCACCGCCACAAAAGAACCATAGATAGGCAGTCAGATTTTACTTCTGAAAAAAGATACCATACATTTCGACAAGTTTTACATAGGTAGTAATGATTATTACGGATTATACTAATGCCGCTTAAAAGAAAGTTTTTGTTATATTTAATCTCTGCTAATACTAACATCTTAATTTGGATTCCTTGTCACCTTTAACCGAGAACTGTGACATTCCTTCTATGAATTCTGCAGATTTATATATTCATGCATTAGTATATACTTTTGAATGTTGTCAATAGTCAACTACCTTTAAAATCAACTTCACCATTGCCATCTGTATCGAAGATATCAATCACTCGCTGAACTAGCGGATTTTGCTGAAGCTCTGGTAATGACATAAACTCTTCTACACTCAAAGATCCAGAATTATCCAAATCTAACTTCTTAAATCGTTTTCCTAATCGTTTTATTTCATCTGGATCAACTGTAACGAAAAAATAAATGACTCAACCTTTTTCAATATTTTACCAGTTGCTTCGGGGAGGGCGTGACTTACATACAACGCCTCCTAAAGTTACTTGACTGTTAGCGTTTACTGTAGGCTCCATTGTGCTACTAAATGCCCGAGCGTTGCGCCTCTACTTATTTTTACCAGCGTTTAAATCGCCATTCGTAACTAAGGTATGCAAAATTAAGAGCAGGGGGCGCACCGTGTTCGAAATAAAGCTATTCAATCCAACTCTTATATTTCACGGTTAATCAATATTTATCCTTTGTATACAAATTATGCTATGCCAACATACGAAAATAAGACCTTAAAGAGGTTGACGAAACGCTACTCATTTTTAAGTGCACAATCTTTAGACGCTCAAGAATCTGACAATAAATCAAGTTCAATACTTACACGTTGAGCAAAGTTCCAACGGTAATGAAATGTCGTTTCCCTGAAAATCGATGGTATAAGCATTTATAAAAACGATTGACAAATTTATATATTATTGTTATATCGTACATGTATATTATGCATTTATGTATATGTATATAGATAGTTGTAGATACATAGTATACACGCATATAAGCACGCAATCTTTTTATATATTATCAAATAACTCACAGGACATTGACTTCAAGAAATTCAATGTATTTAGCAAAAAACTATAATACTAAATAAATTGCCAATGCTACTTTGTAATATCAATTATAAAATACTCTAATATATATATATATATATATGTATATAGTAGATCCTTCATTTGCATGTATACTAAATTTTTCCCATTCCTTAGATGTTTGTATCATTATTATAAAAATCTATTTCTATTGCATTAATTCTAATTTATTGCCTATACGAATTATTATTATACAGTAAATGTTATTAAAGAACGGTTAGGAATTTCCAAATGATTCCTAATAAATGTACGCAAAACACCCAAACAATGTATAATGAATACATCATGAAAGATGAAGATGTCATTCTACAAAATATTGATATTATTTTCTAATTGGATCGTTGATTTAACCATAATAACTAACCATTTCAAACTTTATACTATATTTCATTGCACAATTCTCTTAGATATTGAAAATACTAACCATCGTGCTGTTATTTTTAAAAAAAAAATTTTGCAAACAGACCAAATCTAGCGGAAATCCGGGAGCTTGACGGGGTCGGAAATTTTTTCGTAGCATTCATTTATTAAAAATATTTCATTTTATTTGCAAAAATAATATTCATTTTTATTTAATTAGAAAAATATAACAGTTATTTTTTTAATTTTCCGAAAAATAGTCGGTCCTTCCTATATAAATACCGGAAAGAGAAATACGAACTTCCTTTTTGCCGGCGACAATGTCTTGTGGTGTAAGTGTGCAGTTTATAACCTAAATCTTTATTTATCTCTCTTATTTTACTACGTATATATATTTTTCTTTCCTTATATTACTATTTTAATTACAATCATTATTATTATCTATTTTCAGACGCTTTACACGTATCCAGAGAACTTCAGAGCTTTTAAGGCTCTTATTGCTGCTGAATATAGCGGATCTAAGATCACGCTTAAATCTGACTTCGTTTTCGGTGAAACAAATAAATCCGAAGCTTTCCTTAAGAAATTTCCTCTTGGAAAGGTACGATGTCAATTTCACGATATTTTTTAGACGTTTCATCATCATTACCATTCTTCCGTCATGAGTGACGAAAACTGAAATTCTGTTGTGCAATACAATTTATCTTAAACTAGGTTCCAGCTTTTGAAGGAAACGATGGAACGCTTTTGTTTGAGAGCAACGCCATAGCCTATTACGTAGCTAACGAGCTTCTACGTGGCGCCAACGCTGCTGATGCCGCTAAAGTTCTACAATGGGTTAATTTCGCAGATAGCGAAATTCTTCCAGCAGCTTGTGACTGGACTTTCCCATGCCTTGGGATAAAACAGTTCAACAAAACTGCAACCGATAGCGCTAAGCAAGTCATTAAAGCCGCTTTGTCGACTTTGAACTCTTACCTAGCCACAAGAACATATTTGGTTGGAGAAAGAGTCACCTTAGCCGACATTAGCGTCGTCTGCAGCATGCTCCTTCTATACAAACTTGTAAGTATAAGTAACAAATGCCCCTGGCTCTTGGAAGTTGATGAACTAGCCCTACACGTTCATTAGCATTTCATGCCAGGAATATTACAATTGCTAGTTTGGTCTACTGTTTAAACAAAATTGTTTATTACGGTTAAGAAAACGTAATTACACTTCAGGTCTTGGACCCAGAATTCCGTCAACCATACCCCCATGTCAATAGATGGTTCACCACCTGCATTAATCAACCAAGCTTTAAGAAAGTTTTGGGAAGCGTTGAATTGTGCACTAAGATGGCTCAATTTGATGCCAAAAAGTGGGCAGAATTCTCTGGCCAAGGACAAAAGAAAGATAAACCGAAGAAGGAACAGGTACGACACACGTATATTTCGTAAAAATCATCGAACCTTATTAGAGTCACTGATATTGTGCAACTTTAACAATATCGGTGCTAGAGGATTCGTAAATTAGTGTTCAGAATGCGCCAACTTGTATTTAATTACATTTTCGGTCACCTCAGCAATGCACAAATAAAATGTTAAATCATTTCAGAAACAAGAACCCAAGGCTGCTAAGCCCAAGGAAGCAGCAGCACCGGCAGCTGAACCAGAACCAGAGAAGAAGCCAGTCAACAAGGATCCCTTCTCAGTTTGTCCACCAACTAACTTCAACTTCGATGCTTTCAAGAAAGTCTACTCTAATGAAGACACCATCACAAAAGCCGTTCCCTACTTTTGGGAACACTTTGAACCTGAAAATATGTCCATCTGGTATTGTGAATACAAATACCCTGAAGATCTAACAGCAGTCTTTATGAGCTGCAATCTCATCAGTGGTATGTTTCAACGTTTAGAGAAATTAAGAAAAGCAGCCTTTGGAACTGTACTCCTATTTGGAGAGGCTAACAATTCAACGATTTCTGGTATCTGGTTTTGGAGAGGACAGGACCTAGCCTTCCCAGTAAGTTTACCTACTATTCAAAATGTTTTTTCAAATTACACGATTTAAATGTCATTTTTTTAACAGCTCTGTCCTGATTGGACGACTGATTATGAAACATACGATTGGAAAAAATTAGACCCATCTTCCGAAGAAACTAAGAAGATGGTTCAAGAATATTTTGCTTGGGAGGGTGATTTTGGTGGTAAAAAATTCAACCAAGGAAGAGTCTATAAGTAAAAAACTAGGACGGTAAATGTTACTCGAATAAAAAATTATAAATTTAAGTCTGGTACGACTATTTTCAATAAACCATTCAATGAAGATACTTAACTCATATCTTTGACTAGAGTATTATTTATTCAAGACAAATAATTTGTTATAATTTAATAGAAACTTTGTAGGCAAATATATCCATAGGATTCATGTTTTTTAAGTCAGCGGACTTCGGCGGAATTGCTCTGTAGTCTCTAATCATGGTTAGAGATGTGCTGGTCACTTTTATGATACCCTTAAACATTTTATATAAGTTAAAAGAGTTTTCTAAAACACAGTTTTTAGGAATTGAGCTTGATTCGCAGTCGTAGGGCACTTTTTGTAAAATCATTAGGCAAGTATTTGCGCTCTCTTTCCGCAAAGTAAGCAAATGTACATCGCAAGGAAGAGTCGCTTTAAGTAAGGAAGATGTAACTCTTGAATTTTCGGTAAAAGCAAATATTAAAGGTGGATTGTTTAAAAACAATGAAAGGTGTCTCAATAAGAGACTTGGCTGCGAGAGGGTTGGCTCAGCAGGTGCTTTGGTTTTTTCAAAAAAAATTGTAACATAAGTATTAGAGGGTCTCATATCCTCTACTCCTCCTCCTAAACCTTTGCCATCATCTTCTGTTGGAGATCTATCGAGCAAAATGTCAATCTGACCATTCTTAAGGGATGAAACTGCATGAGACTGTCCAAGGAGAACATTGAATCTCTTTCCCTCTGCGCTTTCTACAAAAGCAAATTGGGTTGCAGGGAAGAAATTAGCTTGTAGGGGCAGTTGCGATATATTCATTCTTGGAACTGTATTGAATCCATTTAAGTCAGTAAAAAAATGACTTTTGTCATTGACAGGTTTAATGCTTGTTTCAAATCGAACGATAACTTCCCTATCACGCCTTTCAGTCAAGTCTATTTCATTATACAAGTGTATAGCTTTAGCTATGTCAGATTGGATGTTAATTACACGGGACGAGAGAACTATTACGTCCTGGGAATGAATAACTTCAGATGTGACGGGTCCTCGAATGACGCTTATTATAGGAGTGGAAGATAGCCCATTTCCTGTTGCAGGTCCTTCAGCACCAAATAAATAAGCCCCACTCCCAGACGAAGTATAAGCTAAAACTTTAGTGTTCACTGGATCGTCATTTATACTATTTAGGAGGCCGGATTCTGTAGAAAACTGTGCAGTTAAACTACTTCCCTTCAAAACTAAGGGTTCATTTTTTTCTAATTTATCTAATTTGAAGGGTCCTTTGGGAATATTTGTTGAAAGGCTTGTTTCAATTGCTGATATACTAACTTTATTATCATTTATCAAAGAGAATGTACTAGTAGCTAACGGCTTTAAAACAACCAAGCAAACAAGCTTAAATTCACTTGTACTAATTTGTTTTCCTCTCTTTCGCCATTTAGGATTTACCTGACATTTGACAACATCGTCTCCAATTAGATTAGAATGAATTTGTTTAAGATTAATTTCAATTATAGCATGTCGTTTATGCTCAATAGGGTTAAAGACAGCAACACTATAAGTAATTGGAAGGTCCATTGGCTGTTTGGAATGAGCCGCTTTTATTGAAGGATCAGGAAGTAAAGTAAATGAAGATTTTGAAGCTAATTGAGTTTGCATACAAATTTCAGCAACTTTTCTTAAAGCATTTAATCCACCTATCATACGGTGTCTATAGTCTTCTACTACATAACTTCTTGATGTACCTGTTATTGCATCATGATGCATAAACAGACCCAAAGCTCTTCTACCCTTATTCATAAGAGATTGGGCCTTTGTAAAATTATGGTTTGTTAGTGCATAGAGAATCTCAGTGGCTCTTAAACGGTACTCTAATACCTTACCCAGCCTTTTTAGCGCTGGTCTAGTAGTAAAGTAACCTGTCCAATAATTAAGAGGTTTATCTGCATAAGGGAAAAAATCACCGGATAGTTTTTTTGCAGAATCTTTCATAAATTTCTTTTTTAATGATACATAATCTGCAACTGTACCAAATTTGGCTTTTACTTTCCAATCCTTTTTGGAATTGATATATTCAAATAACATCATATAATTATTATATTGTTGCGGCCACTCCAACGGCCTGTCATATCGAAAATCGTCACCCAAAGGAACGATTACAACTGCTGGATCAGTGCCAGCTGCGGCAATAACCGCTTTTTGTGACCATTGATCAACCAGCTTAGTAGCAAGTGACACTATATTTTTATCCGTTACTGGTTCAGCTCTAGATTCACTTATTTCACCTTGAATTTGACGAAAATCAAAATAAAGGCATGTATCTGTTGAAGGTCCACATGTATGTTTGATATTATACAACGTATACGGCATCATATGTGTTGGCATGTCATATTTCCCAGTAGAGTCCCAAGCCTGATGCCAATCAAAATGCAAAGCTCCTTTATCTTCGATTGCGCGTTTGACGCCAGAGTGAACTCGTAGAATGACCATATGCTCGTATCCAGCAAGTTTATAGATATATGGATGGGTGTCTGAATATCCAAATGGATCAAGAGCCCAACTATTTTTAGGCGTATATTTTAGATATTTTCTCAGCCAGGAATGACCCTCAACCATTTGATTTATAAGACCATAAAGAGAGGGAGTAGCCTGATCAGGAACAACCCAACCTCCTTCAACAATTTCTAAACGTCCCGATTCCAAATGTTTTTGTATTTTCGCTAGATTTTTTGGTTCAGTTCTTCCTGACCATGCATTTAAAAATGAAGTTTCAGCCCAAACAAATGTCATATTTGGTAATCTTTCCAGTTCTATAGCAACATTTTGTAAAGTCTGATAAGTTTGATCTAGGACATATTCGTCAAATGTCTTTAGCCATCCAGGATCAGAATGAGAATGAGGTATAACTACTACATGTAATTCCCTTGCGCCTAATGTATATGTCTGAGAAGGTTCGTTTACAGTTAATCTTTGAGATTGCAGTTTTGCAACCGTCTGCCAAATATCTCTAACATTAATATCACTTTTAGTATGACCAAGTTTTTTGCAAACGAGATCTTTCTTTTGTAATTTTGCAGTTGTAATCAACTTGGAGAGTGTAACTTTATTTATTTTTTCACTATTAACATTCTGAATATGAATTGGAGATCTATTCAAAATCCTTTCCTTCTTATTAAAAAGAGTATACAATAAAAATCCAATTAAAACAAGGCAGCAAACCACTATAAATCTCCTAGCACATTTCATTCCTGCAGCTGTAGCTCCTACAAATGAAAAATAGGGCAATAAAATTAAACGATTTAGTCCATTTGCATTGTCACACGTGTCCCAATGGCCAATATTTTTACCAATTCTTAACATGTACGCTTTTAAGACTAAACAACGTTACCTAAGCATTGATCGGACAAATATAATATTAAACTATTAGTTTACTTTCTATGTCTGTTTAAAAAAATAGTAGGCGTATTGGCAAAGATGCAATTGCAAAAACGTTATAATCTCAACAAATATGCAAATCGTATCATTTAATCGTAACAATTGAAATACTTACTCAAACTTTCTATAAAAAAGTAAGTGAATTAATTTAGAAAAATTTGTATTGCGATCAACTGCATTGTTGCTTTTGTTGTCAATGCTGTTCTGGAATCAAAATTAAGATGTGTAAAGATAGCTTTCAGCCTATTGTGCGCATGCGTACAATTGAGTTTTAAGAGAATGCGGATATGACCTAACACTATATTAAAATGGCCTCCAACAAAACAGCGTGACATACCGGTGTCGTCTGCTAAGGGGTGGTCTATTTGTTAGATTTCAAAAGTTCAATGCTTAGCTGATAGATAAACTTGACCTCGAGTTTCTTCTAATTTAATAGATAATGGCAAAGTTTAAATTAATATTTTTACTGATATTGTTATACAGATATCCATATATTAGTTTGACTATAGAGTTTATATTTTTATTGCATTCTTAAGTTTATTCTACTATGTAAATATATACATAGTATAATTTATATATATTAAATATTAACATTCAAACTAATATATTAATCCGTATAAACTGTAGTCATATATTCAAACCTACTCTTATGAAAGAGAAAATCAATTTTTGTACATATATTTGAACAAATATATGCATACAATCGAAAAAGTAACACTTTTTATAATGAAATTTTATGAGAATCTGGATTGTAATTTCCCATCAAGTATGAAACGATATAGTCTGTTTTCAATATAGTTTCTGCTCGAATGGAGTTTAAGAGTTTCTTGTCATTTTTTTTGGACCCATCAACGAAACAATGTGAAACTTTTTTCGCTGCTACTTTTGGATCTTTTAAGAAAGCTATAGTTGCGCCTCCAGATGCAAGAATCTTTCGAAATCCTTCAACTTTATCCCTGTTTGCCAAAATACCAACCGTCCAAGATTGAAAAGGTAGTGGTTCTCCCGCTTTGATTTTAATTCTCCAATGTCGACTCCATTTTGCTAACTGTTCAGTTTGCGGGTTACCTGTTGATATGTCCGCCTTAAAACTATTCGCCCATTCGTAAGATTCTTCAGGAAGCCATTGATTATGTTCGTAACTTGAGCTAATGTATTCGGGTTTCAATATCCATTTGCCAGCCGCAATCGCTGATAAGATTTTCTCATTTCGAATTAAAGTTTTACAGACCATGTGTGTGCAGCTGTCATCATAGCCATTGCTCTTCAAAATTTCACAATTCTTGAAACTTATAATCATTTCGGTTGCGGCCAACCTATCATTATCGTTAAAACCAGATAAAATAAAAACTTTCTTTTCGGCATGAACAAAATCTGATTGTTGAGATGGTTCGTCATGCCAACGAACATCTCCTCTCTGAGATTGGGATTCAGTTTGTTGAGTTTGAGTGAAAGAAGCAAGACCACAAAATGAACCTTTACTTGGAACGTCAAGATTCATTCGATTGTCATCTAATTCCATTAAAGCTTGAATATCTGATTCAATCTTTTCGTCCTCTGCAGAACTTTCTCTAATTAACTTTGGTAAAAAATTTTCTTCGTCGAGAAGTTTATTATTTTCAGCACAAGAATCCAACCAGTTTGCAGTTACAACTTTTCGACCTAAGCTGATTTCAGAATCTAATTCACTTTTCAAGATTTTATCACATACCAAGTGTGTAATTCTTTCGTCGTCAACATCCCAACGATATTCTGCGCCTAGTTTGTCAGCCAACTCGTTCAATCGAGTTTGCTTGTCTGCAAGTTTTGTCGATACACCTATAACAACACCATCTAGAGGAGAGATCTTTTTCCGTTTAATGGCGGGAGTCATTCCCCTAGGAGAGGCTTTCTCTTTTGAGTGTTTCAAAGCAGCCTCGATACCTTTCGAACATTCCTCCATTAAATCTCCACTTTGCCTTGGCCGTTTTCTTTCGTTCGGAGTACTTTTCAACAGGCCTTCATCAATTGTTATCCTAGGTTTAAAAGATTTGTCAGGATTTAAAAATACAGAAGGTGAATCAATGTAATCGGGCTTAGTAGGCAAAGAAGGCTGAGGGGGAATGTCTTCGGTTTCATCAATATCTTCTTTCTCCTGTTCATCAGAAATTTCGCCATCGTCAAATGTCTCAATATCGTATTCTTCTTCAGATACTCGTTCCAAATTTACAAAGCAGGCTTTTAACCAAGAAATTTTAAGAGCATGACGTTTCCAACGTCGAGCTGCTTCAAATTTTGGGCCAGAAGCTTCAACTAATATTAAATGAGTTGTCGCCAATAACTCCTTTCGATTTTTTCGACATAGTTGTTCTTGAACACATGCTCCTAATGCTGTTGCTATTCTAATAAGAGATTGTCGCTCTTCTCCTTGGAAACCAGAGAAACAAAGTACACATTTCTTTAGAGGTTCCCCATGAGCATATGGTAAAGGTTTGCAAATAAAAGAAGGCTTGACTAAAGAATTTCTTTCGAGGCATAATTTAATCCAAGTTTCTGTAACTACTTTTCCTGAAGAAACCTCATATGTTCCTTCATTTGGAACAATCAGGTAGTCAGGGTTTTCATCAACGACTTCACCTTTGTTTTCTTGAATTACTGCAGAAAAAACTTCTCTATCATCAAGATTTTCATTAACTTTAAATTTTAAATTAGCAAATATTGTGTTATTTTGCTGGCTAACTTCAAAAGACTCGTCATTCGTTGTTACTTGATCGGTTGTCTCTGAGGTTTGATTCGAATGTGAATTTTCCTCCTCAATAAAAGTCGTCTTTTCATTTCCTCGCATATTTTCCTTTTCTATATCGGCTGCTACTTTTTCCATTGTGCTATCTCCCATATACTGAGAATAAAGGTCTGCATTTTCGATATTTTCTCCATGTACCCCTGTAGTTTCAAGACACTGTGCAGCTTTAGGAGTTTCCGTCGTAGTCTTGGAATGGGTTTTATTGAGCGAATCATTTTTATTCGCAAAGGTATATTCAGATGTACGAAGCATCTTTCTGTCTTTAGCACAATCAATTAACCACTGCTGTGATACAACAACGGCGTTTTTATTTTCATAATCCTTTGCGTCATTAGCACTTCCCACCACAACATGGGTAACTGAATCAGAGTATATATTAACCCTTACAGCTCCACAAACGTTGATTAACTTTTTCAGATTAAGTAACGAATCTGCATTAAATCCGTGTAAGAGAATGACACAGCCATCCAAGTAATCTCCGGATTTAAAATTGGTTATATCCAGTATCGTGTCTTGTATAGATGACACATTTGAAACCATGCTAACTTCAGGGCCCGAAAAATTCGTAGTGGATGTATTAGGTGTTGAAGTTTTTCGTGCTGAGCTTGTATTCGATACAACTTTATATTGATTTTCATCTCTTGCTTGTTTTTTATCATAACAGTCATTCAACCAATCTAAATTAACAATTGGTATTTGCCAACGTACTGCGTATTCATATTTTTGACCTCCTGGTTGGTTAACAATTAAATGTGTACATGAAGCTTGTTGCATTGATCCTGAAAAATTTCCTCCAAGCTCTTCCACTTTAGTTTTTACCATACTCCGAACACTTGATCCGTATCCAGAGACACATATCGTTAACCCAGCAAATAAGGGGCAAACGAGATGCTGGTAGTCCTCAATATTTATCGAAGGTTGCTCGTGACAGTCTTTCCAAATACTATCAAGCCAGCTAAAAGTCATTATAGATTTGTTTAAGTAGGAGGCGACAATAAATTTTCTTGAACCAGCTTCCGCAGCTACCAAATGGGTAATACCTTCGTGAAAATCTCCACTAACTTCCCCATTCATTAGCTTCACTTTTTCTTTATAATTCTCACGCTCTTTTCTTGGAATGGAAGTAAAGCAAATCAAGCATTCCGACAGTACGTTTGCGATTCGTCTGGTGCCTAACGGTATTGTTGGAGGTAAATTTTTTCTGCAAATCTGCAGTACATAACATGGTCCTAGAATACAGGTGTTGGGTGATATGTCTTTTAGAAGAGGATTATCAAGTATTCTTTCGCAAACATAAATCTTCATTTCATCATTGACATCGTCTGTCCAAGATACTTCAATGTTTACTTTTCTAGCAATTTCAAACGCTCTCTCCATAAGAGAAGTTTTTTTACCGAAGAAAAAGAACTTATCAACAGTTATAACAGATTTATTATCAACGGATGTTAAATTTGACATAGTTGTTCCAAAATCCAATTCCCTAAATGAGCGATAATAAATAATATAATGTCCTTTCCTAAAAAATGTTAAAATCAAAGCTTACCTATGTTTTTAAAACTAATTATTTAAAACAAAATATAACTTAATAAAAAATCCATATATTAAAATTTAGAAACCGTTTGTTCATTACATGAAATTTCACTTAAGAATTTCAATATTTTTAGTAATCGCACGCCTATAGGGCAGCAGAAAAAACGGCTCCAATCGGTCTCTATGCAGTCTTCCTCTACCGTACCACGTGACATTTAAATAAAAATGGTGGCTTTGTATAAAAGTTCATTTCGTCTTTTCTTAAGTAATTACTTTTATTTTTAATTGTTTCCTTAAAAATAAAATTTTGTATGATTGTAAAAATTGCTTATGTATAGGAAAAATTGTTTGTAACTTTTTTCAATTATTTTTAAACACTCTAGACTCAAGATCAGCGTGTAAAAAACTGGGACACTTGAGGTATAGCTCCACAAATGCCGGAAAAATTACAACACATTACACAATTGTTCCAAGAGAGACGGATCCGAGATGGAAAGGTAAATAGTCATATATTTGTATCCTATTGATTCATAAAAGTGATTCAAAATGTACTTTCTAGAGGTAAACATGGAAAGATACGCTGACGAAGCGGATGTTGTTATTGTTGGAGGAGGACCGGCTGGGCTTTCTGCAGCTATTAGAATAAAACAGTTGGCTGCAGATGCTGGCAAAGAAATACGTGTATGTCTTTTGGAGAAAGCTTCTCTAATTGGTTAGTTGACTTACATTTGAATTAAGAAAAATATTTGAGTCAAAATCACTTAAATTATTTTGAAAAATAAGTTTTAGGAACGTTTCATTCATTCATTCATTCATACTTTTAAAGTACAAAAACAACTAGCGTTCGTGGGTAAAAACTTGAAGGTTAAAAGGTTATATCTGTTGTTTGACTCAAATTGATTGTAATCTCTTCCGCTAATAGATAAGAAATCACTTTATCGCTACTCTCAACTCTTAGGAATGTTATTTTTTCCAATGTAAAAGATGTAAATAATTCTGAATAATAACCTAATGCTAATTGTTCAATAGGAGGCAACACCCTCTCAGGTGCTTGTATTGAAACGTCTGCTTTGAATGAACTAATTCCTGATTGGAAAGAAAAAGGGGTAAACGTCTACGAATCTTAAAAATAGAATATTGTTATTATACCTGTCTAAAAATAAAAGTACATGTGTTTCTTTTTCTTATTTTAACAGGCTCCTATGAAAACAAAAGTAACAAAAGACAAATTTGCTCTCCTAACAGAAAAGAGTAGAATACCTATACCTGTTTTTCCGGGTAATAATGGCCAATTATAATGTATTGCAAATTAGCATGAATTTTTTTATGTTTTTACAGGTTTACCAATGTATAACCATGGCAACTACATTGTTCGTTTAGGAAATCTCGTATCTTGGCTAGGCGAACAAGCTGAGAATCTTGGAGTCGAATTGTATCCTGGTTATGCTGCAGCGGAAATCTTATATAACGAAGACGGTAGTGTTAAAGGTATAGCAACGAATGATGTTGGTATAGCTAAGGATGGATCACCAAAAGAAACTTTTGAAAGAGGTATGGAGTTTAATGCCAAATGTACAATTTTCTGCGAAGGTTGTCATGGACATTTGGCCAAAACTCTGTTCAATAAATATGATTTAAGAAAAAATTCTCAGCATCAAACATACGGAATTGGACTAAAAGAATTATGGGAAGTTGATCCTTCAGTTCATGAACCTGGTTGTGTTGAGCACACGATTGGATGGCCTCTAGATAAAAATACTTATGGTGGATCATTCCTATATCATTTAGATGAGGGTGAACCTCTAGTTACGATTGGCTTTGTTATTGGCTTAGATTATAGTAATCCCTATATGTCTCCCTTCCAAGAATTTCAGCGATGGAAGCAACACCCTAGTATTCAGAAAGTGTTGAAGGGTGGAAAGAGAATAGGTTATGGTGCCAGAGCTTTAAACGAAGGTGGTTTGCAGAGTCTTCCTAAATTACACTTTCCAGGAGGATGCCTTGCCGGTTGTTCTCCAGGTTTTATGAATGTAGCAAAAATTAAAGGAACGCATGGCGCAATGAAAAGTGGAATGTTGGCCGCAGAGGCAGTTTATAAAGCTTTAGATGAGAATCCTGATAGCTCTAATGTTACACCAACAACTTTGGACGAAAGCGTAAAAAACTCTTGGTTATATAAAGAATTAAAATCTTGCAGAAACATAAGACCAAGCTTTAATTCAGCGTTAGGATATTTTGGAGGTATGATATACACTGGTCTATTCTATGTATTAGGTAGAGGAATGGAACCGTGGACTCTGAAGCATCATAATGAAGTAGATGGTAAATTAATGAAGCCTGCCTCCCAGTGTCAGCAGATTACTTATCCAAAACCTGATGGGGAGATTACTTTTGATTTATTGTCGTCAGTCGCATTAACGGGAACTAATCACGATCATGATCAACCCCCTCATCTGACATTGAAAGATGATTGTGTTCCGGTAAATAATAATTTGGCTGTCTTTGACGGACCCGAGGCTAGATTCTGTCCAGCAGGTAAGTTTTTTCATTAAATCCTACCAACTCACTATTCAAAGTAATTATCTGTTTACAGGTGTTTACGAATATGTAGAAACTGAAGACGGTAAGGGAAAGCGCTTACAAATAAACGCGCAAAATTGCATCCATTGTAAGACTTGCGATATTAAAGATCCATCTCAAAATATTAACTGGGTATGCCCACAAGGAGGAGAAGGTCCAGCATATTCTGGAATGTAAAATTGGAACAACTATGACGATAAACTGATATATGCTAATTTGTTAATTAATTTAGCAACTATGTATTCAATCGTTAAAAAATTAACTTCTTTTTGGAATAGATATAAATAGCTGATTAAACAATTGACCTTGTCTAACATTTTTATCTATCTCACATATTGTCATGTAATTTTCCAAAATATTGTTTATAAATTCAGGACGAACTTGAATAATTCTTCAACTTTGACCATTCAAAGTATATACTGTACATTGTTAAACAAAGGCTTAACCAAAAAAAAAGTGTTGCTAAAATTAGCTTACACAAGGCATATAGTTATTAAACTTTAACAAAAAAAAATTATAAGCATTGTAATTCCACGAATATTGATCATAATCAAGGTAATTTCCAACTTTATCCTTTGATTTCTTTGAAAATAATCAATTAAAAGTAGGGAAAAAGCCTACATCTTAAACATTCTCAATGTTAAATGAATAACATACAGAAAATTTTCCGTTAAGATTAATTACATGAACTTTGCAAAGAGATCTTTGGATCGGTGTAAAATATTTCAGCTATTTCAAACTAATTGTTCGTTTTAATGATTTTTTATAGGGCATTTGCTAGTATTACATTTACACATTCGTTTATAACTGAAATATTCTTTGTTAAAAATAAAACAGAATACAAATGGTAACAAAAGAAGGATAGTTCTTTTGATGCTTAATTAGATAATTACGCTGGTATTAAAAGGAAATTGTACTCTTTCAAGATTTTTTTCGAAGCTTTTTCGATTTTGAATAGTTCAAGGTCATAAGAGTTACAACTTTAAATCTCCTTGTTATATCACCAATCTATCGTTTGTTCATTTCTAGGTAAAAAATACTTTGTAAATTTTGAACGATTAAATGAGATTATTGTCAACTTTAATTATCTACGTAGTTCGTACATATCATACAACTTTTATATTATCGCTCAATACATGGTTTCAGGGAGCCTGTCGGCAAAGTAAAATATAAGCATGGCAGGAAGATTTATACCCGAACTGCTTTTTAAACGTCAATTTGGGTTGGTAGCTGTCACCAATGAGTACAAAGTTTTTAAATTAATTTTTCCTATACAGTACTACACCATTGTTAAACGAAATACGGAAAATGGCTAGACTTAGGGTTGTAGATAACTCAATCCTCGGTAGACAGGCGGAATTGGAAGGAAAGCCAGCCAAATGTATACATGTATATAATAAGAATGGTGTAGGAACAATCGGCGATAAAGTTCTTGTCGCAATTAAGGGGCAAAAGAAGAGAGCCTTTCTAGTTGGAGTTCGACAAAAGCAAAAAGCAATGGTACCTAGATTTGACTCTAACAACATTGTGCTCATAGAGGATAGCGGACAGCCGACTGGAACACGTATAAGAGTACCTATTCCATCTTTATTAAGAGGGAAAAAGGGTGAATTTAGCAAAATATTAGCTTGTGCCACAAAATTTGTCTGATTATTGTTTTCTTCTTTTATTATTATTGCTATTATTAATATTAATATTATTATTATTATTATTATTATTATTATATTATTAAAAAAGGATACATGCCACGTATAGGTTTATAAAATGATATATTATTTACAAAACTTAACTACACAGCAAAACGATTTTATAAATTTTTCTCATCTGAATTAGGCATATAATTCGAATGTATTCTTCGACTTCGCAATTTAAGAACATTCTTCTTCTTTTTTCCATGTCTTTTTTCTAAGGCTGGTAGTTGTCTTGGTAAGGCTTTTTTGAAAGGAGGAAATATAGATGCAAAAGAAGGAGCATCTCCTTTTGTGTCATTGTTAGTTTCTTCATTTGCGTGCGTTGGAGGAAGATTCTTGACAGACAAAGGTTGTTCACTAAGAACTGGGCGTATTTTGATACCTGATTCACTTACACACGCCGTTACTTGAGGTCCCATAAAAGGTAATTCTGGAGCGTCATCGCCTAAAGTATTTCGAATTTTAGAATTTCCTTTTGCCTTTGAGTACTTAACATCAAGCTGGCGTTGTACAATTGTTTTTGAAGATGAATATTTGACGCCTATAACAACATCTTGATAAGGCTCAGAGAATTCTGAAGAATAGTGGTTCTGTTGAGCAGGTGGAAGCTGACCATGACCACCATTTAAACAACTACAGGGACACGATCTTAGAGATGACGTTAAGCCGTTCCGAAAATCTTTGTTAAGGTAACCGTATAGAATCGGATCTAAGACACTTTCTAATCTTGCAAACCAGGCGGCTGTCAGTATCAAATATAGTGGAGGAGGAGAACACTTGAAATGTAATATAAACTGAGCTGCAATAAATGGTGCCCAAAATATAACGTAACAGACTAACATTAATGCCATCATTTTTAAGAGGTGAAGTTCATTTTTTGTTGTTTGAGAAGCATTATTGTTTCCTTCACAGATGCGCTTTTGAGATAAACGAAATGTTCTCCAAATTAATATGTAAGCAGTGACAGTTAGCAGTAGAGGTCCAAATACAGTAAGAATCGTATAAAGAGTCCAAAATATCCTACCATCAGTTTTACTATTCCAAGCTTCCTCGCAAACTTTCCTAGGCGAGTCATAGAATGTTGAAAACCGGAGTTTAGAGACAAAGAGATGCGGCAAACATATAACTATAGAATGGAACCACACCCATGTAACCATTATTTTACCTTTGAAGAGCGTCATTTTTCTCTCTCCTGGAAACCTTACAGAATAATAGCTACAAGTAGAATATTTAAAAAAAAATCAACACCGTTAGTGGCCTTGACAAGGAAAATTTAAAAAACGCCTTACCGATCTATAGCAATTGCACTAAGTGTTAAGAAAGCAGCTGAAGTAAAAAGCATGTAAAGGTAACGTTCCACCTTACAAACTACTGAACCTGCTAACCAAGTACCATCATTGAATAAATAATGACCTTCCAAAGGTACACATATACTTGATGACAAAAGATGAGCCAAAGCCAAGTTTACTACCAGTATATGGGTGACAGTCTGCCAGAGACGTTTTTGTACGACGACCCATAAAACTACACTATATATGCATATATATATATATATATATATATATATATAAGAAAAAAAGACAAAAAGTGGAAAAAAAAACATGTAACAATTGTAATATACAAAATGAAAAGTCATTATTTTTTATGTATTTAAGAAAAAAACACTATGTCTTACCTGTTAGCTAAAATCGCTAATAAGGCACACGTGCATAGTAATAGTGCGCTTAAAGTAAAATAAATATGCTTTTGGGAGTGATCGCTTGTAGAGTTATTGTATAATTCTTTCATGACGGCGAACCTGCGCCGCTTGATTATCTACATAAAAGAAATAAGTATTTATCTATCAGTATATAGACAATAAGTTATAAATAAATATATATATATATATATATATATATATAGAATATATATATTTGGTATATGAATATCGATAGATGATTTCATATATTACACACATACATGCACATACAGCACTATAAATATATATATATATATATAAGCACGAAATATATAAATATTTATTTCTAAATGTATTACTTTGTCGCAGCTTGCTAGCGTCTGCGTATACTCCAGAAGCGCACACAATCATCGGTTGTGCTAAAGTCGCCTGCAATGATTTCTATGGTTACGCTCTAGACGCGTCGCCTTGCGGTCGGGTTCATGAAAATAAAGTAAAAAACAGAAGAAAATTACATCATTTTCTTATTGTATTCGTATATATAAACAATTTTAATGAAAGTATTGGTTTAATAATTTTCCAGTAGGAAATTTCTTCAATAATTTCGTGTTTCAATGCAGTCTACTAATTTATTTCTCGGTATTCTCTTCGGCTAATTATCCTTCGTCCGTTACCTCTTTAATCAAGAATAGTAAAAAGAGTAGGGTAGCCTAGTTAGAAAATTGGAAAGCTTATCAAAAGAGAAGGAATCCTTACAAAAAAGAATATTCGCTAGTTATCAATTTTGACGTGAGGTTTTTTTTATTATAGAAATTGTTATTAAAAAATGTCGACATTTCTAACAGAATTATTGTGAAAAGAATCGACTCGTTCATAAAAAAAAGAGGAAAAATGTTCAATGGAGACTAAACATCCTCTTGCAAAACAAACAGTGAAGAGAGTGAATTATTTTTTAAGTATAATATGTGATTTCATTTCTCTCTTTTTTTTTTTGCACTCATGACAAATGTAATCTTTACCTGCTCTTAAAGAATCAGAATAATGTATTTTAAGAGAGATAAGAATATTCGTTTAACGACAGGCGAGCAAACAACTACAGAAGAAAAAAGAATAGGAAAACAGAGAAAAGAGAGTGTCTACCTAACGAGTAATGTCAATGAACTAATCGATTGGTTTATAATGTATAGGTGATCTACCCTTTAAAAGTTTTTAAAGTAATGGCCAGTTCATTAACAGAAACATTATAAATTTTACAATTCCTGATGGAATATAGTTTTAATGACGTAAAAGAACATTTGTACTCCATGTAGAATTCTAGATATTACGTTACGTGAATTTCGATTTTGGAAGGTGTTGAGCTATTCTGTTCGAAATACTAAACGCATAACCGCCTCTATTAGAGAGAAACACTTATATATACATATGCAATATCAAATATTAAAATATAAAGGCATATTTATACAAACAGTATATATATTATATATTAGCATATATAGTATATTGTGTATATATTACTGTAGACGCTATTCCCCTTAATGAGAAAATTTTTAGATAAAAAAAAAAGTAGTTATTGTTCTTTGTAAATAGAGACTGTATATTATAAAAGATAGAAGAAAAAAGTAGGAAAAAATAAACCATCCGCCGCCATTTTAGTTTCAATTAGTCTGGAGAAAATAGGTTGTCTATTCATCAGTTCGCTAAAGTGGTCAATCAGTTAAATCAGTATTGTTTTTTTATTCCATCGAAGAAAAAAAGTGATTTATAGATCTTTATTTGATTTTTCTTACTTGTAATTAAGGGTAAAAATGATATTTTTGTTCTTAAGTAAATTACATAGATGTTAAATAAATGACAGTTTTAGAATATGAAGACGACAAGTAATTTGCTTTTCTATATAATGCTCAGAGCGCTCTCTTCGATTGTAGCAGTACATTCTTTTAGGTCAAGGTCAATGAACCTGCTTATAGTATGAGTAAACGCTGACAGAGTGAAATATCTCTTATTGTTTATTAACCTTTCTTAACATTCACTCTTTATAAAAAGCAATGACAATCTAAAGAAGAAAGAAGGAAGGTATTTATATCGTAAAATATATCTGATTTTCCATTTTTTAAAAAACATGCTTATTGTTTGTCTTGTACATAAAAATGAAATATAAGAACAGTAATACTAATAATGAAAACTGTCTATTAGGGATTTTATTATTTGTTTCCATTTGAGCTGTGTATATTGAATTATTACACTGACCTAAATATCGTTTTGTTACAATAGAGACAGAGGGGAAAATTTAGTACCATATAAGATGTAAGACCTCCCCCTCCCTTTATTGTCTGCATTGTTACTTCTACCTTCCTCGTTTGGACTCATAATGATAATTTCGACGAAAGCCACTCCCTAACGGGTTCAAGTTGTAATATATATATATATATATACTGTATATATAATAGATATTTATATTATAAAATAGATGATATAAAAACACAAAAGACTAGATAAAGGAAGAATATTTTTTTCTAATACTTTCTTCTTTCTCTTTATCTTCTTTTGTCTATATTTCAAATCTGTGTATTTTCTTTTGCTTTTATCTTTTTATATCAACAAACGTAAACATACTACTATTCATTTTAAAAATGATTTTAGCACCTGTATAAGTAACTTTATGTATGTAAAAAAAAAAGTATATGAAAGTTGATTAATATACTCAAAATGAAAGATCGTTAGTATTATTCTTTCAAGTTTCTTTCAATTATACACTTATATACACATATATACGATACACACTGATATAAACAACACTTCTTTCTATCAATTTTTTCTATCTATTTTTTCTCTTCCCCCTCCATCCATTCCCCCTTTCTCACACTCACACTCACTCTCTCTCTCTCTCTGCTCCTTCCCTCCTTCCTTCCTTCCTTCCTTCCTTCCTTTCTTACTCATTCTTTCCAGTATCAGTTAATGGAACAAAAAAAGAAACGTGTAATAATAATCAAAACCTGAATAACAGTATAGCAGTTTATCGGCTTCTTTGAACGGCAGTGATAGTGGCTTTTACGGCATCCTCTACATTATTAAATAAAGATCCGCCTTTAGTAATCTCTTCTAAGTAGGTTCTGGCTCTGTTGTAATCTTTCTTGGCTGTTTCGCTTAGAATCTCATTATTAATACGGTCTCTCTCTATTCTCATTACACACAATATAACTTTACAACCGAGACCATAATAGTAGGCTGCTTCCAGCATTGAGGAAATACCTCTAGAATCATCGGTAATGACGTAAAGGAGGACACGGCATCTATCCTTAAGAGCCGCCTCTCTGGCAATATAGCGTGTGGTCCACTTATTCAAATAGGGATTATAATATGTTAATCCATTATCTTCAAATATCGGTACAGCAATCTTTTCTCTCCAATTGGAATTAGCGCAAGTACCACCCAAGTAAACATCGTAAGATTCACAGTAATAATTAGATAATTGATAGGCCTTTCCAAAGATCAAATTATAAAAGTATCGGCTAAATGATTTTACTTTTTCCCAGGCGTCTCTGGTAAAGCTAACATTTTGATGATAATGAAACTCGGCAAGAAGACAATAAAATTCCTCAAGGCTATATTCTTCCATATTAAGTTTATTTTCAAATTCATATAACCATGCAGGTAAATCACGAGAAGTTAACTGTTTAAAAGCTTTTCTCATAACGTCTTTATTTAATTTTCCTTTTCCCTTCTCATCAAAAGTATCGAATACTTCCTTGACAATTCTAGTTTAAGAAGAAATAGCATTTAAATATATACAATATATATATATAAAACCTAATCTTTATTGAATAATTTAAAGGGAATGAATAATCTTACTTGAATTTTTGCCCTATTCGTACATGTGGGCATTTCACAGGTATAGCACCATCGGCAGTTGATAAGTCTTCAATATTGATATTTTCATATAAGACTCTTTTAAGACATTCCAAAGCTGTTGGTAAATCATTAAAAACTGGTAATCCTTTTCTTTCTACCAAATGAATAAGGAAGGCCTGACTGCGACAAAGGTCATCGTATTCCCTAAAAGTAGAATAAGGTTAAATGGAGAAAGGACGGGAAGCATATATGATGGTTTATAACGAGAATACATATTTGTATATATAGCAATCATTATAACTATATATGCAAAATATAACTATACTTACGTAGAAGATAGTTTTTCCCCAGCTACTAATTGCTCTGGTCCTTCAAAGGCTTTAACGACTAGAATAAGTGGTCTTCCCCTAGCAGCTAAATTAGCTGCTTCGACCATGGACGCAGTTGACCTTGTTGTATTTTCAATAACGAATAGAAGTATATCCGCATTTTCTTTTGCCTCATTTTCTATTTCGACTAGGGATTCGTTCCAATCGTCTCTTTGCTATTTAGTATGATGATGCAACATAAACATTAGTATATTTATTAAAGAATCTTCCGGTTTAAATAAAAGATTGTCGAGTTTACTTACGGGATTGTAATAAGTAATTTTATTCTTTTCTAGGTATGGTAAAGCAATATCGGCTCTCCACTGTTTAAATAAAAGTATATACAATAGATATTATTCGAATCGTAGAAATGAAGAAAGAGACAGAGAGAAGCAGAGAGAGAAAGAGAGGGAGAGAGGGAGAGAGGGAGAGAGGGAGAGTGTGTGTGTGTGTATGTGAAAATATAAATGTTTCTTACCGTTGTTGGATTACAGGAACCGCCGAGAAAGACTAATAAAAAAGAATAATTAATTAATTAAATTTAATTAACATTTTAAATTAAATTACAAAAATAATAATAAATATCTATAACATATATATGGAAAAATATACGGGTAAAGTGAGATATATGGTGGGGGTGGGTGTAGGGAGGAGAGTATTGTTTGCTATTACATATACCTATACAATACACAGTATATACACAGTATATATATATATATATTTATATATTTTTATATACTCTATATATACTGTGTTGAAGGGGTGGGTGGGATATTGTAGGCGGTTATAGGAGAAACATAAAATATATACACAGTAAAAAAGTTTTTATGGTGTATATAGGATAAAAACAAAAAATGGGAGAGGGGGTGGGGGGAGAGAGAGTGAGTGAGTGCGAGTACAAAATTTTGGATACTAAAATGGCGGTTTTTCTTGTTTATACTAGATTGTGGAGTAGTAAAAATTGGGAGCAATATATAGGTTATAAGCATGCCCTTGACATTTTTACCTCTTCGTAGATTAGGAGATTGGGCTATAATTTTCCGTCTTAATGTTATATACGATAATATTAAACAAACAACTGAACCTAGAAAAGCGAAAATGACGTAATATTTAAAGACATTGCTTATAGGTTATGTTATAAATAGAAAAGTGTTAAGCTCACCATTGAAAGACCTTGAGGAAGCTGTATGGAATATATAAACAAAATGATTAGTCATCGATGAAAATGTTTATTTATTTTTTTTAAAAAAAAAGAAAAGAAATTAGTAAAGTTGTTCCATACTCACATTTAACAGCACATTCTCCGGTTTTTTCCGAGAGAAGAGATAAAGGCCTGCTCGGAAGAGATCTGTTACGAAAAAGAAAAGGAAAACGTTATTTATTGTAACAAGAATACTACGATCTTTTTTTAGTATATACATATAATTAACAGTTTCGTTATTATGTAAACAATATTTGTATATACTTTATATATACTGCATTTACGTATAAAACTACTCACGAATTTCTATATTCTTTCTTCATCTCCGCTACAATAAGACAAAATTCACCAAAATTAACTTTATTATCGTCTTTCCTATTGGCAACTGCGCAGGCTTCGTGAACGGCATCTGAGACTGTTTATTTGTTTGTTAATATCATTTTTATTATTATTAAACACTGATGACAAACCTTGCGATCTAGAAGGATAAATATTGAAAAAGTGTAAACTCTTTCGAACTTCTTCGTCGGTATGATAATTCTTATCGGTACTATTTTGCTTGAATACGTACCATAACGTTCTAAAATATATGAAAACACGATTATAGTTTACATAGAAAATATGCGGTTTTGTTGTAATAACTATTAATATTCGACCGCCTACATTTAGATCTAGTTGTTACAACAGCGGTATATAAATATATACAGTAAATGCACATGTACTCCCTCAACAGTTTTTAATATTGGTTTGATTAAACAATAAGATTTACTCACATTTACTCACATATCACGTGTTAATTTATAATCATACTAAAATATGAAATTATTAATAATAAACATTACGAAATCTCATTTTATCCTCTCAGTCCTTTATTGTATAAAAAGAAAAAAAGGCCTAATCTGCTTTCACTAAACAATTTCTCATTCAAGGAGTTGATTGTTAAAAAAAAAGGAATAATGAAAAAATTCAAACTAAACTGCCAGTGAAAGATCATTTAAACATTTGTTTACGTGACGGTTATGCAAATAGTATTAGGTGGATTTTTTATATTTATTCTATTCTTTACAAAATTGTTAAAGGAGGAAGATTATTAGGTAATAAAGAAGACTTGAATGAATTGAAAAGTAGGTTTGTTCAATCAATTATTCAGCAGTTTGAATTAATGAAAACAAATCATAGTAATAAGGATTTCGCAATCGCAATGATACACTATATAGGCTATATATGTGTTTATATATATATATATAGTATGATATATGATATAAAATATAGTTATCATCGATTGTACAATCACACTAGCCACTATCACGAATTTTTACAAATAAAGAAATAACGTGAGTTCTATTACATATCGTTGGTTTGATAATTTCTCAAATCTATTATTAACTTCCATATATATATATATATATATATAATTATATGTATATTATATGTATATTTAATTTAGGCTCTCTTAATATTATATAATATTAGTTCATATTAAAAACTTCATACCTGAATGGTAACATTATATTTGTTGTTCACCTTACGGAGGTTGGTTGCTTTCTGTCTTCAATCGAAAATGTCTTATAAGTCATCGACTGAATCACTTTTTAAAAATGCAAAATCTTGTTCTTTTGCATTAACTTTTTAATTTTTATAAAGAAAAATTTGTTTTGTTTTTTTTTTTAAAAAAAAAATATTCAAAAAACTTTTTCCTTTATAAATTTCTGACCGACCAACAACCAAATAGATTGTGAATTTCACTTTCGCGCGTAAGTAAAAAGTTAGCCACCAGGATCGCTGTATCGTGACGTAAATTTCTAAAAATAGAACTGACATCAACATGTGATTAATCAGAGTTTTGCTACAATCAAGAGCAATTAGTAAAACTACTGCCTTGCGTCTCTGCACAATAAGCGATATCAGCAAAGATCTGAATTGAATATTCAACGAGAACTTTTGAATATCAGCAATATTTATTGCAGTACCCTGGACATGGGATGTAGGCTTAAATCTGTCAAATCAGCGGTTTTTCGGCTTACACGAATAAAAGAATAAGCTGAATATTGAACTTTTCTCAAACTCTACGTAATTACAAAGACAAATTTTGAATAGGACTAGTTTCCTAAGCGCAAAAGGCAATAATCAGGTTAAAGCAGAACAGTATGATGAATTTGGAGGTTGAATTAGGGGGCGGTAGGTGTGAAATGACACATACAAGACAGACTAGGAGCCAATAAAATGAGATGAAAGATAGAATAAGTGTGAAAATGATAATGAAAGAAGGACAACTAAAGCAAGGTTAAAATATAAGAAAAAACTACTTTTACTGGTACAAACTAGTATCATTTTTAAATGGTTATAACGAACTTGTTAAACAGCACTTCAAAGTAGAGTTTAAGGTCATATTGACAAAATAATCGTAAGCAAAATTCTCTTCGTTGTTGATTTACAACGTTTAGCTAGACTTTTGAAATAAGGACATATTGTTTAGTTAGACTTTATATTTATTACATTAACACTCTTCGTACTCTTTGATTAAAACCAGAAAAAGTAGAGTAAAACGGAGATGGAAATATACGTACAGTTACATATACAGTATATATTTATATAGACATATAGATAGGAAAGATGGAAGGGAGGAGATAGAGAGAGAGAGAGAGAGAAAGAGAAAAAAAGAAACGACAAGAATACAGATAAATATATAAAAGGAATACTTATATAAATTTATAATTACAACTTAATTAGCGTTTTAATTAATTATGAAAAAAAAGGCGAAATATACATGAAAGAATGATTATAATAAGATGTTTGTTTTAGCTAATTTTCCATTGGAGCTTTGATTGATACAATATACTTTGTAGACAATGCCTTGAAGTTTTCTATACGCATAAAAAAACTGACTTTTTACATATTCTACCCTTTTATTCGTTGTTTGGAAATTTTCTCTTCTATTTATCAATTTAATATATATGATATAAGATAAATAAAACATATTATCATGTATCCTCCCTCCCTGCCTTCCTCCTTCTCCCACACACACACACACACACACTCTCTCTCTCCTCTATTTTTAGTCTCAAATGTTTTTTACATTTTTCAATGTCCAAATTATCTATCTTAATCCCGCCCATCTTTTATTCTTTAAGTCGTTCGGTACACTAGACAATTCTGTGAGCATTTTTCTTTTTTCTCCACTCTGCTTGTTAGCTCCATTTTAGTGAGGATAAAAAGGAAATATATATATATATATATATATATAAGAGAGAGAGAGAGAAAAAAGGGAAAAGATGCGATAGTTTCAATTACACTTAATTACATATCACTCTTAAGGAATGCTATTATTATATTATGAACTTCTTTTCTTATGCTGAATAGACAAAGTTTCTGACATATAATGGCGTATCACTAACGTATCTATAATTAGGCGAATGATTCTATATAATTTATGCAAATGAGAATATTATATTATAAGTTATCTTTATTTTATAATATTGTTGTTGTTAATTAGGTAATTAATATATAAGAAACATTATTCATACATTGATCGATCTTTTAATGAATGCTAAAGAAATAAGGTTAAAGAACAGATTGAAAATTTATCAATTCCTGGCCTATATGATTTTTTTTCTTATTTCTTCCTGTCTTATACTATCTATTAAATTTTTAAAGAACATGTATCGATAACACCATAAAATATAGACTTACATGATTGATTTTGCAAAAAGTTATGCCTATTTTGCCGTATTGATGTTATTATTATATACCTAATTTTAACTATGTCCTTCAAATGAGCCACAAAGTTAGACCAACTAGTAAAATATTGTCCTTTTTTCTCATTTGATAAAAGAAACTATGAATAAAAGATCAGAGTTCTATAATGAAACTTTCTAATCATTTTCCAGCCTTAGATAAAGTCGTATTAATTATAAATAGAATATTGCACATTTCTCTTTAAAACATGAATATAGTATATTAAAAAAAAAGGAAATAATAAAAAAAGAATTAATCATTTATAAGAAATTTAAATTGAAATGATCTAATTTTCTTCATACTTCTATCTTAGTTAGTTGAAATGTATTGTTTTATATATAAATTTACCATTTTCGACACTTTTTTTGAACTCTTTCTGTTTTATTGCTGACAGAATGAAAAAAACTGAATTACGTAAGCTTCTTATATGACGGGCATATGTTGAAAATATATAAAAAAATATAACATTTGTCTTAAGTGTCTCTCTCTCTCTATCAATCTATCTTATCTTTGAAAAAAATTATATATATGTATATATATTACTATTAAGAACAAAGAGAAGAGAAAACTGAGGCAGAAAAGATATATATATATATACTGTATATACATATGGAAATGTACATTAAGCATAATTTGCTTTTTTTTCTCTGAGTCATAGTTATGAATGATTATCAGGTAAAGATTTTTATAATTCTTTACAGAAGAAGAAAAGTTCATTAGCATTCAGCTGATTCATTATTGAAAATGTTTTTGCTTTTTCATTTCATTCATTCTTTTTTAAACTAAAGAGATTTCTTTCATAATTTCTATTTAACATTGAATTGTAGAAAGGACATTGGTCTCTTTATTTTCTCTTCTTTTAAGAGAATGGCTAAATGACAAGTTAGAAAGGAGTTTGATAATAATTAATTTTAAAAATTTACACTTTAGAAAGAAAGAAAAAGTACAAAAGAGTATTTCTACAGGCACGTCTACATAATTAACATCATATTTGAAATATTCAGTTAAGTTTGTCATCCGTTCACATGTGCCCTCTACCGGAAGTAAAAACATAAAGAATAAAAATTAGTTAATTCTATATTGATTTTTATGCCTTTCACTATGTTTCGTTCTGAACAGAATGATATGTTTTACTCTACTAAAAATGAATATTTTATATATCATTTACATAGTATGTACAGTTTATGGTTTGAGAGTTATTATTCTATCATATGAGAAGAAGGTGAAACACTTCATTCCCTTTTTTTTTATTTAAATTTAAATCCATTAGTTTTACTGTATTGATTCATGCTTTTGTAAGAGAGCATTAACCTTTACATAGAAGGGTTTTTTTTTCCTTTATCATCCAGCCTTAATTTTATTAAGAGCGTAACTCTTAACATTATCGAATTGTCTCTGAAATAATTGAAAATGACAAATATTAAAACAGAAAGAAAAAAAAACAATAAATAAATAAATAACAAGGATAGGCGTAGAATAAAAAAAGAAAATAGAATAAAGAATTGATCAATTGGCTTTTTTTTTCTCGTTACAATGTTATTATTTGTAAATATATAAGTATATAAACGTTGAATATATACAGTATATATATATATATATATTTATGTGTATACATACTCTAATTAAAAAAAACGCTACAGCATTTGATTCTCCTTATTGGATAAATCGATTTTCTTTGTTCACATTTTACGCAACGAGGATCACCTTTTATACCAAATAGTAATTAGCTGTATTTGACTATATTATTTTATACCATTTTTCACACTACCGTAACCTAAATATCTTATTCTTCATAGACTAGGATTTTTGTGTCATGCTCGTTCTCTTAATTGCAAATAAAGTCTGTATTTTTATTTCTCCAAATATATATTGATTTTTGTCAATTTCCCTCTTCGTGTTTCTACGTCTCTGGAACCTTTATTCTTTTCTTCCTCTTTGTCTACCTATTTCTTCTCTTTTTTCCTCTTATTCACACCAGTTTGTCATTTTCTATATGTATCATGTCTTTAGTCTCTTCACCTATTCTTTACACTTCAGAGTTTCTCATTAAAAATTTCCACTTTTCTTCAACCAGCTGCTCTTTTCTGTATTTAATTAATGAATGAAAATGATGTAGATGAGATCTCTAATGCATTAAAATCTACTTTTTTGAGTTATCTCCAAATATGTCTGGTTTCTAAAGATAAAAACATCTGTTAAATTAACATCTTTTAATTTATAATGCTCCCAATGTGCAATTTTATCGACTTTAACGATTTTGCGTTTTCATATACAAAACTACTACACCATATGTAATAAAATACTGAAAAAGAAATAAACTAACATCAGTTGGCATAAACATTATAGAAAAAAAAGTGTTACATACTTTTAACAAATGAAAACAATATCTTAAAAGGTTTATTATTCTTGTTCAGTTAAATATTTTTCAATTACAATAAGGAAAGTAGTAAGAGATACATTTAACAGATATCGTTATTGCGTTGCTGTATATTACCAATCAAACGAATTGATTGTACACTCATTCAGGCGAAAGTAATGATTAAGAGCCTCTGTTACGTAGATTTTCTATGCTATATGTATATCCAAGGAATGCTAATCAAATTAGTATTGATATCATCTAAAGTGAATATATACTTTATAAGAAATAGTGCCAATTAAATAGGAGACGAAAATTAGTTTCCATAGAAATTGTTTTTGAATATGTGCGATTATGACCTCCGGCTTTCGTCCTTTTTATTGCTAACCGATTTTTTTTATTTCATATTGAAAATAAATAAATAACAAAGGCTTTAGCATGAAAATTGTATAGTTGTATGGCTTTTTATACATTTACATGAAATCAAGTCTAAATATAATTATAACTTCAATTTCAATTGATCCCAGTTGAGGAAATAAAACTTGTTATAAAAATGAAGTAACAATATTTCCGCTTATAAATAAGTTAGTAGTCAAAAAAGTATTCCCCTTCTTTCATATAGGCGACAGTTTAGAGAAGGTTAGGGATTTACTATTTATGAGAGATGAATGCCAATAAGAGGAGATAATCTTTTTTTCATGTATATCAAATAATTTAATGCTACTATTATTCACTTGAAGAAAAGCTTGTTTGTTAATAATTTCATATTTTAACCTTTTAGTTAGAAAAATGAGTTTTATACTTTCTGTTTTTTCACACATCTCTTGCTAATAATCCTACTACTATTGTTAAACAATAACATAAATGTTGATAGTTTGTCTACTAATAATTTTCTCAGTATTACACGATATTTTGCACCTGTTATTTCTATAAATACGAAACGCTATTAAACAAAATAAAAATATTAAGCTATTCGAACATATTTTGTGTTAGAGGCCTCAGTATTTCGTCCTGTCCTTGCAATGCTTTTATTTTAATGCTAGTCATTTTGCTTAATATTTTACTTTTGAAAGTTTATTCCTCTCATTTCGTTTAAATGCGTACTAAGAGCTCCAGGGTGTAAGTTAGTTTGCATTGTTTAGCCATATACGTGAACATAGTAGCTTATTTACGACGCCTTTGCTCTATTCTACCTTGTTGAAATTAATATTTTAACCTTGGTTTCAAATTAAAATCATCAGTTTCCTTTCGTATTGAATTTCGTCGTTAATAACGTATATTTTCCCTAAAGAGCACAATTGAAATTGAAAAGTAGGTTTCCTTCAAGCAATACCGGTAAGCTTACCCTTAATATATCTTATTGTTAATTACAAGTTGTAGTAATAAAGTGATTGATTTGAAACGCACTGAGTAGTGTTATACTCACTTATTGATTGTTCGTCCATATCTAAGTCTAAATCTAATAAAAGACGCGAAAAAGAATGCGATATTTCATACATCATTTACGTCGAGTCCATTTTACAAACATGTAAATAAAAACATTCATTTGCTTTATAAAATAGAGGAGTGATAATGACAGAAGCATTCAGCTCTATATAATTAATAAATTATGTTACTTCGCCTTCTCCTTATATGTTGCCCTTGACTCAAAATCTGATTAAGATCAATATTTTCCACACTTTCTTCTAAATTGAGTAATTCCGCTTCAAACACCTCCGACTTTGGAGATTTAGACACTCGACTCAAATCCGTCAATTCCACAACAGGAAAATTATTAACTCTATCGACTAGCACAACATCATACATAGCATGAGGATCTTTCTCTAGTACAGAAGAAAATTCTACTCTTACTCGATCAACGAAGCGCAAAAACGCTAATCTGTTGGCTGAGTCTCTTATTATGTAATATCTGTATAATTTTTTATCTGCCAATCCAATCGGAAGTTTATCGGTAACATCTTCTGAAACCAATTTGGCGACAATATCGTAAAAATTATTATCAACCGTCTGGGGTAAGTGTCTCAAGGCAATTGGAAAGCGTTCGACTGTACAGCAAGAGTCTAGCAGCTTGATTTCAGAATGCATTATTTTTCGTAATTCAATAGAATCCCTTCGTCGAGCTACATTGAAATTTATAAGACGATAGCTAAGTCCTTCTTTTACCTGAGAAATAAAATTATGATGATGATTAAAAACAAAAAAAATAGTAAATAAAAAACATATAGAATTGGTCAAAGAAATTTCAATGATAGTTTAGATTGTTTACCTGCTCGCTTTCCGCTGAAGTTCGCAGAAGCAGCATACACTTTGCCCGACTTTTTAAACAACGTAATGTGGCTCTCTGGCACTCATAGTCATTTTCTAAAGGATCAGACATACTTGCTGCTTTTAAACCTCTTTCGATTCGTTCCTTCTTACGATATCCCACCATGCATGGTGCATGAATCCTCTCTATAACGACATCTACAGCAGTTACATATCCTCCACCACATTTCAAGGAGTTTAGTGGTAATATAGGAAATTTATGAAAGTGCCCTAATTTCAACCACCCAGCGGCTCGTCTGGTTGAATTAAAAGATAACTGAAATCGGACATTTTGTGCTTCATCTTCCCATGGCTCACAAGCCTCACCAATCATCTTAGCATTAGCCACAATTAACTTAGCACCATTTCGAATTTTTCCACTCCTAGCTTGTTTTAATAGTAATTCGTCAAGATCCGCTCGTATACAATAATGCCCATCAGATAGAGTAATAGAGTCTTTTATTCTTGCGCAAACTAAAAGAACTACAGGAATTGCAGAGTTGACATCCTTATTTAGAATGCTTCGTAACACAGGAATATTACGTGCTCTTCGTTCCAAATCCAATCGATATCTAGAGTTGTTGAAAAAATATAAACTTAACAAAAGTACTTTCGAAATCGAAAAATACAAGCTTTAGTTAGAAAATGAAAATTTCATATTATTGATGTGTTAAGCGCTGAAAGATGACAAGATCTAATTAAGTTTCCTTTTTCTTACCTTAGCAGCAGGTCTCTTAGAACTTCCTCTTCCATTAAACTTCTTCCAATAGATGAGTACCGTTCATAATTAGATAATTTCCACACGATTAAACCATATGCTGTTTTAGTCCAATTATGATGAACTTTCGCTGGATTCACTCCGGGAGATGCTCGTAGCGCATTGTGAAATTCTTCCCAACCAGCTTTACCTCCCGAGTTCCATATTAGGTTTGTACCGTTTGACAGTGTTTTAAAAATTTCGCTAGAATCTCCGCATGAGAATTCGTATGCTAGGGAATTATTTAAGGAAAGACAAATTGACGTTTCAGTCTTTTTTATAGATAATATTTTAGATAGTCAATTATACAAGAGCTAAAGTTGTCTGTTTTTGACGTATTAAAATGTCAATTACTCGCAGAAATTAAAAGAAAATAAATATTTATAGGTAAATCGATTTACTTGTTTCTGAGCTTAATTGGTATCTAATTTATATTATCTATAGACCTTTGTCGATTTCAGAGCTTCTTTAAGAGTCATTCGTTTCCCTGTGTTTTGAGCTACCTCATTAGATGGAAATTCTTCGTGAGAGTCTGTTTTTGATAAAATAAATTCTTTTTGATTATTTCTCTCTCTTTCACGTGCCTGCAAGACGTCACATAAAATTGCAGCATCCTCTAACCAGTCATCATCTTCTGCGTTTGAATTAAGAGACGATGTCAAAGTCGCATCGGATCCTACTTCTAAATTAATATCTTTCCATTGGTTTTTTTCGTGTTCTTTCGAAACTTTAATGCCTTCGTTAATGTTGGATTTAATACAAATCGATAATTTTCTTTTTATTGCCTTTGCATTATTTTTATCGGTTTCAAAATTGTCTATTGGGGTTTCATTTGTCTCCTTTAATCCTTTACTACAAAAATAATTTAATTTTTCCGTATCTATTAGGGATTCCGATGAATCCTCTTCCTCTTTCCATCTATTTCTGACATGTCTTAAAGCTTCTTCTGAAATGGTAATGCTTTTTCCACTGGCAGTTTGAAAACCTACGAAAGAATTTGTATTCCCCTCAGAGACATTTCCAGACCTTGATATTTCTTTGCCAATCACTACATCGACGTCTTTTATACTATCGGTAATGTTTCGCGACAGATTCTTGTTAACTGAATCTGAACATGTAATTTCCATTTCCTCATCTTCCATACGACTTCGAATTTTCTCCAGAGCTTCCTCGGAGATGTGAATATTTTTTCCGCTCGCTGTTTTAAAGCCTATACAAGGCCTTTCTACTTCCGTGTCTTCATTGTTAGCAGCTTTTGTTGTTTTATCTATATTCGCTTCTCTTTCTTCTAGTTGCTCAGTACTTTCCTCGTCAAGTAGAGAATTAAAACATGAATCTAATTCATCATCTTTCCACATGCTTTTGACTTGCTTCAGAGAATCCTCAGATATGTGAATATCCTTCCCGCTCGCCGTTTTAAAGCCTATAAGAGATCCGTTAAAGGTCTCTTTTTCGCAAACGGCCTTAGATTCCATAGCATTCAAATCATATTCTGAACAGACGGTACTCTCCCCCTTTAAGAGGCTTGAAGAAATACAATCTTCTTCATTCCAGCGACTCCTTACAAGTTTTAAAGCTTGTTCCGAAATAACTATATCTTTACCATTTGCAGTTTTAAATCCTATGAAGGGTTGCTCCGCTGATTTTTTATAATTTTCATTAAAGTGATCTACTTTCTTGTCTTCATTTGCATTAGGATTGAATACATTGCCTAAATCTTTTTTATATTCATTGCTAGTTGAATCTAATTTTCTCCTTTTCTCTTCTTGGGATGGTTCTATATTTTCTACATTCTCTCGTTTTGCTGGAACTTTAAAATTTGTAACTTTTAAAGGTTTTTTAAAAATTTTAGAATCATTGTTTAAGGTAGAACGAATAATTGATGATAACTGTTTTAAAAGAGTGCCTGAAACAGAAAATTGTCTTATTTTGCAAACAGAATCGCAATTGTTTTGTAAAGATTCCGTCAATTCTTCTGTTGAAATTTGTATAACTTTATCTGAAGAAGTTCTGAATCCAATATACTCAATACTTTTTAGATTGTCTCTAAAGCTATCATCTGGAACTACTTGCTCATTCATAATTCTGATATTCTAGAGAAAAGTACTTATTTATTGAATTCACAATTTGATGTCCGCCATAAAGAAACCGGTTGGTGGAACAAATACTGAAATCTATACAGTTTTACACAAGATATATTAGAAACCGGTTTAAAAACCGGTTTAAAATTATAGTAATTTTCCGAACACTATATACAAAGTTTCGTATTGTATATTTGTTACTGGTGTTTATTAACTGAAGGTTCTTTATGTATTATTGTTAATTAGAAATAAAATTTAAACTTTTAAGAATCATTATAAGATTGTTTAGATATATTTTTTGTTTCTTCCGTTTTGATCAAAATGTAAGTTTACTGTTTTTTCAAATTTCACTACACTTTCACAAAATTCTAAGTAATTAATCTCAAGAACCATTCGATGGCATAATTTAAAGCACCATTTAAGCTAAATATTGTTTAACAGGAACCTGAAATATGTTTGTGCTGTATTCGATTGTCTAAATAATGATAGGAATACACAGGATGTTTCATTCTTTGAGTTTCCAAAGAAAGAGAAATATCCTGATTTGCACAAACAATGGATAGCATTATCAGAAAGAAATAACCCTCTTGATTTAGAGGTTCACCGATTGTGTTCAAAGCATTTTAATGACAGTGATTTGAAAGTCACGTTAGATTCAAATAATCATAAAAGATATGAGTTAATTGATGAAACGAAAGCATTACCTAGTAAATTTCCTGGAAGAGATAATCAAAAGCAAAACGAAGCACTTGAAACAGTCAGTAGCTGAATAATTCTATTAAAAGTTCATCCATTCATCAGTGTATATACAGATTTCCTGTGTAATTTGTGGATCGACTGACAAGAGAGCTGAAAATTTCATCAGGTATATAAGCATTGTTTAATTTTATGCTCTCAAAAAACGGTTATTTGGTGCAGATTCCCTGAAAATTCACCAATAAAAGAACTATGGACTGAAATATGCTTTGGAGAAGAGAAAAGAATAAACAAGAGTTCTTTGGTCGTTTGTGTGGAACACTTTTGTACAAACTCCCTTCAATTTGACGGAAACGGAAAATATTCCTTAAAAGAAGGATCTGTACCCATCATACATTCTGCAAGCTCTACAGATGTGGTGAGAAAGAAATTTAGTTATCGCTCATAAATTATTTATCTAAATTTGATAGAAAAGCGAACCAGAAAATGATATTACTGAAGAGGAAAAAAATACAGATGGTGAAAACCAGAATTCCGTAGAACCTGTAATTATTCCTTGCTTCTAATATTACAATATGTATGCAAATTGTATTTTTAGATGCCATCTGAGACTATGATTGGCGATGAAACGAGTGAAGAAGACTATGGGATAAGTGTTCGAGTTGAAAGAAACATTCCTTCTGATTGTGCGTACAATCTTCCAAAAGTCAGTTTTATTTTACAGCTAATAAATAAAACAATGCACAGAATATATTCATTTGTAGGTGTCATTTAAGTTGGATAAAATTGATGAAGTATTAAGAATTAAGCCTGACGACACAGGGTACTTTAGCATAAATATTAAAGACTTGCCAGGCTCTCTAATAGGAAAACAAACCGTTAGAAAAAGAACTGGCCAATACGAAACAAGTGAGGTCAAAGACTTAAGCTCTCAACGAGGTCGACGGTATCTAGAAGGAATATGCTTAATGAAAGGCTGCTCGAATAGAGTATCAAATGCCATTAAAACTGGTGTAAGATTTTTCCCTTTTCCGAAAACTGAGATAATGTTCGTATAACTTTATCAAAAAAGGATATAGTATATAGTATTTTCTTATAATGCAAAAGGGCTCGAAAATGGGCGGAATGCACTGGAAGAAAGAATATGCTAAAGGTTAGCACGGACATTTTACAACGAAAAGTAATTTGCAGTGAGCATTTTGCTGATGAAGATTTCCGGAATCCAAGGTCGACATTTACGAGTCAACTAAAGAAAACTGCTATACCCCAAGAAATAAGTGATACTGAAGACAGAGAAGATGACGACGATGATGATGATGACTCATCATTGTGGCTCGAGGATACTAATGTAAGTGTGCAGTTTTCTTTATGTGCTCTAGTTTTTCGAGAAGTTTAAGTTAAATGTCATTTTAAATTTAGGACGATTTCTTATACGAGTGGAAACCAAGAAAAAAACGACGCCGATTTGCAGATTCAATTAAACCTTTGAAGAGTACAAGGCAGACCTCCGTAAGTATACCATTGAACTTTTCTGCGCAGTTTGATTTTAAATAACAGGTTTTAAAGGTTAAATTAGAACGAATTACCAAAAAGTATTCGTCCGCTGCAACAAGAAAATCGATGGAAACTGGAGAAAGGACTGGTAAAATAGCTACTCTTTCAACATCAACTCAAACACCTAATACAATAGTTGTAAATAAAACTACAAATAAAGGTAGCAGGCCAATGGAGGCTCCCCTAGGAACTTTACAGTTGATTGACAACAAAGCTTTAAAAGTACGTCTTCCTGAATTCTGGAAACCGAGCAGAGTTTATGCTACAGAGCCTGTTCCAAATATTAACAATAGAAAATTATATATTCCAAAATTATGTTACGACGGTATGAAAACGGATGTGAAACGTATTGTTCTAAGCCTTGGTAAACATGAAGATGGGTTAGGAATTACTTTACCAGGCGCCTGGAAGGCTTTAGACGCTTTTGTACTCGCGCCTGAAGCTAAAAAAGGGAAGCATAAGCTTGTAATACCATGTGAAGTTCCTAAACGTAGTAAAATGAATAAAAACCAAACATCCATCATTATAAAAACATCTGGTAACTTTCGTCAATCAGTCAGTTCTTCCGCTACCGCAAATAATACTCCGCCAAAACCCTCAAGTACACAAGCTCGAGATGCTTTTATTATGGGAAACGAAAAGGTTGACGATTCAGTATTGAAAGAAGTTTCGAACGAATATACAACAAGTGAAACAACAGATTCAACTGATATATTAGAGAACGTTTTAAACAGTATGGAGGGAGTTAAAAACTATCGATTTACAGACAATTTAGAGCCGACTATCACCTGCTTCCCACTTCGATTGTTCTCAAAGTCCCCTGCCAGTCCGTCAACCGAAGATGCATTCGTTCTTACACGAGAAGAAAAGATTGCCTTCGCTAAATTACTAAAAAAAGTGAGAAGCAATCAAGTACAAGACGAGCAATCGACCAACGTCGTGATGGCGTTGACGAACGAGCAAATAAGCCAGGTATCTGAACTATTGAGAGCAACGCATGAGTTGAGCGATAACATAGCAAAAACTCCGCTCGGTTTTATGATCGATACTGGTATGCATAAATTAACGATCGTTCCTGCTGAAAGCTCAGAGCAGAATTGCGATATTGTAGAAGCGGCAATGCAAGTTGCGGATATATAATACTGTTGCACGTCATGAATAGTTAGAACGTAGTAATGCTATTAGTATTCAGTATGATCTAATAGGGTATAATATTATATCCACTGATGTTATTCGTGTCTCGTTTTCTCATTTGTTTCGTGTGTTCTGCGAAATAGATTTTCCTTCATGTATTCTTTCACTGCATGTTATCTCCGAACAAATTAAACGAAATGATTGATGGCAGCAGAAAACGAAAAAAAAAACGAAAGCACATGAAACGTATTCAAACAACTGAACCTTTAACAAACACATTTGAGGAAAAAATTTTCGCATGCTTTCCAAAATAATTATTACCGGTACAGTTAAACAAATAATTTTCAAGAAGAATTTACGTTGTACAGAGAGAAAGAACAATTTATACAACTCGCTTCTTTGAATTATTAAACAAAAAATTCACCCAGCAACATTAATCTAGTGCAGGCGCGTTAACGCAACTCAACAATAATTTTATGTATAAACAATTAAGGTGAGCAACCGCGTGCAACAAATTGGCCCATTTCGGAAAAAAACAGTCTTTTTACATTACACGGCAGACGGTAGCGAAGCTGAATCATCTGTAAAGAACATCTCGACGTACAGCTGCGGAAAAGTTAGTTCCGTATGGTCTTCTTTAATTCTATGAACAGCAAGACGGTGTTGATTGTTCGTCTCTTTCAAGTCAGTTAATAAGCTCAGCATGTCGTTTTGCCTGCTTAATCCCAGCTCTGCATTACGAAATTTTGCTGTAGGGGAAAAGGAAAAGCTTACGTAAAAGTATGGAATTGGAAACCCTTAGAAAAGTGAACAAAGCTCGTTTTTGTATAAAACTCACATTCGCAATAACGACGTAAAAATCCATGCTGAATAGCTGATACAGTTTCAATTATCTGCTTTCCCGTCTTGAATTCGTTTTCTGGCACTGTTATATATATTTTTTTTAAGTTTATGTTTTTGTTTTTTCTCGAAAGATAAGATTACCAAAGCACTAAGGAATACAATTAAAACAAAAATCAAATTAACTTACCATTTGTGATGAGAACTATGGCACACAGTACGGCAACTTCAATGTCATCTAATTGTAATCTTTTTACATCAAAACCTATCTTGTGAAAGTGCATGAGCAGAGATCGGAGAGGTGTGAACGTTGTCAGCATTGTTTCCTTCTCCGAAGGAGAGAGATTGAAATAATTATACTCCTGTCAAGAACAATAAATAATTATATAATGTCCTCATAGTGAACAAATAATTATCTTACTCTTCTCTCTATATTGTAGTCCATGGCTAGCATTATCATAACAATTTGATAAGTGGCAAATTGAACCATTACTATCTGATCTTCGACGTGTATGTCTTTAAAACCTGGTACCTTCTTAGCAAATCTCAATACACCTTGAGCATGTAGAGCAAACATTTTCATAACACCCTGCCAAACAACGGTAAAAGAAGTTCCTGGTGGCTGTATAGGCACAGCCCTTTGATCCCTATTACATATTACGAGCAATTCCTTATACGCAGTCATAAGAATCTCCGATAAAGCTGTCATCGAATGATCTTTGGCCATTCGGGGCAAGATAGACGGCTGAGGTACGAGATTTTGAACGACAGAGGTGGATTGCGTTGAAGAAGGTAAATACGGAGCAGGAGGTGGTATCGGCTGCTGAGGATTATGGAGATGTTGCGTGTGCAAATGAGGAATTGATTGAGTGAGCGAAGGATGAGTAGGAGGAGGCCCTGGAGTAGAATCGGCAATTGCATTAGAAGGGGCTGTCGTGCGTCCTTCCGAACGTAAATTCTCTAATTCGAGCATTGTGGCATGCTTCACTGAGTTTGGTTGGCGACCAATTCTAGAACCCTCAGGAGTCATCCCGACTCCTCGGCATTTCTGATACCGGCAAAATTTGCACATATTCCTCGTAGCTGTTGTAATAGTGCATCTGCCATTCCTGGCACAAACATATTTACAACTATCTCTTTCCCTGACCGTACGACGGAAGAATCCCTGTACAAAGAGCAATTATTAATGAAAAAGAATCCTGTAAAGAGAGCAATAACAAAAAGCGATTCACTTTAAGCGTAAAAAATATAACGGCTTATAACAGTGGCGGCGACCGCCACGGTTGTCGACATTAAATCTAAAAAAGTCGCTATTTAATCTACGGCGCTTCTTATCCGTTCAACGCCGGCTGTTATAATACGGTATCAATTAGTAGCAGCTGCCCTACCTTACATCCTTCGCATGTGATCGCACCAAAGTGATACCTGAAGAAGTTTAAAAAATTAATCGTGTTACAGTTCCACATTTAAGACAAAAGCTTATATAAGGATTTTCTAATGAATTATGCACACAATTGCCAAAATGAAAACTCACCCAGATGAAGGCGCGCCGCATACTTTGCAAGGTATATTTGAAATCTTCGCATCTAAAAATCCTTTCTGACCTGAGGATTATAGTAATAAGATCATAGTATATTTGTATTGAAAGTAAAAAAAAAACGTCTTTAACAATATTAATCTATTTATAATTTAAGTACAAAGATGAGTCTCCGCAGTTAGAATTACACTTGTTTTGTCTTATTCTCTGTCTTATGTACTGTGTAATTTGTATATATGAGCAACTCTCTCACGAATGAGCATTATTATACAATTTTTTAATGAATTATTGTTAATCCCATTTTTGATAGTTCTATTTTTAAGTCCTTATAAATACCTAATAAAATAGGTATTAAGTGCTCAACAGATATTCAATACATATAAACTATTTTATATATATATATATATATATATATATATATATATATATATATAATACCGTATAGAATATACTATTTATAAATTTATATATATGACCGTATTTGTTAATAGTACAGGCGACTCTTATAAAGCACATATACATATATGCTGTATACTGTAAATACAGTGTATGTGTTTAAAAATATCTAACTGTGTAAAAAACAATCGAATAATAATAGCCGTAAGAAGCTTTAACGTACAATGACACATTAATTAATTAAAAGCTCCTAACGGCAACTCTTCTGGCAAGAACATACATATTTCTGTTCGTGTAAGATATTATGCAATCCTCTTATGTAACTCAGTTGGTGGTTAAGACGAAAAGAAAGAAGCTTTCATAGTGAGACGCGGACGAAGAAGATGAAAGCATTCGGTGGCTAATCAGGACACACACTTACAACTAGTCAAAAAACTGAATAAATATACAGGAGTAGTAAACATCGAACACTAATCACTACTGCTAGAGCAAAGAGCATCATTTCCGACTAAGGGAATAATGCCTCGTCTGTCGGTGTCGGTGCTAATTAGAAGTAATACGATTATAATTGCTGGACCCAGATACACATATAAATACAAGACAGATCGTAGGCGTATGTTTTCCTTTTCAGTATGACGTAGTGACTTCTTTTTTTTCTTTTTTCTTGGTTACAAAATTACCAAAAGGGTTTTCGAATGTAAAACCAAAAAGCGTAATTAAATCTTAACGGCAGGCTTAGCCTAGTTATTATGGCCGTATAATCAAAATAATCCCTTCAACGGCCGTTTAACAACCCACAGTATTACCATGATCAGGTCAGCGACTTTTTTTTTAAAAGAAAATCCTGATCAATTACAATCGGCAATACAATAACAATCCTATATATACTCGTACACCGCTTTTGTGATAGCCTAGTCGCCTCACAATACAACGTCTGAAAAAAAATGCTTGGCCAAAAATGCGTTTTCACTAAAATGAATACGCTGATATCGGAGGGAGTTCTGTATATATATATATATAAAACAAAATACAAAACAGCACAGCTTTACATTTATAAAACAGATGTAATATAAGTAATAATGAACGTACCTGGTCTGTACATTCCTAATTGTATACATTTTTGATATCTGCAGGATTGACATTGTGTTCTAGTTTCCTTCGTCACAACGCAGTCTCTGTTACGTTGACAGGCAAACTTGACATTCTGCTGCTTTTGGCATCGTACAAAAAATTTCTGTAACAAAAAAAGATGTATCAACATTACGTAAGATAGTCTTTTAAAAGGTCGGACAAAAATAGTTCCAAAAAATACAATAAAGACAAAATAGGATACGAGAGAACAAAACTCTGCTGTCCTTGAATAAATACAATCGAAACAAGCGGGGTGTAGGCTAATTATTAAAAGTTCATTTCCTACTACTAAGGCAACTCTAGGTATACTCAAACAGAGAAAATAAAGATAAATGGAACGTATTACAAGGAAAAGAGGAAATAGTTTCCCTACCTTACAGGCTTCGCAGACGTACGCACCACAGTGAAAACCGGCTGCAACGTCGTTACATACTTGACAAAGTGTTCTTTCGACGTTCTTATTTTGAGCATACACATGGGAGCTCGTTGGGGCACCTTCGTCACCGCTCGGTCTCCTACCAACCGATGATGAAAAGTTTGGCGAAGGTTGATAATGACCATCAATTCCGAAGGATTCGGATTCAGCCGGCTCAGTCTTGATAAGTAAGGACTGCTGTTCACTAGAGTGATGATTTACGGGTGAATTGTACGGTTTATACGGCGAAGTGTGGCGGTCGGTGTGCGTAACTTGTTCAAATAGTCCATGATACGAGTTACTTGTTAGAGGTAGTCCGTTTCCATTCGGCGTTACCTTATAACTATCCTCTAAATCTTTGTTGTAGTGATCCTCGGTGTCTAGGCTGCTGTTGTCCTCTTTCAGAGCTCGCTTCTGTTGGCTGTTGTTCGTCAAATCGATAGCCTTCCTCTTCCGACGTTCCTCATCCTCCATGTTTCTGAAGGATTGAAATTGTTTAGGGGGAAGATGATTTCTCTGTAAGCCGTAAGTAGAATCTTGATAATACTTAGCATCATAAGACCAATAATTGGCGTAGAAAGTTTGATACATTAGTAATACAAGCGTTAATGACGCTCTCTGAGCAGCAACTGTTAAGAGACTAGCAGACAACCTGGCCTAACTGCGCATCCAGTTTGCGCAGATCGCCTTAATACGCACTCTAGTCATAAACACAGCTTATCCAGGTTGTCCTCGGGGTTTTATGGGTTATTTTCGATGTAAAGCGATCACTTATTATTTAAAGACAACATTCAACACAAAACACAAAATAACATACGTGCGTAGTTTGATAATTATGATTAAAATCCCACACGGTAGCGCTCCTCTGGAAACCTTCACCTTCTTACACATTCCACCTTGACCTTGAGTGAAAACGAGGCTTGTTGCCGATTAGCAGACGACAACTTATTAGAGATTTAATGGGAATTATTCCTAGAATTGGCTTCAAGAAACGTTTAATTGACCCTAGCTAGGTTTCACATAGTCACCAGGGGAATGTCTACAATTCAATTTAGAAATTCAAGCTGTTGCGTAGAATGCGGTGCTAAGGCGAAAGAACCTTTCAAGAAGTTCGACGGAAATGTCATTAAAATGACTTACTGCGTAAATAGGCCGTACTTTTTTGAGATTATCATTAAACTAGTTTTTTCTCAACCAAGTAGGACGAATGTGGGGAGTTAGTTGATAAATATTTTGAATACGATACTGTCTTGAAAATACTGTCCCTACTTCTACACAAACCTCAAGGTTACAAACACATCGTACTAAATAGCCGTTCCACAGGTGTAAGTTTTCTTCTAATTTAATGTACGCGCCGAGATCTACGTACATATATTTAATTGCAGGAGCACGAATGGAAGTTATTATTAGTTTTGGTTTTGTGTGACGCTTACCAGAGATGGGCTATTTTGTACGCTAAAGAATATTCGAAAGAGACTGAGATGATATTCTATGCAGCTTTGGAAATGAATTTTTATTACTGCTTCGTTTACGCCATGTTCAGTAAGCGATCGCAAATTAGTTGTCGAGCTGTAATGATTTCATTGCCTATTTTATAAATTTTTATATTCATACAGAATGGTTTATATTAAATATTATACTCTCTGCAACGCTTTTCCTCTACGATGGAAAACCTTGTTTAGATCGGTTGACAACGATAATGAGATGTATGATTATATCCAGTTTCGCGAAACTATTTGCCATTCCGGCCTTAATCTGGGCTCAAACCCAAAGCACTAATTACCTTGCTCTTACCTATTTATTTTTGCTCACTTCTAATATTACCGCCTTAAAGGGTAAGTATTTTTTTCTTTCTCTCCTTTTTATTACTTTCCATCATGTTTTTTCTTTTCTAATATTTTCTGAACATAGTACATTTTTCCTTTTTTTTCTTTTTATACTACAGCAATTTTAAACACGAACCGAATAGTTTGTACATTAATTGTTACTCTGTCCCACTATTCATCAGCATTGATTTGCGAGCAAGTTTCATCAATGTTCAACAATCTATGAGTACAAAAGCGAAGACGAATGAGAGAAAGCAAATATTTGAGCACATGGAAAGAGTTCATATGTATAAAAAAAATACAGAATGTTTTTTTCTTCTTTTGCAGTTTTGTACATATTTTGTACATTAATATATATATAAATATATATATATATATTGTATACATGTGTTTGTATATATTATAGTCCCGTATCCATTGCACTATCTTGGATGCTATGAAAGAATAAACCACAGAATGCATCCTCCAAAGAACGTTGCAAGTGATATAATGGCCTATAACCGCCAGCTTTATCCGATGGTTTTGTCATTTCCAGACTTTCCCTTGTTGCATAACCCAAATCTAATAATTCTTCCTCTTCACCAACCTCTGGTCCGCACATATCTCTTTCGATTGGTATATATGAATACTGTTCGTATTCGATTTTGACTTCAGCTTTTACATTCAATCGAGCACCAACACTAATTCCTGTAGAAAATTCAGTTTGGCGCTTAACTTCCTTCTCTTCTTTTTTATGAGCGTTAATAATTTTATCTGCAGATAAGGTTGATGTGGTCTATAAAAAATTCATTGTTAGTAATGAAGCGATATTAATGAAGAAAATTTACCAGCTCTTCAAGTAGCGCTTCCTTGCGTTTCTTTTTTTGCTCCTCATTTTCCGCCTCTTCACGCTGTATAAATTTATTCCAATTTTCTTTTTGCATTTTTTCGTCTTCTATTAGTCTGGATAAGAACTCTTCGTCCTTGCTCTGCAACAAGTAAAAGAATAAATTTGCCAACGTTCAATCAAATATTCTTTCAGGGCACGGACCAGTTTCGATCTGTTTCGTGTGATAATTTCTTGATTAGCCCTTCTATATTCTTCTACTTTTCTATTTGTTTCCTCAACATCCACTTCATTGGTTAGATTGAATACTGTAAGGGAAATAACACCAATAAATAATATCATTCATTTCCATTTGAATCAATTTACCAATATTCTCAACTTCTTCTAAATAGTCATTGTACTCAGCAAGCGTAAGAAAATCTTCCTCTCGTTTATTAAAACTAGAATATATATAAGAATATAAGTGAATTTGTAGAGGAACAAATGACGTAAACAAATAAACAAACTCTTTTAGAATCCTCTTTCTTATGTCAACTTCCTTTTCTATATAGGAATCTTCAAAGGTCTGCAAACGAAACTTCTGCTTTCTTAGAGAGATTCCGCACTCCGGACACGGTCCGGATCCTCGTGTAAAAAGAAATTCTACACAAGTATGACATCTGTAAAAGTAAATTTTAATAAAAAACAGTCAAACATTAGCTTATTATCGCTCGGCAAAAATGAAATATCACTTACAGTGGATGGCCGCATACGTTAACCAAAAGTTTTAAAGATGGATTTCTATATTTAGTTGTTTTACACCGAGGACATTGGATATCGTCCATTTTTCTCGTTCATTAGGCAGTAAAATTAACTAAAATAAATTTTTGAAACGACCACCGGAACCTGTGCCTTTCGGTGCTGCCATCTACACTATAACGAAACAATTAAAGTGATTGCGACGAGAAGTTGAATTGTACCCATAAAATTAACACACCCAAGGGCTGTCAATATGACAAATTACGTTGAGACGGAGGATGATTTGGAAAAAGTATGGAATTTACAATCAAAAATCTTAAAAGTTGTTAAAAATTCACGAATATTACTTTGTTTAGCATCAGGAGCTAAAAACAACCTCTTACAGACATTAGACAATCGGGAGAGACCAATTACTTGTTTAGAATTAAGTAAAAAATGTGATATGGATGAGTCTTATGTAAGAGAGTGGTTAGATATGCTGATAAGCTGCGAGGTAATTGACATAATTGAAAATAGCCGTGTTGAAAAGTATTGCCTAAGGAAATATGAAGAAAAGTCTCTAATTAGTTTATTAATTTCTATACCGGAATCTCCTAATTTTATGGAAATTCTAGATCGTATTAACGAATCATTGAAAATTGATGGACCAAGAGGTTTCCCCTTATCTCTAGTTGGCGAAACCGATGATTACTATTATATAAAAGGTTTCGAAGAAATTTATCCCTGGAGCGATATCAAATCACCGTACGAAGTTGTTCCAGGTCTTGTCAATCGTTTAAGAGCGGGAATTTCTGTACTAGACAGCAGTTGCGGTTCGGGGTCTTTTATATTTAGCGCCGCTAAACATTTTCCCGAATCGATGTTTATAGGCGTCGACTCGTCTAAAGAGGCTATCGAAAAAGCTAAGAAAAGACAGAAGCATTTATCGAATGTCGTATTGCTACACTGCAAAGTGGACAAGCTTCCGTTAAACTGGACTAAAAAATTTCACTACATCCGGGCTATAAATTTGCTACGAAAAGTGCAGCATCCAAAAAGATGGCTTAGGGAATTATATAGAGTATTAAAGATTGACGGGACTATATCTGTAATCGAACGGGAATTGGGCAACAAATTAGATGACAACACCCAAGAGAAACCTTTCCCAGTCGTTCCGCTAATACAAGAAGCGGAACATGATGAGAGTGACAAGGATGACTATCCATTCGAGAGTCTAACAATACAAGAAGCTCAAAATTTGCTTCAAACAATAGGTTTCATTTCAATGTTATCGAGTTTTAATAACTTTTATGAAAGAACCCAAGGTCAAGATCGAGACAAGATAAATTGCGATGAATTAAAAATTAAAACTTTTCAATTATCCAATAAGAAAGAAGATGAAAACGACGGTGAACAAGAAGGCGGTACTATTGATAATATATATAAACATTTTATCTGTACAAAACCGTTAATATGGATGTTTTAAAAACAAGAGATAAATCAAAAACCAGAATATAGTTTATAATATTTCATGTTTTTTTTTTTAAAAAAAATTATTTAAAAGAATGACTAAAATCGAAGAAGAAAAAAAAGTCATTATCTCTCAATTAAACAAGATTTCCTTTCACTAATAAAAAAGAGCAAAAAAAGCAGAGTAAAAAGTATAGATATACGTAAAAAAAGATGCTAAAATAGGAAAAAAAGAAACAAATTATGAAACATATGAAGAAATTGTCTTCTTTCTCATTTTCAAACTTTCGTTTCCTTCGTTTTTTTCTCCCCTTCTTCTCTCTTCTCTCTCTTCTCTCTCTCTCTCTTTCCCTTTCAATCATCTCAGCAATCGTTGGGAAAGACTTAAAAAATTTACAAATTGCGTTGCAAACCTTCGAGATAGACAGAAGAAACAAAAAAAAGCGTATTGTGCACTTGTAGAGAGAGAGAGAGAGAGAAAGAGTTAGTTAGTTATGTAACACAAAAAAAGGTAGGGAAGACAAGAGGGACAAAAAAAAATCAATAAAATGGTATTATTATAATGACAAAGAGAAAACAAAATATAATTAAAACAATACCGTCGAACAAAGAAAGATTAAAGTCTTTTCGTATGTGTTTATACGCATAAACTCATACGTGCAATATATAATATGTACAGAGACATCGGTGCATCTTCATCGTTTAGTATGGATGCTTCTTGTCTTTTATTTTTTTTATTTTTGTTTCTATATCGCATTAATGAGGTTAGACGTTTGAAGTCAAAACATCTTCCAAAAATTTATCTTTTGAGAGCATATTCTGTTCGAAAATATAATTGTTTTAATAGTAACAATAACAAAGATTTATTGAATAATTTCTTCTTACCGTTAAGGCGTTTATATCATTTGAAACAGTACCAATTTCATTTGAACTTCCGTTCCTTATTGATGAAGTTGGTGTAAAATCTTTATTTAATGGACAGACTAATTCCTCTGGATCCTGCTCCGATCGGGAACGTTTATGACTGAAGAGTTGGACTAGCTTTGGCTTTACTCTTACTTTTTGGGAGGAGGATAAGGCAACGTAACCTGGCTGATTTTCGGCCTCTCTTTTCGACATTTGAACGTCGTTTCCGACTAATGTAATGAAATGAGTATTCAAATGTCGTCTAATAAGGGTTTTACTTTGAGGAATAGATAATATGGAAGCTAATTGTTCAGAGGTAAATCTTGGTTCAAGAACCATTAGAGCTCCGTGTACTCCGGAACCCCTCAAGTTTGCCGTATATTCTGACAAGTCTATCGATCTTAGCCAATCCATGACACGATGATTTGACCAAAACATGACTCTCTCAGCACCCGTTTGCGAACCATTGCCAGGTCGCCTAATCATGTAACTAGTATCAAATTTATTTAACCTAAGTAATTGTATGGCTCGAGAGATAGAGGCGTGATGTAAGGCGGAAGTTACTCGGACCGAAATGAGATCATCAACAGTCATTTGATGTAGCACTCTACCATCGATACGGGCTTCGCTGAATGCTTCCTTATATTGAGGTAGTCCAATATCGTCCAACCATCGCGAAACGCAGTGATGATCGAATCTGGCAATAGAGGGCGGTTCAGCGCCTTTCGGGCTAGAAGCGGCAACGGCGGCTAATAAAAGTTTCTTCCTGTGCAGCGGATGCTTCATACCCAACTCTTTTTCCAAATCATGAGGCGTTGCATTCTTAAGCCATTCACCGGTTCTGCCAAATCTCTTACACGTAATTACATACTGACTTAAACCCAAAGAATGAAGCCAGGCGGCTAAACGATCCGAATCCCATAGTTCGAAAGCCAAATCGTCGTCCCTCGACCAACCTAACCGAGGGCCGGCCGTCGCTCTTAAAGCATTCCTCTTAAATTCATCGGTTGTCTCTAAATCAAGATCTTGAGAGCTACTACGCCGAAGCCTAAAAAGAGAACGAGATGGTAAAATAGATAAAATGCTTAAAAGATAGATGTCAAACAATTAAACATGTATAGTGATAATTGAATATAAAGAATTTCGATGAATAGCGTATATGTAATACCTTTGAAATATTTTTTTAATTGTCTTTTTCTTCTTTCGCTCATGCGAATTACTGTCAAGACCGTTACTTCCACCTCCATTAAACTGTCTCTCTTGACGTTGTTGAATAAGGCGATATTCGGCGGCCAATTCATCCTTTAAAGCTTCATCATCCGTATCAGCTCGGGCTGTCAAAGATGAAAAGTAAAAAGAGTTTAGCAACATTTAGGCTTTGTAAATGATATACTTCTTAATTTTAATTTATAGGCATTAAAAACTGAACAAGTATTAATCGGATTAATCGACTAATTATTCAAAGAGTATATATTTCACTATATTGTAGGCAGTAGTAGGAGTAGTAATAGCAATTTAAAGGACAAGACAGTTTTAAAACGCTAAATATCAATGGATCATGCTCTATTTAACTATTTTCTCTTTCTTTTCCCTTCATTCACGCGCACACAGAAACACGCATTCACACACTCTCGTTACAATTATCCCTATCCTTTTCTCTATCCCTCTCTTCCCTTTCCATTCCCTCTCTTTCCTTTTTTATTAATAGTTTGATAAGAATTAAAAAGATATTAAAAATTAATATCATGCTAAGCGGCGCATAGAATAACTTAAAGTATTATTGTTATTATTATATTATTATGTTAGTCGATTGAATAAGGGAGCAAAATTTTGTTGTTTTTTTTTTGTTAGAAAATGTGCTCTTTCTAAAAGATAAATGCTCCTTTCATTATTCTAAATTGTTTTTTAATCTCTTTTTTATATCTATCTATCTACATAAATGTATGTATAAATATATATATATATATATATATATATATAGATGTATACATCTGCCCATGCCGTATTCACCTAAACTTGGCGCTGATGAACTCCATCTGCTCGGTTTCGACCTAAATAAACTTTTGCCGAAATTACTCAAAGTCGTATATGCGTTTGACGGTGGCATTTTTCGGCTATGATTTCTAGTTAATGAGGAAGTTACGGGACGCCATAATTGTAAACTTGCCGATGGCGTAGTCGTCGTTGTCGATGGTAACGTACCGTAATCTCTACGTGGTGGCGTAGGACTCTCGATGTCAGGTGTTAATTGTTCAAAAGAGGAAGATTTTGTGACGGTATTGCAGGAAGAGGACGGCGAAACGCAAACGATTGTTGAGGGAGGACTGAGTATCCCAGATTCAGTTAAAACCGCGGGAGGTTGGGTAGATCCATTCCGTAACGTCGTCAATTTTGTCGACGCAAGGGGTTGCACAGGAGTACTCGTAGCACCGGGAGGGGGAAGACGGGCATTATTTGCATTTTCTGCAGGTAGCCTTCTAGATCTGAAAGCCCTCCTTAAATCTTCAAGTTCTCTGTCTTTAGCAGCGTTTGATTGTAATAACTGTTCGACAGACCGACGTAATCGATCAACTTCTGCATCTAAAAAATTAATATCTCAATAAATTTCTCAAATACCCCTGATATATATATTGTATATATAATACAATTAATTGTTTTTACTATAACTAGTATAATCTAATTAATCTAAATATAATAGTTTAGCGCTAAAGCACCTCTAATTAAATCAATTATAGACAAAAGAAAAATACACACACACACACACACATTTATACACGCAAGAATTAGCTTCTTAATTATTTCGTTTAATATTAAAATGTTTTAAAAAAAGAAGATCGAAAAAATCAAAAAAAAAAAAAAAAAATCAATTAAGAGAGAATATTAAAGAAACGGAAAATAAAATATAGGTTAAATTAATTTAATTATTAAAAATAATAATCATTATTATTGAATTAACGTGTTGTTTTCATTTTTTTAAAAAAAAAATTGAGAGAAAAAAAATGATCAAAGACAGAAATAATGACAGAAAGAGAAAAATTGATTTTTTTTTCTTCTTCTTCTTCTTCTTCTTCTTTTTCATCATCATTATCATCTTATTTTAGATTGGGAAAGTAAAAATAAAAAAAAAAAAGTTTCCATTGTTTATTTGTTTGTTTCCTCCGTTCGGTTTGTTTTGAAATTAGAGCATTAAAAAAAAATCAGATAAAAAAAAAGATTTCTTATAGAAATGTTTACAAATTGTTTACATATGTATATAAAATAAATAATGACTAAAGCGACACCGTGTAGATAACACTGTTTTAGGCTTACGTTTTCGTTTCAATCTCTCCAAAGTCCTTTCTCTATCCAATGTACGATTAGTTTGAGACATATCTGTAAACAAAGGTTTTGGGATTTTTTGGTTTTTTGGTTTTTTTCATTTTTTTGTCTATTTTATTTTTGGTACTGTTTTTTTTATTTTAAGGTAGTAATGTAGGTCAAAAAAAAAAAAAAGAATGTATTGTTCATTCTTTCAACTACGCCCATTGCCTATTATTACTCCATCTCTTAGATTCCTCCTACGCTTTCACCTACTTTTCACAGGCATATTTGATATCGTTTTGGAATGAATCTACTGTATATACTAAAATATACAGTATATATTGCTAAATTGCTTATTAAATTATTTAAATCTCCTTTTTTTTTCTCTCGGTTAGTAAATAAAAAAAAAGGACGAAAATAATAATTAAAAAAAACTGGCGTTCTAGGGATTCTGGAAGGACACCGCAAATACTGATAACGCAGCCAGAATACCTTGAAGCGCGCGCTCCATTTCACACTCGTACACTGTTGAACAGGCCGAATCGGCTTTCATCTCACCTGGAGAAGAATGCGGACTTAAAAGAGAACTGGCGTCGTAGGCCGCCAAACGTGCTTTCAATTCTGCAACCTCCCTTAGGCGTTGCGTCAATTTTGCTCTAGTCTCCTCCGAACTGGATTGAACAAATTTTAATTGTTCATTCAATTCTCGCCTTTCTTTTTCGGAAGTTGCCAATTTCAGTTTCAAATTAGAAATCTCAGCCATCAAATCTAACTTATGAGTTTCGGCGGCTGTCCGACTAAGCAATTCCTGTTAGAAAATAGAAAAAAATTCCATTAAACTAAATATTTTTCCAATAAATTACCTTTATAACGTATATTTTCTATTGAACACGAAGGGGCGTAGAAAGGTGACGGAAGGTTAGATAGCAGATGGAAAATAGGCTATTTATTTCCTTGAGAAAAAACGTCGCCTACATCCGGTTAATTATACACATAAAACCCCCGTAAATACATACTATACGTTTACAAGTGACGGGGACTGACGCTGGAGGAGGATTTGCCACGTAATACTTTTGACTAAAAAGCATAACTGTAAAACAAAAGAAGGAAGAGAGGGGCGTTTAGCTGTCCATATACAGACCATCTGCTCTCTATTTCACTCTTATTTTTTCTTTAATATTATATATATTAACTGTATTCATTACTGTGTATGTCATATATAAATATTAACTCCCTTTTTAAGTTGACGTTGAGCTCGTGTCATCGTTGAGCGACCTCGTATAAACCTAATTGTCGCACATATGGCAGTTTTATAGGCCTAGAGACACCGGCTAGAAGAAAGGGGTTACTACCACCTGTCGTCTTATTTCGTCGACTACTGCTACAACTACCCACTTGTGGTAGTTTTTTATATATATATATAAGCATATAAAGAAGAAAAGGGAATAATGGTAGTAGTTTAAGCTGAAAAAGTAGACACACATAGGCAATTTCACAGATTTTCAATAAGATTACATAGATTGCCAAACAGATGGGCTTAAGACGAATTTCCTATAGGAAATAAGAGACTATTACGTAGTGCGAGTTGTGTATAGTAACATTTACTCTTACGGTATTCTAGCTAAATCGATCCCTATCTTATTGGGGACCAGGCGCCAGAATATTTTTAAACGACTCGTGCCAGATGTTCAAATCTCCACCTCCTCGATAAAACCTCATTTTAAACTATGCATAACATATATTCTGATTTATGATACGTAATAAATAACTGATATGAAATCAGTTACAGTAGTTACAGTAGTTAATTATAATAAAAGATAAGCTATACTTATTTAATAGAATAATTAGCGATGAACATCAATAATACATTTTAAAAAAATACCTTAAAATATACATTTGCCGTTCGTGAGGCGAAAGGAGAAAAGGGCTGCTCTCCCGCGGCATGAATCCTACCACGTTTACCAACGCAACCGCAAAAGGCGTTCATCACACGCATCTTGCATCAACGAAGCGTCGTCGTCAAATGCCTTCTGAATGGAAGGAGGGAGAGAGCTAGCGGTATGTACTTAGGGGGGTTGGTGGGTGAATAACGGCGGGGGGGGTTTGGGATACTTTTACCCATGAGGGGCGGATATACGTACATCCCCAACCGTGCTAGGTCATTGGATGTGAACCGCGCCGCCCCCTGCCTTTTCCCCTCGTTTATTCCTAGTCCTGAAAACTGACCAGCTGCCGTCCTCCCCCTCATAAAAAAACGACGGGGCGGATCCCCATATACATGAATGAGAGAATTCTCTCACGAAAAGCGCGTGCCACAGTAGCATTCACTCTCTTCTTGATAGAAAGAACGTAATTACAAGCCAAAGCGTGTCGCAGGTGCTTTTGGGACCGTGACTTGATAGGTCACCATCAAGGGTTTTTTACTTAAAAGCCCTTAAAGTTTGATTTCCCAACACCTTATAAAACGAAGTAGAGTGCTTGCGGCGAAAGTCACCCTTCTTTTTTTCTTTCTTCCGCTCTCGACCGATAAATGTTCTATAATATTTTCAAGCGATTAAAAGGCGGTACAGATCGAAGCTAATAGATTTCTAAAGAGACAAAACGTTCTTTCAATCCTTCTTTTCTTTTTACAAATATTACCCGCCAAAGGGCTTTTACCTTCTCCTCTCAACTACCCTAAATTTACAAGCAACGGAATACGACATGATAGAAAGAAAGAGCGGAAGGAGAAAATACGTGAAGGAGGAAAGGGTCAACTTTAGCACCTGTCTCCTACCTATCGCAATTTTTCCATTCTGGACATCGGTCAGTTTGCGCACCTGTCGCGTGCGCTTCCTACGAGTACATGCCTATTGTTCACCATACTAATCGCTACCCTTATCGTATGGACACTTTGCAAAATTTAGTTTCTAGCCTATAATAAAAGAAATTCAGCCTATAGCGTCCCTCCCATTTTCTTATCCAATTAAATCGAACAAAATTCCCTTGGAAACGAGTACAAATATTTAAGAAGTGAGAGAACGATGGTACCTTCTCTCTCTCTCTTTCGATGGGAACGACTTTTTTCGCAGTCTAGAGCCAATAATAATCAAATTCAAAAAAGAGAGGGTCTATAGGGTGAAAACTCTTGAATATTTAAAATGAGAAAAAGTTGGAAAGAGCAGGTGTTTATTGGTCTGGAGGGGGTTCGAGATTGTATATTTATCTACAAGATTTTTATACTATATAGATACTAGGGGGGGGTAGTTTACAGTCTGCTTCAATAATACAAGTAGTTATTTTTATTAGATTAATTACAAACGTAAGATGGCAGCACTTTGCATTAGAAATCAGAAGTACAGTAAGAGAATCCTACAAAACGAGTATGTTTTCCTATTCGGACAAAACTTCTAAATTTTCAGTAAGGCTATTCGAAACAGTGTACGCCAGAGAAACTTTCTAAAAATAAAACACCTTATGTTTATATATATATATATATATATATATACTATAATATAGTAAATGAAAGGTATATTCGAATAGATGCCGTATATATGCAGCGTATATAAATACATATTTTTACTTCAAATGTACAGACTATATCCCTTGTATATATATACATAGTTTCCTCTGTGTATTTAATAAATACTTATAAATACCAAAAGAATTCATAGGTGTCTCTATACCCTCTCTTTACTTTCTTTTATATAATACTGTAAAAACAGTAGTGTTAAGTTTATACTGCATGCATATATATATATATATATATTTATATATAAACTGTGCATACTGCATACGTATGTATATCACATACACACACGCTTAGCGTTAATCTCTAACAGGCATATTCCACTTGAAATGGAACGTTTGGTCTGTATAAAGCCTTCCCACCGAAATGCAACCGTTTATTACTAAAAGCACCTAATAAATCGTCTATCTCATATATTTACTCGAATTACAAACGCGCGGCGGTTTTCGTCTCGTTCGTGACATGAAGTAAAAACAAACAAAATGGAACAAAAATTCTTGACGGATACAATACATTTGCAAACAAGTTTGGCGGGCGATAGAAAACGAAAAAGAGTTTTGAGATTATGGTGGAATAGTGGAAAATAACGGTAGAGATTTTTGTGGTTGGCTGTGGTGGTGGTGGCAATGATTATGGTATTCGAAGTTAAGGCAGTGGTAATAGTGTATAATAGGTTGAAAGTTAGTAAAAACTTTTTCTAATATTTATACTTATAATAATAATATATAAATGGATATAGTCTTGCACATATATACCGAAAATACCTGTTTTATATTTACAAGTGTACTATTTAATGTATATAATGGTTGGGGAAGGGAAGGAGGAATTAGGAAGTTGAGGGGGGAGGAGGGGATTAAGATTGGGAAACGAATAGATAAATTGTACCGTAAGCGCTAGCCATCGGCGTTCGAGTATGAGACCGTCGCTCCGGCGTTTATACATTGTAGATAAAAGAGCCGTGGAAAAAAAGAGATGGGGTTGGGAGAAGAGCGAACTACTATTATACTAGCCCGCCTGGCAAACACGTGTACAAACTTACTTTCTGCAGGAAATGCTGCGCCCTGGCCAGTTGCGTTTGCCGTTCGTCGGCGCAAAGTTGAACATCGCGCAATCTGACCGCCTGACTATCCAGTTGGTCGTTCAACATGGCCACTTGAAACATCAGGGCCTGTTTGTCACGCTCTGCTCGTCTGATTCGTTCAGCAGTTATCTGTTGTAAAGAATTGAGTCGCGGTAACGAATTTGGCCGTCGTTTATCCATTTGAGTAAACGTTGTTCTTCCTTCCCTCTCTCTCTCTTCTATTGGAGGGTAGAACGAAGATACATGGGGAAGAAAGAGTAGGAGAGAGAGAGAGAGAAACAAACAGAGCGAGAGCGAGAGATAGCGAGAGGAGGGGGAGGAGCCAAGGAGATACAGAAGGAAAAAAGAAGCTCGGTAGAAGGCGATAGGGACACCATCTACCTGACAAACTTCTTCCAGATGGCGCCACCAGGCAACGACGACGACGACGACAAGAGAACGGAAAACAAAAAACGAACGCGAGATAGAGATAATGGGCAAACATGCGACGGACGACAAATATAAACGTGCACAACATAAAATATGCAAGCAAGCGGCGGTTCACCGTCCCGGATAATACCGACCTTTTTCTCTTCATTAATCCAATTCTGTAGGAATAAGCGGGTCTCCGGTTGCATTATGTTTAAAATTTTCCTCCGCAATCCAACTTCTTCATTCTCAAGAGTCAATTTTAAATCCTCTGCCAAACTGAACGCTCTATTTTCCGTATCTCGTCCATTAGACGTCGCGCACCCGTCTCCGGCCTTTCCTGTTTGAAGAAACGTTTTATTTTTTTTTGTGATCCTCTCCGTCTCTATTGCCAGTCTTAAAAGTACAAACACGAATAAATATCTTGTATCAATTCTGACGAATCTTTCTTTTTTCGATTAACGGTCGTTTACAACGACCAATCAAGCCTATAGTGTTATTGATGCGAATTTAATAATAGCTCAACCTTTTCCTCTTTAAATATACATAGAAAAATATTCCGTTGTTTTATTTTATATACAAGTATGTAATTTTAATTTTATCTATATACTTAACTATTTAATCGTCCATTTTATCACTAATTAATAAGGATTTATCTTTAAAATCATATATCACTTTCTAAATCATGCTATAAAACTCAAAAGAAATTTTTTCTTTCTTTCCTTGAAACTCATAAATTATCAAATGGATACTTTCAACATCTCAACATTTATATATAAAATAATAATTAATAAATGAATAAAAGTGATTAATTAACTAGTTTTTCTCTCTTTTCATATGAAAATAATAATAGCGCGGTATCCTATCTCCTATTCAATTGGTAGCTTTAAATAAATATACGACACTGAGCGGTATAAATTATATGTTGATATTCGTAATAACTCTGAAAACAATTTTCATCCTGAGAGAAATTATACCAGCTTTAGGCCTATACATAGACAATGCGGTATAGATACGCTAATCCTTGCATATACACGTTATTCAAATGGATCAATACTACTTGCATAATTTTTGTATGAGAACACTTACTAGCTGAATCGTTTGACGAACCAGGTGCCATGATCCTCTTCTAAAATTAACTTGATAATATTATAGTTGGTCGGTGGTGTATACAAAAATAAGGGGAGGGAGGGGGAGGGGAGAGAAAAATCAATTGGCGTCCGTTTTTTTATAGTCGCACTGCAATGTAATTTAAATCAAAAAAAAATAAAAAGAAAGCAAGAAAAAGAAGAGAAAGAAGAACTTTAATTTATACGTTTGTTTGAATAAGAAAGAACAAAAATTACTTACATCTAATAGTGTTGTTTGTCCTTTTTTAGAAGTATTTTCTTCTATTTTCAGTTTCCTGTATAATTTAGAACAATCAACTATAAACAGGAGAAAAAATAACGAACAGAGGAAAAGTTATTAGGAATTCGTAATAATTTAAAAATCTATAAAAAACAATAGATCAATAGAAACAAGTAAAAATTCATTTCTTATTCATTTGCAGTCAATAGATATGAAAGTGGCGTAATATTTGATAAACGCCATACTGATAATTATAATGATAAGTCAGACTAAAGTTAGGAGCCCACCTACGCGTTTATTTCATGTTGTTTGCAAGCTTTTCCGGTCTACGACAGTTTCGATTTCATATCGATTTACAATATTGACTTTATCGAAAATAGCCGAAAGAAGAAACGCTTCACCTAATCGCTAAAGGGTGTTTGTAACTGAAAAAGTTTACCTAAACGGATACTTACGTTTTATAAGCGGTACAGACTCAAAATCAAGCTTGATCGAATCTCTACAAACTCAATTATAACTTTGAATAATAATTTTCTGACGATCTTTATGAACGAGGAGCCAAAATTAACTTTTTCTCTCGCTACCAATGCGCTTTGTTTGATATAATTGGTGTTCCGTGTCTCAGCGCTTAAACATCTATACTATAGTAAAAAGCGCCCAGTAGAAAATTTCTATACAATAGTATTAAAAACGAAAAGCGCTCTCCTGGTTCGCTTAGTGCGCTGAGTAATAGCTTGGACCACTTCCGGTTAAAAATCGCCATCTATCAGACATTGTAGAAATATTAGCTTTAGTTTACACATAATTAAGAGTAAGTCATTGTTCACTTGTATCTTGATAGCAAAGTATAAAGAAAGAAGGTGAAACCAACAACAACAAAAAAAACTTCGTTAAACTAGTTAGCGAATGTATGCTACCTCATTAATAAAATTTTGATGCAATTATCGTTTGTAACTGTCACATTATGTTGTTAAAAAAAAGAAAATAATGTAAATATTAGTATCGGAAATAATACTTCTAGAATGCTATACTATCTCAATTTTATCGTAAGTTACCTTTTCAAATTTGACTCATCGATTAATTGGGAAAGGCAAAACCTTTTGTATAAATATTACTTTCCCATATTGTTTGAAATCCATTAATAAGAGTATAAACTTTATTTAGGCCTATGTATTTATAAGCATCGAAGACAGTAAACGGAAATTTTATCCGGTATTTGTATTTTTAATAAAAAAAAGAAAGACGTTAATTTCTCTCTCTATCTTATTCTTTATATCCATTTATCTATCCTAATATATACTGTATCTACCTCTATTTATTCTTTACAATCTACGGACCATTATCGCATGCTCTTTTAGCGAATTTTTTATTTTATACCATTATTGTATAGTCTATATCTATTGACATTTAAAAAAAAAGAGAATAAGAGAGATTTATGGCATCGTTTAATCATTAAAACTTTTAGGTAATTACATTGATTGTTCACTTGTAATAAGATTAAGCTTTAAAATATATAAAATCTTAGGATATTGTTCCATACAATACGTCTCTTTAATTACGCTCAAAGTAATTTGTATAATATTTTCTTACCAACCCCATTGTAAATTCATTTGAAATATAGGTCTTGATTGTTGCGCCGAACGATCAGAAATCCAAATAATACGTTTGCAGATATTGTAACGTTGTATTTATTATAATTTAACAATATGAGTCAGACTAATAAACGTTATGGTACCATATGGTTGGTAGCTAATGAAATAAACAAAACGTCCTCTTAGAGGCTTCTTGAATTTAGCGCCGCTGGAAATAGGCAAAACACACATGAAAATAATGTAAATAGGTTTTATAAAAATTCCCTTGTCTATGTTAAATTTTTTGATTTTATGAGATCGGAATACCTAACCTGTCCATCAGTTTTTTTACAACTTTATTTTATCTTATTGATTATCGCTCAAAATTCATCTCTTCTTTAAATAATTAATACACTGCCTTTTCTTTGGATTATAACATGAATGAAGAGGACATACGAAATACTCGTGTATTCTTACGAGAGAGATTTTTACAGCTAATTCCATCCCTTAGCGGACAATCAGCGTCATTTCACTTGTATGATGGTTTGACTGTGCAAGCAGAATTTCACGGATTAGATTTGGACGGAGAATACTTTCTTGCAACAAATCTTCAAACGCCTATAGGCGAAAAAAAATCTGCTCTTTTACGATCTGGAGATGTTTATTCCGTAAAAGTATCAATATAATAATAAAATAACTCTTTTGAACAATAACAACTGGTTTTTTTGCCTTTTCTATTTCAGCTGTTAGAATGTTTACTTTATGAATAAAAAACTCTTTTAAAGCAATTACATCGTTGATATATTTTACAATTAGAACCACATATATTTATCACCAATCAGCATCGCCAGTTGCTTTTTGAAAAACATAATCCTTTCCTTTAAGATTCATTATTCCGTCTTTTAATGTGAACTTCCATTTAGTCTTATTTCGATTAATCTGTTATTAGATAAAGTAGGATAGTAATGTGCTCTCCGTTCTACTATGGCAAAAAATTAAGAAAAATAATATAGATTAGTTATTACCTTATCGTAAAGGCAAACGACGAGGTTATCGACTTCAAACAATGAACCAGTGTCCTCTTCGCTAACATCGTCTCCAGAATTTAGTGACTTTTCTTCCTCTCCTTGCTCTTCTTCCTCTTCATCTTTTTCAGATTCGTCAGACGAATTTGAGTCAGATGAAGAGGAGGAATCATTTGCTCCGTCATGTTGTATGATGATCTCCACTTTCTTGCCTTTACAAATAAAGTTCTGCTTGAAACATCAACATTTGAAAAATTTTAATTAAATACCTTTTCTCCTAGCTTTGTGTTCTGTGATTTGTGATTTAGATGGCAAGGTTTCATCATCGGAACCTTTCCCACTTTCATCATCTGCAGTGCCATCTACCTGATTTATACGGTTCTGTTGGTTATTTTGACCAACCATCAAGTTTTGACTTCCAGATTGAATAAGAAAATTTTGACCGTTAATTTGAATAAGATTTTGACTCAATGAAACAGGAATTTGCATTGCCGCCGAAGCTCCAGCTTGCCCAGAGGTGGTTAGAGTGGGATATACTGTTTGTTGTGTTCCCGGTTGGATAACGGATTGCAAGTAAACAGGGGCAGATTTTGTTTCTGTTCCGGAGAATTCTACGACTTTACTTTTCTTCAATTTCCCTTCCCATAACTACAGATGAAATTTACAGACTTAACTAACTTTTACATGTAAAACCAATAATAATTTAATAACCTGTCTAAGTTCGTGCAGAACGTTTTCATCATATCCTTCATCTTGAAATGCTTCCCGAACATTGTTAATAACATCATCTATGACTGATTGGTAAATTTTCCCCTAAAACGAAAATGAAAAAGTTAGATTCATAGGCCTAAAGCGGACAATTAATGACTGAGAAATATATTTCTCTCTATAATCGCTCAGGTATGAAAAAAAATCATAAAACAAACTAACTGTGGGATTTTGAGAGGAAGATCCCGACATTCTGATTTCAAAAGTTAATATTTGAGCATAAAAGTGGACTTCGAAATCGGCTCCACCGAAGCCAGACTGTCAAGTTTCCGATCCCTTATATACTTCGTTTTCCGTTAAAAATGGCGGATTATAATTATTCGTGGTCACGTGATATATTGAGGCGCCATCTATCGAATAATATTGAAATAGTCATTTTCCGCTGTTTAGTTCTCTTGTCTAAAATCTGCTCTCTTCTTGATAGTTGGGAAGTGTAAATTTACTTAAAAGCCAATACGACTTCCCCTCTGACAATTGACCCAAAACAGAATGAGCATAGTTTTCGGCTGACATAAATCGGTGGGGGTAAAATTGCTACAGTAACTTTCTCGTGGGAAAATGCAATTTAAACACGCTCCATCCGTTTTCCAAACACGACTCTCGGAGGAATCATTAACTAAGTGGGCACTACTTTTTTCCCTCTCTAAATAGTCTTTTAACAGCTTTTCCTAATTATTAAACAATTATTTATTTATTTTTAAATTAAAATTAAATGACCCGTTACCTGTATACGATCAAACGCTTTTCACGTTAAGTTGACCTAAGGTCCAGGCCACAAGCGGTTTTTTTTTGAGTATTTCAAATAAAAGGCCTTTGAAAATGTAAATGATTTAAGCCTATATCAACTCGACGTCTATTGGTCGGAAGTTGGCGCGTAGACCACGTAACCGGGTTATTCGGTACACACGTTAGGCCTCACTAGAAAGCAGTTCTGCTCAACGAGGAATTGTAGTGTTTACAGCTTCGGAGTATACGAATTTAGCTTGAGTCTTTTTTTTTTTACTGAAGGCAGTTTTTTTAACTTCAACGCATTTTTTATTTGCTTCGGAAATTTCCTCCTTCCACGTAAGTATAAAGTGAAAAAGTTTAATATTTTAACCTAATACATCATATATATATGACTTGTTTGAATAAAATACGTGCTTAGTCTGCCTTTTAACGGCTGCGTAGTCTAGGGTAAGGTTTTTTGAATAATAAATAAAACTAATAATAGAAAAGTGAAGCGACCTATAGATTTTTAAGTACCTTATTTAATCAGTTGTTTTTTTTCTTGTCACGATCAACTATTGTATGATTGGTTTTGACTAGTTGTCTTTCACTCTTTATTTAATCAACGCAATTTTTCTAAGGGATAGAAAGTTTTAATAATAATTTCAAAAAGTCTTTTGTCTTTCCTTCTCTCCCTACTTTCTCTCTCTCTCTCTCCATCTTCATTCTTTATTTCTTTCAACTTAAACAACAACTCACTACTAGGAAAAAAAGACTAGGTTTCTCTCGAGAGTGAGGCGGATGTAAAGTAATCACTTGGTCTACTCTTCGCCGTATGCTATGAATAGTGAGAGTTTTTTTTGGCTGTAAGATGTAAGAAAGAATTTCCTACAACCGGCTGCTGTGCGCCGTTTGGATAATTACAAGTAAAAGAATTTCCGCCAAACGAGTCGAAAATTAGGAACGACAGAGTTAAAAAAGAATTTTATCGCATAATTAACTTTAAACTATTTCCGGTTTCATGCCATTAAGACTTTCAATTTTATATTAGTAGTATTAAAATTTTCAGAAGGATGTGGAGAAAAGGGTAGGCGAGATGCACAATAGTAAAATATATAAAGTACATTTTTAATACTGTATTAGAGAACTTACTATGCTTATAAACGATATATATCTTATAAGTAGTATAAATATGTGTTTCTGTATATAATATACAGTTTATTTCTTTTTATTTTACAGTAAACAGAAGATCGGGTAGCGGTCCCGAAGAAGAGAAAGTATGCTAGTAATCCGCCAACAGCTTGTTCTATTCTCTCTTTTTGTACTACTATTCGACGAGTCGACCTGTAAAGTCGGTAAGAAATGTTTTTTAAATGCACATTCCATCGACGAATTACTTCAATGCAATCATTGTTATTATAACAAGACTATTGAAAAAAATCCTTTTCTTTGCACGTTTTACTCTTATTATAAAAAGAGAAAAAAAGAACAAAGATTAGGTATCCTGGATATTTTTGTTCACCCTTGCAAGAAAAATAGTAGGCAAACCTTTACCTATGTCTGAGTGTACTCTATAGACATTCCGAATTTCGATGGATATATAGAACAGGGAGAGAGATTTTAAGCCTATTTTTCATTAATAATACTACTAACTTGGATTGTTTTCTATATTTATTTCTCTAATCAATTCTATTATTTTGAAATATTTTCCCTCTTAATCTTTCCCTCCCTCCCTCCCTCCTCCTATCATTACCTTTCCCCGAATGCTTCATCTTCGGTACATTCCGAAACTTCAAACAGATAAAAAGGAATGATTAAAAACAATAGGTCTTTGTAATCGGAAGCTTTGAAAGATCAGCTAGAGAGAAGTGGACGCGTACGTAGCGGATCTCAGTCAGATAAGGCTATGGGCCTCTGTCAACACTTGACATCTTTTTTCGTCGTTATTCCTTTTTATATTTTGTCAAGAGTTTAGAGGGGTCACTGCCTAGATTTATCACTTTATTGATAATATTAAGTGAATTATAAAGGAAGTACTAGAGTCTACTTGGGAATAAGTCAAAAGTATAGAAAAAGTAACTTAGCGCCTGTCATATCGCTATTGGTGGATTACTACTCGAATTGGCAGCGATAAACTGATGTTACGTAAAGAATACAATTAACACTGCGGCACAAAATTTGTTTAGGACAGGTACAAAATTTCCTTTTAGGCCCTTGTCGCACCTGCAGAGATAGAATAAAAAGCGTAATAGATAACTAGTGTCTTCTTGTTGACTAGTAGAGCGGTGAAAAAGGGTCAAAAGTGTTTAATTCTTTACCGCAGCGGGATGTTTATTACTTGCCCCTCTCCTCTTGACCATTAACGCCGTAGGTGGCGAAAATACAAGAGAGAGTTGAAAAGATACGCTATATAAATATATTAAAAGATATATTTCTTTTCAAATAGCTGACCGTCCAAGAGTTGAAATAAAAGGCGATCTCACTGTCAGAGAAGTATCTACTGGACAGAATATAACCTTCGAATGTATTGTACATGGCTTTGACAAACCAATGGTATTTTGGAAAGAGCATCACGACCTTGAAAACATTCCATTATTAGATTCTGCACGAAAAATCCTGTCAAATAAAAACAAAACAATGACAGTTCTCAATGCAATTGAAATTGACAAATATAGATGTTTTACCTGTACTGCCATGAATCATAACTTACAACTCACGAGTAAGAAGAATTGCATATTTGTACAAGACCATGAAGTTCATTGGAAAGAGAGTAAATCTCCAGATACTATCTCAAAGACAATTGTGGAAACTCTTGGATCAAACCTTACTTTAAACTGTCCATATACATACCTTGGAAAACAATCTGATATAAAGAGGTCATGGTTTTTTGGCGAAACTTTGCTTACGACAAAGAAGAAGTCCGGTAGATATGATTTTCCCCTGTCAATTATTAAACAATTTCGTGCAAGATTCGAAAAGCCTTTCCGTAAACCCTTTGTTTATATTAAGAAGAAAACGATGTCAATAAACTCTGTTGATCAGTACTTTACGGGAATATACAAATGCGAGGTAAAAAATAAGAGATCTAATAAGAAGCTGACGTACATCTACGATGTCCAGATCGTAGCACCCCATATGACATCTCCGGTATTTACTCATGCAAGTCCAAACACAACGGTAAAGGTTGGTGGACGTTTTGTATTAACAGTAGATATATGGTCTGATGACCATCCTCTAGTTCGATGGTTTCACAACCCAAAAACGGAAAATTTCGAAAAGGAGAAACCGTTCAAAATGAACGATATTAGCGATACAACTCCTCTAAAACATGTCGTGGAGAATGCAACGTTGAGTGATACTGGAAGATACGTTGTTGTTGCTAGCAATAATATGGGTAGTCGGATGGTGGAGATGTTTGTTAAAGTTGAGAATTTAACAACACCTCGAGCTGTTAAAATTGAACAAAGCGTACAGATATCACGATATCCGTTCTATATTGTATTTATTGCTGGTGGAATTCTACTTATTTTTTCATTCGCTTTCGTTTGGTACTTTTTCCAACATAAGCGTGTTTACACTACAATGAAACAAATTGTAGTAATGAGACCCAATCACGTCTATCAGGTTACCGATGAATTTAACCGTAACCTAGTGAACGATGTTGTTGTTTCATTACAACCTCTAACAAGGGCCCAGTGGATGAAAAGGAAAAAGAATGCCCTATATGGAACGTCAATAGCTCACATTCCAATTGAACACGATTGGAAAGTTTCGTATAAGCGCCTCGAATTTTCTGAATTATTGGGAGAAGGTGCCTTTGGCCAAGTTTACAAAGCTAGCCTAAAGCCAAAAAAGAAAACATCGAAAGTCAATTCACGTTTCGTAGCCGTAAAGCAGCTAAAAGATGGCGCAAGCGATGAAGAAGTTATCGAATTGGTTAAAGAAATAGAGACCATGAAATCTTTAGGCCATCATAAGAATGTTTTATCTTTTATTGGTCAAGTAACCGACGGTGGAAAGCTATTAATGGTTATGGAATATGCACCGTACGGAAATCTTCAAGAATTTATGAGGAATCGCCGACCTCATTTAACTACTGAACAACCTGTTGAGCATTTCCCTTATCTATGTTACAGAGATTTAGTTACTTTTGCCAGAGACATTGCTTGTGCTATGACGTACTTAGAGAGTGTCGCTTGTCTACATAGGGATTTGGCAGCACGAAATGTTTTAGTATCTGATAAAATGGTGCTGAAAATCGCTGATTTTGGGATGTCGAGAAGATTAAATGAAGAAGACACTGAATTGAAGAACTATTATCGAGTGCATCCTGGCGGTCGAGTACCAGTTCGATGGATGCCGCCTGAAGTTCTTACAGAAGGCCGCTTTACTTTCAAAGCAGACGTGTGGTCGTATGGTGTAGTTTTATGGGAGATTGGAACACTGGGAGGTAATCCTTTCTCCGACGTTGAGCCTTCTCAATTAGCGCACGAATTGCTTCGGGGTAGAACGCTGACCGCTTCTCCCTATGTTGCACCCTACTTGTGTCAGACAATGTCCAATTTATTAAGTGATTGCCTTAATATAGACGAAAAAATGCGTCCGTGTTTCAGGGAACTTTTGCACAAAACTGATTACTTATTAGAAAGTTTAAACGGCCATTCTGGATATATGAATGTTGATGGACCAATTCGTTCTCCTTCTCCAGATAGTCAGTGCTTTTCAGCTGGTACTCCTTCCCCACCTTACGATGAGACGACAAACGCCTCTATTTAATAAAACATATGAAAAAATTATAAACTGCTGAACAAATTTTTGTTTTTCTTGGACTGATTGAACATTTAAAGGAAAACAATTAAAAAACAAGGTGCTTCTTCTGTTTCGTCTCCTCCTCCCTTTTCCGCTTCTTATTATCATCTCAATTGTATAATAATTAACTTGTTCAATACCACAGATGCATTTGAAAAAATTACTTTTTATTTTTTTGTTACGGATTTTTTATTATTCACTTTTTTTATTCTACATGTGTTCGTTTATCCTTTTTTTGCAAATATGTACATAAATGATGTAAATCTAGACTGTTCCGGTGTCGGACATATTGGAATTTTTTTTGTTCTATTTCTTTATTATTTTTCTCTTTTTTTTAAGTTTAAACGAGTTAAAAAAGTTCAATTTAAATATAATTATAAAATTTCTAAGACTTATTTAACTTCTATTACCTTTAAGGAATGATGTATAAAGTGTTTTTTCTTCCGTAGGGTAAAATAACTGGTCTGACCTGAAATTTAATATGATATTCGATACCTTATTCAATTTTAAGGTTAATACCTTTATTTTTCGTTTTTATTATACTATTAGACCGGATGCTGAATAGACTTTATATAAGGCAGGAAAGGAAGCGAGGCGAGGTAAGAGAACGAAGGTTTATTTAGAAATATCATGTTACTTATTATTTTTCTTTCAGTTTCTAACCTTTTTAAAGGTTCAAAAGTTTAATTTGACAGATAATATCCTATTTATTAGCTTCCAAATTATTGTTCGCTTGCGTGATTATCAGATAGCATCGTATCTGTACTCAAAATCTTAGTTCTAATAGAACTGGGAAAATGATTTTAAGTGCTAGGCGCAATTCACCTGCCATTTTTTTCTTTTCCTTTCGTTATCTTTTCCACTCATACACGAATCAGTTTACTATCAGAGCCGTCAATCAACAATTTAATTATATTAGAATAAAGAACAATGTAATTCTTGTTACATAAGATGCTGTAAACAGGGCATAGAATGGACTAGTCTTTTTATGATCTAGTTTTATGGAACAGAATCCTTTTACCGTCCATGATACTTTCAAAATTTTGTTTAGTGAAAGTTAACCCTTTCAGGTTGGATGTATTTTATACGAGATAAGCTTTATGAAGTGTCGTTTGTCAGTCCTTCATGTATTTTTTCATGTTATCGCTTGACTTTTCCATTCTATTCAGGATGATCTTTCTTGTTATTTATTTTACAGTAAATTTGTTGAATAAAAGAAAGTTTTTCTTTAATAATGTCAAACAGTCTAAATCATTAGCATAGCTGATTTAAATGGTCTTAATAAGAGGACGGCTTCTTCAATATATGAAAGAGACGAAGCTCAACTCAACTGCTCTTTGATTCTAATTTTCAGAATTTCAGACTAATTAAGTTAATTGTTTTCTCAGCTTGTAAGATCCTTTCATTTAGACAATATATCATTAAATGCTTTTGAGGAGATTGTCTGAACAAATATTTTGTTTAGTCTTAGACATGTTTATAACTTTAAACACTATCCATTAAGTATTGACTAGAAATAAATTGACTAGTTCAAACGTTGGACTCTCAAGAACACCCTTTTATGACCGTAATTATCTATTAAATAAAATATAATTTTTTTGTAACAAGGTTCTGAGCCGTTGTATCGTTCTTCTCTTGAATCCTTTTAACATTCCCTCCTCGTTTCGTTGTCGTTTTAAATAATTTTCCCCAAAACATAAGTTAATGCTCTTTGATTTGGACAGTTTTATATTTAAAAAACATTGAAAAAGCTAAAAAATTTTATTATTAGGAGGTATATTATGAACAGTTTGATCGAGGAGAACAACTACAGAATGCAATGTTGTTTTATCTATACACAAATAAGCTCTTAGAGCGAACTAATCATCGTCGATAGTTTCGGTGGCTACTTCAGTGTCGTCTACTAATTCGGAATCTTCATTAATTTTATTTGCTTCTTCCCCTTTACTTTTCCGTTTTTCCTCTTTCTTTCTCTTTTGTTCTTCCTTATATACTATTAGGTAATTCAATTAGGCGGTGAAAAACTCTTTTTATATAAATGTAAGTAATTGTTAACAACCTTCTAAGTTGGATTTTAAAGGTTCTATAAACTGTTCCAAGTCCATTTCCGTAATAGCTTCAAAAACGTCTTGAGTGCTTATTGTTTTTCTTTTATTTTTCAAAGCATTATTATTGGCTCTAGAAAAATATTGATAATCAATTATAAATAAAGTCTTAGAATTCTAATACAAATACATACGTAGATGCTACATAGAGAACAAATACACTAGCTGCTTTTGCCATTGCAGATCTCGCATCTTTAGCCACAATAACACCGTCTGGTAGCTGTTGATTAGTGTTTATTAAAGGAAAATTTTCGATTTCTCTTATTTTTATACGACGTACCGCTTCTTTAATTATTCTAGCTATTATGGAATTGGGAAGGTTTAAATCTTCGGGTTTCTCTGCCATATCTCTTAACTCGAAATCTAAGGCGTGAGCGATAAAGCATTAATTAGGTATTTATTATTTAAAGAAGCAAAAATTTCACCTAAATATTAGAATCGAAAATCTTGGTGGGGCTCTTGGAATTAATAGATCAATTTCTATTAAAGTGGATACTCTATATCAACCACAGCCCAACAGAATTCACGACGAGAAGATTCCCGCTAGTTTTTTATGCGCGTTTAAGAAATGAAAGGGTTAATCGTAAAAAATTGTAAAATATCATTAAACAATCGAAGAACGTTGATATAATTTTATTTAGAAAAATGTTATTTTTTAAATTATTAATACCAAATTTAGGACAAGAAACAAAACTACATTGATTTCTGAACTCTTTAACAAATAAACATAAAAAAACTTCACAATACATACTTAATAAAGGTGTAACTCTCTTTCAGAAATTACAATTCTTTCTTCATTCACTATAATAATCTACTAAACAGTGCCCTTACAAAAAAGAAAACTTTTATATCTTTTTGTTCTGCAGGTAAATCAATTCCAACTCATATATGTTGGAGGATTTAAACAGAATAATGAAATAGTTTTTTAGTCTTAAGAATTTTCTATACGTTGAATTTAGGATGCTCACGACTGTCTTTGCTTATTAGACTACATGGCGAGTTGGATCTTACTTGAAGTCCTTCCTCGACAAGGGCATCTCCTGTTAAATTATTTCATTAGAATAATGTATAAAATAGACGTATATATATATATTTATATGAGCATACCTATACTTGGGGCGATACTCGGTTCGGGAGATATTGAGCACAGCGAGCCAACAGCAACCCTTTGAGAGAGAGATGGATTCGATGACCGCGTTTCAACAGTGTCTACAGTCACTGTTGTTGATGTTGCATCACTCACATTAACAGTTTCACCGCTAGCTATAGATGTATTATCTCTCAATAAGTTTGGTCGATCTCTGCGAATGTTTGTAATTTGGCGATTACGATTGTTGGACAAGCGATTAGAAACCGCTTCTTCATAAGTAGGGGGCTGTCTGCCGTGGACTGAAGGGATATCGGCAAAAGCCATCAACGCCAATCTATCCAAATCAGTTTCGTAAGGTAGTCCATTTGAATAAGGATTGGAAGGTGTAGGTGGTTCAGATGGAATCGTACCCTCAGTAGGTCCGCACTGCTTGTGATATTTGAAGAAAACGCCTAATATGATTGCCACTAAAACAGTTAGTAATCCAAAAGCCACGGATACGATTATAGTTAATGATTGTCCAGTGAAAGTTTCCGGTATTCCTGCCGACGGTGTGGAGACTCGTTTCTGACATGTAGGAGGCACACTACTCCAACCCGAAGATGTGCATTTAAGATTAATATTACCATTTAATTCATAACCTGGATCACATTCATAGGTAACTTGACTGCCAATACTATTTGGCTGACGTAAGCATTTAAGTTCACCATTTTCTTGAGTACAACTGAATTCCCAGTTTCCATTTTCAACTTCGGGAAGAGTTTCGCATTCAAATGTTCGTCTCCATGCATGGCAAAGGCGAACTTGATGGCTCTTGCCACACCAATTTATAGTTGTAGCTGTTAAATCCTCTGTATATCCTTCTGCACATCTCGTTTCCCATTTATTAGACTTCAAATATAGAGTTGTACCATCGTTGAAATTATATACCCCGACTTTATTACATTGAGCTATATTAAAATTTTATAAAATCATTCACTAAAATTGAAGGATTTTAATCAATTCTAAACTTACTTGATACTATTTCGAACAATACACATACAACCAATAGCTTATATAGGTTGGTCATTTTTCTTGCCTTATAGGCGTAGTTGCTAATTGTTCTCGTGTTTCTTGTTGATTTTTTGCGATGTTATATTCTAGCTGAATATTCACGAAAAAATAACACGCTAGAATTTCTTTTAGGCAGATTATAGTGGTTTGATATTTAAAGGCAAATGTCTCACTGGTTGAAAGACTTAAATATGTTGCAGATGGCTACTTTCTGCGCAGAAAAACAATTCTTTCTACGTCCACCATATTTACTATCACGTGACAATCAGTTCTGTTTGTTTCTTACCCTAACCTGGTCCGTAGTGCGATTTTTAGCTGACATTTTGAAGCGGAACTCGAACTCAACTTTTTTTTTAATAAATGTAGCAATACTTATTTTGTTTATGATAGCATAAATAGTAAACAAAATACGACTTACAGTTGATAATAACGGAGGGAAGTTTAGTAAAAATGCTGAACTCATGAATCATCTTTCACTAAACCTGATTTCATTCTACAAAGTTAGAAATATTTGTCTTATGGCCTATTAATCTCTTTTTCCAAATGGCTAAGATAAAGTATATAGACTATAAAATTACCAAGAGCATTTTTGTTATCTAGGTTACCAATGAAGTACTTAACAATCTGACTTCATTATTTATGACAAGAAAACTTGGCAAAATATATATCTGAGTTGACGCTAACATCCTATTCTATACAATATTATTAAAATACCTTTTTCTGTCCTAAATGTCGGCCCCCTTAGTGGATAATAAATACAAAGATATTGATTCTAAAGGGATATTATTATGCAGAAATGTCTTATGGAAAAGTTGGAGTTTATTCTTTTTTTTAGTCTTTTTTCAAAATCTCCAAGGAATTTATGTTAGCACTTGTATATTCAAAGTAGTGATGAGGGAAATCACTATTTTTACCCATTGTAATTACCCCTATTGGTACTTTTCTTCATGGTCAATGCGTTTAAAAGAGTAAATACCGGGCTCTAGCTCCATCCAGGGTAAACTTAATTGTACGTTACATAATACCGTACCATACTAATTAAGACACAATTTTGAAAACTGTTTGTTTTTAACGCGGGTGAAGTTGAGCACTGTTTTAAAGTTTGTTTAATTCTTACTAGACTTAAAATGACTTGACTAATAAGTATATATCCTATAAGGATAGCGTCGGCGATATTTTCTACATTTTAAGTATTTATTAAAAAGCCTTATTTCAGTATATAATTGAGCGATAATTTAATTAGATTATTTTAAAGAATCACGCGTTGAAACTTTCCACTTAAAAGTTTTTTAACACGTTTTAAGCTTTTTTATCCAGAGATTTTAATAAAATTTTATATTTTTTTATCGAAATTCCATTATTTATGTATCTTAAAAAGTGATTATAACAACGTTTAATGAATCTTACGTAAGTCGCGTGCTAACAGACTATCTGGGGCAAATTTCTCCCCAAGTAACGTGTTGCTCAATAAAGTTTTACTAAGATAAAATAAACAAGTTAACCTTTTCAAAAAATTTTGTACTTTCTATAGATATTTGCTCCTATTTAGTAGTTCACGTTTTCTAAAAGGATATAAGAATATATCGCTTAGTATTTATTGATTATCACTAAATGATTGATGTAATTTTACACTTTCAGAACATGAATAGCACAGATACAAAAAAAGAAAATTCTTGTTTGTATAGCCTATTTTTTATAAATGAGAATAAAACTGTAACGTTCTTATTAAATTGCAGATAATATACATAAAAAGTATCTGATTATATCAATATCTGTTTGCGTAGTTTTTGCAATAATGGTTTTTGTTTGTATTTACTGGCAATGGAAAAGATTCAAGAAGGTACAACAATTTATTTTCATTATATCCATATAGCATAAAAACCATTTAATGGTAATCACTTCACAGAGAGTTAAATCAACGATAGAAAGAACCAATAGAAGCTCAGCAAATTCTCGCTGCAGCATTTCAGAAATTAGAGGTAAAGTTAATTAATGAGTAGAGAATCCTCTAAAAGTTATCATTAATTTTTATTACTATAATTTTCCAGCCTCGACAAGTGAAGGACGGAATACGGTTTGTTTTTTCAATTCTATAGACTTACAATTCTCTCGATATCCTAATTACATAATATATATATACATTCAAATAACTTTTAAGACTCTCACTCCTGAAAGAAAGAAATTTGAACAAGCTATTAAAGCCCGTCAAAGGTAGAAGATATTTTCAATTAACGAAACTATTTTCAAAATAATTCACATTCCAGATTCAATGAGGAACGCGCAGCTAATAGGTTAATTGATTAGCTTCTATTTTGAGCAGACATAGTCTATATTTAATTATATGTAGCTTTAATTCTGTTTTTTTTTTCTACGTATACATAAGATCCGTTCATTGGGAATCAACACCTAGAAAGCAAACTTCAGGAAATAAGTAAGTAGTGTCAAGTACAAGAACCAAAAAGCCATCTTTTCATACTTTTATTTGTATATTTTTTTCAGAAGTCCTCAGTCGACATATACTGTTCAAACACCTCATACACCTTGTCAATCGGGCGAGCTTGCTGTTGAAAAAGGAGACGTCCTTTCTCCGATTGAAGAGAATTCTGGTTGGTTAAAAGCAGAAAATGTTAGAACTGGTCAATTGGGTTGGATTCCAAAAACTTATGTATCAACATCTGTTAGTATAATATAAATACTATTTCTCAAAATATTTAAAAACTTGACGAGTTTTTCCTAATAGGAGCTCTTTCCCTTACAGCTAAATGGCCAAAATTTAACTAGTCTCATAGTCGAAGATGGGCATTCAACTGGCGATGAATTAGATTTTGATACTGATGATTTAAATGTTAGAGGAGTAGGTATGTATCAAATTACAAGACTTTGGTTGAGTATAATCATCAAGAATATTTATCTCTTAATTCCAGTATGTCAAGCTAAATATCCATTTCAAGCTCAACAACCAGGCGATTTATCATTCTCAAAAGGTCAAAAAATTCTTGCTTATCCTAATAAATTAATGGATAATGGTTGGTGTAGAGGATGTGTAAAAGAAAGCCACGGTTGGTTTCCCTGGGAATATATCGATGTTCTTCATCTAGACAGAAGTGATGATACAACTAGTTTGTGGACAACTAATTTAGATGAAAGTATTAGAATTATGAAAGAATCTAGAAAGTTTAGCGAAGTTAGGAGTAAATGGACTGAAGTAATGAAAGATTTGAATGAGACTTTAGAAAAACCGTCACTTAAAATGCTCTCCTCAAAAACCTCTTTATTAAACAAACCATGTAGAGTTTTGAGAAAATCTTCCTTTTCTAGGTAATGTCTTTATGCTGTCTATTTTATCTTGTTATGTAATTCATAAATGTATTTATTAGCCGACCCAAAGTACCTCCGCCGAGACCTCCTTTACCGAATGTTAGTAGACTTGAACTAACAGGCGATAAGACATCTCTGGGTCGTATAGAAGCTTATACTCAAACTCCCATGTCTAGAAATGTCGACATTCAAATGATACCGGTAAGTTTTAAGGATTCTTTCGAAATTCTTTGTTTGTTTAAAGGTAATTGTTTTAAATAGAAGAGACTTGAATTACAGAATGACAAGATGGAAGAATCTCAAATGTCAAGTATAAGGACTTCATCTCAAGATTATGTAGAATATATAAAAACTCATTCAAAGACTACTTCTACACCAGAGAAATTTCAATATCAGAGAGCGGAGCATTTAAGGAATAGTAGTTCTTCTGCTTCTCCAAATACTCAATCTCTTGCTAAGTTCCTTATGGTAGAATATAAAAAATATCAAAGGGAAAAGAAGGATAAAAAAAAAGTGAGCGGTTCGTACCAGTCTTTAATTATGGATACAGGAATACTATCTGGTCGAATTCCTCGCGATCGATGTTCTGCAGAAGACTCGATGAATCTTTCAGAAATAGCACGAAATAATACAGAATTGGCTATAAAAGCAAAGAAGATTGCTGAACGACCACCAAGACCTCCTCCACCTCCCTTAAGTAGGCAAATTGGAATGAGCAATTTGGATAATTCTACCAAATTGAAGAAGCGACTCTTCGAAGAATCGAATGAAGCTAATTTATCTAACTTTCCTGGACTTGTTAAAAAAGTTTCAGAGGATGGTAAGCAAAACCAGAATTCTTTACGATCACGTAGCTCTAGCCATGAGAGTATAAAGACAACAAATAGCATAAAAAGCGCTAATTCTACGCAAATCCCTAAAGAGCCGATCGAATGGTCTAAAAATAATCAATGCTCACTTAAGACAGAAATAAGTTATCAAGAGACCGACGTTAAGAAAATACTTGCTGACAATGAAATCCAACAAAGGTTAAATGGAGGTGAAAAGATTACAACCACCGATAATTGGACGACTATTGAGAGTAATAATTTTGTTTTGGAATGTGCTTCTCAATGGGATAAGGCTCAAGCTAAAGAAAACGGATTTAATAATGAGGATGATGAAATCAGCCAAAAGCCGATAACTGAACAATGGACAGAGGAAAACTGGAATAAAGCAGAAATACAGGAAAATGGATGGACTGAAAAACAAGACGTAGATAGGGTTGTTTTTCCCTACGAAACGGCTAAGGGTAACTGGTATCTCGGAAGCGAGAACGATGAGGGTGAGAATAGCGTTAGAGCAGAACAACAAAATGAAAATTGGGATGAGGTTGATGGAAAAAGTAACGAATGGGCTTCGAAGAAGGATGATCATTGGTTTGAAAATGAAAAGAACAAAGACAATTGGGAGAGAAATGACGAAGAATGCTCCACTGAGGAATGGCCAGATTACAAGATGCCGTGTGATGTTCATTTTACAATAGAACCGTGGAGGCCAGCATACGATAATGAAGATTTACCTAAAGACAATGGCTGGGAAACTGAGGATGAGGCTAAAAGTGTAAAAACATTAGACAGTAATGCTGTTCAACATGATACTGTTGTCGAGAATTGTAATGACGACCACAGCAGTCTTAAAAGCGAAAGAACAGCATATTCCTGGAGACCTCAATTACCATCCTTCGTCTCTAAGCAGATTAAACGCTTCGAAAATAAATTTTCAGAAGCTTTAACTCATGTTCATCGATCGCTTTCTAAGAATGAGTCAGATATTGACAGAGAATTGCAGAAATCACGTCAAGATAAATTGAAGACTTGTGGAGTATCTACACTAAATCAATCAACTGAAAATACACCCTTAAACTTTGTTACACCGGCTGGCAGCCCAACGCAAATGAAGAAATTTCCAAAAGACAAAGAAGAGCTAAGGGAATATAACGATTCAAACGTTAGCGGAATGAGGCATGATTGGGATGATCACGATGAACCAAGTGAGCATGATGGAGAAGTTCCCCAACAAGAGGTTGTGGAAGAATTATGCTTTGAAGAGCAAGTAAAAAAGACAGAGTCGAGCAGGCTGTCTCTCAAAAGAAGGGAAGCTGATAATAGAAGAAGGGAAGACTGGTTTTGGGAACCTGAAAGCGCAACTGAACCAGAACGTAACGATTGGTATGACGAATCTGACAAAGAGATTGATTTGGTCGAAGAAAAATTGATAGAGGAAGAAAAAGTTGAAGTACAAGAGAAGCCCCCACAAGCGGAAAATGATGTAGACGATCTAAAAGGCTTTAAAATGTTAGAAGAAAATGAGCTAAGGTGGGAGAAATTTCGTAAAACAAGAGCTATCTGGACAAAAGAATCCGATGAAAATAAACAGCAGGCTTGCAGTACTCACAGTATAAGTAAAGATACTAAAAGGTCAGCTACTTTAGATGATAGTCCTGATGAGGTTTGATATCTATAATATGGTTTTGTGGATTAAAAACATAACCTAACCATTCATTTTATAAATCAATAGCAAACAGATCACGATTATAGAGTACCTATAAATTCACATTATTCTGTTCCGAGTCGGCATATTTATAGAGTACCACCTAAGTACACTTATACGAAGCCGAATGTTCCTGAAAAAAGAGTAAGAAATCCATTGTCGAATTGTCGTCTTCCAGTTCCACCACCTCCGCTACCACCTCGAGATAGGTGAAATATTAATCCATATAAATAATGTCGTATTAAATTATTATCTTATAAAAACATATATTTTTTTACAGAGCCGATAAAGTGCTGAAAAGTAAAATTTTAGTCGTTTGTACAGAGTTTCAGCCGGTGAATAAAGGTCAACTAAAATTGGAAAAGGGTCATTACGTTAAGGAATTAGGTCACGTTAGTATCAATAAATAAAAACTCTCTTAGTTTTAATGTTTATTTATTGTTCAAAATTATAGAATCCGAATAGAAAGGGGTGGCTATATGGAATGAAATCGACTGGTGAAGCTGGATATTTCCCTGATAATTGCGTAAAGCCAGCTGTTATAAATACATTTCGTATTTAACAAAGTATTTAATTTAATTATTTGATGACAAAAGCCGAAAGAAAAGAAACAAAGTTGAATTTTTTCTTCATCGTTTTTATTATTACTTTGTTGAGATTCTAGTTTATCATGTTTATTGACGATAATAACTATATATACTTTTTGTTGCCTATATATATAACTATATATTTGACTTGTATTGTATATCGATTGATGTGCTTATCTATTAGCTTGAAAAAGGAAAAATATGAATAAACATTAATTAAAAAAAATATAATTTATTATGGTCTCTAATTGAGAGATATTGTAGCTTTGAGGTTGTTTGTCCTCTCCTTACTACTTCCGATTGATAAATATTCTCCTAACTAAAGAGTAGAATACTAGAATATACTTGATCTAATGTTATCGATAATGTACATTCTTCATTATCTTCTTGGCTTCTACATAATTTAAATACCTTATTTGTTTGTCACTTTATCTTCTGTCTCTTTATGACCTTGTTTTTTTTTTGTTTATTTTAATTCGAACCAAACAATCAATTGAGATGATGACAATTGATTATTTGAAAAGATTCTCCAAAAATACTCCGTATATATATGTATATATATATATAGATATATATGGATCCTCCAAATTATGAAGGTACTTTGGAAGATTGTGACATCTTCCCTCAAATTCCTTTCTATTTTAACGAAAATCAAAACATAGAAGAATTACTTCTGGATGATCATCTCACTTCGAAATTGAAGGAGAAAACTACACAAGAACAGAATTTACGTGGAAATGATGACATCTTCCCTTTAGAATTAGAACAATTAGAAAGGTTCGAAGAAGGTAATGATATCAACAAAGATTTACAAGCAAATGGAAGATTACGTAATCGCAATCGAATAACAGAACATTGCAATAGCGTTGTCAGGCCATTGGAAAAAGATTTAATGATAGAAAAAAGGGAAAATAGAATGATGTTGATCGGAGAAAATGATTTGCTACCTAACGAAAATGATGTAACGACGGAAGAGGGGAAAAATCGACTAATAAATTTTACCAAGTCGGAAGACTATAGACAAATGTATAGTATATTATCGAAAGCGTACAGCAAACAATCCCTAGAGTCTCAGGGTATTTATTCACCGTTTGCCAAGTGTGATACGGATCGTAAATCGCCTACTAAATCGATAGGAAATGGTAATGATTCCAATTCACATGTAATATCTAAAAACCAATCGGATTCGATAACGGATGATAAAGAAGAGAGAGTATCCTCATCTGAAATTGAAAAGAAGGATTCATTGATTTCCCATATCGGTGACGACCTTTATAAATACGCCAATTCATGGGAAAGCAACGTAAATCGAAGATATTATCAAGAACCAGTAAGAGCGACACCAAATTTGATTGAGATTACTGAAAAGTCGTCCTCTAGAAATTATTTATTGGATTCGGAGATTACAGAAAATTCTTTATCGATCGATAAGAATAACGTCCCTTCTTTAACAGAATATAAATCAACCCCAAAATCAGTGGGCAGTAATAAAAGCCATGAACGTGAATTGGAGTTGCTATGCTATCAGAATAGAGGAGGCGCAGGAATAGAAAAAGGTAGAAAAGAGGAAGATGAAAGCAAGAAAAAATCCTACAATAACAAAGAATTTAATGTAAAAAAGGTAAGGAAACTCATTAATTAATTAATTAATTAATTACTTAAATAACTATGTCTTTATAACGAACCACGACGACAGATCAATTTGGATAAGTATTTTCATTACACTAAGAAGTTTATAGAAGAAAAGAATAAATATAAGAATAAACTATCTAACAGAGGTATCAATAGTTGGACGTCGTCGTTGGATAATCATGTTCTCTCTCAATCCCCCGAAGGGAAAAAGTCTACTGATCATTTCTCCTTCGCCTCCATACCGAAACCTGACGAAACTTCTTCTCCGCTAATGCATCTTTTTACAACAAAAATGGTTCAATGGCAGAGAAGAATCAACAAGGATGTAGATGATAAGGTTATCAGTGAATTTTTCGATATGGACTCTGATAAGAGTTTCAAGAACGTACAAGAGGATAAGAATATCAATTCTAATAATAACATTAAGGGCGAAAAGGGAATGGATGAACTGGAAATCGCGAAAAAGTATCCGGACGTTAAAGTTGCTAGAGAATTTGCTGAGATTTTAAGAAATTTCTCGCCTAAAATAGAGTGAATTCCTTTTTTCTTTTTCCTTTATCTTCAATTCCCTATAATCATTATTCTTTCTATATATTAATGAGGATAAAAAAATACTCAATTGTATATAAATCTTACGATTAATAACGCTTTTCTTTCCGAATAAAGATCGACGACGAGAGACGGTAATAATTTTAATATGAATAATAGACGCCCAACGAACGCCAAAGTTAATAGAAGGTCACGATCGCACGAGGAAAATAATTCTGAGCACAATTCGAGCACTAGTACTAGAAATAAGGATACGATAAGAGGGCGTTCAGTTGATACTCTTTCAACGGCTATCGATGAAATTCGATGCTGCTCAAACATTTTCCCATTCAATCGATTAATTGTCAGGAAACGGAAGAGGAAGAGCGATAAGAAGAGAAGGAGGAAGAGAGTGAAAGGAAAGGGTGCTTCTAGTTCGAAAACAAAGAATTTGAGGGATGTTAGTACGTCATTCGATAAGATAAAGACTACTGTATTACATTATCAGGATAAAGTGGAAAAATTGAACTCTGAAGTAGGTGGAAAGATTACGTAACTAACGTAATTGACTGCCATTTCTTTTGTTCTGTAAACAGCTTGAACTTCGTAAAGAGATTGAGAAATTAAACAATTCAAAGATAAATAATGACGTATTTAAATTGACAGAGGAAAATGTTCAATTAAGGCAGATGTTAAAAGATGTAATCTTTCAAATGAAAGAAGATGGAAATTGCAATTATTCTTTAGACGCTTCTCCTCTGAGAATATCTAATAGTTAGTGAAACAGCTTTTCTCATAAATTTAATTTATAATAGATAAATTTTTTCTTTTCCTCTTAAGAACAATCTTCCGATATCATTACTCCAATAATAGATTATAATCCAGTCTTAGGGTATATTTATTTAAGTAGGCCTAAAGCAATTTCTAATCCGTAGTTTTTAACATTTTTGAAGGTCATCTGAAGATAATAATCAAAAAGATGAGTAAGTATAAAGAAGATCAAGCTTTGTTTTTTTCCACCGTTCTAGAGTGAATCATATACATTTTACCCATTTTCTTCGAAAGATTAATCAGGAAGAATGAAATTGAAGGGAAAGGCGAGAACTTTAAAATCTTGCCTGAGAATGAAATGAACAGCGATTCACATATCATTAGGAAATGCGAGATAGATGAACATGAAAGTCAACTGCATTTGCAGGAGAAAACTATTGATGTTTTGAGGCAAAGAAACGAAGAATTATGCCAAAAGTGTCTTTTGCTTCAGAATGAAAAATATACATTAAAAAATCAAATTGACTGTTTTGAAATTATGGTAAAATTTGATTACGTCATTCCATAATCCCTCTAGTTAATCTTACATTCCTTAAAAGAGAAATTCAGAGTTATCCGAAGGATTAAAGGCTACTATTGGTATGGAGAAAATGTACGATAAGATTAAAAAAGACAAACAAAGGCTTATCGATGAAATCTCCCAATTAAATGATCATATTAATAGTTTAGAGGTGAAGTTAACTAATTAAAATTCATAGATAATATTCTAATTATTTGTTAATTAATTAAAGGAAAAGTTAACAAATTCCGAATTAAAGTATCAAAGAGTCAATGGAGAATTGAAAATATGCGAAAATAACGTACGAAAATATCAAGAATCAAATGCATCTTATGAGTTAATAGCTCAAAAGGAAAAGTGTAAAAACGTTGAATTGCTATCCGAAAATGAACAATTAAAATGCGGTTAATTAATTAATTAATTGGTTAATTAACAAAAATTATACTTGAAATATTTTAACAGAAATTAGCAATTTTCAAGAGAATAATGAAAATATTAATAAACAATGGGAAATGAAGGAAAATTCATTAAGAAAGCAGTTAAAAGATTTAAATGAAAGCTATGAAAAGAGAATTTTATCATTAAATGATGAAAATGAATATTTTAGGGACAGACTTGATAAAACAGTTAAAGAAGGAAACAAGTTAAGGGATGAATTATCAAATGTTACAAAAGATAAACTTGATCTCGTTGATCAAGTATTCTATTTGAAAAATTATCTTGATAAGTTAATTTTTTTGTTTCTTTAAAAAAAAAAACGTCTATAAATATATTCTCTTCTTTCTATCTTAGTAGAAAATTTAGAGAGTTTAACAAAGAAATGATAGAAATTGATAAAATTAAAGTGTCGACGGAAAAGCAGAAGAAGAAGAAGGAGAGAAGAAGACATTCTATCAATTGTATTTTATCGTACGAAAGGGATATGGAGAATGATAATGTCGATAAATCACTTTCAAAGATACAGTCGCAATTGTTAAAAAGTAAAATTTTCTTCGGTTTTCCTCTTCCTTATAAATATTCATGTTACTTAATTCTAAATGCTAGGCTTAGAAAGTAGTAAAGAAGAAATGAATAAGCTAACGAATTGCACTCATATCAAAGAGTATGTAAACAATTACTATATCATATTTATTACTTATTTGGCATAAATTTGAATATTCATTAGCCAATTACAAAGTTTATCAGAAAGTGATTGTTATTGTGAAGATTTTGATGTCTTAAGGTAAAATAGAGTAACGAGGGAGAATTACTATTTAACGTACCAATTAATCCCCTTATTAGATTAAAGATTAAGAGACAAAATGAAGCTATCGTAAAATTAACTACTCTACTTGAAGAGAGGGATAAACTACTTGAAGAAGTTCAGTATCATCAAGACCTTACTGAAAAGGAACTCCGTGAGAAGGAGGATACCATTCGAAAGATGACAGATGAAAATGTTACAATTGTCAACAACAATCGTTTAAATTTAAATAAATTATCTATGGAGACCAACGAAGAGTCTTGTTGTAGATCTAGTAGAATTGATGAGAGCTTACAGGCAACAACCACAATAAGAGATTTAACAAATAGAAACGAACAAGTAGTATTCCAATTATCCGATTATGAAGATGACAAAAGATTATCTTCTATCAAAGATTCTCATAACTTAGAGAAGGGTTCTATAATTGAAGTTATAAAAGAGTTTGTAGATAAGAGAATATCGGAAACGTTTGATTATTTTCATAGGATTATTAACGATAATGAATTTAACGTTAATTTACAAACAATAAAGTGTAAAACAGTTGCCGATGGAAAGGAAGAGATTGAAACTTGGTTTAAAAGAGTTGGGAGTGATTTTAAACAATTGAAGAATGTCGCTAATAAATTAAAGGAAGCATTACAAACATCTTCAAGCAGAGTCTGTAATATTATATATACACTGTTTAGTTAAACTTCAATAGATTTATGTTCTTATCTAGGAAGAAAAGTTAAATGGAAACGTTGTTGACTTAAGGACTAAACTAAATTTTCAAACAAATCAGATAAATGAATACGAAAAATTGATTAGGAAAAAGGAACAATCTATATCAAATTTATCTCAAGCTGTACAGGATTGTCAACAATCCCTTAACGAACAGATAAACGATAATCCAAGTAAAATGGAAGATAAAACACATAAGGAAGTTAGCGTTCTAAAGGAAACATTAGCCGAAAAAGTAGATATAATTAAAGGTCTCGAAGAGAGGATAAATACTATGAAAGAAGATATGACTAATATTTTTAATGATAAGGAAGAGAATAGGCGTAAAATTGTCAAACAAGATATGAAAATATCAAAATTAACACAAATGAATAATTCGTTAAAAGAGAATCTAAAAGTTTTATTTAAACAATATAAAATTGATGGCAAAGAAGATATTTGTAAGAATGAAGTTGAACAATTAAGGATGGACTGTGATGATAAATGCAAAGAAATTGAACAGTTAAAGATTACTATTGCTGAAAACCGAATAAATGAATTAAAAAACTTATCCTTATCTTCTAAAGATGATAATGAAGATTACAAAAAGGAAATAAATAATCTTCAAGATGAACTTAAGGCCCTTAAACAGGAAAACGAATTTTTGGACACCGTTGCTAGAAATCTTAGAGATAGGCTAGATAGTGCTCAAAATAGTCTTCTGACAAACAATCCAATGAATGTAAACAAATTACTTGATCAAGTTACGGAAAGTCGTTTGAAAATTGCTAATTTAGAAGCGAAGTCATTGGCGGATAAAAATTCTATAGAACAATATAAAAAACTTATTAATAGACTTCAGATGGAGCTACTGAATGGTAAAACAAGAAGAAATGAAAGAAATATTGAGGAGTCTCCTGAGACCGATGTAAATGAACGGTTAGTTCTTGAAAGGCTGGAAGATAAATTAAAGATGTGCAGGGAAGAGAAAGAAAATTTCCATTTAAAATATAAATCAATAAAATTAAAATACGAAGAAAATTTAAAAATCCTTCAATTAAAATTGAAAGAGACCGAAAAGAGATTAGCTTTAATCCTACATTCTAGCGAAAGGTTAAAGAAGAAGGACGAATGTTCAAGAATGAGATTAGAGAAGAGAAAGAAACAAGTTGAATTTTTAAAAATGAAATATTGCGAAATGAAACAGAATGTTACAATATTAGAAAAAGAAATGGAGTGTTTACGATACGATAATACGAAATTAAAAGTATTTTTATGACGTCATAGATTCTTAATTCATTTTCCTTTCATTTATTTATTACAGATAGAAATAGCAGAGATGAAAGGTCAGATTCCATTGGAAGAAATTCACCCTCGAAAATCAAATATTAATCTAGATAATGTAGCTTTTCTAATTTATTCTCATTAGCAATGATTCATTCATTCATTTTCTTTCCTTTTCTTCAATCAATAGGAATGATTCGAAGATTCAAAGAAGAAAATTGATAAAATAGACCGTTTGAAAGTTGTTTTACTTTTTAGCAAAAAGCTAAACTTGTCATTTTTCACTGATTGAAGAAATATTTTGTTATTGTTTTCTTTTCTTTTCACCTTAAATAAACTTTTACAAACTTTTTCCATTTAACATCTTTTTATTTAAACAAAAACAGCCTTTAAATTAGCATGTAAACACCTCCGAGAAAACTCGACTATCATCTTGCTCATTGAAAGAAGTTATTGGTTACTTCTTTCACTTTTCTTATGAATAAAATAATAAATAATTTTTGTCCTTTTCAGAATAAGTTGATAATCAAACTATAGATGAAATTCAAAGTAACGGAGGGAGTTAATTTTACAAAGAGAAAGAAAAAATTGTCAAGTTTACTTGAATAAATGAAACGTAATATTGTTAACTGTATAAAGTGGGTCAATGTTTTTTTTTCTTATGATGTATATAGACGTATTGTTCCATCAGCACCAGATGTAAATAACCATGGTTGGAATGGATGAAAAACGCAATCCAAAACACCTAAGCCTTGTGCGGATGCATGTCCTCTAAGAATTTTTAACGGCACTATTAATGCATTTGTCATCAAGTCTGAATAAACTTGTCCGTGACAGACAATTGCTGAACAGTCGTCGGAGGCCGATGCAAATAGAGGATATTTTTTATGAAATGCAACCGATCTTATAGCCTTCTTATGATGACGCAAGTTTTTATATGGTTTTGTGGACATATCCAAATCAAACCAGCACAAACGGCGGTCGTAGCTTCCAGCAATAAGATTGTCCCCTGTTAAAAATTTCAAAACAACATTTATAACGTTTTAAAACTTCGTAAAGTTATTTTTACCTTGTGGATGAATTTCCAGACTTGATAACCATTTGCAGTTTGACATACATTTCTTAATGAGCTCTTGTTTTGCCAAATTATATACTCTAATATACCTTTGCGTCTATTAATAATTAATAATATAGTTAATATAATTATAATTGTGGTACACATTATTAAACTTACAGCGACAAAGAAGAATGGCCTAATTGGGTGAAAAGCGACGCATTGAACAAGGCCTTTAGGTTTTTTAAACGGATGTTGCGAACGTCTTTTGCTTATTTGATGAATACAAACAGAGTGTTTTTCTGCGTTTGGTATAACGACAGCTAAATAATCTCCCTTAACGTGCCATTTAACATCACTTATATCTTTGATGTGAGAAATTCTCAATCTTATTCCGTTTGCATAATCTTCACCGCTGCTAGTTTTCCATTCAACCTTTTCATTCGTTTCGCCGTTTTCAAATGATTCAAATATGGAATCCGTGTTGGATTTTACAACCTTATCACCAACCAAAGAGTTCAGGATTATAAGTTCTTTATCTCTACAAAATTGAAAAATTCAAAACTAAAGAATCGTAAAAACCAAACAGCTTTTATCAACTATTTATTTATATACTTACACAGCAACAGCAATAAGTGAGAGTCCTGAATTAGGATTAAAAGCAACTCGCTTAACTTTTCCCTTAAATGTAAGTGTTCTAAGGCACCTAGCCGTGCTGACCTCCCAAATTCGAACAGTACCATCATCTGATCCAGAGACTAACCATTGTCCCATAGGATGAACGCTAATACTGCGAATAAGATTCTCGTGCCCCTTATAAATGAGGGACTGTACACAAGGAAAAGGTTGTAAGTCTTGCGGAGATGGTAGTTTCGGAATTAAATCGTTGGGATCAACGTTTAATTTCATTTTACGTTGTCTTGGACACAAATACAAATCTAAACATCTCTGGAATCTTTCGTTAACGAACTTAACATAAGCAGGAACAGTTCGCAAACTATCGTACTTTTTAGGCTCAAACTGAATGCGTCTTTCTTCTGATTCCTTAGCCTCCCATTCTTCTTTCTATTAAAAGAAAACATTTATTTACCTTTCAAAACAATCAACAAACATATATAAGAAATAAATTATGTTTCACAAATTAAAATTACTCTTCTTACCTCTTTTTCTGTGAATAGATATTCAGGAGCAGGATTGTAGGACTCGGCATGTCCAGGTAAGGGTAATTTAGGGGCAGGTATATGAAATCTTGGTTTTCTATTATCCTAAAAAATTTCAAAATTGATTTTATATTAATTTTTTATGCTTTATAAACATATTCAATAATAATTAAACAAAAATCATACCTCAGTTTTAGCCCACAAATCATAGTATTTATATCCTTCAGCTTCATCATCAGAAGTTTTCTCTTTATCGATTTTAGGTTTTGACCAACCCATCTTGATTGCATGAACCATTTTACCGACTTTAACTTTTTCCCAATAGCTAGGAATAAAACTACGCTTATCTCTTGGTTGATTGGTAACAGGATGTTTCATAACTTCATGAGTGAAAAAATCTATCCAAGGAGCAAAAGGATTAGATGCATCAGGATCAGCAGTTCTCCCAGCTTTCAGTTTTTCAATAAGCTCTGTGTCTTTATCACTTAATACAACGTTTTGGCCTGTTAATTTATCCTTAACGGTCCGCCTATACAACAAAAAAGTTAACAAATAGTAAAGTTTTTTCAGACCACAATTTAGCATTAATTTATTGAATTGTATGAAAATTAACACAAACCAATAATTTGGATCGTCCATCTTAGCCAAAAAGTCATCAATTTCATTACCAGAAACAGGCCTCATAATTTTCTTTCCTGCTATATCATAACCAACGTGCTCGTAATCTCTGTACCATTGCATAGGAACATTCCCAACAGTATTTCGTATATCCTCTTCGTCTGAAGAATCAAATTCGTATTCGTCTTTTTCCTGTGTCAAACTCGTGCTAGGTTCATTGGGCGTGTTAGTGCTATTTTCAACTTCTTCTTCAGATTCATCTTCTTCGTCAACAGAAGATGAGATATCTCCTCCTTCCGATTCAGAATCTTGACCATCGGTTTCCGAATCAGAGCTATCCTCATCCGATTTATTTTGCATATCTCTTAAATCAAATGTTTCTTCTTCACTCCCCTGAAAAATTTCACGTGTCCTTTAAGAATATTATTTATCGCTCAATAAATACATACTTCAATCTCTTTCTTCTCCTTTGAATTACCTACTGAACGTTTTCGTTTCATATTTACTTAATAAACTCAAAAATTAGCAATTGCTAATAATTTTTTTTACAATAAGTAATTAGATATTTAGAAAAAAGTAATTTTTAACAGAACTTGAATTCGACCATGCATTCGACAAAACATTAGGCTGCCGGAGAAAGCTGGTAGAGTATTTTTTTTAATCACGTGAGCTATTCTGATAGGCTAAAAAGTATGTAACAAAGTTCGCTAACTTCGATTTAACCAAAACATAAACATTTGTTAAGCCATGATGAAAACATTAAGTGGAGTAATTTTGTTCGCACTATTAGTGTCCACTACAAATGGTCTGGTGTTTTCCAGTATAAGTCATTATTTTAATCAATTTTTCCAATTTTTTGGTGATGAACATTTTTCTTCTATAAAAATTGATCCAGAAGTAAATATGAACGCTGTAAGTCAATTTTTTATTATAATTACTAAATAAATTTTATATTTTTATGCTTAATTAATTTCTCTAATTGACAACCAAATAGGCCCAATTGATAAGAAGTAAAGGATATCCATGCCTAGAATACAAAGTTCAAACCTCGGATGGTTTTCTTTTGGGCCTACAAAGAATACCTTATGGCAGAAAGGATCATGGGATGAACAAAAATAGACCAGTTGCCTTTCTCCAGCATGGTTTATTGACTGCTTCCACTAATTGGATAACTAATCTTCCTAATGAGAGTTTTGCATTTATACTGGCTGATGCAGGTTATGATGTTTGGCTTGGAAATATGAGAGGTAATACTTATTCACGAGAACATGTAAAATATTCTGTCGATAGCGATGAATTTTGGGACTGGACTTGGTACGAAATGGCAGCCTATGATCTTCCAGCAATGGTCAATTTTGCTACAAAAACTTCAGGTCAAAAAGATTTGTACTACATTGGCCACTCTCAGGGGTCACTCATCGGATTTACTCAGTTATCTAGAGATAAGGAATTGGCAAAGAAGATTAAGCTATTCGTGGCTTTAGGACCAGTAGCTTATTTGGGTCATATGAAGAGTCCCCTCAAGTACTTGGCCTGGTTCGCCCCAGAAATGCGTGATATCTTCAAAATATTTGGAGTTCGCGATTTTATGCCGAACGATGCACTTATGAAATTTTTAGCTCGTTTTGTTTGTGATTCTAAAACTAGAGTATTTTGCGAGTGCTTCATCTTCTTAATATCAGGCTTTGATGCTAAGCAATTGAATGATTCTCGATTACCTGTTTATGTAGCTCATGCGCCAGCAGGAACGTCTGTTAAGAATATGGTACATTTCGCCCAAATGTATGAAACAGGAAAGTATCAAAACTTTGATTACGGATCTCCCGAAAAGAATCTAAAGCACTATGGTCAAAGTTATCCACCACAATTCTACCCAGAAAACATTACCACACCTATTGCTCTCTTCTCTGGAAGAGATGATTGGTTAGCTGATCCTAGAGTATGTCTTAAATTAATTATAATTGTTAAATGTAATCTATTCGTTGTTTATTCTATTTAAAAGGATGTACGTAAACTGAAGAGAAGACTAAACACTATTGAACATTACTCAATGATCGATGATTGGGATCATCTGGATTTCATATGGGCAATGGATGCGAAAAAAGTAGTTTACGAAAAAGTTATGGCCTTAATGAAGAATTAATGAAGAAAGGGAAGAGAATTGAATTGTATTTCGATATCTTTGACTTTTGAATTGCACCGTGAATAAACTTGAAACAATATTCTAATTTATAAATTCATATACAAAATAGAATAAGAAAAGATTAATTTGCCAAACGAGTTCATCCTTTAACCACATCATTTAATTTATTTAAAAACAATTTACTATCCTATTTAAATTGATATGAATAATGAAAACAAATACGATAATAATAAATAATAACAAATAATTAACACAGTCAATTTATTAATTAGATATTGAATGGATATTATTTTAACATTCATAGTAACCTTTTTGTTTAGTTTAGGTGATGATATTTGAGTCTATTCCATTGGCAGAAATAACAAAACATAAATTATATAACGCTAAATCGGAAGAAAAGTTTATGGAGAAAACATCTATCTCTAATCCTCCAAAAGGGATCGGAGAAGAGGAAACAAAATATAGAGTTTTAGCTCAATGCGGTTTTAAAGTAAAGGATACCTTAGGTTCAGGCAGCTATGCTGTTGTTAAATCTGCATTTTCAGAGAAACATAATCGAGAAGTTGCTATAAAGATTATATCAAGGAAGAAAGCTCCTCCAGACTATTTACAAAAGTTCTTACCAAGAGAATTAGAAGTTGTAAGGATATTAAAACATCCTAATATTGTAACATTTTATCAGGCTATTGAAACTGATAAAAACACATATTTAGTTATGGAAAAAGCCGGTAATGGGGACTTACTAAGTGAAGTTAGACAGCAAAAATTTATAAAAGAACCCCAAAGTGGCATATGGTTTTGGCAGTTGGTAGATGGAATTGAATATTGCCATAATCACCAAGTTGCTCATAGAGACTTAAAATGTGAAAATTTACTTTTGGACGATAGGCAAAATATTAAAATAACAGATTTTGGATTTGCCAGAGGAAGTATCTCCAGTAGGAATGTACTTAGTGAAACATACTGTGGTAGCTATGCTTATGCTCCACCAGAAATCTTAACAGGTCAGCCTTATCATCCTTTTATGGCTGATATTTGGTCTATGGGTGTTGTATTATATATTATGGTAATGGGAAGGTTTGTTACTCCTCTATTACTTGTTTAATAGCCCTAATACAGAAAACTTACACTTTATTGACAAGACTTCCCTTTGATGATACGTGCCATCAAAAGTTACTTAAAGAGGTTAAAAGAGGACCAATTTTCCCCGAAAATCGAGGTGATTGTGGTGTTGATTGCAGAGCTCTATTGTTAAAAATCTTAGTAAAGCGTGAACAACGATTAAACATACACGAAATTAAATCTGACAACTGGGTGGAAAAGTACCGAGATCAGACGATAGCCAGGCGAAAAAACAACTAGATGACGTCATCAAACATTTAATTAATAAATCCTTGTCCTCTCTTGTCTTTTTTTAGTACGTAGACTTGATAAGATTGTATCAATTCATAGGTCAGATAAAAGACAACATCCACAACCAACACCACATTATTAACGCTGCCTCGCCAGATTTAAGAAAAAAATATTCATTACATAACAATTATACATTGAACAATCAACTGAATATTTAATCAATATCTAGATCTATTTTAGTGTCATAATACAACAATGTAAATCTCTATGAAGTTAAATTTTTTAAATTTTCAATAGGTAATTTAAAATAACGACTTTTGCCTGTTTCAAATGAAAAAAGGGTTGATAAGCCTAATAGCTTTTCAGCCCTATACTTTTTAACAGCATCCCTTCGTGCCTTTAAGTTATTGGAATAACAAAATTCCTCCTTATTTTTCATACAATTCTTATCACAGTCAACATCATTCGATTTCATGATAACGTATGTCTCATATTTAATCCAACCTTCTAATAGAGCTAATTTATCTCTAAATAATAGTTTTTTAATAACATCTCTCTCCATTTCACAGTATTCAATTTTTGTAGCTATTAAATCATCGTCAGCCTTGGGAAAGAGAATTTTCAATCTTTCTATTGCAGTTGTCTTCCTCGATGGAATATAGGATCTACAAAATTCATCTAACATTTCAAATGACTTATTCATGTCTGATATTCTGTCATCCAATCTTTGATGAACGTATAAAGCCCATTTATCATTTTCTAGTAATTGTTTATATGATAAAGTCCGTGATTGAAAGCCCTCTGAAGCGACAGGGTCTCTTTGCTTACTTGTCAAATACATAAAGACACCTAATACTAGAACAGTTATAGAAAACATGACATAGAACCAATTATTTACAAATCGGTAATTTCGAAAGATTATCTCCGCATCGTTAAGTTGTAGTATATCATAATTAAGAGGCAATGATACACATGTATTTAACTCATCGCAATATCCAGAATAGCCGTTACATTGACTACCATAAATCTTATAGACGGTGGGTTTTAAGGGTTCACAGGTAACGTTTGAACAGCAGATGATACATGGATCAAATGACGGTGGACATTTACATTCTCTTAGATTATAATGAATGCAAATACTTGCTGAACATATCCCATTCTGGCATGCTTTCATCCCCGCCGCACAAATCTTACCATTTGGCAATGGTTTACTTGGAGGACATTCAGAGCTTATACCATTACAATAAGAAGCTTTTTGACATTCACTTTCATACGAACACTCTTTACCAGACTTCTCTATCTTACAGTCAGATGTGCAGCAACGATTCAGCAAAGGACTACATTCGTATTTGAATTTGCATTGAGAATTGCAGCATGGATCTATAAGATCGCAAATATCTTTAGAACCGCAATCACAGTCTTCGCCCTGTTCAACGATACCGTTGCCACAAGATGAACCCTGCTCAACACTTAAACATCCCCATCTCAATTTTAATATTTTTCTCATATGGTATTTACTACAAAGTGAAAATTTCCTATTGTTCGGTTTGTCTCCCATAAGAGAGAATGGATGCATAAGATATAGATCTTCAGAAGTTTTAGGAGAGCAAAATCCATCGTTTGGGTCATCGTGCAAAGCTGCCATTAAATGTCCCAGTTCATGTGCAACTGTTGTTAATCGCTCAGCCCTAGTCAGTGGTTTTCGATAAGTAACGGAAGTCATTAGTGCAACGTTCCTCCATTGACCTAATAAATTAGAGTAGACAGCACAAATTCCACTGGTTGTGTCCCTAGGATTTACACTATAAGTTAAGCCTTGAACGGCTATAAAAGATAATATGATAAAAATAGTTTGTTTTATAAAATTTCATTGTTCAATTACCTCGATCATCTTTAGTAAAATCCCTTCCGGTAAAGCCGAAACCAGCACAAAAGCCAGTGAAATTCCTCTTTGATAGCGTTTCTAAGTACTTTTTACTACTTAAGATGTTGTCATTGATAGCGTCAACAGAAGAGTTTGTTGTAAAAACAGTAATCTTGCTCAATCTTACGCCTAAAGTAAAGTCGATTCTTTTATCTAACCAATCGGTTGTTGAATAAATTAGGTCAACTTCTCCAAGAATACTATAAACATCGGCAACGAGATTAGCAAGATTTCTTCCATGGAAATTGTAATATTGTACATCTGTTATAACATGAACTTTACATATTCTATGACCCCAATTTATGCTTCTTTTTTTCCTTCTTTTCTTATCGGTTACTTTAAATTTGTTCTTAACTTTATAAATGATAAAACCTCTGATAGTCGGAATATAAATGCTGGCTGGTTCAATATGCAATGTAAATTTTTCAGTCATAATTGATCCTATAAATGAACTATTGACTATATTACCAGATATTTTTGAATTTAGTAAGAATGGATGAGAAGCTTTTAAAACTCTTCCAGAATAGAAGTTGATTTTCCTTCTATGATGTTTTTCTTTACTAACAACCTTAATTTGAATGTTTTCATCCAATACTCTATTGAGAATAATATTAAAAGAAAAATTGAAAGCTAAAATGGAGAATTGATATACATTCGATGAAAGTTTTTTAGATAATTTCATGGAAGGTTTAAGTTCGTAATTTGTAAAATATTTTGCCAAGTTTAATTTGTTTTCTCCTAAAACGGGCAATAATAAAAATAAATATTCCCACACCTTCATTTGAAAATATTGGCAACGGAAGTTTATCACTTCCTCCGAAAATAAAGGCGCCATGATCCTTTATAACTCCCATATATAATCACTTTGCTCGGAACGGGCGTCCTCACTAGAGCAGACATGGCGGCCAGTTTATCTTCGTCGGACGTTTGGAATAAATCTTGCGAAATTTTTCTGGAACGAATAGAGTTAGCCGTTCAAGATATTGTCAAGGACTTTTCTGATAATGGATTTCATGTAATATTCGCTGCTGTTCACGACAAATATAACCAAAAAGTAGCAGTTTCAACCAAACATGTCGCCCAATTAACAAATTCGATATTTGACCAGCTACAAACTGTTGTTTCACAAGAAGAGACAATTCCTACAAAAGTTGAAGAAGCCGATTTGAATTGTATCGAATTGGAAATAGTTGAAGACGTTGAGAAAAGAAAGCGAGCTCGAAAAACAGATGTTCTCTCGTGTGACTATTGTGGCTATAAGGCATTATACGAAAGAGTTATGGAAATTCACAAAAGAAAACATACAGGCGATAAGCCTTATAAATGTGACCAATGCTCTAAACATTTCAAGTCGGAGAATACTCTCAGCCGCCATAAACAAGAAATACATGATCAAATTCGAAATTGGAAATGTGACATTTGCAATTCGGCATTTTTTAACAAGTATTCCCTTACTCATCATGCTCTAGTTCATACTGGCGAAAGAAAGTATTCCTGTAATATGTGCTCTAAGTCGTTTATGAGAAAGGGCCATCTCGTTGCTCATAAGAAAGCCCACTTGCCCAGTGATAAGAAAGAATTTAAATGTTCTGATTGTAATGCAGTCTACGCCTATAAGTCATCTTTAAGAGAACACATACTCAGGCACACAGGAGAGAAGCCTCATAAATGTGAAATGTGTGACGAATCCTTTCGCTATCGATGGCAATTGAAAAGACACCGCCTATCTGTTCATGGTAAAGTTGTTGATAGACCATATATCTGTAAAATTTGTGGATTAGCTTGCGTATCAGATACAACCCTTCGAATTCACACAACCCGTGTCCATGAAGCTAACAACAGTAACGTAACAGAAACTGTATTCTATGATACCAATGTCGATGGAATCGTCGACGTTGAATCTGTGCAACATGACTTTGATGAATAAATATAGAAGTGCTAAAAATTATATAACATTCTATTCTATAAACAACTCGTCTGAAATTAGTGCTTTCAACAACAACAAAAAATAAAAGTATATAAAAGCTTTGTATTTTTTTGTTGAGTCTGAAAACTTTCTAGGTCAAAGCCTAGCTCTCTGCTTGAATTTTCGTTGTTGTTCTCAAAATATTTAATTATCAATTTGACAATCTTCCACCTGCTTGCTAGATGGATAATAGACTTTAAACCCAAAGGAACTCCGAGGAAAAGATCCCTGGTAAAAAAGAGCAATTATAAAAAAATATTCTAGAATGTTTAAAATTCTAACCGGATTAATTATATTGCATTCCGCTACCGTACAATTATAAGCTTTGTATCTATCCGCGATTACAACCAGATCAGGTAGTGGGTACAATCTTAAGGCTGCGTCATGTGACCAAAATACAGGCAAAACATGAAGTGGGAGAGGAGCCAAATGAGCTTGCGAAGCTATTGTTCGAGCTATATGATCTGTCAAATCATCTTCTTTAGGGAATTTAACGCAATTTCTGCACAACTTGAAAGTTAAGTCTTCTCGAAAGAATACTATTTCTTGGGTGCAATATCGTATTCTCGCAGGATTTGTCGCAAAGAAAACCTTTTCTAACTTTTCTTCTGCATAGGCCCTTATAGATTGAAAGAGACCGGCTTTCGGTACTAGTCTTCCTGATGGTGTTAAGTCATCTGGTCCGGGCACAAAAATAAAGTTGGAATTGGATCTAATCGATGAAAATTCACAAATGATATCAACGAAAACTCTAAAAGATTTTAGGATTGTTGTGAAGTGATCGCTTCCATAAGGCTTTGAACAAAAGTTACCACCAATTACAAATGCTACTGGAGCTATAGACTCAAAACCAGTGAGCATAGTTTGAAGTTTGTCTAGTACAGTTGTGTCATCTAGCCATACATCACTTAAGAAGACAAACATTGCATTTTCATTATGTTTCTCATAGTTAAGGAGGATCTCATCGCCGCGAACACTCTCAGAACCTGGACCACCAAAGGAATTTATATTACCAATATATGCTTGGGTGTTAGTCGCGGACTCAGGGGGAGGAAAACCTAAATTCTTTATATCAAAAATTCCATCATCAAAAGTTCCTTCGGCTAGAACGATGCAACCTTCAGTAAATAAACCAGTATGAAAAAGCTAACAAAAAAATAGCTAAGGAACCAAGTTAAAAGCAAAAATTGATTGTAGTTTAAGTAAATGCAAATTATATTCATTAAAGGATACAGCATTATGTAGATTGAGAGGAATTGAGCCAGTAGCATCCTCGAGATACCATTTATCCTGCGATGATTATTTATATTTTTACAAACATTAGATACTAAAATATTCTTCTTTGTATCCTTACATGTTTTAAACGGCTAAGTAGTCCTAGCACAATAATGTCTCCTAACTTAGCACTACTTCCTAATAAATATTCTATTGGTTTTAACTGTAATCAACAGCATATTAGTATGAGATTAAAATATTCTAGTTGCATCAATAACTTTATATTTTTTATTGGAGGAAGGAGCAACCGTTCCTGTAGATTCAGAAAATAGTTCGTGACGACTGATTCTCTAGATGAAATTTCAAAGGTTGCAAAACTTTGCTTATTCAATTTTAATTGCTAATCACCTGATGTATAAGATTAAAACGTTCCAAAAATACAGATGTTTTTGCCGAAGCATCGCCAAAAAGAACGCCATCTTTCGTTTTTTTTCTAATACAGAAAAAACATATTAATTGTAGTTCTAATACATTAAAAGGAGCCTTACCCGGTTTTTTTAAATAAAAGTTTTGGTACTTCGAATGTGTCAATAACGTGAAGAATATCTTCTCTAATAACATAGGATAATCAAGATGAGTTTGTAAATAGTATTTCTAATAACTTTGTACCTTTTACTTCTTTGTTCTGAGTTACAGTCTTCTACAGCCGCTTCACACAATTCCTTAGTTATTAGTTGTGTATGCACTAGAAAATTTAGAGAAAAGGAAATAGAAAAAAGGCTCGACTTTGCACAGATTGGAAAAGTTGTTAGTTTTGTAAAATTAAAACAGAGTGTACGAGTCTAGGAGAGAAATTTTACTATTCATATCAATATATTTACTAAATCGTGTAAATCAAAGTAAAATACAGACGTGGTTGTTTTTCTATTACTTCTATCAACCTATCTATACAATCTTGTCTCGAAACGTCAGTGATAGGCTCTAAAATCTCTATCAAGTAATGCATAGCATCGCTGAAATTGAGCGATAATTTAATAAAAACATCATTCTGAAGAAAGAATTCCTATAAATACCTTTTCAAAGTTAAGCCATGAAGCTTGAAACCTTGTATTATTTCTTTTCTTATCTGATTGGTCATATTTTATATTTTCTATTAAGCAATTCGGATCATTTTCTCTAACAACAAATGCGCGCTAAACTTTTTAAAAACAAATGTCTACCCGTTTCCAGCATTATGGGTAAAGTTCGAACCTTTATGTTCTTTTCACGAAGCTCTTGTATGTGATTTTCAAGTTATAGTCAGCTTAGCTGTTTCAAATTGGATTTTTAGCGTGATTTATTATGCTTTGTATTTGATTAGATAAAATTTAATCAAATTTAGAAATAACTTTTGTCAATGCCAAAAATTAACCAAACAAAAAAAAAATACTGATTCGGTCTTGTGCAAAAATTATAAGAAAACTAAATCTTTTTGTAACTTAAACTCATGCTGACTCATACTCTTTCTGCCAAGCTTCATACTTATTTGCTAATTGTCTTGCAGACGGTTTGGTTCTCGATAAAGCCACTTGAACGTCGTTTGTTGTGATGACGTCTAATTTGAAGTGTAATTCTTGTCCCTCTGAATGTGTTTCCAGAGCATCAAAAATCTTGCGAACAGGTCTCATTGCCGCTTCTTTACATACTAATTGAATATCAGATCCAGAATAGCCGTCTGTTGCAGATGCCAACTCTGAATAATCCAAGTCTGCTCTCAGAGCTAAGCCATTTGGAGAAGTTGTAACTTGATGAGGAAGATAATGTTCAAACATGGATTGACGAGCTGCTAAAGTTGGTAAGCCGACAAGAATTCTCTTCTCTAATCTTCGCAGCATGGCATGATCCAGCTCCCAGGGCAGATTAGAAGCAGCTAATAAAAATACTAAGTCATCGCTCTTCGATAAACCATCCATTTGTACAAGAAGCTCAGTCTTCATTCTTCTAGATCCTTCATGCTCGCTTCCCCCTCCTCGCTGACCCATAAGAGCTTCAAGTTCATCAAGGAATATTGTTGAAGGAGCATGATATCTTGCCATTTCAAAGAGAACTCGAACTAATTTCTCAGAGTCTCCTCTCCACTTAGAAACAATTGTAGATGCACTGATATTGAAAAATGTCGTTTTACATTCAGTTGCTACAGCTTTAGCTAGTAAAGTTTTTCCTGTTCCCGGAGGACCGTATAATAGTAACCCTTTCCAAGGGCTTAAAATTCCCGTAAATAATTGAGGATATCTTATTGGGTAAACTACAGCTTCTTTTACAAGACTTTTAGCTGAGTCAAGGCCTATAATATCATTCCATCTTACGTTAGGACATTGTAAATATATATCTCTAGATATTACTTGGGCTAAGTCACGCCATTCAGTAGAATAACCTGTATAACCTCCAAGGGGTTTAAGTAGCTTATCACTCGAACCTTCTTCAACATTTAACCTTGTAGCTTCATTTAGCATAGCCCTCATATCAATTATTTGCCCCACCCTCTTTTGCTGAGTTTCAGAGTTGGTATGAACTGCTTGACCGGTGGCCTGAACAACAAGACCGTTTCTAATTTCTTCACTATGATTAACCGCTTTTTGCTTTGAACTTGATCTAGGCCTGTTGACATTGGTTCCAGGAGGAATTTTCGGCAGTTGTGGAGTTGTATTTGCAGTTCGTTTTGCCCTATTACTATTATTAGCAATAGTTTTTGATATTCGTTTGGCTAGTTCACCATCAAGCTTTTTGGTAATTTTTGGATACTTTGAGAATTTTATATAATGGAAAGATTCATATTCCATGAGAACCGTTTCCAAGTCAACATTATCACATACTTCAAATTTGTTCATATCCAAATTGGTCTCTTTAGATAAAGAAGTTGCAGCCTCAAGATAGCCCTCTTCAGACAAATAATGCAGGACTAATATAAGCAAATTACGTTTACGAGTTTCAGTTCTATGCTCATCAGCTTCACGAGCTTGATTTGCACTTCTCAGAGATTGGTAGCTCAAAGCTTCGGCCATAATGTTCACAGGCTGTTATGAAATTTAAACAATAGAAGGAATTGGTGAATTCAATCACCGGACCGCCTGATTGAGCGATAATATCAGATTGTTTACCGTTGTTGCCAACTGTCTAAGCCGTTGCCGACGAATAATGCGAAAAAAATTTAAACATTAACATTGCATATATTAATTAACATACTACATTCTTAGTTCATAAGCTTTATGTAATAAAATTTCTACGAAAATTCACACAACATAATCCATACCTAGGTGGCGTGTGTAATAAATAAAGAAAAAATCAGAAAGTGATAAATCTCATATATAGTTAATTCCTTTTTGCTAGCGTGTTCATAATACATATTATCGTTCATAGTTTACATAATAAATTTATTAACAATGGCATCCAGAGGGGGTCCAAGAGCCGCTGGTACTGATGGTAGTGATTTTTCCTACCGAGAGCGAGTAGCGAGTCATTATGTAGTTAGGTATATAAATTTGTTCTTTTCATTGAATAGATTGTACAATTTTCATAACATTTAAAACAATTTATGTTTTCAGTTCAACAAACAAAGCTCGTCTTAAAATTGTAATGATAGCTCATATTTTACTAGGAGTTTTGATGACACTGCGTCAAACAGTTTCCATCTGCGCCGCCATGGGCATCAATCCACCAAAATTTCTTTACCATTTAAATTTACCGCAAGTTCTTGGGTGGGAAGTTTGTTGGCTCCCTAGTATTGCCACAGTATTGTTTGGCTTTGCTGCACTTCCAAAAAACCAAGTTTTCCTTATGAAACAATACATTCTTGGAGTTTTCGTTCTGGGAATTCTTCCAGTTTTATTTGGAGTAGGTTCAATTGGTGAAGATATAATCAGCTATGTAAAAAGTGGACAATCTAGAGTTACGTTTAAAGGATTTCCAATGGAAGTAATATGGGCAATATTTCTCTTTATTGCTGCTCAAGTTCATGTTATGAGTGTAGTATTCGCTAGGAAATTAGTAAATGCCTGGAATGTCATACCAGGTAAAAAGAATAAATAAGACTTGAGATCATATAGAATATAATTTCAGTGATTGTTTTATTTGTTTATTATGTCATAAGGAATCATATTTATTTGTACTAAATGCAGTATATTGAAAAATAAACTTAAAGTTTAAAATGAAACCTACTGTCTCATACTTCGTTTCAATATGAAAAAAAGAATATTTAATGAAATCTAACTCTAATTGAATATTCATAAAATCAACCTTATATCTCTATGAATTTAAATCTGCTGTTCAAAACTGAAAAAGTCTCTTCTAGTGGGAAATTACATACATTAATAAGGTAGTAGATGATTTTCAGCAAATATAAAAACATGAAATTTTTGTAAGTACACATTTAGATGAAATTCCCCTTGTGATACAAATTAAGCAACTAATATTTATTGTTAAAGTTTAGTAAAAGTTGTGAATAAAATTTATAAGATCCGCCATTACTGCGCATGCGCAAGATGAACACTATTTAAGTTGTTACCCGCCCTGATCCAATTGGCATATTTTTTAAAACAATTTAGTACTGGCGGAGAAAGGAGTAATACATAAATTTTTAAACTGATTAATTATTAGGGTAAATATCATTTATCATATCATGGTTTCAAATCTATTTCGGTACTGGTTAAAAATGAGAATCAATGAACAATTTCGTGACTACTGCGAATGGTAGGTAGTTGATTGGAAAACAGGATGGGATATACAATACACTCCTTTGCATCTAGATATTAGCTTCAAAATTAATTTTCTACTTTTTAAATTTTAAAATTTCCTTTCTAATTTTTCATTTTATCATCGATTTACTCTCGTTCAGTTCCCGAACTCCATCCGAGCGATAATATGGACAACAATGAGTTGAGACTTGATGAATTGAACATTCCAGAAGACCTAAAATGTCAATTACAAGAGTTGCGTGATGAAGATCATGATAAATTTAAGAAGGTTAAAAATCATATAACAATCTTCTTAAAAACTGTATCGAAATGGAATAGGAGTAAAGTTCAATCAGAACTAGACAACATCCGAGAAGACGATTTAGTCAGAAAAGATGTATTTAAAAGAGTGAAACGAGCAATTTTGCAACAAAATTTGGAAGCCAATTTTAAAGAACCCGCTCCTCATATTGATTCCCCGCCTAAAAAGAAGGTAAATATAATTAATTTTATGCCTCAATCATTAATATTGCATCTTGTTAGAGTCGAAAATCGACAGTCGTTCGAGAACCAAAAGCTAATCGAAGAAAATCGGTAATCCCGCAAAATGTAAATAAACGAAAGAGGTCGCCAACACCCCCTCCAGAACCGTTTGTACCCCCTCAAGAGCCTTTGACTCCTAAGACTACTCGTTCATCTAATGAGTCGAATACACTGAAAAGAGTGGTTTTAGGGAAAGGAAAAAAGGGTGAAATTTCTCAGTATGTTATCTACGCTCAAGAATTTCTGGATTCATCATCTGCGGAAGATATTATACATTGTTCATCGAACGCTTCAATTTTAGCTGTAACCCGATTCCATAAGTTAGAAGCAGCACAACAATATGTTGCTACATCAATGTTGAGATCAAGCTATGCTGTAAGCTTTTATCAATATAATTTAAAATTCACAGGAAAATTTATGTTATTCTATTTTGCGAACTTTGCTCGATTTCAGGTTCCTACTAAGGAATCGTTAATGGCTCTACGCAATTTGCTATACAGAAGAGACGTTCCACATATAACTTTTGAAAATTCTGGAGATAATTCAAAAATTGATATTATCATAACGGCTCCCGCAAGTACTGACTACTTGAACAGTAACCTTCAAGATTCATTTTTATATAAACCAAAATTTACAACTAATTAAAAATAAAGTTACTCGGAACAACTGATCCTTTAAAGTTAAAGAAAACAGCTTTACTTTCGCATTATTTTTTATCCTATTTATTCGAAATTTGCTTTGTTCACCGTTGATTAAATTATTTACGTATATAAAGGTTTAAAAATTATTGTACTCTATATTATCTGGAAATGTTTCAAAGAAACCGATCGCATAATGTATAGAAAGTCTGTTTCAGTTCGATTTTTTATCGATATAGCGCATGCGCACTATATAATTCGTATGAACTGCCCACGAAGTAAGTCTCCATATTAACTTAATATCGCTCTCGGTTTAGACAATAAGAAAAAGAATAATGCATAGAGGTAAGTCGCCAACAGCTGATATTCTTACAATATACAGATAAAGAACGATAGGTGTTGTTTTGGTGAAAATTATTATTGCTTTTAGTTTTCTTCCAACTAAAAACAATTATTGAATTGACTCCTCACAGAATTGTATTTTATTTTAGAAAAGATCTTCTCGTTACTTTAGCGCATAACTAATAATATTTAATTCACAGCGAAAAGTAGTATGTGCTTCTAAGGCCGAATAGTTTATAAACATTCAAAAACTATATTTATGTTAAGAAAAAAGCAGAATGGCTGCTGAAGAACAATCAAAAAAAGACATTCCATCTCCTCATTTAAACGACGGAAATAATCTCGAGAGTAGTAAGTCCTTGAAAATCAGTCTTTTTTAAAAACAAAATATGATAGATTTATTTTGTTGTTCATTACAAGTCAATGGATAAAGAGACTTGAATAGCACTAGATAAAAACTACATCAATTAAAATATATATATATATACTGTATACAGTATATAAGAGAGTGAAATTCGTCTCTGTTTATAATGAATACGAAAAAAATAAAATAACAATGCTTCGTAAACTGCTTTTGCAAACCTTTTTACCCATGCCTATTCGATTATTATTGAATAAAGATGTCCAATGTTTACAATGTTTAGAGTATGTTTAACACTTTACATAAAACATATTCAAGTTTATCAATCAATAAACTAAACATTTGTACATAAATTTTTTTCAGATATAATTCAAAAGAATCTCAAATACATCTCGTTAGTTCTTCTAACATTTCAAAATACTATTTTGATCCTGTTGATGAGATATGTTAGGACAAGACCGGGGGATCTATTTATTTCATCAACTGCTGTTGTTATGCAAGAACTAACAAAAGTCCTTACATGCGTTATAGTAATGTATTTTCAAGAAGCGAAGAGTATCTCTCATCTATTAAAAATTTTGCATGAGTCAATTATACTACAGCCAATTGATACTTTGAAAGTCTGCGTTCCAGGAATAATATATACTATTCAAAATAACTTGTTATACGTTGCTGTTTCGAATTTAGAAGCTGCTACCTATCAAGTATAAATTTTAATTTAGATATTCAATACTGATACTTAATAGACTATTTTTTTACAGGTGTCATATCAATTAAAAATCTTGACGACAGCTCTCTTTAGTGTTTTTATGCTCCAGAAAAAATTATCCCGTATGCAATGGGTTTCTTTAGTAATATTATTTGTAGGTGTTTCTGCCGTTCAACTCCAACCTGATTCTAAAAAAGGAAGCTCTACTCACGAGCAAAATGCCATAATTGGCTTGTCAGCTGTATTGATTTCTTGTATTTTATCAGGATTCGCTGGTGTTTATTTCGAAAAGATTTTGAAAGGTTCTAAGGGAACAATTTGGTTGAGAAATGTTCAGTTAGGCGGGTTTGGAATTTTGGCCGGGTTAGCTACTGTTTATACTAAGGATTGTTCAACAGCTTGGACAAATGGCTTCTTCTTTGGGTATGACTATTTAGTTTGGATAGTAATAGCTATTCAGGCAATGGGTGGTCTAATGGTAGCAGTTGTCGTTAAATATGCAGATAATATCTTGAAAGGTTTTGCTACATCAGCGTCTATCATAATAAGCTCCATCGCAGCAATATTTTTGTTTAACTTTCAACTGAGTGTACAATTTATTTTTGGAGCAGGTTTGGTGATATCAAGTGTATATATGTATTCTGTGTTTGTTTATAAAGTTACTCCTGTAGCTTCATCTAAAGTTTAAATCTTTCTAATCTGCGTATGGTATTTTCTCTAAGAGAGAATAACCGGTTTATTATTAAACTTGTATCTGGTCCTGTAACAACTTGTGATACATATATATATATATATATAGACTACAATTTTCTTTATATGAATTTACATTATATTAAATCTAAATGAGAGATAGGGAATAGCAATTAAAAAATTTAATGTATATGGAGTTCTTTTCTAAACTTGAGAATACAAAGTTATTAAAATATTAAGAGATGAGTTAAATTGAATTATCCTACGAAAAATATTTCGTTGATATCTAAATAAGTTTTGAAAATTCCCGCATTTTATTTGAAAAAAATAAACCGGTATATTGGGAAATAGTAAAACATACACTCTGCACGTTGTTTCAGCTGAACCGGCTATTCTTCAAAAAACCTGAAATTTAATTAAATCTCTCAGAATGTCGTGGCTTTTTGGAATGGGAAAGAGTGAGCCTCCACCTAATTTTGCTAATCTTGGACTTCCTCCTCCTCCTTCTGGTGGAGGTGATGGTAATGACGGTAAAACTTCCCAAGGTCAGTCGAAGATGGAAGCTTATCGTTTTGATTCTGGAGCTTTGGAAAGAGCTGCAAAAGCGGCAAAGGAATTAGAGAAATCGAGTATGTATAAGATTTTAAAAATTTGTAATTAATTGTAAAAATTAGGAATGTTTCAAATTGATGCTTCAACGCCTTTGCGTGTTTCTGAAACTTCGTTTTCCAGCTGACTGTTGAAATTAAAACAATTAAAATTTCTATATTTTTTGTAAATCTTTTCTGAAACATAATATATCTGTTAGCATATTTGTTTCAAAATGGAATAATTTGAATGATGAAATTATTATGCAAGTTTTGTCCTCTAAACTGAACTTTACTTCATAATTTAGGTCATGCTACAAAGGCATTCGAAATAGTTAAAGAACAAGAGAAGTCAACTCAAATGAAAGCGCAAACCCAATATAAAGAATATGAAGTTCAAGTAGAGCAGATGAAAATTGAACAAATAAAGGTTCAACAGGAAGAAAGACGGAAGACTATGGGAGAAGAAACTAGACAACAAAAGGCTAAAGCTGATTATCAAGATCAGCTAGCCAGAAGAAGATATGAGGACCAGTTGGCACAACAGGCCAGAATCAATGAAGAGAATTTAAGAAAGCAGGAAGAGTCTGTTGCTAAACAAGAAGCCATGAGGAAGAAAACTTTGCAACAAGAAATGGAAATGAGACAGAAAAATGACTTACTTCGAGTGGAAGCTGAAGCCAAAGCCAGAGCGAAAATGGAAAGAGAGAATAGAGATATTATATTGGAGCAGATCAAATTAAAGGCTGAAGAAAGACGTAAAACTATTTTAGATTCTATCACGTAAGTTTATTAATATTGCTGTTACTTGAGAAATTTTATTTACGCTTAAAATTTTTCAGGACTGCGGGATCTGTTCTTGGCTCTGGATTTCAGGTATTTATTAAAGACTGGGATAAAGTTACTGCAACAGCCCTTGGTATAACCCTTTTCGCTGGAGGCATTTATGGTGCCAAGTTCGGAACAGGAGTCATTGCCCGTTATATTGAGTCCCGTTTAGGAAAGCCATCACTAATTCGTGAAACATCGAGATTCACTCTAGCTCAGGCCTTAAAACATCCCATCTCCACCGGAAAAAAAATATTAAATAAATCACAAGATGCTCTTAAAGGAATAGTTCTGCAACCTCAAGTTGAAGAAAGACTTCGAGATGTAGCAATTGCTACTAGGCACACAAAGGCCAATAAAGGCTACTATAGGAATATTTTGTTTTATGGACCTCCAGGTACAGGAAAGACGATGTTTGCTAAATCCTTGGCCCATAATTCGTCAATGGACTATGCCATTTTGACTGGAGGAGACATAGCTCCCATGGGTAGAGAGGGTGTTACAGCTATGCACAAAGTATTTGACTGGGCAAACACTTCGAGGCGAGGTTTGTTATTATTTGTTGATGAAGCTGACGCATTTCTTCGTAAGCGTTCCACTGAACAAATATCAGAGGATATGAGAGCGACCTTAAATGCTTTCTTATATAGAACTGGTGAGCAAAGCAAGAAATTTATGCTTGTTTTGGCTTCTAACCAACCGGAACAATTTGATTGGGCCATAAATGACCGTTTGGATGAAATGGTTGAATTCCAACTGCCAACTCTACAAGAAAGAGAGCGACTAGTCTACCTCTATTTCGAAAAATTTGTTCTTCAACCTATCGCTGAAGGAAAGAAGAGACTAAAACTTGATCAATTCGATTATTCAGCCAAGTGCTCAGATATTGCACATAAGACAGAGGGATTATCAGGGAGAGAAATAGCTAAAATGGGTGTTGCTTGGCAAGCTGCTGCATATGCTTCCGAAGATGGTGTTCTCACAGAAAAAATGATTGACGCTAGAGTCGATGACGCACTCCAAGGTCATACTAAAAAGGTTGCATGGCAAAAAGACCAAGAACTAAGTTCTCCAGCTAGTTTATTGTATACCTCCCAAAAAGCAAGGGAATCGTTGCATACAAAGTTAAGTTCGGAGTAGAACTAATTTATACATATATACATAAGTATATATATGTGTGTCTAATCAATTTTTTTTTCAGAATAAATCAGCATTAGATATAATATAGAAAAAAAAATTATAATAAAAATTATCAGTATAAAAATGTTCTCCAAAACCAAATATGTTACATTCATATAGCAGATTACAAGAGTTAATTAAAAGTCGTGAAGTATATGTTTCTCTGAAGGATTACGCTTTTAGTAGAGATGGTTCATGCTTTTTTTGAGAATCAATAGATTTTCAGACTTTTTAACAGTAAATATGATTTTCAGTTTGTATAGTATATACTGTTTAGATCACCATAACTCTTTTAATATGCTTTCGACATAGCGGACATTCGGAACTTCTTAACTGTTTAATACAATCTGAGCAACAGAGATCATGACCACAAGGTTCTAAGACAGTGTTGGGCTCTTTTTCATAACAAATGACGCAGTAATCTGTATCCTTTGATCTTCTTTTCTTTCTGTATCCGTATGGCCTGTGATATAGATTTGACTCTTTCACGCTGTAATATATAAATAGGGCTGTAGCAATTCCTATTGCAGCACCAACTACCACTTGAATAAAATTCATAGGAATGGGCATCTGTCGAAAATAAAGAATCAATTAATAAATCTTGCTTGTAGTAAATAGACATTAATCATTGTAACCTTGTACAAATATTTAAAGACAGACGAAACCTATAAGATGTAAAGACAGTGATCCTTGAAATCTCAAAACATAAGTTTCATTTGAATGCTTGTTTTTTTGTATTCTGTATATAAAGACAATTCCTTATTGCGAAAAGAACGAATTCAAATCGACTAATATACGGTGTCCATAACTGATATCCTATCGTTTACGTGCAACTGTTTCACTTGTTAATAGTTGATTTAAATATGATCATAAGAAAGTTAAGAAATTTAACTGTGAAAAAAAATTCCCAGCTGTTTATAATACGTCAGAGTAGTGAGTCAATTCAAACGAAGATAACAAAGGGCACTTTCATTACTAAAAATTGAATTCTTTTGTACAAAATCCCTTGAATAGACAGATATTTTAATAGTTTTCAGTTAGATTAGAAATACATGTCAAGGACGTGTTAACATATAGGGTAAGAAAGTAGCTAACTATTGAAAAAAATACAAAATATATAAATTTTAGTATAAAATAGATTTTAAAGATGATGAATGAAAAATCGATGAAAAAGATGATATTAAAGTGAATAACATACCCAAATTTTGACAAAATAACGTAAGATAATTCTCAAATTTTATACATTAAAAATATTTTCATCTCCACATCGTTGAAAATCGGATACAAAGTATAAAATAAATTTCATTATTTAAGATTCAATACTTATTTAACAAGTGCTAGATTTTGAATAGCGTCGTCCTCTTTTAATACAGTGCAAGGTTACATGTCGGTGTAGTAAATATGATTGAAGAAAAAAGTTTTGTGTGATAACTAGAAGTTTTGTTATATTCTATTTAATGTCATCAATAATGCAATCAAAGAATATTTTTTTTACTTTTTGATTATTTATGTTCGATGAATGAATGAAATTTAGGCTTATATTTTCTATTTTGTAGCTGTTCCAGCTATTGCAGGCTTTAAGAAGAACATATAATTAAAAACTGGTAATTGACAGTCTATTATGCTTGTCTTTGAAAATCCCGCATTGTTGATAATCTTTTTTGTATTTGATCTTGTTCTACATTCGGATAAAAACCACCAAACTGGTTCAAGTATTATTTGAAATAGACTGGTAACTCCTCCAGAAGCTTTAACGTGTTCGTAGAAGTAGAACGAACCTCCCTATTGATATCATGAAAAACCATAATTGAAGGCGTATTTAAAACTTTGATAATGTCAACTTACCGGTTTTAGAATTCTTTTCACTTCATTGACTGCCTTTTCTTGATTCCCAACTGAGCAAAGAACTAACGTGCTTACAACAGCGTCCATTGAATTGCTCTCTACTGACTCTATATTTTCTGCTTTTGCAATCACAAACTGGATGCTATCTTTAAACTTTTGGGGACAATTTGACAATAAATAAGTATTAAATTGGTCATTAGGTTCTAGGCAAGTAATTTCTGAATTATCTGGATAGAATTTAAAATTTGCTCCAGAGCCCGCACCAATTTCAACTATTTTCACTTTCGACGTCTCTTTTTCTGGTAGTTTTATCAAAGGCGAAAAAATTTCTCCTTTTATTTTATTATAGTATTTTGATTTATCTAATGACTTTGCTAGTCGATTCAATATCATAGCATAAACTACATCTTTCACTTTAGAGCTGAATAATATCTTAAGACATAATACTCCGGATGAAAATATTATAATATATTTTAAATTCAAATACTGCTGTATGTCTCTTAAAAGTATCATTTTGAGATACGAATTACAAAGAGCAAAGTTGAGGATATATAGGTCGCCGAAACTGATTAGACGTTGTTAGTATTTAACTAATATCTAAAAGTAGCTCAGTCTAGCACATGATTTACACCTTTTACTGATAATGGCCAGATGTCGCCAGTGTATAAAACGGAACCGGAAGTCATTCAAAACTCCCGGGTTTATTATTGAAACAAGGCAGCTATGATAAGCATTTTAAGGCGATCTCTAGGGAAAATTCCAAGCAATGTCCTACATGATGAATTACGAGAATGGAATGCTCTACCAGATGATTTTATCGTTAATTTAGCAAAATCCAGTAAAAGTTATGCGATAGACGAAATCGTTCGAGAAGCACAGGTTTATATATGTCGTGTGTTGTGGAGTAACGGCTTAATATTTGTCTTATATTTATTTCAGAGTCGTTCTTCAATAACAGAGTATGACATCTTAAGGCTGGATCTTCAAACTCTTATAAAATTTTCCAGAGGTGTCATGTGGAATACTTTTCTATTAGATAATTCCAATATTGAAAATCAACAAGTGGATAAACTTCAACGTAGTATAGAATCAGTTGATGAACTACGAAAAAAGGCGATATCTTACGTGATGGAGTCGAAAGATAAACTTCTTTGGATATCTTTACTATTTCGACGAGAAAAGAAGCTTTTCTATGCCGTGTGCCATCGGAAATGTGATGCTATTCTAGTTCATGGAGGAAAGGAGTCTCTTCTATCTCAAATGTTGAAGGTAAAATTGGATTATCACGAGTCTATTAAACAAATTACTGATAAATTTTCTAAATAGGGACTCCGAATCATATTTCGATCTACAACTATTAAGAAAATTGCCTTATCTGGAAAATGCCCTCGCTCCCTTCTCCAGATTAGACTGAATAAACTGGTAGGAGATAAATATTGTTTTTATTTTTAACTATTCATATATTAATTTATTCTTTTAGAATACTTCACTTAACATCCTACCAGAGAGGAGCAACCAAGCTCCACCCGAAGAAGAACAAGATGAAAGTTTCATTTACGATCAAAATCCAAAGAAAGAAAAGCTATTTACAAAGGAGAATGAAAATGTTATTCTAAACGAAGTTACTTATGAGATATCTCAACCGAAAACGGAGACGAATGACGAAATGTTTTGTAAAATTTCTTTTAAAGGAAATAATGTTTTGGCCGGATTAAGAGAGCTTCAAGAACAAGGAATTTTAACTGAACCTATACCCGAACCTATAGATCGCTTGCCACAACTCGGAAGGAATACTATAAAATTACGATTTTAGACTGAAGTGATATTATTTGTTATATATTTGTATAGCTTATCGTCGGTTTTCGTATTTATACATGACTTAGTAGCCTCTGGAAAAATGTTTTTTTTCTTTTCTTTTTGTTCAATAACTAATCTAACTTGTAGCTTTTATTCACGAATGATATAACCTACAACGTTGGAAAGTTCAAACAAAGTAATATATAATATAAATGCATAACAAGCCAGACTCTAAATGGACGAAAAGTGTACAGTCTGATACATAAGATTTTCTAAAAAAAAGAAAGCAATTATAGAAAAGTCCTCCAATCATAATTTAAAACGTATTTTTGAAGAAGAATATTAAAAGGGTTTTTTGTAAAGTATTGCGTATTTATAAATATAAATACAATATTTATATAAAATATTTCTCTATATTATTTGAATTTGTGATCTATTTTATTCATCAGAAGACTTTTCCGTTTTGGTTGATCCATCTGACGATTGTAAGCCTCTCAAGTGTTCGGCGAAATCAGCTAAACCGTATCTTCTAGCAATGCGAAGGCCTTCAGCTAATAATGACTTTTGACCATCTCTGCTGGAAGTTGTTACCTCGGATTCAGCCTATAGAAATAATTTGATAAAACCTAATTTCGGTTTGATAGTTGCATCATAGACAAACATATAAATATAAAGAACAAACAAAATAGAAAACTGAATAGAACCGTGTGAAAAAAGTTAAAAAGATATTTTTATCTATTAGCATAATAACGTAAATGTCTAATGATTTTTACAACCGTTTATTTGAAAATTTCACCTTTTTTTTAGCTAAAGGAATAAGTTTTAGAATTTTTTTATTGATACATCGATATTTGTCTCTTTTAATCGCTTTGATCGCCGAATCTCCTCAGAGCGTCGTCTGACGATTTGCTTGATTTCAAAATTGGAGAAGTTAGCCTACTAAATCTGCCCAATCACGGTTCACATCTCATTGTCTTTTTTGTTTAAGTTTTTCGTTGACTGAATAAAAATTAAATAAACTCCTTTTTGTAAAATCATCATACATTTCTTTTGAACGTAATTAATTGGTAAATAATATTTCACATTCTCTTTTAAATACTTATACCAACTTGTTGTATAGGATTTTCTTCAGTTTTGCATTTTTTTGGACAGGTTGGATCTTCATCTCCTGACGAACTACTGGAATCCGATGAGGTCATAGTTACGCATATATCACCTGTCTTACAGGCATCTTTAACTACTCTCTTCGCTAGAGGAAATAAATCATCTCTTCTCGTTACAAGTGCTGGACGATGTTTGCATAACTGGGCCGCTGCTTCATTCGTAAGAACCTTTTAAATAATTAATAAGTATAAAAACGAGGTTAAGATAAAAAGGAAGCTAATCAATAAAAATGTACACAATGCCACCAGTATACACAGAATATTAAGTATTTTTTTAAACCATATTTAAAGACTTCGTTTTTATGTCAAATAAAAAAAAACACGGAATTCGATAGAATTCTTATTCAGGCAAAAAATAAATGAATAATTTGTTGATATACCTGATATATTGTTAGACGGCTGTCGTTACGTTCCTCAGAACTATTCGGAATATATATAGCTGAATGTCTTCTCAATAATGACATATATTCTGGATGTACTGACGGTAATCGTAAAACGTCCTATAAAATTGTTTATGTCCAATTAATTTAAACACTTAAAAAATAGTATGCAACTTACTTCTAGTTCTTTTCCGAATGGTTTTTTCATTTGAATCATTTTAGGGGCAAACTGAGGTAATTTAGATGCCAAATTAGTAGCTGACCTTTCAATAGCAATAGCTTGTTCTGTTGATAATTCAATGGTACAACTTGTTTGACAAGTGTCATCACTCTCAGGATTCTGTATTAAGCATTACTAATTAATTAATTTTGCCGCTCAAATTTTCTCAGAACTCACGGAATCATTTGATTTCTCTTCATCTTTTATATTTTGGACGGGTGATATCTGTATAAGGCGCTTATTACCGACAGATGGAACGGAGGGTATATAGGTTGAAGGTAGGCGAGATACAGTTGGACTACGATTAAAAGACGCCCATTCGTGAAGGGCTTTCTGTAATCTTCTGACATGTAATGGTTTACTAGCCATTCCGACAAGAGCCATTATTTCAAGGAATTCTTCCTCGCCTGCTTCAACAAGTTGACGAACATCGTCACCGCCTGAAATTAATTGATAAAATGTCAATAAACTAATATATTTCTAAATAAATAAAATTATATAATATATGCAATATATATAAAGATATAAAGTTTTTTTTAAGATCTTTGATTGCAACGTTTACTATGCAAACGAAAATAGCGACACCTATGGGGATACAAAAACTGCTTAGTTTTTATGAAAGAACTTCAAAGCTTTACAGAAAAAACGTTTTTGTAGTATTGTAGCAAAAGAATAACTCCTCTATCGGATATGAAACACCTTTATAATCTCTAATTAGTAAAATCAGGCGTGGTTTTTCTTTGCTAAATATTACTATTAATTTTGAAAAATAATTAACAAGTGCTTTTCGTCATAATTATTTCCCATCGAATTTTCTCTCCTAAAACATTCTAAGTAAAATATTGCGTTGCTATGGCATTTATGATTTTTTACTTTACAAAAAAAGTATATATAAATAAAAAAGAAATTCAAGCTGTTTAACGGTTCTATTTTTGAAAAACTACGCCACCTGGGTGGAAAAGGTTTTTTTTATGCGTTTAGTTCGTCGTTCTTAACTATACTTTGAGTGTTTTAAGGGAAATAATGATAATTTCAGTCTATCTATCAATTCGTGGAAGCAGCTTTCTTTTTCTTTGTTACTTATCACATTTTTTATAAAGTTTCATTCATTAAGTGTTCTTTTTTATTCATTTCTTTTTTATTAACACACCTTTAACATGAATAACTTGGGTTTTGTCAATAGGCGGTAACTTATATTTTGCGGTTTTATAGAATAACCTCTCAGCAGAGATGCTTATTTATTGTTTAAAATCTTTTGTTCATTACGTAATAGTTTCTTTCTAAATATCCTGTGTTGTTTTTATCAGTATTGCTAAATCTTTATTTGTATATTACATGCTTATATTTTAAACTTACCTTGAGAAATAAAGACATCGTAGTATGACAGTAGATTAGCTCTTTGAAGTATTTTGTACAATTGAAGTTCAGACGTTGTTTTGGGTTCGGACATCTTTTCATACCAACGTTGCCTTTGCTGCGACTGAACTGATATCAAAAAGATACATACAAACTTTTTAATCCACCTATAGTCGGGTACTGTGCTCCACTGCACTAGAATATGAATAATAATGTATACTAACCGCTAGTTGTTTGTCCAGTCTATACAAGCGTTTTCTTGTCGCAAAACTTCAAAGAAATCATAAAAAATGCTTAGGATTTACAAGAAAGTTATAAGTTGGCCAAGCGATAGTTTCATACTGTCTACGCCTGGGTAGTATCACGTGACATACTGCCGCTACGTTCCAATTGGTATGTTATGTTCGAAGTAAAACCTACAAGCGTCTGTGCAAAAATGTGAAATTTATGAGGAAAAAGCATTCGGCTGCTTTATAAAACACGCTTTCTCTGCATCACTTTTTAAGTTCGTAAAACTTGCTTGTGTGGCAGGCTATATAAAAAGTATCTTTGTCGATCCCTTCCGTCGTTATATACTTACTTATTTATGTTTATATTTTATATTTTATCATTATTATTTATCATTAAATTTTTATAAAGTATTTTTAAAAGAAATTGATTTTATAGTAAAAAATTAAGTAAAACCTTCTTTTTATATTTTTTCCTTTCCGTTAAAAAGAACTTATAGAAAATTAAATTTCTTTCTTTGTTTTTTGGATATTCGAAGAAAAGCTGAAAGAATTTACCAAAAGTATTATTCATTCCATGTCATAATCTCTGAAATCCTTTATATGATTTGTTCGACAGATTTTATGATAATAGTAATTTAATATTCTAAACACCTCTACTGTGTCCCTCAACTCTTTTACTTGGTTTAAAAAGAAAAAAAAAAGAAAGAAAAAAAGAACCCAGATCACGTGACTTATATAAAAACCTTCTACCAAACGTAATAAACTGTTTTAAAAAAAGCTATATTCTAATTAACTTATCTGTTAAAGTGATGATATTGTAATTACGTAGATGTAAAAATTTCTAGTAAAAATATTAAACTAAAAAAATTCTCAAGCGACAAGAAATTCATAGAACATTCTTTGCCGCCATAACAGGTTTTTTTTATGTTTTCTTTTTTTTTGGAAAATTATCTTTCTGCCATATTGATTTCAATTCTTTTTTGTCGATAAAAAAAACACACACAGTTCTTGGGACTATACGCTTCGATAATTGACACAAGGGTAATATAAAAAGAACTAGCTATCAATTAATTATTAATATGAAATGAACTCCAAAAGTGTAGAAACAGTTTTTTATGGGTACCTTTTTTTATACCAATTTTTTATATGTATATCCGATCGAAGAGTCAATTCTATTCAGTTTTCCTAATATTAATACTAATAATAAAACCGTCTGTTTACTATCAAATTATCCTTTTTCTGAATATCGTACCTTTTATAAGATACATTGGTTTTTAATGACGAACTACAAATCACAAGTTTCGAAAGACAAGTGATTTATTACATTACCCCTCAAAAAAATAGGTGGAAATGCTACGGTTTTTGAACTTATAGGCAATAAATCTTAATTTATTCCTTTAAGTATTTTGAGACATGTGCGCTTTCGAACTTTTTAAGATACCAAAATAGAAAAGATGAACAATTATCTATTCCTTTCAAGGATACCCAAAAGGTGGCGCCTTGTGATATATATTTTCAAACAGTGTTTTAAGTCCTTTGAAGAAAGAAAACTTCTTAAATAAAAAGTATAATTATTTTGCTACTGTTTTAAAGTTCGATTTATTTTATTCTTATTTCTATATAAACTAGTAAAAATGGCAACGACTGATATACGAAAAAATAAATTAACTATATTTGATAGTTTGTTAATTTTTGTTTTTTTGATTACCTTCTTAAAGTAGTGTCATATGAGTTATTCAAATTTCCATTTTAATAATTCCCTAATGATAAAAATTTTTCAATGGCGCCAAAAAAATAAGGGTCCAGCTAAATTCGATTTATATTTGTTAAAATGTAGTAAATATTAAGTGAGATATAATTACATTATTAAAAAATTTAAAATACTGCCTTTTATATTGTTTTTAAGCTGTAAAAAGTTCGAAATTGTTATATTTTGAGAAATTCTTACATTATCGCTCACCTTTACCAACCTAGTTTTAGCGATAGCCATTGGACAGAGGATACATCTTACCCTTACCAAACCGGTGAATTAACATTAATTCTCTATATAATTTGAGCTTCTTTCATAATAGTTACATTTAAGCTAAATAATGTTTGATTACAAATACCTAACAATTGATAGGATAGACGTAATAGCCTTGTTGAACCTTTTTCTGTGGAGAACTTTTGAATCGTTAATTTTTTTCAATATCGAACGGTGCCATGTAGTTTTTTTTATTTATTATCTGATAAATTAATGTGGTTGTTTTACATATAATTGAAATAAATCAAATTTTTAAACAAAAAATCAAAATTTACTGTTCTGAAATCTTTTAAAAACCTAATATTTGAGTATTATTATTAGAACGTCAAACAGGAAATCCTAGTCTGTCTAATTTGCTATATATCTAAACGATTAAAATACTTTCTTTACTTTAGACTTCTATAATGAAAAGGAACGAAAAGGATAACAAGAAATTTGAGCTTGAAAAATATCAAGCAATTTTGATGGACCTACTGAGAAGTGATGATAATAATTTTTGCATTGATTGCAATAGTAAAGGTTATTATAATATATTTGTTAATAATAATTTAGTTTAAAGTATTTCATTTTTTCTACTAATAGGACCACGTTGGACATCTTGGAATTTAGGAATATTCTTGTGTATACGATGCGCTGGGATTCATAGGAAATTAGGAGTTCATATATCTAAAGTGCGATCAGTAAATTTGGATTCATGGAACGCAGAGCAAATTGCGGTAAATAATTAAATAAAAAATATGTAAATTAATTACTACATTTATATCTAATAAAATAGATGATGCAAGAAATAGGAAATAGTAGGGGAAGGGCTATATATGAAGCAAACCTTCCCGATTCATTTGCAAGACCTCAGACAGACTCGTGAGTGATGAGTTACTTTAACTGTCTGTATCATATTACTAAGCCAATTTTATCGGATATTTTTAGATCTTTGGAAGAATTTATTAGAAATAAATATGAACACAAGAAATACATAGCTAAAGAATGGTGTCCTCAAAAACCAAAAGTGAAGGTATATTATATATTTAAACTATTAAGGTGAATGTAAAACAGTTATCTAATTTTTCATTATTTTTTAAAGCCAACAACATGTTCTCAAAAAGAGAAATGTGGTAAGAAGAAAAAGACTAAAGCTCGATCTGATGACCGTGTAGTTGACGTAAATTTCAAATTTTATATCAATATAATAATAGAATTTGCTCTATGCAGACAACTACAAAGTCCCAATTAAATGATAAAAATGAGAAAACAAAACAGGATGATAAAAATAAATGTGAAATAAAAGAGTCACAAAGTCAATCAGCTTTGGTAGACTTATTAAGCCTTGGTATACCAATTTACATACAGAATATTAAGGAGATTTAATGTGATAAATAAATTCACTTTCTATAGACGATTTTTCTAAAACTCCTCAAACTAATAACGATTTGACTGATCTTTTGGGAGATTCAACGACAAGTGATAAAAATTCCAAATCATCTTCACCATCTGGTTAGAATCTTTAAATAAAACTAAATACATTAAACAAATTATTGAAATTAAATTTTTTTACAAAAGGTATACCAAGCGATCTATTAAATATTCAGGAAGAAGCAAACAAGAGTAAATTGAGTACTAAGGATATAATGGCATTATATGGTTCAAAAAACCATTCGTCTTTTGGTATTTAAAAAACTAATAAAATAATTTAGCAAATGCTAATTATATTTTTTTCTTATTTATTGAAAATTAATGAAATTTCAGCAACAACTGGTAATAATTCTACAAATCACGCTAATAATTATAACTCGGGGTTTTACGTTCAACAACAACAGCAACTATCCAATACTTTCCCCAATCAGGTTAAATCTTGTTCATAATAGCTTTTATTCGCTAATTTTGATAATTATTCTGTCTAATTTCATGTTTCATACTTTTCATATAGATACAGAATACGACATCGATTTATGGATTTCAAAAAAATAATTTGAACAATTCTCCGAATTTCTCAATCATTCAGGTAAATGTTTTTTTTTGATAAGAGAAATTATTGTTTTAAACAGATTAGAACAAATGTTTATGAAATTTTTGTTTTTCCTAAGGCACAAAATGGAATGACAACCTTGAACATATCTCAACAGATGTCCCATAACGAACAAAGTAACCTTCAATCCGAACCGTCTGCTGGACAAACTTTATCGGAAAAATTGTGGAGATAACGATTTCTATATGTAGCTTAATTTGAGGAATCTCTGAATATAATTAGGAAAATAACGATAGTTTAAGAAATAAATACTTGATTTTTCAATTTTTTTTTCTTTAAAACGTGTATTTCATGGTTTTTTCCTCTGCTTTAGAGAAGTTGCGTGGGACGTTTTGTATAATTTCATGTGTATTTTCTGTCTCTATTGAAGTATACTATATGTATTAAATATTTAAATAACCATCATCTTATTTATTCAATTTTTGTCAATGGTCATTTTGCTTGAATAAGTTATATTTATTAATCAGTGCATTTCCTTTAAAAAAATAAAAACATACAAAACAGAAAATTTCTTTTCTTATCTGAAAGTGCTAAATAAAAAAGTTGGAAACTGCTTGTCTTGTCTGAAAAGCTATAGTTAGATAATAAAAAAAAACAACTGTTAGAATCTGAACTAATTAGATCAAAGTAAAAGTAACGTCTGAAAAGTGCGTTATATAGGTTGAAATAGTATAGGAGACTAAGCTGTATATTTATTTATGTGTATTTTTTTTTTAATTCAGTTTGATTCGCGCCACCTATGAGTTAGATATCATTTGGTATTCAAGAATAGTGAAATCTTTTTAGCAAGGTATTGTTTCAGATAGCATTTTTTAACATATAATATTATATAGATCTATCTATATATTGTATAATTATGTGTATATTTACTGTATATTACCAGAAGAGAAGTGTATTTATATATATATATATATTTATGTAATTGTAATATAAATTAATCTACAGTATAAACATACTTTATATATTAAGTATATATTTTAAAGGTGTTTACAACTGTCTATGTAATTCTACTCATCGAAGGGATATATTTATATATTATAATATACATAAGCTCATTATGAAATTAATTAAAGAACTCTTGCTCAATCTCATTAATATATGTAAATATGTTTATATACTGTATACTTGTATATAAGTTATTATATGTATACCAACAAAACTAATGGTATATGTCTAATATTTTCAGTTTCAACATAACTGCTTTAAATTTGAATTAGAAGAAGTCGCAGGAATATCATTAACTAACAAGTCTTTATTAACTACATTGACAGTTTAATCTAATATAATTTAAAGGAAAATACGATTTAAAGTAAGTCGAAAAGCTATTTTGTTTATAGTTATGTTCCTGAAATCTGTTTATTAATCTTTGTAAGAATTAAAAAGTGTGTAGGAAGACGTACAAGGCAAAAACTTACAGTATTATTACAGTAATTATTATTTTAAGTCGTTAAATTAAAATTTGAATAATGTAAACAAACTGAATAGGAGACGATCTTATACACGATATATATATATATTAATATGATAATCTATTGAATTTACTTTCTAACCTCTTGAATACTTTCAATTTACTCAATTTTTTTGCCATACTAAAAAGTATAAAACATTTAACAGACCTATTTGTTACTTGGAATAAATAGCACTCTCCCGAAGTGATATTGACATATAATTACTTTTTATTTAGACCAAAACGAAGGAATGGACAGAGTATTTAAACTTCAGTTGAATTGTAGAATAAAGGTAAAACTGCAAAAAGTTCTTTATCACCTTCAAAGAACTTTAATGGAATTTGCTGATATCTTATTAACATTACAAGTTGGCAATCAGCATCTAATAGAGGTTAATGATATTTTGTTGGAAGTTTGGATGCCAGCTCTACCTATTGTTGGTCGAGTATCTATTTATAGATCTGACGATTATGAAGTTACTAAGGAACTAGATATCTTGGCTAATGTGGATAGATTGATTGCGTGGATTATTGAAAGATTATTAACTAATGATATAAATCTTAAAGAAAAGAATCAATTGTCGTTAATACTAATTAAACTATGGAGAATTATCCTAAAATTTGTGGATCGTTTAGAATCTATAGAACTTTTATCGATAAGGAAGAGAGAGTTGGATACAATACTGTTAAGTCATTGGAAGACTATATCAAACTTTGTCAGTAGAGTAACAGTACTGGAACTTGATTCGAGCGATATGGCCGAATTACACAAGATCTTATTCTGTCTCAGAAAGATTATTTCATGCGAGATGGATAAAGTTGAATTAATTGAATTAACTAAATATCAGAGAGGAGAAGTTCAAAAGATTCTTCTTTACCTCCGATGGATTGCTTCGTGGTTAGCGTGGACTTTAAGTGGATTTCAATATAAAGATCCATCTGATAAACAGGTAATAGATAATACTTTAGATTTCTTCTCAAAAATTGTTTCCTGGTTGGCTGAACATGAGCCGATTTTGGAACGGACTCTATATAATAAACGAGAATTACAAACTGTGCTATTGATCCTCCAACACAAAGTATCGCATGTAATGGATATTTTACCAAAATTGAAAATAAAAAGGAAGAAGAAGATAAATAAGAGTTTATTGAATGTATGGGAAACTGTTTATAACCTAGTAGATGAAATACCAATTTTCAAATTGAAAACTCTTAGGGTGGAACGTATAAGGTCAAAATTGATTCATTTTAGCGAAAATTTTGATTTTAATTCAATTGAAACGGTTACAGATTGGAAACAAACACAAAGCTCTACATCAAAAATTAACAATAACAATGTTAATAATACAACTAATACTACTTTTGCTAAAAATTCAACTAAACCTTCAACTACCGATATACCCACTACTACTACTACTACTACTACTACAAACAATACGATAGCTAGGACAAACACTACAACTATCACAACTGTAAACAATACTGATGGGCAATCATTATTATATTTTTTTGAACTGTTTCAAATGTTACAATTTCGAGATATTTACAAAAGGTTCCTTATTTCGTTTTGGACCAGTTTATTTTGAAATGTTTTCTTTTTTTTTATTTGTAAGAAGTTGTCAAAAGGTTTTTTTTCTGTTTTTTTTTTCTTTTTTCCTCCGAAGCATCTTCTTTACATAAAAAAAGAGAAAAAAAAACACCAAAATAGGCAAAAAACAAGAAAAAAAAGTATTATAAAAGAAGTATTTATGCTTTAAAAAAAAAAAACAAAGAATTGAATGTAAATTAATGTAATTCCTTTTTTAGTTTATTTTTTTCCCGCCATTGTAAACGAGTTCTTTAGTATCTTTTCTTTCTTTAATTTCTACAAAAAGGATACATTTTGATCTGTTTATGTTTTATATTTTATGCAAAAGTTTAGTTTTTTTCATCAATTTAAGTTCATTTTCAACTCTTTGTTGATATTTTGTTTACGTATTTAGTTTCCTTTTGCTTTTTTATATTTTGTTCTTTTTTTTTCTAATTTTTCACTCATTCTCACCATTGTTCCTTACAATTATCTACCTCTGTCCCTTTTTTCCGACAAATTCCTTTCCTCTTCCCCTCCCCGTTTCCCACTCCTCCCTTCCCTCCTTTTTCAAAACTTATTGGTTTTAAAGAGAAAAAAAGTGAACTATATGTAAATAACATTTTATTGTAAGAGTAACAATGGTCTGATTATTTTAAGTTGCTTTAATACAGATATTTTAAGATGACATAAAGTCAGTAATTACTAATTTTTGTACACTGTTTAACTATACATATACAGTACATCTTAAAAAAAGGACGATAATATAGTAATGTTCTTTTTCTCCTCCTTCCGTTTCTTAGTCTTATCTAAAGCTATATTCCTTTTGTATCAATAGAACTTGAATATGAAAAGAAAAGAGATAAATATAATAAAAATTAGCTAAAATATTATTAATATGTTATTATTAATATTATTTCAATTCTATTTTTTATTCGTAAAAAGAGTTCTTGCGTAGTGCAAAAAATATACATGTAAGAAAATGGAAATCAATTGAGTTACAGCTGTTGTTAAACGAAATCGCTTTGTGCGACTAGAATTGCTAGGTTGTCGAGAATGTTCAAGTTAATTATAATTGTTCCCGTTTGTTTGTTAGTTCTATCAGTTTCTTCAAGTCCACCAATTGAATCCCGTAGGAATTCAACTCCGAATATTCAAACTACTCATGAGGTTATCCAAACAACTAAAGAATCGATGAAGGAAACTATTTTAAATAGTACAGTTTCTATGAAATCTACAAACTCCACCAACGCGAAAGAACCAATTACTGTTAAAGGAACAACTGTCAAAGCAACTATCGTAACTGAAAGCGGAGATGTAAAATCAACTCCTTCTACTATTCGTCAACCACCAAAGAAGTTACCATCAAATTCTACATTGTCACCAACACCAACGACGACAAAACGAACAGAATTACCTGCAGTAGATTCAGCGAATAAGTCAGAGTCTCTTAAGCCATCGCTAACAGCTCCAAGACTGTCTACAAAAAGTACTCCAACCACTGAATCTGAAAACTCAACATCAGAGAATGTTCAGACGAGATCAAGTATACCTTCGAACAAGCAAAATTTTACCACACCTTTACCTGAAGTCAAGGTAAACAATGGTACCTTAGCATCAACAATCCCAACAACTTTAACAGCTTCATCAGCTTCATCAACTTCAACAGCTTCAACTACTTCAATAGATTCAACAGCTTCAACGGCTTCAGCGACGAAAAACGACCTGCAAGACGGTAAATAAACCATTTAATTAATTAATATATACTGTATAAATGTGTATGTATGTTTTACAGATCACTATAAAAAAGTGACTCCTTTACAAGAAGTACCACTAGCAAATCAATCAGACATAGCAGTAAAAGCTAGCGAAGCCAGTGATAAACTTACTAAAGGGACTCTTATTGCTCTAGTATCGTCCCTAACGTTTGGATTAATTTTCATAATAATTGTTGTGATTGTTGTTGGCAAAAGAGTATACGAAGGCTACAAGAGACGCCACTACACTCAAATTGACTACCTGGTTGACGGCAATTATAAACAAAAGTAAAATATACTTTCATGTTTTGTGTTATGTAGAGGTTATTTTTTAAAGTATGTTCTTTTTATATATGAATCAATGTGTTTACCATCTGGCTTTATATCTTAAAAAATTCCATAAAACACAAAAATGGCCTTTTTTTCTTAGTCATAAGCAAAATACTAATAACTAAGAAAAGCCGTTTAATCGTCCAATTTTAATTAAATATTTCCAATTCTCTTATGATTTTACTACTTCTTTTTTTTTGAGTTTGTATATATATTATATATATATACATACATTAATACATTCACATATTAAATATTTACCAAGAACAATAAAAAAGAAGAAAAGTCATCAGATGGAGACTTCTCTACTGTTCTTTTTGTGTTTTTTTATTATTATTAAAGATATTAAGATAAATAGTCATACGGAACTTGTAATCAATTTTCATTTGCTACTCTTACAGAAGGAGATCCATCACTCTTATATATTTTTAATTAAATAATATCATAATATAAATATAATATAATTTTGTTCTCCTCTACTTCCTTAACTGAAAAATTCATTATTAATAAATTTGATAGGTCAATGTCTATCAATTTTCATTTCTTTGAGTAGTTTATTTTTAGTCTTTTTGTGCTTAAATTAAACTGAAGCAGATTTGAATTTTCTAAAATTTGCCAGGGAACCACACATGTCAACGGAAACGGAAATATAAGAAAAAAAGTTGCGACTTATTTGGCAAACTTCCGGCCTCTGCTTAGCACATTGTTCATTCATTTCGTGCGCGTGTTCGCTATTAACTTATACAATGCCTCCTAAGAAAAAGCAAGAAGAAGAGAAACCTGTTCTTATTGGCCGCGTCGGTACCAATTTAAAAATTGGCATCGTTGGCTTACCAAACGTTGGGAAATCAACTTTCTTTAACGTTTTAACTAAGAGTCAAGTACAAGCCGAAAATTACCCATTCTGCACAATCGACCCAAGCGAAAGTCGTGTCCCTGTTCCTGATGTAAGATACGACCATTTAGTCGAAAGTTTCAAGCCAGCTAGTAAAGTTCCGGCGTTTTTGAATGTTGTTGATATTGCCGGCTTGGTGAAGGGTGCCTCCGAAGGCCAAGGACTAGGAAATGCTTTTCTCTCAAATATTAAAGGTTGTGATGCTCTGTTTAGTATGTCGAGAGTTTTTGAGGACGAAGAAGTAACTCATGTGGAAGGTGATGTTAATCCTGTTAGGGATCTTGATATAATTATGGAGGAGCTTAGATTAAAGGATGAAGAATACATCAAGAAGAGGGTTGACAGTTTAGGAAGAGTAGCTATAAGAGGAGCTGACAAATCTAAAAAGGCGGAATTTGATTTTTTTGCGAAGGTTGAAAAATTAGTATGTGTTGAGAAAAGACCTATTCGATTTGGAAGTTGGGATGCAAAAGAAGTTGAGTTTTTAAACCAGCATCTTTTCATTACTGCGAAACCAATAATTTACTTGATCAATATGTCGATAAAAGATTATGTACGGAAGAAGAACAAGTGGCTCCCAAAAATCAAAGAATGGATTGACTCTCATGATCCTGGAGCAATGATTATTCCCGTAAGTGCAGCGATGGAGTTGGAATTGATGGATTTGGATGAAGAAGGCAAGAAAAAGTATCTAGAGGAGAAGGGAGGGGTTACTTCTCAACTAGAAAAAATAATTGTGCAAGGCTATAAAGCCTTGCAACTAATGTACTTTTTCACTGCTGGTGAGGATGAAGTCAAAGCTTGGACGATTCAAAAGAATACCAAGGCTCCTCAAGCGGCAGGAAAAATTCATACCGATTTCGAGAAGGGTTTCATTATGGCTGAGGTCATGAAATTTGATGACTTCAAGGAATACAAAACCGAAGTTGGTGTTAAAGCCGCGGGGAAATATAAACAAAAGGGAAGAGATTATATCGTAGAAGATGGTGATATCATCTTTTTTAAATTTAACGCTGGATCCGGTTTAACTGATAAAAAAAAGTAAATCCCGCATTGAATACATATGCCAACTAAGTTAATTATTGAATAAAAATTTTACCAAAATATACTGACGTAAATAGTCATTATTAACTAATTAATTGTGCCGATTAGGGACACAACAAAGTTCCACTGATCCTATTATTCCTTTGAGAATTCGACTAGTCAAGATTTGATTAATTATCCTTCAAACAATATCTCGTTAGCAGGAAAATATGAGAGAAATTGCAGGACCGTCAGATGGCGTATTAAGGGCTAAGAAAGAAATTTCCCTTACTTTCTCTAAATCATTCTGACTAGGAAGGAATCTGTCAAAGACGACGTATTTTTCATAGTCTTTCACGGTCTATGGTCCTCTTTCGTTCTCTTGTCACTTGGTAAACCCTTGTTAAATATTTCAAAAGATAAATCCGGCGAAAAAAGATTTAATTAAAACAAGGAAAACGGGAAAGATGCAGTCAATTGTCTTAAATAATAAGATATTATCTGGCTGTTTTTAAAAGTTCTATTATGAATTTTCAACCGTGGCCCTTTTAACCATCTTGGAAAATAATTAGTCATTAATTACAATAAATTGGGCGCCACCTATTGGTGCGACAAACAGGCAGAGAAGCGCGATTGCAGATTCGAAGAGCAGGTTGACGGTTTTACGACAAACAGGTGATGGCGTTTTGTAAACAGTTAACTTTTAGAAGAAGTCGCATAGTTATCTGCTTAGTATGTTTTTTATTATGCATTCAAGTATTGAATTTGGCATTATTTCATCGTATGGATTCGAAGAAAACAAACAGTAGAACAGGAACGGATTTATTAAGGAATATATTAGAAACCATTTCTTCAAAAACTGTGATGGATACTAGTGGCTTATATCAAATCGTAAAGGATGTTATTAGTCGAAATCGTTCAGTTAGTTTGAAACAGAAATTGACTATAGTCACTCATTGTTCAGCTGACGATTTACATTATATAATCGATTTAACAAGACATTGGAAAGGGGAAGTTTCTATATCAATTTTTGCCTTAGATGGAAAATTAGCGAATTTGGTTAGGAATCTAGTTAATATCTTCTATTGTTACAATATGGTAAATGTAAACTTTCATATTGTCTTCCCCTTACCCACAAGAACTGTTATTTTGACGGATGTTGATGAATTCTTCCCAAATTGCACTCTACCAGTTAGGCTGGAAAGGACAAGTCGATATTCTAAACTTCTTTATCCAACCAATTTACTCCGAAATGTCGCCTTATCTAGCGTGTCGTCGGAATTCTTTCTTATGATCGATGATTCGACCCTGCCAAATTCTGATTTGTACTCCCATTTTCGGTCAGAAATAGATAAGGGTTTCTTGTCTAAAACAGCCTATATCTTGCCTTCTTTTGAAGGAGACAAAAATTTAAATGTACCGACATCCAAGGCTGAATTAAATCGTCATTGGTTGGCCGGTCGAGTACGGCCTTATGGCGTTAGAAAATGTTGGGATTGGGAAAAACCGACTGACTATCAGAAGTGGAGAACGGCTAATAAATCTTACGAGGTCAATTGGCAGTCCATGTGGAGACCTTCTTTTATTGCTAGAAAGAGCGAGACTCCCAGGTTCGACGAGAGATTTTTTCAATATGGCTTTAATAGAATCAGTCAGGTAAGATATGTGAAAATTTGATTAGAATAAAGTGCCCTCTTCAAGAAAAAGGCACCTTAAGGGGTCTCAAACTCCTTATAACTACTTTTATCTGTTCTATATGCTTTATAGGTGTTAAATCAGATTGACGCTAGCGTTACCAATCAATAAGTTCTCTCTCCAAATATAAATTAGCTATTGTATAGTTACGTATATTTATATAATGTATACATGTATACACACACTTGATATATTTCACATTAAGTAGTTACATTAGTTGTTACGTTTAGTTTCATTTTCCCATTAGTCTCTTAGCCACCAGGCCTATGTATATGAGGTACTTGTAAGCGGCCATCTCTAACATGCCGCTTGACATTAGCAACAACGCCTGAAACGTTTCAAAGTTATTATTTTGCGTTTTTTTTTGTAGTTGAATCAGAAGAGCGTATCATGTGATATTATGAGAAAGAGACAGAGAGACAAAGACAGAAAAGAGATGGAAGAAAAGGGCGTAACAATTTAATAGATCTATAAAAAGCCTATTTATAAAATTTTCGAGTGTAGCAGTTGTTTTCACGAGAAAAAAAATCTGCAAACAACCTCTAGTTAATCAGAATTATCAATGAGATGATGTTCAATACTATTGCATAGTAATTAGGTAATTAGTATGCGCAGATCGGACAAATCAGTAATTAAATATACTTCATATTTATTCGTTTAGGAAAACTTATTGGAAAGCAGAAATATTCGATAATCAATTGAAATAAATGAATATTTAAATAAATTTAGATAAGATTTTCCATTTTTTGAAGCAGTATTCAAACTAACTTCGGTATTATTGATTCCTCATGGGAATATTGGATACCAATCAGTCTGATTGCATATTTTCTTTCTTATATACATCACAAACAAATGGTGGAATAACAACAGCAAATACCATTAGGGTCATAAACAGTTTTTAATATTGGTAAATATGGAAAATTTATTAATGGAAGGGAAAAAAATTTATTCCAGACACGTAGTGAATATTAAACGCTATTTATACCGTAAACTGGAATGCCTTTAAGCAGACGACATATGGATGAGAATTCTTTTCCCGCCAATTTCTTTAAATTGGATTGTTTCTCTATTTTCGAACATTTTATAAGAGTTAAAAGTTTCTGGTATATCATTACTTCTTTAGGATTATTTCTTATATGAATGACAAAAAAAGACAAACTTATTTCCCAGGATAGAAAACAGTCGGCTGTCCGTCTCCAATTAAGAGCAGCATTTGACATGAAGAGATGCAAAGCCTCATTATGCAGTGGACTGTGCTCGGCTCTTTTTCCCCATTCTCTTCTCTTTCTCTCCGCCCTATTCCCTTTACTTAGAATACTGCAAATTTCATTATGCAAATTCTCTTTACGATTTTCGTTTAAATGTAACAATAGGCTATCAGCTTTTAACGGTTGTTATAAACTGATTCGGTTGGGTAACGCTAAATTCAGTGATTCGTAAACTTCACTACACCGTAACCATAATACGATGAATTTGTTCATTGGACCGTTTTTTTTCAGGTATGCGAGATGTACGTGGCGGGATTCCGTTTCATCGTACATTCTAAGCTATTCCTTATAAGAAGAGGATTTACTAGTTCGAATAGTTTGACAAACATGGAAAAGGTTCAATATAAACGAAATGAGAGATTATACAGATTATTCAAGGAAGAATTGCAAAAACGGTATCGACAATCCAACAGGCGTTGCTAATACATCACAGTATACGTCATTATTCTGCACTTCATCAAAATCCCATTCCGCTCGCCAAATAAAGGGGTGAGCCGCACGAAAACGTGCTGTATAACAAAGGCAAAAGACGAGAGAGTTGCCGAATGATCCGAGTCAGTCTAATGTCATTGAACAGGGAGCACGACGAACAACTTTGAAGAAAGAATGAGATATTATATATTTGATACACTATAATATATTCCATAGAAGAAACCATGTCATCTTATCCCGTCTCAAATGCATGACGTTTACGAATAAGTCGGCCGTTTGTTGACGTCGTGCACCTGCTGCTATTGGGGGGGCGTCTTTTCCTGGCCTCCTTTCTAATAAGAAATCAACAATACAATTAATAGGAAAAAAAGGAATATAAACAAAGAGAACGGAAATAAAATACGATTTATTCTTTTCTGATAATATCGTTTTCTATTATTCCTCATTAACTACAAAGTAGAAGGATAGTAACGCTCGTCGTAAAATCGACACGTCTATAGTAGTATAAGTTAATTCTCAGATTACGATATTCCCTAGCCCAATCAATAAAAAAAATCAGACTTTTTTCGTTTTTTTTTCTCTTTGGCATAGAGCTCGTCCTCCTTTCTTACTACAAACATATCATCATAATAATAGCGTCACCTACTCGTCTTTTATAAATAACCTACCCTTTCCTTGTATTTTTCAATTTCAAATAATACATGTTTCCCTTAACAACCAACTATAATGCTCGGGTTTTTTTTTACCCTTTTTCTTTTTATATAAGAAAAGTAATTTTCTCTTTTTCTTTCCTTACCCCGTCCGTTTTATTTCTCTCTCTCTCTCTCTCTCTCTCTCTCTCTCTTTTTCTTTCTTTCTTTCCCTTCTTCCTTTATTCTCTCATATCTCTCTCGTTTAATTAATATTCGTTTGCTACATTTCCAATAAGAAGACAGTCAAGAAGATGGTAAGCTGATTTGGCACAAAAAAAAGATTAAAAAAATTGGAAAAAAGGAAGAGAAAGAGATGCCTGACCTTAACGGAGCAGTTAATCGTCAAGATTAGAAGAAGACAATTGCTTTTGGTAAATATGCAAAAGCAATTAGCATTCTAGGGGAACTAGGCTGGTATATGATGTAATACTCTACTCACTGTCTATACGGACATACAAACTGCCGATTTTGTAAATATATATGGAGTATTAAGAAAAAAATACTGCTTCCTCAGGTTACTTCCGTTTCCGGAAGAGAGATCGCCCAAGCATTTGTATAGCTTCTTCTTCTTTTTAGAGAATATAATAAAAGTATACAGCTTAGGAAACGGAACGCAATAAGGGCTATGAGTCGGTACTCGTACTTTAGGCCTCATAACAGTTTGTCCCTACAAACAAATCAATTTGAATTACTCTTCAACCTTCAACTTTTCCCTAATTTTCAAATTTAATTAATAATTTGTTTAAAAATAAAGAAATTAATAATTTACTTGATCAATTAATTAAATATATAAATAATAAAATAATAAATAAAAATAGACTTAATCCTCTTTACCACTTTCTCTTCTGTTTTTATCTTATTTTAAATTCTTTTTCTTTTTCTTCTTCTGCGTCTTCGTGTCTTTTTTCTTTCCTTCAAAGATAGATAATCCCAAATTATAGGCCTACTCGGTATCGAAATTACCTTATCTTAAGGATAAATTCGCATCTGTGTCACGCAATCAATTAGACTTTTGACATTCGCCTACCTCCTCTCTTGCATACGTATATGAATACCTTTTACATAGAATATCTTTTTGTTTAATCCGTCAGATTAACGGATGTACTACATTTTTGTCAATTGAACCTAATCCATTTTAATAGCTAATTTGACTACTTTTTAATATCCACTCTCATTTTGTCTATATTTAGAGACTCACTTAAGATTTTTTACGTACATAGATTTAGCGACATCTAGTGGATATTTGAGAAAAACTTTTGATAGGACAAACATATTTTTATTTCTATTGTAAAATTATATAGTTCTCATTTTTTTGTTATAGCATTATAATTGCATTCATTTACAGGGATTTATATAAAGTTTTAGTTTGCTTTATATGCGATAGATGGCAGTTTTTAAAGAGAGCACTTTCTTAGCATCTCAACAATAAAGTAATACACAACAGTAGGGTTAGATAAAAAGCTTCTATTTCAGTGAAATACTAAAGATAGATAAACATATATATATATATATATATATATATATATATATATATATATATATATATATATATATAAATACTGTATATACAGTATATATATATAATATTGTAAACATCAAAGGCGCCACCTTCGTTTGCTCGTAGGCCACAAAAATTGTTTTGGAAGTTGTTTTTGGAAAAAGGGAAAGTTTATTCTATAAAAACATTGTTCTACAAACAATTACGCTTAGATAGAATACTTCTAAGAACATATGTAGACTTAAAACAGCCTTTTGAATTCTATAGTCTAACGAAGGAAATAGGTAGACGTTTCTTGTGCGTTTTAGGAAGAAAGGTCAAGAGTAGGTCATATCTCTGCTAATAATTCATTACTATTATTATAAAAATGCTGGCAGATGGGCGGATCTTATTCGGTATAAATCAATGGGTCTGCCGTATTCTGGAGCCGATATTCCCTCCAGATTATCCAATCTACATTTTTCCCTAGCGTATGAAACTAATTGCTTCATAAAGCCTTCGTTACATAAAAGTAATCGACGTTTGTCCTTCAGCGATCTAGTCGCTTCAAATAGGGTGAAACCTTGTGATATTAAGTAGGACAAGGCTAAAACTCCGGATCGACTCACTCCAGGGCATGCTATTAGTACCCTATGACCCAATGTTCTGGCTTCGTTGATAAAACGGTGAGCCATTTCGAAATAATGCCGTACCATGAACTCCTCATCGTCTTCAATCGGAATAATATTATATTCAATATCAACTGGCTTTTTTCATTATTTTAAAGAACGAATGAAATAATTACTGCTACAAAACTACCGCTAGAGTAGGATTATATTTTGGTTTTTTTCCCCACCTGTTTACCTATTAATTCACAAGGAAACAAGGATCTTAAGCTCTTTATATATAAATTGCTAGATTATAATTTAAATTTTAATAACCATTCATTCGTACTTTAAACATATCATCAATTCGTCTTCTTCGTATTGGCGAGACGTTTTCGCATATGATTATTCTTTCCATTCTATAAGCTTTCATCATTGGTATATTCTCCGCATCAGCCAGTGAACCAAGAAACACGTTACCAACAACAATAGATGGTTCAGGAGGTACGCCAAATGTGGGCGGAGCTGAGAGAATATTTTTCAATTTCTTTAAGTAATCATTTTCCGTAGGATCCCTGTCCCTTTGCTCAACTTCGAAGGTCTTTCTAATGTAGTAATCCATCGTTGTTGATTAGGCAGTGCTCTCTCAACGTATAAAAATAGATGAATACAAGCACTCTGCAAAGTCACACTAGGCCTAATTCTTCTGACTTAGAATCAAATAGGTTTTTTATCGAAAAATTTATTTGTTATTTTAATCCAATAAGTTTAAAAAAAATGACAAAAAAATGATTTTATTCGTGCAGAAATATGACAATTATTTGCAAAAAATTCTACTTTTATTCACATTTTCCTTTGTAAATTTTTACGACGATAAACTGATAATCATATTATAGTTATTATGGAAAAACAAGAGTTTCCTAATGTACTATCATATTCTTCACAAATGAATTAAGAGAATTAATTACGTAATTAACAACAAAGGGAAGGGTAAATATTGGAAGTCAATAAAAATGCAGCAACAATGTTACATCTTTAAACATTCTCGTATCCACTAAGATTTGCTAATAATCCAACCTGTATCAATTAACAAATAATTACTTGTGATCTTTATACTAAATCAATGTTAATTACAAGTTACTGATAATCGACCGAGTATATCATGTTGTTTGTAAGCTTTAATTATGATAGACTAATCATTTTTTATATTGGGAGGAATATTAGCTAGGAATTCTTAGAATAAATCTTTATGGTTAACTCACTTTTTGGATTAAAACATCTCCACTGAGGGCACAGTGTATGAGGACATAGCCTCTGGAAAGTACTTGTTTTTGATTTCTCATCGTCATATCCATTTTTTCTTTTGTTCCTGGTTATAAAGTCTTTGTCTGACTTTAAACTATCAATTTGAACTCGACTTAAGGGCAAAATTTCTTTTGAATTGCTATTACTTTTAACTCTCTCTCGATTATGTAATGATTGCAATTTCAAATCAGTCATAGCCCCTTCCAAAGCCTCTATTATTCGACAAGTTGACCAGTAATCTTCTATTTGCGTAGAACTCTGACAATGTTCTACTATGCCCTCTAGGCCTAAACTTAAAGCCAAATTAACGTCTCTGATAATTTTTCCAAGTTGAGAAATATTCGTCTCAAAAGTAGTTGGTACTGCTTTCTTGAAAATTTGATCGCCTCCAGCGTGTTTAGTTGGAATTTTATTATCAAATAAGCAATCTCTTACACCACTCAGCATATGCGCTTTAGCAAAATTAGTTGGCCTAGGACAAGACCATCCTCGACCTTCAACATATCTGCTAACAAAACTTGATTAAACAAAAGACCTTGCCCAAAGATAAAAATACCCACCTCATTACTATATTATTTAATTTTAAATTGTTGATAATGATAAGTTTTCTATGTAATCTTTGAAGTATTTTCGTTAGTTTGAGAAGTATCTTCACCCATCTCCAATCTTCTAGTATCTTGTCACCTCTCTCTTCCCTTGAGATAACTTCTTGAAGAAGAATTCTGTCAAGAGTGGCTACCTCAAAATTGTCTGGATCACCGATCAACGCCGTGACAATACCTATTGGAAGGTACTCATCAGAGTAACTCATACTAACAAAGCCCATAAGAGTTGGTCCAGCATAGGGTACATTCCTATTAACGTAATCTAATACCGTTGCTTCTTTAACTAGATCAATTGCGGTTAGGCCTTTACCTTGATTGTTTCTGTACAATTTTACAACAACTCCCAACTTTCCATCGCTATTTCGGCATTTCATGGGTGCATGTTCACCGGAGAACTCATCCATTTCTTTGATCAAACTTTCGTCCATATATCCTCCAATATAAATTGCATTTTTACCCATCCCAATCAGAACTCTAATGATAAACATTTCAAATTTTCGGATTATTCAAAAAAGCTTTTAAAATTACGTTTTACTTACTTATTGCCTGTAAGTTTGTCGTTGGGTAATTCTAATGTATTTGGATCGATAAATTCCAGGGAGGAAAGTGTTCTCTCCAGTCCGTCCACGTTTCTCGGTTTATTGGTCGTTTGTTCCCAATGTTTACAATAGATCATTTTTAAGGAGTGCATTCCAGTCATTATCGTCTCACCCCTTTTCGGAACGGGAACAGCAAATGCAAAATCAGCTACTGGCATGTGAAATTTTCCTCTAGTTAGGCCTTCATAGCGACATTGTATCATAAGATTCTCGATAAATATCTTTCTGTCTTCTTCTCGTTTTTTAATTGCGTTCTGGTCTGAAATTATTGGATGTCGTTTTGCCTCTGCCCATGCCCTTTCCTCAATACATTTCTCTATATTTTGATTAGCCTTTTCATCATGCGATGGTGTAGTTTTAGAGAAGTTATTGAATAATTTAGAAGCGGACACTTTAGGATCAGATTTCACCCATTTGGAAGAGAACTGTGAAGCTTTACTAGCCACCTTATTCAAGATTGTAGTATAAACATCGCTATCGTTTCCATTTCCTCCATTTGTTGTCATCCCGTATAGATTTTTCGATTGGGACCTAAGATCCTTTAGATATTTAATTTTGTTCCTAAATTTTCCATCGGCATTCGAATATTCCCTCTTTAGCTGTTTGGTTTCGTCAAATATATTAATCAGCTCATCTTCATCCTCCAGCATTTGTTCAAGTTCTCTTTGGATGATTTGAAATGGCCTTGAGCTTTTTAATAACAAATTTTCATCAGCCATAATAAACCAAGGATCATCCAAGTCAAAAGGCGGCTTAACTGTGGAATAATTTTTTTGGATAAAAAATGGTATTAAACGACGATTTCTTTTGCGGTAACGGTAATTTATCTTCCGCTCATTTGAATCTAGTGAACTTTCTTCCGCTTCTTTCTGGAAATTGAATTTTTCTTTTGGTTTCTTGACCACTTTCTCGGTCGATTTCCCATTTTGTACGAAGAATGAATTTTCTTGTTTAAACTGTGAGCCGTACTCCTCAAATTCTCGCTCTCTTTTAAAGGTCTCAACAAGAGCAGATCCTTTTCTCTTTTTATCATCTTCCTCTATGTTTTCTTCATCTTCTTCAGGTGTGTCTTTATTGTCCTTTTTTCTTTTCTTTTCTTCATCATCTTCGCTTCTGGTTTCGCTTCTTTCCGGAGTATTTTGAGCGACAGGTTCCGGAGAAGACTCTCTCTTTTGTTCTACTTGTATCGTTGGGATAACTGCTACCGGCTCTGCAGGAGTAGATAAATGTTGCAAGTTCACCCTATCCTCTGGAACGCTGTCTCGCGGTAACTCAGGTGGACTAGGTGGGGAATTTGAGCGGGCTGGTTGCGTTTGTCTTTCTTGAGGAATCATCTGAGGCGGAACATAGTATGCCTGTTTGTATCGAGGGTCGGAAGAAGTATTCGTTTGCATTTTGTCTCTTGCCATGTTAGGAGGCATCTTTTGCATCATGGGAGCGCTGCTCCTAGTAGTATTTTGCGATTTGGAATAATCACCACCTATGGAGGCCGGTGCGTTTCTTCTCTTGTTTTCTAGTTAGTAAAAAAGAGCCAATTAACACGGTAAACATACGCCTCGATGTTAAATATTCAAATATACTAAACTATTTGACCCTCCTAAGCAACCACAGCAGTCATTTTCCAGTTGCTGGTGAATGCTAGTCTTGCTTTTAATGTGAGATTTACTTTTATGCTTACTCTTTGATTTGCTCACTGACGATTTGGATTTAGATTTCTTATGGGAAGATTTTGAGCTCCCCTTGTTACTACCACTTTTAGATTTCGACTTATGCACACTCTTATGACTACTCTTCTTCCCCTCTTTTCGTGATTTTTTAAGTACAAGAGAACTTGTTGAACTTAATCTTCTTCTTTGTATTTTCCAACTCCTTCCAATACTCTTAGATCGTTGTTTTTTTTCATTTTCTCCACAAAAATCATTCAATTTACTTTCCATTGATTTTGTTTCATTAATTTTCATATTTTTCAATTTTTTTTCTCCTAAAACAATTTCATGGAGTCAAAGGGTTACGTAAAAAAAAGCGGACTACTATATATAAATCATAAAACTTACTTTTTAATTATTTCTTTACTATTAATAATTTGTATGCTATTTTTTTTATTATTATTTAGTTTTCTTCATTCTCTTTTAAATTTGATGAACAATTTTATGATGTCATCAATTATTAACCGAATAAACATTTATATTAATTTTTATAATTTGGTGCTATTTAGATTTCAATTACGAAATATCTTATTCCTAATTTATTATTTCAATATACAATTATTAATTGTTTACATATGTAATAAATATAGATGGTATAATTATTAAAAATTATAGAACGGAATAGTTTTACTTGTTACATAAAGATAAATAGAGAATGTTAAGGTTTAACTAGTTGAATTTTATCAAATTAATTCTTTATGAAGGATCGTTTAAATCTTCTCAACTTACCCTTTGAATTATAACTTACACGAATCGTCCATTAAAATCGTTTTATTTTCACTCGTATCTACTTCTTTTAGATTTGATATTTTTTAATTATTTATAATTTATATACTTTGTTAAAATATCATGTTATTAAGGAGAAAATTCTTGGAGTGTGTTCTTTCAAAAAAAAAGAAACATTCTACGACAGAGAACGTTACTCATAGAATACTCCGGTTCCTTCATATCGAAAACCATACAGTTACTAAATACTAAATTATAGATTATAGGGAATTAAAATTATATAATTCAGTTATGTATGACAATTAATTTCAATTAAGAAATCTAATATTACCTATATATTAATATATTGTTTCAAATTTTGCGGCAAACCGGAAATTGTTAAGGTCATTTTCGTATTCTGACTTTATCTTTATATGTACATATATAACTCAATTGTAACAGTAAATTTATATAGTTCATATTCACATCGTTGAAATATACTTGAATTTTTCATATATGGCTATTCGCCATTTTAACATAGTATAGTTCCGGTTCAAGGTTAAGATACTTTATAAATATTTGTTTGATTCTTCTTTCGGAAAAGCATAAGTAATAGGTTTGCTGAAAACTAATAGTAAGAGAAATAGTAGAGCTTTTTAATAAAATATTGTCATTATTCTAACTTTTTCTAACGATGAAAAAACAATCACTTATTAAAATTCTAGGTTTCCATGCTTTAGTACTATAACTGTAATATAATATTTAAACTTGAATAGAACGTAGACAGTCCTAAATGAACAGATCTTCAATCTTTTCGCAGGATCGCTTTATTTCATTTTAAAATATTAACAATTCCCCCTCAGCTAACTTAAACATTTTGCAAAAGCTTAGAACCCTATTGAAGGGGCTTAATTTAACAACTTTACAATTAGGAAGGCTTTAGTTTTAAAAATGCCCAAGGTCATTTATGAATTATTCTCTTAAAAGATAATATAAAAAAGACTTGTTATACTTTTTTGTTATTAATGAATGAGAGAGAAAATCTAATTTTTTTTTATCATTGTGTGCACCGAAGCTGAAAAGGTCTAATTTAGGTTTCAAGATCATCTTTATTCCTTTTACAAGATGCTTGATCAATTCTTATAAGAATATATCAGTCATGCAGTTTATTACTTGCTTTACATTATTACGTTTATTTATTATATAGGAAAAAATGGTTGAAGTTATGAATGGTGATGACTTCTTTGAAGGTACCGAAAAATTGTTGGAAGTTTGGTTTTCATCTTCCAATCAAAACGATAAAGCAGATATAAGAGTAATATCCAGGTTAGAAACATTTCGTACAAGTTCAATTTGACAATAATTGATATATATATATATATATATTAATTACAGGAATGAGTGGGACAACTTATTAGATTTGGTTCACTGCAAAATTATTAGTAAGAAATCAAACAGTGAAATGGATTCATACATATTAAGGTAATAATTTGTTTAATATTATACCTATAATGTTAAAAACAAAAGGGAAAAAACAAGTTTTTATCTGTAACCAATATTAAATCGATATATCATACTCTACGTGTGACCACTATATTTCTATGATATAAAGAAAACTTGTTGTGCGATTTAGCATTTGTTATAAACCTTTCAAAGTGCTTTTTTCCCCCTTATTCATTATTATTTTGCACTCGAAAGTTTAATTATGTAATAGGTACTAAAATTGACATATTTTAAAGAAACGCCGGTATTTATCTACATTTATTTGACGGTGATGACTAAAGCTGTATATAATTAAGTATAGTTGATTAATATAGTTCTATATTTTGTTTGTTATCCAGCGAAAGCAGCATGTTCATCTCCCGTAATCGTGTTATTTTAAAAACTTGCGGAACCACAACGTTGTTAAAAGCATTGAAACCTCTTTTGAAACTTATCAAAGATCAATGTTCCATGGATATTGTTCAAGTAATGACCATTTATATTTGACATTTAAAGCATTGATTTGTGAGATCAAGTTTAATGAATAGAGACACGTTTTATATGTTAAATTATAAATGTAATATACTGTATATATATATATATATATATATATTCATACATACATTAAATAGACTTTTTTTCAACCAAAAGGTGAACATCTATATATGTTTCTTTAAAAATTCTATTGCTTTTTTACAGGATATTTTCTACTCGAGAAAAAACTTTGAAAGACCAGAATTGCAAGATAAGGTACATCAGAGTTTTGATGATGAAACGAGAATTTTAGATGAATTAGTCGAAGGTGATCAAATTTATGTCCTCTTACTTAGTGATTAAACGCAAAATGTTATCTAATCTGTAGATGGTGCAGCATACGCCTTAGGAAGGTTAAATAGGGATTGCTGGTATCTTTATACAAAGGATATAGTTGGAGTAGTGGAGCCTGATCAAACAGTTGAAATATCCTTTAAATAGATCTATATATCATGTCTTATAGCATATGAAAGATTACTTTCCTTAACTAGTGATCACCTATTAATGACAGAACTTGATCAAGATGTTATGCAAATATTCTTTTCGACCAGTGGCAAAACTGGAAAAGAAGCTACTATGGTAGAGAGAATTTATTCATAAATTTTTTTTAAAAAAATTCTTTTTATTCTAATAGAAATCTGGAATTGATCAAATAATACCAGGAGCCACAATTGACGAGTTCTTATTTGAACCCTGTGGTTATTCGATGAATGCAATTATGCCAGATGTATTATCACTTTATTATTTGATAATTTCTACTTTATCAATGTATCGTAGAACGAGTTATTTTTTTTTTTTGCAGTCGAAATACTTTACAATACATATAACGCCAGAAAAGAATTTCTCTTACGTTAGTTTTGAGAGCAATGTGCCCCAGAGATGCTATAAGGAATTATTATCAAAAGTTCTTGATCTTTTTAGACCTGTTCGATTTGTAATGACAGTGTTTGCTAATGAGGTAAACCTGAGCAGCTGCATTTAAAAAAATTAAATCTTTAATGTTGCTTATTAATATCATATTTTTGGATTTCAGGCGTCACTAGCTTCTCAAACCCTTAGTGAAAATTGCAACTATGATAACTTCGAAGGATACAAGCGGTCCGACAAACAACTATGCCATTTTAAAAATTATTATTTGTTTTACGCTCATTTCAAGAAATGAGATGAGGCTGACAACTGCAGAATATGTAAATTTTGCAGTTGTCGAAGAAGAATCAATAATGATCAAAAACTTAGCTTCCTATTTTTCAGTTTTCTGCACTGTGCGGTTTCTATTTGCTTAAGCGTGGTATTAATAACATATTGTTGGGTCAGTTACAGAGAAAGACGTAAAAAGTGGTTTCTTTACATTATGGTCTGTATACGACCCTCATGAGTTTTGGCTCTGAACATATATATAAATATCTATTACTCTTTTATTGAAAATAGTTTTCATTCAATGTAACCAAAAACTGACCTTTTCCCTAATAAATTCATACGCAAATTGAAACAATTCCTTTATGCCAACTTTTATCAATCTTAGTGCAAATGGAACAAATAAGCAAACTGTATTAAACTTCATACGAAAGAAGATATTGATACGAAACGCGTTTGATCCATGACAACGTTTATACAGACTCTTTCAAGTTAATGTTCATTAAAGAACACTGTTTCTTATAAAAGACATTCAAGGAAATATTTTTGAATACAAAATTAGAAAAAGAGGAATGCTTTTCAAAAAATAAACCATTGGCGAATGTTAAGAAAAAATCACAACAAAAAAAAAAAGGAATGTTTTAGAGAGTAAGCTCATCACAACATAAATTATACCCATTCACATAACCATACCAACTAACCCAAATAAATACAATTATATAAGAAATCAATACAACAGACACGCAAAATGACTAGTATAAAACATGGACAGTGACTAGAAACACAAAAGGCCATAAATTTCTTTGATCTAGTAAACTTGACTAGCCTTTACCGAAGCTGTATAAAGAGTATTAGGTCATCTAAGACTTGAACGTAACAAGAGTTCTACATAGAAAAAAAATGATATAATTAAAACTAAACTAAGAAAAAACAAATCAAACTTCTCTTTAATTATTTAGAGTACTTGGTGCTCTAGGAAATTTGATTATTTTTTTATCGGACTAATTATTAATTTCCCATTTAAATCCCAGTCAACAATTTTGCAAAACTAATTAGATACCCTAACACTCTTTATAAAGTTTCCGAGATAACAAAATATTTAAAACTAGACATCAGGCTGTTGCATAACATGCAATAGTGAAGACGCTGCTGGATGCGGTGGATTTGGGAAAGACGGAGATTGTAAAATAGGAGTAGGAATTCTAGTATTGGCCCCATTATTACTATTACCACCATGAGCCAAATGGCGGAGTCTTGCCGGCAGCATATTATGAGAAAGTCGTTCGTGGCGTCTCAGGTGAGTTTTATGGTAAAACGACTTATCACATCCTTTTATTTCGCATTTGTGTGGCTTGCTCTTAGAAAGCGCTGAACGACGTACTTTTTTCCCAGGCATCCAGGTGTTGTGATCATCCTTGTCAATATGTAGGTCCTCTTTAGGCTACAGAAATAAGGAATATTATTATGAGTTATTTTAATTACATACAATCGAATATTCACGTAATGTACGTGACTAGATAATGGACAATTCGTAAATAAAAACATACATCGCCTGGTTGATGGATAACAAATTTCCCCTCAGAATCCTCGTCCATTGGTATATTTTGACTCCTTTCTTCCCAGACTCCAGCCTCGAATGTTTTACTTTCGCGCTCAATTTTTACAGGCTCGGCAGTATCTTCAAAAACAGTCTCTTCCTCGCTTTCCATGTTTTCAAATTTTGCCCTTCGCGCGTTGATATTCAGAGGCTTCCTTGACTTTCTACGATCGCCCCTTTCTTCTGTTGAGCTTGTGGAACAAGCAGTTGTTGCATGGTTGCTACCTTCACTACAGTCACTATCGTCCATACCTTTAGCCTGCAACAATATCAATAGCACACGTTAAATCTATTAGCGTATAGAGATCTAATTATTAACATAAATCAGGTGAAAATTGGTTGAATAAACGTTTACAAAGATGACATTCCATTGTTGGAGAATAAAATAAAAAAGAATTAAGCTACGCTATTTACGATTCCTTTCAGTAACAATTCATAAGATAATAGATGGTCAACTTCAAACATAGCTAATTGCATTTTATAAAAGACATTAGTTATTCCATTTCCGTATCGAACATAGACAAATGTAGACAGAATAAATCTAAATTCAATTTACTATAAACTAGCAAGGTGTCATGTACGACATTGAAAATGTCCTAGTTCACGTTATATATTAAAGGTTATATCACCTTTACAATATACACTATTTAACAGCAGATAAGAGATTGATATGACACCTTTATAGTTTGATACGCAAATTTAGTTTTTTTAGGGCGAAAGTTAACAGAAACATCCTCCATGAGAAAAAGACACTGTATCCGCAAATATATTAAGAACGGTTAATCAGATTCAACTAAAGGGCTATTTTAGCTAACAATTAAGAAACTTGCATAGTGCATTTTTTCATTACAAGCTAAGCACGCAAATCTGACGTTGACATGAATGTAAAACTAGCTCTTAAAAACATGCATATAAAACAATATTTTCTAGCTAGGATAAAAGTTCCTTTACAATGATATAATGAAAATGAGATAAATACCTTTAATTTCTCAACAGCTGGTAGTACGACTTTTAGGAGATGATTCTCTTTTTTCTTTCTCTCTTCTTCGGAACCAATTCCATTTGTTGAGTGAACCTTTTGTGGGGTAGAAAATGTGCTTCCTTGATTTGGGTCTGAATCACCGGAGCTTCCTAAATCCTCTCTGCTACTGCGTCTCCTCTTTTTCTTTCCTTCACCACTCCGCCTCTTCCTCATTAATCTTTCTAAATCATCTGACATAATTTCTTCGCAAACGTTTGCATCTTCGACATCAAAAGTTGTATCAGCCGAACATCCCGATTTAACTTTACGATTTATATGAACAAGTAGAACTTCTTTGTCATCGAGAGTTACACCCACTACTCCCTGTACGCACATGTGACTTTGAAAATTCCATTCGAACGTGTTTCGACAAAGAAGCGTGACAGTGTCTGTTAAAAGAGTTCTCAATTTTTCTCTGTCTGGTTTCATATTCATCTATTCATCTGTTAAGAAAATAGTTAATTTTAATTAGTAAATAAGCAAACACTGGCTACGTGTAATAAATCATTCAAATTAAAAAATTTGACATAATTGAGAGGTATTTTCGTGATCCGTCTGACTTCTTGTAATGATACTTAATTTCATACACCACAAATAGAAAGCATTGATCAACATTTGAATTTAATAGACAAAACAACTATAAAACTCTCAATTGATCGGCATCCCAAATGACAATACAGAACAGTTTATTTATTGTATCGTTCTTTCAACTAATGTAAAAAAAACAACTGTTGAGTAAATGATATTTTAATTTTCTAGATAGTAAATTACATCGAATTCTATAAAATCCTTTAGATAATCTTACTCAATATCTTTCCAAATGAGAATTGAAGAAAATCCCACAATTAACGTTATCAGTTGTCTCGTCGGGATGTTTATTAGTTAGTAATTACATCATTCATTACGTAATAGTGTAATTCGCGTACTACTACTCTAGCTTTAGTTGTACAATTCTAGTCTTAATAATCACGACATTTGCACTCATTCTTTTTGTCCTCCTGACGGCAAACAGTCATTGTATCATAAAGAAAGACGTGACTCATTTTAATATTAAAGGATCAAAATATTTTTAAGAAAAAACTTTAAAACTCAGCTAATAAATCTGAACTTTATATGCCAAGACAAAACGAGAATAATGAAATAAATTGACAAATAAGGAAATTTTCTTTGTTCCAGGAACAACACCTGTCCCATGAAAGGGTCCGCCATGAGACCACAACAAAAAACCGTTAGTTTGTAGCTAGTAATACAACAAAATAAACATAACAAACTAAATCAAATTTAGAAATTATAGAAACACATAAAATATTTAACTTTGTCTGAAAATGGATTAACAGATTAAGGCCTTAATTAAGTATTTGTTTTACCTGGAAGTATCACAATCACGAGTATGACCCTCGCCCTTTGTGTTTTCTGTACTCTTGTGCCAGAGATTTCTCGCGTCATGGGGATCATAAATTGTCTTTCATTTATATTTTATTTTGAAAGAATGTTGAATTTTAGTTTTCGAAAAATAATAGTAATTAAAAAACTGTTATAATTTTTTAACAATTTATAAAGTACTTTTATTAGAATATTAAATATAAAAATTGAATTGTTATGTTTCCGTTTCCGGTTGAAATTTCAAATTCTATATCTGTTTCGAAATTTTTCAAGGAGACTCATCAGTTACATTTAGATAACAACCAATGTTGATAAATAAAAAAATTAATATCTGATAAAATTTTTACAAGAGTGTGTATTTTTCGTTGAAACTTTTAATAAAAAATCTGCTAAAGCAGTACATTATAATTCGTAAGGTGTGCATAGTTGTTCTCGAATTTATTAGCAGCACACGTTCAACCATTAATCAATAGATACTAAAACAAAATCAGTAAAACAAGCCTGTATATATTCAACAAGTTCACAAGTTTATAAACGTGAACTAAACAATTGTCTGAAGAAAATAATTTGCACCGTCGAATTTAATATGATTGACATACGATAAAGATTCTTTTGTTAAATTGACAAATAGTTAGCTAATTACACAGTCTCTAGATTGATTTTCTGTGTCTTCTTCTGGCTCTGTCTCTTTCTCTTCAACTTCTTCTGTACTGCAATCTCTTTCAAAGGGCTTTGTAATATTTTCTGTAGGAGTTGTAGGTGATGGTAACGATATTTGACTATTTGAACTTGAATTTCTTGTTCTTGGTCTTTCCTTACTAATTAGCATGCCATTTAGACGGAGTATTTGATTTTGAATAGCTGTGCAGACGGCTTTATATCCAGGACTAATAGAAATAATGAAGAGTAATTAGAAAACTAATATTATTAACCAGAGCTATTAATTACCAATTATCTTGTGACCACTCTTCCAGCTTCTGTAAACCATTACGCATTCGTAAAACTATGTCAGTCGTTGTATCGGGTAATGAAGCTAAATTGACAGTTCTAACAACGGCTGTTATATCTCGAAGCAAAATTGATAAAATAAGAGCCCACTCCAAGCAGCCAGCCTCTTGTACGACTTGTAGCAAAAATCTATTAATTATATTAATTTTTATTATATAAGTAGTTGTAAAAAGTTAGTATAAATTTAGAACCTTAATTGATGTTCACTTTCGGGTGGTCCTTTATTGGCTAATTGTTGGGATAAATTATGTAACAAATTTGAATCCATATCAGAATACATAAGAGCATCTTGCGCACCATCTAAATCACTTATTTCGCTTATTTCAGTATTTGCGTAACTTGAACATTCTAAGCAAATTATGCCAAATGAATACATTTACAGATAAAAAGATATTAAAAACCTTGACTCTTTTGCGGAAGTAGTTGAATATTGGCACTGTGTGGGCTTCCAGGACTCGTGTCATACTAAAATGAAGCAACACATGCAATGTTAGTAATGATATAGATTATATCTTGAAAATTGTTTACCCTTTTAAGTGGTATATCCAGTTTATCAGGAGGCTTAATTATAGTCTCATCTTTTGTAACTGTACTTGGAGCTGAAGATGCAGGAGTTGAACCAGGGGACAAACTGTCCAAAGCTATTTGACATCAAAATAAACATTACATTGTAATATTCTTGCAATCACGTATCATAATTCAATAATTACATAATCTGCTCAAATTAACTGAGGTAAGAGGGGGTAAAGGTAACGGCCAACAGAAATCTTGATGTAGTTTGTTGATAGCAGTGATAAAATCGTCAACTCTAGCTGCCCTTAATCTGTTTGTTTTTTTTTTCATAGAAAAGTTTAAATTTACTTTCTGTTAACTAGCAAGAATAAGCTACTTAACACGTACTTTTCTCTCTTTAACCATCCGATTAGTTGATAATCATCCAAATTTGCGGCAAAACAAGCCAAATCGTATAGTCTATACGAACTTAATAAATGACGTGCATGTCGATTTAATATAACATCGATAAATAATTTTTCCGAATTAATTTCTTCAGATTTTTGAGGAATTGTTTGATTAGCTTGCTTTTTAGGGACTTTAATATTATCGCAAGATAATGTATGTTTAACTTTTTCCTTTTTATCCTTTCTCTCAGCATCCGATTTTGCCCTTATTGACGGATTAAATATAAATGAACCACCTTCCTATATTCAATAAAAAAAAAAACTCATAAGACATTCTAATATGTTAATAAATTAATAAAATAGTTTTCTTTTTTCATTTAACTGAGATAGAAAACAAATGAACTTCCGTCCATTTTTTTTTCATTTCTCAGTTAGCGTTATCTTTTAAAATTAAAATTATATTTTTAGCAAAAGCAGATAGAATATAACCTATAATCAGAAAAGATAAGCACGTCATTTTTTATTTTGATGTAACCATGTTATTTCTATTTTTTTTATTAAAAGAAAAAGATTTTATTCTTAGAAAATTAGTTTGGAAAATAGTTAATAATTTTTTCTTATTAAAATAAATTTCTTTTTCTATATTTCAATTGGAAATATTATTTTGTCTTAAATTTAACAAAAAACGTCTCTTTCTTTAATGTAAAATTATTAAAAATTTCAATAATAGTAAATATTTTAAGTAGATCGTCTTTCTCTCTTTTTTTTTTAAAACTGGCATAGATATAAAAAAAATGTGAAAAAAAAGCTCAACAAGGTCCAAATTGATAAAGTTGATTTGATCTAATCTGAAACTTTTATCATTTGTCAGCAGTTACGTGAATTTTGTGACATAAGAAAGAGAGATAGAGGTCATTACAATTTAAACGAAAGTGAGATAGGTGATATTCAAATAATAGACAAATGAGTAATTGAGATTGACTACATTAATTAATCTCATTTCGAATAAAAAAATAGTAAAATAAAATAAGTCGTGTCATAAAAGCTTGAACAACACTATAGCTTTTTAACTACTTTTATAACGAACCTTGGGGCTAGATAAACTAGACGGCCCCATTAAACTTGCACCGTAAATGCATAAACTACCCACCCTTGTTCTCGGTGAATGAGGTGATTCAGCTTCAGAAGGATCTATTTATTAATAAATAGTAACAATTATTCAATTAAGGTAAGACAAAAATTATAAATAGTACCGTTTATAGAAATAAAATATTAATAAAACCTTTTTATAAATTACTGTTATATCTTATAAAATAAATATTACATAGAATAATTTTATTAAGGCTAATGACACTAAAATACTATACTAACCAATTGCCTTAAGAAATCTTACTAAATCTCTTGCTAATTCCCATTCACAGCTTTCTAAAGCAGCATCCAGTAAAAGTGTAGCATGCTTTAAATGAAAAAATCATAGCTCAAATTAATTAAGACAATGAATCATAGAACAAGAAACAAAAAAGAAATCTTAATAAGTAGCACTGTCACCAGGTTTATTTCTTGTCAAATAATTTAAAAGATTATTATATTATTTTTACTTCTTTGGGATGATTTCCTTTAAATTTTTAAACTTTCCTTATAAATATAAATAAAGTAGTGAAAAATAAAAAGAAAACTCATCTTTTTCTCTTAAATATTTCATTATTTTTCTTAATTTTAATTAATAATATATATTTAAAGATAAATGACAATAAAAGAAGTTTAACTTCTTTCACTTTTCTAATTGGTTATGATAATAATAAATCATTAGTTTAAAAGTGGATAAAGGAAACAAAGATATAGGAATAAATGATTAAATGATTCCATTTTTACATAAAAAATAAATACAACTAAATACAACAATTAAATGATGACGTCTTATTCATTTCCTTTCAATTACTCACATGCTCATAATCCTGCATGCCAACATTGTAAGGATAGAAAAAAAAATATAAAATCTAATTAGAATTACAAACAAAAGGAATTTAGAATATTTAAAGAAATATATATATATATTAATATATATACAGTATATATTTCAAATATATATATGAAGAAAATATTTCTAATATCCTTTAATTGATTTGTAATAAAGGAGGAAGGAATAGAAATAATCACATTTTGTTTTTGTTTACAACAACTAAAAGAGGTATTGAAAGTTATGAGAAATGGTTAAGGAGGACAAGGATAATAACAATAATTCACATATTATTGAATCACTAATAATAGGTATAAGAATAATTTTTAACTGAATTTCAAATTCAACCTGGTTTGAATGTCTGGTTTGAATGTCTTATATAAATATATAAATATATACATATATATACATATTATGTGTCTTTTTTTTACTACTTATTGAATATTTTACCTGTCTTGAAACCATCGGTTTCTCCAAATTTTGTAAGATAATAAGATAAGAAGAGCCAGTTTGTAACTTCTTATTTAAAAGGCAGTCCTTTTTTTTAGCAGAATGATTATTGTATTTAATAAGATATTATTTATTAATTACCTCGAATAAATCTTTTGGATTACCAACAACAGCAAAAAGATGGGGCCATAGAGCAACCTCAGTTTTTCTTGCGCAATGAACAATAGTTTCATGATGAAACTCTGGAAATTCTTGAATAAAAGCAACTACCCTTGGTAGCAGTGGATCTGGTGTTGGATCTTTACTAGTAGCTTCTTCTTCTAACACTTCGTGCAATAATAATTCGAGAACATGTGGAAAATAAGGTAAACTTTGATAACTAAACGCCAACTGAAGAGCATGAACACCCAAGCTGTTGTTTAAAGAATTTTTGGTAAATATACTCAAATACATTAGTATATATATATAAAATAAATAATATAATGGAATAGCCTACTTTCGTCTGAGCAGCTGACGTAGAACATGATGCAGAAATATCTGACTCTGTTTAAATGTTATACATTCATTCACTGAAAAGAGTATATAACTATAAAAAAACAATTACTTACAGTTCTTTCTAAAGCCAAATAAGGCCAGCTATCATGAAATTGATCCCCACTAGTTTTATAAGTGACAGCATCACTAATTGTTCCTAAAATCACTCCAGCTTCAAAGAGAATTGCTAAATATATAAAACTAATTATATGCCTTTTTTCATTATTTATTATAATTGATAATAATATACCCAGTGGATAAAGGTCAACTTTTATTGGTAGCATAATTCTTTTAGACATAAAACTATGAGCTTTTGAATCTTCACTGTGAGGGAGAGGTAACCAAACTTTTATTCCAAAAGCTCCGCAACCTAACCACAATGCGTCACATATATATCTTGTATCTTTCTTTGAATTTGTTGCGCACATAGACCACATATTCTCAACTGAAGATGCTACCATCACAGGTGCACAGAAAGGCAACTAATAAGGAAAAATGATATAATTCCCAAAAGCTTATATAATTGTTTTCATAAGGTATTACCGGTTTATCTTCAGTTTGAGACTTCAGTTGCATTCCCGAGCGATCTCTTTGAAACATAAGCAATTTTCCTGCTACATTTAGGAGTATACTCTCTGCTTCGAACTCAGTTTGTTGAGGTATTTTCACAGATGCTAAAATATTCAATCATAACGAATTACTTGTCGTTGCTAATAAATTAAATAATATAAAATAACCAGTTTCTGTTCTAAATGGCGTCATGGCTACCCAGGTTACTAGAAGAGGTTGGGGTACAAAGTTCCCAATAGGAACTTCTTGAATTTTTGTTGTTATGACAGTAGCATCTGCAGAAGAAATATTATTAATCAAACAGGTAATTTAATCAATTATAGAATAATATAAAAGTCATTTAAAAACATACAGCTGCCTTTATTCTTCTTCCTCTCCATTTTTAAGAGCATTATATGTGCATCCAGACATAAAACAACCAATAAATCTTTAAATGTGTTCAATAACAATAGCTGAAAAGGAACTTTAACTACTTCACTAAATGTATTATCCAATTTTGTTTCTCTTGTGTAAAATCGAATCTATTCAGGAAATGATTAGATTACAATTTAAAATTGAAAAATATTTAACAATATTAGAATATTTACTTCATCTCTCTGTTCTGGAATATTGTAACAAGCAGCGCATATAAATTCTTTCCACCAAGTTAAACCACCTGAAACAACTACTTCTCTCTCCTAAAACATTAAAAGGGAATTTTAGAAGGAAAAAGCTAATAAAATTAATATTTTTAATCTATTTTTAATAATTTACCTGATTTTCATTGCCAAATAATTTCCATCGTCTTGAGTTTAAGGCAAAGTGAGCAAGTCCCGTTTTACCAGCTACTGCTACACATTTACCATTAGAATCAACGGCAGAATACTGTAAAATAAACAAAGATTTTGATTTATTAAGAAATATCAAAAGAAAAAATACAAACTCTTATTGGAAAATTATGAGTTAAATATGCTTCTGGTATTGGTAATACTGTCCAATGTCTACCACCAAAAGCGCTAATTAGCTCTCCATGTTCAACTTGAGAGTGCCAATTTTTAGATGAAAATTCATCAACGCTTAAATACAGTCTATCTTCTCCTTGAAGAAGTATTTGACCTTGATTGGTCTTCAAAATCGTGAAATTGAAAATATTTAATTAATATAATATGATTTTTTAAAGAAACAAAATTAAAACTAACAGTTCCGCAATTCGAATTTGATGCACTCTTAACAAATGACAAAACTTGAAGTGATAGATTACTTTTTCCAGATTCCTCATTAGTTGTTTGTTCATCATCGTTGATTATCCACAGATGATAACCTTCACAACTCCATTCCTATTTGATTAAAAATACATATTATATATGTTTATGAAATAAATAGAAAGAAATTTGATTTTCACTCACAAGAGATTTAATTCTTGAATTAGGATTAGAAAAGAGTTTATGATTTGAACTATATGCATGAAAATAATAGTTATTATTTTATAATTTATAGTTTTTAATTAAATAATAAAATTTCAATCTTTACCTGTGATCAAACGTTAAAGAACACAATAAAAGTGATCCAAATACACTCCATAATCCAAAACCTCCGTGTTGCCAAGTCATTATTAAAACACGTCCGTCAGGAGTCCATTTCAACATTTCAGCACTACCACAAACATGTCTAGCATCTAAGTAAACATAAAACATTTTAATTTCCTATACTAAAGAAATTAGCAGCGTTGTATCGTTTTTTAATCTATTTACCAGGAAAATCTCTTGTTGGAACTACTAATCTTGAGGAAATTTGTAAGGCACCAGTCATTTCATCAAGGCAATAAACAATTCCCTCTCCACTATATTGGTAAATTAACACTAATTAATATGCACAAGTACATAAAATAGAATGGAATAAAAGACCAGCTTAAGTTATCTATTTAAACGTACTTTTCGCATCCAAAAGCCATAAGAAGATACTTATGATTAACGCCACAACTTACTGCATCATGTAAATCAGGAGCCCACACAGCTTGCATTTGCTTTAATAAAGACAAAAAAATTATTTAACTTATAACATACGACGCTACATGTAAACGAAAAAGAATCTTACTCCTGGATCAAACTTTACTGAGCTAGAAGTTAAATAAGCAGCTTTTCCATTTGATAGCACTATTAAGAATCCATGAAGTAGGGAGTCATACTCCAAATGTGTTATATAAACATCCGGATCTGAGAGTTGAGCGGCTATAACAATTATGAAAACATTACAAATCTTATTTCTTCTATATTTGATTTCTTTACGTTACCTCCAGAATTTTCTAGATCAGTAGAAAAAGGCACATGGGCTAATGTAACTGTAAATTCACCATTTAATAAACCATCCCATCGAAGTCTTTGTAATAATCCATATCCAGTACATATTAATAATTCGTCTTTAATACATTCAATACTATTTAAAAAATACGCATTATTGCCATTTACAATGAATATAAAATTATATACCATTTAACATTTCCAGGAATTTGAGTAGAACCTGATGGACTAACGACTAAAGCAGGAATATGCTCATCTTCAACGCTTGTTTCCTGAAGGTGTTTCCTTTGGAAAATAAGGTGTTCGTTCATAAAAGATACATTATAGATTATATTACGGGTTACATAGTTAAATAATTAACAACACTAAAATGACTATCGAAAATTATAAAGTAATTTACAATCAGTCTACTTTTTCAATATTGCCTAAATTATTATAAAATTACATTTAAATATATTTAACAGCATCCATTTTTATATTTTACCTCTGTTCAAAAGTTGTATACACTGCACAAGGATGCTTCGTTTTGTCTAAAGAGATCTTGAAGAAGAGAATATATCCTTTAGAAGTCTAAAAATTAGGTTTTATTTAATAAAGGTAAATTGTTATTTAGGAGGAAGTAAGCTACTACTTACACATATCGCAACCATAGATGAGTCCGGTCTCCATATAAATAGTTCATTCTCCCCATATTCTTTTAAGGATTCTGAATCTCTTGTATACAAAATAATTTGCACAGCAGGCTATATATAAATTGATAACATTAAAAAGTAACCAAAATATAAATTAAACATATCTTACTTTGCAGTACCAAATAGAAAAATGTCTTGCAGATAATAAGCCCAAAAAAATTCTTTCTCTATTGGAACTAATTTGCAGCCAATTTTCTTCTGCATTCAAAGGTCTTAATTGCCTAGGCCAACCAATTGGAAAATACATTTCTTTTATTAATTTTTTAACTCAACTTTCCTGTAATGTGGAAAAAAAGTTTTAAAATATATTAAATACTAGAAGGTATTGAAAATATTTGTTAGCTCTCTGTTATTCTATTATTGTTACGATTATTGTTATTATTATTATACAATAACAACAGTTCTTCTTTTCTGTTTCTGAAGCTTAGCTTATTTAAAATCATATATTTGAGTATTAAAAAGGATTTCTTTCATTGAGTACTTTTATGTATAAAATACTTTTAACTAGTTACCAACTATTTTAAACTAGTAATATTTACTGTAATATTCATTTCTTTCAATAAAAAACATATGCTGTCTGCAGAAAGCTAAATGGTTTAGATCAAAATTCACAAAATAATCAATTGATTAAATAACATAATATTTTGTGACAAATCTTTGTATATTTACTACGTTATCTGTCAACATAAAATGACTAGATTATTACCATTGCAAGATAGATTCAGCAATTATCCAAATTTCGTTTTTGGTCTATTCGTTTAAACGCATCTAGACATGATCAATAACTAAATAGAAGAAATTCCTTTTAATACAGTAACAATTTTTAACTGTATTATTTTTCAACTATTTCTTGAAAGTAATAGTGATCCGATATACGGTTTGAACAAAGAATCAACTTAAATAAAATAGGGGATTAGAAGAATACACGGCAGCTTTCTACTGAATGTTTTACTGCCACAGTACAATTTTATTGGCCAATCACAATCACGTATGTTTATAAAAACTGGTATTTTACTTCTTAAGACATACAGATGACATTAAATTCTGTCACTATGAAAAAATATACTATCAAAATATTTCCTTGATTTTCAATATTCCAAAAACAAACTAATTTCTGGCATATTTATCACGTGATTATCATGTGATAGTCGGTTTCACTTCATATTTCTTACTTGCCCTCTAATACTACAGTAAACTATCAAAGATTTGGACTAAATAATATACTTAGCAACAAAACTGTATTCAAACAAGAATAAAATTTGAACATTTCTACAAACTATACATTAAAAATAACTAGCTATTCTGCTTTCGCTTTTTTACAAATTAATTCTTCATCAGAGGATGATTCTTCATCTTTATCACTATTTAAGTCTACAACATCTGAATCTGAACTAGAATCTGGTATTAAATGGCGTTGATGCTTCTTTAAATCGCTAATTTTCTGGATCATAATAACACCCTTAGCAGTTTTTCTTGTTTCTACAACGTAATGTATTAAATAAACCACTTTAAGAAAAATATGTGTTTATCATTAAAGTACTCACCAGCTCTTGATAAGACATTCAAACAATTTTTACCTACTGTAGCTTTTCGATACGATTGATTCATATCAAATAAGCAACATCTATAATAAAGTATAAAGTATAATTTAAATGGAAAAGCCAGTAGGTTACTTACAAGTTAGAAACGTCAGCAGGTGCTCTTAAGAGCATGATCTGCAATGAAAGTTAAAATTATGTAAGAAAGTAATTATAATCACAAACTACTTACATTATCACAAGCACTTGAAAGAATAATATTCTAAAGTGGGAATATATGTTAACTATAATGAAAACTGGAATTTTCTGAGAAATTAACTAACCTTATTTTTACAGATTGAAATTAAAGATTGAGCGTTACATATTATATTGACCCTACTAAAATGGTCATTTATCATTGGTGTGTATATTATTTCAAAATGTAATCCTCTTCTTATAGCCTATATAGAATAGTGAACAACAAACATTGCATATACATTATAGATACAAATATAATAACTTATATATACCACTCCAATTGACGTTCGTTTGAAGTGAAAGCCCAGACTTTCCGTTAAATCCAAAGATATTATATCAACTTCTAATTGATTGCAAGCCATCTGCGTTAAATACGATTATATAAATATTATTTTGATTAAAAAGTTGACAACTTACATGTAAAACCTTTTCGTTTGTTGGCAGAACAGCTTGAATGTCGTACGCTTGAACCTCTTTATGAGTCTAAAAGGATATTTTATTCTATTAAAAAGTTAAAGCACTTTTTTAAATGTCTATTTTAAGTACTTGTGCGAAATGAGCAGCAGCAGGATCCGATAAAATCCATGTGCATCTTGTATATTGAGTAAAATGAGGACAAATTTCCTTTGAAAAAAGTATAGCATTATTATAATAACAATATCATTTTTTATTAATTTATATACTTGAAGCTTTTTAACATCATCTTTGTTTAATTTTATATTTTCTGGGTTAACAACGGTTGGTTTTGGCTGTAAAATAAAGTAAATGTGTTAAATTTAGTCTACATATATATATATATTTTATACATACTTTTTTGGATTTTTTTTCTTGAATAATATTTTCTACAAAGTAATTTATTGCAACGGCATCATATCCGACTGGAAAGAAGTTAACAAAAATTATATTAAGCAAGAAAAAAACTCTTTGGCTTAGTATTTATTTTGGAATTAATAATGCATAATTTCTTTATTTCTAACATTTATAGAACTTTGAAAAGAAATTCTTTTTATAATTTTATTACATAAATACTCTTTGATTAAGAGCCACATGGTTAAATAGTGCTAAATTAAAGTATATGGTATTATCGTCCATTATGGTCGGCTAATCGCAAAAGTTACCAAACAACTTACGATTCACTGCTCTTTCTACTCTTTTATACAACTCCTTTTTATCTGGTGTATACAATATATTTAAGTCAATGTTTTGGTGCCGAAATTGAGTCATGTCCAAGAATATCCGCTAAATACACACTATTGACAGAAATTCATCCGAATTCTTAGAATACGATGTCCATAAAAATTTATGGCCTACAAAAAGCTCCCTACTTTATTAAAGAGTTATTTTTTCATAAAGTAGGCAGACTTAGTATCCAATTTAGAATTATATACTTAAAAAATGACTTTAAATGGCGCTGTTATTATTTTAAAGAAAATAAATTCTGTTTAATCAAATTATTGTAGTTTTAAAACTGTTTCAACAACAATGCAACTTTTTCTTTAAAGTAATTGATGCATGATGAATGTTTCATGAATGTACTTCTGTGTTTTACTCCAAATTAAACACATAAATATTTAAGTGGGTTATTGGGTCATCATTGATTTTTATTTATTTGCTTTCTCCCTTACAAAGTAGACAAAGAATATACTTTGCGCTGAAACGTAATGGCGGTTATCACGTGATCAATACACAATAAGTAATGTCATTTCAACCGACTCATGATTAAGTGAAAGAAGAGTTGGACATGAATTCTGATAGTGAGAAGTTTTTATCCAAACTGATACCAGAATCCTATGCAAGGATGGGTATAGAGTCTCGGCGAACTCATCAAAATTTAATCAGACAATTGATGGAACAGAGAAAATTGCCGGCAAATGGATGGCCAGTAAAAACGATAGAATCATTCCTCTCAGAAGTTTCATTAATGGATTCGAACAATTTTGTTGATAGATGCGGTGTCGGTGAAAGAGAAGGAAGAGTTATTAGCGATTTAGTTGCCAAAAGACATTTTGGACTGTCTCATGGAATTGGAAGGTAGATATATATGTCATATATGTTTATCTTACTTAATTGTGCTTTTTATCAAAGGTCAGGTGATATATCGGCTCCCCAACCAAAAGCTGCTGGTTCTAGTCTACTCTCGCAAATCGCTAATTCCTTGGTACTTGATCTATTAAAGGCAATGGGACTTCCGACAACAAAGGCTGCAGTCATAATACCATGTGCTACTGGAATGTCGCTAATGCTGTGCATCCTAGCCCTAAGACGAAAGCGATCTACAGCTAATTATGTGCTTTTTCCAAGAATCGATCAGAAATCTTGCGTTAAGAGTATTGTCTCAGCCGGCCTTGAACCAATCATTGTTGAGCCGACAATATCAGGAGATGAACTCTGTACAAACATAGACTTATTAAAGAAAAATATCGAGGAATACGGTTCAGATAATATTGTTTGTGTTATGTCAACAACATCTTGTTTTGCTCCGAGAGTGAATGATAATCTTATTGAAATATCAAAATTGTGCGCTGCAATGAAAATTCCCCACGTAGTAAATAACGCTTATGGATTACAATGCACAAAATGTTTGCATCAAATCGAACAAGCAACAAGAATTGGACGAGTTGATGTATTTGTTCAATCGACTGATAAAAACCTTTTAGTGCCGGTCGGTGGATCTATAATTGCAGGTAAATACTGAAATTCTTGGGTAAATGACATATTACTTTTATCATTTTTACTATTCTTTGCATAACTCTTCCCTCTTTATCTAATAAATTATTAAGATGGTTTTTTTTTATAGGTATTGATCGTTGCTTCATTCAAACTGTTAGCTCTACATATCCAGGAAGAGGTTCTTCTACTCCGTCTATAGATGTATTGATAACTTTATTACAAATTGGGAAGGAAGGCTATTTGAAGCTTGTCGCTGAAAGAAAAGAGATATACATATACTTGAAGGAAAAACTCAATGAAATCTCCATGAAGTATGGTGAAAAATTATTGAAAACTACTCATAATGGAATATCAATGGCGATGACTTTGAATAGTTTCGGATCAAATGTTACAGAAATCGGTTCTATGCTTTACAAAAGATTAGTATGCGGATCTCGAGTTGTTTTATGTCAAGGTCAAAAAGAAGTTTGCGGTATAAATTATACAGCTTGGGGTAGTCATTGCAATAATTACCCCCATAATTATTTAACTGCTGCAGCAGCTTTAGGTACAAGTAAGACTGATGTTGATGTGTTCATTCAAAGATTAGACAAAGTTTTAACGAAATCCAGAGGCCAAAATGGATCTCGAAAGGAAGAAGTTCAAACAAATGAGTAGTATTAAGTTTTTAGAAAACTTTTTAGTTTTGAGTGAATATTAAATGTATTTAATTATATTAATTGTCTCAAAGTCAACATTTTTTTTTCCATATTTTGTAAAAATATTTTATATTATTCTTTTGCTTTTCTATAAAAAATGATCTATTTTGAAAGTTTTGTTTTTATAATATTCAGATGTTTTTTTCTCATTTTGAACAAATGTTAAACCTTAAAGAAATATAATTAGTAAAAATAAATAGAACTTAACATAATAGACTAAAGAAAAATAATTTCCAACAAATAACTCTATCAAGCTTAAAAACTGGTCAAATACGTTAACATGTTAGTATATATACAGTGTATACTGTATATATGCAAAATTATCCTGTAACAAAAATAGTTTTACATGCTCATAAGTCACTCTTTGACGGTTTGCTAAAGTTATTAAGAACTTTATCGAAAAGTTCAGCTAAACTCTCAAAATAACCATCACCATCTATATCATTTGCTGCCAATACCCGATATTCATCTCTCAGGACCTTTAAGTTACTTCTATGCATTAAGTCATTTGTTTTGCAATTCATTGCAACTAATGATTTAACAACTTTCTCCCTTGAATCATGTTCGTCAACTTGAAGCAAACTCCAAGAATTCTCACACCAATTTCTTTCAGATAAAGATGTTAAAACTTTATTGTAAATTTTCTTTGCTGTTTCTCTTTCCAGATGTTTTGAATTCTCACATTCCGTCATCATATCAGTTATAAAAGTCAATATTTTTATTTTAAGTTTAATTAATCCTGGTCTTTGTAATATTTTTTCAAGTTCGTCCAAGCCGCCATGTTGAATGAAAGTGTGCAGACCAACTGGAATATTACGTACTAAGGCAGAGGTTGCGTATAAAATTTTTATTGATACGTCTTCATCGGTAATAATCGCCAATCGTCTAATTAATACTGATACGTGGTGTATAACCTTAACTTGAACTTGTGGATTTGACTGAACAGCAGCGGCGAAACATAAAGCTGTATTGAAAAGACATTTTTATTTAATATTATGATCTTAAGACTTTAATGTATCTATATTAACTTACCAGCTGCTTTAGCGATTTCAAAATCAGTCGAGTTCATATCATTTATTAATAATGGTATTCCACCCATCTTCATCCATTCCTGGCCATTATCAACTTGATGCAGAAGACCGTCCAAATCATTTAATATACGAAGGTGTGTATCTCTAGCTTTTCTACCATTATATTCTTTAAATAGAGATTTAAGAATTTCAGCATCAGTCTGGTAGTTAGCATTTAGAGCTTCAAAATCTTTCTTTAACTCATCCATAGAGCGTAATTTTTTTTCCTTAAGGAGACTTTTAAGATATATCTCATCGGTTATAGACGGTTGATCGTCGGGTACCACTACCAAGTTATCATTCTGCCCTTTATTGTCGTTTTCATCCATAAGCTTAGCTTCTTTCTTTCCAGTTTCCAGATTTAATCTCACATGAAGACCTGGTGGAATAGCTTGATCTTCTTTTACAGTTTGCCATTCTTTGGTAGGGTAAAATTTTTCTCCAGAAATTTTATGTTTGTCTTCCGAATAACGGATTTTTACTCCCTCCTTTGCTTGACTGTAAGACCACATAGTCAAAGCAAGTAAAAAAGTAGCTAAAACAAATTTATTCATAATGACAATCTAATCTCTCGAATGTATATTTCGTTAAATAAGTTTTTCAGTAAACTGAACAGGTAATGATATGTACACGAGTATTTTGGGGTATATATATACTCTTCGACTGTTTTATAAACGTGTACTTCCGATTTTCCTCTACAAATTTTTCGTATTTTGTATAAAAAAATATTTTAAAAAGCCCTTTTATAAAATTATGTACAAATTAAATTAATCAGTGATATTTTATAATTTTTTTAGAATTCGAAACTGTCTGTTTGATTTATTCGGTGCGAACCTTGTATCGGTGAAGAAATATTGTCCATATTAAAACGTTTTAGTATCGAATTTTTTTTGTTGATTAAGTCAGAAACAATGCCAAAATATTTTTGTGATTATTGCGATACCTATTTAACTCACGACTCACCATCTGTCAGGAAAACTCATTGTAACGGTCGTAAACATAAAGATAATGTTCGGATGTATTATCAAAAATGGTTGGAAGAACAAGTACAAAAATTAGTTGATGATACTACCGCCGCTTTCCGAGCAGGAAAAATACAAAATCACCCGTTTCAAGGAGCTCCTGGAGTTGGAGCTATGATCCCACCTCCAGGTGCTCCTGGAGCGCCGGGAATGGTACCAGGTAATATTAAAACAAAATTTTTTTGTTACTTTTTATTGCTTTATATTAAAATTTTAAAATTAACAAAGCGTGTTGATAACGATTGCTATATATTGTCTGCTATAAAAATAGTAAATTAGTTTTTCATTCTTTCAGGTATGAGACCTCCAATGCCACCAATTGGAATACCTCCTCCTATGATGGGAATGCCACCAAATATGCCTCCACATTAAATTTTATTGTTTCCATTAGTTCTAGTTTAAAGACGAGTTTACAAAGTTTGTTTTTTTATGATAAATATATTTTAGCTCGGATCGAAAATAATTTTGGTATGTTTTAATTCACAGTTCCTGGTATATAATAAATATTAAACAGTTGCTTCTAAGTAATTTCTTCATTAACAAAGGAGGTAATTGCTGTATGAATCAAATTATTCCAGCTGAAAATTTGAGACAGTAAAATTAAGCATTCTTTTAAAAAAAAATTTCACAAGTTATTTTGAGATGTCAATTAAAATAAACGTTTAGAAAGAATGAGGATTTATCTTTTGAAAACGAGCAATCGGGCCAACAATAGATCCCGATTTTGCTCGAACAGTTACGAACATTTTAGTCTTAATTTCTTTCAGATAAGCAGTTACTGGCAGTTGTTTGGCAGGTAGAGTATGTAGAATTGTCAAGTTTTTACCATTTAATGTTCCTAAAATTTGATATGAATCAATATTAACTGGTTTAAAGTCTGATTTATCGTAAGTCCACGTAATCTTGAAAGTTTTATTACAATTTTCGTGTGCTCTTTTAATTGTCATTCTTAGAACTGGCAAATCTTTAAATGAGATACTTTTGTTAAAACCTTCTTCCCCTATTATTTCTACGTCATCATCTTCATCTTCATTTTCTAAATTGCTGATCAAACTATTTCCGTTCTGTTGATTTATACCATTAAGTACACGTGTATTTGATATACTATAAGAAGATGGCGGTAGAAATCGTTCAATGCATCTTCTTTTAGTTGGGGGTTCAAAAGCCGACTGTACACCTTTCTTTAAAATGTACAATATATAAAATTAAAAATATTGAATTTCACTTTAAAGATATGACTTACTTTCAAATTATTGAGCTCAGTTTGTAACTTTTGAACTTTGTCAGACGCCTCCTTAAGTTCTTTCTTTAGGGTACGATTCTCTTGAATTAAATCTTTACCAACACTCTCCTCCATATTTTCTACGATACTAATACTTTTTCTATATCTTCCATAGATTTTCTCTAATGCATTTGTGAGCCTTTGATTTCTCTCGATTTCAGTGTAGACGAACTCATAGACTTTTTCTTGATCGGCTTCGTATTTGCACAGCTCCTCAGCGATAGCTAAAATAGCTTCTCGTCTACCTTCTGCCTTGGCTTTAGCAATCAAGTTATTTTCTTTGAATGTTTCTCTTTCGTCACTTGAAACGAAATTTTCTAAAGAGAAATCGTCAAATGAAGTTTTTATGTGAAGAGTAGAAAATATTCGGTGCGCAATATAGGATGATTGACGAGTAACTTTTCTAATTTTAGATTTAATATCTTCGTCTGGAAATTGTTCAGCATCAGTAAACAGCTTTTCAATGTTTGATTTTCCAGAGAGTAGAGCTTTTGCTTCGTCTGTAAGCATGAATTTCGGCATATTCGGTCTATCTGCAATTAAAATGGTAGCTCAAACATCAAGTACAAATCTTTGATTTATTGGAGTTTTACCACTTTTACCTAAATTTTCACTTAGGCTATCTGATGCTATACCTTTACAATTTATTGTAGTTTCTAATGACAAGGGAGGTGTTTGTTGGACAGAAGGGTCTTCTTCCTTAGAGTCACTATCTGAAGTAATATACTCTTCTTTTGGAAACTCTGATGAAATGTTAAACGTTTCTTTAGAATGTTGATTTAATTCAATAGAAATAAAACCGCATATAATAAATTTTGAGAATTTTGTATTTACCCATATCTCCTTTTAAACAATCTTACTGCAAATATACGTAAAAATACATCGATTTATATTTCATAGATGTATTAAATATTTGCTTATAGGATTAATTGTGGTAGAATAAAAGTGTATTAGTTCGAAGCCATATTGTTTTCGACCGGAAAAAGGTTTTGCAGACGATAAAAATAAGAGTTAGTGAGCTATTTGAAGAAAGGCATTTGTAATGACCAATCATATTTAAGAAAAAGGTATATGTTGCAATACGTATTTCCGGTTCCGGGAACCTTAAACGTTAAGCGCGAAAAGCTAGAAAGACATCATAATGTTTGTGACATTTTAACTATCATTAAATATCTTTTACCTATAAATAATTTAAATCTTTAAGCTTTTCTTTTTATCACTTTAATCGGTGAAATCAAAGAATCAAAACAAATTATGGAAGATGAAGAAGCGACATCTTATAACTTTTACAAGAAAGAGGCTGCAAAATACGGAAAAACTGGAGAAGTATACTCTAATAATAATATTTATTGCCAAAATAATCTATTCTTAATATTTCTAGTTGGAAAAATGTCTTAAGTTTCTAATAAAAATGAATACGATACGTCCATCATCGAAAAATCAGGATCGTATTGAAAAAGTTACGGTTAGTTGTTTAAATTGGTTTTTAAGTTTTAAAGATTGTGTTTTTATTATTATTGATATTTTTCACTTATTTATTGATCTTTTACAATTTCATTGTCATTCAAATATCTTCTATATTTATTATAATTAAAGAACGTAATATTCTTTCAAATTTTAATCTCTAGGAAATGATAAAAGATGAAAAATCGAGTGATGATAACTCAACAAAATCATCGAAAGACTCGCCGTCTCCCTCATACTCTAGAATAAAACAGGAAAATCTGTCCTCTCCATCATTTTCTGAAAAAAAAGCTCCTCAGAATGCGGCTGAACTGATACGGCCTGAAATATACAAACGACTTTATGAGCATCAACGTCAAGGTGTTGAATTCTTCTTCAGGTTATATAGAATGAATTCAGGAGGAGTTTTGGGCGATGATATGGGGTAATTCTTTTTAAAGGCAACAATAAAATTTGGAATGTATTTTTATTGATGGTTTTACTTTAACAGTCTTGGAAAAACAATTCAAACAATTGCATTTCTAAGTGGAATGTTTCAGAAGAAATTGATAAAGAGTGCTATAATTGTTGCTCCTCTATCTGTTATTAGTACTTGGGAGAAGGAATTCGATAGATGGTTTGATCTATATTTTATCATTGCTATTATTGTACTTTTAAAATTTTCAAATTTAGGGATAAAAGTATTAATATCTGTGTATATCATGGACCTAGTAAAACAGAAAAGCATAGAAATTTGAAACGTATTCAAACGTTAGGTGGAGTGCTTATGACAACTTATGGAACACTTTTATCGGGTTCTGACCTTCTTTCAGAAGATATTCACACTCACAGATTCTTTACATATGTAAGTATGATATATACTAATCTTAGCTAAAATTATTATCATATATCTAATTTTTAGGATTATATTGTTCTCGATGAAGCTCATATGATAAAAAATCCTGCTTCAAAAACAACGGTTGCACTCTTTAAAGTCAGGGCCAGATGGAGAATTGCCCTTACGGGTACACCTATTCAAAATAATTTAAGAGAAATGTGGGCGTTATTCAATTGGACTCACAGTGGAACTCTACTAGGAATTCAAAAATCATTTAATGATATTTACGACAAACCAATTACGAGGGGTCGTGAAAAAGATGCAACCAATTTTCAAAAGAAACAAGGAGAAATGAAGGCTAGAGACTTGTTTAGAAAAATTAATCCGTTTTATTTGCATAGAAGTAAGGATGAGGTAACCGCTAAAGAAAATTCAAGGCCGGTCGATGAAAATTCATTAGTACCAAGGTAAAAAGGTTAATATTATGTTTTGATTTATAGTAAGCTTCTTTTAACTATTAACTATTAGAATGCCTAAATTGTCAAAAAAAACCGATTTTATTATTTGGTGCTATCTATCTGAGACGCAAAAAGAAGTTTACAAAAAGTACTTTGAATCAGATGAAGTTAAAATGGTAAATTATATGTTTTTCCTGCTATTCAGTTTATATCGTAAGTTTTTCCCGATAGATTCTTAACAGTAAGAGATCACCCCTAGTCACTTGTACCGTATTCAAAAAAATTTGTGATCATCCTTGCCTCTTGACTGCTCGTCAAATTATTGAACTTGATATTCTTGATCCTGTCGACGATTTCAAAGGAAGCATAACCGAAGATCTGTTAGATAAAGCACCTTCACCCGAAATTCTTTCCTCAGTTGATCTGGAAAAAGTTATAGATATGTGTGGAAAGTTTAAATTTTTACTTCCTCTTTTAGAAGATTTGACTTCGGAAGGTCATCGGGTGCTATTGTTTTCCTTGACAAAAACTGCTCTATCAATACTGGAACGATGCCTTAGAAAAATTGTAAGGCTGTTATCTCTGATAAATAGCAATTATACACACTGTTTCTATCTTTTAGGGTATTCGATTTCTCAGATTAGATGGTTCGGTGACAGGCCAGATGAGATTTGAAATGATTGAAAGGTTTTCTCGTAGTCCACCAGGTACGGTATTTCTTTTAACAACGAAAGTCGGTGGATTGGGCCTAACTCTTACGGCGGCAGATAGAGTTGTTATTTTTGATCCATGGTGGAATCCGGCTGTTGATAGCCAAGCTATAGATCGAGCATTTAGAATAGGGCAGGATAAAGACGTCGTCATTTATAGACTAATGACTTGTGGAACCATAGAAGAGAAAATTTACAGAAGACAAATATTCAAGACCGGAGTTAGCCAACAAGTCACTGAACAAAATTTAAATTCTATGAGGTTTGTAGTGTCTGAATAATTAAATCTTTTAAGTCTTTGAAAATTTTTATTTCTCAGATACTTTAGTTCAATTGATATTCGTTCAATTTTACTGTTGGAAAATACCGAAGCATCTGACACACACGGTATGCTCGAGGCCATTCACGGACCCTTGGATTTGAGTGATCCAGTAGTTGAAAGTCACGTTGAATTCTTAACAACTCTTCGTAAGTTTTTCTTTTGTTATAAAACGCCTTGAAATAATAATTTTTAACCTAAATTTAGCGACTTTCGGAATTACTGACCATAAGAAAGTATTTCAACACGATGACGATGACATAAAAATCTCAGCCGAAGAACGGACAAGGATGAATGAAATGGTATTTTATTATAATTCATATTTGGCGTTTTATGTAATTGACATAAATATCTTTATAATCTTTATAGCAAACATTCGACGATAAAACACTACAGAAAGATCATGAAATGACGAGCACTTTTAATTCTGAAACAAATCACGAACAGCTACTAGACTTTACCATGGGGTCTAACTTTGGCAATCCAAGAAATAATTTCAATGAAAACTCAAATTCATCCTCATCTCTGAGGACACCTTATGACGATGGAAGAATTGGTGACGGAGTACAGTTTCTTGATGAAGTTGTTCCTACTCCTCCTATTTTCAAAAAACCTCCTCAACAAAATGTTGAGGTTATCGAAGTAAACGATGATCCTATGACTGTCGATGATGATGTTATTGAAATACTTGAGGATAATAATCCTGCCAGCAAACAGTAATTTCAATTGAATAATTGTTAATGATTTCAAACTACAATATTATTTTAACAAGGTCGTTAGAAAAAATGTCCGACGGTCTTGGATCTAGACGTTCTCCCTCATGTTCTTCAAATATTACAAATGATAGTTCTACAAATTCCCCATCATCAAATTCTGAGCCATCAGCTGTTGAAGAGAACGCTGACACATCCCTAACACAGTCACTATTGAATAAGTTGGATGTGACTTCAAAGAGTGAAGAAAAAGAAGAAATAAGTTTTGAAATTGATTGTGAAACTGCAGATAGCGCGCTACAGACATCACTACCTGACGAAAATCAGCAACCAAGCTTAAACTCCTCCAGAGCTACAAACAATATCTCCAATACGTCACATAATATATCTCAAGAGGAAAATTTATCATTTAACTCACCTTCAAAATCTGATGCTACACGTAGAGGAACTCCCTTGTCAGAAGTCAGACGCTCAACTCCAAAGTCTACTGCTTCTAACAAAGTAAACTCGGGTAATAGTTTTGCAGAAAATTCGACACCGGGATCAGAGGAAATTGAAAACATTTCAGAATCTGCTAAACATTCAGAGACACTTTCTACACCATTATCAGATAGATCTAATAGTTTCCATAACAGTTCAAGAGGATCGGCAATGAGTAAATCATCCCCCAAATCTAACATAACTAATGAATCGAATAAATCGGCGAATAGCTCTATGAAATTAAGTCTAGATTTAGACTATGAAGAGAGCAGCGAATCTAGAAATGAGTCAATTCAGTCGAGCAATAAATCAGAGTTAGATTTTCAAGGATTTCAAAAATCTTTTGAATCTAAAACCTCAAATTCTGCCAGCAATGAAGCAGATTCAGGAGGAGATACAAATGACAGCGAAAGTAGTGATGATGTAATAGAGGGTAGTGATAGTGATACAGAAAGTAGCAAATATGATAAATATTTGACAATGATTCAAAAGAGCCGGTAAGATTACTTTTAGTAAATATTAACTTTTGAAAGTTACAAATATTTTTTTTTCAAGAAATTTAAAGAAAGAGGGTAAATTGGCTGATGCTCTGGAAATTGCAAAAGAAGCTATACAAGTTTGGGATGGCGATATTAGAATAAAGTCATATATCAGTAAATTAACAGAAATGTTGAAATAGGTAATTGCAAGCCATATAAGTATATACTCAGTCCTCGTATAACAAACTGGACCTAAAATATTGGGTCGAATAGAGGTTAAGAAATGATTTTTGACATTTAGATATTATACAAAAACAGATATTTGTCTGGAAACGGTAAAATTATTGTTTTACAATATAAATCTCTAGTTGAAAAATGCCTATCGAAAATTTGGGAAGAATGATTAATATCTTGAACTTTAATCGAAATATTATCTTATTTTGTTGAGAGCTTTCTTGTTTAAGGAGGCAGACTTCTCTAATCTCGTAAAATAACCATTCTTAAGACCATTATTTTCATCATTTTTTAGATATGTAAACAAATTTCTTAACTTTCTGAAAAGTCTAATCATGTGTTGCATAGCATTCTTCGACAACACTTCCTATAATGAGCACTGAGCATATATATTGATGACTATATGTACTGTATAGAAAATAATGGGTTCAGCAACTGAATAAAATTCAAAGAAATTTTATAATGTATATCTAAAGTTTTGTCACTTACCCTACTTGTTATATGTAAGATATAAGTTTAAAAATACAAATTAATATTCCTTTTTGATAATTAAATAATTGACGCTCGATTATCTATTTTCTAAAGAAAAATGATGCTTTAATAAATTCAGATAAACCAAATTTATTATTGATTTTAATAGGAATAAATTATCCCAATCATGTAATCAGTTTAACTATTATTTAAAGATTGTTCAGAAATTAATTTATTAATTGTTCATTATAACGCCTCTGTCATCTCAGGTACTGCTTTAAATAAATCAGCTACTAATCCATAGTCTGCGACTTGAAAAATGGGAGCTTCTGCGTCTTTATTAATAGCTACGATGACCTTTGAATCTTTCATACCGGCTAAATGTTGAATGGCCCCACTAATTCCAACGGCTATGTATAATTGAGGAGCAACAATTTTGCCTGTTTGACCAACTTGCATGTCATTAGGTACAAAACCAGCATCTACTGCAGCTCTTGAAGCTCCAACTGCTGCGTTTAGTTTATCAGCCAATTTGTAAAGTAGCTCAAAATTTTCTCCGTTCTTCATTCCTCTTCCACCAGATATAACTGTCTTAGCACTCGTTAATTCTGGTCGATCGCTTTTAGTTAATTCAGCTCCCACCCATTTTGTCAAGTCATTAGAAACGGATGCACTAAAATTTTCGACAGATGCAGATCCACCTTCAGGTGCTGGGTCGAAGGAGGTACCTCTAACTGATAGAACTTTTACAGCGTCCAAGGACTTCACGGTTTGAACGGCATTTCCAGCGTAGATTGTTCTAACGAAGGTATCTTTATCTTTAATTCCTATTATATCAGATACAGGAGAAACATCAAGTTTCGCTGCAATTCTTGGAATAACGTTCTAAATAAAAAGCAAAATTAGATCATAATACGTGATTTTAATAATGAAAACAAACTTTTCCGAAAGCGGAAGCTCCGGCAACAATATGGGAAAATTTAAATTGGTTATGGGCTTCCAAAACAAGTGGAGTTATAGATTCTAAAGTAAAAATGATTCTTTTTACTACTCTTCTTTATTCAAATATATATCATTAAATGTTTACCTGGAAGTAGCCCTTTGAAAGTAGCGTTGTCCGAAACAAGGACTTTCGAAACTCCATCGATCTTACTAACTTCTTCAGCAATCTAAAGTGTATATAAGGGCAAATTATATGCATTTGAGTATAAATTAAGTGATTTTTGCAATAATTTTTAATATATTTAATGAAAATTTAAGAGCTCTAATTTCTCACATTTGCACACTGTTCTCCGGCTACCAAACAAGACACATCACCAAATTGCTTAGCTGCCGTAATGGCATTCAGTGTGATGGGAGTAAGTTTACCATCAGCGTGCTCACCAATGACTAAAGTTGACTGCCATCTCATAGAAGGTCTTTTCTGAAATCAAAGGGCAAACGACAATGAGTGATATTAAGTCAACTTCTAAATTGTGACTTAAAAATCACTAATTAACATTTATACTTACTAAATTGTCAAGACATAAACGGCGGAAAATTGGATTGGCAAACATATTTAAGATTTTAAAGATTAAATGAAAATATTTAATGAATAGGAGACAAAATAGGTTATTGTTGATTATTAGAGGAGAGAAGCTGGTAAGAGGTCACCGAACGTTTTGTATATTATCGCCCAAGAGTATTAAATATCAATATAGCAGTTTTTAAAACTCAATTTTTAGATATAAATAAGGAAAAAAATTATAATAAAAATACAAAGCAACTGGGCGTAATTTTACAAAACTTAAGCAAATTTTACAATAGTTTTCTAAAATAAAACGAAAATCTATATCTTTTCTAAAAATATCCAATAAAGAATCAAAACTTTATAAAATAATATAAAATGAAAGTAAAAATGTATTATTTTTCACTAATTAATAAAAAAACAACTATTCTAATAAACTTTTTCTTAATGGTAAAGGCCTATAGTTACTAGGAATGTTTTACGTCGCAACATCTTTGGCGTATGCCATCATTGCGTTGCTGCCAGTCTCACATATTCTGTATTACTTTTTTTGACTGAAGTCAAATTAGTGTAATTGAATTTATAATTTTAATCTGGTAAGTCTATTCTTAATTTTAATATTAATCTCATATAAGAAAGTAAGGAGGGAAAACGTTATTTTTAAGGAGAATAACTTTTTAGTGAGCGATAATAAATAAATATTGAATATTCTCTTCTTAAAATTATAATCTAGGCAATTGATAGAGTAAGATTAAGTAAAATGAATAGCGAATGATATTATATAAACTTTATAGCTGTAATTTCCTTAGGAAAAATAGATTTTAATTATTTGATTACATATTATTTGTTGAGCTCTTTCCAAACTGTATATTACAACAGAAACAGACAAAAGTTACAATCAATCAATTCTTTTAAAACTGTGTAAGCAGTATTCAATATCTAAAAGTAATACAGTTCATAATTTTTCATTGATGTTGTCTAAAAATACTTAATTTCTTCAGGTTCATAATGAACTAATGGAGGAAAACTAAAACATTCTTTCTTGAAAGAATAAAATGGAAATAAACTCTCAGAGTAAGTTCTGTTGTACACTTTTTTACTATAATATAAATATTAATATTGTATAAACTGCATATGCTCATATATAGATAACACTGTTGAAGAGAGATTGCAGGATACAGTATGCAAACTATTAGATAAATTGATAAGCCAGAAAAAGGAAGAAGTCTATAAAATTGATCATGTGTATATTTATACTTTTCTCTTTGCTATATAGCTTTTACTTACTCTGTTTTTATTTTTAATTGTTTGAAGGGAGTACGAGAGTGTAAAGAAACTTTGGAAAAAGTCAAATATAAATGCGTCTTGAAATATTATCCCTCAAGGTGGTCCGATCTTGGCAAGAGGGTATGATCGCTATATGCTATTAAAAGATTATTATCTTCTATAGAGAATACTCATTTACATTGTTATTTTTTAATTAGGAAGAAAATGATAGATTAGAAAAAAAAGAACAGTTCCTTCTTCATCCAACTGTGAAAAGATATCTTCATAAAAAGCCAAAAAATTGGTATATTGATTCTGAAGAGTGTTTAAATACTTTTGATTGTTTGAAGAGACAGGTAGTTATGCAAATAATTTAATCAATTACCTAAAAAAAAGCTTATATTACTTTTTTATACAGACCTTACCCGATAAATTATCAACAGCAGATAACGATGAATCGAAAACGGAGGCAGACACCCATGAAGGATCTAGATTTTCCAAATTTAATCTTAAGAAAAAAATTATAGTTGGAAATTTATCAAGGTATTTTTTAGTTTATATTAATAAATGTTGTTATTTATGAAAAGTTCCTTTAATACTCTTTGAAATTCTTTATTAATGAATAATATACTTTATCTTAAAGATTTCTTCTCGAAGAAGATAATCCGTCTGATAATGCAACACATAAATGGATGGTATATGTAAGAACACCACCAAACGAGAAAAAGTTGGAAACTTTTGTAAAAAGCGTTACTTTTTATCTACACGAAAGTTACGCACCAAATACTGAAGTTGTTATAAAGTAGGCAGAAATTAAAATATTCAAAATTATTATTGCTAGCTAAACCTTTACTCCTTTTTTTAGTAATCCACCATTTAATGTTACTAGAAGAGGTTGGGGAGAATTTCACCTAAAAGTGTTATTAAAGTTTAAAGATGAGAAAAATAAACCGATACTATTGCATCACAAAATTAAATTAGACAAAACTCTCTCAGGTTTACAGACAACAGGAAATGAAACTGTACTTATTTCTTCAATATTTTAATATTTTCAAATTTATACTTATGCTCATATTTATGTTTTCAAAGACTACAACAATTGAATTGGAATCTCCTGGTTTTGATGATATTAAAACTGAAAAGAATGATAATAATACTGAGTTATCTGATAATAATGAAGTATTTATTAAATTTTTTATTAGTTTATATTCCATTAATATCGTCAATCTAACTTGGTATTTCATTAAATTTTTTCAGTATAATGATAAAGAATTTGATGAATTTAGCAATATTAGAATTAAGGAAGAAGTTCCAGAGTCTACTGAAAGAGTTATAGAAGATATGGATATTAATATAACGGTTTTTTTTCAAGTAATTCTAGTTTCTTCTCTATCTTGTTTTCTCCAATAGGAATCCGCTATAGAATCTTCATCGATAAATGTTGAAAATATCAAAAAGGAAGTCATAGACGACCTTTCAATTACTACTTCATACACTTCTCCAGTCGAAAATGCTCCGTGTATAAAAACAGAAAAAGACGATTCACAGGATTATACAGCTGCAATAAATTGGAATAATTCATTAACATCTGCTAAGAGCCCTCAAATAAAAAATTCCAATCGAAGAAAGAATACGTCTCCCTTATCGAATTTTCCTCAAATAAAGAAAATTTGCATACTTAATAGCGATTTGAGAGTTAAAGAGAGAAGAGAGGAGAAGATTGTGAAGGTTGGATCTACTAATCCAAGATCAATTCTTAAAAGCAATTTGGTCTTTTCACTTTCTGGTCCAGAAGGAGTTATTACTGAAGAAGAACCTTTGTGGATGAAGACAATTCAGTTTGTAATTCTATTAACAACCTACAAAAATTAATAAATCGTTTATCTTTTAGTTTAAATAATTATCCTAATTTGGAAACATTAATCAATATGATTGCTCGAAAATTTCCTCTTATTGCGGAAACGTTTAGTGGTAATCGTGTATTTTCAAATGACTTTAAAATATTTTTGAAATATTTAACTCATATAGATAAGCCATTATGCTCATACCAAGCTAGCAGTATTTCTGAGTATCTTTCGTGGCCTATCGGGAAAAGGAGAGCATGCGAGGTTAGTTTTTTCTATTCTTAGCACCATTTCTTGGAATAAAATTTATCTCCTATTTAAATGACATTGCAGAGATTTAGAGCCTATGAAATTCGTCGCTGTGTTAGAAGCTTGTTAGGAAATAAGGATATTTTTCATAAAGAAATTTTATGGACTAATTCAAAAATTCTCAAATATCTTAGGCAACATGGTTTTACATTTTTAGACTCTGGTTTGTGTTTCCTTATTCTTTATTCTATATGGATTTTTTATTAACTGTATATACTGTATAAGTAATAAATATTTTATGTTTTAATAGAATATTTGTCATTTATAAAACGTGTGCGAGTTTCTGAAAGGGAGACTAACGCAGAATTTCGTACATGGACACCATCAAACACTATCATGGATAACTTGAAAAAGAGTTCACATTTGGCAAACACCTCTACTTTAAATAACCTATCTTATCGTAATATTTCATTAAATGTTCACGATTCTGATGATGAAGATATAGACATTGTAAACGTGGCTGAAAACGGTATGAAAATGAACAAACAAATAATTATGAAAGAAAACAGAATTTTTTAGCATATTTTTAATCCAATTAGATTCTCCTAAAAAGATGATTGCATTAAATTATAGTCGAGAAAAAACTTCAAAAGATGAGTTATCAGAGATGAGTAAAGAAGCTGCGTTCGTTCATCATCAAGCGGAATTAGTAATATAATTTTCTATTCCTTATACATATATTTGCCTTATATATATTTATATGTCTTTAGATTGGGATCAGACTTAAATCTGTTCAAGTTGGAAAAACAAAAAGTACTGGTTTGACTGAAGAAATTATTTTCAAGGTTAAAAGCATATTTTAATATATCAATATATTTTTGATTCAGTTTTATTTCTCTTTCATAAATTATAGTCTGCAACTTTACTCATGGAAGATCTAGTTAGGAAATCATTAGCAGTGGCACTTGCTCAGAATCAGTAAGTCATAACAGCCTAATTAAAAAATATATACCGCTTATAATATTTTCTTTTCTTACAGAAATGACCTAGATATAAATAGTCAAACTGTTCAAGCTGTTTTAAAATCTGAAGATAAATTTGATCTATTTACCAATGCTGGTAGTGGTATAATAGTTGAAAACTAGAATGTAAAAGAATGTAAAATTTTTGTTTACGATTTCCTTTTGTTTAAAGATAAATAATAATTGAAAAAAAGGGTGATATAAACGAAAAAATCAACAATTGATTAAGCGATTAAGTATAATATAGCTTTATCTATTAATAAGAAGAAACGACTGGCCGTTCCTAAGAATTTAACTTTTGTAATAAATCCAACACCAATTTGTTGATGGAGCTATCGATCTGAGAGGAAACTCCTCGTCTCACTTTTTCCTATGCAAAGTAAAAAGGAAATTTATGCAAATAAAGGGTTGTTCGTTTTAATTCGAGAAGACTTACTTCTTCGAAAGCTTTTGAGCTTTGAGCATGAGAAAGAGCCTCTTCGGTCTTATTTAGTTTATCACAAATAACAGCTAATAGGTAATACGTCTTACTGTCAGCTAGATCAGGAATCTTGGAGGCTGCTCAATTAGAATGTTTATCTTTTTTCATTCGACTAGATGCTATATTTAACAAATATAACAATTGTTAATTACCTTCGATAAGTAGTTCATATGCCTCCTCAAGCAGATCGGGGCAATCATCCTACATGACAAGAAAAGGGTATATTTTAGAAAAACTTGTTAGATATCATTCATAAAGAAATCACTGACCGCTTCATTAAGCTTTAAAATAGTTGACGCTAAATTCTGTCTAAATGTTACACATAGCACGTTCATCTCTGCTACAACCTTTTCCCTTACATACTCTAGTTCTTCAGTATTACGTAGAGTTCTCATTCCCAAGTTGTATACATTTTCTGATATATCCATATAATCTTCCCTTAAAAGACACGAACTACCGATTTTAGCACAAATTCTGGCAACGTGCAACAATAAAAGCTACAAAATTGTTTGAAATAAATAAAAACTGTTATTTCAAAGGGGAAAGAAGTAAAATAAACTTTAGTAAGATTTTTCTAACCTCCTTATAGTCTTCATTCAATCTATCATAAAATAGATCAAACAACGTCAATACTTGATGTTCATACCTCGGAGACAGGAGCATAAGTCTAACAACGGCGCAAAAATTGATAACCTAAAAACAAATGTTCAATCATCTTCAATAAATTGCTAAATTTCTTTAGAATATTTAGAAACTTAACAGTATATTTCATTGCGCAATTATCATTCCAGAATGCTAACTTTGCAGGAGTAGAATTTATATGATAAGTATAATCAATCTCTTGCCTAATTTCTTCATCAATACACGAACAATTAATTAATGATAACCAATTGAAAAATTCTATATGACCAATACAATATTTTAATCTATTATTAGTAAATTCCGAAACGGAAGGTTTAAAGAGCAGCATCGACTTAAGCCAAAATGAGACTTTATGAATGAACTATTATTATTGAATGAATAAAAATGATATTAGGAGAAACAAATACAAATTAATTAACCTTATTATCGTTTTTTTTCCATCTTCTTTCAGTACTAAATTTTCTTAAATATTTATCAAATTTATCAATTTTCTCATCAAGTAAAGCATCGCTATCCGACTAAAAGAATATTAAAAGTTGGTTAAGGTTAAAGCAGTGAGAGGATAATCCAATAATTACTTTATGGTCTTTAGCCAACTTTAAATATCTTCGAGACATTTCGAGTTGATTAGCTTCTTTCCATAAAACAGCCATAAAATATTGTACTTTTCTATATACTTTATAATTTTTCTTTACGTGAAATGAAGCTATTTTTAAAAAAATAAAGTTTATTTTATTAATAATAGTGAAAAAATTTAGGTGAATATTTAATTACCATAATAGCAATGGACTAGCATACTTTTCCAGGTATCTAACTGTTTTGACTATATATATATATGTATTTGAAGAATAATATTCTATCATTATTATCTATTAGTTAGAAAATATATATATTATTTATATATATGCTTGTTTACCTTTCGATAGATTTTAAACATCATATAAGCGTTATTATAAGATAGTATTGCAGCTAATTCGCTTTGTTCACGGGTTAACGTTTCAACTCTTAAATATTTATAAAAGTGTTCGGCAATCATATGAGCCGTTGCGTAAAGATATAATGCCCAACTTGAAAGTTTCATATTCATTAACTCTTTTCCAATCTCTAAGAATATTCTTATCCATGAAAATACAACATCAACATCTACTAAATTATAACAAAAATTTCCGTAATACTGCAAAAAATCTTGATGAAAAATTTGATTAGCTTTCAGTATACATTTCCTTCTTATATAACTTCTAACAAGAACTTCCTATTTAATATGTAAATAAAAAAAGTGATAGAACTCAATTAGATCTATATATACAGTATATACAGTATAATTTATATACTGTATATATTTATATTGGTAAGAAAGAATGAATAAATGATTGGTTCTAGTCTTACCTTTATCTGATTGTTAGGTGAATCATATTGAACAACTTCTGAACCAATGTCTTCTACCATGGAAAAAGCTCTATCAACGAATGATATAACTCTTACATTATATTTTGTATCAATGTAATAGCTTTCCAATAAGAGATAATTTTCCCAACAGATTTCTAATCCTCTTGTTGAGAGGATAAAATCTTCAACAGAAGGTGTATAACTCATAACTGCACATCTTAAATACCATTCCATAGGTCTTTTTAATAGCTTTAGAACTTTAGTCATCCATTCTTTCTGTTTATTTATTTATTTTAATAAATTAGATGTAGACTATTGTTAAAATTTTTACTTACATTGTACTCTTCAAGCATTGCTAAAGAATGAAATATACGAAATTATGTATTGCCGAAATTGCAGTGAAGCCGGTTTATTTAATAAGACTGTAGACAACTTTCAATTTTATATTTATATCTCGGAATAAGTACCTTGCTAGTCACGTGAAATTTTTTCAAAAGAAGTAACACTTCCAGAAAGTAGAGTCAAATTAAGCGGATATCATTAATTATTCTATAATTATTCATTTGACACTACTCACTATTTGAAACTTAATACCTCTAACGTTAATCTTATTGAAACTCATAACAATGAGCATTTATTTACATTTTTCAACATTAAATTATACTAGTTTGTTAAAGCGAATGTATTATGGATAGAAAAAACCAACAAATATTAAACGAGTTATTAGATTACTTTATTGTGACTTTTTACACTCCTTCTTTAAATTTGTTAAGTCGTTAAATACTTGTCTGTTCAAACAAGCGGCAGCAGTAATAACTCCTCCCATTGCTGCTCCAACCAAACCAGCTGAGAAAAGATCTTGACCAGTAATATACAAGCCAGGAACGCCAATGTCTGGTCGAAGATTCATTGCAACTTCTGCCGAAGCAAATCTCTTCATATTGTGATCTAAACCATAAGTTTCACCTTCTAAAGCTCCAATGTAAAAATTATTCGATAAAGGTGTTCCAAGGTCCATGTATTCAACACAATCTTTTAGTTGAGGGTATAGTGCGAGAACTTGCTTCCACATTTTCTCTTTCATGAGTTCCTTCTTTTCCTCATAAACTCCACCTCTGTGTTTAACTCTTTCGTCTTTCCAGCTACTGAACCAATCCCATTTTGCCATAGTAATAACAGTACATGTCGTCTTTCCTGGATATCTCTTTTGATGAGCTGGATCCTTTGCGGATGGGAAACCAATAAAAAGAAGGGGGAAATCTCCGTCCAAGAAATCTTCCTCACTCTTGTTATAATATTCTCTAACTTCCTTATTTACGTCAGCGTTAGTGTAAGCCCAAATATTTTGGCCTTTAATTCCTAATTCTTTGGACGAACCCTTCAAACCAACGAATAAGGATAGACAACCCATACCAGCTTTGATATGTTTATTTGTCATAGATTTATATAGCGGACTTTTAACAGCCACTTCATTATCTAATAACTTATGCAGAGTGTTGTTAATTCCGGCATCGGATATGATAATGGGGGCTTTCAAATCTATATCACCACCAGTTTTAGATATTCTAACGCCATTGGCTTTGCCCATGGAGTCTACTAGAATTTTGGATACAGGCGCCCTCACCAAGACTTTTCCACCACTTTTTTCAATAGTTGGAATAATATGGAATGCTATCTCACTGGCGCCACCGAGAGGATAAAACGCTCCGTATAAATAGTGATTTGCTAAAACAGCCTGCATTGCCCAAGAAGCTTCGTCAGGAAGAGTACCATAGTCACCAAAGTTGTAAGCAAATATTAATTGTAAGTCCTTGTTGTTAGTGAGACTTTCAACAACTTGTTGAACACTTTTCGAAGAAATCTTTTTAAAATATGGTGACATATAGTGAATTAGACCAAGTTTAATAAGTATCTTTGCAATAAATTTAGGGAATGCTTTAACCATGATAAATCCCATCATACTCCTTCTAGCTTCTACTAGTAGTTTCAAATAGCCATCAATAGCTTTTTCTTCCTTTGGAAAATGTTTTAAAAGTGCCTGCTTGTAAGCATCTTTATTGGACAATATCGAGTACAATTTTTGCTCTCCAGGTTTTCCTATAGCAACCTTATCATATTCTTGATCGAGAGGTGTCCATTGCAATTGACCTTGAGTTATTTGATCAAAGAGGAATCGAACAATCGTATTCTCTTGCATTTCACCAATATAATGAATACCAACGTCAAATTCATATCCGTCTTCAACAAAGGTATGACAACATCCACCAGCTTGATCGTGTTGTTCTAAAACCAATACTTTTTTGCCAGCCTGTACAAACAATCAAGTTCAATTTAAATGTTTCTTGCTTTCATTCCCATATACATTAACATTAGATAAGAGAATTAAAATAAAACTCAATTTATATATATTTTTCTAATTAGTAAAAGTACTAAAAAAGTTTGTTTTTCAAGGTTATACAATTAAATAACTAAATTAACTTTATTCTCGGTAATATATTAATGTAATTTATTATTTTATCTAAAGCTTTCAAGTAATTTCTATATAAATTAGAATAAATCATTAATGGAAAATTTGTGCCGTACTATATACAGTGTATAACATTTATACGTATACACATAAACATGTTTTTATACGTATATACAAAAGTTCTATTTATATAATATTGATATATGTTCTATCGGTTCCAGGTATCTTCTTTTGTCTAAAAAGATTCTTAAAAACTGATAAAAATAGAATATTTATTCAACAAGCTCAATCCTATTTCAATGATTCAACAGTTTTTTAAAAATATAATCTCCTACTTGAACTTTGAACGACTTGAAAAGTTATCATAAGAATAAGATTGTTATTATCTAATGGAAAAACTTGTTTTTTACGCGATAATTTTCGTAGAAAAATACGTAAACTTGTGTTTGGATAGAACAATGAAATAAAACGTTCGATAGAATCATTGAAAATTCGAATAGTTTCGGAAAATCTTTTACAAATATCCATACAATCTATACAAATATTACATTAATATTATATTTATAAATTTATTATTACCTTTGCTAGAATACTTGCTGTTGTAAGACCTCCAATACCACTCCCAATAACTATGGCATCGTACGAAGAGTCGAGCTTCTTTGCGGCAAATCCTAAAAAATTTTATTGCATTGAAATCTTTCAACTAAAAATTGAAAGAAAGAAATTTATTGAACGTTTACCTTGTTTAAGTATTTTGTCCCTCTTTGCTTGATCAATAACCAATTCGGCAGGTTTTTTTCGAGCATCGAATTTAAAAGGATTCTTGCCCGATTTATTTCTACTCATAAATATAGACAGAAGAAATAGAACAACATATACAAGGATTCCCAGAATTAAATATAAAGGATTTGATGCCAAGAAGTCAATAGCTTGCGTTATGATCCCCATCCTTATTTATTACCTTGAAAATCTATAATTAATTTCGAGTAATCAGTTTGAAAGCCAATGCTTTACTTATATAAGTAATTTATTTTGACCTTCGTCGTCTGCTAGCACACTAGCATTTGAATACCGGTATTGCCAATCAGAGGTATATAAATGTTTTGAATCGATAAAAATAAGCCTATGAAATTTGGTACAGGTCAGCCGGCTCCTTGACCTTTCATAATCGGCTGTCTACTCAATATAGTAAAATTAATTATCTTAAGTGCGTTTGATTCTCTATTACCCAACTATAACTTTTCGAAAGCTACTGTTCTTTGGACTCTTTTACTTTTAGCCTTTGATTGATTGCAAAGTAATTGTAATATTGTGGTATCGTTCAGCAGAATTAATAAACATAAATGTGTTAATTATTTTTTACAAGAAATGGATTGTTTTATACGAGAGATTTGCAAATATTTCACTTCAAATCTTAAAGAAAAATTCTCCCATCCAAGATAAATAAATACGCAAATTGTTAAAAAATATATCATTTAAAAATACAATCAAAGGAAATTTTTATTAAAATATTTTAAAAAATTTTTGTATTCGAATATGTGAAATGAACAGAATGAAATAAATTTCAAAGGATAAAATGCCCGAATGCAACCAAAAAAAACCCAAAGATTTCGTCTGCTTTCAACCAATTAGCATTGAGTATTTATTTCCTGCGTCGAATGGTTTTTAAGGATGTTTTGAAGACATAGAATTTGTCTATTAAAATCTAAACGAAGAATAAGTAACACATTACTCACACACTTCGCTTTAAAATGTGTGTATTAAAATATATAGCCATTTATACGTGACTATTTCTAAACCTTCATGCAATTGCAGAAAACATCTGATTTTCGTCCAATTCAACAAATTTATATCGTGTGGATTAAATGACGTCTCCAAATAATTCTCCAACAAACCCAACGGAGAAAGAAGTGGAAAGTGCTGAAAAAAAGAGCCGTTTTCTTCCTTACCAAGAAGGTCACTCAAAGAAGCGATTGTGTAATCGTGAAAGTGACAACTCTGAGGAAGAAAACGACAACCAGGTTAATGTTAACCTCCCTGACAGTGAATTAAAAAATTTGGACATAGCATCAGAGAGTCAGAATGAAGATATCTTTCCAAATTTACCTTTCTGTTTACAACAAGACGGCGAAGAAAACAATGCAGATTCACGATCAGAATCTACAATGCCTTCCCCAGGCAGAGAAGAACATGACGAAGATGTTGACGACGAAAGGGAAGACAGCCAATTAAGTACAAGTTCACTAGATACCGATAGACCCTTATTCTTGAAAGAAATTAGGTCAAAAAGAAGGAAACTTTTAATTCCCAGTGAAACTACTAGTAGCGAACATAGTGATGATAGTGATTCTGACGATTCTAATGATTCTGACTCTAGAATAACAGATAGTAGTCCCGCAAGCGTTGAAAACGATATTTTAAAAAGCCAGAGAATATCTAAATCACTTGATAGACAATCAATTGTTAATAAATACAACTTGACAGAACTTATCTTTTGCAAAGAAACAGGAGTGAAAAAAGCAAAAACTTTCTCAAGAGATGTTATTTCACTTCAACATAACATAACTCGTTTGTCAAAATACGGATTATTGGATGAACATAATGGTTGTGTAAATGCTTTACATTTTAATGAAACAGGAACTCTTATAGCTTCAGGTAGTGATGATATGAATATAATTCTTTGGGACTGGGAAAGACTAAAACCATACGTTATTTATGGTAGTGGTCATGAAGCTAATGTATTTCAATGCAAATTCCTACCCGCTTCGAATGATTCTGTCATTATAAGCGCTGCGCGAGATGGTCAAATAAGAATAGCTGATATTAGTTCCTCAGGTACATGTAAAGGAACGCGTAGATTGGCTCGACATGAGGGACCTGCTCATAGGGTAAATAAACAATCTCCAACAAAGCGATATGTAATTTCAACTTCCATAACAGATAACGCTATTCCATGATTCTTGTCATGAATTTTTAACTTGCGGAGAGGACGGACTAGTCTATCAAATTGACTGTAGAGAACCGAAACCAGTGAAGTAAGATTCTTTCTCGGAAATTTTCCTAATTATCCTAGAAATTTGCTTATCTTTTTTTAGATTATTGATTGTGAAAGAAGAATCAAAGCTCATGCCTCTATATTCAATTCATGCAAATCCTATGAATTCAAATGAATTTTGTGTTGGAGGAAAAGATCCCTATATTAGAGTTTTTGATAGAAGAAAAATTAAAAGATCGAATAAAGTCCTTTCCCCCGACCCAATTAAAAAATACTGTCCACATCATCTCACAAAAAAAGATAGGGCCAATGTTACATGCGCATGTTATAATTACGATGGTTCAGAGATCCTTGGAACATATAACGACGACGACATTTACCTTTTCAACAATAATCATTCGGATGGAGATGATTTTAAGCACAGATATTCTGGACATAGAAACAATCAAACAGTAAAAGGAGTTAATTTCTACGGACAGAGGAATGAATATATAGTCAGTGGCAGCGATTGTGGAAATATATTTTTCTGGGAGAAGGAGAGCGAGGCTATTGTTAGCTATTTTAAAGGTGATAACGGTGGGGTTGTGAATGTTCTTGAACCTCATCCAACCTTACCAGTATTAGCTACTAGCGGATTAGATAACGATGTTAAATTGTGGATGCCAAACCCTTCGGAGGACAATTCTCTAGAAGATTTAGAAGTGTTAATGGACAACAATTGGGACGACAGAAAAGCAGATAAACGATTGATGCCATATGCAGATGATGAAAGCATGATACGGCATTTGATGAGAACTTTATCACAGAGACGAACTGTAGGCTAAAACAAAATAAAAGTAGCTTATTAAGTAATAATTGTTTATTATTTTTTTTTGCAGACTGCTGATGATTCTAGCAGGGACTGGAATATTACTGATGATGGCGACGATAGCCATCAAATACAGTGTGCCCCTCAGTGAAACTCTTCACTAAATTGAACTGCTCCATTTAGTATAAATGATTATATACAGTATATATATATTATATTTATATATGTATTTCTGCTCGTGTATTTATGTTTATCAAATTAATATTAAAAGTTCTGTTTTGATTATAATGAGTTTATATTTTAGAAATAAATAATGTAAAATGACTGAATATCTATAAATTTGACAGATTTTATTTTGGTAAAATATTCTTTTATCCCTTGATTTATACATTTTCTTTTCATTGAATTTAAAAACGAAAGAAGAAACTGTATAATTACAGGTATTCTGTAATCTATAAATGTATTTTCTATGTGTCCATACAATACGTATTGTCATATGGCAGAAAACTAGTCAATATGGTGTTCTTAAAATTGTTTATCATAAATAAAATACTTGTTTATCTCCGTTATTTAGTTTATTTTCTTAATTAAGTTTACAATAATGGTATTTCATGATTGTTTCATTTTGTGGAGCATTTATAGAAATGACTAAAAGAAAATAGAAAAATAGCGTAGTGTGAGAGAAATAATCATCAGGAGTCTTTTATTTAGTCTATAGACACTATTGCAAAAATAAATACTGTACAGGTGAAAACGGTACAAATAACAACAAACTAATTATTTGATAAAAAATTGAAACTATAAAACAATATCTATGGAGGTAAGTGACGTGGTTCAAAATTTGCTTTAAATAAACGCTTCTCAGCCGGCTCCTCAATATCCATAAAGTTCTCAACGCTATTAAAGTATTTGTTTAAAATATCATATTGCTTAACTGACACAAAATCATCCAGATTGTCCGTTTTAATATCTCTTAATGTTAATTTTCTTTTCCGACTACGCATACTACTGGTCATTGATTTATAAGCAGACTCTTCGCTTGTTTCTTTACTAGAGAAAGAAAATGTTGAAGCTATTTCTAAATTTAAAGACCAATCATCATTTGAACTTGAAGAGCTATTATCATGTAATGCTTGGTCTTTAATTGTGACCTTTTCTAAGTTTGTATTGATGTCTGAATCTTCATCTATTTTGCATACATATTCCTCAATGCTTTTAAAATATCGATCTAAGTTGTTGATTTTCTTTTGATGCATAGTGAAAACATCTACATTATCCTCAGAAGTAAGATCTTTTAGAGAGAATATATTATCACTTTCTACAGATTTGCTATCGTCTTCTGAACTTTCCCAAATAGAATCAATAGATTCTTCGTCAGAGGTTGCACTCGAAGTTGAACTTCCAATTGTTTCCTCACCAGATGATCTTTTTGAAATATCTTCATCTATACTAAAATTTCCCAATCTTGGTAAGACTGAAGTTATCCTCTTTCCGAATTTCCAATGGTCTGTCCTATTCGTTAAAAATCCTATTATGAAAGAAACATTAAAATATATATTATCAAATAGAATCATTTCCCTTACCATTATCTTCACAAATTCTTAAACTATCTATGTCCACGACGTCGGAGGAGGTAAACTCATGATTATACTGAAAAAGGCGCGTAAGATTTATAATAACACTTGTATTATCGCTCACAAATTTAAAATTAAATTTTGAACTTGACCTGAAAAGTTATTAAATATTAGAATAAGTTCAATCTTTACCTTTTTACAAATTTTATCAAGATTGGCTAAGTAGAAATCTTTTAGAAAGATATCTGGTTTGATGATATTATCTCCTCCTGAAGCCATGTACGCTAAAAATAGGCTCGCATTTAAATTTGACCCGACTGTTTTTTGCCGTTTTCTTAGACAACGTAGTTGGAACGTATAAACGATAAATATGGGGAAAAAGAAAAAATCAAAGCATAGGCATCGTTCTTCCAGTGATTCTGACGAACTAAGTGAAAAAATAGATCGAATGAATTACAAGAAAATGTTAAAATTAAAGGAACAACGTCGAAGGGAGAAAGAAGAACTGAAAGCGACTGAATCAATTGAAGAGAAACGTCGTAGACGTATGGAAAAGAAGGAGGCCAAAGAGAGGAAAAAGAAGGCTGCAATGGGTTGGACAGAGGAAGATTTACGCTATTCGAATACGGAAAACCCTTTCGGAGATGATAAGCTGTTGGAGCCATTTGTTTGGCAAAAGAAGATAAAGGCTGAGGGAAAAGAGTCCTTACAAGAGCAAGAAATAGAAAAAATGACTCGAGAGAAGATGATTGAAAATAAAGCTGAACTTGAAAAAGTTCGAAGACGAAGGATGGAAAGAGAAAGACAAATAGAAGAAATGGCAAGTCAAAGAGAAATGTTACAGAGAGAAAAGGAAGCGGATTATTATAAAGCTTGGGAAAAGCAAGAGGATGACTTCCATCTGAAGCAGGCAAGACTTAGATCTGAAATAAGAATAAAAGACGGTCGAGCAAAGCCTATCGATATTTTAGCAAAATATCTTACTCTAGAGGATGACGAATGTTCCTTAAACATAAATATGCAAAAACCGCACTCATTATTAGTGGGATTATCAGTTTCCGATCTACTGGATTTACAAGAGGATATAAAAATTTATTTGGAATTAGAGGAAGGGAAAAATCAGCAATATTGGAGAGATTTATTGGTTGTAGCAGAAGATGAACTATCCACGGCTCGTACTGCGGAGGCGTATGGCAGTTTTACAAGAGACAGGTCGTCAGGTTTAAATCAAACTGTTAATGAAGACGTCGAAAAAATTTTTAGGGGCAAAAGTCTCAGGCAATTAGAGTTATTACGTGATGAAATATCTACGAAACTTCAGAAACCTAATGAAGGGGTTGATACAGGTTATTGGGAAAGTTTGCAAGTACGACTAAAAACGTACGTTGCAAAACAAAGATTAACCGAAAAGCATGATGAGGTGATGAAAAAACGTTTGTTAAAGATTAAGGAAGAGCAAGGATTAAGGAACAGCCCTATTGAAAAAGTCGAACAAGACAGGAATACTCCTTCTCCTGAGCCTAGTCAGGATGAAAACCCTCAGAGGGAAGAAGACGAAGAAGTCGATGATAATCCCTATCGAGAATATGAATTAGGAAATTTTTCTCCCACTTTTTTGAGACCTCAAGATTTAGATGCAGAAATTTATGTCGTTGATGAAGAGGAGGATTATAGAAATTTATTGAAAGCTAGAATGCGTCTCCAGACGACTGGCTCAACTGCACTTACTGAGGCAGAGAGAGAATTTGAAAAGAAAGCTAGAGAAGGAATGGATGGGGCTGAAGCTATTTTCGGGGTGGAATACGCTCTTACCAAACAGTCTGCAGCTTGGAATGATAAATATCGGCCAAGAAAGCCAAGATTTTTCAACAGAGTTCACACAGGATTCGAATGGAATAAATATAATCAAACTCATTATGACATGGATAATCCACCACCAAAAGTTGTACAGGGTTACAAGTTTAACATCTTTTTCCCTGATTTAATAGATAAAAGAAAACCCCCAAATTACTCGATAACAACGATTCCTGGTGAACAAGACTTTTGCGTTTTAAGATTTACAGCCGGTCCACCATATGAAGACATCGCTTTTAAAATAGTTAATCGAGATTGGGAAACAAGTTTTAAAAGAGGTTTTAGATGTCAATTTGTAAATAACATTTTCCAATTGTGGTTTCACTTTAAGAAAATGAGATATCGCCGATAAAATTAGTTTTCAATATTACTTTTATGATATACATATAAACCTTTTTCATTAAATCATTTGTTTGTTCCGTTTATAACTTTTAGATACAAAATATACATTGAAGAAAAGTTATTAGTTAATAATCGCTTGCTATTATTCTTAAAGAATGCTTCTAATTCTTGCAATTCAGAAAAAGCAAAATTCACCAAAAAAGCCACATTTCTCCCAGAAATCCCAAGCTATATCGTCCGCAGTTATAAGATGAACAAAAAGCATTCTTCCTATTAAGGCAACGTATGACATAATTTGAAACATATAGGAAGAGCTAGATGGACCGAAAAGACAAAAAACAAATAAATCCCACCATGAAAGATTGGCGAAATTGACACCTAACAGGCAGAAAACAATCATTAATAAAATCCTTTTATTCTGACCTAAGCTGCTTTGTTTCGTCTGGATTTCCCTTTGGGAATTTTCTCCGTTTTGACAGAGGAAGCATTCTTTCAGACTAATTTGTGCCGTATCGACATCTGTTTCCTGGAAACTCGAACGTTTCCTATTAATTTTATGGGTTAGTGTATTTCTTAAAGGTTTTTCACGAGTAATTTTTTGGCATTTGCATCGTCTTTTTACTTTTAAATAAGGTTGAAGATTCTGTGTAGAGGTAGACTTTTCTACTTTTTTTATACTACTATTTCGTTTAAAATTTAACATATGTTGTTAGATGATATAATTTATATTTGAATAATTTTTTAATCATTTTTGACGTCAATAACCTAGAAATTTAATTATATATATAAATGTATATCCTTAGGTATTAAAGAAATAATAGAGAACAAACTAATTCTACAACCTTGAAAAAATTTTTTCATAAAGATATTCGTGGAATCTATAGATTTTTTATATCTCTATTCGTATTATACAAAATTAATAAAAAGCATGAAGCTATTCACTATGAAGATACTCTTAAGGGCATTTTTAGCTCTTTGAATTTGAAAATTGTTGCGGGCCTATAACTACTGTAAATTATAAAAACTGGTAAAGGTATTCCACGAGTTTCACCCAAGGCTTTATTTGGCGTGTATAGTATGTGTTTTTTTTTATTAGAATAAATGAAGTATAGTTATCAACAAAGAACTAATTAATCTGTTCAGGCAATATGCTAGGGGATAAGGTATTGATTTTATATACTTGCTCTTGAAGAATGACAATAAAATTTTACTTTTACTGTTTTTCGAACAGAACTATAAAATTTATTTAGCAAAATACGATTGTATCTTTTCAAAGATAGTCCAATTCGTATTGGAACTCTGTAAAGTAAAACAAAGTAAAATTATCTGGAAAGATGAGATTGAAACCTGTGATTTTCCTTATCTGGAAGATTCAAGAAGAAGTCTAACTGTGTCCGGATTATGCAGTGTATTGAGGTATATTATAAAATGTAGCGATGATGAAGAAAAAAAAAAATTACTGAGCCATAAAGGAAATTGCTTGAAGGCTCCATCTGAAGTTAGTGCATGGACAAGGTATATATACCTTTTCTATTATCGATTTCATATTGATGTTACAATCTCAAAAATTAGGTATTGCGAAATTGAACTGCCAACAGTCGTAAGCGGAGTGGATGACAAACAAATAATTCGTTTTGAAAATCATCTCTCTACACCAGTTTCTTTATCGAATGGAAGGTTTGAAGGATTGTCAGCAGATCCAGAATTGGAAAATTGTTTGGAGTGTAGAAAGAATTTTGCTGGCGATCACTTATTCACTGATGGACCGAAAATGACATTGGCTGACTTAATCTTATTTATCAACTTTTCGTTAATTAACAAGGAACGGTTAGAAACCTTTCGCTTGATACGGAACTGGTAAGTAGAAATATGTATAGACCTGCTTTCTTTATTATATTATTCTCATTGACAGGTATAGAAGAGTTTTGCAAGTTCCATGTATTATTCAGACTTCCTTTTCATTAGGCTTAACTACGCATGACTTTTCGTGTGCTTGTTCTTGTGAAAAAACTAAATTTTTCGAAACAAACTCTATTTCTATTCGAGAGAACGTAAAACCTCCACAAAGCTTTTCAATAAGCCAATTATCTTCTTCAGAGTCCAGAGCTGAAAAACATTTTAATACTATTAAAACTGTTAATAAGGAATATGACCCTCTTGATTGGGACACAATACCTTTGCCTTTACACCCGTCAGTTCCAGATAAAAGAAAACTTCGAAAAAAACAACAATTAGATTACATTATTGGCTGCGTTAATTCTTTTGTTGAACCAGGTCAAGTTATTGTTGACATGTGTGCAGGGAGTGGACATTTGGGATTGGTACTAGCTAATCTTCGACCGGATTGTACAATTATAGTGGTAGAAAGTAAAGAAGAAAGTATTGAACGTTGCTATAATATTCGAGAGAAATTAGGTTTAAATAATCTAAAAATCTACTTCTCTCAGCTATCACATATCAGAATGAAATTTGATTTTGGCGTTGCTCTGCATGCTTGTGGTTCTGCCTCAGATTCTGTTATAGAAAAATGTCTTGAAATGGCTGCTTCATTAGTATTGGTGCCTTGCTGTTACGGTTCAATTCGTAGGACACATAATGTAACTTATCCTAGATCCAAGCTATTTAACGAACTGGAATACGAGAATTATCTAGCAATATGCAGAATAGCTGACCAGCATAGTTCCAATAAAGAGAGATCTAAACGTTCATCAGATCTAATCGATACTGACCGTCTAAAGTACGTAGAAGAGTGCGGGTATTCAACATGTTTCTTATCACAATTGCCAGAGGATTCTAGCCCTAAAAATAATTTACTGATATGTCTAAAGTAAATACATTTATATAATTAAATGAATGCCTAAAATACGCTAGAGTTGTAAAATCTCTCTTTGAATAGTTCTATTTACAAAAGTAAGGTAAAGACAGTAAAAATTTAAAGATGAATATGGATAATTCGAATTTTTATTCTCTAAGTTTGAACACCGGCGCATTATGATACAACCATTTATAAATAATAAACTAATTTTACCTATTTTAAATAGGCTAAAAATCTTTTGCATAAGATAAGCGAAGCTCGCTCAAGAACTTAAAAGTATCACCAAATGTAAAAAGAATAATAACAATGTAATAGTTATCTGTCGTATTGCAGGAGAATTACAGGTATTGTTACAGCTAATAGATGAAAAATGTCTAAACTAATAACTCTAGAAGAATTAAGGATTTCTTTAGATTCCTCGTAGGTTGTTGGACCATTTTCCCTTTTGGGAGGCTGGTACGAATCGTCTCTTGTACCTTTAGGGAAAATTTCTGATAAAATTAGATAATTAAATGAAAATCTTTAGGATTGTTAGGACACTTACTTATGTTCTTTCGTGTAGTATTTGGTAAAATGGGAGCAGGACCCTCGCAAACCTTTTCTCTGTGATCTATTAATAGGTCAATGTATCAAATATAAGCTATTGTCTTACGAAGATCACCAACCTTTATGCATTTGGACAGTTATATCGACTTCAGTTGTATCGACTAATTGTCTGGCAGAACTTAAGCTACATTGAGCGTCTCTCATTCGGGCAGCTTGAATCCAAGTAGGGTAAGGGGCGCTATGAACAATCGAATCAATAACCCAACAATTGTACTTGTAAGGTTCGTGTCGTCCATAACTAGTAATCAAGTAGCTTTGATCCGAATTTATTTTATAGAAAGCTTCGCACTTGTAATCTGTATAGTTTATAAAAATTTTATCAAATGTTATGTACAATACTTGTATATATGCTCTTTTTTTACAGTAATTATGTTTAGAGTAGTCTGAGCACGATTTGGTTTGAGTGTTTAAAGTATCTGAAGAACCACAGCTTCTCCTATTCCAATCCGAAAGAGTTCCATCACATGTTACTCCTCCTTTAGCTAGATTAAAATTAGCACTTATCGAACCATCTAAACCACAATTATTGAACCATCCCTTGTTCTCGGGAAGAAGAATTTTATAACCACTTGAATGTATGGTAGATCCAATAGGTTGTCGATCTTCTCTAAAATCACATAATCTTTCAAAACTACTGTCAGGATCTAAGGTAGTATGGGCTAAATGCAAAAGAAAAATAGTTTTATTTTTAACGAAAGGAATAAAACTGAATCAACCCTACATATTTTCAATAACAGGACTTCGTAATCCAATTTCTTGATGTTTAAGCAAATAAGCCTTGGTAAGCTGCGGATGAAGGAAAAAAAACGTGTAAGTTAAGAAAAGGAAGTCAAATACAATGTCTATATAAACAAAGTCACGCAAAAAACAATTCGCCTATTCATACCATCCGTTCCTTGAAGTGGTGATCAATAAGAAACTGCGTTTCTCCTCGTTTATAGACTTGCAGACGAATTTGCCAAAGAGGCGGAAAATTACTTCATTCCTCCTTATTTGAACCTATTTACGCATTATCAAATGCCATTTAAAGAGGGAAAAAAATGAGGCAATTACTACAGAATTGAAAGATTGATCAGCAAGTTCATTTAAAAAGAAATTTTCAATCATTATAATTAAATTAATTAATTAATCAATTAATTAATTAGTCTCAATAACTAATATTTTAAAGGGATAACAAAGAGATAAGAGTAAGAAACTAACATTATCGTAGAAATTGGATTCGTACCAAGTCCATGAGCCTCGAAGATATTCAGGTATTTCGCATTCGGGTTCCTCAGAAGGTGCTAAATGACATAAGTTGCAAGATTTCTTGCAGTATGATTTGTATTTCCTATGATGACACTTTTTTCTAGCCACTACTTTGTCACAACCGATATTCTCATCGATGCATGTTCCGCTCTGACTCCTCGTTAATTGAAATTGTAGAGTGGAACCGTTCCATTGTCCGTCGCTGCTTATCTTCAAATTAACCCTGTTATACATGGTTGCTGACGCAATTTCATTTTCAGAAGTTGGTAGATGGCGTGGTAATTTCTATTAATAGGCAATAAAATAAGAATGGAAGAGAATGAAATATCAAATTAAGTCTTCCATAATCTTAAAATTTGTCGCGTACACTTTCATATAAGGATCTTATTTCTTTGTAGAGTTTTTTACTTTATCTACGTGTATAACGACTGTTGCTAATTGTACTTAATTACACTTGTTAGCGCCAATGCAGAGGAGCTTCGAGGCACGAACTCTCGCCGACGACTCCCCTTAATTACATGCTATGTAGGATTTTGTTCTGTCGATGAGAGAATTTTCTGCTCATACATCCAAAGCTTTAACACCTATCTATTTCCGCCTCTTTCTACCAATTTAAAACTATTTCGATGCCAGCAGATTGATAAGATTATCAGAAGAAACGTAACAAAATTTAAAAATCGATATGACCGACTTACTAGAACATAATGAGCTGGATCAAAATCATATCCTAAGATTACAAATGAGTTCTTTTTATGAGTCCAATTTCCCCAGCATTGAAACCTCGCAAATTTTTCCTTGTGATCCGAAAAAGGATTACAACTTGGTGTCGGAAAGAACATAAGTAAACCTTCTGTCGTTACGCATTCGCTCTCCATTCTTGATGTCTTCCAAGCGTAGGAGCAAGTGGGCTATTAATGATAACAGAGGAATCAATTACGAATCAAACCCTTAGGCTAATACTTTGAAATCAATGTTACTAATATTGCTTTTAAATGCATCAGTTAATTCAAATGAAATTGTTAATAAATAATTAATTGTTTTCCATGTTCTGGATAAGACACGCCTAGACAAACCTTATTAGCATTATTATGGAACTGATGGAATAAGAAGCCTCCAAGTTTTGGACAAGGTACCCAAGTCCTTTGAGGAGCAGCTGTAAAGAATATTAAAAACTTTAAAAAAGGTAATACGTAAGTGATTAGAAATCAATAGAACATTCATATATTTATAGTCTTAGACGTAGAAGACAGAAGAAATAATGCATATTGCATAATATTATAAATCGAATAATACCAGACCGGGACTCTGGAGATCAGACCAGGCCGACTTGGTACAAGATCAATGAAGACGTAATCAATTTGCGGATCAGTAGGAAATGGCGTCAACAGCTTACCACCGTTCTATTAGACCCTCTAACCTTTTGTCTTACTTAACAAACAACAAGTAGATATATGTAAATAATGTCTTACTAACCAATCCACGGCCATCCATGATGCGATAAATCTACGTCACTGTTGCAGATCTTCATGGTTGAATAGGTTATTTCAGCTTAAAAGGAATAAAACACGTAAATAAAGGAGAAATCAGAGATTACAAAGTAGAAAGATATAAAGATGGAATATAATTGAATAGAGGAAGATGGATAGTCAGGATATTTTAGTCAAACAGAGAAACAGTTTCATTGACTTAATCGTCCGGCGGGTCAGTCGTTTGCTTTATTGGGTTGAGCGAGAATCTCATACATGTTAACAAGTTGAAATGCTCTATTCTTATTTTAATATAAAAGAGTTGGAAACTCTACGTAAAAGTGCAAGTTGAAGGATAAAATCGGTGAGGTTCGATAATATGAAGAGGGGCCGTTAGGAAGAAGGGTAAGCGGAACGGTATTCAGTAGATGGAATGTGGTTAGAATCCGAAATAAACGAATCAATCAGGAAGGGGGAACTAAGTCATCAAGAAACTTGATTGTGTCATTCACTAGACACCTTTTATCTTTTTCTTCCCTTTTACATTGCTCACGCTCTACCACCCGCATCATTTAAATATCTTTATCTTTAGCTTACCTGAACTGACTTTGATTATGTTTCTACCATCTAGAGGCCGAAGTCTGGCACAAACGAGTGTGATCGAATTTGATCTGTAGAACGTCGTATTCATTTAAGCCTTACAAATAGCAGACATATAATTGTTAATCAAATGGTAAAAAAAAAGCGATGTTCCTTTGTTGTTCTTTTTCAATTTAATCCTTTACATTTTTTTTTATTACTGCAGATAAACCTGCCTTGTAGCATTACTCCAAATATAGATCTACCCTATAATTTAGTATACTTTTCGTATACAGTTAAGAATATATGGTACCTGATCTCTTTAATAACAAATAGATGGTGGGGTCGAGCGTCCAAACATTCCCATTTATATAATAAAGTCGTTTTAAAGCAGGAATCTCCCCTTCGGCAATATGAGTTGCTTTGACTTCTCAGCGTAAAAGTCAACTCATCAGGCCTAGTTGCCTGTACTTCTTTTCTTTCTATCCAGTGTCTAGAAAAATTTCCGTACATTGTCTCGAAAGTCCACCCAGACCAACCGCCCTCTTTCCGTTTTTGTCTTATGTAGGAAGGGAATGAACACTTTTGCCATGTTGGAACTGTAATTAATAGAATTGAAAAATTACTGATTGGCTCAAAAAAAGTCAGAAATAAATTTGAGAAAGTTAAAGAAAAAGCTAGAGATATATCGGAAAAGGTGGTAGGTTTCAGTCAATACGATCACTTCCACAACATCCAACCCCTTCAAATATTTGTTCACTAATTTTCTAATCCGGTCACGTACCCTTGGTGAAAATTGCTAATATCTCCTATACATAATGCTCGTATCGGTTTAATTCATGTGATTGTTGAAGAAAGAGATGTAGCAAAGAATATATACATATATGTATGAAAGATATAAGTAATAAGCTTAATATAGATGATTCTAAAGAGTTTTTATTTTTAATTGATAGGTCTTGTTCAAGATATAATTGGCATTAGATCCTTTTTATTATGACAATCTTCATTGCTAATTATTAATTTAAGGTATTTTTGATACTCTCTATCAACTGAAAAGGTTTATTGGCATAAAAATATGCGATAAATAAATATATACTATCTTTCAACTCTTGTAGTATTTACCATATACAGATATATATATATACATAGACGCACGGAATATATATATATATATATATATATATATATATTCTATACTTCTAGTATGTATTGTGTATATTATAAGAATGGTACGCTACAGCGAACGACTTTATTGCCGTTGAGCTTTTATTAAATAACGCAAAAAAGGAATATAGTATGCGGAAGCAGAATGAAAAGGCGAAGTAATCAGTTCTACATAGCCTTCATATTTGAAGTTCTCCTGTGATATATACAAAAGCATCTAATAACCGTTTAAATGCAACTAAGGGTTTACTTCCTGTTCTAAAACTTCCACCATATATGAAGTCTTAAATGTACTTATCATGCGCAATAGAACTTTGTATATCAACTTTGTATATCTTCATGTTTCATGATACGTTTCTGCGCAATCTCTATCTTTCTTACTTATTCACCCTTTCTCTTCTCTACTTTCTAGTTTACTCTTACTCTCACTCTCTGTTTCTCTCTCATTCTACTTATCGATTTTCAATAGTCTATACATAAAAAATGTGCTTGCTATTCCTTATGTAAAGGCAGTCGAACCTATTAACAAACACTAATTCAAACAGACGATACAGGAAATTCGTCGAAGCGTCTATTTATTTTGCTTTCCTCCTCGCGTAACGATTTAAATAAGTAACTAATTAGACAACTTGTTTTTATTTATTTGTTTTCCTTTCCTTTCATCGTTATTATTTTCTATTAGGGTAGGACGTTAGGTTTATTGGTAAGTTTAGACGCTTAACGCTTTAGTGATAGTGTAAAAAATGCGAGGGGAAAATCGCCAAGTGTACTCGGAAGAACAAAAGCCTTTTGTTTATTAATTGAATGAGATTGTATGCGAAGGTATAAGGTATTGATCCAGTCGATGAACTTTGAATAGGTTTGCTTCGTATAATGATAAAAAAGGCGTCTACGTGTAAATTGGTGCCTCCTTTTTTTCACTAGGCGTCAGTCGATTGTAAATTCTCCCGGGCTAAAGAAGAAACGCTGTATATAAATATATGAAGAAGCGCGACAAATACTACCGAAGGGCGTTGAGGATATGCAAAAGCCTTGCAACTTTATATGCACAATATTCATTTACTAAACACGTTTGTCCATTCCCGTGTGTAGGGAAAATGGCCGTACAGGAAAAGAAACGCCTGAAAGCAAACATCGCTACTTGTTTAAAGCAGGCGACATTGGAAAGACGCTCGGCTTTTTTACTCAGAGTCTCAGCCGTCCGTCAAGTTTGGACTGTTGCATTCTTTCTCAACATTGCAGTCGTTAGACGCTTTAGAAAACTTGTGTTTGCATTTCATTGCCTTTGTTTTCGTATTTGACGACCAACTTTGATTTATTTGGACGTCCCCTTACATATTTGTAGGCATTTATTCAATGCCCGCAACGATCCATAAAATATTTAAGGAGAGGAAAATGGCACTTTTAACGGAAATTAATAGATACACCTTGTATAAACTGTTACTCTGACAAGAAATGCAAAAAGCAAGAAATCGAAGTGAGCAAATTTAAGTGGGTGGAGTTTGAAAGCAGAGGGGTGAAGGGGAAAAGACTGCTTGAATATGAAGTTGATTGAAAGACTTTTTTTGTCTAATCAAATACGCTCATTGTGACATGACTGCCCTTGTGGTCAAGTAAACGAACGTTTGACGCCAATTACTCTACTCTCTCCCCTCCTCTCTCTCCCTCTCACTTATCCTCTCATACTCCCCCTGTCTCTTTTTCCTCTTTTTTTTTTTTTACAGCCAATATTGGCCAAACTGGTGCAGTGCAGCTGTCAGATTGCACCGTGAAATATTAAACTACTTCTGCTCCATTACCATCTCAACCGCCTTTTTATATAAATATATATAAACTGTATATAAGATATATATCGAATATGGGACCCCGCGCGAACAATTAATCCTTATTAGGCCTTCGGCAATATACTTCGCCTTAAAAGCAAGTCATCTTCCACGTGTGACATTTATAATGTGAAAGAAAACTCATAGAATCTCATTATATGCGCTAAAGGAGGGAGGAAAGAAAAACTTTGTCTTATTTATTATCGAAGTAATATGCTTAAGAATAGAAACTATACGTAGAAATGATTACTAGTGGGAAAATCTTTTTACATTACATTCTGTTCTCTTTTATGAATATTGAAATAAAAGTAAAAATAAAAGAATATTTCTTAAGAAAATAACTTTTTTATAACAATATTCTTTTATTATTTTATTATATTCCTATTTACTATTACTTTATTATAAACGTTCATCGGCTTTCGATAAAAATTTGTTCGACCGCAGACTCTCTATAGACAAGACAGACTGTATGAGAATAAATCTCATTTATACGTTAATCACGTACTAAAGAAGCGACAAACCGATGACTTGTAATTGAAAACAAATAATAACAACCAACCGATATTTTATAACTGAAAATATAAAAATTTAACTGAGAACTAACCTGTACTAATAGCGAGAAAAATGGATGTGATCGAAAGCAGGTTCATTGCTGTTTTGCAGTGTAGCGACGTTGGGCCTTTGCAGCGCGGTGCGTCAGAGTCAGAATTAAGTTAGGTAGTTTGCAGGACAGCAGTGCGCCTCTGGGGACAGCGTCCATCTGCTTGAACGGTCTCTCGTGCTGATCGGGCCGCTGCTAGAATCATTAATTTTCATTGTTATCTCGTCTCTTTTTTGCATATAAAATACCTTCTCTTTCTTCTCTCCCGATGGCTTTAAATGTTTATCGTAAGGAATATAGAAAGCTTGTAAAAAAAAACTAAATACTCTCAAAACACACACATACTATGTCTCTCTCTCGTTCCCCTCCTTTTTGCGTAATTATCTACAACTCCATTAGCTTTAGGATATTTCCCATCGACACTAATTCCATCAAATATTCTCTAAAACTTGTAGTTATCTTATCAATAATCATTAGCTAGGAAAACTCTTTCTCTCTCTTTCTCTATTTTTGTTATTTTCAGTTACTTTTGGGTAAAATGTTAAATGTAATACTCAGAATGTAAAAAGAAATAGAATCTTTCCTATTTCTTAATAGGGAAAGGGAGAGGTGGAAATCTAGACAGAGAGAAGATATTCGAGAAATTTGCACGCCATCTATTGGATTCCTTAAAAATATGAAAGAATAAAAGAACAAAAAGAACTATAGAAAAGAACCAGATATTCTTTTAAAACTCTTTATTTAAAACTATCTCAAAGTAATTTTAATTATTCAGATCTATGTTAATACATCTTGAATGTTGTATTTAAAAATATATAACATACCCTTTTAAATTTGAATAAAAACTGTAAATTTGTATAGAGAGTGCATTTGTGTCTTATTTCTTTCTCAATAATGTTACTCAAACATTAAGTAACTTTTAGAATTGAACAGGCGAAGTAATAATTTGTTATTTTCACTAAAAGTTTTTTTTTTAAAAAAAATAAAAAAAATAGTATTAAATTCATTTCTTCTTTTTTGATTGTTTTAAATGTTTCGGCAAAGACTTGGTTTTTACTTTTTTTTGGAATAAATTACACAAATGGGGTAAATCCATACCAACAATGACCAATGCTATAAAGCCTAATACAATACCAAACACAGTACCGATATGCTGGGCTGATGGAGCTTCTAATGTTTTTTCGTCTTTTTTAACTTCTACTTCTGTCAATTTGATTATATATAAATATGTATATCTACTTTATTCAATAGAATAATATTTTGAGTCAGTAGTGTACTGTTATTGTTAAGAAGAGGATATGTTTTCTTACCTATACACTGTTCAATATCAGGCTCCCATTCTCTCCGGCAAGTAGAAAAGAAGAATGAATTCTTTTTCGACTTGAATCCATCTTGACAAGAACAGTTTAGCTTGATACCCCAATCTGTTGAATTTTTATCACAAACAACTCCGTCCCAAACGGGAATTGGAGGACACTTGATGACTAATAAAACATATAAAATCAATACGTAATAAAGGCTTAACAATAGTAAACTCATACTTTCACAATTATCTATAAATGACCAACTTCCATTGATCAAACATGTTGAGATATTGTTTGTATCTTTAAATGTAAATCCGTCGAAACAATTGTAAGAAACTATTGAATTGTAGTTTGTTGACAGATACGACGATTTGCTGTTTTGTACTACTTTGGGTGAACCACAATCGACTCCTATATATAATAAAAAGTGATTGAATTGATAATACCTAAAAGAATTTTATCTACTGAAGCATTTTATCTCATCGAATTCCGTTTTCCACTTTCCATAGACGTCACATGATATCGATAACGAAGTTATTCCTTTTTTTATCCAATATCCATCATTACAAGTTACATTGTATTTATAATTCTCTTCAATCCATAGTAGACTAGAGAACTCGACGAACTTTCTTGACGGACATTTAATTCCTATTGAAAAATTATTTATTAACTGTAAGAATAAACTATTCACTAGAAAACTTACTAGTGCAAAACGGCCGCTCTAAGGAGGGAAACCAATTTCGATTTTGACACTTAATAACTATACTACTAGTATTTAATACTGTTAAATATCCTAATAAGCACGTTACTTGAACATAAGTATCTTTTGTGGTTAGAGATGAATTATAAACTGTAAAGTTTTGAGCAGTTAAGGCGGGACAATTATCTAAAAATTTGTTTTCAATTTAAGTCAATTCCATTGAAAGATAACTTTACAAAAAGTTTAAAATACCTGAGCATGTAATATTGTCCGAGAGCCATTCTTCATTTGGCGAGCATTTTATATAAAAGTATTTATATCCAAAGTTAGTTAGCGTTCCGTTTAGACACTGATACTTAACAGAGGAGAGTAATTCATTTTTAGTATCGTTTACTTTTACGGCAAAATCAAAGTTAGGAGCGTTTTCGCACAAATTTTCTTCAAATTGAATAGGAAAAGATATATTTAACGACAATCAATATTTATCTATAACAGACCAATGATAATGATTCTTACCTACGCAAGTAGAGACATTTGAAATGTCCCAATATCCATCCACACAACTAAGATGGATTATATCTACACCATTTTCAAAATGATACCCATCAATACAGCTTAAAGTTGCCGACGATCCTATTCGATTTAGTTTTACAACAGTTAAAGGCCAGTACGGTAATGCAGGACAGATTTTCTTACAGGTCAAGTCAATAAAATGTGAGCATCTTGTTTGAAAATTTTGAATATATCCTATATTCGTTTCTTTTCTACTGTCTACTTCTTTTTTATCTCGTAAACAATCTATTTCTAAAACATACATAAACATATAAACTGAATGATTTTGTTATATAACTGCTTTACTTTGGCATGTTGCGTTCATTTCGTGCCATACATTTGTGCCAATACATTCGTGTGTCCTTGTTAAAGTATGATCTTCAAATTCATAGCCAGAATGACATTTCCGAATTAGAACAACGTTTTCTTCGAAAAGCTCAAGATTTCGATATTCGTTAATATTTATTTCATTTATTGATACTATTGAGCAGCTCGCTTCTAAAGGTTCTTTTGTATAATTGATTTGTTTATATTCATCAGTTGTAGTACTTTGTTCAAATGTTACAGTGGTTCTTTTATCTGGCTCCGGAGTGGTATTTGTTTCAGTAGCATCAACCTGTGATTTTGTTGTTTTTATTGAATTTTCAGTTGTCTCGTGTAACTTTGTAGTAACTTCTATACTTGTACTTACTTGAGATGTAGCTTGTATATTCTGGGTTGTTTGTATAGTTGATTGTGATGTTGAAGCGTTAGGAGTAGTAGTTACTTCTTTTGTCGTAGAATGTTTCGTTGAAGCTGTTGTTTAAAGATGTTATTGATTCAATTGTTTTGAAAAATTTACCTGTTAACTGAGTAGTAGTTGGTAGTAAAGTGGTTGTTGTTTGTTGACTAGTTGTTGTCGGCGCGTAAGTTGTTGATTTAGTTGTCGTTGGTTGAACTGTAGTTGTATATATAGATATTGTGGTCGCTTTTAAAGTAGTAGTTTCTTGTGCAGTTGTAGTAGTTTCCTGTGCAGTTGTAGTAGTTTCTTCTGCAGTTGTAGTAGTTTCTTGTGCAGTTGTAGTGGTTTCTTGTGCAGTTGTAGTTGTTTCTTCTGCAGTAGTAGTAGTTTCTTCTGCAGTTGTAGTAGTTTCTTGTGCAGTTGTAGTAGTTTCTTGTGCAGTAGTAGTAGTTTCCTGTGCAGTAGTAGTAGTTTCCTGTGCAGTTGTAGTAGTTTCTTCTGCAGTAGTAGTAGTTTCTTGTGCAGTTGTAGTTGTTTCTTCAACGGTTGTGGTCGTAGGCTGAATCGTTGTAGTTTGTAGTGTTGTAGGTACAGTAGACGATATCACAGTTGTTTCAGGTGTTGTTGCAACAGTTGTTACTGAAATTAATTTTCAGGTTATCTGAGAAAGTGATTTAAAAGCTCCTTTTGTATTTAATGGAAAATCATCGATTGTATAATTTTGAAATGTAATATTGTTGAAGAGAAGTATAATAACTAAAGACTTTACCAGGATCAGGCTCCCATGCAGTATTTAAGCAAGTCACTGTCGTGCGAGAGTCCCATTTCTCCGACGCAGTTTCTATATCGGGCCATAAGGTGTTTGGCCCCTTTCTAAAAGGATAGGGAAAATATTTTTACTAAAAAAGAACTGAATCAAATACCATTCTACGATAAACCTGTATAATCCACTGGCACATGCTATTGTACCAATCCTCCAAGAGTTGGATTGGTAACTTATATAAAGATTAGTAGAAGGCATTTTATAATAAGGTCTATCATACTGACACCCAGCTCCGTTGACTATATTATAAGCTCCGTTCAAAAACCCATATCCAGTGTCGAAGATTTGAACACGAATACAGTAAAATCCTCCATTAACTGAAATGTTTATTGGCTGTAATTTCAATTTCATAATTACTTTTACTTACCAAATTTAAAGAAAAAGAGGAGGAAAAAGATGCTGGTCATTGTACTGTGAAATAGTAATCTGTTAATGTATAGCTCATCTATACTAATTGTTTCATGGAGCGACGATAGATGGTGCTATTTTGCAAAAAGTATTAGTAGTTCACAAGAAAGAAATAGAGGACTATTAATAATAGTTAATTATTTGATGATCATCATTACATTCTGAATTAAATGTAGCCATACACAAAAGCAAATGTCATCAAAAATAGTGCAACAGTGAATGGCCCATCGATTACATTATATATTAACAGTTCGCTGAAAGTTAACTTCATGAATAAGAAAAACCCAAACTATTTATATTAAAGGAAATAAATATATTTAAATGTATAATTTTTATTACTATCTTTCCTGCAAGTCGTTTTATCCTTTGTTTTTTCACTGTTCTAAAACTCCCTTTACTCTTTCAATCTACGTATCGATCACACTCTTTCTTGTTCTTCAATCCGTCACAATTTTTATTTATAGCTTTTCAAGTTATCGAATTTATCAGGTATATATATTCGTATAATTTATGTATGAAAAATATAACATTCTTTCTTCAATAAAACCAATACCCTAATATATCTTAGAACAATGGCCTTTTATTATTATGCCCTATAGCTCGAGAATGAAACGTTCAAGGACTAAGTTTGAAATTTTAGTCGTCGCTTCTTTTCTGTAGTTAACACTTAAGTCAATAAAATACGAAAGCTTTGTTTTTCTCAAAGGGATACTCTTTTTCCACCTAAAATATAAATACAATATGTATGATACATTTAGCTTTGTAATCTGAATTAGTATTTTTCCTTCAGCTTATGCAAATATAACTCTTTAAGTTCGTAAGGAACATTTATGAATATTTCTCTATGGGATAAATCTTGGTTTTTTTCTTCAAAGGCAATTATCAGCTAAAAACCAAATGAGATAATATTCCACAGAAATATTTAGTTATAATTCCTAGAACAGTATAACTTTATTTACTTTATATTTCAGACTTGCTCTATCAGATTACGCTAACATGATTATTCTTTGGAAGAATGCCTAAACATAATGGTTATAGATCGAAGTTGACAATTAAGGCTTCACTCTTCATAACAAAATTATTTTGTACTGCATGAAACAATGACACATTTCACACCAGGTGGCAGACTTCCATCTACAGTAATGGTAAATAGGAGACGCATTAGTTGTGGGTTAGATGTTAATGCTTAAGTAGAGGGGACAATATGATATAATTACTTTTTTACTAGATATTATGGATAATTTGTATCCTAACATTCCAAGTTTCACTTTGAAATTTTATGATCGTGTGTTTGAAAAAGATATTTCTAGCACGATATTTATAAAATTTTACTGTAAAAAGAATACTTGAAGTTTTATTTAATAATGTTAAAAATAAAAAAATAATGGAAGTATAAACGATAGCTATATAACAGTTTGCTGATAAAATAAAATTCTTAATCAGTCTTATTAAAAAATAGAATTAATCTTTTGCGTCTCCAATTCCATCTTTATTAATAGCAAACATAGCTTCAGCTTCCGGGAGACAAGGGGAGTCATATATTTTACATATTCTCGTTTCTCCTCGACCTTTTCTTAAGTATAATCGTGTTGTAGATGCATGGGCCATTATGTTGCCTCCAATTGGTTTTTTTGGGTCAGCTGAAAACATAGCTGCACCATCCACTTGAGCCACAACTTGATTAGTTATAACTACCGCAACTCCAAACTAAACGAAAAGAAATTCTGGAAATAGGAAAATGGAAATGTTTAAGATCTACCTCATCCGCTAATCTTAGTAACATTCTAAGAAATTTTGCCAACTGCATTTGTCGAGCTGATAATTCTCCTCGACCAGAGTAGTCAGTTCTATAAAGGGCTGTTGCGCTATCCACTATGAGAAGGGCATATCTTCAAAGTGAAAAATAAACTGTTAATGATAGAATTACATTACTAATTATTACCTAGATTCAGCCATCATGGCAGCAGCTTGAATAAGTAATTGAAATTGATGATCACTGTTATATGCCCTTGCATAGGCGATGTTGTCCAATACTTCTGCTCCAGGGAGTTTAAATCGTTCAGCTGTTGCTAGTACACGCTCTGGTCTGAAGGTTCCTTCGGAGTCAATATAAAGACATTTTCCTTCTCCTCCGCCCATATCAATTGGTAATTGACAAGTTACTGCAAGAGTATGACAAAGTTGGGTCTTCCCTGTTCGGAATTCTCCAAATAATTCTGTTATGGATCCAGTTTCCATTCCACCTTGTAAAAGTTTATCCAGCTCCTTGGATCCTGTCGTCAATTGTATGATGTCAGCTCTCTTCTGATGAATTTCAGATGCAGTTGTGAATCCCATAGGAACAAGTTTTGTTGCTTCAGCCTGAAATAAATTATAACGAAATTAATTGATATTTAAAAAATCATGTCATTACCAAAATTTTATCTGCTTTAGCTTCACTTATTCCTTTTATGGAAAGCAATTGTTTCTTTGGAGCGTAAGCAACAGATTCAACTGTATGGAGTCCACTTTCCGCAAGTTTTTTACAATCGTTAGCACTTATTCCATGTTGCTGTTAACAAAAATAAAATTGACGGTTTGAAGAGTTATACTATTCTGATTTAGAAAGATGTTATTTCTATTTCTAGACCATTTTCATTATTGATATATAATAGAATAAAATTGAATTTCAAGTTGAAAACAAAATTGTTGCAATAACTTTGTCTAAAAGCATTTTTAAATAAATTTTTTGAGACAATCTCATTTATAAATACGTTAATTATGTAAATAACTACCTCCAATTTATTTAAGAGCATTGGTCCAACTTGTTCATCACTTGATGATGTTTGACTAACATCGTGTTCTTTTTGTGCTGTAGCCATTATCTCCTTTAAATGACCAAAAGGCTCGGTAAAGTACAACTAAAGTTAGTAATAGTAAGATTAAATTTTTACCTTAAAATCTTATTAAATAATTTTAAGTATTTCTTTGACAAGAAGCGAAAAAATTGTAGATTTCTTTGGGCTGGCGGCAAATGTTCCGCCAACGGAATATAAAAAATCCCACAAGTCGATTGTGATGTGACGCAATATCCGCCCAAATATTTCGGAATACGAAATGTTTCGGAAAACATAACGTGGCGTTAGTTTTAAAATGGCGGGTAGTTTGGGTGGTTTTACAAAATTCGCTGTAATATTAACCTTTGGGTTGTTAATAGCAGTCGTTTGTTCTCACTCTCATTCTGATAATGGCCACCATTCACATGGCGATCATGGCTCTCAGCATGGACATTCACATGGTGAGGATCCATCGTTTAAATATTCTCAGAAAGCAAATGCCGAAGATTCGAAAAGCTCCGACAAGCGCAAGTTAGTGGGGGCTGATTTATGGACGAAAGCTTTAGGCTCTACAGCAATAATCTCAGTGGCCCCTATATTTATTCTTCTGTTTATACCCTTGGGTAATACAGCAGAACATAACAATCTGCTTAAAGTTCTTCTCGCTTTCGCATCTGGAGGTTTGTTGGGTGATGCCTTTTTACATTTGATACCTCATGCTATGGTTAGTAGTGGATCTGGAGATCATTCTCATAGTCATTCTCATAGTCATGGACAAGAAGGCCATGGACATTCTCATGATTTAAGTATTGGTTTATGGATCTTGGGTGGAATTGTAACATTTTTATGTGTTGAAAAATTTGTCAGAATTGTTAAAGGAGATCATTCACATTCCCACTCTCAACCAAAATCAGGCTCAAAGAGTTCTAAGGGCGGAAAGGGGACTAAAGGTGGTATTATGAAACAATTTATTCTTATATGCAATTTATTTCAATCTTACAAACTACAGAGATAAAGGTTTCCGGATATTTGAATTTAGCGGCAGACTTTGCTCATAATTTCACTGATGGTTTAGCTATAGGAGCATCCTACCTTGCCGGTCAATCAGTAGGTAATAGTATTTATTGATTTCTTTTGGGAATTGCGTAAATGTTTGAAAAAAACTTGTAACTTTTTTTCACGATTGTAAATAATTTGTTACAGGTGTTATTACCACAATTACCATATTTTTCCATGAAATTCCTCATGAAATTGGCGATTTTGCGATCTTAATTCAATCTGGACATTCAAAGAAAAAAGTTTGTTTTTTTTGGTAAAATATAATTAAAACTAAAACGATTCTATCCTCATTAGGCAATGCTTCTACAACTCGTAACTGCTTTAGGTGCAATGTCTGGAACACTTTGTAGCTTAATGGTTGAAGGAACCAGCGATGCTACTATTAGTTGGGTTCTTCCATTCACGGCTGGCGGTTTTATCTATATTGCCACTGTTTCAGTAAGTTTATGCCTAGGAAAAATTTAAAGTAAATATCACGTTGCATATTGAAATAGGTTATCCCAGAATTACTGGAAAACTCTAAAACTTGGCAAACAGTGAAGGAAGTTGCCGCTCTCCTTGTAGGAATTTTCATGATGGTTCTCATTGCTGAATACGAATAAGTATTGGCATTAATTTATTATGCTGTTGTGCTAATTAATTTTTTGGTGTGAGAAAGTTACACAATGATCCAGGATTACTATCGTTTGAAAATAAACAGGATGTGCTTAGTTTCAATTCAAAGTTTATTATAAAAAAATTATTAAATTTAACCAAACCTTAGTTCTTCAATGCATATTAAAGAGTTAACATTATACTACAAAATTTTTTCATACTTTGTCCACATCATCAATATGAAAAAAATCACTTACAATTTCACCTTAAATAACATTTCTCTGATTCATGCAAAGAAATAAATCATTAGAATAGAGAACTTTATGAGTTTCAATTGGAAACTGTTAGATGCCAAATTCGTCAAAATTTATAGATTTTCAATAAATTGCTTTATCACTTAAAGAAATCAAGTCGTTATTTGTATAGCTAACAAACTTAGCGCCAAGAGCGATAATATACATTTTTAATCGAAAAGAATTTCCATAAATTCGTAACCTTACTTAAAAACTTGAAAATGGTGTAAGAAGATATAGTAAAATATTTATGGAAAATGATTAGCCCACAACTGAAAAGATGATATTTTTTAGTATTTCACAAAAATTTTAAATATATTTGAAGCCATTGTTTTGGCGGAACCAAAAGGTGGCGCTTTATTTCTTCACTTCCGTCGTTTGATGTTTTTAATTTGAAATCGGTTACAAAAGGTTTTAACTTTACCTTTATTTAAGTAGATAGAATTATAGTGTAATATAGACATTGTAATTTTTGATTCATGAATATTTGGAAAACTTTATCGGTTATCTTAAAGTACATGATATTTTAGGTGCCGGTTTCTTGTTTTCGCTAAGATCATTAATTCGTATTTACTCTCAGGCAATTGATTTAGTAATGAATGAAACAAGTGGAGAATTTCGTTTGGATGATCCACCTCAGGATGGCATTACTACAGTCGAATTTGGTAACTCGATTTATAATTTACTTGTTTCGTCATGGGATTGCACTATTCGTTTATATGACATCAAAACGAACTTGCTGCGTGCAACATATAAAAATAATAGTAGCGTATTGGATTGCTGTTATTTTGTAAGTTTTTAATATATTAAACTTGATTATCGTTTAAAGAATTTTTTTTCTGTTAATGCAGGAAACTTCTCATGCAGCTTCAGCCGATACCAATGGCTGCGTTAAGGTATACGATATTAACACAAGTCAAGGTAAAGTACTTACTACAAGGTTTACTTGAAAGTAAGCAATTAAAATAATATAAACAATTTTTTATTTTTAGAAACCCAACTTGGTATTCATGAACAGCCAGTTAAGTGTGTTGAGTTTTCAGCAGACACTAAATGTCTAGTTAGTGGAAGCTGGGATCAAAATGTCAAACTATGGGATCCAAGAGCACCGAATGAAGTTACCTGTGTGCAGCAAACTGATAAAGTTTATACAATGACGATTAGCAATGAGAAATTGGTTGTGGGAACAGCAGGTAGAAGAGTTCTTATATGGGATTTAAGGAATATGAATAATGCTGTCCAAAAGCGCGAATCGAGCTTAAAATATCAAACAAGATGTATCCGTGCCTTTCCTAATGGCCAGGGGTATGTCGTAAGTTCAATAGAAGGCCGAGTTGCCGTCGAATATTTTGACCCCTTGCCCGAAATTCAAAAGAAGAAGTACGCGTTTAAATGTCATAGAGTTAAAGAGGATGGAACGGAAAAAATTTACCCAGTCAATGCTATTTCGTTTCACCCGACTCACAATACATTTGCCACTGGAGGTAGTGACGGTCTTGTCAATGTATGGGATGGGTTTAACAAGAAACGACTTTGTCAATTTCATAGATTCCCCACAAGTATATCTTCCTTGTGTTTTAATGCTGATGGAACTATGCTGGCAATCAGTTCTTCATACATGATGGAAGAAGGAGATAAGCATGAATCACCTCCTGATGCCATTTATATGAGACCGGTCACTGATCAAGAGACAAAGCCTAAATGAAACCTGTTAGATATATAATACCTTATTTAATACATTAATCATCTGTTATTCCTATATGTACACATGTAAATATATATAATAAATATTAAACATAATAACTTGTAATACGACAAGTAGATGTTTACTCATGGAGACATATAAAACAATCTATGATAATTTCCTACTTTTTCTTAAAACAGCCTGAGTAGATGCATCTGTTTGATTAAATATAACAAATAAAATCTTTAAAATCCCTTATGGTTAATTTAACTTTTATAGAAAATTCAGCAAAGCAATTGTTGACCTTGGACTAGGAGAAAACCCACTTGTGTCCGGGAATAGACTAAGTAGCTAATTCAACAAAAAACAAGAGTAAATGTATCTTACACTTTTTATTTGTCGATGATAACAGGAATAGCATAGAGTAGATGGTTTATCAATTTACAATTGTGAACTATATTTGACATTGTCTTTAAAAACATTGGTATATATTAGTAAAGATACTGTATACCAGTATAATCCTATTGTTTACTACTTTTTCCATTATATAAGACGTATAAAAAAAGATCGCACGTTTTTGGTGACCTTTCAATATGAGCATGTTTTCCTAATTATTAAATGACAGAAGCAGATTCAAACCTCAGTTAAAGGGTAGTGTCGAGGTTATCACTTCTGAGGTGTTTCGTTTCATCGTCTAAAAAATAACTTTTATTTTTCATGCCCTTGATTCTAACCCTAAGTAGGAGTTTTAAACTAAGACTCTATAACAATAAGAAATTTTATATGCATCTGGGAAAATTCTATTGTTTATTGACCTATTTTTCTTTCCTTAAATTTCGACAGTTGGACTATGGAGAAGCTCACTTTCGAAGTAGCCCCCAAGATGAGTGAAGAAAAGGTAGGAAAGATTTGTATTTATTCAATTTACTTGATTTTTACAATTAATGAAGCTGTTTTTTATAAGTTCAAGTTATAAACTTTGCTATTGATAATCTCCTTTCAGAGAGGAACTTTTTACCCTGCTTATAGAGTTGAGCCAATCGATATCGAAGGTTCAACAAGCATAGTTTTCTCGAAGAAGGGAGAAATTGGAAGTCTTGCAAAGGCGTTACGCATCTTTGAGGTTGTATCATTTTTTCTTAAACTTCACTTCTATCGCGTGTCTGTTATATCGAAAATTAAATGTATGTTCTACAGGAATTTGAAGTAAATCTAATACACATCGAATCGAGACCCAGCAAACAGAATCCGGACTTTTTCGACTTTTTCATATCATGCGATAATACTAAAGGAGACGTAAAGAAGGCAATCGAATCTTTAACTGGAGATAATTGTAATGTTACGGTTCTAACGCGATCAATTAACCCTGAAATAACAGATAAGACAGGTACCGTAATACTTATACCATCTCATATTCATTTTAAATATAATCTATTATTTTATTAGTTCCTTGGTTTCCTCGCAAGATATCTGAACTCGATAGATTTGCAAACCAGATATTGAGTTATGGTTCGGAATTGGACGCTGATCATCCGGTTAACTATTAATTGATAGGGGTTTAAGATAAATTTTCATCATGATTCTCTTGACTTATATAGGGATTTACGGATCCAGTTTATAGAGAGAGACGAAAGCAATTCGCTGATATAGCGTATAATTATAAGCAGTAGGTAACATTTAACATTAAAAACATGAATAAATAGATAAGATTTGGTTTATTATAGCGGACAGAAAATACCGAGAGTTGAATACACAAAAGCTGAAGTGGAAACTTGGGGAACAATCTTTAATAAGTTGACTGGCTTATTCCCTAGTCACGCTTGCAGGGAATTCAACAGGGTATGGCCTCTACTCATCGATAATTGCGGTTATAGACCGGATAATATTCCCCAATTACAAGATATATCCGACTTTTTAAAAGGTTCTTTTTCTTTTCACGTATCAATAGAAGATTTTAATATAAATGTATATTGGTAATTTATTATTTCAGATTGCACGGGATTTACTCTTAGACCTGTCGCTGGACTCCTATCTTCAAGGGACTTTCTAGCAGGTTTAGCTTTTCGCGTCTTCCACTCAACGCAGTATATAAGACATAGCTCTAAACCAATGTATACTCCAGAGCCGTTAGTAAAACCCTATTAGTAGAAAAGTAGTTTCTAATTAAATAACAGCAAGAATTTTTTTCCAGAGATATTTGTCACGAGCTAATTGGTCATGTACCACTTTTCGCTGATCCAGAATTTGCGCAATTTTCTCAGGAAATCGGATTAGCTAGTTTAGGGGCTCCGGATGATTACGTTGAAAAATTAGCAACTGTAAGTTGGTCTTTTAATTCAATTAATTCAAACTACAAATATAAGGAGTAATACTAATAGATTGTTTTTTTTAGTGTTATTGGTTTACTGTAGAATTTGGTCTGTGCAGACAAAATGGAGAATTGAGAGCTTACGGCGCTGGATTAATATCTTCCTTTGGAGAATTACAATATTGCTTGTCTGATAAACCAGAAGTTAGACCTTTTGAACCAGAAAAGACAGCGGAACAAAAGTATCCTATAACGGAATTTCAGCCAGTCTATTTCGTTGCAAATAGTTTCACTGAATCGAAGGAAAAGATGAGAGATTTTGCTGATACTATACCAAGGAATTTTGGCGTACGTTATAATGCATTTACGCAGAATGTAGAAGTTCTAAACAACCTAAATCAAATAAGAACATTTGCCTCCTGCCTTAAAAGTAAGCGAAAGTTATATAAATATTAATATATTTTTATATAAAATTTTATTAATATATACGTTTATTTATAGATGAAATGAGTCGTTTAGAAGATGCCCTAAGGAGATTTAACATTTAGAGAATACCTCTTGATAAATTTCATAATTGACTTTTACTAATAAGCTAATTGAAAACCATTGATTCAAATATTCCGTAGTTTACTTTTAATATATATATATATATACTGTATATTTCATTACATACATTCAACTGCAGACAAAACTAAGATGATAATATACAGTATATAAGTATTAAAACAAGTATTATAATTTTTTACAGTATCATATCAATGTATCAGAAATATAGATTGATTTACAACCTTGCCTAGTATTGTTTACAATTTCTTTGTAGTATAAAAATTAAAGGGACAGGGAGGGGGGGAGCAGGAGAATTTTTACCTTTTTAGAAAATAATTTATACATTTTATCTTTTACTTCCGAAAGTGACATGGACGTATTGATATTCAAAAGGTATAAATTTATGCAAAAACCAGACTAAGCCGCCTATATTTATTCACCCATCGCATTAGGCTTTCATTATTCCTTCCTATGAGGCTCTGACCGCATCTTTCGCAGTTTCTTTACGCTTTAGTAATATTTGAGTACGTAATAAAGTCGTAAGTATATGGTATGTTTTAGTTTTTCTATTTTTAAAGTATATTTATTTTGCTATTTATATAGATTCTCTAGATGCAAAAGCACACTATATATTAATACTATATAATCTATTTCGTATGTAGATGTGATTGTTTACATATAAATTTCTGGCTTACAAAGTCGTAGTTTTATTTATTGAAGATCAATTTTATTATTATTATACCATCCATTCATATTTTAATTTCATATATCTATCTATTCCATTATTTCACCCATAGACACTTGTTTTTCGCTCGCCCATTTAAAATGTTTTTAATTATAGGCCGATAACGGCAAACTACTAATTGAATTGACGGTTAAGCTATTCGATGTAGATCGATTGAAGTTTGAAATGTTTATTAAAAAAATCTTACTTATACTTGCTTTTTTATATTCGAAAAATATTAACAAACTCTGACGATTATCGATTTGTGAGTGAAAGAATTATTATTTGTTAGACAGCTATGATGCTTAGACCTCAAGCTTTGCTTTTCAATAATGATAATTGTCGTCAAGCTTACGTTTGCCATTGCAAACTATCTATAATATATAGTTTTTGTGATATTTTTAACTGAATGTGTATAAATAGATGGGAACTTAATTAGATTTACAACAGATTTATTACTGTTTTTTTTTTTGTAAATATCATCAATTCCCTTAAATTGTTAGAAAAATGAATAGTTTCCCTTCTCACAAATATCATCAACTAGACGTAAATTACTTTGTAAAAGAAGATATGATTGAAAAAATAAACTAATTGGTTGTCGTTAGTTACAGACTTAATGTAATCTGACATGAAACAGTCAAATCAAAAAATTGTTCCTATATTCTTAGAACCTCTAGATGGCGTTGTAGAAAAAAATGTATCCTTTTTAAGCCTTCATATGGATTGAAGGGTTAGAAACCGCTAACGTTCTATGAAAGTTGTAAGACGAGAAGGCGTTCGTGATGTCCTACTTGCTAAAGAGATGCCAAATTTATTTAGAGTCTTTTAACTGTGCTTGTTCTTTAAGTTTTCTCATTTATTCGCATTCTATGCCTTGTCGTAGTGAGTAAAAGTTTACTTAATACAAACTATTATCTTCAGAGCACCTTTAGTGTATCGCTAAGATAGATGGCGTGTCGAACTGGCAGAAAACTATTTATATGAAAAAAGAAAAAGAATCAACGAAATCATCTTGGCTGAAAATCTTCCGCTCACGCTCCATCCACAATTCCTGAGAGAATGATTTACTAGATGGAAATACACTGATCAACTCATTCATAGCTCATCTTCAAACTAGCGACGGTCCCGCCCTTCGACGGACTGTGTGCATAATTCATTAATCAGATCCTTGTTAGATGTAGGTGGCGTTGTATGAAAAATCCGCGCCGCATACGATCGGATTATGACGTGAAAGACGGAACGACGTTCGGAATGTTTATCCAATTAGTCCTCCTAGTCGTCGAACTGTCTATGGTAGATTGTGCCAGAGCACTGGAGGCTCGTTCTATGCCTTATAAGACAAAAACGAAACTGGGAAATGTAATAGGTACCAGAGTGACACTCGATAATAAACGTTTGCCGGAAGTTGACGCTTTTTACGGTATGAAATACGCTACTATACGTGGTGGTAGTTTAAGGTTTATGCCACCGAGTACAATTACGACAAAATGGGAGAAAACGGTTAATCTGAATGAGTGGAGTGCCTGTCCACAGAGACACTTAGATTTTGAAGATTTACGCAAGAGGATAGAGTCTAGTCGACTGGAAGAGTTGAGTAGGATCTTGTTAGCTTTAAAAGAGGATGGCTTCCGAATGAAGGAAGACTGTCTGACATTAAATATTTTCCGTCCAGCAATGGGTAAGTACTTGAACGCATGAATAATTCAAATTACTGATTCTTTACTCCCAAGTAATGTCCTCAAATTATCCCATTCCATTTATTCCATCAATTTTCCTTCTCCTTTCGCTTTGCACTAAAAAGAAATCATTCAAACAAAACTTAAAGTAAACATTAAAGCAAAAAGCATTTATCTATGAAAAGTAAATTACGTATGCAAATGGGATAATCGCTAGATAATTTCATTAGTATTAAATAATTCTTACAGGTTTTATATACCGTGAAATTGGGAATTCATCGATTTGTAATTACATATTAATAGATGACTTAGTGATAAATAGGCCTGATTTTTTTCAACCAGTACTTTCTATAAGTCCCCTAAGACTAGGCTGCACCATTTATCTTCATATCGTATATTAGGTACGCCTATGGGTTTATTAGGATAGGGGAAATGGTATTGGCGATTTTAATGTATTCTTTATTTCCTGGAAAATCAAATATATATATATTTGTCAAAAGATGAATATAAAATGAGAAAAGAAATGAAAAGAAAAGAGGGAATTTCAAGACCAATATATCAAATGTCTTGAGAATTACACTCTATATATATAAAAAAAGACTAAATGAAAAACCTAATAATAACAGACGTTTCTGTGTTGTAATTTATATCTGAGCTGAGGAATTAATCAGGATATTAGCAAGCAGCTTAGCCAAGACAGTTTCTGTGATGAAGGAGCTAAGGAAGAGGTCTACTTGACCTTGGGAGGAAAAGAAAATAACAATTTTCTCTTTTGTTAAATATACATTCTCTTACGGCTCATAAAGTTATAGAGAAAACTAGTTTACCTTCTAAAAAATATCCAGGGGCGTAAAATAGATCGAACGTTTGTTTTTCCTCATCTTATTCCCTGCTTTTCTACATGCTCAATTTTTTCCTTGCCTTGGGAATAGACGTCATGATGATGTGAGAGAGAGACAAGAGAGGAAAAAGAAGGAGAAGGAAGAGAGTGACAGAGGAGAGAAAGAATAAAAAGGGATAACATAATCTTATAGTGTTGTTCTGTGGGATAAATTAATATACTATATGAGGATTTATAATAAAAAAAACCTTTCCTTTTATCAACATTCAACAGGAGGCGAAAGACTAATAAAACAGGAACGGAAAGGGCGTCATTCTTGAGGCTGTATATTCTTAAACTGGAAGCTAAAATAAAAGGGTAGTTTTAGTAAACTATCGAAATATAATATCGACGATAAAAAGGGCAAGCAGAGTTGCAAGTGTAAAGTAAAGAACTAAACGTACTCTTTTCTTTTGACCATTATACCCACTCTTGCAAACTTTTGGATATCTCTTTATCTAATAAGGAAGCATACTTGATTTTTATCAAATAATTTAACTATAAAGATAATATGGAACCAATTTTTGTCTTCCTGGAAATATTAATATAAAAAATAGATAAAATTAACAAATTTTATTTTTTTATTCCTCTTCTATCTCTCTCTTTCTCTCTCCGTTTCCCTGCTACGTATGTAAGTGCACTTTTCTCAGTTCTCTTCATCCTTTACTTCTTTTACATAATACAAACGTATATACTGTATATATATATATATATATACTGTATATGCAGTATCTATATTTTTATTTAATATAATTATTATGTGCTTTGAGATGGAAAGTCTTGCTAAAAAAATAGGTTGTTGGGCCTATATCTGCTTAAACACAGGTGGCTTTTAAATAAGATAAACTGCCTAGAATAATTATATTTCCAAGCACGCAGATAATAAAATAGAATGGTTTTATGAAAATAGAATAAATTATAGGGTAAACATTAAGTGAAAAGAACATCTTTAAATGATTGCAATTGAAAACTAGAAAGAATTCAAAGATTTAATGTGTAGATCATTTACTACTTTGATATGTTTTCAATGAAAAAATATAGAGAGATATATTATTTTTTACCATTTGATCTTGTAACAAAGAAGATGAAAAGTCAAGAGTACTTAATACACTTTGTGTAAATACAATTAGATTTTATCGTGTTAATTTTTAGATAACATAAGAGTTTCAGAATAATAGAAAGACCGATTGACCTTAAACATATTCCGCAGGGTAATAGGTAAGTGTTTACTCGTAAAAAGAAGTAGGCCGTCTATAATTGTTGCAAATGTCAGCGGCTATTGCAGTTCGTGGTTTTTTAGCTCGCTCTATAGCCCTACTTTAATTCAAACTTGATGTGATAATTTTCTGTTTCTTTATCAATTCTCTCTCCTTCTTTCTATATTGTGTAATTTCTGTGGAGAAAAAAATATATTTTTAAGATAAAGTGTTACGCTAAAATCTTTGCGTCGAGAATGGCGGATTAAACTACTTTTATTAAAAGTAAAAACATCCTGTACTGGATTAAAGAGAAGCTTTATGCTGTTTTTTTTCTATTTTTCTACCAACGTTTTCATACATAAACCTGGTGAAATTCATAAAGAAAATTAATAAAATATCAGCGATAATAGAAGAATATTGATAAAACAGACAAAAGCAATCGAAAACTATAAAACTGTGAACATTGAAAACAAATCCACCTAGAAAGGATATTCTGAAAGGGGGAAGGGAGAAAAGAGAGAGAGAGAGAGAGAGAGAAAGAGAAGTAGTATAAAGAAAAGGAAAGCGAGTAAGATGATTCCGAGGGCATATTGAATTTATGCGGAGAGTGATAGTGGAGTAGCGATGGGTGAAAAGTTATCAGAGAAGACACATACGAGTAAATATTATATAAGGTAATAATATTGTTATAATAATCTTTAGGGTAGGTAATATAAAGGAAGAAAAACTAAAATTAGACCTTATGACGCAGCTGCAATATTTGCAGTCTGACTAATTGCTTTGATGTCTTCACCTGCACTCATTATTCATGCTGTCAAGAGTCCAAACTTTTTAAATAATTCATACAGATTTTCAACTATCACTCTGTTTAATTTTAAGGCGATGCCTATTCATTGAGCATTGTGAATTAAATTACCTATAAAATGCTATAAAATGCTATTGTTGTTAATTTCATTAATAAAAAATGCTATTTAAAATGATCCAATTCCGTTATAATTGAAACTGTTGTACTTATTTAGGTTATTTTGTCTATATTATCTAATTCATCCCTTTCATCCTCTTTCTCTTTCACTCCTACTCTCTATTTCCTTGCCTAAATTTGTAGTAAACCACTTAATTTTCTAGTTCTAAAGTAAAACCCTCCAACGAATCGAGAGCGGAATTAGGGGAAAGAATAGAATCGTCAAATGGGATTGTCAACTAGGTTTTGTAATTACTTCTTCCCTTTAGGTCTCTCTTTTTTTAAATAACTAAAGCCCAAAGAAAACAATTAAATACTTTTCCTTTCTCTCTCTGTCTCTCTCCATCTCTTTTCTTTCACTTCGCGTTCATGCTTATGAAGCGCGTCTAATTAAATTTCAATTATATTTGCATACTGCACATAGTAAAGATTAAGTTTAAAACTATTATTATTATTATAATTGTATATATTTGCATAAATATTTTCAAAGAAAACGTAATTCCTCTCCCTAAAATAACTTTAAATTATTGATTAACCATTTTTAACCATTTTAAAACCGATAGTTTTTTTTATAGAAAGGCGGAAAGAGAAAGGAAGGAAAGATTAGGCAAATTAGAACTACGTTCAAGTATTTGAAAGAAAGAGGAATATGAATAGAAAGTCCATTTCAGTTTTTAGATATTTTTAAAAGCATAAGAAATAACAATATTCAATTACTGTATAAACTGAAGGAAAAGCTATGTGATAAAAGGAAGGAGGAGAGAAGAGAAGAGAAAATTTTACAGTCAATTAACTATTAACTGGTATTAGAAACTAAGCTGTTTCTTTGCCTTGAAAATAATCGGTATTAACTAGAAATACGTAACCGATGAAGAGCAAAAGTGTTTTTCTAACCTCTTTCCGCTTTTCTTCAAGTTGCAAATAGCTTTTTACTGACACCACTAGAACGATTCCTTATCATTAGCCTCAATTCCCTTGTTTGTACTACAAAGTATTGGAGTTACTGGCTGTAAAAATAGGCCTAATTTTTGAAAGTGTAATCTATCGGACTACCTTATTTAGAACTTTGAAAAAGGCCGTATAATATACAGGAAGTAATTGATCTAACGATTGATAGAGTTGATAGAAAATATTCATGGAAGGATTTCTACGTATTGTTCATTATTCAGGTTTTAGCTTTATGAAAAAATTTAATAGCTGTCTTGTAACTAACAAGTAAATAGAATATATACTAATATATATATATATATATATTAATATATGCTGTATATATACATATATTTATGTATTTGTATGGTAGTATATACGTTTAATCTAATAATTAATATTCATTTATTTTTAAATGATTTTTTTAACGTTAGCAGTTAAGTAATATTGGGTTGGAAATAGGCTTTTACCATTTCTTTACTTTATGCAGCTTTTTATCGATAATTAAGTTTGGTAAAGCGTTTCGATGCAAGGAAAGGAAGAAAAGGAAAGGCAAAGACAAACATCAAAAAGTAAAAGAATCTATAGGCTTTTGACTAGCGTGAAAAAATAAAATAGATTTAGCACCGCCTGTTACGGAACAGGAAAAAATATGCGTCACTAATATAATAGTATATGCTAAAAGGTAAACACATAGAATTAGAATAGAATCGAACGATTTTCGTTATATCATCCAGTAAAGATGAATTATTCCGAAAAAGTCAGAGAGGAGAAATGACGAAAGTTGATTCTTCTGCTGGGGAATCCCCATATCTATCAGTAAATGTCTTTACATTCACGTAACCTTTGCCCTAACTGTGGGTAAATCTGATTTTGCGTTGAAAATGTTATAATATAATCCTCGGATTTTATCCTGATTCCCCAAGTCTCTTCAGTGTCTTACTGGTAAAGTTTTTAAAAATATGGAATTCCCAAACGTTCTTACATACAAACAACCAATCATCGCCATATAGCGGGATGATCAAAGCCCTAAACTTACACTTATCTCGCCTATTTCTTTTCTCTAATCCCCAATTGTATAATAGCCCGTCGTACTAAAGTCGACTACGCAAACAGATCAATCGGCCTCTGTTATTTACACGAGAATTGATGACAAAAATTCGAACATTATACCCTGACTAAAATCGGGTTCTATTCGATCATTGAATCTTAAAAGCGTTCAATAGAAGCGTTTTGTTTATCTATGCTTGTTTAAGAGTGTATTTATAGCTGAAGAAAAGCGTTCGATCTGTCAATGAAAAATCTTTTGCCACATTGCTCTTCTCTCACATATCTAATTCAAGAAAAAAATTGATTGGAAATCATCTCCCTCTCTTTCCGCTTTCTTTACCCTTTTAATATTTAATAGCCACTAGAAAATATTCCCCCTAATAACATTTACACAAGTTTCGATGCCTAATACAATACTGTATATTCAGTGAAAATAGAAATGATTTGTCTTAAAAACAATCTAAAAGAAAGGGTTAATACAAATGAATCACTCTTCATTTCCTGGAGGATAATTTTCAACGATTGAAAATTCTTTAAGCTTATAATGGAATCAAATAAAAAAAGAAAACTCCCTCTTTCTTTTATAATAATGAATGGAGAAACAGTTTTTATTGTAAGAGTTAATTAAGGGATGGAAAAACGTTTCTCCCTCCCTCTTCTCCCTCTTTATATCCTTCTCCATCGCCTTCCTTAATTAATAAGCGTTTTCCAGCTAATGCTTAATTTTTTCCTGCCTAATTTATTCTGAAGAAAGTAATATATCGCAAAACTGTATAAAGTTGAACTTTAGTTAAATTTAAGTCTATTTATCGCTCTCCTACACAATCTCCCAATCAACGCCCAGTCCAACCAATGTCCACTCTAATAATCAAGGCGTCCCTTATTTCTCAATAGACGCTTCTATATGCATAATTCAACTAACTCGGTCTTTTTCCAGCTGAAAGAGACGCCGCTAAACTTCCGGTACTGGTATTCGTCCACGGTGAAAATTATATGTATGGTTCTGGCGATAATTACGATGGTTCCGTATTGGCGGCGGTTGGAAAATTAGTTGTTGTTACTGTTAATTACCGTCTTGGCGTACTCGGTAAGTTTCCTCTATTCCATTTCTTGTTGAAAATCAAACAGAAATCAGTATGAGCGTCTCCTTTATTAAGATTTTTTTTCACGAATCATTGAAACTATTTAGGAATAAAGCAGTATTTTCTACTCTAAGGATTGCAAAGTTCTCTTAGAATGGAACCGAATAAATATTATCAAAATGATGGCTAGTTAACGTAATTTAATAAGTAAAAAGTATACGGGAATAGGGAGAAAATGGGCTAAAGGAGAGGCTATTCGATTCCTGTTTTTTTTTCGCTTTTCGAAAGGGAAATCTACTCGTCTTTTGGGAATTCCCTTTGCTCTTGTAAACGGACCGTATAAAAAGAAGTGTTCTTTGTACAGGATTCCTGAGTTCAGCAGATAGTAATGCACCCGGTAATTACGCTTTATTAGATATTCTTGCTGCTCTGCACTGGGTTCAAGACAACATTGCCGATTTTAAGGGCGATAGATCAAACGTAACAGTGATGGGTCAAGGGTATGGTGCAGCAATGGTTAATTTGCTACTAGTCTCACCCGTTACGAATAGTAAGTATCCACTCAACATTCCCAATCAGACAGCATTGACAGAATGGCGTTGGGTCCTGCTTATCTCTTTACGCCTTCGTTATACATCTTACGAATCAAATCCTTTAGCTGTCCTTCCCCTCTTATTTTATTAGGAAGAAAGATAATCTGATAGATTTATTAACAGCAAAGAAAAGTCGCATTTTTTCCCCAAGATATCTTTAAATTCTTTTTTTAAATGAGGAAAAAAACGGCCACCTCACAGATTTTTGTCCCAACCGCACTGATGGCTAAAGAGAAGTTCGGTGTTTAAATGTCTAAAGCGGTATAAATGCCAAAGAGAGAGAGAGAGAGAGAGAGAGAGAGAGAGAGGTGATTGTTGAGATAACAAGAATTTCAATGGAAAATAAAAGAGATTTCGTTAAGAAATCTACAGTAAAAGAGAGATAAGAATATGAAAAAAAAAGTAAAGAAGGGAGAGAAACATTTAACGTCTAATTTGCATATGAATAAATAAAATTTTAATCATATTTAGTCACTTTTCTAATTTAAAAGACTTTTAACGTTATGAAGATTAATGACCTAATAAGGTAATTTTACTATAAATGTAGTAGTATGAAAAAAAAGAGAGGAGCCTAATTTCACATTTAGCTTAATTAATTATAGATGTATCTATTTTCTATATAAAAGTGCAATAAATTAGAAACGTTTATACGAGTAACAAAGTATAGTAAATACTAAATTTGTAAAACGTTCGTTACATATAATATATATTCAGTCTACAGTTCGTTTCTTAATTTACCTAGTAGGCAAAATAATGAGTTTTACTTCAATCGAAACTAATTCGAGTCAAACCTTTACCTGTAGCTAAAAAATTTTTAAAAGGAACTTTTATGGTTCCTACCCTAAACCTATAACTTTATTCAATATACAGTATATATATATATATATTGTATATTTATATATATATATATATCGTAATCAATAAAAGTATAGGGAATAGAATTTAGAAGAACTAAAAATCATGTAAATAAATATGAAAAGAAGCGATAGGAATCGAGTCGTAAAAATAATTGATTTTTATTATTTAATTTTCCTTTCGGCAACATAAAAGCGAAAGTATTTCAATAAGATTATTATTTAGATTTACTACTAAGATTTTCTCTTTCCCCACTCTTCTTAGTTTAGAACGAGGTGGAAAGGTTTAAGGAAAGGTAGATATTGTGTAGATTTTGTGATAGGAATAAACATATAGATAGAGTGAATAAGGGTTAGTAAAGCGGCAAGAGAAGAAATATATAGAAACATCTCTGGGAGAGAGAGAGAGTGAGCGAGAGGAGAAAAATCCGCTAAAGGATTATTAATTATGACGTAAACCTAAGGCTTCTTTCTTGATTCTTCCCAGCCTTGGTAAAGCTCCATTCCATAAATTAATTTAGTCGATAAAACAATTGTTATCATCGGGCTTGTTTATTAATTAACTAATACTGTTATATTTGACATTTTACATTTAGAAAGTTAAAGAAATTAAGCTAAGTAGTAAAGGTAGGTAAAAAGAAAAGCGTAAGTATATAGATGATGAATGCTACAAAACCTTGAAAACATGATATTTGGGAGTTTCTTCTAGGATTCCTGTCGAAGTACTGTATATTATGATATTATATATAAAAAGAGAAGCCGCCAGAAAAAAGGGAAAAAAATCACCTTTTCTAACAGTATAAAATTGCTTTTGAGTATTTATCTCAGTTTGAGCAAATTTCATCCTTGATTAAATCTAGCTTTGCTATCTTCTTACAATCAGTTACTGTCAATTGCTGTAATGTCATAATTTTTATTTAGTCATATGAATAAATGGATTAAGGACATTTTACCATATTATCACCTTTAGAAAACAGCATCCTTTCATCTGTCTCTTCTGTACTTTTCTATATAGACAAAATTCACTACAGGTAACGTGATCAATTTGGGAAATAATCACCAAGTTATTCAACTTATTTTATCAGGGTTTTGTCACGTGACAATAGTTCCTTATATTAATAGAGCAATTTTGTTAAAATAGAGAGGCCCAGCATGAAAATGAGAGAGTATTAAGGTTAATTGTCCATTTGTAAGCAACTAGAGTTCAAGCTAAAATAAACGACCCACGATAAGCCTGATACATATATTATATATATGGAGTATTATAACATATATTCACAAATATAAACTGAATATATATACGTAATACTGTAGAAATTCACGAAAATTGGTCACTTGTGAATTATAATAGGAAAAATTACCCTTATAGAAATGAACTATAGCAAAAGGGAGGAAAAGGAGAAAAATAGACTTTTAACATTCGTAAATGTTTCTTTTATCCTATAATTTATTTTAATATCTTTTCAACCAGGCAAAACAGGAAAGAACCTCTTCCATCGAGTAATCCTGCAAAGTGGATCGGCTTTAAGTTCGTGGGCTATTGCAAAGGACCCTCGCTATTACGCTAAGCACGTAGGCAAAAAATTTAACTGCACTATCACCAATATGGCAGCATTAATTTCCTGCCTAAAATCCAAGAATTTCTCCGATCTTATTCAAACTGACATTGACAACTTTAAATATCTATCATCACTTGGACCTGTATTGGACCACAGCTCCCTTTTCCCAGGTCGTTTGGAAGCCTTATTTCAAAAAGATACTGCCCTCATTCAACGCATTCCAGTCATGATCGGTTTTACTGCCAACGAGGGACAAATACTTTTCAACGACCTGCAATTAAAAGGCGAGTTCTATCATTTCAAAGTTTTGAATATTTAACGTTTTCTCTTTCCAAGCGCGTCCTTTCTAAACCGCAAATATTCAATTTGTCGAGGATTATCACGCAGTTTTTCAACCCCTTTATTATCATGTAGTGCATTTATTATATAAATGGCACTGCTGACAAGCTTTTTAACCATTGGATATGTGTCAAACATCAGAATAATTGAAATATTTATGCTAATCCTTAATTCTATATAAATATTGTAAACTTCGAATGCATACATTTGGAGAGGAGACGAAAAATGTCGTTTGTAAATAAAGCGCCATCTTTGAACAAATTTTATTGCCTTAGGTGACCCAGCAATCGTTACAAGAAGGAAATTACTAGCTTACTTGCCACTGGCTTTAAAGATAGTATACATTTTACTTAAAATTAAAAAGCTCTTTCTTCTTTAAATACAATAATACCTCGAGTTCTTTTATGTTAAAATTATTATAATCATTATAACAGTCACTGATGTTTAATTAATAATGCAAATTGTCTAAAGATGGAGGAGGAGGAGGGGGAGGAGGAACAGGAGGTAACAAAAAGATAGAAAGCATTTCATCATTTTTTTTTATTCACTCTTAAACCATCTACTCAATTAATTAATAATTAAGTTAGAAAGGTAGCCTTAAGGACAAGTGGGACAAAAGACTATCTTATTTTATCTCCATTGTAGACTTTTCAATTAAGAGTAACATTTAATCTTTTCTCAGTCAAATAACGGTTTTCTTATGGAATATTTAAAATGAATTAATTAATTCTTACATAGACACCTCCAGTGACAAAGTCTGTGAGAGATTTAATAAACAATGTTGATTGAAGGCAACAAATTTCATTTTCTGGTATGTAAATAGTATACTAAAAATATTATGACCTGATTTGAGGTTTTTAAATCCTCTCCAATCTCTCATCAACTAGGAATTTATATTCTGATTTTCATTCGCTTATTATTTTCCTAAAAAACTGAAAAAAATGGAGAAAAAACCACTTTTAACTTGCTTTATTTAATTTATCAATTAAGAAAATTATTTAATTAAGTGCTTTTTTTGTCTTAAATTTTTACAGAAGGAATTTCAGAGCAGGAAAAGAATAGAATGCTAAGAACATACGTTAGGAATGTCTATAGCTATCATCGTCACAAGATTTATGAAATTCTAGCCAATGAATATCAATTATCAGGGAGCGGAGATCCAAAAGCTCTACAAAAACGTCTACAACAACTAATCGGCGATGGTCAATATATTGCCCCAGCGTTAAGAGTTGTCTCCTATTTAAAGTCGGCTTATATTTACTACTTCTCAAAGGGTCCAAGATCAGCCCACGGCTCCGATTTACCCTATATTTTTGGTGCTCCGCTCAATAAGGGAATCAATCCATTTGATACAAAATTTGACAATGATGACGTTTTAGTTAGTGAAGCTATGATTAGATATTACAGTAATTTTGCTTGGAGCGGGTGAGATATCACGTGATTTCTTTTAATCAGATAGATTTTTAATGAAACCTTTTCCTTATAGTGACCCTAATAAACCCGGAAAATTTAAAAACTACGGACAGCATTCTAATAAGACAAAAGTGAACTCTTTCCACAATGCCTACTGGCACTCGCATTCAAAAAAACATCCAAGTTATCTTCAGATAGGTAAATTTTTAGATTACTACCATTAAATACAGCAAAGTTCACGACAAACAGACGTATACTCTTAATCAACGAGCTATGCAACAAAGAACAAGAGATCTTACTTCCTATTATTGAATATATAATATAATAATAGTTCTATCGCTGAAAGAGTAGGAATATAGGAAGTAGGTGTCCTCCTCCATCGGAAATATTAAGCTTTTTTCGCCTGACTAATAGTCGTATCGCGTTAGTTTACAAATAACCGAGAGCGTCTAATTTATGCTTAATAAAAAGGAAAACTCCCCGGAGCTGTTTCAATATTTTTTCCGAACCTTTGCTTATTTAAAGATGAGGAATAAATTGTAAAATAGTAAAATTCATATCAATGAAAGATCTAGTCTAGCATAAACTTGTTGAACGTTGGATCATTGGATTTGAGTTAGTTAAGATTAATCAGGAATTTATGTAAATATAATGAATCGTTTAACGTGTTATTTTGAGGCGTTTAATCGAGAAATTGATGATAATGCTGTAGGCTGACGTTGACGCTTGTTTGTCTATTAAAGATAGCAGGAGACTATTAGGATTAAGTATTTGAAACTACCCCATTTGAATACAGTTATGACGGCCATAAAAGGCAACGCGTATAGGCTGGATGTATATCGCTGAGATAACACAAATTATTCTTTGTTGGGGAGGATTTATTTCAAGGGAAAAAGAGAATTTGTGGGGGTGGTAGGGTGAAGAAAGACTATCTCTAAGCAGAGGATTAATAGTACTATTTACAAATGGAGGATTTTAGATTTATCTTTATTAATAACCCTCGTTCGAAGATTTTTCTTCCTTTTTATCGAATGGAACAATAGTTATTACAGTTGAGCTTTAACGATTTTCCATTTACAGATTCGAATCTTGTACTTCATCGAACTTTCTTCAAAAAGACAAGGATTTCGACCTGGAATGTAGCGATCGAAAAATATCGATCCAACAGCGGTTCACCATCTGCTAAGCATAGACTAGACAATTCCAGTGATATGTCAACTTTTGAAAAATCGGGTACTAGACCTTTAAAACTTAAGCCTATACTACCTCCACCACCTTTTCCGCCGTTTCTTTCACAGCGACAAACTACTGTGTCGACAAGATACTCAACTACTACTAGCACAAAACTTACAAGTAGTGTAGCTACGTCAACTGTTAGGAAATTTACGACTAGTACAGTACCGACATCTACTGTTATTTCGAATTTGATAAATGACAAAGGGGAAGTTAGCTTCTCAACTATGTCGCTGTCAATAACGATAGCCGTTGGATGCTCGTTATTATTTATTAACGTTATAGTCTTTGCCTCATTTTTATATCAAAGGGAAAAACTTTGGAAGGAGCTGAAAAGGAGACAAAGAGAATTAGAAGAGAGAGAGCGAGTTGCGAATTCGGGTCTTGAAGAGAGTGATAGACTGACAATAGCTCCATCTCCCAAAGCTCCCGTTAAAGTAACAAAATATTACGAGATAAATCATCATTCAGTTCAAAGATCTGCTCCACCTAGTGCTTATCAGACACTTAGTCGAACAACGGCTATACCATTTCAGGAAAATTGTACAGATGGATTTGTTACAAGACCTGTAACTCAGGTTTAAAGTTTTTTCTCTGCAATGTTAATTGTGGGTGCTTAGTTATTTAAAAAAAATAAACAATAGTAAAAGAAGAAGCAGAAGAAGAAGAATAAGGAGGATGAGGAGAAAAAGATAAAGAGGCGTTCCTCTTGTTTGTTTTTTATACGACTAAATAAAACTGAATGAAAACTGTTCAGAATGACAAAGCTATTTTTACTTTTTAAAGGAAATATGAAAAATATTTGCTATGGAATTATATTTAAAAAATTCCTATTCTCTTTTATATTATTTAATTTTGTATTAGTATGATTATACTATATATTCTTCATATAATGCTGAAAAAAACACACTTACATACAGACTTTCCAACATATCACACTCATACCTACAGCAATTTAGTTAATTAAGAAAGATAATAACAAACTAGGCAAACATAACAAACAAATAAAACCTAATAAATAAACAAAACAACCAAAGAAAAGTGTATTCTTTTTTAATTTGATATTAAGTTTGTTTCTCGTTAATTCAACATTTTTGTATTCCATATCTGTATGTATTTTTAGATAAGAAAAAACTGTCTATCTATCCATACATCTATATATTAATATATATATATATATATAGGTATATAGATATGTTAAAAATATTGATTTGTTCTTGTTCAAAAGCTGGAGAGAGAGCGAGAGAGAGAGAGAAAGGGAAGAAATTATAAACAAATAAACAAACAAATATACAAATAGATAAAGAGAAGAACAAATAAAAAACAGAAACAAATGACTGACAAAGTTAATAAATATTTTAACTAAAAGAGAAAAACAAATGAAGGAGCGAAAACAGGATACTTTATTTTAAATATTACATTTGTTAGCAGTTTCTATAAATAGCTAAGCTTCAATACGAATGTTATAAATAGTATAGTATAAAGAATATATTTTATTTACATTTAATAAGATAGTACTTGGGAAAAAAATTCTTATTCTTTTAAAATTGTCCTTCTTTTCTATATAGTTTCCATAATTGAATCATTCGAATTGTGGAGAAATTCAGATGATAGAAATCAAACAGTTGATCATTTCGACGAGGCAATTCACGTCAAATTTTGACGTTAGAAGACTTGCTACATAATTATCTTTTCTCTTCCTCTTCTGATATCTTTGAAAGGGTACTTGACGATTTATTCATGAATCTATATTATTATGATTATTCCTTTTATCAATTAGGAAATATTCAGTTTGCTTTGTTGGGAATGTACAAAGGCTACTACTGTAAAAAAGAAGAAGCTAATGTTCTCTAACTTTCTACAATATTCTTTTAGATTTAAAGTCGAAAAGGGAATTATTCATTAAACGCAAATTTCAATAGTCTTCTTTATTTAACTATTTTATCCTTGCGTAGAGCCGAAATGGTGGTATTTCCTTTTACATCGTCCCTACTCTATATTGGCTCTTTATGTTCTTAAATATTAATAGGAACTAATAGCCTTGACTTTTTTAAAGTTAACCAAAAACAAAGAGGAGTTGATTAAACCTTTTTCTCCTCCGGAGAGTAGTGGGAAAAATAATTTTGCTTCGGGCTTGCTAAGAAATAAATATATGCAGCACTTCCTAATCTTCTGTTAGTTTTGAAAGTGAGAGCGAAGAAGAGAGGGGCAGAGGGAGCGACCGAGGTGGAACAAAAAATATTGGAAATAGGGGAAAGAGCAGGGGAGGTTATGGAAAGAAACAAACTGTTAACGTTCGACGGATAATAGATGGCGTCACTTGCCTATAAATCTTAAAAAAAAAACAATACAGACAAGTTTATTACGTACACGCACACCGATACACTTTATTTAACAATAAAGTTTTATTTTACGCAGGCAATGCTTGTATATAAATTCTTTTTCGAATTCAGAATGCCTGAACACAACATCAATCGAAAAAGTAATCGAGGTTGCTAACCTTGACCTTTTTTCTTAAGGTTTGCACATAAACCCGGCCAAACAAAAAAAAAATATTTCGTTAAAAAGGCTAGGGAAGGACGAAAGAACGAATAATTTTTATAGTTTTCAAGTTCGTTATTAATCTGCAAGCTAATTTTTTTTGTATTTATTCAGATTTAGAACTGGAATTCGGCTGCTCGCTCGTGTTGGCGTTTAACAAGAGCCAGTTTCGATTTAGTATTATGAATCAATGGAGAAGTTTGGCTCGTGTATGGAGATTTCTGGGTACCGTGGAGCATAAGAGTCCATTCGAATAGGTTTCCAGATTGGAATTCCTCCGACTGTTAGAGACACAAACACAAAAGAAATAATTAATAAATATAAGTTATATTCATCTCATATTATTGCCTTTCACCGTATTACTGTTATATAATACAATAATCTTTAGAAAAAAGACCACCACCACCTCCCTAATCCGATTAAAAAGCAGAAAAGTAGATTAAAATGAAGTATTATTATTAACCTCTCTCTTATTGAGGATTGGTTTAGGTGTTTGCTTGTGACATATTTACGAAGATTCCAGTATCCTTATAGCTTTTACATTTGAAAAATATTGCATATGTAAGAATATACATATAGATATATTGTATATATATATATATATATATATATATATATATATATATATATATATATACATACTTTATTACTACTGTATATAAATTAGATATACATAAGTAATGACTATACCTAAATTAATCTATATGCTTTCAAAATATGAGGATTACCTCTGAGCTGAATGTGACAAACAATATCCATTTTCCTCTAGGATTCTCGGCCCAGGAATGAGTAGTCATAAATGGCCATTTATTAAATCCATCCTTATTATCATCGTCATTTGGTCTCCTACTTAAAATCAACGAGGTTGTATTCATGGGAGATGTCAGATAAATGGTTACATCGCCTCTTCTTGTTGAATTCAAAGTGATAAAGCTTTGAACATGTTCCAAGTAGTTTACCTGATTCTTTTTACCCCTGCAACCATCCGTGTCTATTTGTAGTTTCAATGCGTTCTTGGAATCAAACTTGTATACACCTTTAACGGTACCAGCTGTACAATGAAATCTTTCGGGGACAGTTTTCCAATCTTTAGCCAAATCAACCATATCTCCAGCATCTAAAACTCCATAGCCAAAAAGATGATTAAATTCAAGACCAGCACCGTTCATTGTCCATTGATGGTGTGCGGTGGGATCTTCTAAGTGGTTTCTCTTTGATGTAAGGACAGTAAGGTGTTGAACATCTCTCCAAGTCAATTTCCTGTTAGCTTCCAAGGCTAAAGCAAAAACTCCTGCAGCTTCTGGTGCGGCAGCAGATGTACCTGAATGCTTGGTGGTACATTTTCCATACAAATCAGTGGTAGCTACTCCAGCGTCCTTGTAGCCTATTAAATTATGTATAGGGTCAGTAAATTTGCTTTTTGTACTCAACATGTGTAAATATAATAGAATTTACCTGGTTTACCGTTGGAAAAGGTAGATGCCAATGTAGAGCTACAGCTTTCGTCGTAACTAGCGGTTCTACCATCGTTTGTTGCACTGTTTATTGAAATGGTCCACATTGAAGCGGCATAACCATCACAGTTACAATCATCGGAAGGTCCACCATCACCACTAGCCCAAACGTAAATTGAACCTAATCCATTTCTACCCTCATTTACTCCCTTTACTATGGCACGCATTGTGGCGTTTCTAGGTCCTAATTATACAAATACAAAAAATTTGTTACCTAAAATATTGGATTAGTAAAAAACTAATGAATTTACCATCAACCGTTTTTCCATCATCAGTTGGACCCCAACTTGCGCTGTAAATATCAATCAAGTCTGGTCTGTGGCTCATTGAGCTAGCTTCGATTAAATCTGTCATGTAAGGTTGATCAAGCATCCTCAGACCAGCAATTTTACTATTATAAGCTACACCAACACCACAAATACCATTATTTCTCTTTGCAGCAATTTCTCCGGCACACCTCGTTCCGTGAGAATTGAACCAGTCGTCTGTGTAACGCGGATATGGGAAGTTATCGTTAGAACTGAAGTCGAAGGAAGCTTCTGCATTGAAATTATCGAAGAGATCAGGATGCATATAATCAACACCATCATCCATTATAGCAGTGGTAATGTTTTTGCCGGTATAGCCTTTAGCCCATGCAGCTTCAGCATTTAAATCCAAACCAGGAACTCCTCCTGCTTGTCCAGTGTTTTTCTAGAAATAAAATATTTTCTTCTATTTATACTTAATCGGTTTAATAAACAATACATACTATATACCATTCCTTATCAAATAAGGGATCTTCTTCATTAGAGCCTTTTTTCGGTGGAAAGGCATTGATGCTCTCTATTGGCTTTTCTTCGTCCAACAAAGATTTAAGAGGTTTAAAACCTCTTTTAGATCTTTTGTAACCAGCTTGTTGAACAGCCGTAGCGATTAAAGGATCGAGTTTTAGGTTCTTAGTATGGCGGATACTTCTCTTCTTCCTATTGGATTTTACTTGCGGGTGCATGAAGTGATATTCCCTCTTAGAACCCAACATTGGCATGATCATAAGAAACCCGTTACGGTTAGCAACATCATGGGCTGTTTGATGATCAACGTCTCTCTTGAAAATTACCTATAAACATTGGAAAAGTGAATAAAAACAATCTCCTATAGAAGTAATTTACATCTTATATTATTCTATATTTAGATATCAGTTATAAATTAACTAAATTGAACATCTTAACTATGTGTAAATATTATCTAAATATAGCAATAAAAAAACGCTGAGTATTCACTTTGTCATTTTTAAACACTAGGATTGATAAACTTAATATTTAATATTACAATATTAGTAACTTTAAAAGAGTGACAATCGTAATCCTTACAATTCTCATAGGTCGAAGACCTTTACGTTGAATTTACATAATCACCAGTAATCAAAAAATTTTTTAAATCATCTTTGATACCATGTATAATCTTACTAGTAATTCTAACATATGTTTATGGCTTAAGCGAAAAGGGTATCTCTAAAAACGTATAGAAGAGATATTTAACGTTTAATTTACATATATCATCACTTTCTTAATAGATACTAATAATAAGGACTTTCTTTTTATAATTATATACGTCCTATCCTTTACAAACATTGTTTGTAGGGGTATTAAATAGCTTGGACAGAAAAAACTTTTTTAACCTCAAAGGCGTTATTTTTATGGGAAATTATAGAATATTATACATAATTTTAGTTACTAAATGACATATTTTCACATTTCCATTGCAGAAATATCTTGAATTCATGTTAGAAAAGATAAAATTTAACCGTTTACCGATACTTACATGCCAGCTGTTTGTCATAACCTCTTCTTCGGCTGCCAAGAAGCTGGTTGAAAAAATAACAAGGTTTAGCAGCCCTATGGCCGCAAAAAAGCGGGCCATAATCGAAATTTGATTAGAAAACAGAGCTGCTAATCAGTATAATTTCAGTTTGTACGTCAAAAGAAGTAAAACAACCACAGGAAGTTGAATGATTAACATAACATTATCTATGCTAGTGACGTACTTTATTTCTGCTCACAGGTTCAAAAAACTCTCCATAGCTTTTCGTATTACCCTACTTTTTTTTTTTAAAGAAAATAAAACAATAATTTTTCAAGATTTTTGTAATTAAACTAGTATCTCTATGACAAATTTTTTTTATAAAAGTAAAGATGTAAAGGTCTATATATACTTCTATATATATATATATATATAGATATATATATAGAAGTATATAAATCCTATATGTAACGCTTATCGATTGAAGGCGTTTCCAAGGAGATGGATGGAGACGCCTACGCTCATTTATTCTAAATCGGTTATACTAAACTCCAGATTATATTTGCTTTTTATTTCTATTTAATACTATTCAAGATAATTTCTATTTATACTAATTATTATAATGTGCACGAAATCATGAAAATATTAATAAAATAGGCCTACTTCTTTCAATAATATGAACTTTTAATAGATAAATTCTTTGATATATTTTTAACGGTTTCTCTTATATACCTACAATTTATGTATTCAATTTCCTGTTTGATCAATCTCTCTCTCTCTCAATCTCTGTATAGAGGTAGAGCTTGTTTTTTCTCTTTGTCTTTTATTTCTTTGTAATAGTAGTCGTATGACGGTAAAAGATATCTTATTGAAACTTTTGTTTACAAGATAATTACCTCTTTTATCCTTTCGTTAGAATTACGTAATAGCAGTATACTATTTAACAGAGGATTATTTTTAATATATAAAACTTGATATGTGATATAACTGGTAGATAATAAAAACTTAAAGGCAAGTTTCTTCCAGTATATTGTTCAGTGATAAGGCAGGATTAAAAGTTTTTTAATTATTTTTAATCAGGAAATCCCTTTAATTATGCTCTCTTTTGTGGTTAATCCATTAAGAGTTAATTGAGGCGAAATATTTTAATCTTTAATAAATGTTAGAAAATGTACCATATTGATCTTAGAAAGTGGAACACAGTCTCTATACATTGAACAGCTAATTTCAATAAAAGTTCTTTTCATTCATTTCTTTATAATGATAAGTGGTAAAGAGATTTATTTTAGACCCTTATTGTGAGTCTTTTGAAAAAGATTTCAAGTAATACGATATTAGCGAAGGTTAATCTATTTCTCTCTCAACAATATTTCTACTTCATTTTCGAATTAAAAAGCCTAATTTTCTAACAGATCTACTAATGGGATCGTTGAAAATAGGAATAAGGGGAAAAAGGAGATGAAATAGTAACAAAGTTCAAGGGTTGCTTTATTTAATAAATCTTCATAAGTATAAGATAGAAAACACGAATAAAGGCAAGACTTTTTTCATCCAAATAACTTTCCTTTTCCTGGCGCCATCTTATAGAAAAAGCTATCGAAATGGACGGGCAATAGAGGGCGTTGTATTAAAAGATCCATTTTTCTTACAAATTTTAAGAGCTTATAATTAGGGAAAATGAAGAGGATTCACTTATTCATTAAGAGAGAAGAAAGGAACAGACCCTTTCAACAAACGTCATTATCTATAAATACATAAATAAATTTTTGTCAATTAATAAGCGGGGCTAATTTAGTATCTACAGAGTAACATATTCAAAGTTCCTTAATTAAACTTAAGTATATTTTAAAGTATTTATCTTTGAAGTTTCTATGGAAGAGCATGGGATTTCAAAAAATTTTACAAAATTAGCCAAGGAATTAGGAGAAAGAATAAAGAAACGAAGAAAATGAAAAACCGTCTCTTAACGCCTAATATTTACTTAGACGGCTCGGGGTATTTGGAAATTTTAGATTCTTACCCGGAAGGGCGTTATCTTGAGGACACAGGTGGCGCTTCAATAAGGGAAATGGAGGGTTGTTGGTAAATTTTTTTGAAATACGAACGTAAGAAAGAAATGGGAGTGAAAGGGATAGGAGGAGTATTTTTAGTACGGTATGACAGAAAGGGAAGAACGAGCTGACGGCAAGCCATTCACGAGGGAAATTCATTGAAGCACAATAGAACAGTATGCCTTTATATAGAAGACTAGAAGAGAAAGAGGGCAAATGTGTTGCTATTAGTGCGTGTGTTCTACTGTATATAAGTGTATTTCAGTATGTGTGCGAGCACGTGTATATAAGTATATATATGTATGTATATAAGCGTGTATAAGTGTGTGTATGTGTATGTCTTGTACGTTGTATGCTTAGTTTGTACTACATATAAAGAAAAAGTGTATATGGAAGTGTTCCGTCGTAAGTAGATAATGAGAAAATTCTCCTTCCTTTGTTAGTAAGTACGAAGAGGGTTCTTAAATCTCAACGGGTCACTTTATAAAAAACAAGGTTTAATGTTTAAATTCAAACCCAGTACGCTGTTTGCCTGACTCCTATTATCCTGGAGACAAACACGCTTGGGGATTTGATGGAAAAATCCTTCGCAATCTCTGCCTCCGTTACCGATATTGGCAGGCCGAAGGCCTAATAAGAACCTAAAAGTTTAAATTTACATATGCAAATATGATAATTAGCTTATATTAACAAATAGGGACAATATTTAGTATTAAATGATTGAAAAGGGAAACGAATGACTGTTAGAATTATTTATTAAGGGACGGAAAATATCTAAGGGACTACCTATGTCGCACATTTGGGAATACACAATGTGAAGACTATCAAGAACTAATAGGATACTTGACATATTTCATATGATTTATGAATATTTCCAATTACCAAACACCGATCGATTATTTCACACGGACGGATGATTTATCATCTACAATTTATATACTAGTTTAGTTAGCTGTAACTTTATAATATACTGTTTTCTGAGGGATATTGAAAACTATTTATATAGGCTGGACGGTGGGAAAGGACAAACTATTATCCGAGCAATACTCTGTGCAAATTCGCAGGAAAACGAAATCTAGTCGAATGAAAAAGATGCGGGCAAAATCGAATTGAGAATAGAATGCATGTGGTGGATTGCAATGAATACGCGTCCATCATAATCAAACTTCGAGTTAGGTAATCCGTTTGACGGCCGAGGTAATTTTCCCCTCTTCCTTTTAACAATAACTATCTCAATCTTATACGACACAATCTAGTTGTGGGTCCTCTTTTTCCATTTTTCCTTTCTCTTTCTTTCTTTCCCCCTTTTTCTCCCCTGACTCATCAGAAACTCTCTGCTTCCACTCCAAGATCTCTCACGCGCTTTTTCTCCACCATATCTGTTTCTTTATATGGCTTCAAAGCTTTAATGGAATTACAGGGTTCACACTACGTAATACTCGTGCCAGTTAGAAATAAGGTTGACTTTATTAAAAAGAAAAGACTGAGGTAATAGTTTACTCTATTATCTTCCTCATATTGATTAGTGTAAAGTGCGCACAAGAGACGTCTTTATTCAACTCAGTCGTAAAAGAGTAAGACACAGGTGTTTAATATAGCTTATAATTATGTTTTCTACTTTACCGCTTATTTCTACCCAAGACGCTATCTGTTTATTTATCATTCTATAACGCTAGGAAAACGGATAGTGTCGTCTATTTTTCTAATTCTCTCTGTTAAGAATATTCGTTTTAACGGTTGTTGCACAATTTACTTTAATAGCCAAGCCACAAAGAGCAGCTTAAAGACAAAAGACAATAAAGCTCATTATGATTAATCCAACAGTGCCCTGTCATTGTATAGTCAAGGCTCAAACCGCCATGTCAAGGTCAGGCCTATAGGTTTTACAATCCCTTTCTGCTTGATTACATTGTCTAAAGCAACGGGGATTTGTCATATTCCTAATGAACGCTCAACTATATCCGGCTAAGCGTACAGATGCGTAATGGCGGAGAGGAAACTAAATAAACGCTTTTTAAATGAATCCTAATAGTTTTCTTATGCTAGTTTGGTAGCATAACCTTTTTCTTAAACGTAATGTTGTTGTAACATTAATAATTATAATTAATTTATGTAATTTCATTCAAAAGTAGTACCTTTCTTGGGTACGTAACTTGTCTCGTTAATTACAATCGATGTAAGTCAATTACAGTACGGAAAATTGTACCGAATGACGTTTCTGTAATTGCAATACCCTCGGGAGTCGTACATTTTTGCAGCATTGAATTTCTATGATAAATCGAGCTGTATTTGCGAAGAGATGATTCCCTTTAAATACCTCAATGTCTCTGCATAATGTAATTGGCACAGCAGGTAGTAATTTCTTATGTATCCCTACGATCATTAAAATAAATTACTCTTTTTTTAATACATTGAAAGCTAATATTTAAATATAGTACTTGCTTGAGTAGTCTATGTTTGTAAAATTTTTTGGCCTATTGTTAGATCTTTCCAAACGCAAAATAAAAAAAAATTCTCTAATCGCCTCCGTAGATTAATTAATATCCGTGTTTTTTTTCTTTCCACGACCCCATGAGTACAGAAAACTAGATAAATCATTACCCATCGTCCCTTACTAACTTAAGTAAACTAGACCAGTCTACAAACGCCCTGAGAGTAAATTACTCAATTTTGACCTCAAGTAACTTGACCTGTCTAAAGTTCTGTTTCTCATTATATAATAATGTATATATATATATAAAGTTATATCATAGACTAAAACTATATACGTGCTTGCTGTAGACAAAGTTTATAGATCATCCAAATGTAAATAGGTATTAAGTTATAGAGGAAAGGATTACGGAAGACGGGGAGAGAGGGTGAAGCGAAGAAGGAATAGGAAGAGTCAGGCGTACAAGCTGGAAAGATTAGAGATAAATAAGAAAAGATTTAGAATAAGGAAGAGATAGGAAGAGGCAAAGACAGCCACAGAGAGACAGTAAGACAAGAAAAAGGAAAGAAAATATAAATATATAAATATCTACCGTCTGAAATGGGATATAAGAGAAAAAAGAAGATATGGAGAGAGAGTGTGTGTATGAGTGTGTGTATGTGCGAAAGAGAGAGAGAGAGGGAGAGGGAGAGAGAGAGAGAGAGAGCGAGATAGAGATTTTGGCGTGTTTAGACGAAATAAAACTTATAATAAAACAAGAAAAAAGATGAATTTATTCACAAGACGAAATGAAAAAATGCACTGAACATAATAGTTTTTTCTATCTGTATTTGCAAATGTATATAATTAATACATATTCATAATGAGTCATTGTAGTATGAATTAAAGTAAATTATTCCTTTTATTGTGTGCCATTCATAGTATAAATTCTAAAAGAACATAAAGGTTATATGTGTAGATCGTATATATAGTATATATATATATGAATGTTTGTACTGAAGTAGATAATGTACGTGTTTACAGAACTTTATTAACAAACAAGTGTATTAGAGGTAAAACAGTATAGTGGTACTATATATGTCATCATTTGTAAATTTATATTATTGATGGTATTATAAAATTATTTCTCACTCTTGTTTTTTTCTCTCAAGTAAAGGAAAGTGATGTTTATGTAACTTTAAAGCAGTATTAAGAAAAAAATTGCCACTCAGGAAGCGTGTCGCTCATCGCAGTACAGACTTTATCCGCGCAACACTGCAAAACGTGCCTTCTCGTCTTATTAACAACCAGCAACTCTCCAACTCTGCCGCGGGTTTTTTTTCGACTTGTTCTTGTACTATTCGTTTGTTTTCTTCTATTATATTTCCACCACTCATTACAAGATTGGGAAAAAAAAAGGAAACGATAGGCCTAAAGTTGAGTGGCGAATACAGAAGGACAATAGAAAGTAGAGGAAGAAGAAAAGAGGAAGAGAAGAAAAAGGAGGGAAAGAATAAAGAGCTAAAGTTAGTGATAAAAGATAGAAGAAATTTATCTTTTTTGACTTTATCGCTCCTTAACGGCTCACCCGTTTTTCAGGTAGGTGATTTGTTCTGATAGAATTTTGTAAAGATTCGTAGAAAGGAATAGATTTATCTGTTGTTTTTGTTGCTAACTAACCTCTAACTCTTCAACTGCCACTCGCTCTATAATCAGTTTTTCTAATTAATTGATAACGAGGAATGCTATTGGTTGAGAGTTTATTTTACGGTGTTCTCCCCACAATTTAACCTCTGATGGGCGTAAAGAAAGAGAATAAGAAAAGGGAAATGAGGAAGAAGAATAAGAAGAAAATTCAAGAAATTAGTGATAAATCGTAATAAGGGGAAAGAAAGAAAACAAAGGAAGGAAGGATGGTATATGAATGAAAGTGCCTGAAGGTAGATGTAAATGGAGGATAATACGATGTTAAGTAAGATAAAAGGCACATAGTTCTAAGAGCTCATTCCCCTTACGTAACCTATGTAGATGTAATTTTTTCGAGTAACCGGGGAAGCTATGGCCTCCCGCTAACTAATTCTCTGCAATTTTTCCAAGTAATTGATCCGAAAGCATTCCCTCACAAATTAACCTCCTTTTCAAAAAGAAAACATTGGATTTACGCCCTTTCCTCAGCCTTAACCCACCCCCTCCCTCCTTACAAAGCTAACTCTACCATACTTAAAAAAACCAATGGGGCGGTTTTATATAAATTAACTATCGGAAGAACTCTTATATGATTTATTTTTTTTTCTGCTATGCTCTTTTTTTATTAGACGCCAAGGCTGTTTTCAGGGTTTTGTGACTTATTCAGAAACCGGAAGACAACATTGTTCCCTACTTAGCTAGAAAAAAATTATTTCATTGCGATGGCAATCTGTCGGCGATTTTCATTTTAGCGTTTTCCCTTCACCACCCCCTTTTAACCCTTTCTTTTTTTTAAATTATATGATTTGTCTCCCTCGATCGCGTGCACCGCTGTAAATAACGAAAAACGGTTTTTATTAATAAAAACCGCCATCTGCTAAACTGTATAATATACCAATAGATGGCGGTGCGCAAAGAAAAGAATGAGGGCATTGAAGTCGCTTAGTAAGTCAAAGCTATACGCCATTTAGTATTGATCAAATTTATCGCTGTGTCCTATGCCTACGTAGGCGATTCGTTCTACATATTCATTGGACTTTCTTCTTCGGTCTCGATCCGTCTAAGACTCTCGCTCTCTCCGTCTATCTGTGTAGACATATTCTCTTTACATAACCACTTTGATAATAAAAGGAAGATTTATTGGATAGAGAGCCTGGAAGAGAGAAAAAAGAGAAAAAGCTTTACTCGGATCGAAAGAGAAATAACACTACGTTTTAGTTTGGGGCAACGTTCGACTATTGTAGCATAAAAACACGCCTACCTGAAGAATAAAAGGAAAGACATTACACTACTAGAACTTGTCTTTAGTCAATCATGGCTGTCGAAATACACTTTAGATCCGATTCTACCTTATTAAGGAATCTGCCTGCTTCACAGCTGCCATGTATAGGGAGGATAACCCGTGGTCATTATTCTCATATCGGAGCTTCGAAAAATAGCGAAAGAGATCTTTATATTTATAATATTTACGAAGGTGATGCCATTTTGGCTGAGGTTAATCGTGATGATGTACAAATATCGATACCGAAGGCCTATCGCGGCTTTTTTGAAGTGTTAAATGCTGAAGGATTATCGACTAGCACGACTGTGGTAGGCGTACGACAATTGGCAAAAATTTTTCCAAAAACAGCTCTAGTGAGGCAGCAAGTTTGTGCTTTAGTTTATTCGATTTCCCAATCGGGTCAACTGGTCCTTAATAAGCAACGTTATCTGGCAGGGGGTGAAATAATTAAATTAATGGCCCTTCTCAAAGTCAAGGCTGGATCAACTGGAAAAAATCACGAATTAATTAAAGTTCAAACGAAAAATAAAGAGACGCTTTTTCTATCAGTTAAAGATAATAATGGTATATTTAGTCCAATAGCTGAAAATGCCGATGAGGCGGGTGTCTATTCAATCTCATCGTTAATAGACCACTATAGATTTCCGCTAAATGTCCGACTAGTCCATGGCGTAGTACCATCTAATTTGGAATCGTTTAATGGGACGATGACCCTTGTACGCTCCTATAAAGATGAAGAAATTATAGCTTGTGATTTCAATGGCCAAGCTCTTTCAATACCTAAGAATGAGGCTTTGCGCCTTATATTTTCTACAAATATAGACAAACCAGATATTTTGTTTCCCGAATTGGCTAATAAGTGCAAACGCATGTTTAATTATTTTGATAAATCAATGCATTTCCTCAGACATCCGCCGGAAGAAAAATCCTTCTATAAGGAAGCAGAATTTATAGACGATTCATTGAGTGAACACATTCTGGAGGAAATTGATGAACTCTACATGCACGTTCGAACCGGTGAACCTATAAAGAAACTTAAGAAAAGGAAACAGAACGGTCATGTAGAAAACAACGTAAACAAAGAATTTCCTTTTGAGAGACCTGAACACGAGTATGAAACTTTACCCGATCCAGTGGTTATAAACGATCCCGAAGTAGAAAAAGTATTAGGTAGCGATTTGAAACTCTCGGAATCTGAAGAATGTCCCATTATTAATCAAGATACAGTAATAGAAGGGACGATAGAGCTACCCCGTAGACCTAGTGAAGATTATGAGTCACGCAATCCAGTTCAAACACCTGCGCACAAAGACTTACCGGAACTTAAACAAACCGACGTTGTCAGCTTGCGCCAAGCAATAAAGAATAGAAAAACCGGACTCTCATCCTCTCTTTTATCTAATGAGGATAATTAATCCGTCTCTTCATTTTTCTTTCTTAATTCTTTATCAATAGCTATAGCTTTCAAACGAAAGAAAGAGAAAAGCAAACAAACCTCAAGGCTAAATATTTACGGGTAATGAATACATCATTCGTACCTTATAAAAAAGAGACTAATTTGCATTCAACTCATGCTGACATCTATCGGAAAGATAATTATTTGGGCGTACTTGAACAATTGCATTATACGTTAATGTAAAGAGAGTAATAGAATCCTTGTTAACACACGTAACCCTATCCTTGAATCGGACATGCCACAGCCTCAATTAACTAACGGTAAACACGTTCTAGACGTCTCTTGTAACCTGACCTCCTAATTAGGGACGCTTACGTAATTTGCTTTCGCGTCTAAATGGGCAGATGTAGTGGACGGTGTTCGTAATTATTCTCTTTGACGAAAAACTGGCGGTGACAGGTAGTTTGTCAAATCCCTATCCCCTTTCAACTTCTTGGCCTAAGATATCCTTTTATCCGTTTAAAGGGCCTAAGATAGAGAAAATTGAAAGATCTTACGCACTCTTTAGTGCAGTTGGCAAAGTCTTTAAAGAGAGTCTAAAAAAAGAGAAAATGAGAAGAACAAGGTATTCGAAGAGATGAAGGGAAAAGTATAAGAGAGATATAGAGAATGGAAAAGAGAAAAAGTAAAGAAAATTGTAAAGAACAGATAGAAGCTAACTTTGAGCCCAGGGCAAAGAGAATATTTACGCTTGTAAAAAGTAAAAACCGTTAAGTTTTAAACAGAAAGGGCGGTTATATAGTTTTTCGTTTGTCAGGTGGCTGAGTGGGAATTTCGATTAGGGGAGCGATAATTCGAAATCGGCACCTGCGTAAGAGCTTACGTTCCCCGGTGCGGGGCAGGGAGGAAGTTTGTATATTTATTCCCGCTTAGATGTCGGCTGCCGGAGCGGCGGGCGAATAATTGCCCTGTTTTATAATCAGACACGGAAGTAAACAGCTTTAACTCGTTTTGACAAACCAGTTCCCTCATCAATTCAACTTAGTGTAGACGAGGAAGGGAATGTAAAGAAAATAGAATGAAAGGGAGGAGTCAAACGTATTTCTAGTACAATTTCCATCCCCCTTCGCCTATATCTACCATCCCTATGCTGACGGGACGACGCAGCTGGCGCCATAAAACACTCGTTAAGTGTCAGGAATAAAAACACAGATGGGTCTAATGACTGACGATGTGTTCATTAGGGATTTATACATCTACGGCTTAAGCCTATGTAGCTTACGGCTAACTCGAAGGTAGCGGCGTCTATTCTTTTGGTTTCCGTCGTCTGTGCGTAACGGGCTTCTTTAATCACCATCCTTAATCTGGGAATTATAGCGTAAAAAATGCACTGAGAGGTTGCCCGCCCTATTAAATCTTTTACTGAAATTAAGGAAAAATTTAATGTTCTCTATTCCCTTTCCACTCTTCTCACTCTTTCCCTCTTAAGTTGTGTTTAACACATCATCTACACTTGTAGAATAGGCCTATTTCTTGGGTAAGCGTGACGAAGGTTCGTTAGCAGAGGAATAGCTGATAATAGTAAGAAATTTTAAGGCGGAATTCGCGATCAATTAGGACATTCGTTAACCGTTGACTGAAAAGTCGCGTCAACGGCGTTTCCCGCTTTTCCTTTAGACGACGTGCAACAAATAGTAAAAAAGGAGAATTTGGCGTTAATTGCTCTAATATACTACCAGTTCAAAGGGTATAATAAAATCACGACAAAAGCAATAAATGCTTCAAACGCAATCGTGCAATTGTCTATATATCTAATCAATATACGAAACGAATTGCGACTACATTCGTACGGGTGTCACGTACTAGTAATTAAGCGTCGTTCGACGTTTGTTTATTCATCTCATAGACATATGGAAAAATCGTTGATCTGAACTTTGACCCGCTTGTCGAGTTGACCGATATTAATCGGTTTTTTGTATACATTTTCAATCAAACCGTATGTTTTTTTTTGGTCCAACGTGAATGACGTACAACTCAAAGGTGGAGAGTTACTAGGTTTTACAAATTTTACCCAGAAAAAGTTATCTGTAAGAGAATAGAGTAATGCGTTTCCTTTTTATATTGTATGGTGGAGAGCCTCAGCCAATCCTTTTCCAGTTTAGTATATACGTTTGTTAATTATTCGCGCAGACCGCTATAAATTCCATGCTTACCACCTGCAAGCGGTCTGACGGATTTTCTGCCCGCGGTGCTATTGCAAGTTTAATGAAATGTTTGATTTCACACTTTATCTGCACTCTTCTACGGAGAGCGGATAAATAGTATATTTCTTTTTCCGCTCCCGTCAACCAAATGATCTAACATTCAGAATCTTCTTGATCCGGCCTAATCTCATCTTTCATGTTCGTCTTAACCTAACTATCGTTTTTATCAAATGGATCATCTTTTTGGCTCCTTTTTGAAAACAGATTTTATTTTTATTTTTATAGAACTAAAGAAGAGGAAAGTTTGACGAAAGAACAATACTAAAACGAATTACTTAAGATAGCAAAGACTCAAGGAATGGAGATGACAAACATAAAGTTAGGATTATGGACAGTCATCTTAACTTTCATCGCTGCTGTAAACGGTAAGTTTAGTATTAAAAAAAGCTAGTAGACGCCTCGTCTTTATTCTTTATAAATACATACTGATCAACAATGAACGCTTATTTGCCTAAGTGATGGATGCCAGAATCGACTGCGTGGTCTTTGTAGAGTTTGTGGATATTGATGAGCGTTGACACAGGGTCAACCGTTCTTCGCATTTCTAGAGCGGAGATTTGTAAAATTCGCTACAAACTTTATCGTGATGAGTAATTGGGTTTGTCAAACGAATTTGGATATGTTTACATATTGTTATACGGAATATAGGCTACATTATGAACTGTATATAGGATTTACTCAAGCGCAAAAGCTGGCTAATCCAACATATAGTATAATCGCTATGGGATAGAGAGAAAGTAAAAAAAAGAAACAGAGTAGGGAAATGAGAGAAGAACGACTAAAAGAAATGCGGTAGATTATCTCAGTACAGTTGGCAAATGAGTGCGAATGCGTAAAAATTCTCTTCCCGCCAAAAGAAACTTTATTTTACTTAGGGAATAGTTTTCTCCCCAGCTTGCCAAGGTTGAAGGTGGTAATGAGAGGGTAGCACTTAAACACGTAGTTGTTTTTTGTACATTGTAAGCAATATATAAGCCTAACAAATATGACTAAATATAAGTAATAACTAATGGAAAATAGAGAGGAGAATATGTTTTAAAGGGAAGGAAATTATTATAGAGAAAAATGAAGAAGGAGGTTACGGGATAAAGATAGAGAAAATTATAAGAACTCAAGTTCTGATGGGCGTCAAATTCTTGTCAGCATTCTCTTTTCCTTTCCTTATAATTTATATTACCGACGTATTTTTTTGCGTTAAGCCTCTCATATATGCTATTATAATTATCTCATTCCAAGTTAAAATACACTACCGAAATTAAACGTCAACATTCTATTGAATAGAACCTCAGTATGTTTTTATTACAGCAAACAAAAAAAAGACGTTTTTCTAGCTTATTAGTTTATTTATTGCCGGTCTATTGCCTACAACCCCCACTTACATTATACATGATATTTATCAAAACCTGTAATAAACACTTGATCGCCTCTCCTCTTGTAGTTGTCAATTAAACTGAGAAAGGAAGGGGGAAGAGAAAGAGGAAAAAAGAAATCTAAAGAAGGGTAGGGTAGTAAGGGTTTAATTTAAAAAAGAATAAAAAGGGCGTAAATAGTAGGTTTATGTGAAAACATCGTGTATCCAGTATAGATATATTTACATTTTGCAATCAATCTTAACATATGTTTTATACTAAGGTTGCAGCTGGTAGATTTATGACTGCATGCGTTCGACATTCATTTCAAGTAAAACCAGCCCACCTTTTATCCTTGCTATATCTAATTACGCAATAGTTATAGTAATAATTATTAATGACTGTTTGTTCTTCTTTCGATGTGGCAATACGTTATGATATTCGTAACAATAGAGAGGAAAATTAAAAATTGATCAGGACTGATAGGTTGCTAATTGTGTCGCTCTTTTCTGCAGAAAAGAGATGCATAGGCCTAAAGGGAGGGAGAATAGTCGGCACGAAACAGTAAAGTGGAATGGGGGAAGGGAATTTATCGGTGGTTTGATAGTTTTTAAAAGAGGTTTTTTCACCCAAACCTTTTTACCGCCTCTCCGCACGACATTGTTATTAGACGTTCTAAATTTGGGGCATTGAAAAGAGCGACGCCTCCGTCGCAGACTTTTTTCCCCCTATACTTCCTATCAGCCCGCCACTGCTATAAAAGCTTAGAACGGGTAGCCCGGAAACCCAGGGCGTTGTTACGCCGCTGCAGGAGCAAGTGTAGAGTCGCGGCGGTCTCGTCATTACAGAATCTTCGTTCGTCATGAAAACGACTGTTCTCTTTATTTGCTGTATTCTTTCAGCTCGATCGTCGTTACCAATCGTTCAGTCACCCGATATAGGAGAAACAGATAAAGTTGTAACTATATCTACTATAAGGGTAAGTTATTCCTGCTTTTAATTTCCTTCTCATTTACTCATAATCATTCCCCTTCTCTCCCACTCTTTCCCGTTCGCCCTTCCTTCTTATCTCACCATCTCCATTCCTGTTTTCCCTTTATTTTATTTTTTCTTTCCAATTTCATTCTCTTATTTGCCTAAGAAATTCCTGTATACTTTCTACCTTTTTACCAGTTTCGTCTCGTTTATTTATCTATCAGCTAACCGTAGGGATGAGAAACACGTGGAATTAGTTATTGAAAAATATGTAGGCGACGTTAAACTATTCACGGCACTTGTTTTTTCAATATCGAATTACTGGCAAACCGCTGCAAAAGTAATTTTAAAGTTTGTAGACAAAGATCAATTGCCTTTTATTAGAAACCGAGTGCGTAATCAATCACAGTTAGCGAATGGTTTTTAATTAGTAGCCGTCTCTCTGATTTCTCCCTTACTTTCTTACTTTTTAGTTTAAAGCCTATTACATTTTCATTCAACTGTTAATAGTCATTTCGCTTCTTTGTATGTTTGTTAAGTTTGTACCATAAAAGGAATAATCCATACTATTTATATATAGCGTATACTGTATTTTGCTTTACATAAATATATATATATATATATATATATAACTGAACATTTCTCTAGGCAAGTGTTATTTTATTTAACGCGTATCTCATAACTTAAAAGAAAATAGTTTCCCCTTCAGCTATATAAGTACTTCGCTTATAAAGGTTTCTGCAACGCGCATGATGTAGCGTTTCTTTTGTACTGCAACGTATTTCATACCTCTTCACGAAATTTATATTATGTTTACATAGGGTTTTTTTTAATCAACCTGTTTTCCTCCCCCACAACCACATAACACTATGCATATAAGATCTCATTCTTCCCTTCCTCTCTTTTCTATTTCATCCTCCCGTTTCTTCTCATTTACCTCCTTCCTCTTCTCTTCTTTTCTACCCCTCTTCCCCTACAGTTTTCTCTCTTATGTTGTCAATATGAATGAAATATAATATATGAAACGATTGAGCATAAAAATTTCTCCTTATTTACTCAATCGAACAAACGAACAAAAGAGCAAACTGGAATTTTTTTATGTAGTAAAAGGAGGAAAAACTATACAAACTTTGGGGCACTTTTCACGCTCGACTGCAAAAAACTCACATCAATAGGATAGAGTTATTGTTTTTAATTTGCCGGTCGCTTTGATGCTGCACGCTAACTGACCATTGGAATATAAATAGGCGTACTGCAGCGAAACACTGCAATTAATTTCGTCCGGCTGCCGCGAGATAAACACGTGCAACAGGCGTTCCTGAAATCGGCTCATCATCTCTCAACCGACTCCTTTCCTTTCGTTCGATTACCCAATCGATCGTAATACTTAATGATATAATAGAAGAAATAGACAAAAAAATGATGGGTCAGAAAACTTGTCAAGATAAGACATCGTCACGCTAACCTGGCTAATTTCTACGTCGATTCGAATTTCGACGAATTTAATGCATTTCCCCTCATCTCAATTGATCAAAATCGTGACGCTTCAATATAATCCATCATATTACCCATCTTTTGTTCCTGTTGAACAAAAGAATTGACCTCGTTACACACTTGACTTGATGCTTCTTGGTGAGCGTTTTCTCCGAAGGCGTTTTCTGTCTATTTTTATTTAGTTGCCTCGCTTGTAATTATCTTCGTCTGTCGTGAAAGAAGGAAAAAGTGACTACGAGGGGTAATGCATAGAAAGGCACGGATTATTAGCTGCCACTGTTTTACTCACGTTCAAGACACGCTCCCTTCAAGTGAAATCCTTTATCGTTTCCTATTTAATTGCCGGTGAAGGAAATGTTTGTAATAAAAAAATAGTTATGTCTAGTGAAAAACTCGGCAAATAACATTTACTCCGCATCTAATTACATTCGTCTTATAAATTGGCCATCGTAGCGTACAGATAACTAATAGAATTCGCTCTTCCGCTTAGTTCGTGCGTCCTCCCCCTCTTCCTCTTCTCTTATTATCCCTAATACTGTAAATCGTTCAATTAGTAATTTAGACGCCGTATATTTACATTTATATACGCTATTGTATAATCTATAATACCGGATATATGCAGAGCGAACTTTTGTGGTTTTTTCATTACTCAGAGTGTGACATTTTGGCAGATCGTGCTAAGACCTTTTTATAATTGTTTCCTTGCCATATTGGACAAAGAAGATAAAAGGAAACATACCAGTGGGAAAATAAGTTCATAGAGTGAGACAGAAAATGAGAGAGACAGCGTAAAAGAGAAGGCGGCAGGGCGTGGTATGGGAGGGGGTAAGGGGATTGAGGTAAAGAGAATGACAGGAGGAGCGAAAAAGAAAGAAGAAAAACAAAAGAATGGTAACAGAGGAAGTCACCGTATATATCTAAATATATACTGAGTAAACAAAATGAAAGAATAAGGAAGGAAGAGGAGTAGACGTGAAAGAGCATAGAATGTCTTGTACAAGTATATTAAAAGCGGTTGGAGTTTTAAGATAGATGAATTTTGCCTTAAGTAATATACAAAGAAATCTAACAGTTGCAGTGAGACTGCAAATTAATGACTGCACTTAGCAAACAATAAAAATACCGATATACAATCTATACAATGGTTAATATATATGGCGCCAAACTAGCGTGATGGCGAGCTTTCAATGCTCATTCAAAATTTAAGATACCCTACCTTTTTGTTATTTATTCCATAAGTTGACCTTTATACTCCTCTCTTTTTCTAAACTTTCTCTCCCTCCTCTTTTTCTTTATATCCTTTTTATGCCCAATTTTTTGCATATTTTTCTTCCGGCAGATTGAGCCGTACGTCGTCATCCATAAGGAAATAAGGGATCACTATCGTTACGAAGGTTATATTATTGATCTAGTTCGAGAGTTGTCTAGGGATTTGGGCTTCAAATTTAAAATATTTGAAGTAGAAGATGGTCAATTTGGCTTTCGTCATAATGGAAATTGGAATGGTATGATTGGAGAAGTTATAGGAAGAGTAAGTACTCAATCTTTCCCTCTCCCTCTTCTGTGAAAGGGCAATTTATTCTTGAACGGTTAAAACGGTTAGTTCAAAGAGTTTTGTAAGTGCTTGTTAAGAGCTCACACTAAATTAGACCCCAAATATATAATTCGATTTATGGTAATGAAATGAGGGTGGACTATTGAATGAAGTAATAGGATACAGAAAATTGGGTAGGGGTGGTTTACATAAAATAAAGCTGCCTCAACTAACTTCCTTCCGACTAAATATACATGTTCTATTAATGATTTAATAGAAAACTGTAGAGTTTTCATTTAGTACAAATTAAGGCGAAACTAACCGAGTTCCGCGATCCGACAATAACCTCGTTAGAAGGAAATTGCCTCCAGGTGGCGTTTATGCAAAAAAGAGGTACTCGCGATCCGCTCAGGACGTTACTTATAAGAAAAGGTGCTGCAATTCGCTGTATTAAGCGGCAGATGCGGCTGTTAATGGTTTTGGCTGTGGGCCGCATAAATTTTAAGTAAGCAGGGAAATACAAAAAGAAACCAGACCAAAAACAGCCACAAGTGGTGAATTTTAAAAAAACCGCTATCATTTGATTGGGACGGAAGCATTTCTACCCTGGAGACGCCCTCCAACTGCAATCGGCCGGTCGTGGACATGACCTTTAGCCTTGCGGCATCAACCTTAGTCCACTATTTAGGCGTCATTCACTCACCATCTCGACCAAATGCTACCGCCCTAATTTCGTATTCTGTAGACTTCCGCTAAGATCCGAAAGGTTTAATTGAATTCGTTTTTCTCTTTTTCTCCTTTTTCTAGAGGGTCGATTTAGCGGCAGCTCCCCTCCTCATGACTAGACCTAGAATGAGAGCCATAGACTTTACAGAACCATTCATGAAAGTTTACGCATCTGTGTTAATAAATAAACAAGCAAGCGAACTTATAAATGGCTACAAGGATTTATTAAATCATCCCCACTTTACATATGGAGTGCAAGCTAAAGGTGTTTTACGAAGAGCATTAAAGTTGTCAAATGATACAGATTTGTCAAGATTATGGAAGCAAATGTTAAGGTGGCAAGAAAGAGGTTTAAAATTCATATTTACAAAGAATAACGAAAGAGGTATCAAGAATGTAAGAATCGACGAAAGCTACGCCTTTATCCTCCCTTCACCAATTGCAGACTATATGCAACTTCAAATGCCTTGCAATTTAAAATCAGTTGATAAGTTCCTTATAAATATGGACTATGCTTTTGCTGCAAGAAAAAACTCTTCTTTAGTATCAAAAATAAATAAATCATTGAGAAAATTCAAGAAAAATGGATATTTAGATAGACTACGGAAAAAGTGGTGGGAAGATAGATCCCAATGCTCCTCAGCTAGAAGTATCAAGAGAGAAGTATTGGGATATAACGGGAAATCTACCGCTGTAAAGGGACATTTTTATTTAGTACTTCTACCTCCTTTACTATTATTATTGTTATAGTGTATCATAACAGTCTAGAATTAATAAAAAGAAACGAAGAAGATAGGGGGATGAATGTATATAAAAGAAATATAAAATATATACATAACGACTATATATATATATATATATATAAATGTATATGTATGCAGTATATACAGCATAAATGATGTATCTATAAAAGAAAACGAGTAAGAAAGAAAGGAAGAAGAAGAAAGAAAAGAAAGAAAGAAAAAAAAAAAAGACTGCAGATTACAATTCCATTATGCTCATTCTAACTGTCTTCTCTATTTGTTTGTATACTGAAATCACCTTATTATATATTCATGGTCACATATTGTTTAAGCTTTTTTGTTCATGTAAATCATATAGTTGATAACTGTTTTTCTAGTTTATTCTAGCGATATCCATACATATATATATATATATTACTAATATGTATTTATATGTATGCTATATCGTATAAAAATCCGCCTAATGATTTTATTCCTTCCCATTTGAATAGAGAAATACCTTTGAAGTTTATTATATAAATCTTGTACATACAAAGATTCTAATAATATACATATATTATACGTAAAATATGTATATAAACAGTATATATACAAAGATATAGGTAACTATATTTGAAAGCCTATATACAATATATAGGCATATATTTATCTATTTTTTATGTACAACTTCTACTTCGTCGACCAATGAATTGTTAATAACATTTTATATACATAAAAATATATATAATATTATTATACAATATTTATATATAATATATGCTATATATATATACAGTATGATAGATATGATTATGTTATCAAAAAGAAGAAATACATACTTATATCATAAAACAAGATATATGAATCATACAATCAAAAAATTACATTCCTCTTGTGCAATAAGTCAAAACCTAACTTTGTCAAATACAATTATTAGTACCAATACAGCAATGGAAATTAATGGAGAAAATATATATACATTATTAAAAGACAGATTAAAGTTAACTTTTACTGAATTTCGGACAGTGAATGTCTCAAAAGGATGTGATCATAGAGTTATGCTTATTAACCTAATTGACTGTCAAATTGATCGGTTAATCGTAAAAGAACCCCTTTCGGAATATGATAAAATTCATAACGAAATTTTAGGTTGCCAAATAGCAGAAAATGGACAAGTTACTGCCCCTAGAATTTTATTACACGACTCAGCTTATCTAGTTGAAACTTGTATTGGAGAAATGGATTTCTACGAATATTTTATCTCTATAAATGCTCCAGAGAAAAAAGAAATAATTAATAATTTCTATAAACATGTTGGAAGGTAAATTTTAAATTTATAATTCCATTTCTTTAAGTCAATTTCTTTAATAAACATATTTTTAGAAATTTAGCCAAATTTCACTCAGCGAATAATGGAGAAGGTTTTGGCAAAGTAATAAACTTTTCCAGTCACCTTTCAAAGGGTTATTGCCCCAGAGGAATGTACAAGACAGCTTCAGAATATATAAACTCTTGGTTTTCATTTGAATCAGACATATTTCTTCCCGAAAAGAACATATTAACCGAAGAAGAAATTAGTCAGTGTCGACGATATTGGATCGAAAACCAAGAGTTTGTCAATAACGTTAAACAAACAACTCTACTGCACGGCGATGTTGACCTATCGAATATTCGAGTTGATAGTGACGGACAGTTTAGAGGTTTTGTAGACTTCGGAGATGCGTACATTGGGGATTGCTTAGACGATTTAAGTAGGTTATACGTTCATCTTTATGGTCAAGTTGATTGGACAGCTCTTGTAAATGGATATGAAGAGATTGCCGGCAAGCAAGCTGTTGACGAGAGAAAATTAAAAGTCTACTCTTTCCTCCTCTTATCGTGGATTATCCCACATTCAAAGAAGAATCTAGATATTGAGAAACCGAATAGATATCATTTTTATAAAAGTGTTTTTATTCGTTTAATCTCTAATAAATAAACAAATAAATATCTCTAATTCTCATATTCATTCCTCTATATTGGCTAAATATCGATAAAAACTGTATATACAATATATATACAGTCTATATAGATAAAGATGCAAAGAAAACACCATTCATTCATTCCTTACCCCCTCCCCCCTATTTCTCTCAAGAAAATATATACTATTTTTAGCCTATCACATTGTTTCTTCTTTCATCGTTATCTTCACCCTGGATATTTTACCGCAAGGATAGCAGGGCCATCTAGCGTCTTGTGTATAACTACTAATACCTTTGGTTGATAAGCTGAACCTAAGATGCAGAATCTTAGGAAAGCAAATGAGATTTTTAGACGCTTTAGCTGTAATAAAATATTACGTCATTTATTTCGTTTAATAATGCATGAAGCTGTTCTATAGAGGTTATTGTTAGAGACTTGTTGATAAAAACTTGTCAAGTTGGTACTCTAATGAAATTTTACGTTCGTTTGAATGGATTTAAAGCATTTATTATTCAAATATTCGATAGAAACCCCTTAACGTTAATAATTGTCTTTTACAATTCTTTAAATAGAGTATTGTTTATTAATGATTAGCATCACTTGTAGTCCGTTACAAATGGGGGTATCTATCATTAAAATGAAAAAAAAGTGGCAAAGAGACTACATTAAAGTCCATTTTCCCATGTATTTGATTTTCTCTTTACTTTGCTTTATATTACTATTAGCATATAGATTCTACAGAAATTTTTCCTAATATTTTTATTGTTTAAAGTATATTTACACAGAAAGGAGAATATTCATCCTATTGACTTTTTAAATACTAAACAAATATGTAAACCTTTTCCTGATCTTCTTAAATTACTCTTCTGCTTATTACATAGATTTAGTAAACATGATATATAAATATCACTTTTAAATCGTTTAAGATCCGATTTAGACTCGTCACAATAATAAAAATATCTTATTTTTATTTAGTTTTACATTTCAGTTTTAAGGTTTTCATATCAACTTCTAACATTTTTTGGTCGGATCTTGGTTTTATTTTTTCGCCTAAATTTTCTGTACTAATATATTTTCCATTTTTTTCCTATTTCATTTTATATTTAATAATATCCATTATGGAAAAAAAAGACTCTTAAAATAGATGAGAAATTTCTATCCTTTATAGGCTTTTAATTACCTTGTCTAAGAAAGCAATGTTTATAGAGAGTGTTAATCGAGTATTCTCTGTTATCCGTGAAAATTTAATTAAAATAGTTTATTAAATAAAAAAAACCGGCGACAAAAATAGTTGTCTTGTACAATGCGTTTTTGTAATATCTTTAAGAGAAAATACTAAAGACGTTTGCGTCTGTCTATGCTTAATTAGCGTTTATTATTAATGACATCTATCAAAAAGCTTTGAGAGACGTCACCGCAGTCATTTGTAGAAGATACTATGGGAAAAATTATCATAGTCAATTTCTAAGAATAGTGGTTACATTAGGAGATTCAGTACAGTGTCAAAGTAATTAAGTCGACTTGCTCGCCAATAGTTTCGCGCCGGAAGTGATGTCACGGAAATACAGTCATTACAGAAAGAAAAAATTTAAAATATTACTAAAATAAGTCAAAAATATTTTTACAAATCTAAAAATTAGAATAAAATATTTTAAAAATAATTAATGTACCGAGTGCAGATCTACACTTGAAATATTTCGTCATATCCGGCGGAACTTGTTTACCTTCATATTGCACAACCGCTATTAACCTAATAATTGCAAGGGATTGCGTTTAAACACCAATCTATATAAATTTTAACTTTCAGTTATTAACATAGTACACAAGCAAAATGAGCGACTGGGACGATGTAACCTACCTTCGTAAAAAACCACCAAAAGCTAGTCAACTCAGAACTCAACAGGCATGGACAAAGAAACTACTATTTTTAGTTTGCACTAATTTACCATTTTCTTTCATTTACAGGCGATTAATGCTGCCCAACGTCAAGGAGCGTCTATCGATACATCGAAAAAATTTGGTGCCGCCTCGAATAAACAACACTCGGCGAACAAGAATACGGCTAAATTGGACCGGGAAACTGAAGAACTTCATCACGATAAGTTGGACATAGATACCGCTAAAATGATTCAAAAAGCTAGACAAAATAAGGAGCTAACCCAAAAAGAATTAGCTGCAGTAAGTTAAATATAATTAGAGACTGAAACTCCAAAGTTACAACTTATTATATTGCAGAGAATTAGTGAGCGTCCTCAAATCGTAAATGAGTACGAATCCGGCAAGGCAATCCCAAATCAGCAAATACTAACAAAATTGGAAAGGGCACTCGGTAGATTAAAGAGCCTCATTACATTTTAAGGGTAAAAATTTAACGTATTTCATATTACTACAGGTGTTAAACTACGCGGCAAGGACAAGGGAAAGCCTCTGGTTCTTACAGCCAAAAAGTGAGGTTTCGACTCGAGGTCGTTCTAAGGCATCTGCGTATGCAACAATATTCGCCTTATCTACTTCATTCAGATATAAAACAATATAACAACTAAACACATTTAATCATTTATGAAGTTTTGAACTATATTCTAATAAACTGGTTAAACAAAATATTAATGCTTAGACCATGGACATAAATTTATCAATCTTGGCTTGAACAGCGTCTTCGCTCTTGCTAGGATTTTCTTGTATCATCTGAAAAGACGTGCACGTTATCAATGACATACTTTAATAAATACCTGAATAAAAAAGCCTCACCTTTTTTAGCTCCATGACATAATTGGCCATGGCTTCTTCAGAAGGCATATCACCAAGACCATTCCAAGCGTTCCACTTAGCCTGTAGAATTATTCATGTATTAAAATTAGAGCAATCAATTTTAACAAGTCTACAACCTTTCCGACTAGGTCCAATGAGAACATTCCAGGTCCGCTAGTATTACATTTGCCAATGGTTGCCTGTTTATAATAGCTATAAAACTTCAGGCGAACTTGATCAGTCGGTTTTTGTGGGCCTGAAAATGACAGTCATTTTAAATCAATAAAATTTGAGAGCGGTAGTCATTTCTTTATTAAACCCGGTATACCTTCTTTTGGGAGGCTCTGGACAACATCAACGGCCATATCAAATTTTTCCTTCAACGACATTTTTCACTGAAAGGTGACACTTAATTAATTCAGAAGCAAAGCAACGACTGGTGTTAATTGAACCTTCGAAATTCCAAAGTTTAAATATAATGTAGCGGTGACCGTTGTCTGCTATTGACATAAAAAAAATCATATTGATAGATGGCGTTCAAGTGAAGTCGCTTTGAGTTTTATCCTAATAATACGAATTACTGTCATCTATTTATATAGAAGTGAAATATTTTTGCTTTATAGAGTCTGAAAACATTATAAAACTGATATAATCCCTTTTCATTATCAAATTGTTATTTTTTTAAACGAAAAATGGCTTTTATATTCCAACGTTCGCTGGGTTCTTTCAAGGTCGGACGATGGCAACATGTCCCCTTAAATCTATTTCCAAGAAATAGTAGATATAGTCACACTGTTGACGGGCATATGAAACAATCAGCTCTTTATATTAGTCCATATGACAAGAAAAATTCTTCAGTTGTCAACGTAGATTTAAATTTAAAGGAAATTATTGAAAATGCTAATAATGTTGCAACTAATATTAAATTACGACAAATGAACGTGAATGTTTATAAATTGGTATCAATATACTTTAATATAAGATTCTTTGCGCTTATAAAGCTTTTATTTGTTTTAATAGTGTGCGGACCATAAAGCATATGAGGAATTTGAAATAGCCTTGAAAACCATTGAAGACCAAAGAAAAAGTGTTACAGCAAAAGTTTCAGAATTAATTGCTGCAAAAGTATCTTAATTAATTAATAATCTAATAAATAATACATTAACTAAAATTACAAATAAAGGATAATTCGAAAGAGACGATCATAAAGGAGATGATTGAAAAGGGAAAGCTTTTAAGATCTGAGATGAATGATTTAAAGGTTTGTAAATTGCGTAATATTTCTAACTGTTTGATAGGCTTTTGTAATTCGTTGACAGAAAAAAATGAGCGAGCTGGAGGAAACAATAATGAAAAGGGCCTTGATTATACCCAATCTTATTCACCCTTCAGTCGTATGTTGTACTCAATCGTTATAAAATACTATGTAAACCATCTTTCTCTTTTTGTCAAATGAATAGCCAGATAATGATAAAGTTCTGCGGTCTAAAAATGAAGATCTGTGTTCTCGTTAGTATAATCATCTTCTTTGGAGAAAAATGGAAATCATTTTTCATATTCCTCCATACAAATTCTTGTTTTTGTTCTATAGAATTAGAGGATAATATAAAGAGCCATTTAAATATAGGACGTCGGAAAGGTTCTATCATTTACAGGTAATGGATAAAAACTAAGATTTTTGATAAAAGAGACAAATATTTTAATTAAAAGTTTGTATTGAGTTAATTTCCCGCAGACCATTATCGCCTACGGCTTTCTATTTGCAAGGTGAAGCGGCAGCCTTAGAGAGGAGCCTAACAAGTTTAGTGAGCAAGCACTTAAGAAGTAAAGATTACCAATTATGGCATTGTCCCCACTTCAACAAAGCATTTATTTTAGTAAGTAAGGGAATGGAAAATGGTCTAAATTCTAAAGGATGGAAATCAGAGAGGAATAGAAAAAAATATATTCCTATTTGCGCTTTTAAATTTATTTGCTCTCTTGAAACAATTTTTTTATTTTATTTACTTTATTCCTTTTCTCATTATAGGAGGCTTGCGGTTACGATTTTGCAGATCATAAACAAGTTTGTTTCATCATATTTTCCCTTGCTATCTCGGTCTATCTGTCTCTTTCTCCTTCCTCTCACTCTCTCTCTCTTTCTCTCTATCTGCCTGTCATTCTGTCTATTTATCTATTTTTTCTGTCGCTTTCCCCCTCTTCCTTATAAAAGCTTATCATGTAAACAATTACCGTTTTTCTATTTCCCGTGTTTTTGCGACAGGTACTACTAATCGATCAAGAAGTTATAGAAGATGACCAGAAAGTAGATACCAACCTCTATCTGACTGGAACATCTTTACCATCGTTTGTTGGTACGTCAGGAGGCAAAAAAAATCTATTTACATACTATATATAAATACGTCTTGAGATCGTATATCTCTGTACAGCTTTTTTCGCAAGAACTGTCGTTGATCAGAATAGTTTGCCCATCAAAGTTTATAGCGTTGGGGAGGAGTATATTTCCAGTAAGTTGTAGTCAATGTTTTTGCGTTACAGATTTTTCTCTCTTCAATCGATTTCCTCTCAATTTTTTTACACAGATGTAGATAACAAATCGTTTTGCGCGGATGATCTACTATCGACAAGGCAAATAACGAGTGTTAATACTTTTTTGTTATTATTACACAGAGTATAAACGGTTTTTTCGATTTTCCTCAGGTTCGACTATTCAGTGCCTCAGCGAATAAGGAAGCTGCATATGACTTATATGAAAACCATTTATCAGATTTATGGGAATTTTATGAAAGCCTTGATTTACCGGTAAAGTAAGTGTCCTCCGGGTGTCATCTCCAACAAGGAATGAATGTTTAATTTATAAGCTAATCTCCGTAGATTAATTAGTCGTCCTCCCAGAAAGTTAAGACGTGAAGAAAGTGCTAGAGTAGACATAAAACTTTGGATGCCAAGTTCGAAAGATTACAGAACGGTTAGAGAGTCCATAGTGATCGTTATGACTTATCATGTAATTTTCATGCTTCACAGATTGCTACTGTATCGATGCTAGGTGACTTTGTAAGTCGGCGATTGATGAATAAATACCAGGCAGGGCAAACAAACGCTTATTTACATATGGTTAGTTTGTTTAATGTATCGATGAATTTTTCATCAGGAATTTTGCTACGCCGTGCCGCCTTTTTTTTTGTGAAGTTACATAGCTTTTGTACTTGACTCGTCGTTTGTTACAATATCGGAGGCAAGTAGAAAATTAGAGCGATCTGTCACTCCTCATTTTCTATTCCTTTTAGCGTAAGGGGAGAAAATGAACGAAATGCACAAGAAATTGTTATTAAGACTAATAGAAAATATCGACAGTCAAGAATGAAAATGCTCAGCATAATTCTAGAAACGGCTTAACGAACCTAATTTGTTAGTTCGATTAACGCTCCGCGCTCCGTTATAATGTATACATTGAAGCGGCAAAAAATTCCTCTGCCCAAAAGACTTTTACTTAGCTAAGTTTTCGTTGGAAAGAAATTCTTTAGGCGCTCTTTTTCAACTTGTCGACTTATGTAGTCAGTTATTTAAAACGCCCGCGTTTTTTTTTTAGTAGCGAATTGAGGCGTTTCTTCAACGTTTTAGACATCTCCACACGAATAGTATGAAAATTTTCGCTTCTTTACAGTTGATATATAAAAGGAATTATTAGCGTCTTTGTAGCCTACTGATGGATGTTTCTTTAATAATCTTTCCGTTTCAGCCGAATTTGTTGAATATTTATCGACATTTTAATTTTTCCTCCTACAGACTCATTCTTGTGCAATGAACGTAACGAGACTCGTCGCCGCCCTCACGGAATATGGAGCTCTAGAGAAGAAGGTATGCGTTAAAGGAATAACCAATTTCGTGCGCAGATTAGTCTATAGTATTTTCATAACGAATAAGTAAAGCCGCTAGGCACATATACATATCCTCCCGATCTTATTATAAAGGACTATGCGCCTTTCGCTATCAGAAGACAACGCTACAAATATAGGCAATTTTCAAGGAAATTACCCAACCTATTTATAGCCAAAGGCAAATTATTATAAGTTACTATTTTCCTACTTTTGCTGATTTAAAATTAATCGGATAATTCTCCATTTGTTTGAATAGTAAGAAATTGAACTTCCCATTAAATAGATTATTTTTATACGCCGATAAAAGTTCTTGAGACAAAAAAAACGTGAGGAACTCTTATATCGAATATGTTAATGTACGTGCACGCCACCTGTCGGTGTCGGCCTATTCACTCTTCTCCACGTAGACGGCAGGATTGCGGAAAAGTTTGTGAAAGAGCTCGCTTTCGTCGAGAGCCGACATATATTTATTTACAAGGAATATAAAAGCTGCCAGTACTAAGAAATGTATATGTGACCTTTATTGACCTTTTCTATATTGGTTCAATAGTATATAAAAATCTGTAATGAGAAACATGGTTTTTGCAGAATTCTGATTCTTGGACGTGGAAGCGAATCTTGCCCGGAAATTAGGGAACTGTAGAGAGTGTCGATCGCAAATAGCTTTTATAAACAGAAAATTTTTGGAGGGACGACAAAAAGGTAGTGAAGAAATTAAGTAGATTAAAAAATAATATATATGTATGCATATACATATATATATATAAATATATATATATATATATATATATATATATATATATACTAATATATATATACATTTATTTATATTTATACTTACGTATTCTCTTCAGTTTCTTTATTATTTTTTAGTTTGCTTTTTTTAATTCTCTATTATTGTGTCTCTTATTTCCTTTAGTCTTTATTATTACTATTATTATTATTATTATTACTTTAACCGCTAATCAATAGAAGTACTCTTAGCCTATTTGAATTATTAAGATAAATTTTTAACGTAGTTTATATTACAAAATAGGTTGATCTCGTTAATCAAGTGAGGTTTTCATCATTGATCACAAAAGGTTTTTAAGGCGTCGAAGAGAGCTGATTTCGTGATTGATCTAATGGTATTTGCAACTCTACAATTTTTAACAAACGCTCTCTCCCCAAATCCTTTACTTTACCTTTCTTCCTCTTTTCTCTATTATTCGCTTACCAGCTCATTTTCCTTCCTTATCCAACACTCATTTCCTTCACCGCCTTTCAACATCGCTTAGAGGGACCTCAAACTACCTTGGAACGCATAATCGTTTAAAAATAAATTAAGAGATTATCTTAAAGGTTTATCGTTAAATTATTTAATATTTTAATTTAAAATAATAAGGGAATCACTGTATTTTTAAGCTAATAAAGCATAGTAGTTTTTTCACAGTAGGAAACTTTAGTTTACGAAAGATGCTACCGTCAGCATTGTTTGTTTGTAAAAGTGCACCCTTTATTAAAACCACGTCGGAAAAATTTTTACGCTTACTACACCCGTAGTATTAGAGATGGGTGGAACTAGTTAGATGCTAAGATCGAGTGTAGAAGAATCTAAATAAAAAAGAAGAGGTAAATATACACTAAGATAAGATTTAGAGATGTGGAGTAGAATGAATGATATGTAATGTAGAATATGCCAAGAGATTATAGGTGACTTTGCTGTTATGTAAACTCGACTTCTCACTATCTCTTAGCGATCGAAGTGGGAATTTGCAAGAAGTAACCTTATCGCGTTACTGGTTAATAACAGTAGGATCGCGAGTTGCATAGTCAATAGGCAATGTCAGATCGGTTGATACCATTTTTAATTTTATGGATGATGCGCACATGCTCCCAAATCGATGGCACTAAAGAAAAAAAAATAAAGAGACAGGAACCCCTCGATATTTCTTTAAGCTGCTATTTTTTTATGAGTTATACCAATCTCTTCAACTCACTTTTCACGTCTTTATACTCCTATGTATCTCTTCTTAATAGCCTACTAGATATGATTTCTAGGCAGTATTTATTAGTATTGGCTCTTATACTTTTGCTGTAAAAATTCTTAACCTGACAGTTGAAAGAGTCCTCTATAAGAATCAAGTTGCAAGTTTATCTTTGTTTATCCTTTAGCAAGTATACTTTGGTATGCCACTCTAATTCTGTATTACGCATGCATGCAGCATCTGGATAGAAGATCGGGGCAGGAGCAATGACTTTTTGTAAGCACGAGACTAATTAAGTTTTCAGCAGTATAATTTTTTTGTAGTTATGGAGTATAAAAGCCTGTATGCGGTGCATAATTACATCTAGTGGCTCCTGTTAAGTAAATTATTCCTTGAAGGGGTCGGGTTAGAATAGATAAAAAGGAGCGATAGAGCTCCGAATGATTATAGGCCTATCAGTTTGCTGGTCATTTCCTGCGGCCGACTTAATGGAGCTGGTAATAAACGCGAATCTCAGGAAAGTATAGGGTAGTGTGTTTTTTATTCATTTTTTATTTTGCGCTATTTCCTTGTAGAATTGTTAGCGTCGCACTTAGCAGATTAGCACACCTATATAGAAGCAAGTGAAGAAGGACAATATGTACATGAAGAATTTTTAGTACAATTATTTATTGCGACCTTTTTTCTAGGTGGATCGAGAATCTTTTCTTTTTTTTATTTTTACGTCATAGCTTATCTTCGTTATCCTCGTCTCCGTCGTTTTTTTTTTCTTCTCTATTTCGTCTACCTACCATACTACTAATACTGCTCTTTGGCCGTCCTCTCCACCTTCCTCTACTTCTAATTTTACTCCTCTTCCCTCTTCTTCCCTTCTTCCTATACATCTTTTCTACTTATCATTCATCTCTTGAAAGTTTTTATCTTAATTTTATTCGGGTATAAAAAGTTATTTATTTATTTTTTTTTTGGTATTTTTTCTCATATTTCAATTTTGATATTAAAAAATATAGTTTAAAATTAGATATCGAAATTAAAAATCTCCTTAAATTTTCTTCCATGTAGAGATAATGGCGAATAACAGTAGCCAAGGAGAATCAACAGAAGATAAAGTGTTTTTAATTGTCTCTCGCTACGCCGTTCCCATTGTCTTTGGTATTATAACATTGCTTGGAATTGCCGGCAACACCTTGGTTATTCATGTTATTGCAACACGCTCTAAAATGAGAACAGTTACTAACCTCTTACTGCTCAATCTCGCTGTTTCCGATCTGGCTTTCGTAATTATATGCCCGTTACCGACAGCTTATAGTTTTGCCTATCAAACTTGGCCCTTCGGTTCGTTTCTCTGCAAGCTTATGCATTATACAATCAATTCATGCGCCTACGTGACCGTCTACACACTCGTTGTTATATCAGCATTCAGATTTTTCACGGTGGTTTACAATAGTCAGACAGTACACCTACGTACTCATCGTAACGCTGTCATAATGATCGCATTTTTATGGGTCGTCTTCCTTTCTGCCAATTATCCCATTACACAAGCCTACGACGTGGTCGTTAGAAACTCGAGCGGCGTGTCATTGGACTGTGACATGAAGTCGGAAGAATTTCAGGCGCCCGTATTCTACTCTTTCTTTGTATTCGGCTATCTTCTTCCTTTATGCCTTATTGGCTTATTATCCGTTGGTATTATTGCTCATCTTAATAAGCAGAGACCGACAACAATAAGCCAATCGACGCCTTCAGGAATAAGGTCAAACTCGAGGAAGAAGAGCGCCTCTCGTCTCATCATCCTTGTTGTGGTCCTCTTCGCCATACTCTGGCTTCCTATACAGCTACATCTCGTAATAGCCGTAACTACAGGCAAACAAATGCCTAAATCATATCTAACCGTAGCCTTCCTCTGGAACCTTATGGCATACGCCAACTCTTGCATCAATCCTTTTATCTATAATCAAGCTAGTAAAGATTTTAGATATTCCTTCAAGGAGGTAGTTTCTTGCCTGAAGTGTTGTCCAAGAAACCAGAATTCTCGTACACCATCTTTACCTGCCGGTCAAATTGCTATTGTACCGGCTGGTGCCGACCAAAAGGAACGTCGTCATTTGATAGCATCATCCGGACCTCATAAAGAGGAATGTCAAGCTTCTAGTAATGTATAAAAATTTCATTTATTCATTCGAACTGCGTCTATTTAATGTGCTTTGAGTGTATACTGCAGCTTTTACTTCCTTCCTCTTTTCATCCCAGGTTAATGCATTTTTGTGCAGTTTTATGCGTTGATGTAAGGTTAATTATCCTTTCTGACCATGTAGTCTAATTAATGTACAATTCAATCCATTCATTTGTTCATTTATGCTTCAAATATTCTCCCTATTTCTATTGATTTCGCAACCAACCTCAAATTGTTTCGGTAACATTTCAGTTTCAATTATAATTTAGTCGGTGTTTAATTTCAACTAGCCAATTAAGGATTGAAATAATTGACATCATTGATGTTATTCTGATGGATTTGATCAGTTTTATGTTCTAATTTTGTTATTAAAAAAAAGAAAAAAATCTTAAAGCTATTTTAAAGAGCTTCAGAAGAAAAAAATATTTCAAGCAAAAAAGTCGTATTCTTACTAGGTTTGATAGGAAATTACTTGAAGAGAGCTAGTGAGAAAGGGGAGAGAGAAAAAGAAAAAGAGAGAGAGAGAGAGAGAGAGAGAAACAGAGAGTGGAGGTGAGAGATGGACTTAAATTTAAGACGTATGTGGTGGACATCTGATACATATAGAGTACATACATATAAGCATTTTTTCCTCTATTTAACATATACATTATCGTACATATCAGATGTATAAGTGTATATGTTTTAGTAAAATATTGCATATATAATATACTATATGACTATATTCAAAATACGTTTAAGCACACATAAGCACATATACAGTATATATATACATATATATATATATATAAATGTATATATATAATATACAGCATATATATATATGTATATATACATTTTTATATATTTGAATATATATATATACAGTATATATATATTTATATATATATTGAAACAGCTTATTGCTAACTGAAACATTATATCTTTCATGTTCGTGCTAATAAAATTCATTCCGTCTCTATAACGTTAACATTTTAAAGAGAATTTTACATTATTGTCTTTCATGACTTTCGCATGCCATGTTTAAAGAAGTATATACGTTCTGCGCAATTATTTGCATGAAATACATTGTATAGAAGAGTAAATGGTATTGGAATCACCGTTTCAGTGTGGGAGCAGTGTCATGCAGCCTGTCTGAATATGTTTCTGTAATACGTATATACTGGAACAGCCCATTGCTTTTTGAAAGAAATATACGTATGGAAGAGAATCATTAAAAGAATAGAAAAGATATATCTTATTCTTTTTTTCTTAAACGATTATCGACAATTTTAATTTTCAATTTTTTTTATTTATTCATTCTTACACTCATAAATTAACAAGCGGAATTTTCCCAGTAACCAACAAAACGTCATTTCCGTATCACGCGACGTGGCCACGTAGCCGTTAAATTTGCCACGGAAGGCCAAGATTCACCTTCCGTATCCTCTAGCGATCTCCTGCTAAAAAGTTTCGCAGAATGATAGAGATCGTCGATTCGCTCTTGTACGGATTTAATGCGCAGTTCGTTATCAGTCGTTCCATCTTTCTCCGATTTTATCCCATTACGAGTTTCATATATGTTCTCCAAATTCTTGACCCCCTTGTAGGACGATTGTTCAGAGTTCAGATTAACGTACAAAACAGAAATACATCGTTTTCCACCTTGTTCGTCTCTAAAATGAGAAGAAATTACGTCTTTTTCGCAATAAACCTTCTTTTTCCGTTCTTTCGCCTTTTCCTCAAAGATATTCTTCAGATTGCTAACACTTGGCAACCCTTGATTGCTGTCGTCGATTGAGGAGGTGTAATCGACCTTGAGGAGCTCGTAATTTTTCCTATCGCACATCGTTCCCAAGGATTCATAGTTGGAGCCGTCATTGTCATCTAGTGAATTTGTCGACTGCGACGATTCGCCTGTTTCGTACTTGTCAGAATTGAAACGACCACTATCTTCGCTAACAGCAATAAACCCGAAGTCGTTCTCAAACGAATACGTTCGCCTAGTCTTCCATTTATCATCCCAGCTTTCGCATAAGTTCACTATATCGTTTTCAGTCATTATGTCGGTCGACAGGTTGTACTTTAGTGTCGTTTTTAAATCTCTTTCTTGATTAAAAGACGTGCGGAGACTAGAAGTTCCCAGATACATCTCTGTTAGCCGCGCAAAACTCTTTTCAGAAAAACTTTGACGATGTCGCAAAACGTAAACGACGTTTACAATCAACTTTTTATCCCAGAATAAAAAAGCACTGGAAGAGGAGTTTTAAAATCGACCAAAAGGCGAAAAAGATGGCCAAATCATCGAGGTGTAAACAGGTAACTAGTAAGTTTGGGCGCGAAAGCGATAAAAAAATAAATATCTGATCTTTTGAGTAACAGAATGAGTACAATCGAAATTTTTTATAGCCTTTTTATATCGAAACAAGACGAACAGAGAATCAAAGAAAATATATAAAGAAAAAGGTTTAAGTAGCGCAAAAAAAACTTCAATCTCCGTTCGGGTGGTGGCGCTTTAATGCGATAGATGGCATTCTTTTACCGAATAAGTATTCGCTAAATTGTTGACTTTCGACTCCTCCTCCAGTCGACGCCAAGATCTTAAAGTCATTATTTAAGAGTCTCTTTAACACCTGAATTGAAGTTAGTCTACAGTAGCCATTGACGGGAAAACGTATAACGTGATTACTGTCGAAATCACTCCAGCCGGAGGTTCGACTATCTGTTAGAGGAGCAACAAGTTCGGGAAAAACTTCCTCCACCAAGGCACGAGAAGCCGTTAGACAAACTCTTTCTCCTAGATCTGGGTTTATGTGAACACAAACACACTCCCAGCGGCCAGTTCCGTCAGTAACCAACTTTTTCCTTTCCCTCATCTTTTGTAAACGTTCGATTTCCTTGATCATCGGTTCAATATCGTAGTATCGAGCTTCTTCAGCTAACATATCGAGTTCCTGTGTTGGAGTTATTGTACACAATTCTATTTCGAATAAAGACAATTCTATACGATGTTTATACCTCGAAGGTATCCGGTAGGTGAACTTTGGATGTGCGCAGAAAGTTAAGAACGTGCCGAAAGAGATGGCCATCCCGATCGATGAAATAATGTTGTTTAAGACTATCCAGAATGATGGGAACGTGGCCTGTAAACATTTTCGCCAATCGCGAATTCGAAAACCTGCAAAAGGGTATTAACGTGAAAATTGATTACGCCCTTAGCTCGAGTCGTATCCCATTTGGAACGTTTGCCCCACGGCGCTACCATACTCATATCTTTTGTTCACTTTCCCTTTCTCTATTCTATATAAAAAAATTCTACCAGCATAAGACGCCTATTTTATATAAGAAAGGAAGAGGTAAAAGAAATTATGCTCCTTAGGCCTAAAGAATCTTAGATGATATGTCGCCCCTCGCTCCCCTTTTCTCTCTTCCCTCGCATCCTTTATACAATCAAATATTAGCCGGCTACGAACCGTTTCGTTCAAAGCTGCTGACATCTTTCATGTAATCTTCCGCCCTAGGCTGGTAACTTGTAGTCATAGCAACGTGCAGCCTAGCCTGCGGTGACTGTTTCTACTAATTATAAACTAGTACATTAAACGGCGTTTAACTTTTCGTCCATAATTCATTAAGAAGAGTAAGGAAACGAATCGAAGTTTAAATGAATAAAAAATCAGGTGTATGTGCTATGTACAACTCTCGCGGTAGGTACATAGCCTCAAGCTTAAGGCTCCCACACCTGCAAATGAAAGAAAGCGACGAAGAACTCTTACCTTGTCAAAGTATCGAGAGTCGAAGTAAAAATCACACCTCCGACGTCGATGTGAACAGGCGCCGTATAACGAGTGGGCGTTGCTGGCATCGGTACACCGGACGGCGGAGCATTGACCTTTTGCGAGATGGGGGGTGGAGAAGTGGACCGTTTCACCGAATTCGGTAGAGGACTGGAGGAAGCGGATGAGGACATTCTGTGACGGGAAACCGGTATAAAATGCGAATTGAAAAAAAAAGCGGAGCCCGAGTGCGTTCGACAAAGTTCGTGTTTCAGGCCTGAGGGCAGTTCGGCCCTGGGCAAATGCACCGCGTTCTGCATAGAACTACTGCATTTCTCTTTGTGTTCTCCAATTTGCTTTTTTATTAACTGAATTAGTCTGCTTAACAATATGGCTTATATTATTTTCCAAGCATTGATGAATCTAAAATTAAATAGACGAATCGCCACTTCCAACATACCGCAGCGCCATCTGTTATAACCACGAATTTAGTTCAAAGAGTCGTGCTTACCTTTAACTATCAAAGACTGTGATTGTCCTATCGCCGCGTGGTCATGCCGTCAAGAGGAAGAGGACTGAAGGAGTAGGGTTGTTGACGAGACGGCGCCAGAATGGCGTGTGGTAGCAATGTCTACGGGGGATGGCTTCAGGGCATTTCGTATTTCGCGCGAGATCTCGTAAACACAAACCAGCTTGGTCGATATAGATCTGCTAGTGCTAAAAATCTCCTCTTCTTTCCTAATGCAACTATTGCAAGAAAGGTCTTTTCTGTATTATTTCTTTCCTAATAGCTATTTTATTAGAGCAAGCGAAAGCAGGTAAAATGGGCATCCGTCCTTTCCTTTTAACTACTGTATTACAGTCGTTTACATTCTGTTTTTATCGATATTCTTAAGCTTATAATAACATGCCATTAAAAGTGAAAACCCACCCAATTTTCACTCTTTCTTATAATTTGAATGGAACACTTTGGGCAATTCTTATCGGTCTTATTTCTTAATAGATGGCGCTATAGGCCTTCATCGATGTTCCTACTTAAAACGATCAGCAATCGCGCTATTATATTTATACTGAATAGCATGTCATTTTGACCTTTATTATCAAATAGCAGACTAAATAACTTGAGAAGTCAATAACTTTTAATTATTCATAGTATCCAGTTTAGTAGTCATCATGGCAAGTTTAAAGAGCATATCGTGATACACTTATCCAAAAACCTTATGGGGTAAACAATAGATGGCGCTCTACTTTTTTTTCTCTTTTTTGAACGCTTGATCATTTTTTTAACGTTGGCAGATGACGCTTTGTATATAGGTCGATCGTACATGTCATTGTTATGCCCTTTTTCTCAAACTTTGCAAGCACGACACACAAAGACAAGTGAATGAAATCAAATAGTTTTTAGTTAAGTAAATTAACAGATCTCAAAGATCCTTTAGGGTACCTAGTTATCTGGCGTAAAAAGAATTAATTTAATTGTTTTCATCGGCTTTTTTATGGTAAGGAGTGTAATTAAATATTTTCAGTATTTTACTCACAGCACCAGTAGTCACGAAAAAAATGATTACAAAGAAAATGTGATTCAATGAAAAAGTCATTGGAAGGTAAAATTTGCAAAAATTTAATATTAAATTACATACTCTATTCCGAAATTCGTATATTGCAACATAACTGTACAACCTAGAAAATTTTTATCTGGTAATTTTTTGAAATATCATTATTGCAACATCTTGGAAAAATTAGGACATAGGTCATGTCAGTTTATTGCACAATATAACTATGCTTATGATTGTTTCTTAAGGATAAATTTAATATAATGTATATTTTTTTGCGTATATACTTAGTTCATTAACCTTTCTTTTAATAAACGCAGAACTGCGTATATATACTGAAAATAAAACAAGAGACCCTGACGTATAAACTTAGTCATAGGATTTGAGCCTATATTGCTCTGTTTTGTTTACGACGCTAGTAAAAATGACTCATTCTTAACGGCATAACGAACAAAAGGTTGTTTAGGCAATGTTTATTGGGTAAGTGATTCCTGCTAACCAATCACAGAGCTTGACACAAATATCCGGTTAGTGTTGATTGGCCCCGCCATTTTTTCTGACGTCATACCGGAATTTTAGCTAGAGGTCATCCACAGTTTCCCCCAAGACTTGCCGGCTGACTATACAGTGAGGAGATTTTAACATTTTATAGGTGAATAGGAATAGGATTATCAACTTGAACATATCACTTTAACTTGCTCACTACTATATTCTGAAGAACTAATTGAAAAAAGAAATGGAAGCTCAAAAACTCATCGTTTTATCACTCGGCAAAATGTATGCTTCGCGCCAAAAACGTACAGGGGTAAACTTACACAAAAACTTACTAGTCTCAACTGTTTTGGTTAAGGCTAGGTCTCAATATGTAACGGATATGGAAAGAACAGAAGACGACAGTAAGCCAGAAGATGATGATGAAGATGATACTGCTGAAGACCACGTTGTACCTGACCAAACTCCGTCTTTCGATATGGAAAACACAATAGTAGACTTAGAAAATACTTCGCAAGAAACAGTTGAAGAAGAAACTGACACTACAACCACACTCACATGCGCCAGAGTCTGTAAACGACGACTTACATCAGAAGAAGAAGAAGAATATCAAACACCTCCCTCAAAAAGACAGAAAAATGTTGAAAGTTATTTGGAACCCATGCAGACTGAACCAGTTCATATTAGTTCTCTAGTCAATGATTTTAACCACGGATTTACTGGACTGTTAACTTCAGACTTGTCGTGTTCGACATCTGTTAAAGGCCAATCGTCCTTTGCTACATCAGTTTCGTCGGCGTTAATCGCCTTGACAGTTTAGATATATATATATAATAACTGTTTTTTTGCTATTTATTTCGTATTTGGTTTCAAAAAAGATACATTAATCACAGTACTCGATGAACTTTCTCTAAATCTGCGTGAGTCATCTGTAGGCGTAACTTTCTATCCACGTGTATGACGTAATAGCAAGGGCAATAGTAAATTTGGCGGGAAACCTCCCACCTATAGCGTCATAAACATTTAAGGAATTTAGGTCACGCGTCACTACGAGAAAAGCCCTGGTCATACTGCTTTTAACTGGACTCGGGGGGAATCTCTATCATAGAGTTCAGTAATAATTAGATACCGTTATTTACTTCCTAATGTCAAAAGGAAAGGATTGGTAATCAAGCATGAGTAAGGAAATCCCGTCCTATTTTTAATGATTCATCTTGCCCGATATCCTTGGTATAGTACGCAATTACAAGATTCCTTCCTAAAGGCTCAGATAAGCCGAATATAACTAAGCACTCGCAGAAGAGAGTTCAGAGGTCGGTCACAATAGCGCGCATTTGGCAATGTTCCAGGTCGTCCTATACAAAGGCGTTGTTAATAGTTTCCAAGGTTACACTCTCCCTCTGTTTATAGGCTCACTTTGCTAGCCAATGTATACACCGACGCGTGGCAACGTTCGATCTTGTGCATAATTACTTTTTGCAGAATCATCCCGACATGACGTCTAAATTAAAGGAAGAGACAACTGTCTTCTTTCAGCGTACGTCTGTGAAAGGGTGCTGGCGTGTTCTTCGCCAAGATAACTCTTTTTTCTTAAAGAGTCTTTGGGTATTAAGTATCATCGGATTTATTTCTATAGCCCTTTATATGGTTTGTACAATGAGAAATACCAACGAAATAGGCTTATTAAACATGGTGGTTTTTATCCTTTGTTATATTCACACAGTCAGTGTCAATCTTATTAGAATACTATACATATCCTAAAGTTGCGGTAATGACTGACGACCCAATTGGAGGGTCATTTGGTATATTTCCATCGATTACAATCTGCAACAATTTCCCTTTTAGTATGGATAAGGTAGAAAATTATTTTTATTCTACAGAATAAAACTACCTATTTAACTAAAGTATCGGCTAATAAATGGCGGTCTATAAACTTTTCTTCTTTATTTGCTCATTTATAGATTAATCGACTTAAATTACCAACTATTGATGAGTTTTATACAAAAGTCGATAAGGCAGCTGAAGCAATTGGTGGAAGTAATAGATTTTTAGAAGGCATAAAGTCAATAGGCGGATATTTTTCATATCTTGGAATTAATAACGTTAAGAAAGTAGCTCATAAGAAAGATGAACTCTTCCTGGAATGTAAAGTTATTTTATTGGAAGGTTATCTTAACGATTATAGAAATTGTACTACGACTCTGCTGAGTAGAGTTGATCGTTATTTGCATCCAGATTATTTTGCTTGTTACACGTAATATACTTTCCATTCAACTTTTTAAAAGACTTCACATTAGCTCATTTTCCTACCTGTTATCGACCAGGATTCGCCCACTATACAATGAATCTTACTCAGACGGTCTCACATCTTTACTCTTAAATGGCTTGCAGACTGTTCTGCATTTAAAGGAATCTGGAGAAAATCTGAGTTTCAATGGTTCGAAGGGAGCTAAATTTACGGTTGATTCTCAAAGTGTTTCTATTCTATCCAATTTTCAAAACACCTTCTGCTTTTTTCTTTTCGTTTTCAAAAGTTATACAACATGAATTTACCGTATATATTCTTCTCTTCCAATTCCTATGTTTATAGGTGCATCAGCCCGATGCATGGTTTAATGTAAAAATACATGGTCATGACGTTCGTCCATCTTCTATGACTACAGCCCAGATCGCAGGCTCCGCGGATGTAAAACTTGAAAAACCATATGGAAATTGCTATAATTCATCTTTTATTGAGCCTGTTAAAACTTTGGAAGGTTACAATTTGATGTATTCATCTAGTGCCTGTTATGCCCTGTGCAAACTAAAAGCTATAGCCGAAAATTGCCAATGTATCGATCCTTATCAATTGATATCACCAGATCACATAAATAAATACAGAAATTATAGTCTTTGCCATAAATTGCCAGATGTAATTACAAAAGAAAGCATCGAGAAATTCGTGAACAGATTGCAATGCAGGTTGGTAATGAAGACGGGATTTTTTTAATTCCCTTAATTGCATTGACTATATTTCCCATTAGGGAACGGGAAGTTTTGAAAGCTGAGAAAACTTGTATACCTACATGTAGACCTCCTTGCTTAAGAATGGTGTATAAAGTTGATCTAGGAGAGGGTATTTGGCCAGACAAGCGTCAAGTCATGTCCGTGTACGAAGGCCTTATATTAAACAAAGTATTTCATAAAGATTATCTCGATTACTACGATATATTTAAGAAATGGTCAACAACGAAAGAGCCATCCGATATTCTACTGAACAAAAAAAATAGATTAGAAAAGAATTTAATCTTAGTAAGGAACCGCACCATTAATAGAATAATTCACTTCATCTCATTTCTTATCCCTTATTATTATAATTACATTATTTCCCTAGCTAAAATTCTACTGGATGTCACAAACTGGTTATTTCTCAAGGATCGATCAAAAAGTATATGATGCTGCTGACCTATTTTCACAAATAGGCGGAATTTTAAATCTGTGGACAGGAATTACATTTATATTATTAGTCGAGATATTCGAATTCTTATATAGGTTAGTTTAATCCAGTTCGGATTGCATTAAATAATTCAATTAAATATAATGAGATGATATAAACAGATTATTTATGCTTAAAACTGCAAAGAAGGCAGAAGAGCGCCTTGGAACATCTCTCCAAAGAACGAGAACGGCACTAAATTTAATAAGAACTGATAAAACTCGATGCACGACTGGCCGTCGCAACTAAATGGATATGAAAAATTTATAAATGAACTTACGATATTCTCTATTCTTCTGTCTTACGTTCGAAAAAAGAACTCAAAAACGGATATGGAAATATGAAATCAGTTGCGCCATCTATATTTTCGAAAACAAACTAAGGTTTTTCAGACTTTACTTTGATCATTGTCTATTAATGAAATAATTTTTTAATGGCCCATTCTATTCGCTTGAATAGATGCCACGATGCTTTTAGAATTGTACCAGGCTGGATTATATGTATAATTCACATGTCACCGCACGAATATCGTTATATTGCTTATCTTGAACTTGTTTTTAGAATATATATTTTCACAAGACAAACAAACTTGCAGTAACATTACAATCCGATTTTGAGATTAAAATAACCAATACAAATTATCGTTTTATGGTATTTTCCCACATATATTAAGATCTAAATGGCAAAAAAAGTGAACTTGATCGTTTATCATTTCATCATAATTGAATAAACTTTTACTTAACTTTGACAAACATAGCGTTATTTTTTATAATAAGTAGGCGTAATTTCAATTGTAATTCACTCTTAATCTAATAATTTATATTAAATTTAATTGATTTATACCTCTATTGTACTTACTTTTCTTTTATGTCCAACGGCAATATAAACATTTCATTGGATATGAATATTTATAATCAGAAGGTATTACATAACTAGGTCAATATTTTAAAAAAATAATGAACAATTATAATTAAGGAAATAAAAAATTATACATAATTTACTTTATGATATTTATCTATTAAATTGTATTTATTGCATAGAACACTCAAAAGTTAAAAAGACACTTTTATATACTGCATGGAAAGATATAAATAATCAGCACTAATCCAGTTCTATCCAGCACATATTTTATTCTGTTTTTATTCTCTTTTCTAAACTAATTTTCTCTTTTCTTTCTTGATCGTTCGCCCGTGGATGAAGTCGTTTTCTCCCTCTTTTTATTGGTACGTGGCAGGTTTTTATTGGCTTTATTTCAATTCCTGAGCTCGTTAGGATGGATCTAAAAAAGAAAACAGCGAAAAGAGGGTGATTAGTTAATAAAAGTTAATTACTGCGTAATTATCAATAAATATTTCTATAATGATATCTTCTATTTAAGGTTTGTTAGCGTAAAAGTTTTGTATGATTATTCTCTAAGTATCGTAATTTAGATGAAAGAATGAAGGTTAATTTTAGGGGGAATTAATAAAAAAATAAAAAAAAGTACCTTAAAGCCGAGATATAATGAATAGCCAAACGAAGAGTAGCAATCTTCGATAATTTTTGATGCTCGCTTAAGTTTGATTTAGGCACAACTAATCTTAAGGCGTCGAAAGCGTCATTCAGCAAATGCATACGACTTCTCTCCCTATGGTTTGTTAGTGGGAAAAAATTAATTATAAATGAGGGATTTTTCTTATCATACTAGGGTTTAAATGGACTTACCTTGCTGTTGCTCCTTGTCGCGAGAGCGGCTTTGGAACTGTCGACTGGGGAATTAAATCGTAACGTTGCTGGGATGAATGAGGTATTAACTGCTGATTGTAGGCGGAATACGCAAATGCTTCATCGTAGTAATAATTAGGTTCGTTATTGAAGTTTCTATAATAATTATTCGGCCTCTCCATTATTTCTTAGCAAACTGCCAATAGATTAGGAGCTTAACGCTCTCTTTGGCCACGCCTTTACTTGCGCATCAGTAGCTGATTGGCTGGATTTAGGACGCTCGAGCGTTTATCTTATCAAACCATTTTATTGACAAGCCAACGACTTTGATGTAGCGTTGATTGATGTTCGTTAAAAGTTATCACCTTCCATCGCTAATTGTTTGTTGAGTGAGCGTGCGGACCAAATACCGTCTTTTCTGAGACAAACCGGGTTATCGTTTGTCGTGGGAATGCAAATATATGAAAGTTTTATGAAAATATCATTTTTTATTATAAGACATTGGAAAAAGTTCTTTTATTCTCTATTTTCCAACTGCAAAAGAGGGTGAAAAGTGATCCGATCAAAAAGCAGGTGCATATCTCGAATTGACAACTGGTTTTCTTTATCTGCAAAAGTTTGCAGGTGCAGTTTCCTTAAAATACAACTGCGCCATCTGTAATAGAAAAGGGTAAGGCAGGTAGAAGGCGCTTCCAGGCTGTAGTGAATGTATTGTCCTATTTACAAATAGCAGACGTGGGCAACGTATTTCGACCTATTTTTTTCTATTATTTTTCAATATTTTAGCACAGGGTGACCTCTTTTCTACCGATGCGTATCGAGACATATTGAAAAATCACGATCTCACGTCCGCCACCCTTCTCAAGTTATTCTTTTGCGCAGAGGAGGCGATAAAGGGAAGAACCAAAAAAATGGTCCTCACCACTCTTCTTTTGTTTTTATCAGTCAGTCCACTGGTGAAGCCCGAAATGTTTACTGCGTTAGTTCACATGGAGAAGTCTATACATGCGGAAAAAAGGTTAGCAAAGGAAATTCGCAGCTACGTGACCAAGGAAAGGGAGCGTCTGAACGAACTAGAGCGCATAGCTAACGAATACGAGTCTCATGCCGAATCAGCAATGGGGGATATGCATGCTACTCTAGCCAATCCAGTTAGTGCCTTCTTACTTGTTAAGAGGTTTACAACCGATTGGAATGATGTTCTCAATAAGTACATGACGCCTAATAACACAAATCAGTTTATTGCGTCCCTACCCCAACTCACTGAAGGATTTCCAAGTCCTGAAGATCTTGACGGTGCAGCGGTTGCTCTTCTGAGATTGCAAGACACTTATGTCTTACCTACTGATAAAGTAGCAAAAGGTACTAATTACTTCTTCTCAACTGTTATTTGACTTTTGCTTAATCAATTTTAATTGTCTTTCGAACATCTTCAGGGGAAATTAAAGGAGTTCGTTACTCACCAAAGATGACGGCTCAAGATTGCTTTCAGCTTGGCAAAGTCGCCTACAGCCAAGGAGACTATTATCATACAATGCTCTGGATGAAAGAAGCTCTCACTATACTAGAAAATGAAACATCTAAAACCATTGAAAAGCCAATTATCCTTGATTATTTAGCCTATTCAACTTATATGGTAGAATAGATTAATACTTTATAATGTTTCCTATGATAATCATCTTAATCCTTATCACTATATGTTTCTCTCTTATCCCAAATAGCAAGGAAATTGGATACACGCCTTAAACTTAACGAAAGAGTGGTTAAATGAAGGTACAAACAGTTTTTATTTGGTTTTCTAATTAAAGACAACACAATTATTTGATTTTTCGCACAGAACCCAACCATGTTAGAGCACAGAGTAACCATGATTACTATTCAAAATTAATTAGAGAAGCCAAGGAAAATGGGAAGAAAGATGAAGAATTAGATGTCGTCAATAATCCTAGACAGTTAGATGAATATAGACAGAGTGAAGAATTTGCAAAATACGAAGCATTATGTAGAGGGGAAGAAACTCAAGTATATCCATTAGCTCATAAATTAACTTGTCAATACAAGAGGCACCATCCATATTTTATCCTTCGACCGTTGAAAGAGGAGATCATGTATTTCGATCCTTGGATTGCTATCTATCACGATCTAATGACAGAGTCAGAAGTCAAGAGAATACAGGAAATGGCAGGTCCTAGGGTAAATATGTAACATTCTTACTATATCGCTATTTCTTTTTTTCTTAACTTGAAAAAGTTTTAACAAAATGGAAAATGTTACATAGTTAAATCGCGCAACTGTCCAAAATCCTTCTACTGGAAAGCTTGAATTCGCAACATATAGAGTCAGTAAAAGGTAAAAAAATATGTATATATACTAAGAAACCAACACACATTTGTACCATTCTTCGTGGTGACTGGCAGATGTCGTTCAGCTGTGTATGACGATATATAATATGTTTCTTCATTGAGGGCGTGTTTTCCTACTCATACACACCGTATATTTTTGATAAAAAAAATTCCTCTCTTATTTGGGTTATTTATTCTATATCTCCTCTCTACGTTTTTTTTTACATCTTTAGACGAAATTACTTTAAATTTTTCTAGTTACATCGATCAGGAGTATTTGTTACTGAAGATAACAAAAGTCCAACTACAAATTACCGCACAAGTCAGAGGTATCTTTGGTGTTTGTTATTCCTGACATTTCTTCTCTTACATCTAACTATTTTTCAATAATGTAATATTGTTTTGTTGCACTTTTCTTATTCAGCTAAAAGCCTCATCGTGTATATACCAACTACTCTATCAATCTTTCTCTATTTCTATCTTTCTCTCTCAATCACCCTTTCTCTATTATTTCGTTCTCTCACTCACCCACTCTTGCCAAAAACCTTAAAATTTGGGGAAAAACTCGTTCAAGCTCATGAATAATTTTGCTGAGTGAAAATATTTCTACGGTGTGTTTTTTTTTTGTAAAAGAAAATAAAAAAAAGCCAGCCCACATGCCAGTCATTACAAAGGAGAAAATATATGCATATATTAATATATATATATACAGTATATACTGTACAATATTGTTTATTTATAGATATACTATATATATATATAAATTTATATATGCTATATATGCTATACATGCTATATATATATATATGTAAATAGTTTGAAAATATTTAAAAGTAATTATAATCATTTATGTAGTGCCTGGTTGAAAGATCATGAAGATCCGATAATTGCCCATGTCAGCGGTAAAATCAATAAAATGACAAATTTAACTTTGGAAACTGCTGAAGAATTGCAGGTACTTAAGAAAGAATGGCAATATATAAATATATATATAGATATTATTCATTAATTGAAAAAAATGGGGAAAAGAGGGCAGCTCAGATCAATGGATATTATTAGATCGCTTAGCATGCGAGTTTTAATTACCTAAGTTATTGGCTCCTTTTAAAAGCATCCCTTTGATTTGATTTTTATTAGTGCTTTAATATGCTTTCTCGCCCTTCTCCTAATGCCTTAGTTCACTTATCTAACAGTTAAAAGAGACCTTGACGTTTATTAAACGTCTTCTCCTTCTCTCTCTCTCTCTCTGTCCTTCTCGATTTGACAAAACTAAGTCATCGAGATATAATTAAAATTTAAAATGAATGGCTATAGTATATTTATACTATATATAAATATATATTGTCTATAAATATCTATAACAAAAACCGAATTTTATGGCTTTTCTTAGCGCATGGCTATCAGATAATGATGATCCTCTAATACGAGCATTTTCTGGAAAGATTCACTTGATGAGCAATTTAACATTACCTACTGCTGAACATTTACAGGTATACAAATATCAAAAAGAGCCAAGAGAATATATTGTAATATTGATACGAGCTGCCCCAAGAGATCAAAGTAAATGTGAAATTGATTGATAAAAACCGTTATTTCTTGCAACAGGTCGTTAATTACGGTATTGGTGGTCATTACGAACCTCATTTCGACTTTGCCAGGGTAAGAATAGGCATAAATTGCATTGAAAAAGGAAAAAGAAAAAAAGAATCAAGAAAAAGAGCAAGAGATAGAGAGAAAATGAGGGATACAGAGACGGGATAAAATGTTAAAGAAATATGTATCTTTTTAAATCTTTTCGTCTCTTATTCATTCTCTCTCTCTTTCTCTCAGAATATGATAATTAAATGATCATAGTCAACTTTTAAAGCGATATTTTCCTTTGTTTTTTAAAGAAAGTATCGTTCTTAAATAGTTTTCTACTGCACACATCATTTTTTGCAGAAGAGAGAAATAAATACGTTCGAATCATGGCGTGGTAATCGAATAGCCACTGTCATATTTTATGTAAGTGTCAAAACTCTTCTCCTTTTCTTTGAGGAAAAAAAACAAAAGGAGAAACGGGAAGACGCAAAAATGGTGTTGCAGTAGGCCTAAAAGCCTAATAACATGTTTTAGGGTTGATATTTTGCGACTTCTTGTTTTTTTTTTGTTTTTTTTGTTATTTATAGAGAGAAAATCCAACTGAACTAGAAAAGGCCTGGGGTACAAGGATTGCTACAGCCATTTTCTATGTAAGTCATAGAGCTGGAACAATCGATTTGAGACTTGAATAGGAAGATTTTTTTTTTTAGTTTTCCGAAGAGATTGAACAACACCTATTTATCTAGCTATTTATTTCCCATAAAGATTATCTTACAATCCTTCGTCAATAATTGATTTTTCCTTGAAAACTATTTGCAGATGACTGACGTCGAAGCGGGCGGTGTAACGGCGTTCCCGAACCTGGGCGTTAAATTATATCCAGAGGCTCGATCGTGTGCTGTCTGGTACAATCTCATGAAAAGTACAGAGGGCGATTATCGAACCAGACACGCCGGATGTCCGGTTCTGACTGGATCGAAATGGGTGGCGAACAAATGGATACACGAAAGAGGTCAAGAGTTCACAAGACCGTGTTCCTTGAAACCGGAAGAATAGTAGAAATTATAGTCATTTAAATTTTAGATCGTTAAGAACTGAATTTTACTATGCAAGAAAATTGTTAATTTACACAAATTTTAATAAACGGTAGATGGCGCTAGCCTCGAAAGTAATTTATTTTCTAATTACGCGGTCAATCACAAGTCTAGATTGTAATAGTGTTGGACGCAGAGACACTTACGAGGCTTCAACGCTATCTTTGTAAACAGAGACGAGTTTTGTCTTTATCTCAAGGCATCATTCACTACTAGACGATCTGTCGTCAGTATAGACGGATATATCAGTAAAATAAATTTGACTTTATCATTAAAGACAAATAGCTTTTCTCTCCTATTGTTCAGAAATTAATTCAATAACAAAAATTTTTTCCAAAAAGAAAAAAACATTTTAATAAATTATCATGTGAAACGGATCAGGGTAAAGTATCTGGCAAGTGGAGTAACAAAAGAGATAGAAGGAGTCGAATCATTTATCCACTCTCGTGGTCACCGTGGTCGAATTTTTTCGAAAGAGAATTGCGACGGTTGTTGCTGCAGGTGTCCGTCCTTAAGAAGGGCGAATGTTCGTTTCTTAATAAAATGAAAGTGGTACTTGGCAAATTGGTAAAATTCGTTTTCTAATTTCCAAATTGGAGAGTCTTGGAATTTATTGATAGTCTCCTCCGACACTGGAAGTTTATTGAAAGTTTTCCTAAGATGTGACTTTCGTCCCGTGCCGTATAAATGTGTTGCTCCTTTAAAAAATCTAGGCAAAACTGCTTCCAGCACAGCAACAAAATCATTCAATTCTTCCGTCAATCCGACAACGAGGTAATTATTGACTAAATTGTACTTTGCTTGTTCTAGAGCCCAATTGCTGCCTGGATACCAGCATTCTGCAGCATGGCCACAAAAGAAAGGTATCTGCATCCATAAGTTTTCTGGGTCACAGTCCTTTCCATCTTTCTCAGCGCATTCGTCAAAAGACTGAAAAGTAACAAAAATAAGAAATAACAATAGCTCTGAGAGCATTGTGTAAAAAAATCAATAATTTACTTCTTTATTTCCCGATTTTCTTCTCTTTAAATGGGGCCGAAAGTCGTCACCATTCCGCAGAAAGTAATAATATGAAACCAATCTTTCCAACGGGTCCCTTATTATATTTATATAGATAGGCTTGATCAAACCCTCTCCTAACCTGCAAACAACACGAATTGCAATTTATAGTTAAATCCCTAAGGGCAGTAAAAAGCGACGAACTTGGAAAAGTCTAAATAGGCAATGTGTCCATGATAAAGCGCCGGCTTTTTAGCAACCCATTTGCTTATATTTTGAGCGAAACGCATCTGAAACGAAATAAGGAAATGATGAAATCTCGTTAGTTCTTCTCGTCACTCATTTTCTCTTTTGCAGTCAATGCAAGTGAAAAAAATGCTAGCAAATGTCATACAGAGAACTATAATTTAATGTCATTTCGGCGCGATTTACGGTAAAAACGTCGGATTTATGTCGAATTAATGCAAGGCACGAGGGTGCATGCGTAAAAAATGTTGCAGATGCCGAACACGATACGCGTTACCGTATAAATAAACACTCCAAAAAGTCGTATACTTAAGAGGGCTACATACCTGATCGGGAAGAGATAAAAGGTGTGAATTCTTCGTCACGTTCAAATGAAGAACATTGAAGTGGTTTTTGAGGCATAAATCATAAGCAATTCCAGCGAATGAAGTTGAAGCAGTTTTTGGAACACGATTATAAATAACAACCATTTCATCAGAATTCGGTGTCACTTCACCCGTATTCGCCCAAATTTCCTCATTCTGTTTTTTCGAATATTCTGATTAATAGACGGCTTAGCGGGGAAAAAATGGAAAGCTTTTAGGGCTTTACTGCCAAGTTGTTATAATAACGACTGAGAGAGCACATGCACTATGCCTATCGTTCTTCTCGGCAGTATATACCGCAATAAATCAATTAGTGACCCTCTCTATAAATCAACGACTAATGTAATGAAAGACTTACGCTGAGCGAGGCTTTCTTGAAACGTTCGGTTTCTAAACGCTGCACGACGAGTTCTGTAAAGAAGTGAAAAGGTTTTTTCAATAGCCAACGGCGAATTTTGAGGTTATGAAAACCGGTTAGTAGGAATAAATCGTTAAAAGATGCTTTCTCGGGGAGTTGGCATGGCTAAATGCAAACATATTTGAAACGTTAAACGCGTATCGAAAACGTATTTGTACACCAGCTAACAAAAAAGGGCGATCGATTGGAAATCGACCGTAAAAACCGAGCAAACTCTACATTCGGAACGTAATTGAAAAATCTGCTTATTCCTGATTATCGCGAAAGCAATTAATCGATAAACATCAATCTTTACCATCAAAGAAGATCAGAGGAACACGCGAAACTCAGCAATATTGCCCCTCGCCTTGCACTTTTCACCTTCCTCTAAGTTTTACAGTCAGATTTTTCGGACGTCTACAGCGTCTTACACCACCCTACATCACGCCAGATGCCGATTTAATAAACCCAATTAAAGAACCTTGCGACTGCAAATTTCTCGATTAAATTAACGTTTGAGAGTCTGGTCTGGTTTTTCAACGCGTGAAAAGGCTATCGACTAACGCCGTCGATAATCTACAAACACGTATTGTTTGCCCAGGCTCACGTATAGCCGTTCGCTGACAAACTAGACTATCGATTGTTTACTTATGTTTTCAAAGATGCAACACGGCAGTCAATTGAAAGAAAAAACATTAGAGCTATGCGTCAACAGTAATTTCTCGATTGAGTATAGATGAACTGTGATGAAATCTAATTAGACAAGAATACAACACAAACGTGCAGCACTTTATTTATTTCCTCCTAACCGCGAAAATATTTTAGCATCAATAACGATCTCGATGACACGGTGCGCAACCGTTACGCTTTAACGAAGACGCTTTCACTGCAAAGAAAAAAAGGGGGCCGTCCTCGACGCTGTAATTAGCTTCTTAATCGTTTTTCGTCTAACGAAGAAATTGCAGACGCGACCTTTTCGCTGACTAGACTACGCCCACTAATCACTGAGATTTGCAGAAGGCGCAATCCTTGGAATACTCCTCTAATAAATACACTATCCTTATAAAATATTCAATACAGAGGAGACCGGAAATGGAAAAACACGAGTTTTTTTCATCAAACACGTGAAAAAAATCTGGCCGGCAGTTTGTTCGACTATTTCAAAAGGCACGCGCGCCTAAATAAATACACTCATCTCCAAACAATGTAAACGAATTAAAGATTCATCGACAACAGCCTTTCAAGTGCGCCCCTATTCACTTTGGACTAATCGAAAAACTAGAAGTGGGAGAAAGTGGGAAGAAACGTTTTATTTCTTATTCACCCACTTTACCCTTAACCGCCCCGCTGACTCCTCTCACTATCTTCCACACATTGGCACTTCCTGGGGTTTTTTGCAGAAAGATTTGAAAAGAAAGACTAGATGAGATTATGCGTGCGACTGTACGAAATTTGCATACGAAATTAATTGAATCGCGTTCGCACAGATAGAACTTCTTCGTACGAATGTCAATTATGCAGAAACGTATACAACACTCACTCTCGAACGTGTATACACGCTGTTATACCAGATTATCAACTACCATTCATCTTCATTTACATTCCATTCTATCGTTCATTCATAATTCGTAATCTCGTGACTACGGTCATGGAGTATGATACACAATATCAAGCAAATGTTAGACGCAATATATGTTTGTCTACACTTCCCGATTATAGTTCGAAAAGAACGCAAACAAAGTTATCAGATAAAAGTCTGTGAGAGGTCGGATTTTAACTGTGGTTTCCCGCAGTAAAATAGGAAAAAAATAAAGGGCTCTCTGTATTCACTCAGACAGAACAACCTTTTTTTCCCTCAAAGCGAACGACCTGGAGATATAACAATAATGTTGGATTGAGAAAGAACAGATGCAACGCTCCAAATTCCTTAAATGTTCGACGAAGTGAACACCGTAGTAACAGGAATTGACACGCGCGTAAACAATAGAAATCCGCGATAAGCGCGAAACAATCAACCTTCTTATTCTACGACGTTTCCTATAGGGCGCCCGCCCTGTTTCCGGCGTCACTTTGAGTACAATTGTGACTTTCTTTTACTCCCCTATCAACTACCTATTATGAGTTCAGGCGATAATGTTCGATTTTTATGCGTATCGTGTATGCGCCTTAAAAAGGGAGCGTTTCTCTAACTTTTTCCTAACTATACTGCCCGTAGGCAGAGCACATTGACGAGTTAATTTTTACGGGTTTTCACATACTGTTCGCTTTTACACCTGTTCTAAATGATAAAGAACAGGTTTGCGAAACGTGATCTATTCGGAAAAGTGAACATTTAACGGCCTGCGAACAGAGCTGGGTACTTAAACAATGTACGTACCTAAATTTACTCTCGATTTGTCCAGTCGATTTATTTCCGATTGAATATAAAGAAGCATTATAATGACTATTGGCAGAAGAAATGAAGATAGCAGCCATTGCTTTAATGGAAATCTTGTCATATTTTCCAGTTTCGTTTTTACATCACTATAACTATAATTCGGTTTTAAATTAAATTATCAAGGGTCTTCTTCATGATTCATGGAAGGCAAATAATAATAAAAGAGTTCTTAAACAGTTTATCAAAAATTTTCTATTATTCAAATATATAGAGTCAAAGTCTTTTCCTATGTTGTCCGAACTGTCTCACTCTTCCTCAAATACTGACTGACTGGATAGTTGTTTTATGGCCTTGACCTTGGGCCCCACACATCGAACATATTTTCTCGCGTATAATGATAAAATCATTTTAGAATTTGATATTTACACCATCTTTTAATAATAAACAATTTTTTTCACAAACGTTTTAGTTAAAGTATTTTAACTATTTTACTTTATTTCGAAATAAATTGGGAAAATTGAAAATGGCGACGACCGGTGGCGCAAATATGAGTGAGAAAAAGTATGTATACTTTCCCTGATACAAGATATATTTTTCAATTAATCAGGGAAAAATGATCAAAATTTTAGAATTCTATATATATATGTTAAAAAGTCGATGATTTTCTTTTGCAGTGGATATTTAATTGTCTAACAGTATAATATAAACCTTTTATCGCTCTTTCCTTAAACCATTATTGACAATGTTTTAAAAATCTTATTCATTTATCATTACAGAATGTCACTTAGAGACTTGTGGCACTGTTTAGCAAACCCTGATAAAGTGTCTCAGGTATGTAGTTGAAAATTGGATCAAAGTTAATAGAATTTAGTCAATATGAACGTTGCAGGAGCATTTACGTGATCTCTTGAAGGCTAACAATAACGATTTGTTAAACGGTCTCTTGAAGTATTCAAATGAGAGGTATTTCTCACGAAGTTCGTTAAATAAATCGTAATTAAACTTCCATTTATTCAGCCCTAATAGCATAAATGACTCTCTCAAGAAATTAAATGTCACTACTTCCAAAGAGATTGATTATTATAAGAAATTAAACAAATTTCTGGTTAGTTAATTAGTAGTCTTTTTCGAATCATTTGCTTATAAATTAAAAATCCTATAGACACTAAACGTCACCGTATGTCACAAACTACACAAAGATTTTGTTAAATATGATCTTCGCAACGGAGACGAAAATGAAGTTAGTCTTTACTTTCATTTCATTTCCATACCTCACTATGTATATATATTTTATCACTAAATTTTAGGATGATTTGCTGAGAGATGAGAGAAATGTTAAAATGCTTTTGTATGGAATCAGAGATTTTTATTATACGGAAAGATTACTGTTGTTGCAGTGTATAAAGCATCTTCTTCATATTTCTATGTGGCCCGATCAAAAAGCAAGTCAGGTAGCGTTGTGTACACATTTCTTCGAATATAATCTTCTAATATAAGAACAAAATTTCGATAGAAAATACAAAGTCTATTTGATGATACAGTAAAGCAAATGTGTAATAATAATTTGGCTGAGAAACTACTAGAACAATATAAGTTCATTAGCGGATCATCACCGCCAAATTTGGAAGAGAATGGATCATATATGGTAAATATCCAATAATATCTATCTGGCATTCAACAGAAATTACATTTTTATTCTAATTTTCTCATCTAGACTGATCAAGAAATTAATTTATGGCAATTACAAAAATTCAGGGAACTTGAGAGTTTATTAGAGATTTTATTACTCTTTTATAAAAGTATGGAATTAACACCAGCCTATTCGTTAAAATATCTCAAACATTTCAAAGTAAATCTATTTATATATTCCCTTAAAGAAATCATTCGCAATTAATAATTATTTTATATTTTCTCAAGGAGACTTTAGATTGGATGAGAAAATTCTCTAATGGTTATTTCTCTGATTATACAGAAAAAATTAGGTATTTAAAAAATGCTTTAATATTTAATAAGCTAAAAAAATAATTATCGACATTTCATATTGCAAAATTGTCATATTTTGCAGATTATTGCAAGTATGCATTATAATTGAGGGTTTCGATTTGGAATACTTAAAATCGTGTAAAGATACAAATGATACAACCAAGCATTCTTATATCACATGTTCCCAATTTCAAGTAAGAAAATTGTTATTTAATGATACCAATCCTTCTATCTTATGTCTTTGACGACTTGTTAAGAATTTAACAAGAAATAAAACTAATATAAAATTATTGTCATAGGAAATTGAAAATGAAATAAAGATCTTGGGTTGTGATACTGGTGGAAGTCCATTGATGTTGTCTTGGGGTTTGGTAAAGTATTGTAAAAGCAATAATGAAGCGGACATAGAAATGTTTGGGGAAGCTGCAATTTCTATGAATATGTTTAAATATTTATCTCAAATGCTCTCTCTAAAAGAACTTTGCCATAAAACGGTTAGATTTTTAATTTTATACAATACATAGTAGTGCGATTTGTATAATAAAATTATACGTATATATTGCTTATTTTCTATTCCTATTAAAATATAGAAAGTGAATTCCATAGTCAAGACAACATATTATGGAATGATGCAGCTGTTATTAGATCTATTTGATGCAAGTGTCTTATCTGAAGACGAGGTTTGTTTGATATGTTATTTTGTTTTTATGATGGAATATTCTCAAGATACCCTTCTCTCTTCTCAACAGGAGGTCTACAATTTAATAGCAAATATACTAAGTGAACCAACTCTTAGCTCCATGTTCTGGGACCAAGTGAGTTTTATTAAGTTATTCTTATGTGATATGACTATTCCTCGAATATTGATAGGGTTTGGACAATGGTTTGGGATTGATTTTGAAAAGAGCAGCGACTAAATTTCCATCCAATTTTCTACCTTTTATGGAATTATCTATTGCATTAGCAAAAAGTAGTTCATTCAGCGCTCAAAATGTTAGTAATACATACAAATATATAAAGAAATATAGGATTTATCTTCTATTCTTTTATTATCAGATTTTTGAATACATCAAACGATTGGATATTCTATCGATAAAATGTCCATCAAATGCGCTATTTGACTTGAAATCTAATGACTTTGGTCTGATAGCTACACTTCAAAAAGACTACTATCCCCTCGTTGATTTCTGTGTTGCCAAAAATACTAAGGGCATTTTGTATACGGGTAAATATTTGCTCTTAAAAGTCACTAGATTGTTTTGATAGGAGATTTGATTAAAACCCTTAGATAAAGAAACGGTTGAATGGTACCATAAATATAACGGATTTCATTTATTTTCGTCAATGTTAAAGCAGCTATTAAATGGGAATAACGATGGTTGGTTGCTTTTGTTATAATTTATATATTTGAGTTTTATTTCTATAAAAGTTCACATACAAATTCTTTCATAGGAAACGCATTAGTGCATTTAAAGAATCTGTCTAAAATATACGAATTGGTTTCGTCTATCTCAAACTCTGATAGCAACGCGTTACCTTATCTACAACCCATAATTCAAAGCTGCTTTCCACTCCAAGAAGACTGCTTACAGTTTGGAGTTGATGGTTTATCTCTTGCTTCGGCTTGTTTTGATAACTTTATCGACGCTGAGACGATATTAAAAGTAATATTACAATATTTACATAAAGCTTTAAGATAACTGATGAATTATTTAGGCTTGGACTGAATTGACAAAATGTAATTTTCTACCACTTCCACACCGTCTTAATCAAACTATCTCTGACATTGTGGCGGAAAGCAGTGGGAAATTATGTACCTTAACAGAGATCGTCCACGCAGAGTGTGGTTTGTTAGAGTATAGAGTTGTTAAGAGCTGTTTAAATTATGTCATCAAACTAATTCCGCACCTGGCTGATCATAATCGACTTGACGAGTTAATTTCACTTGTTGTATTCATCTTAAATAATATATTCACTGTCTACGTTGGCTGGAGCTATTCAGAAAATTCTGAAAAGGAAACTATTGGAATATATTGTTTACAAATCTTTCATAAAATCCTTAATATATTCTCTGATCCCACTGAGTAAGCATTCTTATCTGTTTAATTATTTATATTTAAGTAAATGTCGTTTAAATAGAGAAAGGCAACAAATTTGCGAAGTATTGTTATACTGCTTGCTGCACTCGAAAGCGGGATTCATCCTTTTAGAACTAATTGGTACCGGTAGTTCTACCATCAATGCAGCTCTTGTTCAACAGGGAAGGTACATATTAAATATTCTTTTATACTATGTTGAGGCAGATTTCATTAAATTCCATTGCTATTTTTAGTATAACTGATGGACAAGGAACAAAATTGGTGGAAGTAGTAACAAGAGCCTGCTCATTATTAAATATACTTCTTCTTCTCAGGCCAAACAATGGGGAAGTGTCTCCCATTGAAACAACACTATGCTCGAAGACAAGTACAAGGTTAAAATAGGTTACAGTTGACAATATCAAATTGCTAACATGCCACTTTCGACAAATTTCAGATGGAGACATAAGCACGAGGAGCATGTAGTGAGGGTCATTGCGGAGTATGTACTTATTGAATATGATCAAAGATTACCACGGCTTGCTGTTATGCTATTAAAAAAACTTGCAAGAGTCCTAAATATATCTATCCTCTCCTGTTTTGAACCATCAGCAAATTTCATACGAGATGTTTATTTCGATCGTTTGAAGTCTAGAGATCAGGTAATAATTTATACAAATGTCCCCGGCATAATTTACTATTTATTAAATGAAATACAATAATGGAATATCATAACAGCCTTTGGCTATAAAAGTTGCAATATTGGAATTTCTATCGGCGTGTACAGAATCTCAACCAGGATTGATCGAATTATTTATGAATATAACACATCCTGTTACGCAGGCGGTTTGTATTAATCATTTTGTTAATTAGAAAGATATTTTCATTTTTATCTTCTCGTTAGAAGGCTAGTGCAAATAAGGATAGTTGTCTTGATATAACATTAAAGATGATAGACGAAAATATTCAAAGAACTGAAGCTTGTCCTTCCGATTTATTGTGTGCGGCTATGCAATTTATTCATTCACTATGGGCATCTAGAAAGGATGCTGCAATGAATTATCTTTGTTCCAAGTAGGCATTCTAATTTAGACAATTGCAGACGCATCCTGTATATTTATTATGTAACCTTTTTATTAAATTTATAGGCCAAATTTCTGGAAGTGCGTTTGTTCTTTGTTGCTACAGAATTTATCTGAAATAGAACTGAAAACCGAACTAAGGGTATTTATAAATATATATTTATTTCTATTTATTTTAATTAATTCGATTAATTATATAATAATTAAATATATTCATAAATAACTCTATATAGTTAGTTAATAAATGTATGAATTTACAGACTAAATCGTTTTCTGTTCGAGCATCGTCGTTTATATTTAGTATATTAGCTGAGGAGTTGTACGGAGTTGAAAAAGATGATGAAAAATTAAAGGAAGTATTGAATGTTCTCGTATCCGAATCCCGTTTTGAACATTGGTCGGAAGTAAGAGATTTTTACTTAAGAGCTTGATCGACATTTTATTAATTACGTTGTCTAAAACAAATTTGTAGTTTCTCACGCAATCTTTGTGTGAAATTGATATTGAAAAAATACATAAAGAATCGTCTTACGAAGCAAATGTTTTCCAATTATTACTGGGCTGGAAGAAATTTGTCTACGTTATTTCTGGTAATAGAGTAAGTAGAAATATCATTGTTTTTTTAGTAAACGATAACATTATTCCTATTATTCCTATAAATACGCATTTTGTATTTCGCAGCCTGACGTTTTAAGACTGGAGGGTAAAGTACGTGAAAAAATTGTCATACATTTATTGACTCTATTAGAGAAATTGTTGGATAATGGGTCTTCCGAAAATAAATCTTATAATAAGATAGCAAGCGTTACGTCTTCTATAATACTGGTTTTACTCCGCCATTGGAGTGACTGCTTGGAAAAATGGAAGTTCATTATGACAAAAATGAAGACTTTATTGAGTTCAAGTCTTCATTTCCGTCCATCTGTTCAAATCGGAACTGTGACAAGCACGCTAATATGCCTTCAAGAGCTCTTAAGACGAGGAGGAATAGGTTAATATTAAAAAAATAAAAGAAATTGAAAGTTTACTACGTAAGCTCTTCTCAATTGTTTTTTTACACAGAAAGCTTAGAAGAAAAGTCTTTACTTAATATACTAGAAATATTATGCCGATATATTAAAGAAATTTCTCATCTAAACATTGAAAGCTCCAACGAAGTTAAAGTCTGTTTTTACATATGCTAATATACAGTATTTGTTGAAACTGACTGTTTATGATATGACATTTTTTTAGGTTCAAGTTTCCGTTTTATACGCAATAAATGACGGGGTTTCTTTAATGAAAAGCGAGTTCCCAGATAATTTCCTATGGTTTTCTAATATGAAGAAATATAGCGTTTTCGAAATAATCATTTCTAGTCTTAGTTATGTCATTCAGGTAAGTAAATTAATATAACATATTTTGTTTGGAAATTCTGTAAAATAAGTTTTTTTTTCTTTTTCTCAGAATCGATGCGCTTACGATTACGTTAGTGCTTCGTTACTTTTCTTATTAAACCTTACAATGTCATCGGAAGTATGTTTATTTATTCAGTCATATTTTATGATATTTGATGTATATACATAAAGACGACAATATATTTAATAGTTTTATTCTATTTGATTTAATTATACAGGTTGCTTTATGCATAAGTTCGGCCGGTTTTACACAACATTTATGCTTGAAAACAAAATATTTATATTCAAAAGAAAATGGTGAATTCGAATGGAGTGAAGCTATATCAAACGAAAATTCTGTAAGTAGGAAATCGTAAAATAAATATATCAATTAATTGAGTATAAATAATTCCTTATCTGTTATTTTATTATACTTTTAGATATTGACGCGTAAAAGTGGCAGTTGGTCTTCGCTTTTCATAAATATTCTAAAAATAGTTAGGAATTTATTAGAAACAAGGCGTTTATTTTTTGTCGATGACGCCTTCAATTTCGCCGGTGTTCACGATGATAGAATTTTAGCGGTGAGAATATTTCACTTTATGTTCTATTTTTAGCAAATTAATTGAATTTCAATATATTTCAGACTATGCAAAGGTTTCGCGAACAGTGTTCGATAGCCTGTTTACCGGAAATTGAGGCTTCCAGTGCTTTTATATCTCAATTATCCTTCCATTCAGTCGATTGGAGAACGCAATTACCAAATGTGATGAATAAGTTGATGGTCCGTTTATTATCTTTCAGACCCTTTTAATTTATTATAAAGATAATTGTGACGTTTCTTTTTTCCTTAAATAGAAAGAAATAATGCACCTTAGCGAATTTTGCGTTGCTTTGGTGGTTAAACCGAAATTCTTGCAAACTTGCATTAATGTAAGATATTCCCCATGTGATTTTAAATAACAAACGACTAATTAAACGCTTGTAATACTAATTACTTTACAGAAACAAATGGAAAACGATCCAAATACAAAAATAAAAGAAACTAAAAAAGCTATGAGAAGAGCTTTTAGGAGAATATCTTCAATTTCTGCCTCGTCTGATGATTGTGACGCCCCATCTAGAGAGCTTGCAGTTACACAATACAAGTATACAACAGCCTTTATTGTTATATAATCGATAGAATTCTTTTAACGGTTTTTTTTCTCTCTTGTTTTCTCCCATTGTTATATAGGTTATATAAGATTATTGCTCATTGTTTACTGGCCTTAAGAAATTTTTCACCAAATCTTCAAGATGGAATATTTGATCAAGTTATAGATCTCTCCGATTACGAACCACTATTACTTTTGGTGTTTAGTACACCTTCCTTAGATGAAATGTCGGCTACACCATCGTTCGGCACGCTAATTACCATAACAAATGCTTGTTTACGGCTTTTTAGTAAATTGGAACCCCGTCAATCGTCGCCAGCTAAATCCCCTGTATCTTATCAAGATTTTGCTCCCTTAACAAAGTAAAAACGTTAATTTTTAAGGTGATGTGATGGAGTATCTTTTGTTTCTTTTTTTCTTCCTAACAGATCACTTTTAATGAATGTTCTTGAAAATTCATTATACTTGCTAATGTCACAGGCAGTACTATTTTTGAGACAGGATTATTTAACTTCTAGAGATAAACAATTACTTAAAAGAGAGCTAAACGCCGAAGTTGTAAGTGGAATTAATATTGAATATCATACAACACGTTTTATTATTAATTTTCTTTCTCAAATGCAGACATCAATTTTATCAAGTTTACAAAGAATTTTTAGACGTGTTCCCGGTTCGGTCTCTCCGTCGAATAGTCGAAGATATAGCGGTTCACCGTTACAAAATCAAGTCCGATCTAAGTGGTCAATTGACCAAGGCCTATTTAAATTAGTTGAAAACTTTGCCACAACTATCTTAGCTTAATTTAGTGATAAGAAAAGACCGAAGAAGGAGGAAGGAAGAAGAGAGGAAGGAGATGAAAACAAAAAAAAATTTTTTTTCAGTAACATTATTTTTTACTTGTAAAAATAAATTTGTTAGTAAATTAGTTGTTTAAAAAAAAGAAGGAAAAAAGCTTTAATTAGAATTTAAAATTAACGGAAAATTTCTGTGACAAATAGCAGCAAAAAAGAGGAAAAAATGGCTTTCTTAATATGTTGCCTGAAGCGGTTTAGTAAATATTATGTTAAGGAAATATGCGACGCTATTAACTTTGGCAAAAGCATCGTGCTCAATAATATCAACGGTTATTTGAAGATCGTAACGAGAATTTGCAGTGCAAATTAACATTTGCAAATACTAGATCTGTAGGATTGCTCGCTCAAACGTTCCAGAGTGGTGTACGATTAATAAGTCCATGCAGTTAAAGAAAATCAACTATAAACGATCTAATATGTTAAATTCGCTATAATAGATTTCATTTGTTAATTAAATGTAATAAAGATCCTCCAATATTAATGAGCTTTTCCGTATAATAAATCGAAAGTAGTATTCTAGTAAAAACTGGTAGAATATATATATATATATGTTAAGAGTGTTTTGCCAATTTTATCATTTTTACAAAAAATCAATCGATTGGGGATAGAAAATTAGGCTAAAATACACGATTATTAACAAATTTTAAGGAATCGTCAATATTAGAAAGAAATTTTAGAAAACATGAAGATAAACGACAACATGTTGGCAATGTATGCCAATCACCGAAGTAGAAAACCTACAAAGGAAGGATATTTGTTTAAAAGAGGTAGTGAAAATATGATTATTGAAATGTACTGATTACATAACGCTATTAAACAGGTGAAATAAATCAGCAATACCAATTGAGACATTGCGTTCTACGTGCTAATATGTTATTTTATTCTGAGGGCCCAAATCAACAACCCCTTGGAGTTATCATTCTTGAAGGAGCCACTGTTGATTTTCTGGGGATTGAACCTAATCCAAAACTTGTTAATAAGAGCCTAAACATAAAAAAATTACATTTATTTGTTATCCAATGGAAAGCCTATGGTCAAAATTTGAGAAGGTACACTCTTGGCTGTGAGAAAACAGAAGATATCGATGATTGGATGAATAAAATAGTTATGTCTAGTTATTCATTTATGAGAAAAGTTCATACAGAGCTAAAAAAGCAGTTAGATACACTTCAAAATGTTCCAACCCGACCACCCTTACCAGAGAAGAGGAAGTCATTTGAAGAACTTCACGAAGACCTTCGACAAAGAATATCGGAAATGTGTCCTAATCTCAATATTATCAGTAAATCAGATAGTCAAATAATAGATCTTGGTATAGACGAACCAAATTCACCGGACGTTGAAGATGTAGAAGAAGAAAGTGAAAATAATAGTGGATCTATAGAAGCCGTAGAACCAGATCAAGAAGAGACTTTATCTGAATGAAGGATTTTTACAATAGATATTAGACAATAAGAAGATAAAATATAAATCATAAATTTTAAAATATCATAAAAAGTGACGCACTTAGAGAAACATTTGTTTTTGGGTTTTAGATATAGATGAATAATCTACACAAATAAAGATGGAGAGTAACAGAGTAAGAGAGAGAGAGAGAGAGAGAGAGAGGGGGAGAAAAAGGGGAAGACATTCTATAGTATTAAATATATTTAATATATATGCTTCAAATGAAAGGTCTTTTTTTAACTGAATTTTAATTAAATAAACGCATTTTGTCAATAGACTAGTTAATATTCATCACATACGCTATATGTTGTGATATATATATATATATATACTTTATAAGTGCATGTATATACTAACTAATATATAACTTGACATGTGCAAAGCATATAAATCATAACCAATAATACAGTATCTTTTCGCGATGCTATTCAGCATTTAATAGGCTTAAAGAAGAGAAAAGACACTAAGTACATTCTAGTACGTATCTACTGTATATATATATATATATATATATATAAACTTATAGTCTATATTTCAACTTATTATCTAATGTTATAAGTAATAAAATAACAAAATATTTACTCTGATAAACTCTGTATGTATTGAACAATCTTTAAATGGTTAGTCATAACCTATTCCATTCCCTCCCTATTTTTTTCTTCTCTCTTCTTTTCTTTTTCTCCTTTCTCTTATTTTTTTATAGCCACTGTGATAAAAGCGTTACTTTTTATTTATTTTTTTTTTTTATATATGTATGCTTTTCTTATAATCCTTTTTACTAATAACATTATCTTTAGAAGGGTAAATTTGATTATTTTACTAATTGTTTCTTTTGTCTTTTTTTTTTTAAGTGTTAAAAAGTTTTTGTTTTCTTTCATTCTCATTTAAATTAATAAAAATCTTTCCAAAGCTGCAGATCTTTGTCCATGAATTAGGATAGTTACTGGAATGAGAGGATGCTGCGTTCCTCTTAAGTAATGCTAAAAGGGGAAACAAAAATAAATAAATAAAAACACAGACAAACAATATCAGGAAAATAAATGGAAGGAAAATATATATTTTGTATTGTTATATATGATAGAATAGGAAATAATAATAATGAGATCTTACATGAACCATCTCAATTGCTTTTCGCTTAAAAGCGGAGGCAGATTGTGACAGCAAAATAAAGCAATGTTGTTGAGTATCAAATATAGTAACGTCATTTGCAAGAATTGTTGATAAAGATGCAGTCTGTCCAGCACTAATCGGAGTAAAGCTTAGGGGATCAGTTGATGGATTCACACTAAAAAAAATTCCATATTTCCATGCAATATTAATATATAAAAACAATATAAATATACAATAGATATATTGTGTAAATTTACGCAAAAAACTATTTACCTATATATTGCTTTTGTATAATTTTTTATTGTTGAACTTTGGAATTCATCATCTTCATCTTTAATAATTCCACTAGCGAATAAACCATCGACAAGTGACGTATAAAAGTAATGCTATATATCAAAAGAAAATTAAAAAGATTTACAGTTATTAATCATTTTATTATATAAGATTTTACCTCAAATGTTACTGCAATTTCATCAATAATGTCAACTTTAATTTTAGCCCCTCTGTTGGCTTTTATCTCCTCAATATAGTTTCTAGCCTACGGGATTAGACAGTATCAAATTGTTTTTCCTGACATTTTTTTTATTATTTTTAAATAGTTACCGCTATTCTGTGATCATTTGCCGAATTTCTTCCATTCCAGATGCAAAACTTGGTTCCCATGTCTAGAATGTATACAAAATCTGAAGTCAGTTGAGCCTTTTCGGCCGCAACTTCCTTTACTTTGATATTGTTCGTATGATCTTTCGGTTTATAGAACCTCAATAATCTGTATTCATATGAGGATTTATCCCTTGTACGTGCAAAGCTTTGCTCAAAGCCGCCTTTCCAAACGCTTTTAGAAGAGAAAAAGCTGCATTAAGATGACGGTGGAAAAAAAACCACAGAGAAAGACGTTTTCTTTCCTTGTCTAATACCTTATTGGCTGAAAATATGAAGTAAACAAATCCGATTCTCTTCCCTGAATTTCCCTATGCAATCTAGCCGTCTTCCTTAATTTCTCATCAAGAATGTTTAATGCCAAAACACTGACTACGTAATCTTCCTATAAAAAGGTTAAGTTAATCCCTTAGCCTGAGAAATTTTTCTCATCACGTTTTAAGTACTCACATAAGAGGCTCTTTTACCTATCCAAATATGGATATCATACACGATTTCCTCTGAAAACACTTCAGGGCTTGTAGACTGCAAAAATTTAAAACCAATTAAAAGTCTCTTAAGTATCTTACAATTCTTGTTTTTTTACTATTAATACGATTACTTCCAATTATCTATATGACGTTTGCTATTGTTAGAATACGTAAAAAAAACCGTATACGTAGGCTTATAAGAAGAAAGTCATCAGAATATTGAATAGTAGAAAATCTAGACGTACAAAGGTAAAATAATATAATCTCTTACACTTAAAATGATATAGGCATTATCCTCGTAAAAATTACCATATTCTGTTTCCGGCCAGTAGAATATTCTGTAGTTCTGTGAAATTAAAGAAGTAAGATGTACATGAAAATAAAAGAAAGACTTGTTTTTTGAGAGAGAGAGAGAGAGAGAGATATCATAAATATCATTTATACCCTAATCTGCCAAATTCTCAAACCATCTTCTTTACCAACATTTTCAAATGGTTCCCTAGTGTTTGTAAAATTCATAAGACGGGCTACAAGAGGAAGAAAGATAATTATCAATGTCGAAACAAAATGGTGGTAGTTAAGGTTATTTAATAGTAATGGAAAGAAAAAGTATTAAATCCAATACAAACATTGATACGCTTTCATTACTTCAGGATTATCAACTTTTAAATTTACATCTTTCCATCTGCAAATCTGATCGGTATGATTTAACATTTTTAAGAAATTATCTCAACAGCTCCACTATTAATGTTGAAGAGAGAGAGAGAAAAAAAAAGAGAGAGAATTTTCGATATGGGCGTGAACCTTTACCGCTCACGATTTATATTCCAAAAGAATAGACCTTTCGACCGTATTGAACAGTCTCTGTCGTTCATACCGACTTGTATAGAAAATAATCATGGAACGCCATCTATGTGCTAAGTTTATAATTTATGTGTATTTGTCTATTTTTTCGTTCTACAGTTTTACAATACATAAATAAGAATATCTAGTCTCTCAGGGATTGGTTGAAGCAATAAAATGATCATTCTTCTTCCCTTCAGAAATTACTGTAATAGGTCGAAGGGGATTTGCGGTCTTCTGAAGATAACGATGAGCATATCCAAAACCATTCCTCGACTCATTTTCCGAAGCATCCTTCCCTATCCATATAAATACAGTATCTCCAACGTCAACTACGAAAACGTCATTCGAGTCTAAACTTGATCTACTTATCTCCTCATCTCTGCTGATTTCCATCATCTCCATTTCCCCTTTAGCATCGGATACTCTAACAATATTGAGGTTATTGAATTTAAAGTTAATTTTGGATGAGATATTAATTAATTAAAGATAAAAAACCTTATAAGAGCTTTTCCACAATCGGATAAATCATTCTCAATATCTCTTTCATCAATTTCTCCTTCACCGTCGTCTTCGATAACGTCAAAAAACTCACTCTAAATTTATTATATAATTTATCCTAATGAGATGGATAGAGTATTACTTACGTCCAATTCCCCTTCTTCAAGGTTATGAATATTGACATTTGACCTTCCGATTTTCAATCTACTAACGCATTCCGCAGCCTATTTTCCATTTAGATAATGTTTAATAACTTAAAAATAAAGGAACTTCAAACCTTCCACTTTTCATTATGTCTACAACTACCTCCGTTCCATTGATAAATATCCGATCCCTTATCCAAAACATAAACATCGTCCGACGTTACATAGCGTTTTTTCAATGGGATCTTTGCGTTTGTAGTTGGTTAGTTAATTAATGAATAAATATTTTACTACAATTGAGCATTCTTACTTCAAAACTCTTGACTGTTTTCCCGTAACTTTTAATTCTATAGAGTCTTATTATAAATTCAGTTTCTTCAACTCGGCGAAATCCAGAATCTACGCCACCTTCATTAAAGCTATAAAAGGGATATAATAAAGTAAACGTACAACGAGATTTTTAATATCTTACATCATCGAAGGAAAATAAGAATTGAATAAAGAACTCTCGACGCCTTGAACTTCTCGATGTTGAATAGCAGCATCATTCAAATAAGTATCGAGTTCAACAGTCTTATAAGCAGCTGTTCCATATTCATCCTATATAAGAAATATAGTTAAATAGACATTTCGACAGAATCGTCTATTTCTTTTTTTTTATTTTTACTTGAGAGCTATTTTTACCAATCCAAAAATGGACGTCGTAATTAAGAGCGTCACTTTCTTCATCTTTGAATGTCTATTAAAACATAAGAAAGAAGATAAGAAACCTAAAAATTGAAAAGAATATAAAATATAAAGCTGAACGTTTAGAATGATGTAGGAATCTCCTGAGAAGAATTCTCCATATTTCTCTTCAGGCCAATCGGTAACTTGAAACTTCTGTGGGAGTAAAGTATATCTTGTGTTGAATAACTGTCTATTTGTGTGTATATACATATATTAATATTTCTGTAGGTTCATAACAAATAAAGTCCGAAAAATGATTAAACAAATAGAACTTTTTTTAATATAAAAAGAATGAAGGGAAATCCTATGCTTTTACTCTCGTCATAGATATTATGTATACATTGACTAGTTATTCTATATTTACATTATGAATCAATTAATAATTAATGAATATTCATTGATTTACCAATATTATTTTTTATTAGTTTAAGAATGTATACTTTACCATTATTCTCCATACTTTTAATCCAACATTTTCTCCGGCACCTTCCCAAGCTGGTTCTTGATTGGCAGACTCCTCTATTGCAATTATAAATTCTCTTTTATTGACCTATTATTCTAGGTTTTTTTTTATTTTTATTATATAAGATAACATACTTTTAACTTTCTTTTCAGTATCCGATCCGAAAAGAGATAGATTCGTATCTTTCCAATTGTAGCTTTTCGCTTTGATAGACATAGCTCGAATATTGAAGTTTTCTAGAGAAACAACTATCAATTAATGAAAAATCTTCTATTAAAATCAATATGATCAATAAAAAAAAAGTTAACAATAATTTATTAAAAGCCTTGATTCACCTGGAAAAAATTTATCTCGCCACGTTTATTTATTTAATGACTTAATTTTATTGAATGGTAGCATTGATGGATTAATAGAAAAGAGAGAGAGAGAGAGAGAAACAGGATCTTTTTAGAGTAGTCTATAAAAAAATGATGAAAAAGGTAAATAACAAATGCACACACTACAGCACTACAGTATATAAAGAGTTGGTATAATAGAGATTTTCGGCTTTGGTTAAATTTATTCAAGTTATCCCTTTGAGTTTTACTCACTTTTATAATTAGAAAACACTTGATTCGGGAATATTAGATTAATGCTATATTCTCAATTCGTAGAAGAGGATGGCTACCGTCTAACTTCTAGAAGAAAGTGTTTATTTTCAGCCATTTTTAATATTATTCAATAGGAAAATTTGCTTTGAGATGTTAGCCTATGAGTTTCACGACTAGGGTTTTTTTTATAGCAACTATGACATTTAGAAATAGGTTACATAAGAGAGAATTTGTCATCAATAGAATCCTGTTAGTATAGGTTAGAATAGAAACAAAAAGTTAATTGTTATAACAATGGATTATCATAAAGATAATTCGCCATCTGCAGTATACATTTCGGATTAGTTAAAGCTAATAATCAGACAAGTTGCAAATACTATTTCTTTTAAACAATAATGCCTTATAAATTTGAATTAAATGATTCATTATTTCAAACGTTTTGAACTATTTGCAGTAATAATACCAACACCTCTTCAAATTCTATTTTTAGATGGTTAGTGGTAAGTTTACGATATTCTCATCATTCATTTACAATTTTTTCAATCAATTAGCTTATTTGTTACACAGCTTTTAGATTAATTAAACAGATTACCAAATAATTTAGAGATGCAAGGATAGGATTTTCTCTTTTGTATTTATGTAAGACAGCTCCTTCTGTTTGTTGAAAAAACTTGATAGACACTATCCACGCCTACCTAGGCCTATGAATAAATTTACAATTACATCTAACTTTCTGTTACTTTAATTTGTATGAGTTATTTTAAATGAAATAAATGTTTGACAACTCAAAGTTTGAAAGGTACATTTCTGCATAAGCTTGAAGTTTATTAGTAACATACTGTAAACGATCTAGATACGTAAACGCATACCCAATAAACCACATGCAACTATAATTTCATATTCAATCATTTATCTTCAGACAAAAACGGCAAAAGTTTTCAATAGAAGGATAAACACATCATAATCATTTTTTTCTAAGGCGAAGAACATGTAGGACAAAACTGACAAATACATAATTTAAGCACTAGTTGCTGCCAAGAAACGAGCATTCTTCTTTCCTTCAGAAATGACAGTAACCGGTCTGAAAGGATGTGCCGTCTTTTGAATGTAGCGATGTGCATAGCCAAATCCATTTTTAGATTCTGCATCCGAGGCTCTTCTTCCAATCCAAACAAAGACGCTATCGCCAACATCAGCGATGAAAACATCGCTAGAATCTAGCTGAGAGCGTCTAATTTCAGATCCACGACTCACTTCAGTCATTTCCATTTTGCCCGAAGCGTCAGAAATTCTGTTTGTTATGTAACATTAGTAAATACCTAATATGAAAATTATATATAAGACCTCATTAGCACTTTGTCATTTCCAGTAAGATCTTCATCTTCTTCTTCTTCATCGATTTCAACATCGCTTTGCTTCTCAAACGCTTCGTTGAACTTGCTCTGAAAATAGCAGTTGAAATCAGGTTGCAACAAGGTAAGTTAACTAATGCGGCATTGCAATCCGATACACCATGCAATTTTGTTACATTCTTAATGCAGCAAGGTTACTAATTAAAAAAGGTTCAAAGCAATATTTTCATTTAAATAACGCTTGAAAAGTACGATGAATATATCATGGCGCTTTTCTAAGTTCCTTAGATCAAGTAATACTTTTTAATCATGGATCAGCAAGGATCACAGCAAAAATAACTACCAAGATATAGAAGACTTAAATACGGTTTGAATACCCTTACCTCTAACTGTGAATGAGACATTCAATATTATATTATAAAGTAATTGTGTACGAGTGGAACAAGAAGAGTTAGGTGCACTTACATCAGGCTCGATGTCGCCTTCCTCGAGAGTTTCGCTTCTGGCCTTACCACGATCACCCTTGATTTTTTGGACAAACTGCTGAGCCTTTGAAGTTGAAATAATCTTTAGTTTCAGGATGGTAAAAATACAGATATGCATACCCTCCATTTCTCATCTTTGTTACACGTCTGTCCATTCCATTGAAAAATTTCTAATCCCATGTCCAAAACATAAACATCGCCTGAGTTTAAGAGATCTTTTCGTATAGGAATCTAAATAAAAAAAGAATTTCTCACTAATCGTATTTTTAGAGTGAGGATAAACAAACTATACCTCTACAACTTTGACTCCTTTCTTAGATCCATGAAAGTGGAAAAGTCTATTTCTGTATTCCGTCGGTGTGACATGACGGAATCCAGTTTCAGCACCTCCTTGCATAATTCTAAAAAAAATATAAATATTCAGACACTTTGAGAAGAATTAACAAATTTTTGTTTATGCAGAATCAGACTCTGAAAATTTGCAGAATTAATTAAAAAACTCATATGCTATTTGCAACAATCAGAAGATATATACATATAAAATGTATATGTACATATTTGATAGCAATTTTAGAATAGATTGCAATAGCATAAAGGCCAAACATACAAAATCTAAGAAGCATTAACAAAGCAAAAGACAGTTGAAAAAAATTAAATTTCCTAGTAAAATTTTCTTAGCTACTTGTGTCTAAACTCACACAATCTCAGTAAAATATTTTTTGAATAAAGCACTCTCATGATCTTGAACTTCACGATGCTGAATTGGAACATCATCTAAATATGTATCCAATTCAACCGTCTTGTAAGCCGCTGTGCCATATTCGTCCTGTTACGGGAGAGCATGCCACAAAATCATGAACAGCTTATTAGTAGGATAAATTTATTTCTCTTCAATTATCCCTTAGTTTGTTTAAAGTCAAGTGTTTTTTAGACTATAATGATTCCAAGATTGAAAAGTATTATTTAGTTGCGGGTAAAAAAATATGTTATAGGTTTAATTTGGTTTATTCTACATCTTTTCAATAAAGTTTGAAGACTCTTAAACTACTATATTCTTTTTTAGTGGAGAAAATTTTTTTTATATATTATTTCTACTACTCTTTGTGACTACTAATTACAAAAAAGTGAAAGAGTAACATTGCAATAATCAAACTGCGAGAAAAAATTGAATCCATAAATGATTACCCGTAACTATCTAAATCATTTTTCTTTTTGAATCATGCTAGTAAGTTATAAAAAAAACTTTTTAACATAAGAGGGGAGCTAGGGGAAGTTAGGAGGTAACCCAGCCGCAGTAAAGGGGGTTCATAAGATAGATTAAGCATGCATTTGTGAGATACTACACTTTCTTCTCTCAACTTACATAATTTCAGAAAAGTAAGTTTGAAATAATTCACTTTCGTTATTCATTACTTCACGGTGTTGGACTGGAACATCGTCCAGAAACGTATCGAGTTCAACAGTCTTGTAAGCAGCAGTTCCATATTCATCCTGTGTTATTTGCCCGTTTTTGTGACAAACATGCCATGAAAAAGTGCCTAATTTGTTTACTACACGAAGATATTGACAATGCGTGCAGAAAGACGTTGACAAAAGAATAATAACCAGGGACAAGGTGACGAAATAGTTTATCTGGTCAGTGAAACTTACACAATTTCTTGAAAATATGAATGGAATAATTCACTTTCATGATTCTGAACTTGTCTATGTTGTACTGGTACGTCGTCTAAATATGTATCCAGTTCTACAGTTTTGTAAGCGGCTGCACCGTATTCGTCCTTTTGATTGGTAAATTTTTTTGTTTTTTTTTAAATTACATAGGATTTGGGACAACATAAGGCGTATGAATGGGAAGAAATCGGGATATCTTTACGAAGGATGGAGAATACAAAGTGTTCAAAGAGACCTTACCTGTGTGCTATGTTTACCAATCCAAAAATGAAGATCATGTAAGAGGGCGTCGCTGTCATTATCCTTGTATGTCTGTTTTGCAAATTTCATTGTTAATAACAGCTAAAGTAAAAAAAAAATAAAAGTAAAAGAAATATTTTTTATTACGTTCAAAATAATGTAAGAGTCTCCGGAGAAGAATTGTCCATATTGCTCTTTAGGCCAATCGGTAACCTTAAATTTCTGTTGAAGGAATTTTTATAAAAAAAGCTAATGTAAATGACTTTCAAAAAGATTTTTTTTTGTTACTGATACATGTCAATACTTTATGCTTATAACCTTTTTATCAATATGTTAAATAGGAAAAGGAGCTATGTTAATTTCTGATGGTAATTATATTATAAGATTATTTTTACATTTTATTTGAGATTATATCTATCTATCTATCTATATAATTATGCATATTATGTATATTCAAGAAGCGATTACTAATATAGGAATTTTCTATTGAAGAGTCATGGCATAAAATGTGCTTTATAATAACTATAGATTGAGAAGTATAAATAAATACTTCAAAAAATTACAGTGTAATGCAAATAGTGTGTTAGACGAAGTTCTTTCAACATTTCAACATATGTTTTTTTTGTTTTAATTCAACAGCTACATATAAACAAATTTTTAGAAATTGCTTCACCAAAATAAAAATGTCTTACCACAATTCGCCAAATTTTCAAACCGGGTTTCTCACCGCATCCTCTCCATGCAGGCTCAGACTCAGCCGATTCCTCTGATATAAAGAAGAAACATTATTATAAAAATGCTTTTACAAAATTATTTAATAAAATTTATTACTTTTAACTTGTTTTTCTGTATCAGACCCAAAGAGAGCGAGATTCGAATCTTTCCAGTCGTATTGTTTTGCTTTTACTAAACCACTCATATTGAAAATATTTCTAACGTTTTAAATCTGTTGTGATCATTAACAAATGTGTGAATAAAATAAAGCATCAAGTTCATAAATAGAAAATAACCGGCCTCATAATAAAGGTTAATAATCAATACACGGCCACGAATACAAACAATGACTCATCAAGCTTATAGTTCTACCTTTTTTTCTAGGCTTAACAGATTTTTACGACCTTTTCTTCATATTGATGTAAAACTTAAAATGTAGTGATAAAATGAGCTTATCTACGATATGCCTTTAGACGAAAATCTGGGTTAACGTCTGCAATCTGTCTGCATTCCACCCAGTTTAAGGAGGCTGCACACGCTATTTTGTAGGCTGAAATTTGCTAGGATGATTGTGTACCAAATAGACTTTATATAATGGGCTTTTAATAGCTTGCTATCTAATATCTGCTTAAATAGATTTTTGGAATGAGCCAAAATTAAGTAACAAAAATAAGTATGCAAAAAAAATATCGAGGAAAAGAACATTTTTCATAACATAAATTCAGTGTAGAGATAAGCTTTCTGAATAAAAATACAAAGAAAACTGTACAAATGATTAGCAGGATGTACTACTGTAAAATTCGATTCAAGAATATCGTTTATTCCGAACAATCCTACATCTATTTCCGTAGTCGTATAAAAATACTGTATTTGACAGTATCTAAGGTAAAACTGCGAAAAACGGAGTATATATTCTTATCACTATTTAGTGAATTAAGACTTTTTAAGGAAGAGATAAAAAAAAATGCTTTTTCTTTAGAAAATCCGGCATAGAAGAAATTAGTCATGGAAAATATCTGAAAATTACATATATTTCGATAACCGTTGATTCAGAAATTAAAATTCTTTTTTTTATCAATTCTTATCGAAAATATTAAAATATTACTAATAATATTCACTAAAACATTCTATTTCTTAAAACATACGTTCGAAAAACTAGAATTTTTACCTGACAGTTTTCTATGTAGAATGCCGCCGCCCTAGTTCTTTTTACAATTGTAAGGCCTACTCTTTTAGTATGGTAATAATTCCGCAATCGACCGGTTAGTGGTACTTTTCAGTTGTTTTGAATGATTAGGAAAAAATTCACGAATTTTATTCATTTTCTCCATTCAGAACAAAAATAATAAGAAAAAAAAGATAATTTTGTTAATTAAGTAGTAACGAAAAAAATAGATATCAGAATGTAATTCAAGCATATCCAGAATATTTATTGAAAACTGCAATTATTCATTTATAAATTAATAAACCTATTAAAAAGATTGAATTTTACTTGATTCGTTGTTACAATTTCATGAATTCCATAATGATAATTATAAAAGATTAATTAGGAGAAAAGAGGCATTTCTTGAAAACCTGAATAAAACAAAACTACAAAAAACTGTGAAATACATATTGTATCATAAGAAAACTGAAACCGGCAAAAGAATCTATAAAAATAATACTTCACTGAATAACACTTACACAATTTTAAAGATTGTAAAAATTAATACAGTTTTAGATAAACAGCGCCATCTTAAAAAATTTATAGCTATTTTTAATAAAATAATAAAAAAAAAACTCAATTGTTATTATTTTTCAAAGTTCACACAAGTTTTCAGAAGCGCCATCTCAAATGCTTTCTATCACCTAAAAAAACGTTTATAAATAAAACAGTCACACAAGCTAGTTATCATACTTTTTAAAATATGAAGGTAACACAACTGTCTTCTTTCATTTTGGTATTTACTTCATTCTTGTCAGGTTTGTTATTTTATTATTGTTTCTTTTTTAACTCATACATAAACAGAAATCGTATAATATCTATAGAGGTCGTGCTGCAAGAAATTCAATTTCCACCCACAATTGTTAACCATCCGGCTCGTCTAAAAGTTTACGTTGGTAGGGAGAATCTTAATATAAATTGTGGAGCGAAAGTTCCTAATGGTGATCTAGTTGGACCAAGTGGAAAGCTTGATTATGATTGGTACCACAGGAAAAGTGAACAGGATCCATGGGTAAAGATTAACATTATCGGAGAAGCTGGTTGGGCTTGGACTTCTGAGAACGATAACGGAAATATCAGAATCAAACAGGAAATTGTTGCAGATGATCGGGCCAAATATTCGGGAGAATATCAATGTATTGTGTCTCTTGACAATCGCTATAAAGTTAAATCTAGTATTGGTCTACTTGTCTACTACGGTAAGTTAACAAAAATTACATAAATGTCTTCGTCTATGAGAAATCCTTCTTTTATTCTAACAGCAATTCCTCTCACAGGTAACACTCCTGTGCATTTGGATATAAATCGACACACGCACTTCATTATTGAACCAAAATATATAAAACTTGATTGTAATTTAATTGAATGTCAAAATTTTCGTATAAGACCTAAAATTGAAGGCAATCCCGATCCTAGTATCTTCCGCTCTTCTCGAATGGTTTATGATAGAGAAACTGGTCATTTTATAGTAATGAGAGCTGATTCCGAAGATGATGACAGACGATTTCATATACTTTTTGATTTTATTGAATCAAGTGTAGGTGAAACAAATGACCCACGCGATATTAGAATTGAAAACGATCAAAGTAACATCAATAACGATATTATTTATCATACAACTACAAATAATAACAACCAGAACGAATTTCATCGTTTTTCTAAAGAAGATATTTCATTTACTTGTGCCGTGAAAGGAAAGTAAGTATAAGATAAGCCTAAATCCAAATTTCCCATGATCATTTTTAAAATTTCACCTTTTTTTAGCCCCCTTCCTTCTCTAAACTGGTCAAAAGAGAATGGTAATATATCATCAAAGGCTGATAGGAGTGAACCATACCGTCTTAAAATAGGTATATGTTAAGCAAATATCTAACAGATAATTTCTGGATAATTTTACATAATCTCTAAAATCGCTATCTTTTTATAACCCGATAAAGATGCTCCATAAATGATTATTTCTTTATCAGCATACTCTGTTTTGAATTTCACTCAGAGTTAACCTCTACTCTCTATATTGACAAGTAAAGAACTAACTTTTCAATCTATTTGCACCTTCACTTACTGTGCTACAACTAAGAAATATTACTTAATAGGTGATCTTCAACCTGGCGACTCGGGAGTTTATAAATGCTCCATCGGATCTGGAATTGAAAAAACATTCTCTCTTAAAGTAGAAGGTTCAGTATTTCAGAAAAATAAGTGTATTCCTTCCACATGAACATGTCTTCTCTTCGAAAATAGATTTCTTCGATTTCGAGGATAAACCTGAAAACCAGAATGCTAGTGTTGGTGACACGAATATACAGTGGAAATGTAGAGGAACACCTGGACAGCACAACTATGAATTTAACGTTAATGGAGAAAAACCTGGTAAATTATAATTTATCTTTTCAAGTTTATAATTCATCATTGAAATCCAAATTTTTCATCATTCAGTTAGTGACTTTTATGTTGAAAACTACATCATGAAATTGGAGAAAGTAGAAAGAACTCATGAAGGAGTAATTCAATGTAATATCAATAAACCATCGACAAGGGAAAGTAAAAGTTCATCAGCCTACTTTCTGGTCTTTGGTTAGTATAGTTTAATGTTAGATAAATGGATTACGTTTATATTTATTCATTTTACATTTCTAGAAAAAACAACAATAACTGCTAAAAATGAAGCTGAAATTAATGTTACTCAGGATATGGATGAGGTTAAACTAGAATGTAAAGTTTCAGTTGATGGTAGATTGCCATTTTCACTAAACTGGTATAAAGATGAGGTAAGGAAATAGGAGATTTTCTTTTAGAATTGGATAGAATAATACAGTATATTAATAAATATGTTATCATATTACAGAAACAACTAGAGATAGATGGAAATACATTCATGATCGAAGGAGCTGATAATAAAGAGAAGAATCTAATAATTGATGCAAAAAGTAAAAGTATATTCGGTAGATATCGATGTAAAGGAGATAATGGATATTCTGAAGATTTTTCGGATGAAATTTTGTTGTATCAAGGTGTTCTAACACCAGCTCGTAAGATTTCAAGTGAAATTTATGTGTTTAGTTATCTTTGAGCATGTAATCTTTTTTTCAGCTGTTGTGATGAAAAGTGCAGTACCTTGGTGGATGTTTGCAATAATAGCCGGAGGTCTTATATGCTTCATTGTCTCTTTATGCATTCTTTTACATGCATAGGCTACTTTTTTTTAAGTAGGTCAAATGGCCTTGTTTTTAAGTTTGTCATTTGGCACTAGCGATTACGCATTCTTTTAGATAAGAAACTGTTTTTTTGAAATGGTTTTTTTAAAAAGTTGTATATTTTGCGGATTAGTCGATAATTTGAATCTAATAATTGATGGAAAAAGTAAAGGTATATTTGGTAAATACCGATGTAAAGAAGTTAATGAATACACTGAAGATGTTCCGACTGAAATAACATTGAAAGTTTTTGTACTGAAGCCCTCACCTAATCGTAAGTTTCCAAGTCGATTGTAAATTTCTTACCTTGTTATGAGTGTTTTTTTTCCAGTTGGTACAGCCACTATAATGTCATTTTCGTGGTTGGTTTTGTTATCTGTAAATTTGGGCGTAACCATCTTCTCTGTATAATCTATAGAGATATTTTTATATTGATTGATTGATTGTTATTTATCCGAGATAAGAAATAAAATTAATAAATTCTAAATATTTTTCTCTTTTCTCATGAAACAAACAGTATTTATTAATGAAGTCAAATATACCTTTTTTCTTATTACAAAATTATTTATTAATTTCAATAAATAATTGATAGAATGTTACCGCACTTTTGTGTTGAAGTTGACGTTTAGTTTCAATTTATTGTATTTGTGTCTACAGAGAATTAATAGTACTGATTTTTTTATGAGTATTTTTGATAAAGAATTTATAGGAATAACTTTTTTCTGCAACCAGGATGTAGATAAAAATTGAGAAGAGAATTTTTATTGTTTAATTGATAGTTGTTGATTGTTTTAGATATATTTTGCGATTTTTTTCGAAATATTTGTTTAGTTATACGCTGAATAATATGTTATATCATTTCTTCATTTCATCTTATGTCATTTGTTTAACTTTTCAAAATGGTAAGGTTGAATATTACTCAACCGCATCTTTTGAACAGTACTTTTTATTAGATTTTTTGGTTTTTAAAGCAAGTAGAAATTGATTTTGAACTTGAAAATAAAACAAATCAGTAAAAGATTATCATTCAACCTGCTAGGAAAACAACCTTTACAGACAATTGAGTAGTTTTGTTAGAGTGCGTTTCCAGTGGTCTTAACAGAGAAGATTAGATTCTTTTATTGATAATCCTTGTGATGTTAAGTTTTTTGATGAGAATGATCCCTTGGTTATACCTTTCCATCATTGTTTCAACACTGTCCATGATTATTATGATTATACAAATAGTCCATTTGACATGACATTTTCTAATGGTAGTTCGACAGTTCGACAAGAAACCATCTAGTTTCAGGAAACCTATATTCTTTTTGAAAGATTTGTTAAAGTGGAAAATCTGAAGAGAACGATGACGAATTGAACGTTAATGAAGAGTAATTCATTATACATTAATTATTTTTCAAAGTTTATAATTTATCATTGAAATCAACCTTTTTCATCATCTAACTGTTTTTAGAATGAATTAGTCCATATTGATTTTTTAATTAAAAAATTGTTTATTCTAATCAATGAAAACTTTTTAAATTGTTTTCACCGGATCCAAAATATATATTTATAAAAACTGTAATTATTCATTTATAAATTAAAAAACCTCTTCAGTAGATTGAATTTTAGTTGATTCGTTGTTACAATTTCATGAATTCCATAATGATATTTATAAAAGATTAATTAGGAGAAAAGAGGCATCTCTTGAAAACCTGAATAAACAACAAAAAACTGTGAAATATATATTTTATCATAAGAAAATTGAAACCGGCAAAAGAATCTATAAAAATAATACTTCACTGAATAACACTTACACAATTTTAAAGATTGTAAAAATTAATACAGTTTTAGAAAAACAGCGCCATCTTAAAAAATTTATAGCTATTTTTAATAAAATAATAAAAAAAAAACTCAATTGTTATTATTTTTCAAAGTTCACACAAATTTTCAGAAGCGCCATCTCAAATGATTTCTATCACCTAAAAAAACGTTTATAAATAAAACAGTCACACAAGCTAGTTATCATACTTTTTAAAATATGAAGGTAACACAACTGTCTTCTTTCATTTTGGTATTTACTTCATTCTTGTCAGGTTTGTTATTTTATTATTGTTTCTTTTTTAACTCATACATAAACAGAAATCGTATAATATCTATAGAGGTCGTGCTACAAGAAATTCAATTTCCACCCACAATTGTTAACCATCCGGCTCGTCTAAAAGTTTACGTTGGTAGGGAGGATCTTAATATAAATTGTGGAGCGAAAGTTCCTAATGGTGATCTAGTTGGACCAAGTGGAAAGCTTGATTATGATTGGTACCACAGGAAAAGTGAACAGGATCCATGGGTAAAGATTAACATTATCGGAGAAGCTGGTTGGGCTTGGACTTCTGAGAACGATAACGGAAATATCAGAATCAAACAGGAAATTGTTGCAGATGATCCGGCCAAATATTCGGGAGAGTATCAATGTATAGTGTCTCTTGACAATCGCTATAAAGTTAAATCTAGTATTGGTCTACTTGTCCACTACGGTAAGTTATCAAAAATTACATAAATCTCTTCGTCTGTGAGATATCTTTTATTCTAACAGCAATTCCTCTCACAAGTAACACTCCTTTTCCATTGAATATAAATCGACTAGCACACTTCATTATTGAACCAAAATATATAAAACTTGATTGTAATTTAATTGAATGTCAAAATTTTCGTATAAGACCTAAAATTGAAGGCAATCCCGATCCTGCTATCTTCCGCTCTTCTCGAATGGTTTATGATAGAGAAACTGGTCATTTTATAGTAATGCGAGCTGATTCAGAAGATAATGACAGACGATTTCATATACTTTTTGATTTTATTGAATCAAGTGTAGGTGAAACAAATGACCCACGCGATATTAGAATTGAAAACAATCAAAGTAACATCAATAACGATATTATTTATCACACAACTACAAATAATAACAACCAGAACGAATTTCATCGTTTTTCTAAAGAAGATATTTCATTTACTTGTGCCGTGAAAGGAAAGTAAGTATAAGATAAGCCTAAATCCAAATTTCCCATGATCATTTTTAAAATTTCACCTTTTTTTAGCCCCCTTCCTTCTCTAAACTGGTCAAAAGAGAATGGTAATATATCATCAAAGGCTGATAGGAGTGAACCATACCGTCTTAAAATAGGTATATGTTAAGCAAATATCTAACAGATAATTTCTGGATAATTTTACATAATCTCTAAAATCGCTATCTTTTTATAACCCGATAAAGATGCTCCATAAATGATTATTTCTTTATCAGCATACTCTGTTTTAAATTTCACTCAGAGTTAACCTCTACTCTCTATATTGATAAGTAAAGAACTAACTTTTCAATCTATTTGCACCTTCACTTACTGTGCTACAACTAAGAAATATTACTTAATAGGTGATCTTCAACCTGGCGACTCGGGAGTTTATAAATGCTCCATCGGATCTGGAATTGAAAAAACATTCTCTCTTAAAGTAGAAGGTTCAGTATTTCAGAAAAATAAGTGTATTCTTTCCACATGAACATGTCTTCTCTTCGAAAATAGATTTCTTCGATTTCGAGGATAAACCGGAAAACCAAAATGCTAGTGTTGGTGACACGAATATACAGTGGAAATGTAGAGGAACACCTGGACAGCACAACTATGAATTTAACGTTAATGGAGAAAAACCTGGTAAATTATAATTTATCTTTTCAAGTTTATAATTCATCATTGAAATCCAACTTTTTCATCATGTAGTTAGTGACTTTTATGTTGCAAACTACATCATGAATTTGGAGAAGGTAGAGAGAACTCATGAAGGAGTAATTCAATGTAATATCAATAAACCGTCGACAAGGGAAAGTAAAAGTTCATCAGCCTACTTTCTGGTCTTTGGTTAGTATAGTTTAATGTTAGATAAATGGATTACGTTTATATTTATTCATTTTACATTTCTAGAAAAAACAACAATAACTGCTAAAAATGCAGCTGAAATTAATGTTACTCAGGATATGGATGAGGTTAAACTAGAATGTAAAGTTTCAGTTGATGGTAGATTGCCATTTTCACTAGACTGGTATAAAGATGGGGTAAGGAAATAGGAGATTTTCTCTTAGAATTGGTTAGGTTAATATAGTATATTAATGCAGTAAAGAAGTATATCGCCGAAATTTGGCAGCGAGCCAAATTATCACGTCATCAATATCGTTACATTTAGTATAATTTTAAACCAACTGCTCTTACCCCGTTATGTTTTTCTTGTGGACATGTATTACTTATAATCATCGTTGTTATTACCAGTGTAGACTTTAAAACTAAATATACTGTACTTATAAGTCAATGACATATTGATGACTTATGTGTGCAACCCGCTCAACAAGTAGAGTAATTATAAGTAAGTATAGGTAATACAATACTGTAATGACAAATTGGAAGAATAGAGAAGAACATTTGAAGAATCGAATGTTCAAATTAGAGTTGAGATGACAAGAACATTCGAAGAATCGAATTCTAAGAATAGAGCTGCAATGGAAACAAAGTTGGAACAACTCTTTCAACTGGTCAACTCCATTAAGCCCAGCTCTTTCAAAACCAGGAAGTCAAAAGCTCTTCAAAACAACTCGATCATAGAATCAAAAAACTAAGAAATAATAAAGCTAGTCCAGCTGAAAGGTTTGAAGGCACCAATTTTCGGAATTTCCGTGAGAACATCACTGCTCCACTGTTGGAAACTGACATAGATGACTCAGAAGAGTGTCAGATTCTAAAGAAATGGTCATGAGAGGAGACAATGTGCCACAAGTATCATGATATGGCAAATAGTAGAGACAGTAAATAAAAGTTGTTAAGTTTCGTCAGAACTTTAGATTTTGTCTATGGCAACACTGCTCTACTCTGAGGTAATATGGTGCAACAAATCTTGGACAAAACGGTTGTGTTCCAACCTCAGAAGGTCGCCGATTGGATCTAGTTTAAGTCATTTCTTGCATTGTTGAACTTGCCAAATTATGAAGGGCGCCCTCAATTTGAAAAGCATAGACAGTTCTCAAAGAGACTGCCCTTTGACGCTCGATCCCAAGTCATAAACTCAACTAATAAATATCTGGACAATTTTGGTTCAGCTGTATAAGAGATAGGTCATTATGTATCAAAGGTCATTAAAAGGATTGAAAGGGGATCGTATGTATGTGAAGATACAGAAACAGGCATCATGGCTTCCAACATGGCCATACCCAATAGCACATTCGTGAGGCAGAGCCCCCTCCCTAAGACCATAGACCCTTGGCACATGTCAAACTGAAAAATAAGGCGAAGTCTCAAGCTTCGAGCAAAGAATACAGATGTCTGTGTGATGAAAATCACATATGTTTAGTCTATTGCCTGACTTACATCAATTTTGATGTGAAAGGAAGATAGAGGATGGTCCAAAGGCTAAACAGATGCCAGAACTGCCTACAAGGAGGCATTCAAGTGAAAAAGGTCTGTCAAAATTCAATTGCAAAAAATGCAATGGAGAAGCAGTGTCCCTGATCAGCAGACAATATCTAGAAACTATATCTTACAACTCAGTAGCTGAAAATTGTTGCCGAATCGATAATAATGAGTTCCAAACAATAGCTACAAAAAATGTCAAAATCATATTCCCAAAATTGGGGTGTAAATATGACATCAATGCTTATTTGGTAGATTCATTATTTACCATACCCAAACAACCCACTATAAAAATCAACTCGCTGTACACTGAACCACCACTTCCAAGCAATAGAATAGATCTACATATCGGACATAGCCTAAGTCAAGATAGATCACATGCCCATCTCGGTCCTATAAAACTATATACAACCAAGGACTATACCTTCGTATTGGACCTTCCCTCTCCCTTTCAAATATGATCTGAATGTATTAACAAACAATTACGTCAGTGCAAGAAATAGATTTCAGGCTATTCGTCGGAAACCCATTTATAATGAAGAAGATAGGAATTCAATCCCTATTCAATAATAATTATGCTTGGCGAGTGTCACACAATGAAGTTAAGATTTACTTGCCTCATCATGGCGTATCTAATCTGAACAAGAAAACAATAAGAATAGTCTTTGACAGCGCCGCAAAATACAAGATCTATTCCCTGAATTATACACTTCTCACGGGACCTTCCTTACTGTCAAACCAAGCTTACATCCTTACATTATGGCGAACCCAACCCTATTTCATACTCGCAGACATCCATCAAACAGATGTTTATGAACATATGTGTAGACATAAAACACCAACCCTACTTCAGTTTCATGTACAAAGACCCTAAAAAGGACAATAATATTTTATCTGCCGTCATGACACATCATATATTCGGTGCAGCTAGTTCCCCGTTCATTACTTGTACAGCATTAAATGCCACAATTAAACAAGCAGTCTCATTGAATAGTGAAGAAAAGAAGATTATCTTGAAATCCTTCTACATGGACAACCTTATCTTGGTAGGAGACAATGAGAGACAACTTGAAAATTTAGCCTTCCATCTGCACCAAGAGCTGGCAGCCAAAGGCCTACCCCTAATCAAATACACCACCAACAATGAGTGGATAAGTACTCATTTCATCTTGAACATCAAGCTCATTCAAGAACCCGTCAAGGTCCTAGGAGTGACATACCAAATCGAGCACCTGAACAACACAAAAAAAACATCTTTTTTTATTCTCTCATCACGAAAATCTATGATATTATGGGATTCATCGAACCAATAAAGTTACAGGCAAAAATCCTGATAACCTAGTTTCATGGTCTTAATTGGGATGATACATGTCAAGATCAAGAAAGCCTCATAAAGGTACTGAAGGACATATCAGGCTCAATCTCGAGATACATACCACCTCCTGAAAATATACATATCTATGCCGACGCCTCAGATATCGCCTATGGTGTGGCAGTATATGGCGTCCACGCCGGAAAGGGCTATCTTTTGGCTTCATCTTCCCGCCTTTTCTCCTTGCCAAGGTCATCAATCCCACAAGCAAAATTGACATTGCAGTCAATATCTGCTCCATGGAATTCACATTCGAAATATTGGGATAATGGAGTAAAATGAGATGGACCCTGGCGTGGCTGTTAAGATTTAAATCAAACACGCTGTCCCCCGATCCTGTGATAGAGTAAAAAAATCGAAGCAGCCGAGCAACAATTATTCAAACTTGTTCAGACCACTATGCCAATAAACAAATTAATGGATCTGTACTCGCTGCTGGAGGACAAAAATGGCGTCTACATCACGATGGGAAGGCTAGATGACACAACCGAAAAGAAAAAAGTTATAGTCTATGCTCGTCATCCTATAATCAGTAAGCTGATATACTATACGCATCACGAGATGAAACATGTCTCATTAAGAGCCATTTTGGCAAACTTAGTCAATAAATTAAATCTTCTATATGCAATGTCAGGGCTCACGAGTGTTTTAAAAAGGTTTAAATTGTGCACTTCGAGGAATCACAAGAAACTGGTCCTACAAATGGTTAATTTACCAGAGCCCCGAACTGGAGAGTTTACCAATCTGTTTGAAAACATCACCATGGATTTTACCGGACCTATATGCAAAACTATGGAGGGAAACAAAGTTTACCTACTCGTCACCTCTTTCTTGAGATCTAGAGCAGTACAAATTCTACCTACCACTTCCCTCTCAACGAAGGTACTAATGACAGAGATCCAAATATTTATGAACAACTGGAGCTGGCCCAAGTCGATCATTTCAGACTCAGCTACAACCTTCAAAAAACTGTCCAAATTAATCAACAATCACTACAAAAAACAATCTAAAGTGAAACACATTCTTAGGAAATTTAATTCCCCTCATTCCACTCACAAAATGGAAGTTGTCGAGAGGATCATCGGATTAATCAAACCAATGATACAACCGAAAAAAGAAAGAATACCTGCCTCGATTGGGACACTATACATCTCACAATCTCGGCCATCGAGAACCTGATGAACAGTCCGCCCCATAAGCTTCAGAATCAACGACTTTGGAGAACCAATGACGGTGTCACCAGTGGATTTCATAAAAGTGAACAAATTACCGATAAAGAATGGAGAGTACGACCACGCTATTGTCACTCGTGAGCGTCAAATTCTGAATGACAAATGTTGCAATGAGTTGTTCAACAGCATTCACAAGAGAACAAAATAGCACAAGGACAATTACAAGCCGAATATACATCCCAGACACACCATTCTATACTTTGACCAGAGATCAATATGTAAACTCAAATTAGCGAAAAACACCTATAAAATCACCGAACGTACCTTCCAAATCTACACTGGTCACAGTAATATATAGAGAGACGTTAGAGATATAATCCCCGACCTACTAAATGAAACTCTATCTTTTCCTCTTCCTCTGGCCAGTGTAATCGACGAGCACATCATCTAAATTTGGCAGCAACCCAAATTATCGTTACGTCAATATCCATACGTTTTATACAATTTTACAACCAACTGTTCTTATCCAGTTATCTTTTCCTAGTGTATGTGTATTACTTATAACTACCGGTTATATTACCAGTAAAGACTTTAAAACTAAACTTACTGTACTGTTAAGTCAATGACATATCAGCGTATTATGTGCGCAACCCACTCAACGACTACATTAATGTATATTTTATGTTAAAATAGAAAAAACACATAGATACATTTATATGTATATTTATAGAAAAAACTAGAGATAGATGGAAACACATTCAAGATCGAAGGAGCTGATAATAAAGAGAAGAATCTAATAATTGATGCAAAAAGTAAAAGAATATTTGGTAAATACCAATGTATAGGAGATAATGGATATACTGAAGATGTTTCGACTGAAATACAATTGAAGCACTCGTTTAATCGTAAGTTACCAAGACGATTGTCTATTTCTTATATAACTTATACAGTAAACAAACAAAAATCGCATAACATATATAGATGACCTGCTACAAGAAATTCAATTTCCACCCACAATTATTAACCATCCGGCTCGTCTAAAAGTTTACGCTGGTAGGGAGGATCTTAATATAAATTGTGGAGCGAAAGGTCCTAATGGTGATCTAGTTGGACCAAGCGGAAAGCTTGATTATGAATGGTACCACAGGAAAAGTGAACAGGATCCATGGGTAAAGATTAACATTATCGGAGAAGCTGGTTGGGCTTGGACTTCTGAGAACGATAACGGAAATATCAGAATCAAACAGGAAATTGTTTCAGATGATCGGGCCAAATATTCGGGAGAATATCAATGTATTGTGTCTCTTGACAATCACTATAAAGTTAAATCTAGTATTGGTCTACTTGTCCACTACGGTAAGTTAACAAAAATTACATAAATGTCTTCGTCTATGAGAAATCCTTCTTTTATTCTAACAGCAATTCCTCTCACAAGTAACACTCCTGTGCATTTGGATATAAATCGACACACGCACTTCATTATTGAACCAAAATATATAAAACTTGATTGTAATTTAATTGAATGTCAAAATTTTCGTATAAGACCTAAAATTGAAGGCAAACCTGATCCTGGTATCTTCCGCTCTTCTCGAATGGTTTATGATAGAGAAACTGGTCATTTTATAGTAATGCGAGCTGATTCAGAAGATAATGACAGACGATTTCATATACTTTTTGATTTTATTGAATCAAGTGTAGGTGAAACAAATGACCCACGTGATATTAGAATTACAGGCGATCAAAGTAACATCAATAACGATATTATTTATCATACAACAACAAATAATAACAACCAGAACGAATTTCATCGTTTTTCTAAAGAAGATATTTCATTTACTTGTGCCGTGAAAGGAAAGTAAGTATAAGATAAACTTCAATCTAAATTTCCCAAGATCCTTTTTAAAACCTTTACCTTTTTTTTAGCCCCCTTCCCTCTCTAACCTGGTCAAAAGAGAGTGGAAGTATACCACCAAAAGCTGATAGGAGTGAACCATACCGTCTAAAGATAGGTATATGTTAAGAAAACATCTAACAGCTAATTTCTGGATAATTTTACATAATCTTTAAAATCAATATCTATTGGTAACCCGATAAAGATGCTCCATAAATGATTATTTCTTTATCACCATTCTCTGTTTTGAATTTGACTCAGAGTTAGCATTTACTTTCTCTACTGATAATTAAAGAACTCATTTTTCAATCTATTTTCAACTACTGTGTTACAATTAAGAAATATTTCTTAATAGGTGATCTTCAACCTGGCGACTCGGGAGTTTATAAATGCTCCATCGGATCTGGAATTGAAAAAACATTCTCTCTTAAAGTAGAAGGTTCAGTATTTCAGAAAAATAAGTGTATTTTTTCCACATTAACATGTCTTCTCTTCGAAAATAGATTTCTTCGATTTCGAGGATAAACCGGAAAACCAAAATGCTAGTGTTGGTGACACGAATATACAGTGGAAATGTAGAGGAACACCTGGACAGCACAACTATGAATTTAACGTTAATGGAGAAAAACCTGGTAAATTATAATTTATCTTTTCAAGTTTATAATTCATCATTGAAATCCAACTTTTTCATCATTCAGTTAGTGACTTTTATGTTGCAAACTACATCATGAATTTGGAGAAGGTAGAGAGAACTCATGAAGGAGTAATTCAATGTAATATCAATAAACCGTCGACAAGGGAAAGTAAAAGTTCATCAGCCTACTTTCTGGTCTTTGGTTAGTATATTTTAATGTTAGATAAATGGGATATGTTGATATTTATTCATTTCACATTTGTAGATAAAACAACAATAACTGCTAAAAATGAAGCTGAAATTAATGTTACTCACGATATGGATAAGATCAAACTAGAATGTAATGTTTCAGTAGATAATAGATTGCCATTTTCACTACACTGGTATAAAGATGGAGTAAGGAATAAGAGATTTTCTCTTAGAATTGGATAGATTAATACAGTATATTAATATATATTTTAAATTATTATAGGAAAAACTAGAAATAGATGGAAACACATTTAAGATCGAGGGAGCTGATAATAAAGAGAAGAATCTAATAATTGATGCAAAAAGTAAAACTATATTCGGTAAATACCGATGTAAAGGAGATAATGGATATTCTGAAGATGTTTCGGCAGAAATAACATTGAAGCCCTCAACTAATCGTAAGTTTCCAAGACGATTGTTTATTTCTTTTACAATTTATACATTCTACAAACAAAATCGTATAATATAAAGTGAGCTTCATAAAACAATGGACACCGTAAATTTTGATAGGCCAACTTTTAATTAACGGTTAATATTGTTTTTTCGCTGTAAATTATTTTTTTTGATCTAAATTTCTATAAAAAAGGGTTATATTCACGTAATATTGAAAAAAATTTACGAAATGATAAATTTATGAATATTATAAGCAAAATATTTTTGGTCATTTTCATCAATTATATATTTATTTGGCGGCACAACATATTTATTGGAATAGTCAGTTGACATCCGGTTTGGCATTCAAATAGATGTAGCAAAAACTTCGAATCTGAGGATGAATTGTGGAAAATAATCAAAAAATGCTCTTATGAACTTATAAAAGAGCAGTCGGAGTTTTTACCACGTCTATATGATGGAATGGGGCATAGATTCAGGCAATGTATCGAAAAAGAAGGTAGCTATATTAAAAACTAAGAAAAATCAGAATATTTTTGTTGGTGTTCAAATTATAATAAAGTGCGGCCAAATAAGAAAAAAAACAACAAAACAGTATATAATATAAACAAAGAAAGTCATGTAAATTTTTACTTAAATCGGTTTGAAAGAAAATTATGTATAAATTTCAGTTTCATATAACATTCTATGCAGAAGAAATTAAAAAAATATCTTTTTTCTTAGTGAAAAAAATCTTTAATATGTTATCCTACTCAAAATTTGTGGTGTTCCAATTTTTATGAAGTTTGCTTTATTTAGATGTCCTGCTACAAGAAATTCAATTTCCACCCACAATTGTTAACCATCCGGCTCGTCTAAAAGTTTACGTTGGTAGGGAGGATCTTAATATAAATTGTGGAGCGAAAGGTCCTAATGGTGATCTAGTTGGACCGAGCGGAAAGCTTGATTATGATTGGTACCACAGGAAAAGTGAACAGGATCCATGGGTAAAGATTAACATTATCGGAGAAGCTGGTTGGGCTTGGACTTCTGAGAACGATAACGGAAATATCAGAATCAAACAGGAAATTGTTGCAGATGATCCAGCCAAATATTCGGGAGAGTATCAATGTATAGTGTTTCTTGACAATCGCTATAAAGTTAAATCTAGTATTGGTCTACTTGTCCACTACGGTAAGTTAACAAAAATTACCTAAATGTCTTCGTCTACGACATATCCTCTTTTTATTCTCACAGCAATTCCTCTCACAAGTAATGCTCCTGTTCATTTGAATATAAATCGACTAGCACACTTCATTATTGAGCCAAAATATATAAAACTTGATTGTAATTTAATTGAATGTCAAAATTTTCGTATAAGACCTAAAATTGAAGGCAATCCCGATCCTGCTATCTTCCGCTCTTCTCGAATGGTTTATGATAGAGAAACTGGTCATTTTATAGTAATGCGAGCTGATTCAGAAGATAATGACAGACGATTTCATATACTTTTTGATTTTATTGAATCAAGTTCAGGTGAAATAAATCAACCACGCGATATTAGAATTACAAACGATCAAAGTAACATCAATAACGATATTATTTATCACACAACAACAAATAATAACAACCAGAACGAGTTTCATCGTTTTTCTAAAGAAGATATTGCATTTACTTGTGCCGTAAAAGGAAAGTAAGTATAAGATAAGCTTCAATCCAAATTTCCCAATATCCTTTTTAAAAATTTCATCTTTTTTTAGCCCCCTTCCCTCTCTAACCTGGTCAAAAGAGAATGGTAATATATCATCAAAGGCTGATAGGAGTGAACCATATCGTCTAAAAATAGGTATATGATAAGCAAATATCTAACAGCTAATTTCTGGATAATTTTACATAATCTCTAAAATTGATATCTATATATAACCCGATAAAGATGCGCTATAATGATTATTTCTTTATCACCATTCTCTGTTTTGAATTTCACTCAGAGTTAACGTCTACTTTCTGTACTGATAATTAAAGAACTCATTTTTCAAGCTATTTCCACCTACTGTGCTACAATTAAGAAATATTACTTAATAGGTGATCTTCAACCTGGCGACTCGGGAGTTTACAAATGCTCCATCGGATATGGAATTGAAAAAACATTCTCTCTTAAAGTAGAAGGTTCAGTATTTCAGAAAAAATAAGTGTATTCTTTCCACATGAACATGTCTTCTCTTCGAAAATAGATTTCTTCGATTTCGAGGATAAACCGGAAAACCAAAATGCTAGTGTTGGTGACACGAATATACAGTGGAAATGTAGAGGAACACCTGGACAGCACAACTATGAATTTAACGTTAATGGAGAAAAACCTGGTAAATCATTATTTATCTTTACATGTTAAAAATTTATCATTGAAATCCAACTTTTTCATCATGTAGTTAGTGACTTTTATGTTGCAAACTACATCATGAATTTGGAGAAGGTAGAGAGAACTCATGAAGGAGTAATTCAATGTAATATCAATAAACCGTCGACAAGGGAAAGTAAAAGTTCATCAGCCTACTTTCTGGTCTTTGGTTAGTATATTTTAATGTTAGATAAATGGAATATGTTGATATTTATTCATTTCACATTTGTAGATAAAACAACAATAACTGCTAAAAATGAAGCTGAAATTAATGTTACTCACGATATGGATAAGATCAAACTAGAATGTAATGTTTCAGTAGATAATAGATTGCCATTTTCACTAGACTGGTATAAAGATGGGGTAAGGGAATAAGAGATTTTCTCTTAGAATTGGATAGATTAATTTCGTATATTAATAAATTTGTTATGTTATTATAGGAAAAACTAGAAATAGATGGAATCACATTCAGGATCGAAGGATCTGACAATAAAGAGAAGAATTTAGTAATTGATGCAAAAAGTAAAAATATATTCGGTAAATACCGATGTAAAGGAGATAATGGATATACTGAAGATGTTTCGACTGAAACAACATTGAAATTTTTGGATTTGAAGCCCTTAGGTTAGTTTCTATGACGATTGTAAGAACTTCTTATGAGTGTTTTTTCTTTCAGTTGGTACAGCCACTATAATGTCATTTTCGTGGTTGGTTTTGTTATCTGTAATTTGGAGTAACCATCTTCTCGGTATAATCAATGGAGAATTTTTTTTTAATTGATTGATGGAAAAAGAAAGAGTTTAGTATCTACTAAATGATGTTAATTCCAGAAAAATGTGTTAATCTATTCAGTAACTAAATATTCGTCGCTTAAAGCTTTTCCTCTTTGACAATGAAATAAACAAACTATATTTAATAATAAAGTAAGATATATTATTTTTTCAATTAGAAAAGCGTTTTTTAATTATCAATAAACAATTGATATAATGTTAGCGCACTTTTTGTGTATGAGTTATCATTTGTTACCAACTTTTTTCATTTAATGAATTGATAACGGTGGAATTTTTTATAATATATCTAATGAAGTATAAATAGGAAGAACTTTTTTCGATCAAGATGCAAATAAGAAATCGAAACAATGGAAATGGACTAATCCTAAATACAATGGTAACATTATGTATGATCCTTCCAAATTATTATAGAAATTTTATGGAAATAAAGATCATTTACAAGGACAGTGTCGTTGCACTGTATCTATAGATGATCTTTATTACGTTAAGTCAATTGTATCGATTTTAATATATCACAGTTAGCTTGCTTTAGATATTCATCTACAATGATGAATAACATTCCATTTTTTTTCATATTTTTAGAGATTACAAGAATCAATAATCCTTCAGAAGTTAAGGTTATTACTGGGAATGAACCCTTAGTTATACCGTCGAAATGTGATCATGGAGATCGTTAGGAAATTGAATGTCAAAATTTCAGTCTAAGGAAAAACTTTACTGATCCAACTTTCCCGGGTACTTTCAATAAGTCAAGAATGGTTATTGATAACTAATCAATCCAAATCGTTTATTGTTTAATAAATAATATATAATAAACTTTCTTAAGCTATTCCAACCATTTAATCGTTTTCGGTTAGTTAATTAATAATAATTCTTTCGCTTTTTCCTTTTCTTCCTTATATTTGTTTTACAGAAAAACCAACTTTTATCCATAAAAAACTAGAGTGAACGTTAAGACAATCGAAACTAGGCTCTATTGTAAATTTCAGAATGACGAAAGACTTCCTCTTTCTATAACGTGATATAAAAAATAATGTTAGTGTCGTTTTTTAGAATACAGAAAAAAGTAGATTACTTAATATCGTTTTGCAGAAACGCTTAATTATCGATAATGATAAATATCGGATCAAAGATTACGAAAAATATAAAAAAAATTTGATAATTAAGGGTCAAGAAGGTCATTACAAATGTCTAGCTTTAAATGGTTTAAATGGTCTGATGAGATTGATTGACATCAACAGCCTCAGGTTTGTAGCAATCATCAACATAAACAACATAATCTACCAATATTATCAATATATATAACAATCCTAAATATATTGTTTGCAGTATTAGAACGACCGAAAATCATCTTTTATTGCTTTATAATTGGACTCTTATCATTAATTCAATAATATATTATAATTTTTCATACAGAATATAAACATCCTAAATATTTAATAATATTTCTACAGGCCTATTTATACAAAATATATTAAATATTTAATAAAAATTCTAATTAACGTATATTTAATTTAAAAAAGAAATAAACAAGGTAAAAAAAACAAAATAAAGCAAAATAAAAAACGATATAAACAATAAACACAATTAGATAAATAGAGACCCAACTGACTTTTGAATATTTAATAATTTTAAAGGGTTTAAAAGAAGAGTAAATTATTATTATGGAATTAATTAGAGAGAATATATTAAATGAATTACGTACAAGTAATAAATTAATTGAGCAGAATGATTGGACAATATCGGATATTTATAATATAGATAAGACTTATAGTATATTTGGTCTTATTATAATATTAATTAGTATTGTTTCGTCAACCTATATTAATTTATTCTTAAAGAATATCTTATCTAGAAAAGAATTACATTTTAATAAGTAATATAAACTTATTATTTAGTTTGTTTAGTTGTTTGTCATTCTTTATTTTTTAGATTAAAAGAATTTTTAACTTTGGATTATGAGAATTACGATAATCATAAAGATTTAATCCAATTTGAATATAATAATGATACATTTCTAACACCTAATAGCAGAAACGACCAGGTTATAAAATTCACTTTCAGGAGGTTTATACTATGCATTGACCGATCGGAAAGTTCCTCAATGATGCTTGATTGTATAAAACATTTATAGAAATACATTCATACATATATATATATTTATATAGATGTATAAATACTATGAAAATTCTAGGGTTCTCTTCCAACTTATATAATAGAGATGATGTTGTCCTACTTATACCATATCCTATTGATGAGAAATGTAAATGTTTAGTAATCGTTGAAATAATTAATATTTAAATATATCATCTCTTCAGTTTCCAATAAATACGATAGATTAATGAAAGAGAAAGAAAAGAATAAAGAACTATTTCGAGATTATATTCTTAAGTGCCACTTTTACGGAGTAAGTATGGTTTACGGTTAATTATCTTTAATATAGATTTTATAGTTCCATTCATTCTTTAAGATAAACTCTTTAACTTGCGCTCCGAGTTGTCGTTCGACTCTTAAATTTATTGAAAAAGTTACTAAAAATCAATCTGCTGATATGATAATTATGTGCGATGAATGGAATGGAAAGGATAATCAATCTCTGCTTAACGAATTAAGAAAACGTTTAGCAATACCATTGATTATTTTTGGCCCTAATTTCTCAATTGAAAAGAGTAATGGTAAAATACCGGCGTTTGAAAAAGATAGCGAAATCAGCTTGAATGATTCAGAAGATGAAAAAGATTAATAACTGAATTAGTAAGAAATGAGTAAAGAAAGAAAACCCTATTGAATACGAATGTCTAAACTTTATGAAATAAATCCAACAACTACTTTTTTACTTCCTTAATGTGTTTTTATATGAATTGTTCTTTCTCAAATATATGAGGAAATAGTACAGATATTCCTTATTATTAATATCGCTTCTATATCGCTGCTATATATAGTATGAATTTTATTAAATTTCTCTATAGTGTGCAAAATATCTAGGTATAACAAAGGAGGGAAATATTTGGATTGTAAATATATGTAGTTCCCTTAGAATCTTTCATGATTAATCAATTATTGCAGTCGAAGGTGTTTTTTCAATACTTCTTCCTATAATTTATCTTGTTTAGCTGATTCAGTATTCTTGATAGTTCGAAAATACAATAATATACAACACTGGATAATACAGTAATTGGTGTTTTGCCCCCTATTTTTGCTGTACTATCCTTCTAGGGAAAAAAGGCTCTCGTATTCCTGAAATCTAACAATTTCTATAATACTATTCTAAGTAGATATCAGTACAATTTCTCTTTAAATACGTTATGATTCGAGAATCAGAGAGACAATTTTTCACAACGATAACCACGCCACCAGATACAATTCTATCCAAATTGTTATCCATAATGAACCTAATGGTTGTATTCTAATGATAGCTGATTCAAAGTGATAGTGATAAACGATTTTATATCATATTCAATTATGTTGAATCAAATATCAGTGAAAGTAATAGCCTAAACGATATTATTATTTTGAAGTTATCAAAATAATGTCGAATACGATGTCATTTACATTATAAATAGGGATAAATGCGTATGGTTTTATCTAAGGAGATATTCTATTTATTTGTCAAGTAAAAAGGACAGAAAGTGGAACAATTTATTTATGGGCGAAAACTAAGTAAAAGGGCTCAACTTTATTTGTAAAATATTCAAGTTCTCTATTCCAGCTTACACGTACAAGAGAAAACGGCGGTATCTCCTCAAGCAGAAGCGACCTCTATCTTCTAAAGATAGGTATATATCCGATTCCTAAAACAGACGCTACCGAAACGTAATCAAAGTGAACAGAGTGTTTATGAGATGTTATCGTATGATTTTACAAACTAACAACGTCCCTAAGAAATCTCCAGAAGGAATTTCTGCTTGCATGGAAGTATTTGTAATAACCAGTCTTTATATATAATTCTTTGATGTTATTTAATCTTTAAAGTCAATATCGAAGTATATCTCGATAGAGAGGTGCAATAAACTTACTTGTCTTTATTGGAATGCTATATTCTGAATTTTAATCATTTTTCACATTGAGGTACGAACTCTTAGTAAACTCATTATTTAAATTGTCTATTAATACCACAACGTCGTCTATAATTGAAAGATTCCATGGCTTGCGGATGCTATTTTAACGTCTAATAAACAATTCACGTTTTTTATTAAAGTGGAAGGTACAGTATTTATAAACAAAATGTTTACATGTATATTGTCCAAAGTAGGGATAATGAAAGAAAATCTCAACTCTTTCAAACAGAATACTCTAAGTTTAAGAGAGAAGCCGCGTAAGCCTACAATGCAAGTGTCTTTAGGGTAACAATATTAGTTGCTAGCTAAAAACGAAAATTAGTAAGTATTAGAATGCAATCAAACTGAATAGAGAAATGAAGTAGATAATAGGCTACCATTTTCATTAGATTGATTTAAGGATGGGGTAAGGAAATGATAAATTTGTGTGAACAAACAGAGAGCTTAATACGTATCGTGCTTTACCAAAAAAAAACTAAAATAACCGGAAATACATTGGAGATCGAAGGATCTAAGGACAAAGAACAAAACTTATTGATAGATGCAATGGCTAAAAATAGATTTCTGGGTAAATAGCACAGTAGAGGAAGATGTTTATATCTAAAATATTGCTTTATCAATAGAGTTTCGACGCTTCTGTATACATTGATATGTTTATTAAAAGTTTAATTGTATTGAGGTGTACACACAACATTTTCCCTACTTTTGCAGTGGATATTTGTCTTAAAAGCTGTAATTCTGATATTTTCTACACCTTATTTACTTCTTAAATATTATTCTTCCTTCTATATAAATCTTTATAATATTCATATATAAATTCTGCTAATATACTCCGTATAATTCTTTACACAACGCCTATTTAAATCTTTTTATGGAAAGTTCAAAATCTTTAAGACTAAAGATAAATTCTTGCTCTCTTTTTAAATAATAAATAAACATTATATTTTCTTCTAAACAAATAAGATAACCTAATTTAAATGAATTTTTCAGTATTATTAAACTTTATTCTATATTGTTATGTTGTATATTGATCGTTATTGTTTCTCTAATGAACATACATTACAACTAGAAGAGTTTAATTTCTTCATTTTTTACTTGCAGTTTGAAAGAGTAAAACTAAAATTTGGATTTTTTTTTGATATAATGAATTACCTATTTATTACTGGATTTCTATACAGTTAAGACACACTTAAAAGCCAACTAAAACATAACATCCGGCTTTATCTTTGTATGACTATAGCTATTATAGGACTAAATACATGGAATATAATTGTTTTCCCTATAAACAGTAATTTTTGGAATTAATATATTTTATTTATTGAACGAGATCAGATACTTAAAAACACGAAGAAGCCTATTAAAACAACAAAAAAACAGAGAGGAGGATAAAAAAAGCTAAGGTTAACTTGAATCTGTTCAACTTTTGATGAAAGCTAATGAAAAAAGTCAGTCCTTCTTTTGTCGATTGTATATCCTAAAGGCTCAAGTAGAATTTACAAAACGTAGTATTAATATTATGTTTAATACAATCAATTCGTATAATACTATTAAAGACAAAACGAATAGGTTTCTATTTTCAGTTTAGGTGTACCGAAAGCAAGAAAACAACCAAGACATGTATGGATTACTTTCTATATGCTAAATCGTGTTGCTTTTCCTCTTCCTTTCCTTTTTTTATATCTTTTAAGAATATTTCTAAATAGTTAAACATTTACATAGGCCATTCTCATCTAGTAATAATATCAACATAAAGTTTTTATATATGGAAATATAACAGATATTTCTTCTCTTTTTTTAAAAAAAAGAGGTAGTCTATTGTTGAATCAACTGACTATGGTTGTGTTTGCATTATGTTGGTAAAGTCTACGAAAGCCTATAACTTATAATAAAATAATTACTATTTCCGTTTTATCTTGTTTTTTTTTCATTTTATTTAATTTACAAAGAAAATGAATGTCGGAATGGAAGACGAGAGATAGAAGGAAAGTTGAAAGAAATAGAAGAATAATCTTTACAATGGAAAGAAGAGAAGGAAAGGGAGCAAAAAAAGAACTAAATACTTGATACTGAAAAACCTTGTACACTTGAAATTCACGTGAAAAACAATATAAATTTTTTCAATTTATTTTATAGACTTCTTTATTTAGGTCTTTAGAAAACATTGAATAAGACAGTTAATATTTAGTTGATTTATCGTAAACCAGTATTTATTTACGTTCTTTGATATAAAAGCCAAAGTTTTCTATTGTATTCATGTAAAGGAAAGAGTTATAAATTGATAATAAACGATGCTAAAAATGCTAAAATTGTTACATAAAAGTTAATGTTGAACATATATTTTATTTATTTCTCCTCAATCTCTCTGTCTATCTCTTTCTTTCTTTCTTTCTTTCTTTCTCTTCTTTTTCTTTGTCTCTCTCTATCTCTCTTCCTCATCCCTCACCCTTCCTATATCTTTGCTTTAAAAACATAAAAGTTATTTATCGTCTGCTATATATCAACCAAATCGACTTTAGTGAAATTTCAACGAAAGATGCTCATCGTAAAATGAGAAAATTATCGTAATTAAAGCTGTAAAAGAGGTAGCAAATCTTCCAGTATTATCTATATGAGATTTCTACTAAGTCCTCTAAACTTCTGGTAAATCTTCCCAAGATAATTTATAAAGGCTCGTTGATAAGGATGATACAAAGCAGTATACGAAGATTCGGATAAAAGGGACCAACAACAATGACCTTTTTTTATCATCCACTCTATCAACTAAATGGATTTACACGTCCATATTTGATTTAGATTAACAGGAATAAAATTGTTGTACATATAAACCATTCCATTTGACCTTTTAACCTTTTTCGTATACCCTATTACTAATTTCAATGAAAAGAAGGTAATCTTTAATAGAATAAATATTATATAAATTGATGAATCTAAGTGAAATTTTACAATGTTCTTTATTATAGTTTATTCAAAGGTTTCACTTAATAAGGACATGCCATTTTTTTAAGGAGGAAAAATCTGGTCTCTGTCACAAATTTAAACCAAAATAACTTCAAACCTCAAAGGGAAAAAAGAGCGGAAAGGAAAGTTTGGTTAAATTCATTTTTATGACACATCTGTTAATCATCCGGAAGGACAAATGAATAACATAATTGTTAAGCTCGTATGATAATCGCGGAAGGAATTTACAATAATAGGATAAGGATTTGTTTACGGAATTGCTCATTAAAGGAAAAGTTACGCAATATATCAGACTCATTAATCATAAAAGCTATGCTTTACTAAATAATACCATCTGTTACTGTCCTTTTTTCTTATATATTTATCCCTTCTCCTCTCCTTTCAAGTAAAACATAAAGAAGAGTATTTTTAACTAAACTCTTTCCATTTGAGTATTATACCGCTTTTTTTGTCTTCCTTTGTAATCTCTTACAAAGCGTAGGCCTATTTACAACAATAAATACAAAATAAACGGAATAAATTCGGAAAATATATGGACGGTTGAGCAAATATGTATAAGCCGTTAATTATATGATAATAATAGATTATGGGATATGTATAGTTTTTTCTTTTTACGCTATTATTCAGGAATGAGCAATGCTTAAAAGGTTTTCATTGATGGAAAACATAAAAGGGTTAAAGAGTTCTAGCAATCAAAACAATACGCCAAACCCTAATTTATGACCAAAGGCTGTAAATAGTAAACACCATTGAATGCTCTGGGTCGTTTCTGCTTAGCGGATTACATTAAACTGACTAGCATCCATCAACAAACAAATAAATGGAATTGGAATTTGTCTTATCTATTCTCTCCTTAATAACCTTTAAAGTTGTTTATAAATTGATTCAAGACATCAACATTACGAAACGCCTAATTCTTTCATCCTTACACTTTCCCTGTCTGTTTTTAAATGTTTATTCTCGTTTATAACAAAACCAATGAAAATCTTCCTTTTAGCCTTGGTCTATTCCATTCCACTATTGGCACATGCCTTGCTTTGTGACAAGCTATTTGTTATGTTCTTATAATTCTTATCTACTCGGTATTTTTATCTTTTATGTTTGAATTAGACAGCTGCTAGATGGAGTATACAACTTTTCTTCATCTGACTGTTTTTATTATCAAAATGAATTTATAACTTTGATCTCTTTGTCTTATTATCTTTCCCTTCTCCTTGCACTTTTTCTCCTTACAAAACGTAACTTTCCTTTCCATTCTAATTATGGTATCAAATAATGAATGCGTCTGTTTAGCTTTTCACGGATAAGATAGATAGCAGCATTTTACTATTTTATCTTAAGTCGATAACATGTAATGAGCGGTTAAAAATACGTTAGGTTCCTTTTTTTATGAATAAGTGATGTATACAATACTTTATAATAGTATTATTCATCTAATATTTTGTTTCTTACTCCTCATCCTCCTTCACCACCCCCGCAAAAACTGTTCACTTTCCCTTAAACAACCAAGCGCTTTCTCTTAAGAATAAAGCCTATAGGTTTTTTTTTCAGACTTTCAACAAACCCGAAGTTTATTTATTAAAGGCCTTCGTCAAGTGCGTTCAAACGAATGGTTCGTTTACTCGAATTATACCTAGATTGCTAGTTCATCTAAGCCTATATTAATGTTGGACCTCTCTTTCATATTAGTAATTAAAATAATAATAAAAAAGTAAAAATGTTCAAGCATATATTATATAAAATTTTATTACCAACTAACTACAATTCAACCGGAAGTTGTTAATAAAAATATAATATAAGGATTTCATATAAAATATACTAAAGATTTATAATGAATTTTTATTATTTAAAATGATTAATGAATCCGTGTAGAGAACTTTTGCAGCTAACAATGAGAAACAAAAGAGTATCATGTTTGGCGGGAACAAACACCTACCGGTGAAATACGCCACCTACACGTTCAATTTCCATTAGATACCGATTGTATAGCGGAGAAGTAACATTGGATAAGCGATTTTTTTATACTATAGTTGATTTTAATACTCTTATTCTACGTACTTTTAATATTACGTGAAAAGACTTGAGTTCTATGTAGTCAGAATCTCTGACTAATTTTTAAAATAAGGAATATTTGCAGTTTTCCTTCCTTCTTCACTATATTTTTTACAAATATATTTCATATATACAAACTCTCTCTCAATATATATATATATATAATATATATATATAAATATTGTTATATCTTCCTCTCAATTTCTCTCTTCTACTAAGAGTAAAACAGGTAAGAAATCATAAAATTTGTACTTTGAACGGACGCTTGATAACAAAATTTTTTTACCTGAAAGAAATTTATCGAGCCGATAAACAATATAAAATACGATAACTAGATCTGACCTATGGATAAGTTTTGGTTTATTCTGCCCTTCATCTTCAATTTTTACCTTTCAGGTTTGTCATTTTAATACTATTTCTTATATAATTTATACAGTATAAAAACAAAAATCGTATAATATATATAGATGTCCTGCTACAAGAAATTCAATTTCCACCCACAATTGTTAACCATCCGGCTCGTCTAAAAGTTTACGCTGGTAGGGAGGATCTTAATATAAATTGTGGAGCGAAAGGTCCTAATGGTGATCTAGTTGGACCAAGCGGAAAGCTTGATTATGAATGGTACCACAGGAAAAGTGAACAGGATCCATGGGTAAAGATTAACATTATCGGAGAAGCTGGTTGGGCTTGGACTTCTGAGAACGATAACGGAAATATCAGAATCAAACAGGAAATTGTTTCAGATGATCGGGCCAAATATTCGGGAGAATATCAATGTATTGTGTCTCTTGACAATCACTATAAAGTTAAATCTAGTATTGGTCTACTTGTCTACTACGGTAAGTTAACAAAAATTACATAAATGTCTTCGTCTATGAGAAATCCTTCTTTTATTCTAACAGCAATTCCTCTCACAAGTAACACTCCTGTTCATTTGGATATAAATCGACACACGCACTTCATTATTGAACCAAAATATATAAAACTTGATTGTAATTTAATTGAATGTCAAAATTTTCGTATAAGACCTAAAATTGAAGGCAAACCTGATCCTGGTGTCTTCCGCTCTTCTCGAATGGTTTATGATAGAGAAACTGGTCATTTTATAGTAATGCGAGCTGATTCAGAAGATCATAACAGACGATTTCATATACTTTTTGATTTTATTGAATCAAGTGTAGGTGAAACAAATGACCCACGTGATATTAGAATTACAGGCGATCAAAGTAACATCAATAACGATATTATTTATCATACAACAACAAATAATAACAACCAGAACGAATTTCATCGTTTTTCTAAAGAAGATATTTCATTTACTTGTGCCGTAAAAGGAAAGTAAGTATTAGATAAGCTTCAATCCAAATTTCCCAAGATCCTTTTTAAAAACTTCACCTTTTTTTAGCCCCCTTCCCACTCTAACCTGGTCAAAAGAGAATGGTAATATACCATCAAAGGCTGATAGGAGTGAACGATACCGTCTAAAGATAGGTATATATCTCAAGAATAACTTTTCACTTTTAAGCAAACATCTAACAGCTCTTTTCTGCATAATTTTACATAATCTTTAAAATCGATATCTATATATAACCCGATAAAAATGCGCCATAAATGATTATTTCTTTATCAGCATACTCTGTTGTGAATTTCACTCAGAGTTAGCCTCTACTTTCTATACTGATAATTAAAGAACTCATTTTTCAATCTATTTTCACCTACTGTGCTACAATTAAGAAATATTACATAATAGGTGATCTTCAACCTGGCGACTCGGGAGTTTATAAATGCTCCATCGGATCTGGAATTGAAAAAACATTCTCTCTTAAAGTAGAAGGTTCAGTATTTCAGAAAAATAAGTGTATTCTTTCCACATGAACATGTCTTCTCTTCGAAAATAGATTTCTTCGATTTCGAGGATAAACCTGAAAACCAAAATGCTAGTGTTGGTGACACGAATATACAGTGGAAATGTAGAGGCACGCCTGGCCAGCACAACTATGAATTTAACGTTAATGGAGAAAAACCTGGTAAATTGTTATTTATCTTTTCAAGTTTATAATTTGTCATTGAAAACAATCTTTTTCATCATCCAGTTAGTGACTTTTATGTTGCAAACAACATCATGAAGTTGGAGAAGGTAGAGAGAACTCATGAAGGAGTAATTCAATGTAATATCAATAAACCATCGACAAGGGAAAGTAAAAGTTCATCAGCCTACTTTCTGGTCTTTGGTTAGTATATTTTAATGTTAGATAAATGGATTACGTTTATATTTATTCATTTCACATTTGTAGATAAAACAACAATAACTGCTAAAAATGAAGCTGAAATTAATGTTACTCAGGATATGGATGAGGTTAAACTAGAATGTAAAGTTTCAGTAGATGGTAGATTGCCATTTTCACTAGAGTGGTATAAAGATGGGGTAAGAAAATAAGAGATTTTCTTTTAGAATTGGATAGATTAATACAGTATATTAATATATATTTTATGTTGTTATAGAAAAAACTAGAGATAGATGGAAACACATTCAAGATCGAAGGAGCTGATAATAAAGAGAAGAATCTAATAATTGATGCAAAAAGTAAAAGTATATTCGGTAGATACCGATGTAAAGGAGATAATGGATATTCTGAAGATTTTTCGGATGAAATTTTGTTGTATCAAGGTGTTCCAACACCAGCTCGTAAGTTTTCAAGTGAAATTTATGTGTTTAGTTATCTTTGAGCATGTAATTTTTTTTCAGCTGTTGTGCAAAAAAGTGCATTTCCTTGGTGGATATTTGCAATAATAGCCGGGGCTCTTATATTCTTTATTGTCGTTTTATGCATTTGTTTATATATACAGGTAAGTTTTTGCTATTAACGTGCGTTGTTTTTTTTTAAGTAGGTCAAATGGCCTTGTTTTTAAGTTTGTCATATGACACTAGTGATTACGCATTCTTTTAGATAAGAAACTTTGTTTTTAAATGCTTTTTTTAAAAAATCGTATATCTTGCTGATTAGTCGAATATTTGAAATTTTGTGATTTGTTTTTTTTCTGTTCTATAGAGAAACAAAGGTGAGGAATACAAAGTCGACTTATTGGAGAGAAAACAAGGATTGGATCCTGAAGCTGAATTAAGAGCAGAAGATTTTAAAGAGTATCAAAGACCGTAAGTGTAATCTTTTATATATTTACTATATCGATAAATGTAATCATTTATTATAGGGATGATTCGAAACCTTTGTATGATGAACCATTCAAGATTCATACATCGGAGGAATCTCTTGAGGAATACGGAGAGGAAATTCGTGAAGATGGATCATTTATTGGCGCTTATAAACCTCCGAGAAATAATTATAATAGAGACACAGACGTCTAGTTCTCCATAGTGTTCTTAATTGACTATTTTAATTGTTAAAGTACTTTAGCGTAATAGAATACAACATTTGAGTTTTTACTTTTCTATTTAATTCCGCAATTCCTCATTGTTGGAACCTTGCAATTTCCTTTACCAGCTGCGTTCCATACTTCACCTTTGTATGAAGCGATTCCTTGTTCATCTATTTTCAAATCCGGTTGTATAGCTTCCCAAATCTTCTTCTTAGGGTTTAACAATGCATCCGCGTCGCCAGGGTATGCGTCGACGGTTACACGATCACCAATGTTAACTCCCTCTGGTGGAATGATAATTTCCACTTTTTCAGGAGTTGAGGCACACATAATCATTCCTTCGGATAAAATTCCTCTCATTTTGGCTGGTTTCAAGTTTGTCATAAATATGGCAATCCTATTTTTCATCTAAAAAATTTTATTGCGACTGATTACTTTTACGTGTTCAATAAAAGAAAATTATGGTATCCGAACCTGTTCTAACGGAACGTGCTTAACTAAACCGGAAACAATAGTACGTGTTTCCGAACCAAAATCAACAGTTTCAACGTAGAGACTGTCAGCATCTGGATGCTTTTTGACATCAACAATCTTTCCTATTCTCATACTTAATCTTGAAATATCTAATTTTTCAACAGTTGTAGGTGCTGCTGTTTTTCCACCCTTTTCTTTGGGTTTTTTAGGCTGTTTTTCAGCTTTTTTATTCTTTTCATTTCCTTTAGCTTCAGGGGCATCTCCTGCCTTTTCAACTTGTTTTTCAGAAGCTTTTCCACATGGTTTTGGTTGTTCCAACACAACAACAGGTCGTTGAGAAGGTATAGGTACTTGTAAGACTACAAATTTAAATAAGCAATATTAAGATGGAGTAAAATTAAAAGAATCTTAAGAACTGACTTCCGCTATCGATTTGAAGCTTTGTTAATGTATTTTTCAGCTCTTGAACTTCTTGTTTTAAACTTTCGTTTTCATTTATCAATTTTTCTTTAGTAGAATTGCTACAAACCGAGACATTTCCTGAAAAATTAATTATAATACTTATTACATTTGTATAGTTTTAATAGACAAAGTAGAAATACAAACTCGATTTTATAAATTCCACTTTCTGACGCAATTGAAGGAGTAATGCTTCTGCTTCGTCAGCTCTTTTTATCGCTCTCGCCAAAGCTGAAAATTTTGGAAAGTACTTGAATTGGAGTTTATATTTTCTAAGTATATTCCTTAAAAAATCATTAATGACTGGAAATCGCGTTATTTTCGTCGCACCTAAGCTAAAAGACCTTAGTATCAATGACATACCGTTATCACTGGCCATTTCACGTACACGGTTCGACCAAGAAGTATTCTAACTATTTTCAAGCGATTGTGTGGTGTCCTAATAAAGCGCAAAAAAGTTGAAACTTCAAATATTAAGAAATGGAAAAACTACTTTCAGACATAATCTATTGTTTAAATGATAGAAACAGAATCATTGTATCAATTATTCAAAGATAAGAAAATCTTGAATTCTTAAATGTATTAATAAAACGAAAAACTTCAATTCAACTCAAAATGGCATTGATAGTTAAATTTCTTTTTACTGCAGGAATTAACCAGACAGCTGTGTTATCACAGTACAAGAAAATAGGTAGAAAATTTAGAAGTTAAGGCTAAATATAATAAGCACAAGTTAAATACGTTCCTTTAGTGTCTCGAAGTAATTTAATCTATAGCGGTTTAAGTATTACCCACTGTTACTTCAACTATTTTAAGCGTATACAATAGTTGTAGAAAAGAAAAAAGAAAGAGATAAGAATGTTCAGACCGGCCATCACAAAGTAAAGGCCGTTTCGAGGCGTAATTAAATCTCGGCTCATTCACAATTTATCCGTCAAGACTTTCTTTGCTCTTTCATAAATAACGTATGAAATAGAGACAGCTGGCAAAACTTTCATAAAATTCGGTGCAATGCCTGAGTACAAGCCTTTAAAGCCATTTTTCTTCACGATGTTTTGGGCCATCTTTACCATTCCATCTTTTGCAACTTCTGGGGGCGCTGCTTGTAATCGAGTTCTGACAAGTGCCAAGGGATATGACGCCAACTGGCCACAAGTGGAGCTAATCGTTCCGCACGCCAAAAGCACAAGCACCCCAGGATCACTAACTCCAGGGTTTGACTTGTTGTAAAATTGCTTGAGTGTTTCGTAAACAGATAAGTCGATGCCGGCATATGGAATGATGCCAAGTATGTTTGGAAGATATCCTCTATACAATGCCTGAGGTCCTTCGTGTTTTACAGTTTGCAACAGGCAGTCTAGCATTCCTTTGTATTGTCCTAGAGAACAAAAAAAAATCAATGCTTTACTTCCATCTACTTTTAAACAAACCTGTTCTAGCAACGGCGAGTCTAGTTTTAACAACTTCCATTGGATAAATGGAGGTTTGTGCTGTTGCTCCAGCAAGGGATCCAGCAGTAAATCTCTCTAAAGTTCCAATTTGATTTGGATCAGATTGTATTAAAGATTTAAGTTTTTCGTAAGCAGCAAATTTGATAGCAGTCTCAGGTGCTATTTTAATGACGTTTGTTCCATTTCCTCGCCAGAGGGACTTTATTCCTCCTTCTTTGACCATTAGCTTTAGGCTCTTGGCAATTGACATGTTCTTGCCATGAACTTGTAACATAATCTTTACTCTATCCAAGGGAGCTGTACAAGTTCTAGAAACAGCACCAGCCACTGCACCAGCAATTAAATGCTTGATCCATTCTCCGGATTTCTTTTCCTTTGCAGTAAATTCAGGGGGAACTGTCAGTTGTTCACCAATATCTATCATCTATAAATATACGAATAAAAGAAGCCATATTTATATTCAAAGTATATTAGCTAAAAAAACAAACAAACTAGAGATTGTCTCCAATGTCTGACAATCGATTGAAAATCTGAATCTGGCGAAAACTCAAAAAATGTCATCCATTCTTGCCAATCAACGCTCATATTTCCATCTTTATCGATTCTGTTTTTAAGAATGGCAGCGTATACTTTCATTTCAGTTAATTAATTAGAAGTTTAATAGAAAACAATAAGAAAAGTTTAATCTATTAAATTATTAATAAAATATACAATAATTTATTACTGTTCGAGTAAAGACTCAGCCATTTGACTAGATAGATCAAGCTCCAATTTTTTAAAGGCTTGGCGCATCTCCTCCAAATCAATTCGACCTATAAATATTCATAATTCATGCAAAAGTTAGAAGTTATTAATTTTCACTCTTATTTTTTTCTTTTTGCAATATCAGATATAAACCATCAAAGGAATAGTCCTATATGAAAACTAACAGTTTTTTTTCAATACGAATATATTTTTCTATTGATTCTCTACTATGAAGTGAATCGTTTTATGTTTTTACATATAGTTGTAGCATTTTCATTTTTAAAGTCTGCTTTTTACTTTCATAACAAATATCATTTTGTCTAAATATTTACAAGTATTAATTTTTATTAGTTACCATAGTGACTATTCGTATAGAAACAATTGTAGCTTAATGGAAGATGTTCTTTTTTTATCTTAAGTTAATAATAACTATTTGTTCAATACTAATACTGACCATCCTTATTTTTATCTAGTTTTTTAAACACTGATAATAAGTTTGCTTCATGTTGAACCATATATTCAACAAATTCGTCAAAATCCAAAAACGAGTCATTGTTTGTATTAATTTTACCAAATATCGACTGTAATGGAAATAAATTAACCAAAGTTAATGCAATTTTTAATTATTATTCATTAACCTGGGCGTGATGCTTAGCTTTATCTGCAGAGAGACGACGTTGTCTCAAAGCTTGAGCCAGCTCACTGCATTGAATCTTTCCATCATTGTTGACATCCAATGCATTAAAAAGTGCTCTGTAGCGTTTCTTATCAGCCTCTGTTATAGTCCTTGACATTCTTGTATCTGTGGAGTTGTGTATAATTATAATAAATGTTTGTTTGTATTGTTGACTATTTTGTATTGCACCTAAATATAAACGGGTGTTTCAACAGTTTTCAAGTTATCAAAAGTAAAACATCCGGTTCTGGAGAGCGCCATCTATACAGTATGTTTAAGATATTGAAAGAAAGACTTTTAAAGTGCACAGAAGTTATATAATGAACTTAACTTGACCACATTTTACACATTAGTTCCATTAATCTGAATTTCTTTTAAAGTTTGAACGAATATACTTTTTTCATATTAACAGTTTAGGATATAAGCATTATATCTTGGTGTATGAATTATGAAAGAATGTAAAAACAACCAGTTAATAAAATGGTTTCATATACCTAATAAAACACATCGAGATTTGTTTTAGATTAATCAGAGATTTAAACTATTATACTTTTCAACTATGGTTATCGAATAGTATTCCAACCCAGTTCGTCTACAGTACGATTTTTATTTTTACTGAATCTAAGCCATTATATGTCAAAATATGCCTCTTCCCGCGGCTTTAGCAGCAAAGTTACAGAAGCGAGGACTACTCGCCGCAGATGAAGCAAGAGCAGGTATAACGATTAAAGGAAACTTTAACATTATTGTTTTATTCTTATTTTATCGCTCAGAGCACGAAGAAGAAGTCTTCGCTGAAGATTACGACGATCCCGATAATGAAGAACCATATATGTATGGCTCAAAATTTTGCTACGAGGCTGTCGACTGTCCTAATAAGTAAGGATTTTTAGTCCGTTTAAATTTTATATTGGTTATATTTTATAGTCATATTAAAATAAACGATAATATAAAAAACACTTGGTGTTTGAACAGGAACAACGATTTCCATCAATGTTCGTCGTATTGCAAGAAACGTTACGGCTTGAAACGATTTCGACCTGAACCTATTATGGATAGGAGAAGAATAAAAATGCTTAAAAGGCACCCAATTCCGCCTGGATGGGTAGAAGTAGCTGATCCTGACACGGGAAGATACTACTATTGGAATACAGGAAATGATAAAGTTTCGTGGTTTCCACCTACGCATCCTAAATGTCGAATGTCATTTTCCAACAAGAAAGAGATTGATCCCAAAAAAGTTGAATCGGATTCTGACGAACATCCAGATTTTGAGGAATTAGAAAGAGATTTAATGAGAGAAAAAGAAAAAGAAAAAGAAAAAAAGAAAAAGGGAAGGAGTCATAGAAGAAGATCAGATTCTCCATTAGATCCAATGGATCCCGCATCATACTCGGATATACCTAAAGGAAAATGGAGTGATGGTTTAGAAGTCGGTAGTCAAAAAACAGGAGCCGATAGTAGCGTTACAGGTACTAATTTTCAACAAAGACCTTATCCAAATCCTGGAGAAGTTTTGAAAATGAACGACGAACATTCAGATTAGGAAAGACAAAAGAACAAAAGAGAAAGTTGAAAATTGGAAGATTTCATTTATTTTTTACAGAGAAGATAAAAAAAATCGTCGTGTCCGTTAAATCATTGTATTATTGTCATTTTATTGTTTATCAGTTTGGTCAAATAGATTCTGTTTCTTCTTGAATTTACATCAACTGTATATATTAACATTTACATTTAATTTGAGATATTTAAACCTTTATCTTTATTTATATAAAGTATAATATAAATAAATTTAGAAGATAATTTATATAAGATATTTGTTATTGTTTTATTAAAAGTCATTTAATTAGGTCAGTTTTTGAAATAAAAGTTTTGTTATGATTTTTTTTGTTCTTTTATTTCTTGGAAGTTTTAAAAAAATATTTCAAATTGGAAGTTTTATATAAAAATTTTAGAATAAAGATCAAGAATAAAATTGTTCTATTTTTGTTTAATACAAATTTCAAAGACTCGTTAGCGCTTCTCAAAGGAATGTACTCACCAATACCTATAAAAGTGTGAAAATTTTCCCATTCGAGTGCGGTTGTCGTTCCGTCTGGAGGAAGAATGTTTTCTGCCTAAACAGTGTTATAATCGGCGATTGTCCTCCTTCGTCCTCTTTCTTTTTTAGAACAAGTAAGTTTTTTTCAGTTTTTATTACGTCTTTCTAAAATATCTTTCTTATTAATAGAGTTTGCTATTTATGGCCACCAAACTGAATTTTTCTTAAAGAATAATTGTATGAAAATTGATGATTGTGATCTTTCGGTGTTGCTCTTTAACACCGCCATTGTTGTACATTTATTCAAAATTTATGAACGAAGACAAGCCAATTGATTTGCAGTACCGGTAGATAAGCAGAAAGACACAGAAAATTAAGAGGAAGGAGTTATTTACGTGTTCAACGTCAAATTCATTATTCATTTGACGTTTAGAAAACTGAATAGAGGACGATCTCCAAGATTATACAGAAGAATAACGGTAGAATAACGTTTTCGATATTAAACAGGGACATTATCGCTCTCCAACTTTTGAGACCTGTTTGAAACCCTAAAAATTGGCAAATTGTATATGATAGTGTCATTATTTGTGTATTGTGTAAAAGCCAAATTTAGGACGGGTTATACTTTCCAAAAATAGGAAAAAATTGTTTTCAATTGAGTTTGGAAATTAACAAAATAATAGAAACAAACAAAAATAAAATACAGTTACTTTTTATTTTTGTTTTTCTTCTCTTTGTGTTTTTTGTTAGAAATATTTTTGTAAATTCCAAAAGTCACGTGATTAAAACAATTTTTTTCATACTGGAAAGTAAAAATATTTGTATTGTTGTAAAGAAAGAAAGAAAAAACAAAATACTTTTCAACAGATCAGAAAACAACTTTATATTTTCCCTAAAATCTCTGATAAATTATTATGTTAAAAGGAAAAAAAAGCATAAAATATGAAAATAATGAAAAAAAACCAGTTTAAATATGTCCGGAGTTTTTAATAATAAAAATAAAGCACTAAGAAAATGTTCTTTTAATGTTCTATTCTATTTTATTTTTGATTACGTAATCTAAAGAATATATTAGGTTTAAAAGTATAAAGGTCAAAGTTGTTTGTGTTTTAGAGAAAATGGTTATATTTGGAACACTGCGGACGTGTAACAGTACTTAACTCTATTATTGAATCTAGTTAAAGGATAGACTTATATTAGCTTATACTCAATTAACTTTAACTATTATATACAGTACATATTCTAAGGTGATATAGGCTGATAAAATGTCCTAATTAAATGAATGACGAATTGAAAATTATTATTTAAAAGTTGAAGATAGTTTTGAATTGACTCAAACCTATTAACATAGTTAATACAAAACCTTCGTTCTCTATAAAGCTCTGTACTTTAAAAGTGTTTTCTATTTGATTCTTTGTTGTTGTCTATTTCTTTGTTTTTTTTTACCCTTTGAATTTCTCTGTATCATGAGAATGAAAGTAGAATTACTTTTCTTAATTAACTTGCTTACTCTATGTTTAATTTGTCATGGTGAAAAGTTGAATATCGGATTCCTCGATCTTCATCAACATAGAATTATTGAAGGACAAGTTTTTCTATCTAGATTTGGATTTTTGGATAATAAATTTCCTATTGATATTAAACAGGTTGACGTATCTTTAAACTGCATTTCTCCTGGAAGGGATGTTGAAGTTTCTCCTAGGGAATTCATCTTTAGGAAAGGAGAGGAAACTGATAGATATATCGATATTTTTATTGCAAATGATAAACACTTTGCCGAAAATGAAACTGTTAGTTGTAATGCTTTATTAATTGGACATAGAGCTGACTCTTCAAAGGTACAATATACATCTTCGTACCTGCCCTCTATCGATATTATTATCAACGTGGCGTACGATCACGATATATCGCAGATTGTTAAGGGAGTTGATAACGATGGAAAAGATGTATTAAAGTTGATATGCTACAATTTTCTCGGAAAGAAGTTGAAAAATATTAATTTATTGTCAGATCTACTTTTAGGCTTTTCTGTTATCGGTCAATTAAGTACGAAACACCATATGCAACAATTTATTCTCGATAGTAGATTGGGTAGATTTATAATTAATCCAGTCAATATTGTCCTACCAAATGGAGAACATATTGAATGGGAAACTTTTATGGAATTGCATTACGGCTTCAATCCTTCAATAGTAATGATAATGGACCAAGATACAATTGATATAAATGTATTTAGTGGGAGTAGAGATTTAAAATTAACAGTTGAAAGGTTTAAGCAAGCTGATAATAGTTATTATTTGAATTTCAATATATTAAATTTATATAGCGGTTATCAAATTGATAATTTCACAAGGGGTGTTCTTGGACTTGTTGCAAAGAATAAGTATACGTTTATTGAAGGAGAAGGTGAATTATCAAAAGTTTTGGTTAATAATCGCTTAGTTCATTCATATAAGAAAAAGATATCATCGTCTGGTAAATTATGTTATAAGCTTGATTTGAATGATATCGTTAAACTTGAAGAAAAGTTTACACTCCCTGGATTTCATATTTAGAATTATAACTAAAAGATGAACTGTTTTATTATGTGTCTTCTGTTCATAAAAGGATAATTATGTCAACTTTATGAATAAACAGTTTCAAGTAATAAAGTATAAGAATAATTCACTCTTTTGTATTATATTCAAAATAACGGCTTAATTTTTTCTGTCCATTCTATCTCTCTCTCTGCTATACAGCTAATATTATAGCTTTCTTATTTTTTGAAGTGTTTAATGAAGATTATAAAATTATATGTAACGATCCGTTGTCCTAGATATTATAAACGATAATTGATCTAGATTTAAAAATTCCAGACAATTTATCACAAAAAACTAGGTTAAATGAAAAGAGAGACAGAGAGCGATGTAGAAAACGGAAAAGTGGGGAGATTCTTTTAATAAAATTTGAACTTAAATAGGAGATTGTTTGAAAAATTAACTCTAAATTTTAGATATAAATAGGTCAATGCTATTAAAAAACATGAAAAAAAACTTTAAAATGCTCTTTACAGGTTGAAAATACTCACAAACATGGTAGAAGCTGCTAGATTGTACTCAATTTTTCCTATATAAAAGGTCGAAAATTTAGTTATTGTATGGTCGTGATCAGCTTAATGCCATAAATATTATAAAATAATGCTGTACTTGACTGTGTTTGTTGCTTCTTTGGTAATGATGGCTTGTGGCCATGTACAATTGGGTTTTATTGGTCATATTGATGAAGCAATACCGGAAGGAGTAACTAAAACCATGAAATTTGGGTTCTTGAACAATGTACGTTTTCCGGAAGATACACTTGGAATTGACGTTGCTTTGAGCTTTACCTCTCCAAAAAGTATAATTAGTGCTAAGCCCGAAAAAATTCGTTTTTTACCTGGAGAACATAGATATTTCAACATAGATGTTTTGGCAGAGGATAATGGTATTATTCAAGATTCGATTGTTGGTTGTACATTTTCTATATTCTTTCGGTTTACAAATGGTTCCCGAGCAGTACAACCTTTCGAGCAAGAACCTATAAATTTTTCTCTTATTGATTCTTCTAAATTAGTTTCGTTTGGTTTTCTTGGTTATTCTGGTCAACCGCTTACTGTTGGACAGAAAACTGACTTTTTATTTGGGAACTATGGTTCTTTTCCAACTGGAGTTAGTGAAGTAATGGTTAAGATTGAAGTGACATCACTTGGAAGGCATATTAAGATTACTCCCGAAACTCTCACGTTTACACGATCGTCATCATCAACCCAGACTTTGACGATAGTCGTTGAGAAATGCTACGAAAAGGAGATTGATAAACGAGTAGCGTTTTCTTCAAGCATTCGCATTACTGACAATCAAGGCAATACAGAGACTACACTGTCAACTCAACCTACAATATTCGCTTCGATTCATGATACGTCCCAAGATCCTTTTATCATGCAAACGGTAAGGGGAGAAGATGAAAATGGTCGCAGCTCATATGAAAATATATGCTACGAATTCAAGAGTGAAATGGGTGAACGTCTAGAATTTTTAAACGATCTTCTTCTAGGCTTTTCAGCCGTTTGCGAATTTAGAGATAGTTATCATATTGAACGCATTTTCGTCAAGACTAGATTGGGAACAATAGTTATTTCTGTTAGGAATATTATATTGACTAGTGGTATGATTTCCACGTGGGAAGATTTAATCGAGCAAAAGTTAGGCTTAGATCCATTCGTTGTTATTCAAACTTATGGTGATAGAGTGTCAATTAAAGCGAAGAGTGGCGAAAGAAAACTAGTAGTAGATATTGAGAGAATCAACGACAGCGTTGTCAAGAGCCATTTAAATTTAATCATTCAACAAACATCTAAAGGGAATGAATTAGATAAATTCAATGGTGGTATTTTTGGCATTGCTGCAAATAACAACTACAAATTTCTACGACCCGTTCAAGGTGACGAAGGAACAATTGTCATAGTAAATGATCAAGTTGTGTCGGCAACCTTGAAGAAATATAACAAATCTGAAAGTAAATGTTTCTCTCTTTCATTGGACGATATTGTTGATATTAGAGTAGTATCAGCATTTACGACAATTGATGGAATATGAAGAAAATTTTTTACACAAAAAAATGAAAAGAAAATGAAATTAAAAAACTGAAATCTAGACTTTGATTGAACCAAGAATTTTTTTTGTATATTTTATTTTTTTTCGTTAAAAAATGTTTTTGCAACCGAAAAGAGTTAATGCTTGTATCTCTCTCTCTCTAAATCTTATATTCTTTTATACAAATAAGTATTTAGCTTTTTTTTGTAATTCAATTTTAGAAAATTTAGAAAATAAATGCAAAATTAGTTCTGATTCAATTGTTTTCATTCATTCATTCATTCATTCATTCATTCGCTCTCTCTCTTTGGTCGTAAAAGTTTTGGGCAGGGTCAAAAAAATAGATAATAAAAAAAATGATTAGAATTATTGCTGAGAATTTTAATATTTCGAAAAAATTAACCTATGCGATATAGAATTTTACAATGCTTTTAAAATTATTGAAGAGGGATATGAGGATGAAAAAAATCATGGGATAGCATATTATTTTATGGCTCTTCGACTTGTAAAATATAAGATAAATTGTAATAAAATAATATAAAAACAATAGAAGAAGAAAAATAAAAAAGAGAGAGGAGAGAGAGAAAGACACTCGTTGAATATAATCTAATTCATTTTTTAGTTCTATCCTTATAGTTGTTTTTTTCTAATCGTGATTTGTTTATTTTAGTCTATTTTAAGTGACAGAGTGAGAAAGAGTTAATTCTCTCTCGCATTTAACAATTCCTATATAAATGACTCAATGTAATTGGAATAGAAGAATTTACTTTAGTTTTTACGTAATAATTCTATTATGTTTAGTTGACAAAAAGGTCGACTGTCAATTTAATTCTTTTACTAAGAATATTGCAGTTTATACTGGAAGATCCAATTTTGATTTTACAATCGATTCTAATACTTTTGATTATAAGGGTAGCGCATTTGGAATAAAAGATGGTGAATATCAGCTAATTGGTAATGAAAATGGTATTGTAGATAGTCAAAAATATCGTTACAAGGAAGAAGGATCTGGGAATAAAAGGAAAATTATATTTACCCAACCAACGTTTAATTATTCGGATAATTTATATTTTGATTTGCATACAAAATTTCTTGATGGATACGAAGGTGTTACCTTAGTAACTAGAGTTGCTTTAGTAATATTGTGTGAGTATCTCTTTCTGTTTGAATATATCATCAATCATTTAAAGATATATTTTTGCTTACTTTTATGTTTTTTAGCCGATTTTACAACAACTTGTCCTAATGATTCTAAACAGAAAGTCCTATTAAATGAAAGCAATAATACATTTTCATTCGATGTAAGCGTTAAATTCCAGCATTATTCACCAGCTCTTACTTGCGAAGTTTATGGTGGATTGGCAAATTTGAATAAAGAACTTGAATATACTAGACAAGATTTTGACAAACCTTTGCAAGGTTCTGTTAAATATTCAATTACTATTAGAAACTTCTTTAGGGGTGGAACCGACGTAAAGTGTTACTTCTCCTACGACACATCTCAATATGTTGATGATAATGAAAAAGATCATATGCTTTCCATTCCACCAAACAAAACTGTCGGAATTACGTATCAGTTTAGAACTGAAACTAATCAACCAACTTTCTTTTCCGACAATGACATTAAAAGTGTTACGAATACATTTTCCATCGATATCCACTGTAAATAGATTGATTAATTAGTATTTATTTATATATTAATTAGTTAAATTGTAATTAGATGGACCTGAAGACGTTTCAGCTAACCTACATCCATTGAAGAGTAACTTTACTTATTGTTTTTATAAAAGTGGCTTCGTAACATTAACAAATGTAACTTGGACGGTAAATTTTACAAGTTAAAAAGTTTATCCAAAGTTCATAAAAATCTATTGAATCTAAGGTGAACGAAATAGAACAAAATGAAACAACTCGAGAATTAGACATTAAAGAGTTAAACGAGAGACCATTGAATATAACTTGTAAGCCATGCGTTAAATATGAAGATAACTCTGAAAAATGCGTACTTAGCGAGACGTTTACATTGGAGAAAGGTTTGTAAGGCTTACTAATTTTTTTAAATAGGTTAATGTTTCTGTAATATCTAATCCCCAAAACGAAATAGTTAGATTTTATAGCCTACATAAAAGAATTTAGCTTGATATGAGAAAATAGATATCCTCTCATAGTACTTACTGAAAACAAGCTGATATAGATATATTTTAGATTAGATGGAGGGAGAGAGATACTTAATATAAAGTTATGATATAATTTTTCTCATTCTGTTTCAGTCTCTGAAACGTTCGTTTGCATTTTCATTTTCTTTTTGTTGTTGTTTTTTTGTTTTTACTTTAAAATCCTTTTCAAACTACTTTCCATTCGTTCACAACCTTTATATATCTTCTATTCATTTTGTTGTTTTGTTCCTATTCTTTCTTTCTCTCTTCTTCTCAATTTCTCTCCATATTTCTTTATTTTTTTGTGAGAAAACAATTGAAAAGTTCTAAATGAAATTGCTAATATATTCGATATTAAATTTATTATTTATTGGAGTATTTACTCAACCTGAACCACCTCATATTGCGGTTTACGAAGGGATGTCAAATTTTTCATTCTCCTGTCCAATCGTCTTTGAAAGGGAAAATATAACAAGTATTGGATACGGAGTTGATAAAGATGATGATACAAAAAATTTGTTGATTGCTGACGCAAATGGAATAGTGGACGATCAAAAACATAGATATTCTCTTAAAATATTCAATGAAACTTGGAAAGTAACATTTACACAAGAAACTCAATCGTACGAAGATAATGCTTATTTTAGTTGTATTTCTAAAACAGAAAGTTTAAGAGCAGTGTTTGTTTTATTATGTAAGTTTTAGAAATGAATAGTAATATTGTTATTTCTCTTATATTTCTTTAATAATAGCCAACTACGAATGTGATAAACAAGGAAATGTTGATGTATTACATGGTGATAAGATGAATTTCGTCATGAGTACCAATTTTACTCATTTTAGTCCGTTTATTGTTTGTCAATCGAGTGATGAATTTCTATCTATTACGAAAACCGAACGAGTTGACATATTCAATATGATAGATACATATGAAGCATTGAAAGGATTCATTGAAGGACAAATATCTGTTGAAGGATTCGATAAAAAACCAGCTAATTTAACTTGCTCCTTCACTTTTGACCCAGAGAAGGATCTTGATTCAGAACAGTATATTCGTCTGTCGCTTATGCCACCAATTTTTTCTCAGGTTTCTTCTACTCAACCATCCTTCCACGATAAGGGTGATCAGAGTAAATTAGCTTGCAACATAAATTTCAATGTACAGTGTAAGTCTCTGTCTAGATGTTTTAAAGAGATTTAATACTTTGTTATTATTCTTTCTTCGTCTTTTGCTCCTTCCCCTCCCCCTCCACCCAACGACCCCTTTTAGATGGTCCTGATAGCGTAACGATAACAGAAATTGACAACACAACCGTACGATGTCAGTACAAGGCTAACTACTCAAATAGATTGTATACCAATTGGACGGTATTGAGAATATCAATACATCCTTTTCTTCTTCAGATAATCAAATATTTAATTAACAGATTAACGGAACTATTGTAAATAATGAAACTAAGGATATTTTGGATTTAAGTAGTTATCATAATGTTCGTCCCATATTTGTCACGTGTAGGCCCTCTATAGAATTTTATAATAGCCAAATAAATAGCTCGGAAAGTGAAGTTTTTGCTTGGGGATTAGGTATGATATAGAAATATGTAATTATTATATAAAGAGTGATTTATTATCATATTTTACTGTTCTATGATATATTCATTATACTCTATACTATATCTTTGTTTAAACGATGTTTAGATGCTGTACCACCTACTCTTTCTCCTCCTCCTCTTGACCGTCATATACCATCAAATTTGGCGTTGTATGAAGACCAGGACAAACCTTTTCAATTTTTCTGCCATGGTTGGCCTGCTGTTCCACCAATTATAGATTACTCCTCTTACGGGCCAACTGATGATGGAAATGATAAAAAACTCATTGCTGATAGAGATGGTATTGTTCCTGGAGAAAGTCATAGATATCAAATGGAAGTTGACGAATACTTTAGTAGAGTTATCATTTATAACGCTTCAGTCAAATCATATGAAGATAACGCCTATTACGAATGCGCCACTGGTAAAGAAGCATTTAGATCCGCATTTGTAGTTTTATGTAAGTAATTGACAAATTTTTTATATATCATGTATATATACTAATATATTCTAAGATATATATAAAATTTATATATATATTTATATATATATATATAATTTATAGCCGATTTTAATTGCCATACGAGAACTTTGTTCGGAGTTGAGGATTTACCTTTGGAGTTTGAAATAAGCGTTAATTTTACTCATTTTGCACCACTTTTCAAATGTGAAAGTGATACCAATGTAACACTTATCCCCGATTATAACTATTACATGAATGATCCTAACAAGCCAATGAAAGGAACTGTTACTGGAAAAGTAACACTAGGCAATCCATCAAGAAATGCAACATATCTTCAATGCTATTTTACATACGATTCAGAAGATTACGTATTCTTTAATGAACTGAATCATTTGTTAAGTATTCCACCAGCTCAGTCTTTCGCTGATTCTCTCCAACCGAAATTCGCTTATGAAGAAGATAAAGATAAAGTCTCTTGTCGTAATCCACTAAATATTCAATGTAAAATTTTTCATTTTATTATCTTTATGATGTTTTACTATGGTTAAAGGATATTTTCTCTTTCCATTTTAGTCGGTCCCGACAATGTAGAAATTAAGGAAAATGATACTGTAAATACTACAGTGGAGTGCCATTTCATCGGTCATTTCAAAGAATATAAGTATACTAATTGGATTGTAAGTGTTTTTAATTATCATTTTATTGAAAATTTAGCCCAATTTTTAACATGTTTTATTAAAACTAGGTTAATGGCGAATTGAAATTTAATAGAACTCAAGTGTATGTAGATTTATCCCCAATTGAAATTGAAGCAGATATTACATGTGAACCTTGCGTGGAATTTTTCAACGAAGTAGTCAGATGTAAAGAAAGTAGTAATGTTTATCATTGGAAGCCGATTGGTTAGATATATTCATTTTTTCATCAACAATCCATCTTACAATGATTTTACACTATTCTTTTATTCCATAGTTACACCACCTCCTCCTACAACTGAAGCACCCATACCAATTAGAGAAAGTCCCACAAATCTAGTAATATTTGAAGGAAGAAAGAATTTTTCTTTCTCTTGTTCACCATTTCCAGCAAACGCAACGATCATTGGAGATTCTGTTAAATACGATAATCAGCTAAAGGGCGTGCTAATTTCTAATGAAACATCAATACTTCCCGAATACGATGATCTTTACGATATAACGATAGAAGATGACGGCACACGAACAGTATACTATACAGAGACAAGTGATAAATATAGAAATAATTATTACCACGATTGCGTAATAGAATCAGCCGCGAATATCGTACATTACAGAGGAGCTGTTGTCGAATTAAGTAATATTAGAACAACGAAACTTTCTTATAATTTCATATAATAAGTTAATTGATTATTAAAATTTGTATTTTGCAGCAAATTACCATTGCAGCAATGAGAAAGTCTACGCAATTGAGCATAAAGTTCTAATTCCCAATATGAATGTATCTTTTACTCATTTCTCTCCAAAATTTCAATGCACAAACGATAGAGGTGAAAAAATGAAAACTCTAGCAGTCTCCACCTATGATTTTGGAGATAGTAAACCTATGAAGGGATATACTCTTGGCAATATCGATATTGAAGATAAGGACTTGAAAAGTTTAAAATGCATGTACACATATGATAGGACAGAATATGTACTGGGTGCGGAACTCACATACTTTTATTTACTTCCCCCGTTGGCTAGTTTTGTCAGTGATAGACAGCCGTATTTCTATTATGAGGAAGATAGAGACAAACTAATATGCGAGTTCGACATAGAAGTGCAATGTAAGTAGCTTACGCCCTCTGGTTGTGCACCTGTATAATAAATATGCCTTTTTAATTCAATAATTATATCTAATATATTGTAGATGGACCAACTGATGTAAATATTTCTGTAAGTGACGTTGATAAGAATATTGTTCATTGTAATTTTACTGGAAGATATGTAAACTTGATCAATACAAACTGGACGGTAAGTTTTTATTAATCTTTATCCAATTTTCTCCTCCTGTGTAAACAGTAATGTTATTTTGTTCAATTCCAGGTGAATGGAGAACTTCAGCTGCCTACTGAAAATTTCATTGATTTATCGAATTTACCGTCTCCATCAAGAGTTACTTGTGAGCCTTGCCTCGAATTCCAAGACGGTAGTATACAATGCAAACAAAGCGAAGAATTTATTTGGACTAGTCCAAGTAATAAATTATGCATAAATAATTATATAATCATTTTTTACTAAAACGATAATTCACCTATGAAAATAGTACCCTACATTTCTGTTTCTCCTACAAACTTTGCTGTTTACCAGGGCCGAGCTTATTTCTCTTTCTCATGCTCGCCATATCCAGAAGATAATAAGATTGTAGGTAACGCATTTAAAGTTGAAAACAACGATATATCTGTTTATATGGCGAATGAGAATAGAATCATTGCTGAATACGCTAATGATTATGAACTGGAATACAATGGAGCAGTAAGAACCATCTTTTATACAAAGCCAACAGATTCGTATAAGGATCATCTCTATCATGAGTGTGTCCTTAAAGAGAACAGATACAGAGCTACTCTGACAGTTTTATGTAAGGGGATCATCTATTTATAATTTAAAATCTTATGATGTAATTATTTAAACCAACAGCCAATTTTCAATGTCAAGATGACCCTCTGATTGTTATAGAAAGACGAAACACTTCAATGATTATGAGAGTTGATTTTGTACATTATTCACCTGAAGTAGTATGCATAGGAAATGAAGGATTATTAAGTCAAACTTTCGGTATAACAGAATATACTAAAACTGATGTCAAACAACCAATGGAAGGTTTTACTAATGCTTATGTAACAATCAATGATAGAAATGTTAAAAATATCCAATGCGCATTCATGTACGATCCTAGTAATTATGTTCTTATTGATGAAGCTATCCACGCTTTTTCGCTTCCTCCCGAAGGCTCATTTATAGACCTTTTTCAGCCCACAATGGCTGAAAATGATGATATTGAGAAAGTAACCTGTAAACGGCCAGTTGAAGTTCAATGTAAGCGATTTTTATTTACACAGTTTTCACAATCTGATTATTTTTATAATCTCGATATGTTCTTTTATTTCGAAAAAAAGATGGTCCTGAGAATATCAGATGTGAAGAAACAGCTGCTAATTCGAGAATTGTAAAATGTATTTACACTGCAAAAGTGACAAGACTTTTAAGAGTCAACTGGACGGTTTGTACAACATATTAGAAGGAAAGAATACCTTAAACAAATCAATAATATATCTAAAATAGGTTAACAATGATGAAGTTAACGGTCAAACTGATGAAACTATTGATCTTACCGATAGAGAAGAGGAGTTGTCTGTAAAATGCCTACCGTGCGTTGAATTCTATAACTCAGAGATCAATTGCGCAGAAGGAAGTGTGTTAAATCTGCCAGCAATTCAAGGTAATATTTATATACTAAAAGTTACAATCTAATTAGTATAATCAAGTTACGTATTAAATACAAGAAAGTGTAATTACAATTATAATTTCAATAGGATCAACTTCAAAAAATCCAACTTCAACAGAAAAGACTACAACAAGATTGACTTCAACAGTAAAGACTACACCGGAATCAACTTCAACAGAAAAGACTACAACAAGATTGACTTCAACAGTAAAGACTACACCAGAATCAACTTCAACAGAAAAGACTACAACAAGATTGACTTCAACAGAAAAGACTACACCAGAATCAACTTCAACAGAAAAGATTACAACAAGATTGACTTCAACAGTAAAGACTACAACGAGATCGACTTCAACAGAAAAGACTACACCGGAATCAACTTCAACAGAAAATACAACTCCCTCTTCAGCCACAAAGATATACTTTAGTTGGCTATATGCTTCAATTTTCTCGATGATTTTTGCCTTAATTCTATCGTAGAACTTCATTTCTAATAGAGTATATGAATTTTATATAATATGGATTTCTTATTTGGAAATCGATGATTTATCATAACCAATTAATTAATTAATTACTTAATCAATTAAGCAATTTAACAAGTTTAATACAAATTTAGCAATAATTGTATTTTTGTAATATTTTATATTAGAATGCAAGTATATGCTATTTTATATAGATATAAATTACATAAAATAGACGTTTTATATTATAGTTTCTATATATAGTGGCACAGTTTCAAAATTCTCCCTATCGCATTTACTTTGACAAAATTTTGATAACAAAAAACAACCTTCACCATTTTTACTTGTCGGAATAAATTGATCTAATTGATAATTTTCAAATAATCCGTATTTCAATTGATCGTTCATCCAATAGGATTTAAATGATAAAGTTAATAAAGAGAATAAGTCAAATAATGCATAATTTTTATTTGATGGGTCGGAAATAAATTGACGAATATTTTCTGTTATATAGTATGAACTTGGAAGTAGATTATCCTTTTCAATAAGAAAACGGCACTTTTGTAAGCACAGAAACCATAAACTAGGTGGCCAGGTTTGAAAAATATCGCCTTTTAATGTTTTAATCACTAAATTTCTTTGAATAGGCTCGTTTAATTCTTTTAAAAGTAAACTAATTAAATGTAATCCATTACTTCTTATTAGTAAGCTTTCAATAATAAAACGTGACATTATCTGGAATCTTGATCCAAAATCTTTTTGCTTTTGTAGATAGCCGACCAATGAAAGATTTATGTTTGCAGGATGAGTGATTGGGCTCAAAAATGTAAACCCTAATTTATTCATTAGTGTTAAATCAGTCTTATTCCATCCGTCTAATTGATATTCTAGATCGGGTGAAAGAATTTTATAATCAACTTGAATTTCAAACATTCTCCATTGACAAACCGAATTGGAACAAACTTTTTGCAACATACGGGAACATTTACAGTTCTTAAAATGGGATATTACAATTTCTCGCAAGTGCTGTTTACGAAGCTTTTCCCTGTAGTTTGAGCATAATTGAATGCTATAGATAATTGACTCATTTCTCGCTATAGATTCTTCCAAGAATTCATGATAAATTTCATTCATTTCCGGTTTGCAAGAATGCTGATTATCCGTAAAATATTCTTCTCCGTTAAATGTTATTACTTTAAGGCCACGGTTAAATTTATAAGTTATAAAAGAAATATTTAGTTCTGAATGGAAGCTGTCTTGTTCAATTTGATGAACTACAGCAGCTGAATTAACAATACGATAATCCGTAAATAGATTCTTTATCTTCTCTAACTGACATTTCATAGGAAAGACAGCAATAGTAGATATTAAAGAGACGAATGACGAAAGTAGACCGAGAGTAAAACCAAATCCAAACTCAATTTTAACAGTTTTATTCTCTGTTTTCTTGACCCAACTATGCTTTGTACAGCCGATTGAAAAAATAATGCATGCGATAGTCGTTAAGAGGAATGTAAGAGAGCAGAGAGGGAATATAATGCACTTTCCAATAACGGGTGAACGAACAATGGTACAAACGAAAAATGTTACGTTATGTTCAACTATTATTAAAACGGCACTTGTTATCATGATAATTGTAGTAGCATCTCTCCAAACTATATAAAAAAAAGCGTTAAAACAAATATTGACTTGTTTTAAATATAAGCACGGCACTAACCTAATGTTGAAATAAACTTGAGAAAATTTGACTTGTCTTCAAATAATCCCAAGTTTATTTTTGTTGCGTTATCCTCTGACTGTTCGATAATCTTCACTGTAAGCCAATCCGATGAGAATAATGATTTCATGTGAATGTACAGATTAAGACACGATAGTAGTATAATTGCTGCTAATAAAGAGTAAGTCTTAGTTGTTAGCGCCATAATCTCGTTATATTTCAATACATCCAGAGACTAGCGACAGTTGTGGAAGATCCAATAGTAGGCATATGAGAACGAAAACCAGAGGGACACAGAAAAGAGAAAGAGGGAGAGCAGAAAGAGCAGAGAGAGAGAGAGAGGGAGAGAGAGAGAGAGATAGAGGGAGAGAGGGAGAGCAGAGCAGAGAAAAAATTGAGCGCTTATAGTAGTAGTAAGGAGAAAGCAGAAGGAGCGAAGGTAGTGAGATTGGGATGGCTGACAACAAGTAATAGAGTAAGAGAGAAAGAGATACAGTTGAAAAACAACTAGAGATGAAAGTTGAAAGAGCAATAGCAAAATTAGAACTAGATTTAAATGTAACACTATTTGCACACAAATAAAAATAGTACGAGAAAAATAGTGAAATTTAGAGATATGCAAATTGCCGAACAGAAGACAGAATAACAGCGAGGGAGAGAGAGAGAGAGAGAGAGAGACAGATAGGAGAGAGAAAAAGGGAATGTTAAAAGAAGAGAGCAAAAATTGTAAATCGAATAGACTGTAATCTTTCTATCTTATGAGAATATACAGCGAATATAGCACAACTTTTCAACTATGAATCATCCTGCTCTTTGTATCTTTTCAGTTTCATTGAAGTTTCCATTCTATATTACATAATAATAGGTGAATTTTAATACGAAAAGAAGTGTTTTTATAAACTCTATACAATATACATCATCATATAAAGTATATAAACTTGTTTTTGAAGAGTTTCTTTAATATTTTCTAAATAATACTTGCGTGTATAATAATTAACATAAGCAGCAATGAATATTTATCCAATAAACCCGTAAAACGTAAATTTTTATTTAATAGTCGTATGTTTACAACTATGCAATAGATAGCTAAATATAAAAGCGTATAGTATTCTATTATAAAATATTCAAAGATATTGAAAAATTTAGGTTAAATTACAACATTATAGAGTCTCGCAGAGAAATATTGTATATAGTTTATACGTTAAAACAAGAATTGCTCTCTAATTACGATTTTAACAGTAAAATTATTTCGTTAATTAAAGAATATTATAAAATTTAAATATTTATTAATTATTACATAACAATAATATTTTATTTAGATATTTTATAGCATTCCCATCTCTTCCACTGATTATTTTTCATCGCTCATTATATTTAATCTTTCAATAGATAGATTCAATTTAGTGAATAAAATACCTATACCATAATTTCCCTATCTATTTATTATTAATGAGATTAAAAAAAACAACTAATGAATTAATGGACACCTTAAAGCTCCTCTTTTTATTTATTTCAATAGAAATCATACACAGAATACCATTAATGTGTGCTATCCATTTAACTTTATTAGTTTGTTATTATACCTAAAAGGTAATTAATCTATTATTATACTCTCTCTCCCCAAATAGAGATTTCTAGATTTTTATCGACCTTTTACAGTTTTTAAAACTTTTAGCCTACTTTAGTAGGATTAAGTAATACTTTTGGATATTTCCTTCACAATAACATATTTAATATAGAAGATATTTAATAAAATAAAACGAGGTAATTAACAAAAGAGGAAGAATACATAGAGTAAATTATTATTTATAACCAAATGGTTGTAATTTTTAACGCATGATTGATAAAAAGGAATTATCTTTATCATCTCGACATTTACTCTATAAGATTGTAATTCGTTGTATAAAAGCCTGTCCTAAAATCGGTATAATTGTATACAATAACTCGGTATTACTATTGTATCGACTCTTTAGACCCTAAAGTTAGTTATAAAATAAGTAAGTATTCTATTTTATGAAGCCAGCTTGTTTATTACTAGAACAGAATTAACTTACCTTCAAAATAGTGAGAGTACTTCAATATCTTCCAACCAAGTTAAGGAGCAAAAGTGACATATCCCATAATGCAAAGAAAATAAGAATAAGAAATATAGGACAATGAGCTTACAAAAGCTAAATGATTAAAGTTAATGGTTGTGTGTTAAAGTTTATCCATAAAGTAAAGAATTTACAGTATATACAGTATATATATACATACTGTATATGATACTTAATAGGTATAAAGTGAAATTGACAGTTGTACAGTACATAGAACATATGTAAGAAGTATTTTAGGTTAATAATTATATTTAATTATAGTTTATAATAAATTTAATATGTGTCAGCAAATACTCGGAATAATATACAAAAAAACAAACCTTAAAAACCTAGTTGAATATGTAATAAGAAACCAGACTGTTTTGTAAACACCTAGTTGAAATGTTTGCATTTAGGGCTTTCATCTTAAGTAAACAGTTAAAAAGGCAGGAGTTGAAATAGAATTTTTGTCACCTTTTTTTTAACCTCTTCTACTTAGAGCTTGATATGAAATTCTTAGCTGTATATTCTGATATTTATATATAAATATATATATAGTAACCACTTTATGTCGTTTATTGTTATATCAGATCTTTAAAGTTGATTCTTTTTCAGAACAATAAAGTATTGTAAATACTCTTCGTAAATGGAAAAGAAGTAGCCATAAATGAAATAGACATACAAAATATTTTTGATATGATGTCGGGTATATTTAAATTTATACGAAAATAATAGAAAGAAAACATTATAGCTAAGAATGGAAAATTGAAGATTTTGTTTTTTTTTTCACATATCAACAACACATCTTCTCTCAGTCTTTTTTTTAAGCATTAAGATAATTAACAAACAGTTAAATCCCTTTTGAAGAAAGCTGAAAAAGAATACAGTATAACAAGAACAAGAAGAAGAGGAGGAGGGGGAAACGCGTGGGAAGATTGATGATATTGACGAATTATAGATTAGAAAATTCGTTTGTCAAATATCCTTCTTCATCGACGTATCTACTAAACGGCTCCTCGAATATTGGAACTCTTGCTCTCCGACATCCTTCTTTTTTCACATCTTGCTTATTTCTTCTATACATGTATACTAGCAGAAAGGCAATTGTAATGATCAGAATAAGAGCAATTCCTAAAAAAGATTTTGAAAATAAAGGTTATTAAATGAAAGGACAAAAAGTAAAAGAGAATCAAAGGTCACATACCCAAAAGCACAAACGTAATTGGAAAACTTTGATTGGCTTCCATAACTTTAGTACTTGTAACTTTAGGGCAAGAAACCCCTTTCGCATTAGATAGATGAAACTCGTTCCAGAACGCCACTGACCTGGCGCTAGGAAAAATGAACGAATATAAGTATAATTAAGAAAACATATTTAAATATATGCAGTCTACAACTTACCGAAAGTCACTTTTCTGTGAGTTTTTGGTTAATTGACTAGAAAATTCAAAATAATGGCGATTGAAGAAAGTGTAAGAGTACCAATATAAACCTTCTTTGTTGAAACCTTTATTCTTCCTTCCATTAGGGTTTCTAGAGCATTTAAGACAAGAGATATTTTTAATTAAGTGGAAAGCACTCTAACATCCGTTACATTAAAAGATAATCCTATTTAGTGGTATAACTCTTAAGAGTTAGTCTTAAGAACTAGGCTCATATAATTTTATCTTAATATTTGTCAGCTTAACATTCCTAAATATTTTAATTAGACATTATTAGTTAGCTTAACCCTTAAAAATTTGATTTTCAAAGGATAGTAATTATTTACTAGGGTTTATAAGAAAATTCTATTGACAAATGGAATTAACAACAAGACTCTAAAGGATCCAATAAGGGCAAACGATTCTTTTGAAGTCGATAACAAAACCAACCCTATCTGTTCTAAAATTCTTTTAATAACAAGTATTTCCCACTTTTCTCTTTCTTTTCTGTTTGGTTTAAAGTCCTCTTCTTTTTTTATCATTTTTGTTTCAGAGTACACCGAATATCGAGCGTATTCAAATAGCCAACATAAATTTTAACGAACAATAGATAGCGATGTTGATAAATCGGCAACAACTTAACCGAAGCCTTTACAGCGTAAACTGTCACAACAGCCTATTATTTAGTAGTTTAGATGTCAATTGATACATAACCCAGTTAGATTATTTTTCTTTAATTAAGTAGGGCATTTTTAAATAACAATGCCTTGTCGGTGCATTCTATTCTCTCGAAATATCTGTTAAATTATTCAATTAAAGGCTAATTAAATAATTAATTACAAGATGACATAATTGTTAAATGCTCGTGTAGTATTAAAAAAAAGTAAATTTAGAAAGGGAGAGTAGGAGTGGGTATGTGCGAGCGTGTGTGCCAAGGAGGGTTACTTAGACATCTGGCGTGATAAAATCAAATAACATTTTTTCCGATATTTTGTCAATAGTACAACAATACTAGAGAATTTTTCATTAAAAAGAGGTGAGAAGGACAGTTGTGAGATTAAAAACATCCATGTCGTTAATCGAGATTGTATAACATCTAAGAGTTCAATTTCTTTGTCCTAGAGAGAAACAGTTCTTTGTTTTTCAACTACTCCATCTATGTTATTATTTACCGCACAAAGCGACGCACCTGGCGTTCTGTATATTTTTTTGACAAAGACGCTGAACAATGTATAACTTTTGCGTTCGGCGTATTGCAAACTTGATAGTTTGTAAAGCTAACCGTTTTTTACTCCGTTATAAATAATTAAGCCCATAATATATACAATGGACAGTAACCGTAAACAAACGCCTTTGTTAATAAACATTATAATATTGATAACCTATACAATCTGACCAGCGTTTCGCATTGTAATTTCCAATGGCTAAATGGGAATTTGATTATAGTGATAACGACTCCCAATCTCCCCGACATATTTTCCCTATCAATCGAGTGGGTCGTTTTCTTATTTTCTTTATAATCTAGAGCTGACAGATTGCAAATGAATCAAAGAGAAGCTAAGAAACTCTGGCGACAAGCTTAGTCTTATAATCTCAGCAAGAACACCAAAAAAAAAAAAGCTCTGTGACAACTAGTCTCTTCTTAATCAGTATCTAATCTCTACAATTTCCAAATTTGTCCATACTTAACTACCTTTGTTTTTTCAATGGTTAGCCTTGAATTTCACGGTAATTTGAACTGCTGATAACTTCTTTATCTTATTTTTTGATACAATTTTATTATTCTTTAACCCTAACTATTTATATATTAGTTGCATAATCTATATTACCATGGAATAAACACTAATAAAAACATAAACGCTTGTTTGCTATGTAGTTAACTTTTAAAGATATTCTTATTTTAGTTGATTGATCTAATAAACTTTAGTATTTAACAGTTGATGATAAACACAGGACCTTTATTTCGTCAACTAAACCCATACTTTAGCACGTACTTGATAAAAAAATACTGAACCCCTTAGCGTACATTCAGTAAACTTTCGTACTTTCTTCCCCTAGTTTATACAAGATAACAAGTCCACAGAGATTACATAATCTGTATGTTCAACACGATGTACGTTAACGCCTTTCTTTTCTATATAGTATCTAAAGTTTTGAATAGATTTTATATATATTAAACAGTATATATAAACTAAATATATTGCATATAAAAAAAGACTATTATGGTGACTCTTTATGAAAGATTAATATCTGATAATACAAGCACTTACAGGAATGGTTCCGACTAAAAATAAGACAATAATAATAGTTTTCATTGTTATAGTTATTGAAAGAGACTATTTTTTTCGTTCAATAAATAAAATAAAAAACCCTAAAACACAAATTTACTTGTTCCTATTTTGTATAGACATATATTTATATAAATAAATATAAATATAAATATTGAACGTATTTAACTTAAGAATAGCTATGCTAATAGCTTCCTGTTAATTCAAAGCTTTTAGGAAAAGAGCAAAATACTAACCTTTCTTTAATGAAGAGTTTAAACGCGCTTAAAAAGTAGTCTTTTAACTTCAAATCCGAGTCAGAAAGACCCCCCAGATCGGTGAATATAAGATCACTAATACTGTAGTTTCCAATATTGTTAAAAAGATACAAATAATTGTTATTATTATCGATTAAATTAGCTGATAAAGCATTCATATATCGTATAACCGGAGAATTGACAAACAAATCATTGATCAATTCTTGCTTGTTATCTGTTCTACAATCTCCATATTCCAATCGTAATAGAGCTATAAAATTATTGATATCGGATAAAAATTCAGAATGAACCGATTGTTGAATACTGAAAGTTTTTCTTAACTTTTCAATTCCCATCATAATTGGAACGAATATTTTTGGTTTAATTCTTCTAGTTATTTCCTTAGAGGTAGGAGGATACCAATTATAGTTTTTAGACACTGAGAATAAAGTTTTTAAAGGCAAGTTCCTTGTGCAATCTAATAGTGATGAACCTGAACATTTAAAGTCATAAATGAGATCTCTTTCCGAGGCTAATTTATAATTGTGTAAATAAGATCCACCAATGAGTATAACAGAATGTATCTGAGACATTTTAGATTCTCTCAGAGAGTTTTCTCCGTTCAATAAATGACTTACACATACGGCATTTAATTCGCTACCATATAAAGATATAGACTTTTTGTCACCTCCAAAAAAGTCTAGCTGATCTGTTATCCAGTTGAATGCTGTTTTTTGATCCTCCAAGCCTATATTATGGCTTAAAAATCCTAATATATCATTTCTATATTGAACTTCTATAATTATGATGTTAAGACTGTTACTTAACTTTGCACATGTTCTCCAATTCAATTTCTTTGTGGAGAAGACGACAAGAACGGGAAGCTTATTTCGAATATTTTCGTAATTATATAATACGGTTTTATTTAAGGGAACGTATATATCCAAAAATAGGCAACTCTCTTCCGAATTGAGATTTTCACTATTTGGGCAAGGTGCACGAAATTTTCCAGTTTCGTCCGCCCTTATAATATAATTAATATAACTGTTTGACCATCTTGGATTTGCTTTATCCAACTTAGCGTACTCGATCCCGCGAAACAACGAAATAAGAAATTTTCCTCCATTATCGCGAATAGTTTGACTCTCCACTTTTCCTCCTTTTATACCAATAAGAAATTTTTCTTCCCGAAAAAATTCAGTTTGATTATCATAGAATGATAAACAAATAGTTACTTGCAGTAAAAGATAGATAAACAGCATATTTCATGTTGTTTTCAGTGTATACTTCATAGCGGCTTTCATATCTACTTTTTGAACAAGAAAATGGTGTACGCGTTTCACCGTACAATTATTCTCGAGCTCGCTGATTCGATAATTTTTTCTATATTTTTTGATATATAAATTATATATTCAATACAAGTTTACAATTCTTATTAGTTTATAGTATAAATTGTATTTATTTTAACACGTATTTTATTTCTCATTTGAGCGAAAAAATGTCTATTGAGCTAAATTTGTTCAAAGTAAATAATCTTTTTTTTTGCAACTCTTTATAGTTTAAGCTTTCTTTTATTTTATTGATATTTAATCAGGTTTTATTAAAACATTTATTTACATAGCAAGATAACAAGTAAAAAAAATTATCAGAAAATGAATGGTGATGATCTTAAATTCAAATTCTCTTTCAGCTATCAGCGCCATCTATTCGATATTTTCGTCTCTTCAATCGATCTTCAAGACTATCTGTAGTTTTTAGGGAAACTTTTAAATACTAATCGTTTTTGTATAAAAAGTTCGTTTTTAGAAATTTATAATTTATTTTGACAATTGTTTGAAAATGTTTGGTTTTACACTGTTGAAATACTTAAGTACTGCTTACCACAAGTAGGCCTAGTAAAGAGAGGTTTATAATTTTGTCCTTTAGCTGGACCACCTAACCAATCACTTAAGGAGCCGAAAGACTTTTCGGACATATCTTCCGTTCTCTCACGCTTTCTGGATTTTTCAATTGACCTAGTTTTCTTCATATAGTCTTCCTCTATCGTTTCAATCATCTTTTTCATCATGGTATTTCTAAACGAAAAAATAAGACATATAATAGCAAATAATATTCATTTTTAACTCGCAATAGTTGTTCATTTCCGAGAAACAGTGTTGCTATATAAAATTCAAGGCCATTGAAAAATTAATATACCCACTTTACTTCACTTTTCGCCCAATTTTCTTTTAAAATTTCTACTATTCCTTTTAAGATTTCTTCATCAAAATTCCAATCAACTTCCTCGAATTCACAGTCAAAGAGCACTAAAGGGATCTCTATTATTGAAAAAAATACGACCTTGATTATTATTATTACGTCTAATGGAATTACAACATACCTGATGCTATATTATACTGAGGTTTACAAGGGTGCTTTTCAACATCCAACAATTCTTCTATTATCTAAAACAAATCGAAAATATCATATTAATATGATTGAAACAGGTCTATTTCAACTTGATGGTAAAGTATATTTTATTTTAATCAACCTAAAACAATATTTGACTTAAATTTCAAATAAGAACCTTCGATAAACTTTCTTTTTCGAATAAGAAATATCTAACAAATAACGTTTCAAATAAATGAAATATCTTTAGATTTCGAATTAAAAATATATAAAACAAATGCGCTATAATTATAATTACAATAAAATTAATAATTAGAAATCTAACCTTAGGGCTTTCCTTTCCAGATCCAATAAGTATTAAAATAGACACAATACAACGTATTTGATGCCATAAAAAAGCTTTTCCAATCACAGTTAGCTCGCAAACCGAATATTTTTCATCTCTAGTTAATTCAATTTTAATTTGATTAGTATTCAATAAATAACGATTAATTTATTAACCTTTCGTATAAAACTTTAATATCAACATAAGTTATACGCCTTGTGTAATTTGTCACATTGTTAGCTATATCCATTTTACATAGATTTCTAAAGTCGTGTTCACCTATCAGAAGAGATGACGCTTCCCTTATTGCCTATATAAAGTATTAGATAAAACTGATAAAAATCTTCCAAACAGCATACTCTTATGTACTTCAAATAGTACTGAACGAATATTATACAATTACATATAATAACCAGCTTTCTTTCTTGATACATAATAAGTACATAAGTGTCTGCAATTTTATTACATACCTCAATAGAGAGATTGTCTTTCGGGAAAAAGTACTTATAGGTACGTTTTGTACAATTAAATCTTGCACTAAAATCTTCATCAACAGGACACCAAGCCAATGCTCTTATGTCTTTCGGTAGGACGCCATTTAACATTTTACAAAACGGTAACTCATTTTCTATTTTTATTTCTGTTTCTTCTCCCTTCAAATTAGATCTCACCTCTAAACTAATTACTTGGCCAAAAGCGCTTACTCCTCTATCCGTTCTTCCACATCGATGGTAATTTGAAGTTTCTCTAAAGAATATAGAAGCGTTTCAGGACGTCAAAAATGTGGATAAGAAGGTTGTATATTTATTTTCTAAAACCCACATATACCTGGATTCAATTAATTTCGTTTTGGTCAATGCTGAAAAGAGATGACCTTCAATAGTATTGCCGCTTTCTTCTTGGGATGCAAATCCGTGATAGTCCCATCCCAAATACATTATTTTCAGAGCAATTTTTCTCTTTCTAATCCTATAATAAAGTTTTATAGTATTACTTTTTTTTTAATTTCAAGTAGAAAAGCTAACTTTTTGAAATCGAATGGCTTTCCTTTTCGATACTTTTTAGCTAATTTTCTATCCGGTTTTGATAGTACATTTCTTAGCTGCTGGACGTGAGCTTCTAGCTTACGTATACGCTTGATCAAAGCCTTAAAATTTAAATACTATTGTTATCACATCAATAAATGTTTTTGATATATACTTCTTTACTTAGATCTTCTAAATTTGTAACTGGCTTTTCCATGTGAGTTTCTGAATTTGGCAAAACATTCCATTTAGTCTTCATAATTAGATGTAACATTGTTTTTAGAAATTCAAAATGGCTTCCTTCGCGTTTTTAATATACGCCATTTTTAGTAAAGTGCAAGCGGATCTTACACTTCAATCTCTACTTGTGACCTGTTCAGTCACAATATTGTGCAATTTTTGTTTTGCTTGTCAAGTGTATTCTTTCCGGTTTAAATAGGAAGACAACAATGATGAAAGGAAGAGACAATATCTATAAGCAAAGGTGATTTAGAAAGTTTCAATCACAAACATATTTGCATCAAATATCATCATACATTAAATAAGTTAGCATGCTTTTTTTGTAATAAAACCTTTACATCACTACTCATTTATTTATTGTAGTTTACAATTAGCGTTTCGTTTGAATTAAATAGAATAGAAACTGAATTACTGAACGTAAAAAGACTAAAATTCATCGGGTAACTTTCTCATTCTGATTTTAAAGGTGTCTGGCTGAAGAATAATCCCCAATAGAAAAGATCTAGGATCGGCGCAAGTTTGATAATCAAAATTATCATTGTCATGGTAAATTTCAAAATTTTGCAGAAGAACTACAAAAAACATGAAAAGCCTCTCCTTAGCCAATGATTCACCTAAGCAATGGCGCTTTCCGGCCCCGAAAGGTAATAGATATTTATGGTTGATCAAAACTCCATTGGAAATAAATCGAGACGGCTTAAATGACCAAGGATTTGGAAATATCTTTGGATTATGATGCATGGCCCAGAGATTTAGGATTATCTTATATTGAACAATAAAAATAAGTGAATCAGTTAATCTAGAAACTTTTTAACTCACTTCTGAATTTTTTGGAACGTAATATCCGGAAATTTCAGTATCTTCCAATGCCAAATGTGGTAAACTCAAAGGTACATGAGACAGATATCTTAATAGTTCTAAAACAGTTGCTTGAACATAAATCATTTTTTCTCTATTCAGAAATAAAATGTAAATAAGGTTAAAACAAGCATTTTGTAAACAAAATAAAATAATTACTTGTCTTGAATAGTTGGCCATTTCTTTTGAATAGCTGAATAAATTACTGTTCTTAATTTATCTTGTTCTTCCGGGTATACAGCCATTAGTAATAGAAATGAATTCAGAGCAATAGACGTTGTGTAAGTTGCTGTTAAATCAATTAAGTTATCTCAATTAAGAGATGAAATAGCTTAACATTATGAGAAGAAACGAAATATTACCTGATACGATTAAATCAAGAAAAATGCTTCGAACGTCATTCTTTTCTAATTGTGGATCATCTAAGAAATAATCGAGAAAACACTTAGGATTTCCCTTTTCCCATCTCGTTTGTACTTTCCTAAATTCAGTGTCAATCAGTTCGTCCATAATTGCCCTTCCTTCGGTTAATAGTGGCATATTAAACATAGGTAGATGGCGGAGAAGAGGAAAAATTTCCAGTTCAAATCCTCTAATAGGTGAGCAGATCTGACTGATACGGGATTTGAAAGAGGCAGTTAATCGACTTATATACTATTTTTGGTATAAGTCATAATTTTCTCCAATGTTATGACATGTCTCAACATTTACCTGAAAATCTCTGTTGCTTTCTTATACTTCTTCATAGGTTCGTCATCATATCTGTAGGTGGTGTTTGTTGCCTAAACAGAAAGATTAGACGAAATTAAATGAATGTTATACATTTAGAAATTTTACTTACAGATTTTGCTACAATATTCACGACAGCGGTTAAAACTAACAAAGCAGGATCGAAAGCAACGTTCTTTGAAGCGAATGTTTGAAAATTTTGTATCATATCATCCAATTCTTTTTTCGTATTCGCTTCAACAGACGTTAAGGTATTATCTTGAAATTTCCTTACTGCAGCTGCAGCCACTTTTTTCATGTAAGCCCATTTCTGAAGACCATCACCAAATATAATATCTTTTTGGAAATGAAATCCGTAAGCAACTCTCCATATATGTGGTCTTCCACCCAGTTTACTATTATGCATTGCCTCATAAATAGATTCTGGTTCACTTATAACTAACATATCTTTACCCAACACCTTCATCCAATACATTGCACCGTATCTTTTGACAAATTTTGTCAAAGTTAAGTGAGGCCTGTTTACACTTATGAAAAATGTTCCAACAAAGGGTAAACCTCGAATATAATGCAAACCATACTTGACGTTCGGAAAAATTCGAAAGTATAAGTTTCTAACGCTCACAATTACGATAATAACTAAGAACCACCATCCAAAAACTATAAATGGAAAGAATTTGTCAAATGTTGATGACGGTTGCATGTCTGTATCAAAGGTTTTGACATCACAAATTTTAAATCTCGTCCAATAGGACGCGCTGTATGCGAATTTATTAAAATTAACATCTGTAATTATACTCCATCTTTTGTTTTATGTAAATGGAATAACTATCCAAGAAATAGGATATACTCTCAACGAAAACTATTCTTTTAATTAAAAGAATTTTTAATTTATCCAAGCTGCTTGCCATCTTCCTATCTAAAAATATGACACCTACTCAAGAGTAACCATTCCAGTCAACAGAGTATAAAAAATGTATCAATTATAATTTCAGCTTAATGAGAATTGTTTATTATAAACTACAAGATAAAATTGAATTATTTAGCAAAGTTAGTTTTACGTATACTGTAAAATAGCCTTATGTATAGTTCAAATGAATAAAGTATGAGATAACGTATACATGTATTTGTATAAATGAAACATGTGAATTGAATATATTAATAAATAATAAAAATTGAAAATAATAGACACGCTCATATTCTTTAAATTTCAGTTTACCACTGAGAATTAGATAGCGGTGGCGCTAATAGACAAATTGAATTTCTCTGTATTTTCGTAATAGCTCTGAGTAACTTCCCTTGCGACTACAAGCTGACAAATGATAAGACTAACATATCAAATAGATGGATAAGTCTTTGGTTAGAGAATGACTTTAAAGTGAATATTTTGTAAAAGTATTTGCACATAATTCAATAGCTTATTTTATATTTATAATTATTGTCGATCGTTTCTACATGCAATTTTTTTTATAATGCAGTCTTCTTTCTTTCCTTTCTCCCACCCTTTTCCTTTGCATCAGTATTAATGCGTGTTATTTTACACCCTTAGGGTATCTTCCTTGCTTTTCGAGTCCCGCCGAAGGTGTAGCAAGGAATAGAGATAACTAACAAGCTCGTATTTAGATTACAAACACCATTCTCACAGCTTGACTCTTCCCTTCCATTTCCACCAATAAATTTCTATATAACTTAATTGTAATATCGTTTCGTCAGTTTAGACATATTGATAATATCTCGTATATATTTTACCGGGAAATCATTGACTCTCTTTAAAAAGTCTAATGCAGAGAACTAATATATTTCGGCTTAATTTAAGATTAGTGGAGACTCTATCAATAGAAGATTACTCTTAAACATATAGCAAATATAATATTTATTACGTTAGTATAGAATTTATAAATATGAGAGAAGAAAATTTGTTGAGAGTTTATTATATTTGTAAAAAAAAAATGGCTGATTAATCAAAATGCTTTAAATATTTAAAGATTTTCCATGATAAAAGTTTCTTCACGATTGAATTTTGGTTTGTTTTTTTTTTTGATGTTTTTTTGTATTTGTAGAAAAAAAATCAATGAAATAAAGTAAAAGTGTTTTGATTGAAATTTTAGTCCTTTTATTATTATTTATTTACTATCTAGCACATTTCATCATCGACTCAAAGTCGTTATATGTTACACGTCCGTCTCCATCACTATCTATATGTCTGAAAGGTTGCAAATTAAATTAGATAGCGAATGGTATTATATTACACTACCTGAAAGCATTTTCTACTAATCGCTTGTTTAGGTTTGGCGCTACTTTAACAAATATAGAATAAACTTGGTCCAAAGTCAAAAATCCCCTTCTAGCATCGTCGAAACAAAGGAAAGATTGTCTAATATTTTCATCTTCGCTAAATTCTTTAAATTTAACAAGTACAGCATTTCTAAACCCATTCTTGTTTAAACCTGTTTCTTAATTCAATAGAATACATAAATTATTACATTATATTAGTTTCATTTATCAAATGCGCTTTTCCTACCATGATCACTCCCATATCGTTCTATAAGACTATTAACTTCATACTGTTATATTGAACGCACAAAAGATTTAATATTAATTATAGAAGCATATGTATATTTACTTTTGATGGCTTGTAACCAAAAAGTGAACAAATTGCAAATTTTATTTCTAGCTGGGTTAGAAAACCTTTGGCATTTTCATCGTAGCTGCTAAATACCTAAAACATATTACGTCATGACCTAATTGACGTTAAATGAGAGCGCGCGCACCTTGTCAATCAGCTTGTTGTTTTCTTCGTTCATGATGCAAGTTGAAACGCGCTCAGAAAAGCTCGAAAGAGTCTGCGTTGTTGGGAAAAAATTTTAATTAATTAGAACTTGTAGCTTTTATATAAACCAAAAACCCACTATTTTTCAATATGCGCATAAAGTTCTTGTCAAATGTAAAACGATAGTTTTATGAAAGATAAATACAGCGTTTGTTTACCCGTTTTCACAAAAGGCATACCTTATTATAATAATCAATATTGGTTGGCTGGGACGAGTCACGTGACGAGATAATTTTATGGCGAACAAAATGGCGGAATAGTAGTCTTTCTTTATTTTGCGTTGTCAAATTTCGTTAAATCGTCAGCCGCCAAATTCACAATGTCGAGCTCATCATCAAGATCAATGCGTTTAAGTGTTCGCCGATCGAAAAGAAAGACTAAAAGAAGAACATCCTCACCACTACCCGGTACAACAGGTAATGTTTTGGATGGTCGCGCATTGCTTCAACACGATCAGACAAATAGTTTTCGACTTTTTAAAAACTATTTAACAAAGATTATTATTGTTTTTAACTTGCAATTATGCATCGATATATGCATTAGATTACACTTAAATAATGAAAGTAGTTTATTATGCGCAAGTGTCGATTCCATGACCCAAATCAGTTTAAAAGAGTAACTTTTTTACTTCTCAAAATAGCCGCCCAAGCCAGACAACGCGATGGAGCAAGTAGTGACATTCGCTTCAGTTCAGCTCAACATTCATATGATTTACGGCGAAAGCCGAGTCATGCGTCTGTAACATCTTCATCTTCCTCCGAACATCTTTTTCCTTCACCGCCCAAACGTTCGAGAAAATCGAAAAGCTGCTCGCAGACGACGTCAACCAAGACGAAGTCGGGCGTTGGTGCTCGTTACTTGCAACACGAACTACCAGACGAAGTTCTACTGCATATCTTTTCTTACTTGCTCGAATTCGATTTATGTAGCGCTGCTGCCACTTGCAAACGTTTTTATACGATTGCACATGATGCTGAACTATGGAAGAACTTATACCAGGCAGTTTATGAATATGATTTACCAATTGTCAATCCAGAACCTAAAGTCTATCAATTCGTTCAACCGGTCGAAGGGTCCGGAAACAAGTGGAAGGAAAGCTTTATAAAAATGGTAATTATCTCTCTTTTTAATATTTATTGCAAACTTCTGAAAGTATAGAATATTTATAAAACTTTTCATTTATTTGTTTATAATTAAGATTAATTATTTCGCTTATTTATTTAATAGTATCGGTCCCTTCATGTACGTGTTGGTTATAAAGAAGAATATGATAATAACTCAGAAAGATATAGAGGCCGAAATATATTATATTTCGACAAGATTGACGCCGCCCTTACATATGCTGAAGAAGAAACAGAAAATGCAACCATACTTGTTCACTCTGGTCATTATCCAGGAGAATACCTTGTTATAGACTCCAATATAACACTGATTGGTGCTGGTAATATATCTTTTTAACTAGATTTGTCGAAGAAACGAATGTAATAATTATTTAATATTGTTCTTTATAGCCCCCGGTACTATAACCGAATATGTAATAATCGAAAGACCTAGTGAGTCAACGTTAACGTTCAGTGAAGGAGCGACTCACGCCTATTTAGGTTTTATAACATTGAAATTATCTCCTGACGTTGTTGCCGCCGTACCTCATCATAAACATTATGCCCTGGAAGTTACAGAAAACTGCTCACCAACAATTGATCATTGCATAATACGCAGTACATCAGTAGTTGGTGCTGCGGTATGTGTGAGTGGTCAAAATGCTGACCCATTAATACGTTTCTGCGATATCAGTGATTGCGAAAATGTCGGCCTATTTATTACGGATCATGCTCAAGGAACATATGAAGATAACGAAATTTCTCGGAATGCTTTAGCTGGTGTATGGGTAAAAAATCATGCAAATCCAGTGATGAGGCGGAATCATATTCATCACGGTCGAGACGTCGGCATTTTCACATTCGATAACGGAATGGGTTATTTCGAAAATAATAATATTCATGACAACCGAATAGCCGGTTTCGAAGTTAAAGCTGGTGCCAATCCTACAGTAGTACAGTGTGAAATCCATCACGGCCAAACTGGAGGAGTATATGTGCATGAGAACGGCAGGGGACAGTTCATCGAAAATAAGATACATTCCAATCAGTTCGCTGGTGTATGGGTAACATCTAATAGTGATCCAACAATATGCAAGAATGATATTTTTAACGGTCATCAGGGAGGAGTATATATTTTCGGTGAAGGAAGAGGACTAATTGAACACAATAATATATATGGTAATGCCCTTGCCGGAATTCAAATTCGAACAAATAGCAATCCCTTAGTACGTCACAATAAAATACATCATGGACAACATGGAGGAATTTATGTACACGAAAAAGGATTAGGAATTATCGAAGAAAATGAAGTATATGCCAACACACTTGCAGGAGTATGGATAACAACAGGGTCTACTCCTACACTCAGACGTAATAGGATACATTCTGGGAAGCAGGTGGGTGTTTATTTTTACGATAACGGTCACGGAGTCCTAGAGGATAATGACATATTTAATCACTTGTATTCTGGTGTTCAAATACGAACTGGTTCGAATCCATCAATTCGGCGAAATAAAATATGGGGTGGACAAAATGGAGGTATACTTGTCTATAACTCTGGTTTAGGAGTAATCGAACACAACGAAATTTTCGATAACGCTATGGCCGGTGTATGGATAAAAACCGATAGCAATCCAACTCTTCGATATAATAAAATTCATGACGGCCGCGATGGTGGTGTTTGTATCTTTAATAGTGGTCGAGGAGTATTAGAATATAATGATATCTTTCGCAATGCTCAAGCTGGAGTCTTAATTTCGACACAATCACATCCGACTCTCAAAGGGAATCGAATTTTCGACGGTCAAGCGGCAGGTGTTGAAATAACAAACAATGCTACCGCCACACTTCAAGCCAATCATATTTTCAACAATAAGTTTGGCGGTTTGTGCCTTGCGTCTGGTGTTAAACCGGTTTTATCGGATAACAAAATTTACGACAACCACAATATGGTCCATAAAGCCGTTTCGACTGGACAATGCTTATATAAGATATCCAGTTATACAAGCTTCCCCATGCACGATTTCTTTCGGTTTGTTTTTGTTTAATCTTACCTTATTCAAGCTGTATTTAATATCTTTTCATATCGCAGGTGTAAAACATGTAACACGACAGATAGGAACGCAATATGCATCAACTGCATAAACACATGTCACGCCAACCACGACATCGAATTCATTAGACATGACAGGTGAAGGCTGCTTTTTTTAATTTATGATATATATTGATATAGGCGGTATGCGTTGAGATCTACATACTGTATATATATATATTTATTTCATACTATTATATACATGCATTCTTTTATTTATTTATTTCATACATTTATGTATTTACATACCTAATTTGTATTTTAAATAGTTTTAATTTTGTTCAAATCATAACGTCTATTCTTAATTATTTAGGTTTTTCTGCGACTGTGGCGCCGGAACTCTTAATAACCAATGCAAATTACAAGGTGAACCTACGCCTGATACAGATACACTGTATGATTCTGCGGCCCCTATGGAGTCTCATACGTTGATGGTGAATTAAGTGTATAAATATGCCTCGGTCGACGATCTGCCTGCCATTTCTATTTTTTTTAAGAAAAAAGAAAAATGCTTCTGTTTTTTGCGTGGCGTGAGGATTTTTTTCTCTTTCGAAATTCAGTGACTGCCCTCATCTGCTACGTGACCATCTTTGTATTATTCTCACCGTAGTCTAGAATAATGTGTTTAGGCTCTAAAATTATATTATTTGTCGTAATTCTTTTGTGATACGAGTTCAATGAAGTGTGAAATTGTAGGATATGTTTCGTTAGCGAGTATAATTTGATATTTTTTTTTCCATCCCAAGAAGAATTTCGTCAAAAAAAAAAAAGATGTTTGAAATGCAATAATCTTGTTTACGAGTGTTAAAAAAATAATTTATTTAGATTTTCAATTTTGGTTGCTAGACGTTGAAGAAAAAAGAACTCGCTGTGTACAGCATGTATTATTTATTTCCTTTTACATGTGTATGCAACTGTTTTGCTTTTCGTACAAACAATTGATACAATCATGCCATATTCAATTTAGAAAATGTTAAATAAAATATTTAACCAGTTCTACATCTCGTCTAGATCAAAATCTTCTTCTGGAAAGTCGCCCACAGTTACTTGATTAGGCTTTACGAAACTTCCGTACTTGTTTGGACATTCGAAATACCTATGCCCGCCCACGCTAAACAGATAAAAACATTATTTAACAAAAGGTTGCTACCAACATCCTACATTTAGTCAGGCGCTTACGAAAGTGATTATTTTGTTATTACGTAATACCTTCCGTCGTTTTTGCCGTGAGGCTCATCGTATTGAACTCCTACCCAAAACCCTTCCTTAAATTTCGTTTTCCCAACATATCTGACAGTTCCTCGACGAGTTGGCATACCAGCTGTACGTACCTCACATCTAGAAACCAGTTTCAACTCGATTACTATACAGTCATTTCCGGTCGACAATAGAATAAATACCTATCGCCTGTTTTTATGCGGTCAGCTGCCGCCTGTTCCTCAGCCAACTTCCTTTTCTCTTCTTCCTCCCTTTCCTTTTCATCGACCATGTGTGTGTCCGAAAATCTACCCAATTTATTTCGTAGTTTGAAAGCCTTAACCGAATCTGATCTTTTATTATAGTCATCTGTTGACATTTCAAATTTTGGAACGGCGCTTGTATCCTCAAATTCTCCTACACGAGTACTTTTATCTTCAACCTTTGAAAATACACAAAATACGAATTTTTGATGTCTCCATACTCTTTTATATCAAATATAATACATGGTATATTTACAATTAGATAATATTATGTAATAAAAAGAGAAACGCACGTGCAAGATCATACCGTCATCAATATGAAACGAACCCAGAAGTGCATCATTATTATCTAACGAACAAACTATTTTTTCCTCTTTTGTTTTTACTACAATGGTCATTGTGTGCATAGAGCCTCCCGTTAATAATTCCATCTTTTGCTAATTGAGAATAAGCGGTTATTGGATATTTATTTAAGTATTTAAGCGCGTTCGCTTACTTTCAATTCTAACACAGTCATTCCTCTGTCAAATCTTCTTTCCGACATAAAAGAATTGAAATTACTCGTAACAAAAACATTTACAAATTGTTTGCCTGATTCTATTAGATTTATATCACTGGCTGTTGCCATATTTTCCCGTTAAAATTGATTTCAAAGAGGCTAAGTAGATTAAGCAAGAAACGGAAGTTAAAGTAATAAGTTTATTTTCGTATTTCAAATTATTTCTTTTAAAAATATTATTTTATACCAATTGAAATAAATAGAGATTGTTCCCTTATTTATTATGAAATACATAATAATTTACGAAAGAATTGTTTGATAGTACCATAGCAACGTAGTTACTAGGTTATGATGTGAAAATGGATCAAGAAGAGAATATATACAATTTGATTCCTCGAGAATATATCAGGCCTCCAAAGCCACCAAGGTTTATAAAATTAAATAATTAATTATTTGGAGAGTAATATACCCAAAATCAATTTCAGATATACATCTAAGTTTAAGAGTGAGGCTAAAGATGATATTATCGGCGGTAAACAAGCCCAAAAAACGATGGGACCACCTAAAGAAGTCGTTAGGCAGCCAGCTGAATTTCTAAAAAAGAATGAGAAACATCCTCCTCTACCTGAAAGTAAGTTGAGAGATATTGTTTACCTTTGTTTATAGTAATTGAGGCAATATGTACATTAGAAAAAGAATTCAAGTATCCCGACTCTGATAAGAGAAAGCCGAAGATTCCACCTACCGATGAAAAGCCAGTTATGGGAATGAGAACGACTAAGAATTTTATAACTCAAAATGCCGTCCAAAATATTATGTCTGTTGCTAAAAGACCCGAAAAGAATTATGTTGATACTAGGAAAGGAGATGCTCATGCCCTTCCCCCATCGGGCTTAGAGCCTAAATTCATCAATAGAAAGGTACAACAATGGTCACTCTAATAAATATTTACCTTAACTTACGTAATTTTTATCTTTAAAGGATTATGGTGAAGTACCCGTCTATCTACACAAAAGAAAAGAAGATATGGAAAGGGCTCAACAGGAATACAACGCCTACGTTGCCGAACATTTTCGAAGAGGAGCTATGGAACAACTATCAGACGAAATTCGTCAACATATCATCGATGGCCTTAAAGCTAATTGGGAAGAGATTCATCGCGAATTTCAGGTAATAAATTAGTCAATTATTTATAAAACTAATTTAATAGATAACAAAAAAGCGAAAAAGCTAAAGATTAGGCATTGTTTCATCCACTAGATGGCTTTAGCTATATTGGTGAATATCTAAAATTTATCACTAGTCAATCCCTAAAGAATGGAATAGCATGAATTCAAATATAAAAAGGATTTATCGCTTACGTAATTAACATCAAAGCTGAATAAATGGGCCGAACTTTACTTTAAACATACATACGTTGTTATTTTGTTAACTTTGTGTCTTAAACATTGTACTATACAGGAAAATGTATATTTACTTTACATTATACCTGTAGTATTAATAATAATTTAGATAAGCGACAATTAACGACAGTAGATAGCAATTCGCTTTAGTAAGATATTTAGATCATGTGGCCTTATTCTCCCAGAGTTTTTCATACCATTATGAAACATTATTCGATCGATTACAATTTAAATTGATCGAATTTCCTAAAATACAATATTTTCATTAATGATATATTTTCGCAGGGCTTGTCCGTTATGACTGATACCATACCGAAGAAAAGTAGAAAAGAGAGGATGGAAGCAGAAATGGCACAGTTAGAGAAAGATATTGAACTAATGGAAAAACATCCAGTAATCTTTATTGCTAATTAAATTATATCTAATTATAATAATTAATTATTTGGATTTCTTTATTTATTTTACTTTATCTGACAAATACAGTATATAAATAGAAAAGTATATTTTACGAAATCCTTCTTTATTTGACCAATTAAAAAGCTTTAGAAGAAAGTTACGTACTGGAATGATATTTACACGTCTCATTCTTATATAAGGAATTTTTTAAACCTTTGACTTTATCATATTAGTAATAGTTTAAATATATATATCAAAGGTTAACGAAAGGTAAATTTTCCTACCATGTGAAATTTAGTATTACCCTTTAGAACTTTTTGCTGTCTACTTTGCAATGAAAGTTTTAGATTTATGTCAAACTAAGCCTATAAACATTCGGCTAGCGAAACCAAAAATCTGAGGCCAAGTTATATAAATATTAGAACCAACGCTCTTACGAATTGCGCTCTTCAATTTGTTAGAGTTACTATGAATCACTGAGTTAATTGTATACTATCCGCGAAAATATCACCTAAAATGAAACAGAAATGAGAGATAGATAGGGAGAGACTAACAGACAGGCAAAAAAAAGTCATGTTGACCGTTACCCTTTCTCTCGCTATCTATTTGTCTATCTATCTATCTATCTCTCTTCCTACTGTTCCATCATTTTTATATTTTTACTGTATTCTATAAGAGAACAAGTCACAATTAATATACTTAGAGGGTGTCAGCCAATAATTCAATAGCAGCATCATTAGCATTCCTAAATAAGCGACTGATTAATAAATCTAAAGTTATAATTGATAAAATGTTAAATAAACATTCTTCGAATCGCAAATATACAGTCAATTGTATACTATATAATCACTATATATATACAGTATATATATATATATAGCCTCAAAATTTATGCAAAACATTCGTATTGTATTGAAAACTATGGACAGAAAGTTAAAGTTAGATTCTAGTTAAAAATGTTTGCTTCCTGATTTTTCGTTTTTTTTTGATAGCTCTACAATATAAAACTAAATGAAATATTAATACTTAAAAGGCGAGAACAAATTACCTAATACTAAATACTAACTGTAACAAAACTATGACAAATTCATAGCAGATGCGCGAAAACAAAAGGAAATATTTTGAATGATTAAAGAGTGTTTTTTTTTTTTACTACTAAAAGATTAATCTTTCGTACCTAAAATTCGTTTGTAGAGTGACTGAAATAGAAATTGGACACGTTTGCCACCTCCTTTCGGTTTTGAGGATTCTGAAGCGGTTTCTGACTGTTTATCAATCGACAATAAACTTTGACAAACCGCTCCAGCTAATTGCTAGCTGGTATCTTCTTGCGGTACTGTCACTTTTCTTTTTACGAGGTCTTGATCTGTGCTCGATTCTCCATCGTAATATTCTTTTCTAGCTACATCTTCAGGAATATCAGCAGCGGGATCTTCTCTTAGAGTATCTCCTTTCAAGCTCAAAGCATCAGCTTCATAGCTTTCAAACCTAAAAATAGAGTTTCTAGTTCTTGTGTACATATCCCATAGACCAGCTATTAATTCGGCAGATATCATATCACTTGTGTTTTTGGCGACCATTCGAACTATAAAGCAGCCATCTCTTCTCAAGTAATGATTTGTAAAATGCTTTAAACTTTCTGGGCTGGCTGCTTTTCCGTGATATTTGTCAATGGCTATCAGGCGCCTGAAGTAAGTTTATCAAAAGCTGAATTAATAAAGCGATTTATTTAATGAACAATGTATTTACCTTTTTATATACGATTCATGGTCTTTCATGCAGAAGCATTTAATAATCACGTAAAATAGACTTCCTGCCGTTGCAGAACTAAGGAAAACAAACCAAAACCATATAACTATGAAGATCTTCTCATTGAATAGATTTATCGGTAAAGTACATTGAACCAAATATGACTGAACATTGCCAACGACTCTTATGTTAAAATCGCACATTGTAACTCTTGGAAATCTTTCCGATAAATTCCATGGTTCTTTGTTGATTATTTGTTTTAACACCTTAATACCATACATGTTATAGTCTGTTCCAAGGAAGACATTCAATAGAAACAGTTGACCAATGGCATTACCTAGATAGACGACTTTAAAAAATAAATATAACACAGTTAAGTAATTTCCATAAAACTTCCAACAGAAACTTCGACATGTTGTTGTCATGTGTTTTCTTGAAACCTCTTTTAGAAATCTACTAATATGATTTACCATATATTTCAATGTTTTTTCTCTATTTTCAGGATCTCGCTGTCGTTGACAATCAATAGCAGCATCTGTAACAGTTGCCACAGAAATTCCAGAGTGCCTATTAAGAACTCTCCACAAAGGTCTGGGAATATAAAAAAACATGGCCATTGCGCAAAGTATTAAGGCTACCCATTGATAATATCCTATTCTCTTCACATTTTCATAATTAGCTAAAAAATGAGATAAAGAAAAAAAGAAGCAAAAATTAGTACAGTGTATTTAAAGTTCTTATCTAATGATTAATAAATTATGAAGATCAGGTTGATAGGAATGTAAACAAACCTGGAATTTCTGTATCTTCTTGCACAGGCAAATAGAAGGTATTAGTTGTCCAGCATACCTTATTGGTATAATCTATGTGGCTTGACGTAAAGTGAGCAGGACACCAACAACTAATCGGTTCTCCGACATAATGATTCGTAGTGATGATAATAGAAAAGATTACTAATAGAAATGTGGTGTACCTATTACTCAACCTATCCGTAAAGCTGTCGCCCCCACCAATTCGAGCGTCACTTAAATCGGCAAAAACTGAAAGTAGTCTATCCATTCAGTCCTAATCAACATCCATGCACAAAAACACAGGCCTTAATTGGTTACATACAAACAAGTATTATCAGCGTAATTTTTCGTAAAGATATAATAATTTAAGGCTAGTATTCCTGAGCTAGCAAAGAGTCCCTGCATAAAACGATATTATAACTTCCACAATCGATATTTTTGCACACTATTATCAGATAAGGCACGATCATTGAAAAGTAAAGGCCAAACGTTACTTATTTAAGTCAGAAAAAGCGTTTAAACGTAAAAATGTTAATGTTGGAATTCCAAGACTGATCGATAATAGAAGGAAAAACAGATGGCGTTACTGTTTCACCTCTCCCCACTTATATTTGCTCAATGCATTCAACAAGAATTATGTGTATAGGCCGTATAAGTTTTTATACGATATGAATGAAAACATTTGTAATTTATTTATATTTATTTGAAATAAGTAGATTATTCAAATGAATAAATTAGAATATTTAATAGTAATTATTATATTAATTAAAAGAATATACATACTATACATATTAATGTATAGTAAGTATATTGAAGTGTTTATTACTTATTAACGCATATTGTAGTGATAACAGAACAAATAATCTAATTTGTTAAATATTTCAACAAGCTGTCCTTTATTTTTAATTATGTAATCTCAAAAAAAAGATGAAAAGATTTGTTTCAGATAACAGCTGTAATTATTACGTCATAGTTAATTAAGATTTAAATAAATCAGATTTTTGTTGTTTTTGTTTATAAAATAATTTTAAAGTAATAATAACAGCAGCAGCAACAACAACAATAATAATAATAATAATAATAACTATAACGATCGATAGATAATTTACGGCTAATTAAAGTTGTTTATGATTTTTTCTTAACATAATTTATATAACATTATTAAAATTCAATAAATTGACTGATGAAACAAATAAAGATGGTTTGTATAGGACTATATATTGTAAATATAGAATATACTTGAATTTCTCGATTATCCAAACAAGAAAAAAGTAAAGAAAAGAAGAAGAAAAGAGAGAGAAAAAAAGACATCGTCCTTCACACTTAACTAGCTTTTGTCACTAATAATTTAGTTGCTACTAATTCTATCATATTCCCATTCAATTTATCAATGGTGAAATCAACCTTTGAAAAGAAGAAGCATCACTTCTGTAGTCTATTCAATCTTGTGTATAACCAAAAATTTCTTTATGAATAAGTCGGCTTATCCTTTATATAATAGGTAAAATATATTTATATATATGCTATAGAGTAAGTAATATATGATGGCTAAAAATAGATTTAACGCTTTATTGAGTGTATACTATATATATATATATATATATATTTTATAAGCAAGGGGAATTTTAGTTGTGTTTAGCTCTAATGGAAATAAAACATGTAACAAAAGGAAAGTCTATTGGAAAAAAAAATAGTCCATCCGTAATAATTAGCTCTGTTAATTTGATAGTAATTACTTGTCTGCAATTATGGCCAATTTTATTTCTTTTAATATGTAAATAATAACGCTTGATAACTGTTTTAAGTGTTTATTTATGCAAGTTTGTTTTTATTATTAATATTGTATGTGTACTATATAGTTTTCATTAGAGAATTATCGTTATATCAAGAAAAAGAGGCATAAAAAATATGTTTATTCTGGAAAAAGAGCATTTAAATTACTTTTTTATTGTCATTTTATATAGGCGTCTCTTTAACGCTTCCTTTTAAACTATCCCTAGATCGGTAAGCTGCCATAGGCGTAAGGTGAGCGCTAAACGTACTAATGTGATCGTAGGTAACACGATCGTATTCCGATGTTTGATCGCTAGATAAAATCGGTAAATGATTATGACTACATAGAACATGATTGAATTCGCTTTCTCCTAAGTTTGACTCTTCTTCAACCTCATCAGCCGGAAGTCTTTCAGGTTCTGTTATAACATGAAAAGATAAAAACGATTGTACTTTAAACATACAAGTGCAAAGAGAAGATTAAAATAGTTACTAATTAAAATATTGAGACAAAACAAGAAACCTACAAAATTGTCAACTCAAATTATCGCTAGAGGGAAACACTGGTTGCTTTTAGTGTAAAATAAAGATAGATAAATAATTAAAGGGTGTGAAGGAAAGGGCGAGTGAGGGAGGGGGAAAAGACAGGGAGACAGAGAGCTTGAGCGAAAAAGAGAAAGTAGGGAAGAATACAGAAATAGAGAATGGGAGCAAGATATACAGAATGATAGAGAAAGGATAAGTGTTGGGAGTGTACATATAAGTTTTAACAAACCTTTCCTGTTGCCGCTATAGGGTTCGGGGTTGGAAGAGACGGAAATAAATCAACTATATTTAGACTGTCTAAGAATAGAAATAAAAGAGGCTTCATATATTCTATTAATAACTTACTTTCTACAATCAGAACTCTTTGGTCCAAAGTATTTAACATCTCCTAAAATAAAAGGATAAAACGTAGACAATAAATTGTCAATAATTAGTGGGCTATCGTCTTAAATAATAGGACAGAGAAGACGAGAAGTTTGGCCCAAGTAGTAAAAAAGAAACGGCGTACCATATTTCAAAGCATCATCCTTTTGCTTCCTGCTTTTACCAAATACTTTGACGCTACATAAAGCTAACAAAACGGCAACTGCCAAGAAGGCCAGACCGCCAACAATTCCTCCAATAGCTGCTTTAGAAATTTTTACTCCTTCATTCAATGGATCTATCAATAGGACAGATGTGAACATCTTCAAATAAAATAGGGACAGAATTTGCTTACCTCCTGTGTCGTAGAGGATTTCCTCTATTGTATTCGAAGGAGTGTTATTATGATAGCTAAATACCAAAACGTAAATCTTATTAGTAATTACTGCCACAGATTATTTCCTTATTTAAGAAAAGAGCTTTTATAAACCCATAGAGAAGAATTAAATACTTAAGGCATTTATCGACTCTGACTTAAAAGGGATGAGTGAATGAGTCCATAATAAAAAATCTCTTTTAGCTAATTCTTAGAAAATGAATATAATTAGCAAAGAGCACAACCTCTTTTATTCATATATATATATTTATATATGTTTTAACTTTTATTTGTTTATTATTCTATTTTCTAATAGAGACTAGGGATAGTGAGCTTGAAAACGACGAAGAAAGGGAAAGCGGAGGGAATGGGAGAGGGAAAGAAGGAAAGAAATGAAAGAAAGAGGGAGAGGGGATACTATACAAGAAAATAATTTCTTTCTCTGTTTATTTAAGACGTTGACTTATTTTTAACGTAAAGGAAGATGCCTTCTCATTGAATTAGGGACTCTTTGCTATTGATCAGAGCCTAGAAAGCTTTAGCATTCTCAACCGCTAATCTAACCTTTTAAATATACATAACTTCGTATCAAGAGGCATGCAAATTTTAGTCTCTAACCCTAAAAAGAAGCGGTAGGAATCAGAGCATATTTGGACAACGTCTTACAAACCTTTTTACTTTAAAGCGATATTGAGCACCACGAGAGAAACCAAACCATTTGTAAAAAGTTTTATTTCGTATTTTTTCTGATAATGCAACTAATTTTCCAACAGTTCTATATATAAGAGATTTTACATAAAATAACTATATATCTGTGTATTAATTATCTTCTCTTTAATAGTTACATTAATAAGTATTTACCTATAATGAACTTTGTAATAATGGACGGCAATAGTTTGGTTTTTTGGAGGTAGCCACCTAATTATTAAATAGTTCTTCTCAGGGCGTACTGTAACATTCCTGGGTGGAAATGGAGGCGTTGCTGAAAAAGGAAAAAACCAATAACGTTCATGATTAATTTTAGAATATTTGTATTAATAATAGGAAAAAGAAAGAATGATTTATTTTGTCTTTTCATCTTATTTTCTTTCATTTGTTAGTTTTTTTTTCTTTTCGAGGTTACGCTTTTCTTTAACTATTCTCTTTGACTTTATCTATTGCTTATTTCTCTTACACTTTATTTGAACTATCCCATTTTGAACCCTCTCTTGTTTCCCTCAAAAGATCTTTTGCTATTACCTGCAGGTATCTTTAGGGTGCGTTCCGGTAGCAGTTGATTCTGTGGGACGTTAGTTATCAGTTTACCGGAGCCTGCAAATGTTTTTATGCCATAAATTATATTTGTATTGATTATCCGTAAAGGCCTATACAACCGTTTGTTTTTACTCTAAACTTGCGGCTGAACAAACCGTTACCCAAACTATTTCTGCACAAAAAAAAAGTAAAGTATACTGAAAGTGTTAATGGAATAACATGAATTGTTAGCCTATGTTTTTATTGCAGTAAAAGAACTCTCTTTCACAGGATAGGTGAGGGGAAAAAAAATCCAATACCTCGAAAGTATTACGAATTCATATTCCGTATCCGGTTGAAGGCTTTGAATAGCGACGCTAGTTTGTTCCTTCGGTACAAAAACAGTAGTCCAATTACTTCTTCCTATAACTCTATACCTTTTTAAAAGAACAAATAAACATTCAAAAATTGTTTACAATATTGCTTTTTAGTTTTATGAATATTCATTAGGTAAGATATGGAAGGGTGACAAATTAAAATAAAAAATACCTTTTTTTCCTCCCTTTTTCCCTTCCCTACCTATTTTTTATTTCTCTTTACAGCGATAAGTATTAAAAAGTCTACCAATTTAGCCTATAACTACTGTACTTTGACATGACATGTAATTTTATCCCTATAGCCATCGTTTGGCGATTGTTTTATATTTCTGTTTTATTCGAAAAAAGAGGAAGAAAAAAAGAAATTTTAAAAGCTATATAACACTTTAATACAGTAGACGCCATTTTAACTTTTTGAATTAAGCTACTTTATAATCCTTAAATAAACTGAAAGATTCTTTAAGTGACATTTTGCTTTTAAAAATTTTAGTAATCAATAGAGTTTAATTACCATACAAAATAGTCTTGTAATTCTGAATAATCGCTATCAAAAGCTGGCAGCCAGTTGATATATAGTGAGGTCTCAGCAGTTTCAAAAGTTACGTTGAGAACTTTATGAGATGGAACGGCTGTAAATAAAGTTTGAATATTTATCAATCTAAAAAATGAACATTGCCTATATTAAAAGTTGATTTATGAGGATAAATGGATTTTTTAGACAGAAAAGGGAGAAAGAGTGTGTGTGTGAGAGAGAGAGAGAGAGAGAGAGAGAGAGAGAGAGAGAGAGAGAGAGAGTGAGTGAGAGAATGAGGGAATGAGAGAAGGGGGATATAGTTTATGGAAGGTCGAAAGGTTGAAGTAGACATTTAATGGTTAATAGGATGGACTTAATTGAATAGTATAGGAATAAAAGAGAAAGAAAGTTACCCTCGATTATGAGTAGAGTTGAAGTGACTATAGTAGCAACCGAATTCTTTGCTATACATTCAAAATAACCTTTATCTTCCCTTTTCAAATCGGCAATCACTAGACGTCCCCCTTCAATCAGTGGCCCTTTCATATCGATTTCACCATTCACCTTTCACAAGACGTTTACTTAAGACTTTTTAATTACATTTTCTCTGCCGAATTATATACAAACCTTTCTCCATTCCAAAGTTGGGGTAGGATTACCATTAGCTTCACAAACAATACTGATTGTTTTACCGACCATTTCCTGATAGTAACGCCTAGGCCTAGTTGTGAAATATGGAGGATCTGCGGTAAATGATTTTTTTTCTATAAATAACGTAAGCCAGTGAAATATAGCGAACTAATTTTTCATGTCTGAGCGTAACGTTAAATCCGAGATCAAAGTAGCCTTTCTATAGTGATGTAAAGCTTCTATTCATACTAGTTTTCTACTAGCGTCAACTATTTCGTGCTAAGTGTCAAAGATCTCTTTTGGGCTTAAAGATTACCTCTCACGTGAACTTGAAAGAATTCTGGTACTTCTCGTTTTGCCTCGCAAGCATAAGTTCCCTCATCGTTGTCCATCACTACTCTGCGAAGGTTCAAATAAAAAAAAGAGAACATATATTTAATTGTATTGTCCGTAAAACAAAAGGAAGTGCCCATATTTTTCTTATTTACTGTAGACGCTATTAATATTAATGCGGTTAGTTTTTTTGGGATTTAAAAGCGGTCAAGAAACTTCTTTATAGGTTTAAAAAGTCCTTTTTCAAGACGAAGGAATTGTAAGAATTCAGTTTTCTTCTATCTTTCTCTTTCTGCTTTCAACTTAATGGTCATGGAAAAAGATAAATTAAATCATTTATCCCTGAATTGGCTACATATCTTTCTTTTCCCTTGTACTAATTCTTCAAAATTAGTTGTCTTCTATCATTAAAAGAAAAAAGGTGCCTTTTATTAATGCTCTCTTTCTTTTCCTTTTACATAAGTACAAAGACGCGTAATATATGGGAGGTAGTTAATAGGCGAGAAAATAGAAAAGACGTTTATCCGTTCTACCTTTTTTTAATATAAAGAAAACAAGTGACGCAGCGGAATTTAACGCTGGTTTTTTTAAAGGATGAACTAGGATGTACGAGCTTTGATACTGTGGTGAGTATTAATCATTTTTTGTTATCCTAAGCGTATTTACTTTAGGGCTTGAGATTTTTTACATCACTAACAGTGTGACTAAGAAGGAAATCTGGGTTCCAATAATTAACTTTATGGCACTTGATAAGAGGAAGAGAAAAAATGGAAAGAGTAAGAAAAAGCAACAGAGCGGTCAGATCAAAGTTGATTCTCCTACTTTCCATCAAATTTAAACTTGCTACTGGAAGAGGCATTGAAATGGAAACAATAACGGGTAAAGAGGACCTATTCAAGATTCTTACTTGAAAGCCAAGCAGGTTGAGTTTAACTGATATATTCGATCGTTTCCAAGATGAAGCCTTTGTCCGTTCTTTTTCCAAAGAATGACAGAAACGGAGCAGCAAATGATTCCTGGGAGATTGCGAGGTAATAAAATCGTCAAATCCTTCATTAAGACATTTTCTGTATACGAAAAAGATTAATTTGTTTTAATTTAAGTTTATTAAGGTTAACTTGAAATATACAGCAGACTATATATTGATAAACTGTATATACTGTATATTCATATTCCCTATATATTTAGATATAGCATCAATATGTTGTATATTTATAATAAAATAAAAAAAGAGAACAGTATCAACGAACAAAGTCAACGACGGTTTGTCGCTCCCGGCAAACAAAGTACTGTAAACAGAATGTATAGATGAGACTAACTGTGATCAGCTTTAATCATTTTCCTCCCCAGAGCAGTTTTTACGCGTTACTCTTATAGGAATTTACATAATTTTCTACTGAGACATTTAAGGGGGTTTGCATACGTATGAGGGGAAAAAGGCTAAGTAGTTGAACTGTTAGAAAATAGACTTACAAATAAACAACTAGGAGAAACGTATCCGGAAATGAAAGAGAAACGAAAAGGAGAATTGTAAGATTAAGATTAGAAGAATAGTAGTATGATGGAAAAGAAAGACAGAAGAAGAAAGGATATAGTATTATTGGAATGTTAAAGCAATCTTGGAGTAAATTTTGGCAAACTTTCACTTCGTTAACAATCTTCCGATTTATATTCGGTTATAGAAAAAAGGGGCGAGAGAAAGAGTAGGGTTAGAGAGAAAAGCTAGATTAGGCAAATGCATAGAACTTCCGCAATAATTTCCAACGTGATATGACTACTAGAAACATTTCTAGAGATGCGTTGAATATTGTATAACTAATATTTTACTTATCATGCTTCTATATACAATATATATGTAGTACTATTAGTTAGATTACAAATATAGTCCCTATTGGACTCGAAGAGTGTATGGTACATTGCTTTAGGTTATATACACTGTAAAGTACTTATATATATAGCCCAGTCTTGGCTATCGATTCATCTAATCAATGATAGTTTGCTGCCTGACAAGGAGCTGTATACAAAACTGACCCAGGAGAAGGTGAAACTTTTCTCTTTTCTAACTAAATCGATGTGATTTAGTATACTGTAACGATTGCAGTCTAATGAATTTAACATGGCCGGCTTTTGTAATTTGATAAACAACTATCGCCTCGCTTCACTGGTCGGTGATGGAAGGTGGAAGTAAACTTGTGCAATTTGACAATCGTTTCTTTTTTCCGGAAAGACGTTATTTTAAAACCAAATACTTTTTATCCATTATTGAACAGTTAATTAAAAATTAACAATTATAAATTTTAGATAAAAACCAATTGACACTCAATTATGAATGAATAAAGAAACAATTTATATAGCTTACTGGCTTTAATTGGTAGAAAATTTGCTCATTTTAACTACTTTTATAGAGAAGAGGGGGCGGAGTGAAAACTGATCAATTAAATGAATTATTGTAAATATGGTTCATTGAACACAAACAGTTTTTTATTCAAAATAAATTTCCCTATAGCGTCAATTCCCAGTTCTCAACTTCAAATTGTTAGGAAGGGAACACAGTAGAGTTAAAAGAAAACACTTTTAAAGATTTTAAATCTTATTTAAATAAATTATTATAAAACTTTATTAAAATCTACTATCAACATTTGAAAATCGTTTAGAGAGTTATTTTTACTATTTGTTATAAATAAATAAATTATAATAAACACTAGCATGGACATTTCATACATATTTAAACGTATTTTGTTTAGAGTACATTCTATCCCAAAAATAATTTCCCTACATGAATATTCATAAGGATTTCCTGTAATAACTAGATTATTTTTAGAAATCACTTAAAATTAGAGTAAAGAAGACTACTATAGTTAATTATATAAATATAATATATACTATATATATGTTTTATTCGTATATTCTAAGATAATGTAATGCTATATTTCTATATAAAAATATAACATTGACGTATAGCATTTTTTTTTGAATTGATTTGTTATTAAACCTCTCTTCAAGAAGTTGTTTTTCCTTTTCTCTACAATTCAAAAGCATTAAAACCGAGCTTGAAAATATAATTTATACACAATAACCAAAGAGAAGCTTTAGCTTTTAACATAATTCTTTTCCATTTTCCTTCTCTTCCAAACCACCTTCTTACCCTTTTTTTTTTGTTGTACATTTTGTTCTTATTCATTCTTTTCCCTTGATGTTAATAAGACTCGTGATAAATTTTATAGTCAAATCTTATGAAGTGCAGAGAAATATAAATAGATAGATAGATAGCTGGATGGATAGGAAGAAAAGGGATTTAAGTTATTTAAATATATGAAATAATGATTTATAGGACGGAAAGATCGAAAAAAGCGGAAGTGAGTGAAACAATGCCATTTAATTAAGTCTCTTTCTTCTGAATGAGATGATTGACAATCTATAGTTTTTATTCTATTTCTCCTTATATGTATATATATATATTTACAGTAATATATATATATACTCTCAGAATGCACTTTGCATAAATCAGATACAAGGTAAGCCGATTAAATTGCTCTTTGCCCTAGAGTGCAGGTTGATTGGTTTAGTAGACGCTTTTCCCTTCCACCTGAATCTATCAAGTTCAATTTGCTATTCTGTAGTAAGAGGTTAACAGATTACAGATGCTAAAACCTCCTTATGGTCCCTACTCCTACACTTTCTTCCCCTCTTGCCAAATGTACAGTTTTTAAAGCGATAAAGCATAAATCAATGTAAAACTATTTAAAATTTCAAACAACTGAAATCTTTCCAGAATCCATCCGATTAAAAATTGAAGAATAGAGAAAGTAAATAAAATAAACTATAAGATAAAAGAAGCTTAAACTGGTAGAAAAAGTAATTAAAACTTATATTCTATCTTTTATCATCATTGACAATAATCTTGAAGAAAAGAAGGAGAATGAATAAAATATAAAAAGTACAAAATAGACCTAGACATATCAAAAGGGGAAATGAGTTATCATTTGCATATGTTACAAATCTGTACTTATGAGAAGTTAATTATTGATGTAAAGTGATATGGTTAACTGTCATCAGCCATAATCATTCATTATAGAAATATTATTGCACTTTTATTCAATTTTCCAGGAAAAGGAAAGTAACTTTTTAAGGAACTTTTACCATTATTAATGATATAAATATAATCGAATATATTATATTCAGAATAGAATATTCGTAAATTTACTTAAAATATGCCTGCAATAATTTCCATTTCAGCTCATAGTTACAATTAACTTGCTGCCAGGATAAAATAAAGAAAACCAATCAGGTTCTATACAATAAATTAACGTAATTTTATATCATTTTGTAAGATTCGTACGCTTCTTTGATCATGTTTATGCATTTGCTATCTAATTCTTATAGATATCAGAGAATGTATTCTATATAGAGGTATGTTTTTTTTTGGTGTTTGTTCTAAAGGTAGATATTTTCTGACAAAAGGTTTACGATACAATTTCTAGGCCTATACAAACATTTTAGAAATACATACAAAATAAATTAATTAAGTGAAAAATAATATAGAAATATATATATAATTTTTCATTGGAGGATATATGAAATAATAGAGAAATATCATACCGTAAATAAGAGATTGAAAGAGTAGAAAGAAGAGAGTTTGCAAAACGTCCATAATCCAAATGATCATTTAATTCCTCTTCGATAATCCTGGCTATGCATTCGATACGATCCTTCCTAAACGAAAACAACAACAGTTTGCCCAGTTTGTCCAAGCATATATACAATATATAAATTAATAGCTATGAATTTATAGATATATACTTTATATAAACTATGTACACTTAAATATTAAATATATATTTTTGTATATGTACTTATGCATATTAATGTACTTTACATAGTAGTTGAGCTAACATATATCTTTCTTTTAATGTATTAATCTTTAGAAGTAATCCTTTAAGATATATGCTTTCTGATATCAATATATATATATATAAACTTGTATATATACATACATACATATATACTGTATATATATATATATATTTATATATTAATATATATATACTGTATATATGTCTTATATAGATTTTCTCAGCTGAAAATGTATATTAGTACATTTATACATGTTTATATCAAACTACATTTAGATAATACCAGTTTTATTTACATAAAAGTATCATGAAAGTCGATATTCTCTCTTTCTAATATATAAATAGGCTTCTTTTCGAAAGCATTCATAAAACGTATATTTTCCAGGCCTGTCACATTTTCTCTAAGACCCGACTAAGCCACGTTAGGAGCGAATAGCGCTGGCGCCCGAGAAGCGATCTGCCGCTCTATTCTTCAATTATTAACGCCACCTGCTGTGGAATATTTTCCGCTCCTAGGAGATCCCTCCCTCTTTTTTTAACCAACCAACCTAGATAACAAATTTTTCTCTTTCTCTTAAAAGTAGCTTTAAGTTGAATTTATAAAAAAAGGTGGATGAAAGACTTTTCCAAGATTCAATAAATTGTCTAAGTAAGGGGTGAAGGTTTTCTTAACATTTTTTATTACTTTTGCAAAGATGTGTGCGGAAATAGATAGAGAAAACATATATATTAATGTATACAAACAGTTTATATATATATATCAAAAATATTTAGATTTCATCTATATCCTATTCCCAAGCTATCTAAGGAGAAAAAGTCAACAAGTTGCAGATTTAAATGTAAGGGAACAAAGAGAAGGACTCAAAGGCGAAAGAGGAATTGCCGTTAGGGGAATCCTTTGCTCCCATCTACTAAGTGTCCTTCCCTTCTAGCCCTTCTCCCACCTTCTTCTAACACGCAAATCAATATTTTAACGCCGTTTCTCTTTTGACTGTAATAGCGTATGGCGCACATGGTTGCTGAAGACTAATCGAATTTTTAGCCTGTCGGCACCTTAAGGTTGGTGGCGCAAAATTATGGCGAATCAAAGCGTCTACATGGTCTTAACGTGGAGGAAGGCATATCAATGGTTTATATATGATGAATAACAAGAGCGAGATTTATTTTTCATACAAAGAGGAAAGAAATAAAAGAAGATAGTAAAAGTTGAAATTTAGCTAGAATCAACTGATTAGCATAGTAGCATCTTAATTGCCTTTATAGCGAATTCTTTACTCTTTTATTTCCTTATATAAATTACATTATAAGTTAGAAAGTAAAAGAGGAATTTTCAATATTTAAATACGTCAGGGGAGGGTGGGGGTGGAATGACTGCAGGTATCGTTTTAATCGCAACGTAAACTATCCGAGTAATGAATATGCATACTATGAATTACATGGTGTAAACTACTAACCAATCAAAGATTTCAATATAAATTGTCCAGGGCTGGCGAATGCCATAGTCATTCCTTTTTAAGGAAAATTAAAATCCCCTGAGTTCGTCCTTTCAGTTTTGAAAAAAGAACGTTTTATTAAGTAAATCCTTTCGTATATGATTAATTCGTCTCATACTCTGTCCGATATCTCTAAATAGCCTATGTTATCCCACGACGGAATAACTTTAATATGGAATTATTCATAATTATTACGTCAAATTAACTTAAGCTGGTAGCAACCTTGCATACATACCACTTAAGTCTTTCAAAAATATTAATGTTTCTCTATATCAAGCCTATGTGTAATTAATTCATATGTAGTATGATGTATATCACTATATACTTTATCTACATATGTATATATATAATTAATAAGCAACTATAAATAAAAATTAAGAATATATGCAAGTAAGAGAGAAATTTTCTCCAAACTAATTTCCTATCTCTGCAATATTATATTTTCTAAGATTATTTAATGAGAGTTAATACATGGCTTTCTCCCGAAAGAATTGTCACCCTTAAATAATAAAGTATATCCTACTATCCTCAGGCAAGATATTAATACATAATTAAACAAGTACTTTAAGAAAAAATTTCATTCTACCTTTAACCAACTTAATTTTAATAATAACTGGTAATTTATATCTCTATACAAAAATTATATGCAATACGTTGTTATTGTATATATTAGTATATAAATATATATTCTTTATATGAAGTATATCGTGTATTATGCTTATCTCTCTCTCTCTCTCTCTCTCTCTCTCTCTCGCTTTCACGCGTACGCTTTCACTCTCATCATTTTTTTTCTTTTTCAATTCTCTTTTTCTATCTTTCATTTTCTATTTGCTTTTCAATTTATTCAGTGTGAAAAAAGTGGATATTAAAATATATCTTAATGTGGTTTTTGTTTCTTTTTTCTTTTTCCACTCTCTTTCCCTTTTTCTCTTTTCCTACCCTGTCTCTCTCTTTCTCTCTCTCTCTCTCTCTCATGGGAGGATGCTTACTTTATAAACATAGAATGATTATCTTTTAAGAAAAACTACCACATATACAAATTTCCGGTAAATTTGGATGATGATACCAGCAGATGGAAAGGTGGATAAGGAATAGTATGCTAATATATTAAAATATTTGATTTTGCAACCAAGGGAATACAAAAAAGGTAGACGATTTTTCAATCAGTTAAGTAAAGCCTACTTTTACGTTTCCTTAAGTAGAATATACTAGAGTATATTAGCTGAAATTGTGGAGTTTTTTTTAATAGCAGTTTTAGCGATTCTTTGACGGAATCGAAATGACACTATGAAAATCTTTAAACACCAAACACGTAATAGAAGTTATTAATATGGACGATGTCAGCTCCTAATATAATAAAATATTTTCACGAATTTCCGTTTCCCTCTATAGTACTATTCGTGCCAAACAAACAACAGTGTGTAATCAATTAAGAAAATAAAAGTACAACCGTTTGGAAGAGTTCAGCAAGAGGAGGCTGCTGGTAAAATAAAATTAGCGAGAAACGAATAGATAGATGTGAAATGATAAAGCATAGGTGCTAAATCTTCTATCCTTCCCCCTCCCCACTCGCTCTTCCTCCTTGCCAAAGCTTTTTTTTTTACAGGGATAAAATTTAAATACCCAAGTTAAAAAGCGGATTCAACATAATCCCTAAATATTTATCTATTAGGCTTATCATTCTTTCGATTTTATATTAACAAAGAGATAAAATGTTTGTAATTGTTATTTGTGCATAACCGAAAGAGTATTAACTAGTACATATTGTATACTGATAATATAATAATGCATATAATATATTATATAAGTTACTTGTTAAAACGAAAATATTTAGATCATATTAAAGAAATGATGATAAATTACATTCATCTCTTTTCTTTAAATGTAGAGTATTTAATCATAGAGATTGATTCCTTCTACCTCGGAACTTTTTTCTTTTCCTCTTTTCGAAAGCTATTTTTATTTTCGTACTCACAATTATTGCAAGCTTATTCCCGCGGAACTTTTATAAAGATTAGAGAAGCTTCTAACCGAACGATTCTTCCTGTTAAGAGACTGATAAGAATAGTAATAGAGAGTAGAATCGCCGGATGAAATCGATTTCGGCTGAAATTTTGTTACTACTTCTTCAGATGCCTTATCAAAATTTAATTTTTTAGAATTAGACGCTCTTAAGTCTCCGTTCTTTAGAATAGCGAATATGATAATGAAGTATACCAGAATGAATGCCAAAGTTAATAGGGAAATACCAAAGGCAATATATTGGTTCGAACTATTCCAAACACCGCTAAATAACGACGTATCCGATCCCAAAATTTTCCAATTGATGGACCGAATAATTCTCGGCTGACAGCAATTCCCTTTACAGATTTCTATAGAATATCCTGGTAAGTTTTTTACGCAATCTTCTAAAGCCGTTAAATTATTCGACTTGCCTTTCAGGGTAACTTTCGACACCGCGCCGTATTTATTGTACAGGCAGGCAGTTTACAATGCAAAAACGGTAGGTGGCATATCAGTATGCAGGGTTTAAATAGCTTTTACACCCACCCACCCTATCGAGATGACACATTAAATCTAAACTAGTTATCGGCAAGGGAAGCGAAAAATTTGATCAATATAATTGACAAAATGTTGCAAAATCGTATCGAAATCAAAATATTTACTTAATTAGAAACATTCAAAATTTGTATGTTATTCAAAAGTTACAAAATTAATTGTATATAAATATAATCTACTAATTTCTCATCAAGAAAGAGAAAATGAAAGAGAAATACAGTTAAACGCAAAAAAAAAGAGAAAGAATTGGAAAGATTACAGAAGTTTTGTCACGTTCCGATGAAAGAATGATTCGGAAAATGAAATGTCTCGATGAAAATCAGAAATAACCGTCATTTTCAGTTATGAATGATGGATGATGATATGGACTATACTCATCCTTAATTCTCTTTCATCGCTTATCCGAAAGATGGCGTCTCATATGTTGCGTGGGAAGGGAAATATAACCAAGGCTTGTCACACTATAGGAGATACAAGAATGGCAAAAAGTGTGACAAAAAAAAACAATTGCATTTTGCCGTAAATTACTCACTAAATCCGTTTTTGCATTGCTATTTTTTGCGCTTAATTCGCTAGAACAAGCGTCTAATAGACGCCTAAGAGCGTTCGAATTTGATAATCCAAAGCAAAAAAATAGTACCAACACATCTATAAACGCTTGAAAAAATATTAGCATAATCCACTTGATAAAAAGATTAAGAAAGAGAAGCTTTCAAAAGTAGAATAGAAAGAGCTTATGACGTCATTTTAATTATTTTACAATATTTATTTTTAAAAATATTATTTTCTTTTAATGCAGTAAAATATATTGCAGTACGACAATCAGCAGAAATTGATAGATTGAAAGTAATAAACCCTCCTTAAACGGTATTCTTTTTATGTAGTTCTTATTACAAAACATATTGTAATATTAATAACATAACGAATTTTTAAACTAAACATTTTAGTGTATATATTAGTAGTATAATACAGAAATGATCTTAAAAGCAATGACTCTGAACAGATGCAGCTCATTTCTGCCTCTTATTTTTCTGGAGCCTAAGTGGCAATGTGTTCAATGCATTTTATACAATCCTACTCAGAAGAGAAATTAACAATACTATGTATATACTTTGTGTGTAAGTGTATGTATGTGTGTGTGTGGGGGGCGTGTGAGAGAGAGAGAGAGAGCGAGAGAGAGGGAGGGAGGGAGGAATTGGGGTAGTGAGTTAGGTGAGTGGGTGTTTTAACATGTATACTTTTAAATATATATGCATATACTACTGTAGTTTATTTCAAACAGTAAAGTTAATACTGTATCTTGTTATATAAAGTACATGGTATATTTTTACTAACATAGTCAGTAGTAGATAGTTAAAGCAGTAATAATAGTCTTACAAATGAATAAAAAAAAATCTTTCTCACTATGTTTGCTTTTACTATTTAAAAAAAAACTTACTAGTAGGGAAAATCTAAGTTTTATCATAATCTTTTCTCCTCTTTTATCTATTCTTTTTAAATAATACTGTCATACATTTTTTTTTTATTAAATAAGCATAAAAAAACATAGATTGTACACTTAAAAGTAAAGTATAATTTACTTAAAACGACGTATACATTTTCAATATATTTTTAGAAAATTATTGGAAAATCTATAAAAGTTCTTTCTCTGTTTCCTCTGCTTTTTTTTCTTTTTTTTTAATTTTAATATCAGTATATTCCTAAAAAATTAATAATAGTAACAAAAGAAACTACAGATAATATATATATATATACTGTATATATATACTTAATAAGAAAAATCATATCTGAAATTTATTATAGTAATTGAATTGTAAAGTACGAAAATATCTGAGATAGATGTGTTAATATATATATATATATATATGATTTAATTACCAATAAAGAGTTCGTGCTTACACGAGATTCAATGTAATTTTTATAATTAATTTATTCATCTTAGTTTTACATATTAAATAAATTGCGTAACAATTACATCTCAATTTATCAATGAATTACTGTAATCGGAAAAAAAAACTTGACTCATACAGTATATATACAGTATATATAAAGGAGAGATATTATATTTTTGCTCCTATCATCAAAAAAAAATGCCGTTCTTTACTTATTAAAAAGTATAATAGAAATGAGTAGAATTTATAGTCTTCATAGATTTTGTATATATTCTATTCATTTCATTGTAATAGTATTAGCAACTACGTACTGTTTATATATATATATATACAATCTAAACAGTTGTGCAGTATTATATACATATATATTTATATATTAATTCATTCATTTATGTAGAATTCAGGCTATACCCCTGTGTAGCATAGAATCTTGTTAAATGCACTTAATGGTATAAAAAGCATGTTACGATTTAATTGTAAATTATGTACAGTATGTAAACAGTGCATTTACTTATATATTTTTAAAGTTATATTCTATATATATACATATACAATATATATATATATATATATATACTGTATATATTTGGTACGATCGAAGTATTGTGGATCTATGTGTTTTTTATGTCAATTTATTAATTTCTTTATTTTTTTAGCCTATAATCTGTCCTACTCTGAATAAAAAACGCTGTTTTTAGTTCTTCGCCCTCATTTTCTATACAATTCCCACCGTTTGTTTGATAATTTTGCCAATGTTGTTTCTATAAAAAAAAAAAGAAACATGATCTTTTCTTTATAAAAAAATTTATGTCTGTTTTTATTTCTTTAATTTATCTAAGTCTATTTAATCCATTCCTCTAATATGATCATGCGCAAAATACTGTGCACATCTGTTTGAGCAGTTTTTGGATGACCTGATCTTGGTAAATCCGCCACATTTTTCTGTATATTTACAGGCTATCACTTTAGAATTCGTATAAATAGAGACCCAAAATATTTCGTTCGTATCTAATATCTATCTATATATACACACACGTGCCATATATATATATATATATATATATATATATATATATATATATATTAGGCTGAAACATTGATAGCTAACCTTCATAGCCTCGTTAAATTCGCATCTTGTTTAAAGCCACTTCTTAAATATTAAATGTTTATATAATTGAGCATTTTTTTTTATCAGACAGCCGTTCCGTAAAGTTCAATTTTATTCAGAATGCCTGTAGCGCCATCTAATGTATCATCGTTTGAACAGCTTCCCCTCAATAGATCAGGAGTCGAGTGAACCTCCTCATTGATATTTTTTAGTGGCGCTGTCATTGATTCTTGATCCCCTTTAAGTGGATCATGGTCGATGCGGTAGACGCATCGCCGTTTTCTGCGTTTAACATATCGAACAACTACTAATCCAACTAGAAAAGCAATTATTACAATTAGTAAACAAGTTAAACTGACGCTTATCAGTCTTAATCTACTTATATTCGCCTGGTTAGATGAAAACTTAGACGAATCAGTGAAGGTTACTATAAAGGTCACTTCAGATTGACCGGCCGAGTTCCTAGCCTGGCACTTGTAGGAACCGGTGTCTTCATTGGAAATTTTATAGAATACAAGAGTGCTATTATAGTCAAATATGTGGTCGTCATTAGTCCTGCTGAGTACAATTTTTTTCCTACTCTCTTCTGGCAACAAAATTCTGGATCCTTTGTAAAACCATGCTACTTCTGGTTGAGGATCACCACTAGATAAACAATATAGTGACGAATTAGATCCTTTTCTCGTTGTTAATCTCGTTTCAGAGTGTGATAGGATTGTAGGAGCGCAAGCAAAACTTGATGTATTTAAAGACGTCCAACCAACACCTTCTAGCAATTCGGGTTCACTACAAGCTGGGATTCTCCTACCGAATTTCCAACTTATCGTCCCTCTCTTTGATTGACAATATTTCAATAACCAACGTAAATGACAATCACAATTCCATGGATTTTTAAATATTCTTAGGACGCTTAAACTCGGTGGAAAAAATGTATCGGAGGAGATTGTCTGCAGTTCATTCCCCGCAATATTAATCTCTAATAGTTTGTTTAAATCCTCAAAAGCTTTTGGATGGATATTCCGAAGACGACAATGACATAGATCGATCTTTTAAAAAGAGAGAGATAAATAATTAGAAATCAAATGAAATTTAACAATGATAAAATAGTTTCAGCGTACCTTCGTTAACCGAAGGAGACCAGACAAATCTGATCTTTCCAAAGTCCTAATAGGATTGACTCGTAAAATCAGTTCTCGAAGCTTATAAAGCATCTTTATAGCTTCTGATGGTATCCTTTCAAGACGATTCTTACTCAAGTCTAAGATATGAAGATTCTCAACTGGATGAAAAGCTGCGGCTGCTATATATTTTAGATGGCATGCAGTTATATATATCTCTTGCAATTGAACGTAACGATCGAGTGATGTTGAACTGAGTTTAATAAGACGATCTTCAGATATCTTGAGAACTTTTATATCCAGGTCAAAATCCGTCGGTATTCGCTCAATACTTTGACCAGTACAGATGGCGTTTAATCGCCCGCTCATTGAGATGATTATACAAGGGTGGAGAAGGATTGGAGAGAAGGAAATTAGTAAGAGATACAAGGGTAGAATGGCTTCTTTCATAATTGAATTTTCTCTAATATTGATCTGGCCTTTCGGCTTCTTTCTAATTATCTTCTTCACTAATCGGTTTTGACTAATTTGTCGGCGAGAGGTCTGGAACTAAAGGCGTCGTTCAGTTAGAAGCGAATACATATTTATTTTATTTAAATCTTCATAAATAAATTCAATCAATATATAGTGCATGAAAAATATATCATTATAAATATATATAATGATTGATGATAAATAAGTAATTGTTGATTTGAATATAAGAGTGAAAATATATTAAAAGTAGTATATAAGGATGGAGAGAAGGAAGACAATTAAGGATGGAGTATAGTTAAAAAGTTTATTTGAGTTTTTTTGATGCGATCTACGTTTATACGGATGAAAGGATATTTATAACATATGAACCAGTCACCTATGTTTATTAAACTAATAGTCTCCATATTAAATATGAACGTCTGATTTAATTACCGTTCTTAGACTTTATTCACTTAGTTTTAAATCTTAAATAGTTGATTAAATAGTCCTTTTAATTCATAGACTTTCGTCCCTAAAGATATAGTAATTAGATTCTCTTTAAAGTGATCAGTCTTAAAAAAAAACACTCCTCAAAAAAAGAGTATATCTTTAAATCAGCGGTTTTTTTTCTTTACACTATTAACTAGTAAGATATTTATGAACAATACAAAGTTCAATAGAGAAAAGAAGAAGGGATAAACAATGGAAAAGTAATAAATAAAATATATTAGGGAGTGAAGTGAACAAGTCTGCGCAATTACCTATTGTACTTATTGTAAAGAATATAAGCAAAGTATATTAGTTTTACAGTGTAATATTGCATTCTGAGTATGGATATCATCTACAGTTTATAAAATAAATCAATAATTCTCCGATTTCATAGTCATCTCTTTCCTACAATTTGTATTTATTACTAATGGCCGGAATAAATCCAATCTTTATATTATTCTTAATAGGTATCAGTTAGAAGAAAGGGGAACAACCATCACCGACGCCCTACCCTCCGTAAATAATTACTATTTTACATCTCTTACTCCTTTTCCCTTTCTTATCTTCTTTTAAGAAATAAAAAAAAGTGGAATATTAGAATATAATACAAATTTATTCATTAATTTCTCGGATGTAGACTATCTTTTGAAAAAGATGCAAACAAAGTCCAATGTAAGGCAGAATTGATACTGAAAACCAGTATAAGTAAAAGAAAATAACTGCCTGATCAGGGTGACAATTGTTACAAAAGATTAAGGGCTTATTACAGAACTTGTTTTTGCATCTACTTACGTGCACTCGACAAACAAAGGAGAGTTCCAATAAAAATCTCGTTCCTACATAATCGAATCAACGCAATTCCCAAGACCAATCAATATTAACTATTCGCTAATCAATCATAACTTATTCATGAAATCGCACGCTAGAGTAGTTTAAATAAGGTAACAGTTGAAATAAAAAACCGGAAGAAAGTTTTAAAAACTAAAACGGAAGCTGGTGTGGTAAAAAATGGAATAATTTTAGAGGAAAAGAAGGAAATGAAACAAAATAAAATAAAAGGTGAAAAAAATACAAATTTTCCACTTTTTTATATAGTTCTTTGTTTTGAAAAATGCTCGTTTTTTTTAGAATAAATTGCATCAAAAAGATGAAAAGAGAGAGAGAGAGAGAGAGAAAAAGAGTGTGAGAGAACAACATCGTTAACTTTCGAATATAACATCCTTGCCAAACCGTTCTAGAGCTTCGGTAATTCGATTTACGCTTATGTTAGACTAATAAATGAATGAGCGGAATAATTAATGAACGTATACTTGTGTTAGGCCTAGCATTAATGGGCTAGATTGTTTACGGTTATGGTCAATAAAATAAATTTCTTAAATGACAACCATTCATTTAAGTTTAATATACTTGTATATATCTATACTTATGTAGAGTATTTTCTTAAAATTGTTAACCTTAACAATCGAACAAAAATAAAAGAACGTTTGATTCTCTTTGCAAACTTCAAAAACTTTTCTCTTTAATTTTAATAGAGTAAATAAATCCCTCACTTGTATGATTTCTTTAATGTGTATCTATATTTATATATAAGTTTAGATTTGTACTATTAATACAGGAAAAAACGTTTCATTCGCTAAAGAAACACAACAAACAATTCTCTTTTTAAGGCAAAAACATTGAATTAACTAGTTTTCTTTTACAATTATTAATTTATTTCAACTTGAAGAAACCGTTGAAATAAACTTTATATTGAAATATATTTAATGCCTCTATTTATATATAGATTTAAAAATAAAATAGAGTCATGTATTATCGCTCATATAATCAAGCTAATCAAGCTTGAAAGGTGTTAGTCAAAGGCGTAATGAAGGCTTTTACCTGTTGGCTCGTCTACTTTTCTCATCATTCCTAAGTTTAATTTTTAAGAAATTTTTTAAATTTTTTCACCCATGCAAAAGAAAAAATAAAATTAAGAATTAAAATAGTAAAGTATATTATATACACTAATAATACTACTAATATAATGGAACGAAGTCATGCGCAAGTAGCCAAAGGACTGAAAATTATGAATAATTTATTAAAAAAGTATATTATTTTGTAATGGTTGACAAATTTTTATATTCTCTTTAATTGGTTGAGAAGTTGACTTGTTTTTAGAATATACTGGTTTGTATAAACATTCGTCGAAAAGGGTTTGCAAATATCCATAAATAATTAATATTATAGACAATTATAGACAGTTGATAAACACACATATACTTTTGTTGGATTATCATTTATCAGGTATTCATTCTTAAGAGAAAATATAATAGTGACTCATTATTTACATTTTCATTTGTATTAATATTAATTAATCGCCATTTTTTATTATATAATATTTGGAAAATTACATAATTAATATATTAATATTCATAAATATACAAATAAAGTATATATTGGCATTGAAATTTAGTAGAAAATGTATATAACCAATTGTCCCTGTCTACCTATTTTTTTGTAAACATGTCATACAAATAATATTAGTAATTGCAATATAATAGTTCACTTGGGAATAGACGATGTTCAATAATTTTAAAATTTTATGCTTATAATAGAAGTATGCACTACTTGCAACGTAACTAGATTAATGTTAAAAATTAGAGTAAATCCTAAATAGTTAAGAAGACATTCGTAAATATTAAATATATATTACATGATATTACATCCCTTTATTTCCTCGAATGTAGATCTACTGTATATATCATTTTTATATTAAAGTTCGTATATAAAATATATATATATATGTATACTGTATTTCTACAATTTCCAACCTTTATAAACTAATCAACAAATATAAAGTCGACCTATTTATATTTATGCTGTCTATCTCAAATTTTATATACACTTTTTTTCGTTTATTTCAACATATAGCCTCGTAAAAGATGGGCTAGAAAGAGCTAAAGAGTGAAGGAGAAAGAGAAATAAAAAGATAGAGAAATGGAGATACGGGAAAAGAAAAGCAGCTGTAACATGCTCAGATGATAAACATTACTTCATACTTTTTATGCCTTGCAGGTGGTGGAAATTTGCTGTATTTATAAACAATACTTTATATACGTGAACCTAATTCGCATTAAGCGATTGCGAAAGTCATTTTTATATTTAATCCTGTAAAATATATAGCGAAAGATGATAATAAAGAATAAATAAACAGAGGGAAATATTTTGAAGCTATATTTCTAAAGGATTTATCAGTTATCGGGATAATAGTAGAAAAAAAGAGAAAAAGATCTAAAAAATTTGCCAGCCACATGAAAAAGAGAGACATGGAAGAAAAAAGTGACGATTCTCTTTTACTCTAAAGTCTACTAACAAAATACGACTAAACAAGCACGATCTTTTGTACTATTAGTCTAGTTTTAAAGCGTATGTATTACGCAAATATAGCACCTTTGCGACTAATTCGTTACCTATATGTATAAGTCATACAGAGAAAACCTGGTAAAATACGAAAGATAATGAGGAAGGAAGACTAAGAAAGAGCGTATTCAAATGGCGAAAGACCGTGAAAGATAAATAATTATGTGACAAAAAATTTTTAAGCAACTTACTTTTGTCTGCCTTTTTCCCCTTCTATTTTCTGACCAGGTATACGTATGTATCTTGTCTCTACTGATAAAATTGTTTAAAAAGTGGAAAAAAATTCGAGTAACGCCGGCGACGCCTTCGCGACGCCGAATGGCTAAGGCAGATGCTCGTGGCGCTACTTTCGCGCCTCTTCTCTCCTCGTTTCCTTACTGTAGCAGCTTTTGTTAAAGATTATCAGGGAATAAATAAGAGATATCTGTAGATAAATAAATGAAAATGATGCTAGTAGAATGAAAGATTCTTTCCCCATTATAAAAGAATTCAAATATAACATTATAGATATCGTTGTTTAATTAACAACTTACAGAAGTCTCATTTATCAAATAGAAAAAGTAATATATCTCTGCTACCTGATACAGTTATACGTTCAAACTTATTACATTACTGATTTATACATATGAACGTGTAGAGTATTATAGACTTCATGACAAAATATGTATATTATATTAATTCATAATTCCAACTTCCGGGGTAAGAGAATACTGTTTATCTATTTATGAAACTAAAAATCCTTTAAAGCAATTTATATAAAACTACTGTATATACCTTTACCCACATGTATTCTAAGAATACACAGTTCTCTGTACCCTTAATATAAATATATAAGGTATATAGAATATCTTTTACTCATTTACATATATTGTACTATCTATAATTGTCTTTTTTGCGTACAGAACTATAAGGATTAATAATGATGCTAATTGGATATAAAACACCAGCAGTATAATTAATATATAAATGAATTTATCTTTCAGAGATTATTTAAAAATATGTCTACATGTTTTTCGATATTCTTCATATTCCCTCCAAGCAGCAAGACTTAAGAACCTATATTAAAGCAGGTAGAGTATTCAGATCCGTTTTTTTTTCTCTCTGAACAAACAGACATTATATGTCTAATAGTAACAAATTAATAATTACCTTGACTTTATTAAACGTGTCCTATGTCAAACTTTGTAAACAAAGGGATCTTAGCGCTAATGAGTATATAATAATTCCTTTCGCAATTGCGTGGGGATTTTCCGACAATCGATAGAAATTTTTGATCTTTTAATGCTTTTTGTGTCCATTTTCCTATTTCAGTCCATTATGAAAACATATTTTGTCCAAACTAATGTCCGACAGACGAGATTATTGTATTAGACTATATAAACATTAAGAAATAAGTTTGTATAATTGACAGATTTTTTGCTACTCTTTCCTACTCTGCAAATACGATGTTATCAGCTTTAAAGAGCTTATTATATAATTAAGAGATCAATAAAATGTAAAATCAAACTCTTCATTTGTATTTCATTTGCTTTTATTTCTGGTATTCTACCGAGCAATTACATCTTCATTAAAAACCTATTGACTGTGACGTAATGTTTTCCAGGGGAAATATCCCACTTCAATTACGCCATCTAATGGCGGGATGCCGCTACAACTAATTAACAGTACCCAATTTGATTAATATATAGTTGAAAGGCTTTATTCTCAAGTGACTTACGTTGTGTTGAGCATATGCAAAACTCGCCAGCCTATACAGTACATTAAATAATTATGAAAAGATTTGCTAATTTTTGTCCCACAATAGTTATAGATTTAAACTTATTATTGTTATTATTCTATGAGCTTTCTCTCTATATCTTGTTCCCTGTCTTTGTCTCTCTTTTGTATACATACATTTATATTTATATATATATACTGCATATAGAAACAATTCTTCCGGGCAATTCGTAAACTCTGCATTAGCATGTGAATAAAATGCTATAAAATGAAAAAGTTTGCAAAGTAATGTAACGTCAATGGAAAATTGCGATGATTTTCCTATTCTCAATCTTCAATTGATTTTGTCATATTATATATTTATATTTTGCCGCTATTCATGGATATCTCACTCTTATGTTTCTCTTATTTTTCAAGAATCGTTTACACTGGATATACACAGTTTATGGCAGATATATCAAATACATTATTATGCAGTGTATATGGTCTGTCAACTATATACATATTTATATTTAGGTGTGACTATTTCGCCTATAAAATCTAATTAATGAAACAATAGTATGTGGCTTTGGTTTTAAATCTCTGTAGTTTGATTAATATTTGAACATACCTCACACTAAATATGAACATGTTCTTATATGTCTATTTATGGTTTATGGAAAAAGGAAGAGACGACTTAAGTTTTACGCAATAGTTGCGCTAATACTATCTTTCCAATAGTGAATTGGATTGAAGTTGTTCCGAATTCTTAAATCTACCAGCCGAATATAAACATTGAGTTAAGACGGTTCTAAATCGGCCTTAGACGGTCGACTTGCAACGATGGAAGGAAGTAACGGACAAATTTATAGGCTTTTGATCTAATCCGGCTCGCGACGTTACTCGCGCGATTTCTTCTGTTATTACGGCTCGTGATTAGGACGGAATGAAAGGTTTCACCCTCACTCTTTCATCAACAAAACACCGACTTTTTTCGACGAATTGTTATGCATCCTCAGGCGTGATCCTTTCTCTCTAACATTTAACTGATTCCCTATTCCTTCTTCCTTGTGAGACATAAACCGCTTTGTTTAGCCAAAGGGATTATATTTGCTAGATACTCGGAAGCGTTCGCCTCTTTGCGCTCCAAGATTTATTAAATAAGTAGATAAAGTTACAGAAGAAAGGAAAGAATTTCCTGACATATAATTCTCACTTGCCTCTCCACCAGTATCTACTGATAACACATTTATTTATATTCCTGGTAGCTGACTATAACGAAGCAATTTAAACACTTCCCTGTTGATAATTATCATGATGAAACGCACGTCTTTCTTAAAAACATTCATATAATAATGTAGGTCTTTATTATTTTTCTTCATATGAAAGCAGCATGATATTTGTGTTTTTATAAACATTTGAAATAGTAAAATTGTTTGCCAAATAATATACTCTTTCATCTAATTAATGTGCTTGTTTACTGCAAAGCCTTATATCTTTCCGTATTGTTTGGCTATTTTCCATTTTTTTGACGAGAGAAAAGCAGAAAGCATTTACGATTTAAAAAAATATATATTTATTTTTTTTTTAAATATAAAAAGGCCTAATCCCGAAAATGAGTAGATAAATAAGACAGTAAAAAGTTCCTGGAGGCTCATAAATCAACAGTTTTATTGTTAAACGTATCGTAAGGTGACCGGAAGGGGATAGAGAATAAAAAGTAATACTACGTTTCCCCCAGGCCGCTTAACTCATACAGACAGGAATGTGATAATTATTCGTCATAAGAATGGAATAGATTCGTACAAGGAAGACGATGAACGCGTCCAAATTGGCTGTCTTCGTCTCATGGGAAACGATTTTCGGTCTTTTGACGAGTTTTCCTTCAACAATTCTTTAGTCCCTCTAAGGATACTTCGCTTTAAAAAAGAATTTTCCTTCTCCTAAATATCTTTTCAATATTTTCACTAGTTAAGAGTTTTTAATAGTGAGCATTACATTATTCGCAGTCAACAGATTTCACCATCCTACAGGAAATCATATGAATTAAGAATATCTTGTCTATTCATGGTTCTATTTAGAGTTAACACTCTGAAAAATATCAGATATTTTTCAAATGTGAGACGCTTCTAATGCCGTTGCACCACAGATGGCGTAACCTTCCACAAAACACTGATTACTCACATAAAGATGAGATGGCTGTGAGACACGATTAATTTTTCTACATGACTTAAGTTGTTTTATCTGAAATTATTGGCATTCAGCAACTATAAATAATAGGCTTTGTTCATCTTATACTTTATTATATAATTTATTTTTTCTTCTGCAAGAATAATCCTTTGTAAGACTCCTTACATTAATTCTTATCTTTGTGATTGAAGAATAAGCATAAGAAAGATTTTTCTATTATGGGTAATTAAATCTTGTAAGCAATTCTCTTTAATAATAATTTATACTCTCAGTAAATTCGCCATCTACTATGTCGGTGATATTTAGATACTTTTAAGAATAACTTGTCCGCTTGATGTCAGCAAGCTAAAATGATATGATAAATTTCAATGATGGGTATCTATGGTGAATCAACTACAGTAATTTTGAACAACTCGACATATTCGATAGTATTAAAGTTATTATATTTAATAAGGGCAAAAAGTAGTGTTTCCACGAAGAAATCGTTTATAAAATGTTTAGTCCATTCTGGCTTTAAGATGTCTTGTAGTAACTTTATCTTTTTCACTGAAATATATCAATATTAATGAGATATTTGAAGAGGTGACTGCCAATAGACTTACATTACGTGGACAACACCACCCCAACCAGAAACACAATCTCTATCTACCGCATTCATCAAGGCTTGTGAAATACATTCGAAAAGGGCGTCTGGAGACTATTTAAACAAAATTTTAAGGTCATGAAAATTCTAGGTACAAATATTCAAAACTTTTTTACCATATCTGGGACCCACAATGATTCACACATGCCGTACATTTGTTCGGTACAGGTTCCCGCTACAGCAAAATCTTCAAGAATCACAGAACATCCTATCAGATCTGCTGATGCAATGAAAGGTTTACCAGTTTTTTCATTTAAACCAGCAATTACAGGTTCAACAAAATATGGTCCAAATCTGTTGTCATAATATGAATAAAAGTTATTTGAGCGAAATATGTTTTTGGTATTTAAATATTACCGTCTTTCATAAAGTAGGTTGGAAACCATACTCATTAGGGTATCTGGTTTAACTTTTCTATTTTCTCTAAGTTCATACAAGTTCTTTCGGAATTGGATGCGCTGAGCTCTAAAATGATTTGAAAGATTATGAGAATTTTCTTGAAAGTTGTTAAACTCTTTTTTAAAAGATTGCTATGTGACGGTGAACTTATTAAGCAATCTTTTAAATCTTGCAATATTTGACATCACTACAACAGATGAATAGATTCCAGGTTATATAGAAATAAAAATGATTGCAATCGCCATGACGCAGCATATAAAAATAAAACAGTTTTAACCGTTTTTTTTCTTAATGATGCTATCTATAGGCTCATATTTAACAAATATGTTCTTGGATTTTTGAAAATAGCTTAGATTCAAAATGCTTACACTGTCTGAACATCAGTTGCCAAACCCGATAAGCCGATAAATAAATGTGGCCCTATTTCAAAAATCTTTTGGAAATCCATTGCGACAGTTTGTAACTGTATTCCAAAACGCTTATCGGAGGCGATTGCTACACAGTCTTTTCCAGTCATGGCTATAATAGCCGATCCATTGTACTGCATTATACTCTGAAAATGTTATAATATCGCTCAGTTATACAAAAACATTAAAAAATTATGTACAAACCATGACGAATTAGATTTCTATTACTTTCCAAATAAATCCTCTAAATATGTAAATGATATCTTTGAATAGTTACTATGACAAGGGAAACGGTAGGCAAAGTAATTTGTAGAAAGGTAAATTTTAAATACTCATGATAGAAATCTTAAGGAGTACGGAACCGGAAATTCAGCTTGCTTATTATTTTAGTAATTTTTTTCTGCAATATATTTATTATAGATAAAATTTTGGGAAGAAATTCTAAATGTATTGATATGAGAAACAGTTATAGATGCAATTGTTATTCGCTGTTTAAGCTTTATTGCAAAGTCACAGCGAAAGTAGGGTTGTGTAATTGAGCTGGAAAGCTGATCATGTTCTAACCAACGCTGTGTGACAATATAGCATACAAAATGGCTTCGCACGACACAGAATGGTTGTCTGTCGAACTAGGAAATTATTATGATATAGGCAAGGATATACAAGATATAGTGTTTCATCCAACTCTAAATACAATCTTAGTCATAAATTCTGATTCCACTGTTCAAGTTTTGGACGCGGGTTCTGGCTTAAAATTAGCAGAATCAGATTTGAATGGTAAGTTGTGCAATATCAAGAAAGAATCCATAATTAAAGATTCTTTATGAACCTAATACAATAAATTTGAACAGCAAACACCGAGAATGCTCTTAGATGCGCCTATTTACCAAAATCTGACCGGCTGGTCTTTACGAATGGAAATAAATTGTCTTGTCGATCTGATTTCAACGGAATCATCCTTCTACCGTCCTCTTTGCAGTCAGGAGTTTGTAGTCTAGATGAGACGATAAAACTAGAATTGCCACTTCCAGAGGTAAGAAAGCATATTTTTGATTAAAGAAGTTAGTAAATAAACTAACTTTCTACCTCCAAATAGGCGTACCATCTATATAAAGCATTATGTGTTGGGGACCTGGAGAATGTAGAACACTGTAAAGAAATAACGAATTGTTTACAAGAAGCAGTAGTTAAAGCACGAACAGAGAGTTCCAACAAAAACCATAAAATAGCAAAGGTTTGACGCGAATATTTCTTTAATTATAGTTGCTAAAGTTTAAATGTTTTTATTCTGACTTAGTGGGCGGTCGTGTGCATGGAAGCACCTATAGGAAAATTAAAAACAGTTTGCTCTCAACTTGTAGAAGAGTTAAAAAGAGATCGTAGCAAACATAATTTACCTGGTCTACCTGTAGCATCTTCAGTTGTTTATAGACTGCAAAATCTTTTTGAAAATTCAACGACAGCAGATACTCGTTCACTAATGTGCAGTGAAGAAGCCCGTAGAAATACCTTTACTTCTTGGCCGCATATGACATATAAATGGGCTCTTCCCGAAGCTATGGCAGAAGCCGGATTTTATCATCAACCTAACTCCACCGGTGAAGATAGAGCCCTATGTTTTACGTGTAACGTTTGTTTAGTGTATTGGGAGCCATGCGACGAACCATGGTCAGAACATGAAAGGCATTCTCCAAACTGCCCTTTCGTCAAGGGTGAATATACGAACAATGTCCCACTATCTGTTTCGAATGCAACAGAACGAGCAATGTCTAGCGGGGAAGAAGAGGTATTTAATTACACCATATTTAAACCTTAAATCATATGACACCACAATCATAATATTTTTTTTAGATCACTGTAATTGGTTGCTCCTTAGGAACTGATTGTTTTGCAACTGGAACAAGCAAGGGAAATATAACTCTGTGGGATAATTCAATTAATTTAAAGGTTGGTAATTTATCCGATAGCATCTATATTATTTATTTTATTCAATTATTTGCAGAAATATCTAGAATTTGCTGTTAATCCTTGTGATCCCTTAATATTATTTGAATTAGAAGAGCTATCTTCCAGGAAACAATCTGATTACAGCCGTCCATTAACTGACATCAATTTAACAGCATTATGCGTTCTAAGGTCTAAACATAATCCTCAAGAAAGTTGCAGCGTAATAGGTGGAGTTACGGTCAATTTAAACAAATTACCAACAAACGAAGTCGAAGATTTAAATTCCGTCAATAAAGCCATTACGGCAGAAAATATCATAAATGATGAACCTAGTGTTCAAAAAGAGTCCTTGAGCTTACTCTTGGTTTGGAGTGTCACAGACAGTACTAGTCTTGCCCTGCATAAGAAAAATGGAAAAACAATGAAAAATTCAGAATCAGTAAAACCCCCACTACCACCTGCACCTGAAGGAGGTTGGGAAGACGATAACTACTTTGAGCATGTGCCTGATAGTCCAATGAAATTGATGCAAGACGTCTTTCTCACCGGACCATCGTTGACTGACAGCGAAAATCTGCCTTTCTTACCGCAAAATCCTCTTCACATGGAAGAACCTAATGATACCTATGTTAATTCTGAAAAGGGCAATCCCTCAGCTGAGTTAATTCAATGTGTAAGAGTTAATGGGGAAATGACAAATGTGCTATCAACTATTGATGGAAATTTTATCATAGTAGCTGTCAAGGGGGAACAAACTTCGAAAGTATTTGTTTATAGTATTCTTCAAATGGGAATTAACTCAAAAGCTTGTTGTGAAAGAGACATTGATGGAATTATCAAAAATTTGTGCTTATTACGACAACAGGCTATTTTCAGCCAAGATACTGATTCCGTAGATGAGGAAACAGAGAGTGACCCACAGGAAGATGAAAATCCTCCGGAGCGAAAAACTGCCTGTGGAATGATGGCTGTCACTTTAGTTTGCGGTGACTTATTAATTCTAGACCTGTCAAACCTAAATACTCTTGCAAGAATTCGAGACGCTAAATTTGTATCGACAACATATTGTTCGTCCTTAGATAAACTATGCGCTACCACAACTGACGGTAAATTAAATATGTATTCACTCGTAATGAAAAAAGCTCGCAGATCAGCGAAACATTCATCGTCAGAATTAGAGAATGGTGATTTACGATTAGAAGATGATGAGAGAACTACCACTACAATTGATATCAATCCCACTACTCTGAAGAGTTTACATAGTCTTCTTCAAATGCAAACTTTAAAATGTCATATAACTGCTCCCCAATGTTGGACAGAGATACAAAACGAATCCAGAAGAAATATGATTCAACAACAAACTCACACATTTTCTAGAACTTGGCGCTTAGAACAAGATTCGTATAGTTGGGATGAACATTTGTTTGATATATCTTTGCATAAGCCGAGCTCTGTTGCTCATGTTGATTTAACTTTGAAACTTCGAAATTCTTCGAATCATCATTCAACAGTTCAAGTTACTCTTCTTAAGCAATTTTCCGTCTCTTCCACTTTACAACGAAAAAGCAATCACAAAGCTCCAGTTGCTGGTCGTTCCATTGCCAACCCTGTAAAAGATAATGAGTTTTTGGCAGAACATAACGCTCAAATCCTTGTCGGCCCAATAGAACTATCTCAACATGTAGATGCGAATGGTAAATTTGCCTATATAACTCTTTCTAGTCCTGAATTGACAACGTCAAAAAGCAGAAATCTTTTGTTGCATTTTAAATGTACCTACATACCTTGTAACGCTCTATCTGAAAAGACTCTATTAAAAAGAAGAAAATCGAACGAATATCTCTTGTCATCAGCAAGTTCAAAAAATGATGTTAATGCTTTTGGTTGTGATATAATTAGTGAAATTGCAATTTCGGTCAGGAAATATAAGAAGCTGGATGTGAAAGAGAAATCAGAACGATCATTGATGCTACGTAATAGGTGCTTCCTGGAAAAACTCGTACAATATATGTGTGAAAACGACTGCAGTCGTTTAGAGCGAGAAAAATTGTTATGTTTGGACATCTTACAATGGAATGCTGGATTGCATTTTTATTCGAAGCTGGAGAACAGTGTTGTTTTGGATGTGATTGTTGATAAAATCGATATTATTCTAAGGTCTTGTTTATTAAATGGATCACGATTGGAATCAGATAGAGTTTGCAAATTGTTAGTCCTCTGCTTTGATAAACAACGTTGCAAACGACATGAACCGCGCCTCTTAAAAGCTATATTGACTATGTTATCATCAATAGAGACTATTGTTTCGGCCAATGCTCTCTATTCCGTATTCCTATTATTGGACCAAGTTAAAATGGCTGATGTTGCAACGGCTGGTGAACAATGTATTCAAGTATTAAACAGAATAGCTAAATTATACACTGAAAGAGATAGTGAAATGTATGCTCTTTTAAGATCTAAATTTGACCTGTATGGAAGACCTTTTGATCCCCTGATATTTCATTTTCAATTGAACCAATCGAAAGTTTGGAGTAAAAGTGTTCCTGTTACCTATTCATCTGCTGTAAGCCAAACCACCTCTTCAACCGCTGCAAATATAACTAACAGCACAGCAGAATCAGGAGAAAAAGCTCAACAAGTTTATGACTGGCACTCAGAATTTCAGGGATATTCAAGCTATGATAAAAAGAAAAGAGTTTTTTCGCCCTTTGGATTGTTGGAAGTTGAACCATTGCATTTAACTACCCACTCAGCCAGTGAAGGCATGAGAATGGAGGGAGCTGACTATACGCCCAGTGTTGCCCCTGATCCTGTAGTAAGCGGTTGGACTAGTTACGGCACCAAAGGCGGAGCTGAATCAAAACTGCCACTAGCTGGTATTTTTGTCTCTCATTCAAAACATTTATTATCAAGTATGCCTGCTACACCGAAAACTACCCCTCAAACTGTTACGCCACAGGGTATGACACCATCTGCCTCACCTCCAGATAATTTTCAGTATCTGTCAGGTGCTCATTCTCCTTTTATTTCCAAAGGAGCTCAATCTAAAAGTGACCAGAATCAGACATCTATTCCTTCACCAGCAATCGGAGGAACATTAACACTACCACCAGCTCAATTACTACTTGTTGATGGTATGCACTCAGGAGCAAGAAGATACATTACTCTGGACGCAGGAAGAAGTATTATGCTAACTGATATAGTAATTCCAACTTTACCAACAAATGTAGCCAGTTTGGCTATTGATGTTTGGGATGAAAGTGAAGAAAGTAATTCACAAAGAATATTGTTTAGCACTGACGTTTCACAAAGACCAGTCCATCTTTCATGCTTATCTCCCCCTCCAATATGTCGATACATAAAGTTGACAGCCACTGGTGGACACGGATGCTGTACCACTCGAACTGTTCTACCTTTGGGACATTTCTTCGGATATTCGATAATTGAAAATGAAACTGTTGCTATGCACAGGCTCAATTCTTTAGTGTCTCATTACGAAGATGTTCACTGCAAGTATAGCTTAGCCTGTCACAAATTATCGTCAAATTTGCATTCCTTGTCTGGCATTGATGAGTCTGAAAAAGATAAAAAAGCAGTAAAAATATTGAAAGATTCTTATTATACTTGTCTTCAGCTACAACTGCAATTGAGTTTCATCCATAGATCTATGAATCGATTTCGTAGATTGCTGGGCCAAAACTGTGAAGAAGAAGAAATACCCACTGATAAGCTAATGGTTATCTCAGAATGTTTGTTGTCTACTTTACTGTGCTTGACCGTTTGTTCTTCGGGTACAGCTGATACAAATGCTATTGGAAATGCACTAACCCCCAGTGTTTGCCATAATCTGTTACAATCTCTCTGTGTTAAAGGAACTCCGAAAATGCAAGTTTTAACGGGAATTTTCCTCGTAAGGGTTCACGGAACTCAAAGTTGGTGGGGTACTTTTGTGGGAAACAGTATATGCGACTTGTTCGCGTATCCCAATTGTAATTTTATACCCAAACAGAGATTACTTTCATTATTTACAATTCTTGGACATAAAACAATATGCAGTGCTTCAAAAGCAAGAAATTATTTGGAAAGTCTTCTTACTTTATTATCTAGATTCCTAATGCCTCTCCTTGAAGTCTTGGCCCAGAATGGAACTGACGAAGACATTGCATTAGCAACCAGCAAATTAGATCTAGAACTGCTTACATGGATTCTTTTATTTTTATCCAAGAATTTAGAAGTAGTATCAAGTCAGAATGAAGAAAAAACAAATATGAGATCTCGTTGGTGCTTTCTTCAAAGCGATGTAAAAGCAGGACACGACAGTGCTTCAGGTGGGCCTTATAGTAGTTCTCAATGCGAAAAACTCTATAAAAGAAAATTACATAAGAGATTGCTGCACCATAAGCAACAATTATTGGAATTGCAGTCGGTCAAGTTGAACAAATTACAAAACTTAGCTGCAAATGCTATAGAGGCTCAGCAAATAAGCAAAGAAGCGGAAAAACTTGCGAAAAAAGAGCAGCAAATAATTAGTAAAACATTAAAGCAATACGAATCCAAAACTTTCAAAGACGCCCTATTAGCCCGTCGTAAATTGGATGAACAGATGAGGAAGCGATTTCCCCCTGAATCTCGCTCCCATGCCTCTCATATGGCTATAAATTTGAGTTCTGTTGTTGATATTGAAAAAGAAAAATGTATACCTGTTGTTAAAGGTCTAGTCGGGCTACTTTTGACTATTGATGTATCTTCAAACGTTCATTTGTTGCTTGTTCTCTGCAAATTAATTGCCAAGATATCTCATTTGCCGAAACCAAGTATTAACTTATCAGAAGCTTTAACACCATCGCAATTGAAAAACCTTATGCTGTTACAATCAGAATGCGATAGCAAACATCTTTCGGGGCCATGGACATCTCATGCTGTTAACTCATTACTATATGATTTGGTACAACAGCAGAGTGATTCGTCTTCGCCAATTAACTTTACAGGAGAAGCCGCCATTCCAGGAGTTTCCGGTGCTTCAGGGAGCAACAACAGTAATAATGCTACTGCAAGCACAAGTTCAGGTGCTTGTGGTGGAGCGACGGCCAGTGCTATCTCCAATGTCAATTCAAGTTCTAACCTTAATGCAAGTGGAAGCGGCTTATCATCTTTTGCATCGTCTTCTAGTAAAGTTGAACAAATGGATTTATCTTTTTCTGATGAAGATTTGCCTATAGCGGAACAAAGTAGCGACAAGGACGGAAACCCTGATTCCTCAAGTGACGATACCGTCATGAATAATCTTCCTGATTTAAGTATTGTTGGAGCTCCAATTACGATTATTTCTGATCCTCAAGTTGAGCACATGAATGAACCAAATAATATTTTTCAATCATCAGTCCTTGATGTTTTGCTAAATGATCATATCAAGAAATCATCAAATTTGTCGAAACATTCTAATAGTAGTAATAATAGCAACAACAGCGAATCGACGAATATTTCAATGGCCATCGACTCTAGAACTCAAGTTGGATTACAAATTTTAGCAGATTTGAAAATAAGAATGACCGCTTCAAACCTGCAGGATAGCTTACATTCATCTTTCGTATCAACTTTACCATTATCTAGTAATTATGGTCATTCATTGCATAGTTGTTTGAAACCATCTGTTGAAGATGAGAGGAGACAGACAGAAATAGTCCGTATTCTAAATATGAAATCATCAACAAATGAAGAATTGATATATACAGCTTTAGACGACCTTGTATATTTATTTAAAGAAGGAAAGTTAAATATAGATACTCTTTTGAACATGTGGTCCTCGCTTGCAAGCATTTTGAATTCTCCTATACTACGAAAGAACATGCCGGTTGTCATCTTGATGCGAATTGCTGATAATTTGCTTACAATACTCTCTTCCCAACATTTCCTAAATGTTACCACTAGCGTTCTGGCTTTAAACATATTAAGTAAGTTATGCGTATCCGAAATCGTTGCAACAAATTTGTCATCCAAGGACGAGATATTTCGCTTGCTAAAGTCTTTATTAACGGACATGAACACTGAATTAGCAGGTCCGGGAGTTTGCACCGCTTTATCTAAATTTTTAGCTGATTTACAAAAAGGAAAACTCTGCTTGGAAATCATGTTCAAGTTGGCTACAGATATATGTCAGGTATGGCCCAGAGGTCCAATCGATTTACAGCATTCCTTCCTGACTTTCCTCTCTAAGATTGTGACTGGAAAAAACAGCAAAATATCTCAAAACTTGGCTTTGCAATACGTTCAATGCGTATCTACCTTGATTTCAATTGGAATAAATACTGGTAATGTCAGCTGTCAGACAAGTATTGATTCCAATAGAACGTCCTGTCTAGAAAGCATCTTTCAAGAAGATCAGAAAGAAGAGAAAATATTTGTCAATAGACCAACTCTCTTGGCATTAGTAATTAGAATATGTGCCCATCTCGTCCCTTATGTAATCAACAATATAGAAATGAATGTTCAATATAAATTTTTATCAGCTTTGAACGACTGCTCGTCTAATACACTGGCTATGCTGATGTGCGCAGCTGGTAGACCACCTCCTCAAATTATAAATCGAACTCCAAGCAATGCTTATGATGAAATGTTTTCTTTTCTTCTCAGTATTCACAAACAAGAGACAGGTCGAGAAGTCGGTATTCAAGCTATAGCCAAAATACTGGCAGATGCAACTAAATTATCTCAAGCTGTACTATGGTTATGTCTTACTGTTCTAGATGAAAAGAAAAAGCTAGCAATATTCTTACGTTTAGGAGGAGTTATTGCTGTATGCCGCCAACTTATTAATAGTTCAAAATTTTCGTTGTGCTCTTGGCCTTTAGTCTTAACAGAAATGTTAGAGGAAGATCAACTTATGACTGGTCCTAGCACAAAGCTTAAGGAAGAAGAAGATGGTCTTAAAAATTTAGCACCTTTATGTCGCATCACCAGCTCAAGTAAAAACAATGCTGAGGCTCTTCTCTTATCAAACCCACCACATAGGAGAGCCAGATCTGCCACTTGGACTTATCACTTTTCACCTGGTGAAGTGTGGGTAGATCTAACCCTTCACCTTCCATTCGCGGCTCTTCTTTACCAAGTAAATATTGTGCCACATGCTATTTCTTTATCAACAAGCCCTTATTTAGTCGCTTTGGAAACCGCAATGGATAGCAATAATGTCTTACCACTGTGTGAACCACTTCATACTGCAGGAATGTCAACAATTAAACTTAAATTAGATTCTCCAACAGTAGTAACATCTGTCACTATACGATTACATAGACCACTTGATAACTCATCAATTGGCTTATCTCAAGTGCTCCTTCTTGGAACACCAGCCTTCTTGAAGATAAAAAGTGATATTACTGATGGTAGCAACAGAAAATCAGGTGCAGCTTGGTTGAAACTCTTACATCATTGTTTAATTTCTTCATCTGAACTTAGTAACGACGTAATATCTTGCGTACAAGCATTTTCTACAGAAAATAGAAATTTTGTTCAGAGTTGCACTGCATTGACTTTAAATAATTCCTGCGGCATTTACGGCGATGCTTTGGAAGAAGTTCTCGTGAAACTGGGAAGTTGCGAGGAAAGTTTAAGCAAAAGAGTTCTGGAATGCATCCTAAATTTCACAGAATCGACAGAAATGAGCGTTGAAATATTTAAGAAACTTGCTGCTCGAGTTGATCAGTTTATGAGCGATCGATTAACTTATATTTTGGAATGGCTATCAAAAACAGCGGCAAACGTTGTTCATAATAGAGTAAAACCACCGGCGAATGGACATGTACAGGCCATTGGAAATGTCTTATGGAACGTTGCGGACCAAGTAGATCGTTTCTCCGGGCTCCTGAATATAAATTTATTACAATCTTTATTTGAATGGGCTATGAAAACACACGACAGCTCAACCCGTTGTGCAATTGAAAGTGTTATCTGTTCAATTTGTATGTTGATACCTAGCCTTTTAAAACCATTAACTGAAAATTTATACAACATCGATCAACAAGCTCTATCAATCCTTGCTTCTGCCTGTTCGTCTAAACGAGCAGTGGTTGCAATGTTGGAGGGAAACTTTTTACTAAGCTTAGTTCAAAAAGTTAGAGCGACTTTTGATTCATCAAGCCAATTTGATTCTTTCCCCTCTCATTTACATGCTCCAGTTTTAAAATTTTTGGCTCGGGTGTCAACAGTATCCCATTTTCAAGATTTTCTTGGCAGTTTAGGGCAAGAATTTTGGAATGGGCTACTATTATCGGTCTGCACATGGAAGCACATGTCCGACTACGTATATAGGGAGAGCGTTCATACAGCCTGTATTGAATTAGTTCGAGCCGTTACTCTTTGCCATCGGGAGAATCAAAAACTTATAGCATCGTGCCTTTGTCATGTTTTACAAACGTCCCCGTCCGTTTCCGCCTTTCTCAGAAGAATTCTCCTTCAAGTATTATTGGAGTATGAAAAAATAACCATCAACATCCACGGAAATGTTCCTCTAACAAGTTCTCTCGGTTATCCTGGATTACCGGCACACCCTAGGCACGCGCTTGGCTTAAAAGGACGTTGCTTATCAGCTGCAGTAAATTGCAAATTAGCCCAATTAATATCAGTGGATACATCGTCATCTGAAGTTGACGATGAATTTTCCCAAAATTCCGATGATCGGGAAGACGATCGAAGAAGAACGATTAACTATTTCTCATCTGTGCATGTGACATCAGCTTGTAAAAGAGTAAAGAAGGCATCAAAGAACGATAGTAATTCAAAGCAGCAAGCTCTCAAAAAAGCCTTTAAATCTCCTATCGTGCTATATTTTACCCATTCGGCTCTTGGGGATTCAGTGAAAATTTCACCTCAAATGAAAGTGGGAACCTTGTTAGAACTTTTGAAAAACCACAAAAGAGATGAAAACGTGCTTGACTTAATGGCTCATGATGCAAAAGAAGGGACAGATTGTAAAGAAACACTAATTGAGTCTTGTGATAAGCTAGGCTCATCATCTATTCTACATGCATTTGCGGATTCTGGTGGCTTGGCTCTTTTGGCAGATAGACTACCATTGCTACATTCTGTTGCTCAAACAGCATCTGCAGCTCAGCCAATGATTTCATCCTCCAGACCTAACATGGACGATTGGATTACTCTCGAAAGTGGCGATGATTTCTACGATGATTTGAATTTCATATCACAGACAATGCAGATAAATAATGTAGAAACCACTCAAAAAACATCAAAGAGTGCAGCACAGGCTGCAAATGCGTCAGCTTTCCAACCAGCTCCCCCTCATTCACTTTTAATATTCGGTTTGTGTCTACGGCTTCCGAAATATGCGGATGTGTTACTAAGAAGTAATAAAGAAAAAGCTGTCAGTCTCTTGAGATTGGCTTTGGGTGTTGCTGATGACGCGGCAGGCGTTCCCATAATAGGATCTGAAGCAGCCCAAGGTTTGGCTATTTTACCAATGGTCGTTCTCAATGATCTTTTGGAGTCTACCGAGGAAGATGGAATGAAGCTTCGACATAACATTGCAGATTTAGGAATTTTGCATGTTCTTTTGGCTGTTCTCGCAATTCTCAGCCATCAGAATCCCTTCGAACCCTCTATAAGCCATCCCCACTCTCATCTGATAAATGTTGCAACACAATCGGCAAAAATGCTAACTACTACAACTAATAATAAAAAAGTTTCAGCATCCGAGACAGCAAAAAAGACAACCGTGGGTACTGCTCAAGGTACTGCTGCGGGACAACAATACTGGGCCAAGGGAACAGGATTTGGAACAGGAAGCACAGCCAGCTCTTGGGATGCAGAGCAAGCTCTATTAAGGCAAAAAGCAGAAGAGGATCACGTGTCAGCTTTATTTCATGCCATTTCCTCATTCTTCAATAACAATGACTTGAGAAAAGATCGAAATTTTACTAATGATCTCTTCGAGTTGTTTAATTCCTCATGTTTAGTTTCTGCTTCTTGCTCTTATTTGAGAAACGACTCAGTTTTGGACATGTCCAGGCATGTTCCGCTGTATAAGGCGTTACTTCGATTGCTTCGATCAATCAGTTCAGTTCCAACCCTCGTACCTTTACTAACAACATCAACGTCAACATCAGATGCAAGTCTAAACTCTCTACTTACAAGTATGAAAAATTGTGTCGATACTTATTCATCTCGCTTGGCAACCAAAGTAACGGCTGGTATAGCAGAAGAAAAAGGAGAATTATCTCAACTGATTCCAGACATTCAGAGAACAGCTAAAACTGTTGAAAGTGCCACCGAAGTTTTACAAAAAGATATTCAAATGACAGATGTCACAGATAGACTGAATTGTGTTTCTGAAGAGCAAAGCTTAGAGGAAACTTATATGCAAACTATGAAAAGTCTGCAATTTGACACCTATAACATGGTTGTAACAGAAAGAACTGGTCCACCAAAATTTGTCGTCAGTCACCATTACGCTAATAGCGTTAAAGTCGCAGGAGAGCCAACTGGCCAGAATGCCGCCTCGCGAGCGAGGCGGTTAGCTCAGGAAGCAGTCACTTTGTCAACTTCACTCCCACTTTCGGCATCCAGTTCAGTCTTTGTCAGATGCGATGAAGAAAGGTTGGATGTTATGAAAGTATTAATAACAGGTCCTGATGGAACACCATATGCTAATGGATGCTTTGAATTTGATGTTTACTTCCCTTTGGATTACCCAACTGCTCCGCCTCATGTTCATCTATGTACTACGGGAAACAGAAGCGTTCGATTCAATCCTAACTTATATAATGATGGAAAGGTTTGCTTATCTGTATTGAATACATGGCATGGAAGACCAGAAGAAAAATGGAACGCATCTACTTCAAGCCTACTTCAAGTTTTAGTCTCAATACAATCGCTAATTTTGGTTGCCGAACCATATTTTAATGAGCCTGGTTACGAAAGATCTAAAGGTACTGTAAGTGGAGAGGCCAGTAGCCGAGAATATGACAGTAATATCCGTCAGGCAACAGTTAGGTGGGCAATGTTAGATATGCTGCAAAGACCACCAGCAGCATTCCGAAGCGTCATTAAAAAACATTTTTGGTTGAAGAGAAATCAGATAACCAAACAATTGGATGATTGGCTAAATGAGACACAAGGGCTTTCCAACGATAGAAGAAGCACAAGAGCAATAGCTCATAGTCTAGCATCATTAAAAGTTCATGCAGCGCAAGTTAAAGAAGAACTACGAAACATGAAATGCCCGGACGATGATGGTTCGGTATAAGCTCTGCAGCAATTAACTTGTGTTAAGGAAAAAATTTTAAATTATATTTATATGTATTCGTTTTTCATTTACAATATAATATATATATGTATTTACATATATATATATATATATATATATATAAATCTGTATGTAAAAAAATATCCGAAGTGTATATATATTTATATACTTACATAAATATATATATGCCTGAAAGTGGGTATGTGTGTGCTTAAAATTTACTTATTATAGTGTATATCGTACTTTGAAAATTTCTGTTACTCTATTTTGAATTAAAATTCGCTTACGGCTTATTTCGGACATAATGATGACTCATGAATATCTTCACTACATTTTTCAGTGAACTTTTAGGTAATATTTCGTAAAGAAATAGGCCTATTCGTTGTGGCCTATTTTAATCGATATTGCTCTGTTAATCGAAATAGATCTATGCAGTTGCATTTCTTCAGTTAATCCTATATAGATGGTAGAATGAACAATATAAACAAAGATTCCCGAAAACGGAGGTCTCTACCAGGACTTATCGAATTTATACTTGCTCTTTCTATGCTAGCTATGGGAGGCAGTCCTGTCCTAATTTCACAGTTCATTTACGAGTTAACATCAGAAAAATACAATTTCAATGATAATGGAGCTAGTGCTTGTTCTAATGATACAAACAGTACTACTTTACAGGAAACTGTACAAACAGAATCATCCCATTTTATGATGTACATCAATATAGCTACAATGGCACCAAGTATACTTATGACAATATTTCTCGGAGCTTTCAGTGACATAAATGGTCGGAAAATATCAATTGTTATATCTATTTCTTGTGCAGGACTGGCTTTTTTTGCCTATGATATTTTTATATTTTTTAGAATTAGTAGGAAATATTTTGTTCTACCTGGACTGATCCAAGGGTTAGGTGGAGGTTGGATTGCTTTATATATGGCAACATTTTCTTATTTATCAGATACAACTAGCATAGAGACGCGATCCTTTAGAGTAACTTTAATGGAAGCTGCAGCGGGGGTAACCGTAACACTTTCTCAAATAATTATGGGATTAGCGATAAAGAAACTCGGTTATTTATACTCTTTTTTAATAATCCAAGGAATATTAGCGATTAGTTTAATAATTACCGTCGTTTTCTTGGAAGATGTTATCAGAGTTACTCCTAATGTCAAGCGGGGATTATTTTCATACATTAAAGCAACGTTTCATGTCTACACGAAGCCATCAGAGTGTGGTAGACGGTGGAGATTATTGCTTATATTAGTGATACTCTTTATGGTTGCCTTCGTTAATCTTGGTCGCATAGATGTTATAACCTATTTATTAAAAGACAGTCCATTTTGTTGGAAATCCGATTATATAGGATATTATATGGGTACTTCAACTTGCATGACATATACTAGCAGTTTGATTTTTACTAAATTAACCGGGAAGATCTTTGGAGATAAAGGATTAATGATGATAGGAGCAATATCTGGTATAGCAAGCAATTTGCTTTTAGGATTCGCTCAATCATTATCACTTCTTATCGCTGGTGAGTTGTATATGTATTTTTTCTAGCCTATACCTTTATGTTATGCTGTATTAATTTATCTAGGACTCTTTGCGAATATATTCACCTCCTTAGTAATACCAATGGTACGCTCGATAGGCTCAAAGCTAGTATCTTCTGACGAGAAAGGTGCTATGTTTGCAGGTATTGCATGCATTGAAACTATTTCCACCCTTTCAGGGTTAGTGAGTATGGATGCAATATATATGGTAACTGTAAACATATTTAAACCGACGGCTTTCATCGTTTGCTCCGGAATATTGTCCATTTGTTTATTTACTATCTGGTCAGTATCCTAATTCTAAGAAATTCTTAGACTATTATTATTAATTATCAATAAGTTCCTTGAACTTAATTTGACTATTTTACCTTCTTTAGCGGCTATATTTGGAGAGAGAAAAGGCTTAGTAGATTGGAGCCTCAACCTCTTTGAAAGACATCTATTAATGTAGAAAAAAGGATGCTTTTTGATTGCCTCTTTGCCCTTTACAAACACTCTGCTTTATCAACTCAAAACGGAATGGGAATGCTGAAAGAAAACTGATTTTTAATATAAAAAAACAGGCAATGTGCTATATATACATAAAGTTATATGCACACAATGTACAGCGCATACACACTGTATGTAGAGGATTTACTGTATATATTGCATATGTACTTATCGATCGGATGTTTATTTATGCAAGTATTTTTTTTTTAAATATTTTTTGATCTCATTTAAAAACTGAATGTAAACTGATCAAAGGTCATGGACACATAAACAATTGATAATATCACTTGATATATTTGTATAGATTAATAAATATTTACGTTATGCATAGTTCTATTTATTTGTTTACACATTCAATTTTAAACGATAAATTGAGAAAAAAAAGAAATACAGACTTGATTTGTTAAAATGCTGTTAAATAGTTAGTTATTAACCCTAATTAAGAAAGACTCTTTTCGAAGACTAAATTAAATTGAAAAAGCTCCAAAACAACTACAGGATTGCATAAAATCTATGTCCCCTCTAGGCCTATTATTGATTGCATTTACGCCTATGCCTCTCCGCATCTATCTTTGTTAATGGTTTTTTTTTATAGGAAATATCTCATTCTGCTTTAGGCCTAGAAGTTTAAGTTATTCATGAACTAGCAACAATTTTCACCGGGGATACTAGTTAACTGTTCAATAGTTCATATGTACATTCCATAATATTAAATCAAAGGTAACAACATGAATTGAAGTTATAAATAAAGATATAACAAATGCATGATATTTTAAATATATAACATTCAATGTTATTATATAAAAAAAAACCCATAAAAACGATGTTAAAAATTAAAATTTCCAGCTTAAAAAGTCAATTTCCTTTTCCGACTATTTTTTTCATTTTCCAATTAAGTTATTGCGCTTTTAACAGGTAATTTGCATTAGATTAAACTTTTAATATATAAACAGCACATCTATATTTAAATTATTCACTTAAAAAGAAGTCGTTAATTTGTGTGAAAACATTGTGCTGTGTGTGTGTGCTAAATTGGCGAAATACGGAACTATTTTCTCAATGCGGAAGAATATAGAACAAAGGTGTTGTTTGGTTAAGGGAAATTAAAGAACGAGCAGGAAAACGAATCGCATTCTTAACTAGATCAGTGATGACAATTGATCGAGTTTACTGAAACGTTTGCAATGTTGAGGAGGAGTACATCGAGGATTTTAATTCTCGGTGCATTTTATGCCCTTTACCTTGTAATTGGTGCATCAGTTTTTTGCGCTATAGAAGGGCCGGATGAAAATAAGAGGAAACAAGAGTTGAAAGATATTAGAAAGACATTCCTAGAAGGACATACTTCTTGTATTACTGGTAAATATTCATATTTCATTTCAAATATATTTAAATATTCATCAAGTTCTGCTCTTCAATATAGTTATGTGTATAAAATGTAAACGTTCTAAATAATCGATGTTCTTGTTCTAGCTATAGTATTAAAAAAAATAAGATATAGGCTAAGTATAGTTTTGAACACCTGTTCAACGATTTAATAAAATTTTCAGCGTAGAACAAACAGGCATTTGCCATGTTCGTGCCAAATCGCCTTAGAGAATTTCGACTTTTATTTCTTTTTATATTTATGGTGTTTTATTTGATATTAGGAGCAATTACATTTAATTTACTTGAAGAAGAAAGATCAAGACAACTATTGGATAATGTTCAATCTATTCGTAACAGTTTCTTACTTAACCATTCAAGCTGTTTAAAGGGTACTCTTTTAAATAGATCTTTCAGGGCCTTCATTCCTTATTTAATTTTAATCACATTTAAAATAAGAGAAAATCAAACTTTAAGTTTGTAAAAAGAGATAACTTAAAATATATTACGTATTGATATTAAAGAATAAGACGTTGATTCGCACCAAGCAGATGGTGTGAAGTTAATGCATGATACGATGATACAATACTTTATTCTCTCATACTATCTTTTTTAGATGGAGAATTAGAGGCATTTATAGAGAAAATCGTTGAAGCACAAAATCGTGGTGTCAGTGCTATAAAGAATGTGACAAGTGAATCTAATTGGAGTTTCGGGCAGTCATTGTTTTTTGCGGGTACCATTTTAACTACAATAGGTAAATGACTGAAAAAATCAGAGATATTTACATAGAGGTTAATGATAAATATGCTATTATACAAAATAGGATACGGTCACGTAACTCCCCTTTCCGAAGGTGGTAAAGTTTTTTGCGTTGTTTACGCCTTGATCGGAATACCCTTAACTCTAATCCTCTTTACTGCCATCGTCGAGCGTCTCATGCTTTTAACAAATGCAATACTGTCTCTACTGGAGAAAAAACTCTCTCATATTTTGACTTATTTACAAGTCCGACTTCTTCATTTGGCTATTATTTTTACCTTCCTTCTAGTCTTTATTTTCATCACGCCTGCTGTTATATTTACGTGCATCGAGAAACGGTGGAACTTTTTGGATTCTTTTTACTATTGTTTTATCTCTATGACCACCATTGGGTTAGGCGACTACATTCCTGGAGATGATGTCAATCAACAAAACAGAGCCTTATATAAAATATTAACAACTGGTAAGGTATTACTTAGCGCGTTTGATCGAGCTATTTCAAACACTTTTCTCTATCATTTATTCATTAAACAGTCTATTTATTTATTGGATTGACTATCATGATGCTCACGTTGGCTACAATATATGAAATACCGGAATTAAACATCGGTTCTCATTTCTACTTGAAATCGGATGCTGAGCACGAAACAGAAAAGCAAACGCTAAGAAAACCGACAAACAATTATAATGCGGCCGAGACGGAACAATCTACATTCGGCGGGGCTAAAGATAATGAAGCTTTAACGGAATAACTTTTTTTTTTCTTAACGTTGTCTGCTATTGCCGTAAGTCTGTCAAATATGTGAGACTGCATATCCCTAAGTCACAACTAGATCCTACTGTTTTCATTCCCTTTAGAGGCATTTAGTACACTAGTAGCATAACTAGCGTCTTAAATGTATCATAAAAATTTACAGAGACTCTATTATATACGCTTTACATATGTCAACATATTATGTACCATATGAATATACTGTACATATACAGTATATCTAAGCAGAATAGAATGTACGTAATATGCTCATATAATATGCCTATATATATATATATATAGAGAAAATATATTTATATACTATAAAAAAAAACACGTGACCTAATTTTCTTTCGTACTCGCACACAATAGTCACTTCTGCATAATTTTCTCGAAATATGTATTTAGAAAGTCAGAGCTTGCTTTTTGTCACGCAACGTTCTTCAATGATCTACTTCGACTTTGGCTGAATCGATTAGTATACTAATTATAAATTTAATTTGTCAGTAGTGCAGCATATTCTCAAACTATTTCAAATAAAGTTTGCTGTATGCTTATTGGTTTTGTTAGATTAACAATTTAAGATTACTATTAATACCGTCCTTGTACTTATGCTATTGAAATGGTAAGCTTAACAGTTCCTAGAAGAATCTCTGCGAGAGAGACGTAATAAAATAGACGCGAATAAGAGTAGAAGGGTATTTCACACAACCCTTAAGCCAGTTTAAGTTGCCTTCATCATATGGAGTTTTATCGAACGGAAGCTGGCTGTATTTATAGATATAAATATTTTATATCACTAAATTGTTTATAAAATATTGTTTAAAGAGCTTTAAAAATAAAACAATGAATCAAATGTTACATAGGACGGAATGCGCAAACAATGTACTTAAAGCTTATTTTCATACTCATACATTCAGTTTTTCCCATTAAATAGAATGTAATGCGATCTTTTGGAATTCGCTTTCTTTAATTTGTATACGACATACTCAAAGTAATAAACATGAATTAGTAATCCAAAATGGAGTCTTTTCTAATAAACTACGCTTTGATGAAGCTATAGGAAATCTTGGGTGTCAAATTTTTGTTATTTAAATTTCTTTCAGTTTATTAATCATATCATCAAGGCGTCGTATTTCTCTAGAAGCCTTTGGGGGGAAAAAGATGATTAATAGAAATATTACAGTTTAATAAAAGAATGCGGTTGTGTTACTTGAAATCGCTTGCTTCAATTCTCCCTCGAAGAATATTGGGACCCAAAAATTTTGCCAATTCCATCCAACAATGCCTTGCTGCATTTGAAGTCAGAGCGCTATCGCAATTCTGTATAAATTAAGCGAAATCCTTGGAGAATAAGCGTGATTTTGCTAGATTTTTTTTTACAAACCGCTGAATCGAAAAGGACAGGAAAAAATTGCTCCAAGTTAGGTTTGAATAGACGTTTACCTAATCCCTTTGCAATATCTATTAGCTAATTGAGGAAAAGAAAGGATGAGAAAAATGTAAACATTATCAAATCATTTATCATTTTCTATTATACAAATTATGTTACCCTTTTACAGATTGTTTCCCACAATACAACGTGTTGAGTGTAGTGTGTATAACCAGCTGCTTTAACAATATTGGATAATAGATTTGCAGTTTCGGGAAGGAACTCCGACAATTTTGATAATTCAGCTACACAATGAACGCAACTAGGAAAATTAAATAAAATAAAATAATTAAAATGTTCGAAGGTGAAATATTTAATCATTAATTTTTTTACCCATCAGTCATTTGCCACGGTTCTGGCGGTTTTCTAAATGTACTATTCATACAACCTCCAGATCTTTTACCCCTATGCATTTTCGGTGCAAGAGATCCACAAGAATACATTTGCTGGTTTGTATGTAAAGATTCATCATTATCTCTTGCTTTTTTGACAACTCCATACACGGCTGGTCCTTTGTCAATACCAGAATATTTATCAACATTTGCTGCTTGATTTTTGACGTTTTCTAACCCTTCTATGATTTTATTTACCACAATGTTGTAAGCTTCTCTCCCTGAGCGTAAAATGAACTTGTGTAAATCTTTCAATCAAATTCCTATTAAATAAATACCGTAAGCGTTGATAACGTTGAATAAAGCTATTGCAGCACCTTCTCTTACTGATGCAATACTATCTTGTAAGTTTTCAAAGAAAAGAGGATATAATGAGGTCATCGAATCCCTTAAATATATAATTAAAAAATTACTTTTCACGACTTAAATAGATTAATCATTAAAAAATATAGAACCTAGCTTCGTCTGGGAAGCACTTAACGAAATTGCCACAGGCAACGCATGAAGCTGTTGGTAAGAATAAAATATTTTTTGAAATATGCTACTAAAATTTTGCTTATATATATATATGGAAACTTAAAAAAAAATGTAACGAACCGTCTCTTACAGGCCAACTTTCGTCTTTGAAACAAATCAATAAAGTATCGAGTAAACGTTTAACAAAGGGTCTAACAACAGAAGCCTTTAATTTCAGTCCTAATTCGGCAATGCAAGCGCAAGCAGCTTCTCTAACGGCATGATTGTCAGCCTCAGATTGACATATATAAAATTCGACCTTAAAAAGAACACATAATAAGAATGAGTCAATAAACTGCTTCCTTTGTAAAATTTATAAAAATAAAAGATATTTAAATAGTATTTACCACTGAATCTATGAACTCTTCAACAAGTTCTTTACCTTTTTCCCCTGTTATTAATCGCCAAGTATCTTGATTATATATTCGGACACCTTCAGCGACGTAGTACCTTTTCAAGTAGAAAGTAAGTTTATTTCATTGAAATGACTTGTCAAACAAAAATCATATACCTGTTCAGGCATAATTGGGGTAGGAGAACGGGAAAGAATCTTTTCCGAATTTCATCAGCTGGTAAGCTTATAAGAAAACTTCTTGTTGCAGTTGATGCAGCCAAACGAACTTGACTCCAATTGTCAGCTAGGCCTTGGGAGAGATGTTTAGCAAAATCGTCACCATTCATCAAAATCTGATTGCGTTCCCCCAACTTTCCTGCTTCCGCCGCGTTACAGGCAACCAAAGAAGAGCAAACATAATATCCAGTCTCTCTTACAAAACGATTTGTGTGGGTCAAAGTTTTGAAAACAAGGGTTAATAGTTGTTCCGTTACAAAGTCATTAAAATTCTCTTTGCATCCTTCAATCATACTCTGCAAGCACTTCATCCATGTTTCTAGGGATTTCCAACCAGCGGTGTCGTGAAATATCTGACTTGCATTACTGGAACCGCTCTGAAAATCAGTTTAATTATTTTTTAAGTTTTAATAACAGGAATACCCTAAAGGTACTTACTAAGGAAGAACTATCAGAATTACTACTCCCCTCGTCGCTTGATTGACTTCTAACCAATTTCTCTTGAAGCTTTTTTGTTTCTTCTTCTTTGACATCGAGGGCTTGCCTTTCAAGATTCATTTCAATTCCTTCAATAACATTTTGACAACATTCTTGATAAATTTTTACTCCAATTTTTCTACATAGTACACCCATAACTTCGCCCGCAGCAATTCGCACTCGAAATTCATCATCTTCTAATAAATTCAAGCTATATTCGTAAATTGATTGTTCAAAAGTTGCCGATACAATTGCCTTTCCGTGTGTTAAAATCGCTTTAGCACCCATTAATGCCCCATGCTTTGTTTCCCAAGGCGATTCTGAATCAATGAGAAAGCGTATTAGCTCATTTTCTAAAGGCACCAACCCAGCTTCGTAAGTTTGATCGATGAACTTGTTTAGAGATTCGACACCACGGTCCCTTTCTAATTTGGCAGAACTACACAATAGAGAAATAGCATCATCAGCCATTTTAACGATTGCGAAACGAATTCAACACAAGGCCTCGAATCGGTGGAATACGACGAAATATATATGCCGCTAAGAAAATATAAGTGTCATTCAAATTCGGAATTTAGTAACACCCATCTTTTATTTTCTTTTTTTTTTAAATTAGGCATTTCTTCTAAACAGAGATAAAGTTACCTAAAATTCTCTTAATGATTGAAAAATTAAAGGTTCTGAATAAAACATAAGAAGTATTTATACTTTTAATTTTAAAAGTAATTCAAAGTAATTTAAAATAGCCAAATATAATAAATATTTTTATAGTTGAGAGTTTTCCTAATTATCGCTCTACTCAAGGTCGATAGATTCTCTTTGTTTGTGTTATACCTATTCATTGACTCAATCATATGGCTTCTAGTATATTTAACGTAAGTATACAAAAAGTTTACTAAATTTTAACCATCTTTACGGGGTTTTAATAATGATAGTAAAATTATAATAAATATATATTATTTAATTACAACTAAGAATGAAAGTATAAATGAGTATTTTATTTATCCCAATCCATAAAGATTTATTATAGAAGGTTAAAACAAAACCATATTACGGGATTAATTGATCCATCTAAAAGAAAAAGTTGTTTTTTATAGAAATAGTAAAAAAAAACAATTTTAATATAACTGTATTTAAGTATCTAAAATCGTTTTAAGAGTTATCTATATTAGTCTATCCGATTATTTTTAATGTAAAATATTTTATTAACAATTAAAAAATGAATGTAGATTAGAGAGATAAAAAGCTTTTAACAATTTGTACTCATATTATGTAATTATAATCTATAACAGAATTTAACAACAAATTCTAATCATCTACGCTCATATAAAGAAATAGTTATATCTAATTCATACATTATATAAGATATTACAACTACTTTCATAAATAATATATACCGCACATTCCAATGCGCCTAAAAAAAGTATAATCAAAGTAAAAGATTCAAAAGAATCAGCCTTGAAAGTTGAATGGCTGATTGATTGTGAGTTAAGAGATTAAAAATTATTGATAGAGAAAATAATAATTGTATTAGCTTTTTTGTTTATCAACTAGTTTTTCTCTACTTCAAGGTTAACATTTAAACTAACTATTCTCCTTTCTTCATTCATTGAGAAAGAGATCTCCATACTTTTGTTCTTTTTTTGCAATGATAGAAACCTCTTGTTGTATTGGTATTTGTGGAATTTCATTCTAACAGAGCAGCTGAAGTAGATCGAAATGAATATATAATATTCAATATGTGCCCTAATTTTCTCCTTCCTCGATTATTTTACATTTGCTTTTTATTTTATTAACAAAACTAAACGTTTTTCTTATCGCTTAGATACTAAACTGTTTCTAATTTATCACCAAAATTTATAATATAAAGAAAATATTACTTTTCCCCCATTTTCACAAAGGAAATTCAATTATTTATAATATAATTAGTTCACTATATTCCACTACTATAATGTTCTCTTCCTTACAACTAGCCGATTGGCGAGTACTCAATAGTATTATCTCCTAGAATCATAGTATCATAGTAAATGTAGGAGTACATTGTTTTCTCTGATCGTTTAATCTGCAAGAAATCTAATTATCTTTTTTAATATTTTTATCGTTCTTTATCAAGGATTCTTAATCCAAAGAGATTTACTCTTTGGATCAACATTCTGAAAACATATCGTGTAAGAGAGTAAATTAACGAAAACATGAATTCAAAGAAGGATAAAGGTTATGCCTGGGTGATAGCGATTAATGGAATGGTATTGAATATGCTATCAGTTCTGGGTTTAGCATCACAGAGTGTACTTATTATTTTTATTACGGAATCTTTGGGAGAGTCATACTCCAAAGTTTCTCTGATAACTAGTTTTTTAAATATGTTTTTTGGAGCCGGCGGATTTTTGTTCGGATTTCTAGGGAAAAAGTTTAGCCCTAGATCAATCTTAATAGGGGGGTCTCTGTTATTATGCTCTTGTAGTGTTGTAACGTGTTTTGTGAGGAATATATATGTATATTACCTAACTCTTGGTGTTGGATCAGGTATTGGAGTTGCAAGCTTTGTTTATTGCGGAACGATTACTATTGCCGAATGGTTTGACCGTTATAAAGCCATGGCTTTGTCGATATCAGCTGTAGGAGCTAGTGCTGGTTTTTTTATATGGACCCCAATCACATCTATATTAGTTGATACTTTCGGGTGGAGAAGTACATATTTAATTATTGCTGGCATTTATCTTCAAGGCTGCTGCTTGGCTATGCTAATTAAAAAAGCTCCTCAAAATATGAATATTACCATCTGTAAAACAGATCATGTAAATCCAAGACTTTTTAATATTAAAATTTTTAAAAATCTTCCTTTAGTTCTATTTTATCTAAGTTTAACTTGTACTTATATTGGTCAAACCGTACCTTATTTCTGGATACCAACAAGAGCCGAAAGAAGTGGGATAGGTTTAAGAATGGGTACATTAATTGTATCAATTACTTCAGCCTCTTGTGGAATCTTTACTTTGATTGCTGGATTTCTTGGGGATAGACCATCGTTTAATCGTATCCTTGGATTTGGAATTAACTCGGGACTTACTGGCCTACTTTCAATCTTTTCTACATTAAGTCACTCCGTCATTATCCTAATGTCGTATGGTTTCTTATTTGGTTTAACTTCGGGTAATTTATATTAGTATATACAACTATCTTCACTGTATCTTTTATATCAATCAATCTAAAAATTCTTGGAAAATCCTTAATGATCTTTTTCTTTTATAGGTTTTTATCAAGCTTTAAATATGACTGTCGTAACAGACCTTGTTCAATTAAATGATCTGCCCTGTGCTATTGGACTTGACGTATTTTGTATTGGATCAGCTCAATGTTTGTGTATACCGTTAGGAGCGATGCTATTTGACATCTCGGGATCATCCATGATTCCATTTATTGTAAAGGGTACTATACAGGGATTTTTTGGACCTCTCTTCGCAATACTGGCTTTAATAACTCATAGGAGACGTGGGATACAGTATAAATTATAAAAGAGTAATAACCATTCACCAAATAAATAATCTATTTTTTTTCTTTTAATTCAAACGGTAATTACTTTGCTACTTTACCATTTTTGATATTAACAATATCCAATCTAATAAAATATATGTATATACGAAAATTACTGTTAAGTGGTCAGTGTAAGTGACTTGAATTTCCGGTTCAAAATTTAGTAATTTTATAGAACAGAATCCATTAAAAAAACAAATGAAAAAGATAAAATAGCTTTTCTCTTTTTTTTTTCTTACAACATCCTTATTTTAACCAAAATGCTTTTACAGTAAAATTAATACGTTCCTCTATTATTTGAATGCGAAATGTTCATCCATTTCAACAATTGGATAACTGTTTTTAGAATTCGGAATACAAATTCAAATCCTTAATATTGTACAAAGTGATACAGTGTCATTTCAACTGGCAATTTCTTTGGGTGTAGAAGAAAAACTGTAGCGTACGGTTTGATAAGAAGAGAGAGAGAGAAAGAGAGTGAAAGAGGGAGGGAGAGAGAGAGAAGACCTAAAAGGAAAGGTAATATCAATAATTACAAGTGGTTATAATCAATGATTGTATTCGTATAATTGTGTTCTAAAAATATCTAGAGCGAAAACTTGAAAGCGTAACGAATACGATGGAGGATCTCAGTAATTTACTACCGATTAAACGATGCCTATCAAAACTCAATTCTAATTTTAACAATACAGAATACCTAATAAATATTCAGGAAAATTATCTAATCAGCATACTTTTATATTTAGCTTGGCTAAACATATTAGACGAAATATACAGCTAGCGATTTGCAGTATTCAAAAGACCGCAGTAAACGCCAAACAATATATATTGTAAAGGTTGTTTACAAGAAACGCAAACGAATTTATTCCTTTTATCGTTATTTGGTTACCTCTTTCTTTTTTAGTTTTATATCAATTGTTGGTTTAAATAAGATTATCAACCATAATCCGTAGGAATGCAAAAATTAATGGTATGTAGGAAAGGATATACACATCAAAATAAGTAATATTTACGCGTGAACGTAATATTATTTGACTAAACATACAATTTAAAGGTCAGTAGTGAGACTATGAATAAACCTAATATAATTTATCACTGATGGATTGAATATTATTTTTCAAGTAGAGTTTTTTTAAATAAACTGCCTTTGACATACATAGCTTAATACAAGAGCAGTAATAAAGTATAAGTTTCAAATAATATTTTCAGGCTATTATGTAACTAGCATCATGAAAATAGAAACACTAAATGACAATGTAGCGGAATTTTAAGTACATAAATATGTTGTATGGTTGAAAGAACGAGTTTTCTCCTTTTTTCACACGTAATTATTACACACTATGTTCAAATATTCTTAGATGAGCAAAGTCAAACGATTTTCAGATTCCTATAATTCATCCCTAATAATTGTATAACGATTTCTCGATGGTGCAAGCTTTTTAAACGTTGATTCAGGAGGCGATGTTCTTCTCTTTGCATCTATTCCTTGAGGTTGCATATCTTGCTCCTTTGGTACATGAGCTGTCGCAGTATCACCATCTTCTGATTTTTGCTCCTCTTTTGGTTGATCTGGTTTTGGTGGTTCAGTGGGATCGGGTCCGTTATGAAATTCACGATGTAATTTACCAGAATGCAAATCAGCAATAAAATCTTTAAGCAATTGTCCATTTAGCATAGATTCTTTTAAATTTTTATGTGGAAATTCGTACATATGCCTAAATGAATCAATAGCCAAAATTGGGAGATCTTTTTCCGACTTTCCCAAATGATGTAGTGGATGAGTAAACTTAAGTCCATCCGCTGTTAGGAAATTTACTGAAGCTTTTTCAGCGAGAAGGTTACTAGTGACTGTCTTGGCAAATACTTCTGGAGTTTCTTTGTCGTCAGGATGATAAAATAGAATAACAAAAGGAAGACCCTCTTCAGTAAGTTCTTCAGCATTTTCAAAAGTAATTTCGCGAACAACCGGAACACATTTATCGAGTGTCCAGTGCCAGAGAGATTGATAATCAGTTATAGAACCTAGATTAATCGGAAGAATAGGCTTTCAAAATTTTTATATAAAATTGTATAAAACAAAGAGAATAATACCTGCATAGGGTATATCCGAATGAAAATCCTCATTTGGTCTATAAACAATTCTATTGCCAGCAGCTTTGTCTTTGGCAAATGTCTCTCCAGCAGCAACGTGAAATTGACATTCATCTCTGAGCATAGAAGCTACCTGTTTATCATAAACGTTCAGTAATTATCTCATGACGGACACTCTGCAAAAAAAAGAAGAAATTTCAGTATATAGACCTTGCTAAAACTGTCATAGTCATCTCCTTGAGCCTGTTCGAAGTAACCAATGACATGTCTCTTCTTTTTAGATTTATCCAAATTTTCTAAACTTTCTTGACTATCAGCGTAAGACTTCGGATCTTTTATCTGTTCTCTAATATATTCAATAATTTGATCATGCGACCGGCGACCGCGATATTCTCTTTTAGTCATTTCACCATAACGGAAAAGTTTAAGTGTAGGGTATTTAGAAACCCGATATTTTGCTGCTATTCCATCTGTCGGTAAAGAATACTAATAAAAAAGTAACCCAATAAAAATTGTCGATTTTTATGAGAACTTTACATTACAATGAAAATGTAAGTAAATTTTTTTTAGATATTATTCGATATTTTAATTTATTTAAAATCCGTCTATTCATTCACAATGTATAATTAAAACGCTTACTCTCTCGGTCGCAATCAAGCTTTGCAAGTCGAACTTTCTTCTCATCCTATATGGAGCACAACAATAGTAATGGCATTCTTTGTTTTAAATAATTATTAACAAACCGGAAATTCTTTTCGAATACTATCTGCAGCTTTATCAAACTCTGGGGCTAAGATTTGACTAAATCGGCACCTATAATTTGTAATTAAAAGAATTATATATTAAAGAAAATGATGACCTCCTTTTCAACTTACCAGTCAGCGTAAAAGTTGATTAGCACCACCTCAGTTTCCTCTGAAATTATATATTTTATTTAGACTGGTTGATTAGAAACCACATTTGATTTTGTATGACATTCACTCTTATAATATCGCCCAAAAAGAAACTTATTATTTACCAAGATGAGCAATCCTATTACGGATTACAGGCCACTTTTCGATAAATTATTTAAATAACTAAAAATTTTATAGACAATATTAATTAAATAATTTATCCTACCGAGATCATAATGTTAAAAATGTAATTAATACAATATAAAAATACTCACGAAGTATCTTATCAACGTTCGATGAGGTGAGTTGATCAGCTTCGGCCTTAGAAAACTTCAAATGGGTGAGAGAAATCTGGAAATGTTACAATTGGTATAAAAAATTCTGTCGAGAATCAATAATTGTCCATTTTTTTAAAGCACAGCTCTACTGTTGATAACCGGCTGTTATTTACCTTTGATGATTAAACTAAGAATGTGACAACTTACCAAAACGAAACTCAAAACTATTCTATGATGCATTTTTCTTTTTAAACAATTTACTTTAACGAAACAGTGCCTGATTGGCACAAAAAATAATCAGTGTTTAGTATTTATTCGAACAAGCAGACTGCCAAAAAACAATCATGGCTACCAGTAGAAGCTCTATTGTATTGGCTAAGAAAAACATGTATATTCATGACCATATTAATATGCAACGAATATGGCGGCAATTTCAAATTTAAAAGAAATATTCGTTGTTAAAGTTAATATATTTTCTATTTTAACAAATATACTTTTGTAATATATTAATATTTTTGTTATAGAACGTTATAGTTTGAATTATATTGGTATTTGAACATATTTATATAACAATCTGCATGTTTACTTTTGTTGTTCATATATATAAATACATAAAATTTACTATATTTTAATTCATATTTATTCTTTATTTCAGATTTTTCAAAAATCAATATATATGAAAATATATTATTAATTACCTTTCTAGACAATTATTTATTTCAAAGTACTAAATGTGTGACAGAAATAATCAAAATTTGTAAGAAAATGTGAAACAGAAATATAAAATAAGTTTTAGAATACGTTAATATATTGTTTAATATGTTAGAAAATATATTTATAAGAAGTGCGGAATAAAATTCAGCATATTCTCGACGTGGCATGTTGAGAATGAAGTAAAAAGTCGATGGAATACCGCTCATGAATAAACATTATGTCATTAGGGAGCGATATATGTATGCCACGCAGTTCTTTTTCCTGTCGAAAAGATGCTTTATTACTTAAATATTTCTTTGAAAGAAATAAAGTTTTAGATAAATCATTTTATTCTGAAATTTTAATAAAATTTAGCGAAAAGAATTTCTATGTTTAGATTAACGATATATTCTAAAATGATTTTAGTCAAGAAAACGGTTTGAGCAGACCCCAGAATCGGAAGTAAATTCCTGAAGCCGATTTTGAAATAAATCTTGTTGTGTAAATTGATTACTATGAGCTGTAATATTAAAGAAAACTAAAAAGATCAAATAGAATATCAATTAATTTTGTTGATTATTGCTCTAACTTATTTTGAAGTAGTTTACATTAATCAGAAATCCAGCTTTTTGGTTGTGTTACTAATGACGCTATATAGGAATATATAAAGAAAATGTCGCTATTTAAAGCTAGAGAATGGTGGGAGACAAACGCAGGAGAACAGGAAACCTTTGATAAAGGTTGTCTATGTGTTGCCAATATTGATAATGATCAGGATAAAGTTGGTAAGTTAGACTGCATTGTCTATTATAGATATTTAAAGTTAAAATATTCTTGAACAATTCATTCAATTGTAGTAAGAAAAACTCTAAATTATCTTTCAATATTGCTATATGAACAGAGAACAATAGCTTACAAAATTTACATAAAAATTATGTTCAATTAAGTGATGATTCATGAAACTATTTATTATTTATTTACCTAAATCTATTTAATATTCTTACGTTTCAACTTTCTTTGTAGACAAAATCATAATAGGCAGTTATAATGGAATATTAAGAATCTACAAACCATCTATAAAGGTTGATGAGGAAACTGGAAAGAAATTAACTTTCAATCCCGACGATGTCTTGTACGAGCAAAAGTTATCTGAGCCTATACTACAAGTTGAAGCTGGTCGATTTATTTCAAGTACAGAACAATTAGCTCTGGCTATACTTCATCCCAGAAAATTTTGCGTTTATGCCGTGTCAAAATCATCGGGTAACAATGATCGGCTCTGTCACTATCAGTTGAAAATAGCTTACGAACACAATTTAAAGAGAACGTCTTTTAATTTCTGCTATGGACCATTCGGAGGTAAATTAGTTTATTTGATTTGATTAATAACTAAATAACATTGGATATATTTGAATATAGGCGTAAAAAACAAGGATTTAGTTTGCATTCAATCGCTCGATGGAAGTATCAGTATTTTGGAACAAGACGCTTTTTCATTTACTAGACATCTACCTGGTGCCTTACTTCCTGGACCTTTCAGTTACGTGCCAAGTACAGATTCTTTTGTCACAGTATCTTCAAATAGATACTTGGAAAGTTATAAGTATCAAATTCTGGCTGTAGCTGCAGATTCTAAGGAGGATTCAAAATCTGGCAAAAAAGTGGCTGTACGTAAACTCTAGCCTTCAATAATAATACTATTCCAAGTGATCTTATTACTGAATATATATTATTATTTTTTATTAGAGTGACTGGTCTTTAAATATAGGCGAACAAGCGGTAGAAATTTGTGTAATGCATACCTCAACTGGCTATATGATACTCGTAGCCACGGAAAGGAGTATATTTTGCGTAAAGGAGAATGGAAAAGTGATCTGGCAGAAAAAGTTGGATTTAGTACCTTCTGCTTGTACTCCGTTCTTTGCGCCATCTTCCGAAAATATTCGATATATCTTATCTGTTCATTCCTCAGAGAATTTGTTTATTTACGATAAAACAATTATGATATGGGCTGCTCAAATTCACATAGAACCTGTTGCTATAAAAGTAATACGAGAGGGTGAAATGAAAGGTGGAATAGTTGTATTAAGCGAAAATGGAAATATTCAAGTTCTCTACTTGGGAACGGATCCCGAACTGATGGCTCCTCCAAGCATGTCCCAAAATCGAGATATGGATTATGCTGCAATGGATAGGGAACTGAAGCAGTTACAAAGTATTATCAAAAGTAAAAGTTCTTCTGCTGGAGGTAGGAATGATAGCTTTATACTGTATAATTAATATCTGTATGAAAATTACATAAAATTCTTCTATACTCTTTTCCTAAAAAAAGTTGTCCTCCCAACAAAAAGAGCTGAAGATGAATTGGAATTTATATGTCAGCCTGAACCTCAGCTAGATTCTCCTTCTGTAAGTATCTCAAACATCTTTTTCACTACCAAATAATAATGGTTTTTAAGACTAACACTAACAATGATAAATATAATCTAGAAAGGGAAAGTTCTTTCCCCTGACATTCCTCAGTGTTTAGAACAGTACTGCATTGATGTAAGGAGCAAAGCTAAAAACTTATCTATGCTTTTTTTCTTGAAAATTCACTATTAGCTTTCAAATTTGGAAAAGCGTGAGTTCTACGATTGGAACGATCCTATTTTAGAGACTTTAAAGATTGATGATTTTAAAATAACAATAATTACTCACAAGGCACGTTTTGATCTTAGATTTCCAGTTAAAAATCGAAATAGACTAAGAAATTATTCATGGTCATACTACAAAAAAATCCATAAGATTTTTACTGGGAAATAGACATTTTTTTGCACGAATGATTTGAATTTTCATTCCTCCGACAGCTCCTTTCGACTATTAATGATGGTTTACTAATCATAATTTAACTTAACAGATAGCCTCCAGTGAGATAAAAGAAGATGTTCCCTCCCTAACCTATAAAGTAACGATTAAGTGCAAAGCTGCATTAAATGATGTGGCTCTATCCATCCACATCCCAGCTCCTTTTGCCACACCCACAACTCTTATTAATATCCCTCACATTGACGCTTCGAAACCGTATGAACATTCCTTCCCAATTTTTATGAAATGGAATATGGCTCCTTCTAATTTGAGTTTGAGTACCTCGATTAGATTCAATACGTCACAAGGATCACCATACACTGCCACGGCAACATCGAAAATTCCTCTTCGACTTTTTGCTCAAAATGCAATACCGATGAAAGCTAACGAGCACAAAATCACACTCAACTCAAATACGGATGCTGTTGATTTAGCTAAATTGTTTCCTGATATTCTCGCAACTTCACAAACTGAACCTCTGGCAGCTATTGGACTTCAAGTTTTTGGTTTCAAGGAAGTTGTTACAATTTTAGCATCTACTAGTAAACGTTATAGAGTTCAAAGTGATAACTTTACATTAGTATTTGGAGTCGTCGATGAATTAGTATCGAGATTAAAAGCCTACCATACACGACTAGGACAATATCATTTCATTTTAAGTTTTGACTCCCAGCTACCTTTAACAGAATACTTTGCTGCAATTGACGCCCACTTCGATCTACGACAAAAAGAGAATGAACTCTCGTAATATAAATTATTTATCCTCTTTATTATTGATAAATGTATACTTATATATGACTTATCTCTACAGAAAAACTTTAGGAGAGAAGACTGGTCAGTTAAGAGCCGTTCAGAGACGGTTATTAACAAGATTTAAGGATAAAACTCCATCTCCTCTAAATAATTTGGATACACTTTTAGATTCAACATACAAACAGGTAATATTCTATTTTCAGCAATTGGCAACTTTTAGAAACCATCTCTTTCATTTTTTTTAGATTTTAGCACTTGCAGACTCTATTGAAAGGAATAGAACTTTACTTTTAAAATGTTCATGTGATCTTGAAGCTTGTACAAGAATATTTTGCCTTCTACTAAAACTGTGGACTCAAACAAATATGGATGATTTGGAATATGGAATTTTAGAAAGCGTTTTATGGCCAAACGGATGCTCATCCCTTTCGTTAACTCAGGGTTGGCATGAACAAGTTGATGCTACTATAACCTTCTTATTAAGGACTAGTTTGGCTAAATCGTCGAAAGATGCAACTTTAAATCCTCAACCGTTGCAGATATTAACTGATACAGTTAAATTGAAGAAACATTTGGCCTTGTTAATCGATAGATTGTCGAAAGGTGGCAAAATGATGATGGAGGGAATCAAGGAGTCTCATCTGGTGGGAAATAATGAAAAGAAGAAAGTAGAAATCAAAAAAGCAGAACCAATAGCAAAGCCGCGTCCACAGCATAGACCAGTACCAATGCCGTCGAACACTAGTTCAACAGCGATAAGTGAGGAGCCACTTCCCGAGGAAGAAGAAGTAGCAGTTAGGAAATTTTCTAAGAGAGAGGAACCTACTCCTAAAGTTACTTTACCCTCACTAGATGACCTTCCTCCATTAAGAGGTAGATACTTTAAATATGAAATAAAAAACATGATTATATTCAAATACTTTAATGCATAGGTGGTACTGCAAGAGAAGGAAAAACAACTGAGGATGTTCCTGATTTGGACGACTTAGCATGAGAAATCTTATTTTAATTGATATTTTCTGTTAACATCGGAAACTTTTACAAGCTATTATCACTATTAACAGAAATTCTAATGTTTTACTGTTCATTTATGTTAGTTGGAAAAAGTTGGGTTGCTCTACTGCAGTAAAAATTTCTTATTGTTCATTACCAAGTCTAAGCAAATATTGTAAAAATTAAGTTGATTTATAAGTAACTGCTCTTTCACCTTTGATTTTTATTAAACAATAGCTTGGTTAATTTTATCATTATAATAATTAGCAATTACACATATTTCAAAACTTTATTAGCTTTTCGCAGATTTCATTTCGTACAATTTATATATATTAGTATACAGTATGTACTCGAATGCACATCTGAATTATAATCAATTACTCCTACTAAACCATGGTTATTATAAAGTAAATTAGGCTGGAAACCAAAGTTATATCTGAGGTTAATCAAGGCACTGCAAAAACTTATCGGATAGATTTTTATTAATTTAGAAACGCAAGTCCTACAATTTTTAACAAAAAATGCGTTACTTTGGGTCATACAAAGAAATAATTTCGTTTTCGCTCTTAATAAAGTTCTCTACATGTGCTCAGGATGATCTCTCAAACAATCTATAAATCTAGTTGGCGACAGGTCACCCACACATATGTAATGAACAGCCGTAAAAATAGGAAATCTGAAAATTATATTGTTTAAATTAAGTTGTTTGAAAGGTATCTTTAAGTATACCTATTCTCAAGATTATTCTTTCTGAGCATATGATTAACTTCTGCAGCTGTTATTGGACCTTGTAGACTTTGTCCATCTAACATTTCTATTTCAATTTCTTTGAGGCTCTGTTCATTAAAGCAATAAATTGTTGTTAGAATAGAGTCTATGGATAGTGGAATGGTTTGAGAGGAACCTTTTTCGGATATTGCCGAACATATGCCTCCGCACAACGTCTGTTTCTTCCACTATAACAGGTTGTAACAAGATCAGCTATTCCACAGCTTTCCAAAAACGTCTCAATTTTCGATTCTATTTATAAAAGTTCGTTAATAAGATTATGTTTTAGGTAAAACAGTATTAAAAATATCTATTTTCAGCCGTGCAAAATTAGAATATATAGATGAAATATAGTTATTTATATTTTACTATTTGTCATCAACCTAGATTAAGTCATTTGAATATGTTGAGTTAATCAATGAATTAGAATATTTAATAATTAGATCATAGTTTTAACATTAGCTGAGAAGGTATCAAATTAAATTGGTAATCTCAGTTTTAGTTACCGTAATTTTTCTATAAGCAAATTAATACTAGAGGATTGATGAAAATACCCCTGATTGCAATGTTTTATCCAATTCTTATCTTAATAAGTAATAGTTTAAAATCGATTGCGAAAACATCGAGCAAGATAGTTTAGGTATTCAAAAACAAAACGTACGCCCAAAAAATTCTTCAATGAATTTAACCATTTCCATTAATCCCAAACGGATTACTGCTGCTTTTGTGTTATCTCCAAAGCCTAAACCTTCGGTAAATCCAGCACCAACTGCTACAATATTCTGTTGTGGGAAAACAAAAGAAAAAAACAGCAGAATAAACTGAATCTAACAATTCTACGCTAACATTTGGCACCATTCAACTGAAAAAGAAAATTGATCTCTTTTTAAAAAAAGCAAGATTTTACAATAGGTCATGCATTAGTTAGTACCACAATATTTGGGATAACTAGTTTTAAAAGTAGCAGTTGGTATTCAAAGATTCTGAAAAATGTCATTAATTTGGATAAGTCTATCTGAATTTTCTAGCTCTAAAGATTTTTCATCCTACTATTTATACAAATAGATATTGAAATAGATGAAAATATATCGAGAAATTTTTATGATAAGATGTTACTCTCTTTAGGATAATTGACTAATGCACGGCTAAAAATAGCTTAAGAGTCCAAATAATTACGATTGTCAAGTAGAAGGTAGCATAGTCCCCGAATCTCGGCAAACCCTAAACGAACTACAGCGGCTTTTGTATTTGCAATCATGTCTAGAGCATCAGCTATTCCCGCGGCAATTTCCATTACGTCCTGCACTAATTTACTCGTTAAATGGTGCCAATAGAAGTATATTACAAGTGAAATACATGAACTTAAACATGAAAAAAAACGCATAAATAAATTTCGTTAGCTTGACATAGTCTGTTAACAATTAGATGTTACATGGCTAATTAAGTAAAAGTAACTATTATCTGTTTAATTACCAAATTTGAAGATTTAGTTAAGCGTTTATGATTAAATAGAAGTTACTGAAGAAGTTTTAAATTGGTAATGTTTACATAGGCCGTTAAGTATACACTATTTCCTATTGTATTAGACCTCAATAAAAGACATACACAACTACTGAATACAGTTAATTCTATTAAGTATTTAACCTTCCCTAGAAAACAAAAACATTGTATTTTTTTTTAAAGAAAAGTTACTTGAGCAATATGTTAGAATGTAAATTTATATGGTCGAGTATATTAAACATGGAGACCTGTTAATGATAAAAACAAATACCTCACCTTTAGAGCTCCGCAGAGCTCTACAGTTGCTTCGTCTTCCACAACTACTATTCTAAAGTAGGGAGTTTGCATTAAATCTTTGAAAGTATTACCTATATCCTTATCTTTGCAACCTATGAAATATGATTAATAGTAAAAAAAACTATCTTATGAAGCTATCTATGTTATAATAATTAAACAGTACCAATTGTTGCTTCACAATAATTCTCTCTAGCAACCTCGGAAGCAATATTAGCTCCCATTAAAACGGCGCAAGGTATAGACAGTTCTCGGCGAATCATATTCGAAATCAAATCTAATCCAGCTTCAGTAATGTCCAATCCCTTCAATAACAACTTGAGTAAATAAAAAAACTAAAGAACAATTTTAAAAAACCTTAATTAAGGTAATTCCCACAGCACTTTCCTTTACTTTTCCTTTTAGTGTCTTACAAATATTTTTCATAAATTGGTGAGGGAGTACAAAAACCAATACGTCTGCATCAGATGCTGCTTCGATGACATCGGGAATAGCGACAACATTTGCAGGAACTTTATGTCCGGGCAAATACTTGGTATTCTCATGGTCAGTATTAATAATTTCGGTTAATTTTCGTCCTTCAACCATCTCTTCAAAAACATACATTGACACAGAAGTCTCAAAATCCTTTGTGTTTTGAACATTATTTCCAATTATTTTGGCAATGACCATACCCCTATAAAAATATATATCTATATATGTATGTACAAACAAATAAATACAGCTGTGGCTAGAACAATTTTTTTTACCAATTTCCAGATCCAACTATGCATACTTTTTTTGGAGACATTTTTCGATCGGTTTTTTGCCAATATTATAAGTATATTAAACGGAATGAAAATGCTATCGTGAGAGTCTGGAACTAGCAGGAAAAACAGAAGAAGAATATTAGAGGGGTAACATTCGACCTCGAACAATCTTCGTCCTTCACCTCTAAAGTTGCGTTCCACAACTAATTTATTATTCTAAAATGGCTGACATATGAGAAAAACTAGGAAGCCATTATTTTCAAATAAATATTTTTCTTGGAATATGTACACGTATTGTGTTGTACTTTGTCCCATATTTGCGCGAATCATTTAAATATGTTCAAATTCCATTTTATTTACATAAATAAGAAAAATTATTGCTGAAAATTTAGGCATATATACTATTTAAATTATCTACTCATAATACCATAAAGAGGGATAAACATATATTTTATAAAAATATAGACTCTAAATTTATAAATCAATCTTCCAAACTGAAACATTCCTTTCGTCCCCTTTCGTATAATATTCTTCACCGATGCTTGCATAAGCCGGATCATCAGTTTCCCTGCCATTTTCCTTATTACTAACAACCATTTCTATAAGTCTCATAAAATTCAAGTCACCAGTTTGCCTAATATGTTTATAAATATGTAAACTTTCTTCAGCTATTTCTGCAGCTAAGTGTGCTGTTTCAATAAGAAGCATTTGTTCTACTATTAACAATATAGACTTTTCCTCCAAAGGATGCTTTGGTTGTTTGTAGAACGGAGGTGTAATAGTTCTATGAACGGGAATATGACTATTTAGGATATCATCTATTATGACTTCCGTTAATTTCCGTATGAAGAAATAATCGTTCATTTGCCAAGATTTATATGATTGTGGACCTAATTCACCATTATAGGGGAGAGTAAGCATCCATTTCCTGTGCTGATATTCCATTCTATTTCTTTCATATTGTTGCTTATAAGGTATTAAATCTTTACTATCGCTAATCTTCGCCTGATATTATAAATAAAAAGAAATAACATTATTTATTAACAATAATATTAATGTAACATTCCAGTAATTACCAAAGGTAGGCCATAATATCCTAATTTCACATTACTAATTGGGATATTTCCAGTCTGATTACTAAATTTTCGATTTTCATCAACCCACTCCTCTTCAAGAGCTAACCTTTCCTCTTCTAATTTCTTCTTTACAGTTTTATAGTTTTCCAGTAGCAAATCACGTTCATACTCAATATTTTTTCTAGTAGTCATTTTAAAGTATTTCTCTCTTATCAAAAGTTCAGTTAATTCTAAAAATACAGGCCTAATCCTGTTATATAATAAGAACTATTAATTATACATCTATTAATAAATTTATTAATTCAGCTTTTAATAGAAAAAAGGCTTTCTTTATTCTCAGTATATTTATATTGAATCGGACTATTTTTCTTTTTTGCGAATTAATACAGTTTCCACCAATCACAGAAAATCCAATACTGTACTGCAACTATTGTCAATATAAAAAATCTGCAGGCCTATTATGAATCAATATCTCTAAAGTATTGATAATTAATATAGCATGTGATTTCGAAATAATGTAAAAGTGTATATCAAATATTTGAATATGAAGTTTTATTGAAATAAATTCAATGGAAATTGAATAAAGAATGTAAATTAGATAAAAAAATTAATGTCTATAATGAATTGATTGATATCTAATCATAATGGATTGAATCAAATATTGAAATTTTCGCTTACTACAAGACAAAAAAATTGAAAATATTCAATTGAAAGAAATTCCTAAAAGTGATGTATCGATTAGCTTTTGAACACAAAAAGCTGTAAATAGTAGTGTGTTTATAATAGATAATTTATAAAAGGGGCCAAAACGTTAATAATACCACTAAAGAACATGTCTCAGTATTGTTTAGAAGTTTTTAAATAAATATCTATATTTTACAAACATTCTATTTTCATAGATAAAAAATCTGACTTATTTCATAAGCATAATGATAAATACATAAACAATCGCACCATAACGACCTTGTTGCTTGGCAATTTGGGCTTCCTCTCATTCAGAATATCGTTTTACTACTGTAAAGAAATATGTATCGATTTAACGGTCCCAGTGATAAATCATCAAGTGATCTCTACGGTACTGATGAAGATGTAAATTACAATGAACCTGATCCAAAAGAAGCAAAACATGTTGTATTTGTTATTATTGGCAAGGGAAGGACACCAGAAGAAGAAGAGCTACAAGCTAAAGCAACTAATCAGTACAAATTTTGAATTTTTTTTCTTTTCTCTCGTTTTACATCTCAATTAACTATATGAAAACAGAATAAAGAAAGCATTTAAGATACAAGATCCAGATAACTCATCCAAAGTTATCTTTATGCCCATAAACTGGACACTGGGCTTAAATTTAAGCCAAGGTTAATTTGATTATAGAATTATTTATTATTAAGTATCTGTACAATAGAATGTTCGATTTTTTACTGTTACAGAAACAATGGAATCAATTAAACCGAGTTGTAGTCTTGATATGCAAAGAATGAGGAGAAATTTTGAAGACGCACTCTTCGATGTAGTCTTCTATGTTGCTCCAATATTCTTTGCAGAAGTCGGTATTTATTCAGAAGTTTTATCTACTCTTATTAAAAATATGAATATGCAAATTATCAGATTCAATTGTCTTTAACTGAAGAATTAAGTAAAGCATGGAAAACACTCAGTGATAAAGGCTTTCAAGGTAAGGTGTCACTTATGGCTAATGGACTTGCTAGGTTTGTACATCTTAGATACTATGTTTTAAGTAAAAATGATAATTATCACTTTCTTCTAGTGTAATGGTTTATGACACAATTACCGGAAATGATCCACCCAAAGCTGTTAATCCTGTCTATATTCCGGTACTTTATTAAATCAAGCTTTTTATAAATTATGAATGAATATTTTGTAGAGATCATACGATTCTGGAGAAGTTAACGAATTATTCCAAGAATTAGGAGAAGCTAGAGGCAGGTTAAGAAAATAGGGCATTAAGATGTACAGTACAATATATAGTTTTTGTATGCTCTTTCAGTGTTGGTGATGTAAAGGGTAGAATTTCTTCCTTTTGTGCTAAAAATCTCGATTTTTCGGTAACATTAAAACATATTTAGGTATTTATATCTGAAAGTTTAAAATTTCCAGATCGCAAATATCTTCCTACTTGGATCTCCAATTGGTATGTTTATGGCAATGAGGGGTATTCGAGCCGGTGAATTAAAACTACCCTACAATACAAAAGTATTCAACATCTACGATCAATCAGACATTTTTGTAAGTGGTTTCCTTTCTTAAATGTTTATCGATCAACTTTTAAGTTATACTTTTGACAAAAATATACAGGCTTATAGATTGGATCCATTGATAAGCCAAGAACCAACAGAAGCTATAACTTTACGTCAGAATACAGACTTTTTCGAGAGTTATCCTCAAGGTTATTTCTTATTTGTTAAAGATTTTAAACTTGTTTGACATCTCTAAATAAATCTTGATTTACAGGGTTTGACAATCGTCGAGATTTCGTAATTGATGCTCCAAGTTTCAAATTTATAGGCCCAACTAAACCTCACATTGCATATTGGAAAAGTGAAGCTTTATCTCAGTTTTTACATACGGTAAGCAACAAGATAAATATACGCATGAACAAACAGTAACGCTATATTTTTATATTTTTATAGGTTTTGAGAAACTAAAATGGAAAAGCTATACTTCATAAATTGACTTTCTCTTTAAAAATAAAAACTCCTTGTCTTACAAAAACTGTTAATTCTCTACTTTTCTACAGGTTCTTACATTTCAGATTGTTTATAACAAAACAAAAACAAAAACAATTGTGTTACTATTAACTATATTACTTAATGAACAAATACAATTAGAAAAAAATAGAGTTTAACTTTTGAGTCTTGATAAATAAATATGACATAAATAAATTAAAAAACTCAATTTTTTAGATGTTTATAGTCTGATACATTATATTCTCGAAAGCTAGTCTATTTAGAGAGATATTTTATAAAGAAATTTAAAAAAAAAACACCACGCGTTTTGGAGTGAATCGTAAACAGTCGAAGTAAAGGAATCGTTTACGATTCCTCAACATCACATGCTTTGTAATGGCGGCTATACGATTTCTTATTAGTAAATAAACCACCGAACTGTGATGTTCGAAGATTTTTTGCAATAAATCAGCAGTAATGTCTTCATCAATCGTTATAGAACTACTGAAAAGTGTCAATAAAGCAGCTTCACAAGACGATTTTGTCAATTTTTTGGGAAGTTCTTGTGGTAGAAATTTAATCCTAAATATTTTTAACAAAGGCGTAAAAGTAAGAATTGACTAAATTGTAAATTAATTTATTAAATGAAAATACTTTCATAGGGATTGGCAAACTTGAAGGAACTGATTGAATTGGTTGCATATACAATACAATTTCTTTTAGATCGGATAAAAGAGGATGAACAAAGTATTGTTATTCTTTTATTTGTAAATATAAAATGAAAAGAAATTTTTAATAAGATAAAATACTAGGGCGTACACACAATCGAACAACATGTTAGTAGAACGATTTATCTTTTTCTATTGATAGAAATATGCCATTTGAACTCTTTGCAATTTTTCATCAAAATAATCATAAAGTTACTCGAGTGCAAAAGATAATGCTATTAATTAAACTTAAATATTTCTTATTGAATTATTTATGTTAAACGTGGTTTGTCGTATTGAAAATATCATACTGATTTGTGAATATATTTTTGTTTTAGATAACTACGACCTAGAGTCTGTGGAACAATGCTTTACAGTACCAAAGAAGGTTGCAAAACACGTTTTATCGAATATACAAAAAGCGAATGATAAAGATAATGATGAAAATGTATTACATACTTCCAATGGTTTCTTAAAAGACATTGAGCTATTCAGACTAATTAACGATTTATTAATTATCTTATGTATCGAAGAATGTTCAACTCACAATGAAAAAGACACTAAAGATTGTATTTGTTTAAAGATACTCATTGATTTCTACAATTATCTAGAACAATGCAAGAGAAACAACATTCTGCACATCTTTCTCAGAACATTTTTCAAAATTTCCCGCGTGATTATTAATTATCATTCATCAATGAATTATTGTACTTTTAATCAATTCGAAAAAATTCTAAAAACTCTAAAAACACTTGGAGAAATACAGGATTTTTGTCAAGAAACAATTATTGGATCATTTTGGATTTTAAAGAGCTTGTTAGAATTTTCTGACGTTTCTTCAATAACCGATATAGTAAGATCTGCTCATAATTTACTTGACAATTGGAATAACTTGGAAGAAGCTATGGACATGCATTTATTTAAGATAATATGTGGATTTATCAGCGATTTGAAAAAGGCTAAAGTTGAATTTTTACACGCTTGTCGATGTAGTAGAATCAAGCACAAATCTTGTTTTAAACGTTATTCACATTTTACGCATCATCATCACGAAATTCTTAGTATCTATGATGATTGTATTATAAAGAGATTATCCATTCTACTTATTTGTTTTTTGAATAAGTGCGATGATTTAGCTCTTACAATAACGATTGGAGAAATAAGAAAATGTGGCTTATGCTGTTGCTTATCTGTGGAGAATCTAACTTGCATTTTAGACAAGAATAAAGAAGATAGTCAACTATTAATTAATTGGATAGCCAACACTGTACTATACGAATTAGGTGGATATGATGCCGAATATTCTTTCTGTTCAAAATGCCAAAAATCAACGTTAGATCGTTGGAATTCCTTATCAAAGTTAATTAATTACACTGATCCAAAGAATACTACATTGAAAACGGATAATTTTAAAAGAATTGACCTAACAAAAATAGAAGATTTAGTTAAATACGGAAGTGACAATTTAATAAAAAGTTTATTGGAAAATATTTATGCACAAATCGTTAAAGAATCAGGATTAAATTTTCACGATAGAATTCTTAATCATATTCTCAACGTATTTGTTCTCTGCCAAAAAAATTTAAAATTATGTGACTTTTTCCTTGATAAAATTGGAGTACGAATATTTCAATTGAATAGCTCGTGTCTGAATTTAGTGTTCAAATGTTTCCTCAAAATAATCTCTATAAAAAAGAACAACGTTCAAGATATTGCTGAAATTATCTTTAAAGTAACAAAAAAACCAGGATTAACTACTGAAGAATCTACAGAATTATGGAAATCAGTTCATCTATTAATATATTATAATGAAAATGCAAGAAACCTTTTTGTTAAAGGTAACGGAACGCGAGATGCTCTTGATACAGCTAAATCATGCATTGAAAAATTCGAAACTGATAAAAACGAAGATTTAGTTTCAAACTTTTCTATTGCCTTTGCATGTTCTGTTCTATCATGCTTAGGGGTAAGTATAACAACTATAATACATTTGTTGACAATGTATAGATACATATATGTATATATATATATATATATATATATATATATATTGTTTATTTTGCACGTAGTTCCCCTCGGCTAAAGGTCATGTTGTATCGGAAATACGCAAAGCATTGAAGTCCAATTTAAAGACATTACAAAAGAAATTAGTATGCGATCATCTCTTTCATCTTATACTTCTGAAAGAATTGAATAACAAATCCCAGCCAAAATTCCTTCCACCTACAGATGCTAGTCAAATAAAATTTCAAACCAAAAAGAATTATGATGATGGCAGCGATTACGATGAATCATTCTCAAATGATACAGGTTATTATTATAATAAATATTACGTGTACCGTTATTCAAGTGTTAATAACCTAGTAAATTTTCCGTTTTTTTAGCCTCATATTTGGAATTTTCTATCGAACCGATCAAACTTATTCATTTTGAATTTATTGAACTTTGTTTGACCTTATCCGATTCTCATGAAAATGATTATGATCAATATGTGCTAATGAAAATAAGAGAGTTAATTAGAAATTCCAAGTCGATAAGAACTTATTATATTGAGAACAATCTACCAAAATTGCTATTAGACAAATACTTGCAAGTTGACGACGATGGTCTGTATCATTAAATTGAATCTTTCAAATAATGTATTTTTTAATATTTCCAATAAAACTAGATATTCGAAGAGAATGCTTGAATGTTTATATGGAACTAATTATTGAAGATATGAATTCTTATTTATTATCCGAGTTTATTCGATTATTATTTCATAAAACTACGAAAAACATTGACCCATTTTTGGATATACTTTTAAAACATTCAGATTTTGAACAATCACCATCGTTTTATCTTCAGTTTCCAATGATTAAATTAAAGGAGACGGAGCCGAACCAAACTGAAATAAGTCCAAGTGATTCAAGTATTCCACAAATGTTCAAGGAATCATCGACGTGTTTAAAAGTTGAGGAAAAAATCATTTGGCCTTCTGTTGGTTCTGATTGGTCAATATCAATTTGGATTGCATTTCATAAAGAATTGGAAAGTAAGATAGACTGTAAGGAAATGTTTATTTTTAGTTTTGGAAGTGAAAATTTTATAATTGAAATATGGTGGAATGTTCAAAAGATGAGAATTTTTTACAAGTTTGTCTAGAAAGAAATGATTACTTAATTAAAAAGTTAATTATTCTTTTATATGACAGATTTATATATAAGGAAAATTCAGAAAACTTTGAATTAAAATATAACTTACAATCTAATGGAAAATGGAAAAATTATTGCTTTTCATATTTTGAAAGAAATGTAGACAAAGTTAAAGAATTTACGGTAAAAAAATTATATATTTTTAATGAAATTAACTTCTTTTAAAACAATTTAAATAAATATAGCTGATATTATTTGTTGATGGAAAAGAAGTTGACAAAGTTACAAGCTGCTATACAAACATAACAAATACCTCAATAAGTCAATTTCTAATCGGGCATTGTCTCCAATCGCCCATTGATTCAATTATTACAACTTCTACCTATCATCTAAGTACATTAATGTTCTTTCAAGATGTAACACTAAGCAAAGAAAAAGCAATGTTTATGTATATTTTGGGGCCAAATACTGATAACTTGTTCGAATGCGACAATTTACAAACAAATATTGGATTTGTACATTCTGTTTTAGTAAAACATATTTTGGAAAGTGGCTTAGATGTTGAAGGAGTTTTGGAAAGGATAAATGATAATTATCACATTTTAAGGGTAAGATATTTACAATTTTCCAATTGAATGAATGCAACCAAAAATAACCAAAACTATGTACAGAAACACGTTAAATTGATATACAACGCTCGTTGTCCAAAATCCTATTGCCTTCTAAATGTGCCGGACCCGAATCCACTTCCTTTTGCTTCTAATTCAATAGATAAAGCAATTATGGAGCATCCGTTAGAACTACAAGCCGATACTGTTATGTTGGAGAGTAAACGGTCGAATTCTATTGAAGAGTCGCTGATTTGTATTGGTGGAGCAGAATTATTATTATTTTTATATGCCAAGGTAAATTGTTTTTTTTTTGTTTTTTTTCCAAAAACTATTGAATATGTGTTTATTTTCATCAGACTGTAGAAATGTCGAACGATTCCCAGAGTCAGACGAAAAGCTTGCAATTATTACTGGAAATTGCTAAACGTAGTCGAACAATTGCCAAAGAATTTGACGGATTGTCAAGTTATGAATTACTAATAAAAGTTTTCTCAACTGATTTATTTATCATGTCAGCTGATTTTTTAAAGGTTATAATTTTCTTCAATCGCATAATAATTACCTTATTTAAAGATAAAAATTTACTATTATTAGATTCTTATGGATGCTGCTTATAATGAATCAGTTATTATTATAAAAGAAACGCTTACAGTTAAAAATTCGACCAGTTTTTGCGTTTTGGACGCTCGTATTGTAACAGAAATATTTCTAGCTTGGAAATTATGGATTCAATACGAAGATTTATGGATTTATGCTTTAAAGTCAATCGAAATTCTTCTTGACGATACGAATAGATGTAAAATATATAATGTTAAAATGTTGAGCGAATTAGAATTCTTGGAAAAATTAAAAAATATGTGTTTAGAGTGTAAACAAGAAGCTGATTTTAAGAGTTTCTTCTCACCAAATATTTGCCAACTTCTAATTTCTATATTTAGAAAAATATTAAGGGCCGTAAGCGATGTACATGCAGTGGTAACCATTGCCGATCTACTCCTACTTTTACACCCTGCTGCACTAACTTACGTTCAACATTCCCCCTCTGGTTTTTACTTTAATCCTAGCTGGCGTAAGTATATAGAAAATAAATTCATAAGGAACATACTAGTTTAGACTAATATTGTTTTATCTAGTAAGAAGGAAGTCGATAAGAAGAAGTGATCGAATATATATTTATTCAACTTCGTCTTCATGTTCAACACTTAAACAGTCGAATGACCATAATCAGAACTTGGAAGATCCTGAAATTGAGAATAGGACTCCTTCGTCAAATTCAGCTAACACTAGTAGTACTGGTTCCGAATGGGAGCTATTACCAAATGCAGAGTCTACTCAATCAGTTACGGTTAACATTAAGAAAACACCTGGCGAGGTTCACGTACCGGAGGAGGAAGATATTGGTTTAGTACAACTGTGCTCTGGATTGTTAGAAGCTGTCGATGATGTACTTTATTCTATGGATAAGAAAGATGTAGAAAGAATATTCAAAGTAGTTGTTAAAGCTGATTTTATAATAATTCTCGCTCAGCATTCTGCTGATTGTGTTAGACTTACTGCTTGTAAGGTAAGAATAAATTAGCTTCTTAATCATAAGAGTGATTATTCATAAACTATATAATCTTTAAATTTTATAATTCAGCTTATGAAAACGTTTCTGAAAATGGCCAATTGCGCCCAAATTGAGAAGCTTAGAGAGCAATACGCTTTCCAACTATTAGCTTTCCAGTTACATCAACACAATGTTTGCAGTCGTATAGTGGATTGTCTATTATCAATTTGCTTTGAAAGGGATTTAACTCTATATGAACTATAGTAATTTATTTTTGTTATATCTTTAAACTTTAGAGATCAACTGTCTTTTAATAATATTTTGCTATTCTTTTTTTAGTTCATCCCCGAATTTAGTCAATAATATTACACTCCATGAAATATCAATCCATTCTTTAATCGCTTACATTGCTCTACTGGAAAATTGCTGTACAGATAATCCTAAATTATGTTGTAATATGCTGGACGTTTTATCAACTGTATTACTACCGAAAAAGCCTATATATAATCTGCTAAGAACTAATTTTCTATGCACGGTATTATGTAACGTGCTCTACAAAGCTACAAGTTTTTGCGAAAATGATAAAATATTCGATTCAGTTGGAAATTGTTTTCGAACTATCATACTACTCGATTTTAAGTGAGGTTTTAACATAGATTTTTAATAGCTTTTCAATTTTGTTCAATAATCTTTTTTTTAGCGAAGACGATCCCAAAACATTGTGTCTTTTTAAAGAAATAATAACGCTTTTAAGATCTCTAATAGAAAAAGCTACTGAGAATAGAGTTATTTTTGAAAGAATTATTTGCAATTGTTTCCTTCACGTGTTTGAGTTCTGTATGGATTTAAAATTAAAACTTGAAAAGAAAAACGATGTAGACGTTGGCAATCACGCTCAACGTTTATTAACAATAATAGTATTTGCTACGGAATATATTGTATATGATGGTATGTTTTCCTCTTTTTATATCTAATTAATATAATGTTTTTTTTTGGTTTAACTTCAGATTTAAGTTACGAAGATAAATTCGAAAGAAAGTATACTTGTGATCATACAAAGCTAACTAAATATTTCTTACAATTCCTTTTAAAGTATACACACATTTGTTTAGTAAGTAAAAACAATTGTATTTATTTTGTTATTAATTATATAAGAATTATAAATATTGTTTAGAAGCGATTTAGTCCGTTCCATTCCAAAAATTCTCTCAAAGTTTTATACGACAATAAAGACGTTGTATTTTCACAAGTAAGACAACCATAACATAGATATATACATATATATATATATATATATATATAAATAATATTTTGTTTAGCTCTCTACATTGATTGGACATATCTTAAAAACAAGTAATGATCACACATTGAGCCTACACTCCTTACAACTACTTGCCAATGATCTCCACAGTCGAAGTATTTTACAGAATATATCAAGTTTACAACAATTAGTAAGTATCAATGAGTCTTCCAATTGTCATAACATTGTGTGTTAATGCAATAAAACCTCTTAGGGTCAAAAGATGATGTCATATATCACAAATATTTTGGAATCTTTTGATCGAATCAAATTAACTCAGGCAACTTGTGAAGAATTGGAAGAAATCTCTGGATGGCTGAAGCGAAACTTTTATATCGCAAAAAATGTGAATATTGTTAATAAAATTATTTAAGTAAATAATAATTTCTATTCTTTTTAATTAGCAAACTCAAGAAATTTCAACAAAAAAACAAGAAGTTTTTGAAGAAAATTGTCGATCTGTTATCGATAAATATCAGAGAGCGATTGATGAACATTCAACAGAATTATCAGATCAAGCAATGCATGTAACTCAAAGAGTTGTTAACGAACAAAACAAATTGAGAAAACGATTATTAGCCTCTATAAAAATCAGTTTATCCGCTCAAGTTTTGTCTAGAATAAGATGGCAAAGGATCGTTGATGATCTGAGCCATGAGAGGGCTTCTTGCTACGCCGAGCATATATACCCAATGTCCTGGGAATTAGACCCGACGGAAGGACCGATGAGAGTTAGAAAAAGGTTAAAGAGGTGCTCGTTAGGTGTTAACAAAAGATTTTTGTTGGATGATGAACGATGGAAATTAGAGGAATTGAGATGCAAACAACCTTTATCTTACCTGTTTGAAACTCAAACCTCAGATTCAGAAGCATTAATCTATCAGCTACATACTAATGAAAAGTTGTCATTAACTGCACGATGCTTGCATGTTCAACCTGCAAGAGAGGTAAATGGAGAGCTTCTTCTGGGAGAAAAATCTCTCTATTTTATCGGAGACAATGTTCAATCAATAACTTTACCGTTTGACGGTATTAAAAGCGTTCTTAAAAGACGGCACGCTCTAAGAGATGTTGCATTAGAAGTATTTTTAATCGACGGAACAACTTGTCTCTTCGCTCTGAGTACATCAAGTGAAAGAGACGAAGTAGTAAATAATTTATTAATGAATGAACTGCCGAATCTAATAACAATAGAGAACATCGATCAAGTACAAAAGATGTGGAATGAAAGAGAGATAACGAATTTTGAATATTTAATTCACTTGAATACTTTATCAGGTAGAAGTTACAACGACTTAATGCAATATTTTGTCTTTCCATTCGTTTTATCAAATTACGATGAAGAGATATTAGATCTAAAGGATTCAAAAAATTATAGAATCATGGCCAAGCCCATATCTGTTCAATTTAAGGAATGCGAAGCCAAATACCTACAAACTTATAAATATTTAGAGAAACAATACGAAGAAATTTGCCATTTAGGTTCTAAATTCGAAGATGAAGCCTTTCGACCGAAACCTCATCATTACGGTTCACACTACAGTAATTCAGGAACAGTTCTTCACTTTTTAGTTAGATTACCTCCCTTTACACAAATGTTTCTAGAATATCAAGATAATAATTTTGATTTGCCGGATAGGACTTTTCATTCAATGGCTACTTCGTGGAGACTATCCGCATCTGATTCAACAACGGACTTCAAAGAATTAATACCTGAGTTTTTCTTTCTACCTGAATTTTTAATGAATAAGGAAGGTTTTAATTTTGGAGTTCGTCAAAATGGTACTTCAGTTTCATCTGTAGCCTTACCGGATTGGTGCGAAAATAATGCTAGATATTTCATTATGATACTTCGACAGGCTTTAGAATCAAATTTTGTCAGTTCAACTATATCAAATTGGATTGATCTTGTTTTTGGTTATAAACAAACAGGTAAAGCAGCTGTTGAAGCTATAAATGTCTTTCATCCAATGACTTATTATGGTGTAAATTTTGAGAGTATCGAAGATACTATGAAAAGAATAGCCGTTCAAACAATGATTAAGACTTATGGCCAAACTCCAAAACAGTTATTTATATCACCGCACGTTTCACCAAAGATTCCAAATGAGATATTATCCATTCTTGATCCTCCATCCGCTCTTCCCGGCGTCTGTGGTATTAAGTGGGGAAAGTATGTTGGAAGTCCCGAATATCCTCCTCCTGTTGAAATATGGAGAAAGTTTTATCAAACTCCAGTTGAACATTTGGTTGCATCTGTCACTGGTCAAGTTTTCGGATTAGAGAAATATTCGAGTTTAGTGACGAAATATAGTAAAAAAGAGAAGACTAAAGAAGAACTTTGGGCAGCTCTGGTGCTATGGAATAATGTTGATAGCGTTCTAAGAATAACGAAAAAGCGAAAACTACCTCCTGTTAATTTAGTACAATGGCAAATAGGTGGTGCAAGGCCAACTTGCTGTGCCGCGGTACATCCTTGTAGATTATTACTATTCGGAACGGATACAGGACTAATATGTATCTTTAAAATAAGGTTAGTCGCCATACTATAATTAGCACGTCTTTTTTTATCGTTTCTCCATTAATAGATATACAACGGGAAATGCTAGTTGTATACAAGTAAGAGGTGGTTCAGAACTATTAAAGTTATATGGACATTCGAAAAAAGTTAATCAAATACAAGCTTGTTCCGCTTTTTCAATATTTGCTAGTTGTAGCGAAGATAAAACAATAATTATATGGGATTTGAATAAGTAGGCTTACAATTTTTTCCAAATTAAACCCTAAGACTTATCAGTTTCTTTTTATCTTTTTCTATTAGATTAATTTATGTAAGATCCATACAAACTCACGAATGTCCTGTTCATGTATTGGCAATTAGCGAAACACTTGGTGATATTGCTACAGCTAGTTATCTACGTAAGTCTTTACAAATTCATTTGTCATATGAGATCAAATTTTGAAGGTTTTTTTGTTTATTCTTAATTTTAGCGGATGGTAGAAGTGATCTTCAAGTTCATACAATTAATGGTGAACTAGTTGGTAAAGTTAAAACAGATGAAAAAATAACAACAATCACCTATTCGAAAACACCCGAAGGTCAATCCGTTAATGCCATTGTTTGTGGATTTAGTAACGGATTAATAAGATTCTATTCTAGTTGGACTGTCAAATTAATAAGGGAGCTAGGAGTATTAAGAAATTCAATATCATCTTTGGCATACTCGGCCGATTCGCAAATTTTATTTGCAAGCTGTTCAGACGGCCTAGTTTTGGCTTTCGATAACTCTGGACACAATGGAAAAAATGTAAAATTTAAGACGCTTTTAAAGGAATCTTTTAAATTGTACACTTGAATGATAAAAAAAGAAAACAAAGAGGAAGAGCTTAGTATGAACACAAAAAAATAATAAAAAAAGACACTTATAATAAATAAAGTCTCCTCCTTATTAAACATATATAATATACATTTTGTATGTACTATATAAACTTATCAACATATTTATAAGATAAGCTATATACGGTATATATGTTTAATTACAATTATTTAGATCTTTTTTTGATTTTATTATTTTTAGTTTTATCTTTTATTTTCTTTTACTTAATTTGACTTTTTAATTAGATTACCAAAGGTTTAAAATAGAAAGAAAGAATATATATATATATATTTATACTAATATTAATATATATATATATATATATATAGAGAGAGAGAGAGAGAGAAACTTAATTACTTATGTGTTCATCATAAATAATCTTCTATAGTATTCATATATTTTTTTAATGGAATTTAATTTTAGTCGAAATGAGATCTATGTAAAGCTATTATTAGTATTAATATATATGTATATGTATATTAATACTGTATATTTACGATATATACACTTGTCTATTTGTATGCTAGAAACAATTTGAAATTACAAAAGCCATTTTTTATATGTTTTTTTTAAATAGTTTAATCAATTTATCATCTTTTTTAAAAATCTTCATGGCAGTGATGCAGGAAATCTAACCCAAAAGGTATCGAATAATCTAACTACCGAAACGCTACAATTTTTTATTGATTTAATTAGTAAATATTTATCAATGAAAAAATGTATATGTTAATAAATACTTACAAAATTTGAACATTATCTGTATTTGCTCCATTTGGATTCCAAGTTACAGAAATGGACTTTTTACTAACAGCGTTAGCATGGGTGGCACTGTTATCTGTTCCTCCGTTGCAAGTCAAACCAGTAGATCTAAATTATTATAGAGTAATTGAATTTTGACTTGAATTAATCCTTATGAATTTAATAATTTCCTTACTCGTTGTTAAAGCCTTCAAATTTTCCTATTGGTGTTCTGTCAGTTCCTCTTCTGGCTTGCATAAGAAATCCTCTGAAGACATCATCTCCAGTAGCGGAGAGGGTTACTGTTTCAAAAAGTAATGTCAGTGTAATAGTCGTAATAAAGTTTTTATCAATTTATACAGAGTTTTTTTATTACCTTTATAGTTATCACCATCTTTAGTAACTTCAACAGTATATGGAAAAGGCGAAGTTTGTGGACTAACTAAATGCAAAGGTGTTAAGTCCTCACAAGCCTCTTCAGGTGCTCCGCTGGGAAAAGCAGACACATAGGTGATTAGGAGTAGAAGACCGAGAAATTTCATATTTATAATAATCAATATGAATTAAAATTTTCAAAAATCATCTTTTTATAAGACTTTTGATTAATCCTCAAAATCACGTGGCCAGTACATTTAACGAACATTTGGTAAATTCACATGAAAGTAGATAAATGATTGTCAAAAATTTGTGGCACATATTCAAAAATTGACCGGCTGAATTATTTTATCAAGTTTTCATCATTATTCATGACCTCTTTATCAGGGCTAGATATAATATATTTCACACAAACACAATTGATAATAAATAGGTCATAAACCTTATTTTCCACCTTATAATCAAATGTTGTAAGACTTTCTTTAAAAAAAGAATTGCAAGAATAACGAAACATAAAGTTTAATATGCTAATTAGGTAGATAGACAGTCGTAAACTTTTTGGGTGCAATGATAAGACAATTCTTTGGCCTATATAGCCTGTCTTTATGCGTATGTAAATTATATATATGTCTTTACTGTACATTATATACATATATATAAATAATTTAGAACGCACTTAAAAAATTAGATACAAATAAGAAACACACACATTCAATTTAATTTAAACAGTTACAAGAACAGTAGGACACAGTTCAATTTAAAAAAAATGAATTTGGCAGTAGATTCAAGTTATATTAAAATTAAAAAAAAGTAGCTTATTGGCGTGAATGAATTGGATTTAATACGACAATTTATCTAAAGTACAAGTTCCAATTGCACCAATTTTCTTTTTTATACTAATAGTTCTTTGATCTTATTGATTTCAACCAGATTTTTCTATCGTTCGTTGAACTTGTATTAAAATAGAGAACAATTAAACAAGGTCAACCTAAAATTGCTGTTTGTTTATATAACAAAGTTTAGGTCTTTTTTTTATAATTAACTTTAATTAGTTGTATTCATATTATAAATTCTATAGATACTAATATATACATATTTATTAATTCATTGTAGTTTTCATATTGAACTTGGATAAAGCGTAACTTCCCTTAATCATTCTGGTATAATTGAATGAAAAGCATCGGCCATTGCCCCAACAGCTCCCAAATATCCAACTGGTTCAACAAAAACAACTTTCAGTTTTCCCTATTCAATTAGGATTATGAATTTTTTTTAATTATAAACTTTTTCAATTCAACTTATAAAACCTTGAAGAAACCTTGACATTGGTTAACAGTTTTTAGGCATATTCGCCTAATTGGATTATATGTCATAAAGTTACCGCAAACGTAGGCAACCTTAATGTCTTCTGTTTTGGCGGCCAAATACATCATTCTAGTATTATTTGATACTGTCGAATGAAGGATTGATGATACAACATCTTCTGTCTTAATATCTATTAAAATAGCGTTTGTTTTTTACTTTTCAATAAAAAAAAGTTTATAATTAAATAGAAGCAAAGAGAAAAGTCTAGTTTCTTCTCTTTTAAATATTTTAATGAAGACCTTTTATATCTACAATGTCCAGAGAGACTTTTCCAAATTTCGATGATAATAGACTACCACTGTAGTTGCCGTAGTTGTAGGTCGTTTCCTTTATTTGATAACTATCCATCTCTAATTCGCAAAGTTTGTCAAAGTGTTTATGTAAGTCTTTAATACATAGATCAACTTTCCAATTATCTCCGGAAGTAGCCATTTTTATTGCTTCTAAATGATTTAACTGCGCGAATAAAGTTAATGTAAAAAAAATAGAAGAAAAGTGATAAGTTAAGGTCTACAAACGTTACTCATTTGAGAGATTAATCTTGACAAACCAAGAAAACTACTTCCGCCCTCTCCACTTGCAGCCAACATTTTTATATCATTAACATCATTACCAACTTTTAAAAATTGTCCACTAGAACCAAATGAAGCTATCATAACGTTTTGTATTGGAATGTTGTTTATTCTCTTATCATCGTATATAAAAAGTGGTTTGTCAACATTTTTTGACATAAAATATAAACCCTTAGCTAAAGTTGTTAGTTCGTTGTCGTTAATATTCATCCTATGCAAATTAAAAACGATATTTGAATATTTATGAGGTATAGTTAAAGTTTATAAAATATAAAAAAAACTACTCTATATTTAAGGTATGCTCAAAAATTTTCTTGTAACTTCTTATTGAAATTCCACATCCGGAACATTTTATAATATCGCCCTTAAGCGTTTCTAGGAAGTTTTTCAAACTTTGAAATTCTTCTTTGTTGAACATTTTAAAGGTAATTATCTATTTTATTTAAAAGAGAGAGAGGGAGGGAGAGAGAGAGGGAGATGAAAGAGATAGAATATATTTTCAATGAGAGAAAGAATACAAACGTTTCGTCTAGCAATACTCATCTTGATAAGGGTTGTTCCTAGTCATGAATATTTATTCAGCCGTTGACATTTGCCAAAAAGAGAAATGAATATATTAGATGAAAAATAGTAATAATTTTCATTGTTTAATACAAAACATATCATTTAAGTAAGTGCACTTTGTAGGAAAATCCTCCTTACAAGTTTAGACTTAACCCTTTCATCCTTCGAAATATTTATTATAATTACATATCGCTGTCTTTAACTAGCTGGAGAATAAGTTATATAGATTGTTTCCTACTTACCAACATCAACACCTAAGATAATACCATCTTTTTTCCAATAATCTTCTTTTAATAGTAAAGTTTCTTCAGTTTCATTATCATTCATTTTTGAGTAGTTAATGAATATTATAAACTGTAATAGTAAAGAAAAATCTCTAATATAATGATAAAAGAAATAAATGAATAAGTTAACATAATTACAAGATTAAAGGTAGTTGCAGCTATAGATGAGGAGGAGAAAAAATGAAAAGGATAGATACTAACCTTTGTAGCTCTTGACAACTGTTAGTTAAATGGACATATGCCTTATGTAAAGTGAAAATACACTAGCACGTATATATACAGACTATATACAGTATATATATACAGTACATATCTTTATATATAGCTTATATTTATTTAATATAGATCCCTCTATATATAAATAGTTTCTAGCACATAGTATATATGAAGTTGTAACACTAATCTGCGTCTTTTAAGCCTAACCTTCAACTCAAAAAATTACATCCTCATTTCTTTTTTTGTCTACTTCACTTTGTAACAATAGTCTATAGGTTTTAATCTCACTTTCTATTTTTAACAATGATTTATATTATATTTATCTATAAAAATGCTGAGATTTCTCGATTTTTACGTGAAATGTTTACCATTTCTTTACTTTTTCGAGCAGTTTTGGCTTTTTTTATCAGTTTGGTTTGTCTTTCTTAGAAATTGTTCGAAACAGGGTTAAGTTTGTTATTTTTACCTAAATTCTAACCTTTTTCTTTTAAGGTTTAAAGTTTCTTCAGCTATTCCTACTTAGATTTCGTAAAAAAATTTTCTGTGGCTTTAGAAAACAGTTTCTCTTTCAATTAAGCATCAGTGGGATGGGAATTAATAAATTATACTTAAATTTAGAATAAAATTAATTAATTTAAATAAAAGTTGAGAAATTTCTTACATTAGATGTTGTTTAAAATATATTATATTTTTTTATGCTATTAATAGCGAATTATACATAAATATTTGTGTTAACGCCATTAAAAAAATACAAATACGAAAATAACATAGGCGGTAATCAAAAATCAAAATGGCGCTCAAGACAGCAGTCCATCAGAGTAAGTTTCTAAGTTTTCTCTGTTGATATTAAGTGTTACTCGATCATTGTCCGTTCAAGTTAATTAATAATTGTATTATAATGAGACTGAACATGCTTCATATGCGAAAAATTCTTACAAATAAAATTTTTCGTCAGTCCGTGATTTGTCATCACCTGATAATGAAACAATCGTAAAATTTATTAAAATCCAATATGCATCAGAGTTAAAATTGTGAAGCATGAAGTTATATTAACGATTTTAAAAATTTGTTTTGTCTGATGGATGAAAACTGAAGGAAATGACAACAAAATACTTCATTCTTTTTTCATATCAATCGCAGTAGATTGATGAAGCAAACTAATCAATACATCTTTACAAACGTTAGTTTGACAACATCGACAAATATGTTCATTTAATTATGATATTATAATCAGAGTAAACCTTGTTGATCATAAGTTTTATCACTTATTCTGGTAATCAATAAGATTGATTTTTTTTGCATTGCAGAGATGATGACGGACGTCATCGGAACAATGAAGGGATCGGATTGGAAAGTTTTAATTCTAGATCAGCTTTCCACAAGAATGATATCTGCATGTTCGAAAATGACGGAAATAATGTCAGCTGGAATAACACGTAAATATATACTGTATACTACTATATATAGATATATGCATATTTTTTTTATGCCCAAGTGCCCATAAATCTTTTTTTCAAATAAATATTTAATCTCTTCACATTTCCTCTGCAGTTGTTGAAGATATTAACAAGAGAAGAGAGCCATTACCTCAATTGGATGCAATTTACTTAATTACACCAACTGAAAAAGTAATTGTCTAATAATATGCAATATATATATACCTTTATTCAATATTATTTAAAGATTATTGAATTATTTTAAAATATTATCCTATGTATTTCTATTAATCTATTGAGTTGGTAATTTCGTATTAATAATTAATATTTATTTCAATAAGACGAACCGATATTTAAAAAATTATTATTTAATATTATTAAAGAGATAATAACAGTTAAAATTCTTTTTTATAGCGTTATAGCGTTTTTTAATGATATATACGGCTATGGAATATTTGATGATACGTATATTTATTTTACAGTCTATCCGCTCCATGGTTAACGACTTTGTGGACAGCAATCAACTCTATAAATGTGCTCATATATTTTTCACAGAAGGTAAATATTTATGAAGGAGTGAATATATGGAATATATTAGCATATATATACTTTTAAGATAATATAATATATTATATCTTTTATTTATAGCTTGTCCGGATGAGCTGTTTAACCAACTCTGCAATTCTGAAATGGCCAAAAGAAATTTAATCAAAACATGTAAGGAGGTAAACATCGCCTTCCTACCCTACGAAGGACAAGTTTTCTCGCTGGATGCACCGGACATATTTGAACTATACTACAGTGGCAATAAAAGTCAAGCAAGAACCATAGTTTTTGAGAGAATAGCCGAGCAAATAGCAACACTCTGCAGCTGCTTGGGAGAATACCCAGGCGTTAGATACAGGCAGTACGTAATAATAAAATATATTCTTATTATATGGATTATTCTAAATAAATACTAATTTGTTTGTAATGTTTTTTTAAAGGGAATTCGATAGAAACGGCGAATTTGCTCAGCTAGTTCAGCAGAAATTGGATGCATATAAAGCAGATGATCCATCTATGGGACAAGTAAATAATTATTTTACAATTATCTGTTAATTTAAAAATTGAATTTTATGAAAATATTTAGGGTCCACAAAAGGATCGTTCTCAACTCATTATTTTGGATAGAGGATTTGATCCAATATCTATGTTTGTCCATGAATTATCTTTCCAAGCTATGGCATATGATTTACTTCCCATTGGTTAGTTAATCCTAAATTCATATATATTGTATAAAGAAAATACATTATACTTCTATTGATTTTTTTGTTTTTTTTCTATTTTTATAACGAATTTTGTAAATTTTTAGATAATGACGTTTACAAATACGAAAGTCAATCCCCGAGTGGTGAAAGTCATGAAAGAGAAGTAATATTGGATGAAAATGATGATATGTGGATGGAGTTGAGACATCAACATATCGCAACTGTTTCTCAAGCAGTGACAAAGAAGTTGAAAGACTTTAGTCAACAAAAAAGATTTCAACAGGGTAGTAAGGCTCTTATGAGAGACGTCGCCCAAATGATTAAAAAGATGCCACAATATCAGAAAGAGCTGAATAAATACGCCACCCACTTCCATTTAGCGGAAGACTGCATGAAGCAATTTAAGAACATTGAAGAAATTATTAAAATGGAGCAAGATTTAGCCACAGGATTTGATAGTAATGGTGACAGAATTCAAGTCCACAAAGAACCACCAAGACCCATGATAATGCAAATAATGAACCCTAACGTCATCCAAAATGATAAAATTCGCTTAATAATGCTTTACATCATTCTTCGGGGAGGTATGAATGAGGAGAATCTCCGAAAGCTATTCGAACACGCTAAACTTCCAACGGAAGACATAAACACAATAAAATGTCTGCAAAATCTAAATCTTACTGTAATACAAGAGGGAAATAGACGTACTGTGAAACAGCATTATCAGGCTGTAAATAGACGAGAAAGAACACATGAACAGCGATTCCAAATGTCTAGATGGGTTCCCTATGTCAAAGACATAATGGAAGAGGCAATCGAAGATAAGCTAGATCAGAGAAGGTAGAACATAAAATTCTTGCAACAGACAAACTGATACCATTTGTTAATTTATTGTGTCCTTTCAGATTTCCGTTCTTAAGCAGTGGTCCTCGAAGCATGATGGGCGGCAGTGCTCCAATAAGCGCAAGATATGGAAATTGGCACAATAAAGCACAAACACCAAAGAGCGGTCCTAGATTGATCATCTTCATTGTCGGTGGTGTGATGATGAACGAAATGAGATGCGCATACGAAGTTACTAATTACACGGGACGAAATCGTTCTAATTGGGAAGTGATTATTGGTAAGAAACCCATATCCACTATTTAATTGCACATTATCAATTTTATCTTTTAATATCATCCCAGGCTCTACTCATATAGCAACACCGGCAATGATGCTAGATCACCTACGAAATCTCTGGTCGTCGTCAAATGCTGGTGTCTGTACTCCGTAGGATTCAGGGAAAACATTCTCTTCTGATTAAATATTAAATAGTCTCTTTCTAGTGCAAATTTCTCTCCACCATTAAACAGTCGTAGAAACAAAATTTTCTTCATTTCGTCACAAGGAACTGAGCTTGTTCTGAAATATGCTAGTCAACAATTTTTGATTGTAATACTATACTATATTTATATATATATATACATATATATACATATTTGTTTTTTTTGCTTTTCATTCTGAACTTTTAGACCGTTTTCTTATTTATCAATGAAAAGTAGAGCTATCCCTGTTCGAACTCTTGCTGTTTGTGGTTATTCATTAATTTTAGACCATTATCTGTTTAACTCTTCAACCACTGAGTCCGAATTTAACATGACACGATAGATATATATATTCCATTGCTGAAGCTGGTAAACTACATTCCAATTAATACAGTGTAATGGCTTAATAGCTTACAAAATAAAGCAGTTTTACATTTAAAAAAAAACAATTACAAAATACGATTTTTTAAGAAAATCAAGTTAAGAAATTAATCTATCTATGTATTTGAATTATTGTTTCTTTTTGTCCATTGATTCTTTAGCAATACGGTCGACTAAACGTCTAAAGTAGTATAAGTAGCACAAGCTAACTACTCTAACAATAGGTAGCAACACAACTTGTTGAGCACTTTCCAAAATCGATGTTGAGGGTCCAAATCCGCAAGTCGCGATTTTGGTAAAATAACCGTCGAGACCAATGCTTTGTAGAAATTTTCCCTTAATGGCAGTTTGGAAAATAGATTTCGCTACTTCGTCAGGCTGAAAAAGTTTAGCAGCCTCCGATATAAGTCGAGTCTCTTCCGGCTAATTATTTTAAAGAAAAAGCAGGTGTTATTAACTTTATTTATCAACTTTATTTATAAATAGAGTTCACCTTCACTTTATTTTCCTCCTCAAATCCAGGCGTCTCTGTATCAGGCGGATGAGCTATAGTTATTCTAATATTATACCGATTCAATTCCATTTGTAAACATTCAGCTAATCCTCTCAAAGCAAATTTCGAACCAGAGTAAGCTGTATAGCCAAACAATCCAACCTGACCAGCTACTGATGAAACGAAAACAATTCGACCGTTATCTACCTTTTTAATTGATGGCAGCGCTGCACGAGTAACTTTAACACTTCCCATATAGTTTATATCCATTAAACTCTGAAAAATAAAATAGTTATACTGTAATTTAATTCAGTATTTTTTCTTTAAAAACCTTAAAATATGAAAATTCCAACGAATCAAAACGACCAGAAGTCGACGTTCCTGCACAATTAATTAACATGGAAATATTACCCATTTTTTTCACAGAATCTTCAACACATCTTTCAATTTGGTCGTAATCATCAGTTATATCACACAAAACGCAGAGAATATTCTGTTTTATTCATAAAATAACTTAATTAATTCAAATTGATCACATTAAATGTCCTACAAGTTTATCTGATTTAGCTGCTTTCTCACACATTGTTTTCGTTTCTGAAAGCCTCGCCTATTTTTAAAAAGGGAAAGATATCAATTAATAATTTTCCAATATGAATAACTTCTATTTTAAAAGCTTTTAATACCTCATTTCTTGCTAAAAGTGTTAAATGAGCCCCTGATTTTGCTGCTTCAATCGCAAGTGACCTTCCGATACCGCTGGATGCGCCTGTAATCTAAAACAGGTGAAGCCGAAATTATGACTGATGTCTTTTTTTAAAATATTATTTTTTTAAAGTATAGAAAATAACCAGAATATGAGCATTTTTTGGATTGAACTTCTTAGGAGATATTAATCTATCAATGACGTACATAAGAACAACCAAAGCCGCCGGAGAGGCAATACATATTAGTAGAAAAGTCGTCATATTTCAGTTGAACTTTAACTCACTGTTTATGGCATGAGAACCTTTTCTAGAGGTATTGGGACTTACTAAAACTGGACAGTAATTTTCCAACATACTGAATGAAACTTTTTATACTAAGCTTTTAATAAAAAACCCTGTTGTAACTATTTGCCAATTTTTGCAATGGTCCCTCTCATATTTTTTTCTATATATAAATTCAGCAAAGATACCTTGGCTGGCGCCTAACAGCCTGCATTTCTTTCTCAGGCGCTGTACTCGAATTGTGTAATAATATAATTATACTATTTGTAAGGTAAAACATGGAAGAAATAATTAAATTAGTTATTACAACATAAAGTGTTCAAGTTCTATGTAATTTTCATTTTTGAGTCAAAGTTATATTATTTTTAAATATTTAAATATTTTAGTATTTCCTCAGTAAAATGATAATCCTGTTTTAGTAAGTCCCAGTGTTATAGCTACACTACTAGCGTCCTCTTACGAAAGTGATATAAACTGGAAAAAAATAATAATATATGAATAATAGATTGAATGTGAATTTTATTTAAAGAAGAAATATTTCAATTTTGAACGTTCCGAGAATCCATTGGAAAATTTAAACTTTTTTTCTTTTAGGTAAAACTGTTTCAAAAGCTTCTTTCCAATCATTTTGTTCACTAAACTTTAACAAAATATCAAAAACATGGTTAACCGCTAGAACTTTTCTTTGACACATTTGTATATATTTTCCTATTGGTAGCTGTGCATGAGAAATACCTCGTTCTTCGGCTAACTTTAAGCAAAGTCCTTTTGAATGATTGTGATCGACCAGACCTCCTATTATATAAACCTTATCCACTTCAAGAGTATTTAAAACATTTTCCGAATCACTACTTAGGTAAACAATTGATTTTTTATCAAATTCCTCGTAATAAGGTTTGTCTAAGAAAACAATGTCCCAATTGTCCGAGCCTTTAATTTGAAGTTGATTTAAAAGTTCACCGCTCGCATTGCATATGTGTAATTGTAGAGGTGACGGAGCTCTTCTATTCACGGCGTAAGAGTTTTGTATTTGCTTTGATAAGCAACCAATATCCTGGAAGGCAAAATGTTAATAAAAGAAAGAATATTTTTTCTTCAACAATAAGCAAACCTTTTCATTCATTAAATCGTTGAATCCACAGTCCATAACAACACGAATCTGGCAAGAGGATTCTTTCATTTTCCTCTTCTTGAGACTTTTTCTGGATGGTGGTACTTCAAGACCCTTTTCCAAACATTCTTTCCTTCTTTCTTTTTTCCTCAATTTTTCCTGTTGTCTATTCAATGAAAATAGCTTTTTACTTTATTTTTAATAAAATCTATTAACAATTAATCTATTGAACAGGAATATAAATATTCTATAGATTTCTTTAAAAAATACGACTTTAATAGCGCTTCTCTGTCTATTTATCCGTTAATAAAAGTATTGGTTGAGACACAAATATAGATTATAGAATAAATTCTTACACTGTAAATCTTAATGGTAAATGAAAAACTCAAACCTTTTTTCTGATCTGAATGCCATTCTTTTTTCGTATTTAGCAAGCTTTTTCTGCTGTTTTTTTGATAATGTAGGCTCAATTTTATCTGCATTATCGCTCTCATCCTGTTTTCCTGCTTTTTCGTCAATCTTCTCAGGTTCATAATCCTTATTAGCAGTTTCTTCCATATCAATTTATAAATGTATCAAAAAATTTTGCAGGAACCGAACGATACTAATAATAAAAGTTACAATTTATATTTGCAATATCTCTTGCAGTTGACACATGCAGGAAACTGGTATTAAATAGTAAACACAACTTTAAAACTTAAAGAAAGCCAATCATTTATTCTTATTTCTCATAGTTTATTTAAAGTAATCTCTCCGGAATGAACGTGAAATTGTTTATCCTTTATATATAAAAGAATGACGAAACAGCAGGCAATGATAATAATACCACATTATTCATACAAAACACAAGAATTTAAGAATTAATCATGTATTCAACAAAAATGAAATTTGCTTATTTTCTCTTTATAAATATTTAAAGCTAAAGAACATTTGTCCTAAGTTTCAAAAGTTTACTGTGTTTATGCAAAAATGTGCATATACATATGTCTATTAAAGAGGCACGAGAGGTTTTGTGAATTTTTTTGTAGTTGATTTTTGAAAGGTAATTTTAAATGGCGCTGAGCACATCCCGTCAAAATATTTAATTATTACACACCACTATAACAAGGAAATAATCGTCCTAGAAAATATTGTCAGAAACTATAATTCATCATGGTGATGAGTTTCTGTTGATTTTTGCCAGTTTGAAGTATCTGAGGGCTTGATGTAAACGCCTTCGGCGACTTTCCATGCATTTTTAGAACTTATTCCATGAGCTGCGCTAACTTCCATTTGCCCTTTGATTGGACGACCATAAGTTTCTCCACTTATATGCAAATATCCAGAAGTTACAACGTGTTTCAGGCGTATTTCCTCATCTCTCCTCCAAGAAGTTTCATCACATTGTACGTTCCAATTGTCACCTAAAAAAGTTTTTCACACGTTAAAGACTTATTAAAAAGAATAAATAGATGAAGTTTTATAAAATTTTTACCATCATCTCCTACACCCGCTTCTCCAAATGCTGATACCTCGTAGTTGTTCGAAAGGGGTGATTGGAAATGATGACTATGTAAATTTCTTCCAGTATTCATATGAGTAAGACGAATAGTTTGTCCACACTTGATTGGTGTTCCTCGCACACAGTCCGACTTGGCTTTTCCTTTTATTCTCCAGTAGCTGTTGTTATCCTCTGATGCATGAACTGCCGTTACAGATTGCTGTTGGCTTCCTGATCCATATTTGACATCATGAGAATGTAGTCTTGTACCATAGTTAACATTTTTCAATTTTATCATAGATCCACAAGTCACGTATTCATACTGCATTCCTGTTTTCAAAACCGAACGGCTATAAAGATACGCACGAAAATAGGGTATATTTGATACAGAGCTCAATTCAAACAATTAATAACAACAGTAAAGCTTATGAACTTTTCCCTATTAATTGAAGAACTTAAGTACTTACGTCCCTCTACTTTATTGGTAATTAAGTAGACAACAAACAAGAAAAAGCAGGAAAAAAGATAAGTATTCATTTTAACAACCGACCATTCAGCGGGCTACACGTTTACAAGTAGGCCTATATGATATAAAATTAAATATTCTCATCAACAGTTTATTACAGGAGATACATGTTATTTTTTTAACCTACGTAATTCCATTAGTTACACACATGACATGTCAGTTAACTTATATTTATCAATTATTCTTGCTATTCAAATACTCTCTGCCTTTATGAGTGATTTTATACAAAGACTTTTCTGCGTTCCTAGAACTGGTTAACATACAGCGAATAAAATTTCTGAATAAATAGATTATCATATGTTGTTTGGTAAGAGTAAAGATAATTCAATATGCGCAGGTTAAGAGGATATTGCGAAATTTCTGATAGTCTTCGAGCAACTTTAGGGAGAGCATAACTTCCGCTCTGAATTACTTATATCTATATATATTTATTAGTATATATATATATAAAGAGAAAATTATTAGTATTGCTTCTAAAGGATTGCAGAATATTCTTGAACATTCATCGATATTTATCGAATTTCCAATGTTTCAACGCGCTGTAAATTGACAACAATAAAATAAATTGCGTTGGTAAGTTCTAACGTTAGTTTCAAGGTAATGAATAATATATGAACCATAATTTTTTGAATAACAATATATTATTTGTTGTATAACCATGATTAAACATAGGAAGGTATTTTTAAAATATGCTGTATCATAATAAAATTTAAAAACAGCTAGTTGATGTATCGAAAAGTTAAAAAAATTTAAGAATTATTGGCTTCCTCATTGTAAAAAGATTTGAGTGTATTATCTATTTTCGTCATATAACAGAAAACAGTATAAAACATTAACAGTGTTTAGTTACATTATGTAACTATTAAGGGTGGTCTGCTTGAGTTCTTTCTTTGTTGTTTTGTTGGACGCCATATTTAACTGACTGTTTTATTTACCTATTACGCTGTTTTGTCGATTGCTGCGAGCCTGTGGCGCTAGAGACTGTGACGTCATCTCTCATTCTTCTGCTTGATATTCGCTAGTATATTTTCACTTTCTTCAATTTCTGCAGATTTTCCAACAAATTTTAAATCTTTTTCTGTATTAATTTACCCATCAATTACGTAACAACATACTGGATGTATTCAACTCATAAATCATAGCAACTCTAACTAATTTATAGGTACCTTCTTTTTCATTCAAACACCTCTGTTTTTAAGGATGAATATAATATTTTTGAGAGGTTAAATGAATACTTCAGCCTAGATGTCTTAGTTTTTTTGACGATCACAACATGTATGATTATAGGAATAACGGATTGACTATAAGCAATGATTGTGGATAATAGTTCAACTTTCTTTATACAGGGAAAAATATTCAGGTATCGTCAAGCGTGTGAGAAAACGGAGTATACATTATCCATCAAACATGGATATCGTGGATACAGCTTCGCTATTCGAATATATCCAAGTTGGACAAGGAGAAGAGAGAGACATGCAGTCCTATGGTTTGGAACAGTTGTGCATGTTGCTATTAATGGCTGATAATGTCGACAGGGTTTTCGAAAAGTAAGAGCATTACTATTGATTTTCTATCATTTCAGAGAAAATTTTACGCATATAGTTCTCAGCATTTAAAGATTAATTAAAAATATAATCCTTTAACGTTGTTTTCTTCATATTAACTTCTGAGTCACTGCCTTCTGGAGCTTTGCTATACTACTCTTCAGTATGATTATTGATCTCAGTTTATTACTGCTGAATATTTGACCGCTGCATTTCCGATTTTAAACGGATTGCATGTAAACAACCGTTTGCGTCTGTTCTACACTTTGTCTGTGTTTTTTGACCTGAGTTATGTTTACTATATATTGCCCTAAATTCTAGACCAGCGTCTTTGTAATTTAATTAACAGATAGTATTTTGGGATTTTCATTGAAAACAGTTAGGTGTTACATCTTACTTGAAAATAGTAATAAGTATTTAGCGTAGGTGTCAATTTACTCGTTCATAAGGATGTTATTCAATTATATATGTAATAGAAAAAGAAGTTAAAAATATTTAGCGAGAATATTTACCCTAAATAGCTTATACTCGAACAATATTTGTATAAAATTAAAGAAAAAGGCTACCCTTTATATTTACAAAACAAAACTAAGATAAACAGATGTCCCAATTGAAATTTGACCCTGAATGTGAATATCTACAATCTGGATATGTTCACAGTCTACTATTCAAAGTTCGATTTAGTTGAAAGTTTAATTAACGCTTATAATTTATTTGTATTTAGATTAGAATGCCAATTCCATTAGGGTTAGTAACTAAACCCCTTAAAATAGCTACCCTAACAAAGTAAAGCACTAATCCGTAAATTCTGGTTTGTTTTACAGAAATTTAAATGTTCTCAGTTTTAAAAATTCCTAGATTCATATAAAAGGTTAAATATTAGACTTGGTTTACGAATTTTATTTTTTGATTTTAGCTCTTTGTTTTTATATAATACTATTCGAGATACCAAATTTCCTTTTTAAACAATCTGGGCCACCTCCAAAGCTTATTAACGAAAATAAATAAGCGTACAACAATAAACAATGAAAAGAATTGATTTTTCCATTCCATTTGATTGTTCGTTTCAAAACCATTGAAGTTTTTAACTTTTAGCATTATGAACTTATCTTTAAGTATTTTATTAGCTTTTAATTTTAAATATTCCTTCTTTTACTTTTCAGAGTACCACCACGTCAATTCATACCTCCGCTATGCAACATCTTCTTAGACGAAACAGCACCCGATAGTATATTGGAAATAGCAGCGAGAGCTCTAACCTATTTTTTGGATATATCTCAAGAATGTACAAAACGCATAACACAAGTACAAGGAGCCGTTAAAGCTATATGTAATCGATTAGTCGTCGTTGAAATTAGTGAACGGATCAGTAAAGACTTAGTGGAACAGTGTATAAAAGTTTTGGAACATATTTGTGTTAGAGAATGTGGAGCCGTTTTTGAGGCAGGAGGTTTGAATTGCGTGCTAACTTTTATCAGAGAGTATGGGAGTCAGGTGAGATATTTTAATGCTTCAAATGTGTTTATTTAACGTTTATAAAAAATATAACAAAATGGACATTTAAAGAGATTCTCTCAAACAATAATTATGCTATCAATTACTATTAAAGAATAACACAGTGTGGCTCGAAAGAGGTTATTAAAACAATCAAGTCAACCTAATGTGCAAAGATTTTCTAGTACAAACTACACTCCCTTTCACCACGGAGATAACCTTGACTTATCAATTGAAACCTCAATTAAAATCGACCAGACTAAAATTTAACATAATTATATGGAATATAATATTATATGTATATATATATATATATATATGAAATCGAGTGACCTGGAAACTTTATTGATTTTAGATATAGTTCCATTATTGTAGTCTTGATAATTTGCAAATTACTTTTAATCATACAAAACTATTAAAACAGTCTTTATCAAGCAAGAACATCTAACATTATAACTAAATCTTTTTACGCATTTCACCTAAAGGTCTATAAAGACACATTGAACTCCGCTATGAATGTTGTTTCACGTCTATGCACCAAAATGGAAGCTCAGGACAACTCATTAGAATGCTGTGTCGACAATTTATCAGTACTATTGAAACATGATGATGCGATGGTTTCTGACGGTGCACTGCGTTGTTTCGCATCTTTAGCCGATAGATTTGCTCGAAGAGATGTTGACCCTGCCCCGTTAGCTGCCAAAGGCCTAAAGGATTACCTTGTATCAAAATTATCAAATTGTGGTAAAGGTCATCATCTTCCATTATCAACCGCTCCATCAGGCTTAGGGGGCTCAACTTCAGACAATTCAAAAAACTCCTCAATCTCAACTGTCATATCTCTCTTATCAACTCTATGCAGAGGATCCCCAAAAATTACTCACGACTTGGTTCGATCTGAGTTGTTGGATGCTATCGAGGTAAACAAAATTTCCTAATAAATTGTTTGACTATAGCTTTCTTTTTTCTCTTGAAGAATGCTTTAAAAGCGGGAGAGAGAACATTTTTAGACACTCAACGCTTAGTTGACCTTTTGCTAGTTCTTTTATTCGAGGGGAGAACCGCCCTGCCAAAAGCGGCTGCCTCTCAACTTTCCAATATGCGCAGAATGGATAGCTCCAGTGAGCGTTCTCATCGCCAACTCATTGATTGTATCCGAAGCAAGGACACTGAAGCTCTGGTCGAAGCAATAGAAACGGGTAGTTTTGAGGTCAATTTTATGGATGATGTTGGTCAAACCCTCTTAAATTGGGCTTCTGCTTTCGGAACACAGGAGATGGTATGTATACTAAAATAACAAACATGAAAAACAAAATTAAAAATTGGCTTTTTATCTAACAGGTGGAATTTCTCTGCGAGCGAGGTGGAGATGTAAACCGCGGTCTTCGTTCATCTTCTCTTCACTACGCAGCTTGTTTTGGTAGACCTCAAATCGTCAAGGTAATACTATCTTAGGCGATTAATTTAATAAATGAAAATGAGTCATCTTTATTCTAAGAAATTAAACAAAGAGTGCAAATTGTAAATCTATAAAAATAAAAAATAAAAAAATCTAGTTCGAGCGAATATATTTGCCTAGCATTCTTGAGAAAAGTAATGATGACTAGTTATCTGGTTTTTGATAAAGGGATGTGATGATAGTGTCATTCTTGCAAGTTTAGGCCTATCCCATGTGCAGGAAAATCTCATATTAAACAAATATTTTATTACTATTTTATGAGCTAAAAATCATTTGTAATCTTATTGATATTCTGTCAAAGTCCTTCTGCAAGTTGTATAAAGAGGCTCCTTATATTCAAATGTTTTGTACAGACCCTGTTAAGATGGGGCGCAAACCCTGAACTTCGAGATGAAGATGGCAAAACGGCTTTGGACAAGGCACGAGAAAGGTCTGATGAGGGTCATCGGGAAGTTATTGCTATTCTTCAAAGCCCTGGAGAACATATGGTGCCAATACAATCTCAATCGTCAGGCCAAGCTGCCCCGGCAGCCAAACATAACAACACACCTGTGCTATCAACTCCAGCAAGTGGAACCACACCAGCAACTAGTCAACCTCATACTCCACCAATGGAAGAGTCAGATGGGGAAATAGGAAGTGAAGCAGCCGTTCAGCCAGTTTCTTCCTCCGTAAGCATTAGAGTATTAATAAATTTTCTCAGCTATAACATTTTTGACTATTTTAGGGAGCTCAGCTCGAATCTAAATCAGAGGAAGTGGAAAACGAACTCAAGGAATCTGAAAAAGATAAAGGAGACCCAGAAATTGCTCCAGTATTCGTCTCAAAGCTTTTACCAGTTTTTGCTCATGTATATCATTCAACTATGGTTCATTCGGTTAGGAAAGCAAGTTTTGCTCAAATTCGTAAAATGATACACTACTGCGAAAGTCGACTATTGGAAGAAATTGCATCGAAAAATAATTTTGCATCTCAAATAGTAGAAGTTATCGCAAATGTTTTGGACGGAGATGACGATGATAGCCATATGGTTGCTCTTCATATCATAGCAGATGTTTCAAAAAAGAGTAAGGATGTCTTTTTGGATAATTTTGCAAGATTAGGAGTTTTGACCATGGTTCAAAGCCTAGCTTCAAAGTCAGTAACGGGTAAAGAAGGGGATGGTAAATCCAATCAGGTAACTAGAAATGTTTCTTCTAAAACTTAGAAATATTTATGCATCTGTCATACTCTATATACTTTTTATATAAAAGATACGTTAACGACTCCTTCCTCTTAGTGTAATAATGTAACACTTTCAGAAGGATATAGTTGGAGAAGAAGCTACACCGAATCCCGCTGATGATGCTAAAGAAATTCATTTGGGTAAACCCTATCACTGGAAAGGATGGAATTTTGTCAGAAGTCGCGACTGTCTCTACATTTTCTCAGAATCTGCTGCCTTAGAACTATCAAATGGTTCTAACGGATGGTTTCGCTTTTATATGGACAATAAAGTTTCTACTATGTACTCAAGCGGAAGTCCCGAAAATCACTCTGAATCAGCACATCCAAAGGCGGAATACCTGGAAAAGTTAATGAAAGCAAAAAGCAACGTGAAAGCGAACAGTATTTCTCAATCAATTCTTTCTGCCTCAGAATCGCCGAAGTTATCTGTTGGAAATTGGCATTTAGTAACTAAAACCGAAATGAATAGTAGTACATTGTGTGTGCAAAATGTTGAAGGACAATCGCAGTCAACTTATTTAAAAGACGATATGTCAGGCTTTATTTTCGAATCCAATAGAGGTTCCAAGCATTTGTTTATAGCTGAGAATCCTATTCAAGAAGATATTGCGGGTGGTTGGACTACAACTAAAAAGACAACCACCTTCAGATCCAAATTAGAAGAGTTTAAACTAGGAGTGTTTGCATTTGCTAGAGAAGTTTATGATGAACATCTAAAAGAAGCCGAGAGCTTGCAGCGAGGGGCTATGGCTCAGCTTTTGTCTGTTGTCGACACAATGGATAGCTTATGCTCCGAAGCGGATGCCAAAGTGAGTGAAAGAATTAATTATTAATTCTCTTTTAGTTTAAAACTGCTACCCTTCTGTTATTCAACAAAAATTATAATATTTTACTATTAGTAATAACAATATACTGACTGTCCATATTTTATACTAGAAGAAAACAAACGATCAATGGAAGAAAAAAATGGAAATGACCCTGGAGGAATTAGCAGAGTTATTAAAAAATGAGCATACTTTGTCGTCTTATGAGGTGCATACAAGCCATCTCGTTAAAGTTTTATTGAAATTTTTCAAGGTAACTACAATATTTTTTTTACAATGACTCTTTTTATTTGAGGGTATACGTAAAAATAGTCGGTAACAATGTAAGCCATCGGTTTTATGATGATAAAAAGATAGTTTACTATATCAATCAAAAATTAAAAGACCGGAAAAAACAGCTGGGTTTCCTTTTAATTTTTATTAAGCGTGGTTTGAAAGGTGCCTATATTACAAAGTTTAGTAATATATTCCACATAGATCGCGCAAAATTAACGATTGCCAAGCCGAAAGCGGAGTGAATTAAATTAAAGATAAACTCGCTCGCTTAGCGATACTATTGAACATTAATTAAAGAGTTTTTTTTCAACAGTTGCAAAATAATTCATCAATTGAAGTGTTCAAGGATGTTTTTAAAGACACCGAAGTCGATGGCCAACCGACTTCACCGTGCGTATCTCTAGTCCGAAAATTAATCGCTGTATTGGAACTAATTGAGAAACTAATTATTCATCAATATGATTCTGTGGGTTCTGGCTATGCTTTACAAAGTCTTACAAGACGGCTACGCTTCAAGCTTGAAAGGCACCCTGAAGAAAAAATGTTATTTGAAAGAACAGGGAGGAATTTGAAAATGGAGCCCCTATGCTCGGTTGAAACACTGGAGAAATATTTACTAAAGATGCTAGCTCAACAATGGTATGATCATGATAGGTGCAACTTCACTTTTGTCAAACTCATTAAGGAAAAAAAGAGAGAATTTGTGCATGAAACTGACTTTGATGAGAATGGTCTTATTTATTGGATTGGCAGTAATGCCAAAACAACTGAATGGGGTAATCCAGGAATGTACAGTCTCGTAAATGTTTTTTGCTCAGAGGGAAAAAAGATTTCCTACGGAAAAGTATACGATTTGTTGAATCGAGATTCTCAGCCATTAAACTGTCACACTAGTGACGACAGGTTAGTTTGATTTTTTCATTCATTTACAGTTATATTGAGAGAAAAACTAAATTGATAGGTTGATTTTTTTTTGTGAACATCTTTTTAAGTTTTCGTATGAATATAAAATTTACTTGAATGCACTTAGATTACCAGAAAAAACATTACATAGAATCCTTTTCACGCTCTTTTATGTGCACAAAAAGTTCACTGACAGTAAAAACATCGAAATTTAGTTCATTAGTTGCACTCGTTGTACTCATAAAGAGGCGTTTACACCGGAAGAGCTTAAGTGCAGCTAGAGCCATTGCTAAAGTGATTTTTCTTATTAACGAAATATTTCGTCTGGTAAAATCTGAAAAAATTCTAGATGCAATTTAGATTTAGTTGTATTTTTCTATGTAACGCTGTACTGCGATGGCCTAAGTGCATAAAAATTAATATATATATATATATAAATTTATATTAGTATATATTTATATATATAGGTTATATATAGATTGTAAACAAAGTATGCGTTCTAACACATCAGAATTACGTACACCAAAATACCGTATTGGTTAAAGAAGATTCAAATTCACCTATTTTCAGACGAGCTTGGTTCCAAATTGATTTAGGAGTGTCTATAATACCAACTTGCTATACTCTACGCCACTCTCGTGGATTCAATCAAGGAAGTGCACCAAGATATTGGAAATTTCAAGTTTCTAAAGACGGTAACACTTGGGTGACTCTATATAGTCATGAAAATGATACTGCTCTTAATGAAGAAGGATCAACAGCCTCTTGGCCACTAGAATGTCCAGAAGAGAAGATTGGATATCGTTTTGTTAAGCTCCAACAAGTTGGACCGAACAGCAATGGAAATTCTTATCGACTATCTCTAAGCGGCTTTGAAATTTATGGAACTGTTACTGGTGTCTTTGATGACATTAGTAAAAGTGCAAAGGATTTTGATCAGTCTAAAAAGCAAAAAAGACTTGCAAGAACAAACGTTAGTTATACTGTATAATCTCTAACAGAACTTGTTCTAAAAAGTTTTTTAAATTACAGATCTTGAAACAGTTAATGCCTGGAGCTAGAGTTGTTAGAGGTCTTGATTGGAAATGGAAAGATCAGGATCACGAGAAAGGACACGATTCTGAAGAAAGTTGTGTCAGCAAGGAGGGAACAGTTCTCAGCGAACTACATAATGGTTGGGTGGATGTTTCTTGGGATTGTGGTACTTCAAATTCATATAGAATGGGAGCTGAAGGAAAATTCGATTTGATTTTAGCACCTTCCCATGATCCATCAAAATTAGTTAGAGGCGGTGCTGTTGGTGGAACGTCAGGATTGCCAAATCAAATTCCTGGGAGCCACACTGAAAGTAACAAAAATAAAGTTTGTCTCCTTACTTCTAAAAAGAGCACATCAACACCAACCCTAAACGAAACGAATGCGGAACAACAAGCTTCGGCTTTGGCTGTGTCTGATGGAAATATCTCTAATGAAATTCGATCAGTAAGTAGTTTTTCTAAATTTTAAATTTAAAAAAATACATTTTTGGTGATATATAGACAGCAGAAAAGCTGACAGAAGGTCTTGTGTCTATGGCCAATGCTGAAAATCTGGACGTATCGAATGATTCATCTTCTGCCGTTAGCGCGCCTGAAATGGCCGAGGCGGGAAATGCTTCTGGAAACATGCAAGAATCCGGAAACGAAGACACAGCTGGTCAATTAAGCGTCAGCGTTCCTAACTTATCAGAACAACAGCAGTTTGATGCCGCCCATCTATTTGAATCATTTGCTTCAGCAGCGAGAAGAAATTTTAGTCTGTCTAATGCAAGAAATGCAACTGATGACCTTATGCGTTTAATGTTCAGTAATGGCCAACTAAATCCAGGTCAACTATTATCATCCGCCCAGAGTTTTCCTAGTTTGCAGCCAAATGTGTCAACAATACCACAATCCAGTGGCGGAAATACTAGAGCAACTGCCACATGTAATCACTTGGCAGCGTTTTCCCAAGCTTTAACCTGTAGTATAACAGAAAGTGATAATGATTTACTAGATATGAGTAGAGCAAGACACTTGCTTGCTGAATTTGATGATGATGATCTAGCTGCAATGGACGAAGAAGACCAAGAAGATGACTGCCCATCGCATGAGGATTACGGTTAGAATTTCTGTTTCTTATTACATTACTCTATCATGTTCTATGATTATAGATACGATGATGGATGAGGACGACGACGACGATGAAGATGAATTAGAACAGTTTATTGGACCTCCATCAACAATAACATCACGTAAACAATGGGATGATGATTTTGTTTTAAAATCAGCCTTTTCGGCCTTGATACCTGCCTTTGATCCTCGTCCCGGTCGGACAAATGTACCTCAAATTCAAGATTTTCTTATTCCACCCCCCGTGGGTAATAGCGAAATATCGTCACCCCCGTCAAATATCGAACATTTAACATCGACTGAACCAAAAGTCTCCCTTAAATTAACTGTAAAAGGCCCAAGTTTACCTGGTTTTAAGGACAATGAGATAGTCTTGAATCGAAAATCGGACTCAATTTTTAAATATCTTCATAAGCTAATATTGAAAAGTTCCTGTGGTATATCAAACTCGTTATCAAAGACAGATCGCTTGAAGAAAATCTGGGAGCCTACTTTCACGTAAGAAATTAGTATAAGAATTTTAACATAAAAGTAACACTTCTTGTTTATACAGAATCATATACAGTCGGATATCTGCTGAAGACAAACAGGTCAGTTTTTTTTTTCTTTTATACCTTTTCTTATCCAAATGTCTCACGTTATGTCGTGGCTGATGTAGAAAGAATTTTTGTACTTTTTTCTTCAGTGCTTTTTAATGCGCTAAATCTCGTTTACTTTTTTCGCTAACTGCTTTGTGAAAAAAAATATTTATTTTTTTTCTTTTCCCCCAACAATTGTATCTAAAGTTGGCTGAATTACAAAAATTATACATATACTTAGACATAACTATTTTACGTTAAGCATTTTATTTGAAATTTTACATATTTTGTGAAAGTTGTTCATCGTTAATCATTTTAAATAATTCATAAATGAGCTTGTTTAATTCCATTTGCATGAAACATCGTAAAATCTAAATTCATGTACTTTTTAATGCTATTTTAATTTACATTTATTTTTAGCTTAATTGACTTAAATTTCTGTATAAAGTTTTAATAGCTGGAGATTTTTATCATATGCATAATTTCTCTCTATAGCAAAAATATCAGCGAATAATAGCTATTATATCTTTAAAAATGATTTTTTTTTCTTATTGATAAGGTTTTATGATGAGATTTTTTTCTGCAATTGGTTAATCATATTCGTTAAAAAGTAATGTGCTAAAATTTTGTTTACGTACTAAGTTTCCGTCTATTGCTTGTTTTAATCTTTTACTTTCTTGAGTGAAAATTTCAGTAGAATCTAAAATCTAGTGGCATGATGAATTTACAGCATGCAATTACCTGCTCTGAACACAATTGAGAAACGAAATGAACATATTCTTTAAAGCTTGAAGTCGCTTTGCTTGAAGCACAGCATGATATTAGATATTTATTATATTCTAATAATACTTAAAGTTCTAATGTCAGTTTCTCTACTACTCTGCTGATTTATTTATTAATACGTTCAATCTCAAGGGGTTTCACCAGAAATGAAAAGTCTTTAAAATATAGTAGTAGATGTGTATTTAGAAAAGACAACTAAGAATTTCACGAGTCCATCGCATGTAGAATGTATATCTTCAGAATGAAGCTGGGCGCTCAACTCTGAGGTGGACGACCGAAGAGGTTGATCGAAAGCTTAATGAAGGAGAAATTCAACGTTATGACGTTGTAGAGTATTTAAAGACTCACTGTTCTAAGGAGTTTATGAAGAGAAACAAACTAACTGGACCATGGAAAACTGTTAAGAAGACAGTAAATTGTCAAAATCTCGTAAAAATTTACAAGGTGCATTGCAGAAGTGATTGTTTTAGTAGCTTCGTTTGTCGGTCGGAGTTGTACATTCTTCTATTCCTTTACTATTTAATTCTCAAATTGACAAGAGTTCAATTTGAAAAAAGTATACTAAATATATGCTGTCAATGTTAAATATATACAGTATATATACACTATATATACATTATCTAGCATATATGTTATATTGTGTTCTACTCCGACTACTGTTCTGTATTTTTTGATTTTTTCTGTACATTTGATAATTTTATATTAATATTATATAGGAGTTTTTAATTATTTAAAAATAGCTTGCAAAATAGGAAGTATTATAAAAAATTGATATTTGCATTTATTTAATACTGTTAAAAAATTTATTAACAACTCAACAGCTTAATTAATTTCATTTTAAAAAATGTATATTTGTCTTCAGTACTTGATTTTTGAAGTTGTTCCTTTTTTAGTTATTTAATAATCGTTAATCGTTATTAACTAGAAAAAGGAAATATATTAAAATTAACTTTCTTGATTGTTTGTGAAGGCGTGCATATATTTCTATATGTTTGGGTCTTCGAAAGGAAATCGAAGCATATTTTATTTTCTCAAATTGCTTTTTTGCTAATATATTCTATCCTTACAACAGGAGTTCACGGAAACTGAAGGATCCGACTTACTACCCATTAATGATCTACTTCTAGTTGATGACTTTACTACTTCTTCAGAAACTGATGTCCGAAGCGTTGAAGAGGTTTTACAGCTAATTAAGATACTTCATAAACTCTCGAATAGTGTCTCTCAATTGAATTTGACAAATGAGGAATTGGAATCTCGTAAAATAACTAACAAACTTACGCAACAGCTACACGATAGTGTTGTTGTAGCATCCTCCTGTTTACCAAATTGGTGTTCGACTCTGTCTTCAAACTGTAGAATATTGTTTCCTTTGGAAAACAGAATGAACTACTTGTACGCTAACTGTTTTGGAGTTGAGAGGAGCATAGTTTGGCTGCAATCAAAAAGAGACGCTGTTTTAGAAAGATGGAGGGCTGCTACAGGATCAAGACAACGAGATGATGCTCACGAAATGCAGATTGGAAGATTGAGACATGATAGAGTAACTATTCCTAGGGATGATGGAAAACTATTTGAGTGGGCTCAACAAGTAATGTTTAAGCATGCAAGACTGAAATCAGTTCTCGAAATTGAATTTAAAGACGAAGAAGGAACTGGATTGGGCCCAACATTGGAATTTTATGCACTTATTGCTGCTGAGCTTCAAAGAAAAGATTTTGGTATGTGGCTCGTCGATGATGATGCCATGGCTAAGGTGAAGCCAGTTCAAGGAGATAAGCCTGTTGGATTTTATGTGCAAAGAAGTTGTGGATTATTTCCTGCTCCACTACCTCCTAATTGTTCACTCTTGAAGAAAGTTGAAAGATCATTTTTATTTTTGGGAATTGCCCTTGGAAAGTGTCTTCTAGATTCAAGGCTTATGGATATGCCACTCTCACCAGCATTTTTTAAAGTTCTCTGTGGAGAAGAACTTGACGATAGCGACTTTCTGCATATATATCCCCACAGAGCGAAGTTTATTCTACAATTGCAGGAATTAAATGAAAAAAGAGAACAAATTTTAAGTAACAAAGAGTACACGGAAGAACAAAAGAAACAAAGTCTTTCAGATCTAAAGGTCGGAGAACCTGCAGTTAACCTAGAAGATTTAGGATTAACCTTTTGCTTCAATCCGTCGTCTACATGTTATGATTATGATCATCACGAGCTTACGGAAAATGGAAGTCACGTTGCAGTATGTTTAGAAAATGTCGGAGAATATGTTGAAATTGTTAAGGACTTTTGTTTGAATTCTGGTATCAAAAAACAAGTTGAAGCAGTTAGACGCGGATTTGAATATGTTTTACCAATCTGCAAATTGAATTGTTTCAGTATTTCAGAACTGCAGCTAATGATTTGCGGTGAACAATCGCCTAATTGGACAAGGGAGGACGTATTAGAGTATTGCGAACCTAAAAATGGATTTGATAAACAATCTGCTACATTTCAACATCTGGCAGCGGTACTTGTTGATTTCGAATCAGAGGAGCGAAAGTGGTTCCTACAATTCGTTACTGGCTGTTCGTCCCTTCCTCCTGGTGGTTTGGCCAACCTCAATCCGAGATTAACTGTTGTCAAAAAGGATGGAAACGACCATTCTTATCCTTCCGTCAATACTTGTATGCATTATTTGAAACTACCTGAGTATTCTTCCCAAGATGTCCTAAAAACGCAATTGCTAGCTGCTACGAAGCATAGAGGATTCCACCTTAATTAGGAATATTTTTGGAATCGTTTATGAAGAGAATAGTTATTTCGAAAGAGACTGTGTAATCCTAAAGACTGATTTTTGCTTTCTCTTCATTGGCGAGATTTTTTTTGCACAGTGTAATTCGGCATTTTTAAGTTTAACTGAAATTTTAGTCCAGCCGTGTATTATTTTCTGGTTTTTTTCTGCAAACCGAAAATTATTGCGGTCATTACCATATATATATAATATATATATACACTGATCAATTGTACTTAAAATTTACTCTATTACTATCAAAGGAATGTTGTTAAACATTTTTCTTTATTTAAAAAGAGTGATCACTTCCAATACACAAATTATAGAAACATTTAGCTCTATCTATTTTTATACTTGTATAATAATATTCATATTCTTAAGAAGTTAAACATAAGACAATTTCTTATTGTTTCTAGTTTTCTATACTTTCTATACTATATATAAAATAAACAATAAATTAATACGTCATAGGATATTCCTAGGATAAAATTAATAACTACATTCTGACCGAGTGTGCATTGTTGATAAGCAATCATGTGGCTAGTAGATAACGTCTATCATATATATATTAAAAGAAACAGTCCGGCACAAATATCTATAGATCTCAAAAACCAAATGGTGGAAAAAGTAGACTAATGAAACCTTTGAGAGTATCACCAGTCATGAACTCCGAATCTTCTGAGAGAATCGTAGGAAAGGTGGAAAGGGAGCGAACTAAACCATCGTCGTCCCTCACCCAATTCAGAATACTCTGTTGGAAACATATACAAATGATAAATGGGAGCAAAGGAAAATTTTTACTAGAATTATTAATACCAATATTTCTTGGTATAGTATTTATCATAATAAGACTTTCAGCCAAACCAACACTGTTTGATCAACCAACAATATGGAATTCTTTTCCAATAAAGGAATTTAACGGCGTACTTACAAATCTGTTTATTCCTTCAACCTAAACAGTTACTGTTATTGTGTTGTTTTTTTTGCAGGAAATAAATAGAACTTTACTGCAAATTCATTCTGCACCGAAGAATCGTATTACTGAGGAACTTGTGATGAATGTGAAAGATTATCTTAAGATAGACAAAATACCCCTTTGGTATAATAAGGAATCTGATTTGGAAACGGAAGTTGTTAAGCAACCTGGCGAGAGATATAAGAATTCTATTGGTATTGTTTTCAGAGATGTAAATGATAGCCTACCTGATAGCGTCGTATATTCGTTAAGATTGCCAATTGACCCTGACGGTAAACTTGGGCAAAAAGATTGGTTTACAAGAAGTGTTACCAATAATATGCCAAGTCAAGCTCCTGTAGACAAATCAAATATATATGGAGGTTCGCCAAACTACGTAGAATCTGGTTTTTTAACATTTCAATTAGCATTGGATCACGCAATATTAAAACATCGTTTACCGAATATTGATGAGGCTAATTTCGAAGTAAGAATGAATAGATCGCCTCATCCACCTTATAAAGACGATCCAGTAGTTCGTATAATGCAATTTATGGCCTTTGTTATATTTATGTCATACAATGTCTTTACGGCAAATTTCGTTAATGGCGTTGTAGAAGAGAAGGAGAAACGTTTAAGGGTTCGCATCTATTACATAATTGTTTTTGTATTTATATTTTCTTTATCATCTTCAGGAATTTATGAGAATATATGGTCTTAAAAGTTATCTTAACTGGCTTTCATGGATATTTAAATCACTGATCACTCTTATAGTCATTACAATATTATTAACGCTCTTCTTAAAAGTTAAAACAAATAATGGCTCATTTTTTCCTCAAAGTGACGTAACTTTTGTCTTCTTTTTCTTTTTTATGTATGGATTGAGCGTTCTCTCTTTTTGTTGTATAACGGCTGCCATTTTCAATACGGTACGAGTAGCATCTGGATTAACAAGTCTGATAACATTTTTAACCTATATGCCTAATTTTTTCCTGGCAAATCAATGGCCAAAATTATCTGCTGGTGCGAAATGGGGAACTGGGATACTATACAATATGGCTTTAGGTAATGGTTGGTCTATTATTCAAATTCACGAAGGAGCTGGCTATGGTGCAAAATGGTCCAATATCAATTCTTATGTTACGGTTGATCAAAATTTTAAGCTCTCATATGTTCTCGCTCTTTTTACCATTCAAATTGTAATTCATTTGCTGATTGTATGGTATTTAGATAATGTATTTCCTGGAGAATACGGAGTCCCAAGACCCCCATATTTTCCCTTTACAAAGAACTATTGGCTTGGTACAACCCCCAAACAAGAAAGTCAGGAGAATATTAGAGATTTAAATTTTGGAGATATGTTTGAACATCCGGATTCCTCATTAAAACCAAGTATTAGAATAAGACAATTAGTTAAGACTTTCGATGCAAATGGCAAGAAGACTACCGCTGTAGATAAACTCAATATGGATATATATGAAGGTCAAATAACCGCTCTACTCGGTCACAATGGTGCTGGAAAATCAACAGCGATGGCCATGTTAACTGGTCTTTTAAAACCAAGTGACGGAAATGCATACATTTATGGTCACAGCATAAAAACAGACATAGAAAGTGCTCGACAACATTTAGGCTATTGTCCTCAAGATAATGTTCTATTTGACCTTTTAACTGTTGAACAACATTTGAGATTCTTTGCCGAACTTAAAGGATGTCAAAAGGAAAATTTACAACGAGAAATTGATAGCAGTTTGAAATTTCTTGATCTTTTCGAAAAGAAGCACGATTTGCCTGGTGAACTTTCGGGAGGTCAAAAGAGAAGACTTTGCATAGGAATAGGTCTCATAAATGGATCGAATACTTTAATTTTGGACGAGCCAACAGCTGGTCTGGATCCGGAAGCCAGGAGAAAAATGTGGGACATACTACAAAAGATAAGAAACGAAAAAACCATAATATTGGCTACTCATTTTATGGATGAAGCCGATCTTTTGGGTGATCGTATAGGAATTATGGCGAATGGTCAATTGCAATGTATAGGATCTAGTTTGTTTCTAAAATCGAAATTCGGAGTTGGATATCATATGGTAATGGCAAAAGCATCTAATTGTGACGTTGACAAGATATCACAAACAATTAGACAGTATGTTCCAAATGCACTTCTGGAATCGAACATCAGTTCAGAACTATCGTATATTCTGCCGAAAGAAAGTTCTGAAAACTATGAGGAAATGTTCAGGGTTATTGAAGATAATCTGAAAAGCTTAGGAATCAATTCATTCGGAGTTTCTATAACAACAATGGAAGAAGTTTTCCTAAAAGTTGGAGAAATTACAAAAGCTGATGGAATAGAAAGACTACAGAAGAAGCATGATACATCCTCAGAGATTGCGAAGGATACTGCTGAAATAACGGCACAGACAACCGGTATATTTAATACTATAATATTTACCATAAAATATTAATCTTCTTTGCATTTCAGCAATTTTTCAATCAAATCAAATAAGCGGTTTGTCTTATCATTTCAATCAAATGAAGAGTCAATTTTCCAAGAAGTTTTCTATCAGTACATGTTTCAAGCTCCTATTACTTTTTCAACTATTATTCCCGGCTTTCCTAGTTTTACTCCCAGTTATCAATGCCAGAAACATTGAAAAATCCACGAAATCTGATAATTCGCCAAAAGATATGACATTAAGTATGGTGAATGAGAATAATATTCTATTTGGACCTTCAATTCAAACTTTTGAAGATGGTTACAAGAGTTATGTCACAAAATTTAAGGGAACATCTTTCGAAACTACGGACAATCCAAATATGACAGCTGCACTTATTGATATTGGAAGGAAAGAGGTGACAACCTATTTGAACCGATACTTAATTGCTTGTAAAAAATCAAACGACACAAAAATAGCATTTTTCAATGCACAATACTATCATACAGCGGCTATATCTTTGTCAGCGTATACGAATGGATTAATGAAGGCCTTTGTGGGAGAAAAGTATTCGATCAAAACAATCAATCATCCCTTACCTTTTCTTCCTGATGCTCAAGCTAAAAAAGATCAACGTTCTACCAATATTGTTTCCGCTGCAATCATTAGCAATTTTGTCATATCAGCAGCTCTCCTATTCAACTCCTTTTCTTATTATTTAATAAAGGAGAGAGCATCCGGTTCAAAGCATTTGCAATTTGTATCTGGCATAAAGATCCTAAATTATTGGATACCGCATTATATTTTCGACGTGTTATTTTGTCTATTGGGTCTTACATTTGTTTTGGCTGCTGCGTGTGCTGGCAGATTGAGGGGCTTAGTAGCGGATCTCAACTACCTAAAGGCATTTACTCTTTCAATTGGATTAGCAATGTCTGGAATGCCTTTAACCTACCTAATAAGCGGATTTTTTACTACACCAACCGCTGGCATCACTTTCATTTTAATGTTTTTTATATTCCTTGGCATCCTCCCTAATATATTAGTTATAGTTATGAGAATTATTGATACTAGTGCCTCTATGAACGTCGCTATTGCGCTGGACTGGTTATTTACTACATTCTGGCCCTCTTACAATTATGGTATCGGTTTAACAAATATATTACAAAAGCAGGCAAACTTGAAAGCATGTAGTGATATTGATAAAGATATTATTCGAGAATACTGCGAAATCAATTCAGAATACATATGCTGTAAAGAAGAAAACACAAATACAAATTACTTTTCTTTCGACAAATTAGGAATTGGAAAAAATCTTTTGTTTCTCTTCTTTCAAGCCGCTTTATACTTTGGCCTTGTTATATTTAGAGAATCGAATATTTTTATTAATCTCAAGCGAAAAATGAACAATAGATTAGTCAGCATTCAGGAACAGTTAAATAATGATCATGATACTGAAATGGTATCTAGAGTTGGACAAACCCTTGATGAAGATGTCGAAAGAGAAAAAAATAAAATAGCATCTTTGGAAATTCATAATGGTACCTATGATTACATTATTGTTGCTCAGGGATTATATAAGTATTACGGAAGTTTACTAGCTGTCAAGGACCTATCTTTAGGTGTTAAGAAAGGAACGTGTTTTGGTCTTTTAGGTGTAAACGGAGCGGGAAAAACTACAACCTTTAAGATGCTTACTGGAGACGAGGTGATGAGTAAAGGATCCGCTTATATCAACGGTATCAACGTTTCAACAGACCTAGATAAAACTCACAAACTTATTGGTTATTGTCCTCAATTCGATGCCATCATTGATGAACTGACAGTAACGGAAATGATTAATCTGTATTGCAGAATAAGAGGGGTAGATAATGCGAAGGAGCTCTGCAATGAGCTATTAGACATTCTTCTATTGCGCGACCATGCCAAGAAGCTAACTGTTAATTTATCTGGAGGAAATAAGAGAAAGTTATCAACGGCCTTGGCATTTATTGGAAATCCACCAATAGTGTTTCTAGACGAACCAACTAGCGGCATGGATCCGTTAGCCAAGCGAATTGTATGGGATGTAATCACCAAGATGAGAGACAATGGAACGTCCGTAGTGCTCACCTCTCATAGTATGGAAGAATGTGAAGCACTTTGTACGGAAATGGCCATTATGGTTAACGGAGAATTCAAATGTTACGGCGGAGTTCAACATCTGAAATCAAAATACGGCGAAGGCTACTCGTTAATTGCAAAAGTAAAATCATCTCTCAATGATGAATATTCATTAAGCGACGCAACCGAAGAGCTTAAAGGCTTTGTTGAGTCAACTTTCGAAGGTTCCAAATTGAAAGATGCTCACGACGGTTATGTTCATTATCAAATTTCGTCAACGAACGCTCGTTGGAGTACTCTATTCTCAATTATGGAGAAGGCGAAAGAAAGATATCGAATAGAAGATTACTCAGTGAGTCAAACAACACTAGAAGAAGTCTTTATAGGTTTTGCTAAGCTTCAACACGACAAAGAGCACATTGATATTCCTTTTAAGATTAGATGTGGAAATTGTATGCAGTTCATATTTTGCTGTGGGTGTTGTGGATAATTTATTAAAATGACAATTTTGTACATATATACTGTATATATTCACCAGTGAATTTTTGGTTTGTTGCTGTCATATGATTTGGGTCCTTTGCTCATCAGTATTTAACTGATATTATGATAAAAGTACCTTATTTCAAATTTTTTGTTTAAATAAAATAAATTGCAATATAATTTTTTAAAAATAACCCTGTCTTTTATAGAGCGATATTTGAGGGTTATTAATAGGTTTTTTCGCGGGGGAAATGAGTAATACTGTTGTGCCCGAGTGTGTCTCTATTTTATGCATGGTCACGTGATAATTTACCTTTATATTCTACTTGTGAAAGCTGATCTATCCAAATGAGTTACAGCTCTTGCTTTAAAATGAATATTTGATTGCTTCAATAAACGTAATATTACATTTAGATAATTAATTGCTATCACTATTATAATTAAATCTTCATATAAAGAGATTCTTGCGAAATCGTCCATATGACGTCGCCAAGAATTGTGCCGGAAATGCAATCTTCATACAGCGTTTCAAAGCAGAATCTGAAAAAAAATGGATCGTCAGCTATAACTCAATTTAGGATTCTTTGCCGGAAAAATTTTCTTTTGGTCAGTAGCAGTAAAGGTCAGCTTGCCATCGAATTATTGATACCTCTATGCCTGGGACTTCTGTTCTTCACGTTAAGAAATGTAATTAAACCAGAGGTATTCGATCAACCAACTGTTTGGTCAGCATTTCCTGCTAAAGAATTTACAAATGTAAGTCATTTTACATATAGAATAAGGACAAGAACAAGAGAATATTGAAAGTCTGTCAAAATCAAATAAAATAATCCAATTCTCTTTACAGAAAACGAATGGAACATACCTACAAATTTATTCTACACCCAAGAATGCTCTTACAGAACGACTGGCCGAAAGTGCTCGAAATTTTCTTAATATCTCTAATCGACCTAAATGGTATGATAAAGAATCCGATTTGGAAGCAGATATCGTAAAACAACGTGGAGACGATTATAAGAATGCTATTGGTATCATATTTAAAGAAATGGATAATGGTAAACTTGCCGATGAGGCAGTCTATTCTTTAAGATTCCCTACCGATCCTGATGGAAAACTTGGTGCAAAGGATTGGTTTACTAGGGGTGTACAGAGACAATTTATTACATTAAGTCCTGTAGAAAAGGATGTTATTTATGGAGCTGATCCAAGCTATGCCGAAACTGGGTTTTTACCATTACAATTAGCTATAAATAGGGCATTATTGAGAGAGCGTTCGTCACAAATTAGCGAATCCTACTTTGACATATTAATGAACAGACTACCTCATCCACATTATACTAGTGATCCAATTCCGACAATGATGCCCTTCCTCGCATTCATAATATTTATATCATTCAACGTTAATACGCTAAATTTTATTAGAGGCGTTGTACTAGAGAAAGAGAAACGCCTTAAGGTATATACAGTAGATATATATATATATGTACTAATATATATTTTTTATATTTGCAATTTACAGGAACTGATGAAAATTTGTGGCTTAAAAAGTTCCCTTAATTGGTTCGCTTGGATACTGAGATCTATGATTGTACTCGTAGTCGTTTCATTGTTGTTTACATTCTTTTTATGTGTACAAACAAAAAATGGAGCATTCTTAGCAAAGAGTGATCCATCACTCATTTTCGTATTCTTTCTCATGTACGGAATGTCAGTTCTTTCCTATTGCTGTATAGTCTCAGCTATTTTTTCTCAAGGTTGTACTATTTTATTTCACTAGGAAACAATAATAACTTATAATCTTTTTTAAATAAATAGCCAGAGCTGCTGCAACAGTTGGATCATTATTTAGTTTCTTCACCTATATGCCAAATTTTTTCCTAGCCAATAGATGGGAAGCAGTATCCACAGGTGCGAAATGGGGAACTGGAGTACTATACAATATGGCTTTGGTACATGGATGGACATTATTTCAACTTCATGAAACAGCTGGCTATGGAGCTAAATGGTCCAATATCAATTCTTATGTGACAGTTGATCAGAATTTCAAAATAGCTAATGTACTTATACTTTTCACCATTGATATTGTTGTTTACCTTTTTATTGCTTGGTATTTGGACAACGTATTTCCGGGGCCATATGGTATTCCAAAACCACCATATTTTCTATGTAGTAAGGCATTTTGGACAGGTAGTCCTGTTGAAACAGATAATTTTACAGAAGAAATAAATGACACTCAGTTGAATGATATGTTCGAAAAACCTACGGACAACCTAAATATAGGCATAAGAGTAAGGAAGCTTGAAAAATCTTTCAGTGTGAGAGGAAAGAAAACTAAAGCTGTTAATGGACTTGATATGGACATCTTTGAAGGTCAAATAACTGCTCTACTCGGCCACAATGGTGCCGGCAAATCGACAGCGATGGCCATGTTAACTGGTCTTTTAAAACCAAGCGGCGGAAATGCTTATATTAATGGTCACAGCATAAAAACAGATATAGAAGGTGCTCGACAGCAGTTAGGCTATTGTCCTCAAGATAATGTTGTGTTTGATCTATTAACTGTTGAACAACATTTGAGATTCTTTGCCGAACTTAAAGGATGTCAAAAGGAAAATTTACAACGAGAAATTGATGATACAATCAATCTCCTTGGGTTAAATGATAAGAGAAAAGATTTTGCAGGTAAGTTGTCCGGTGGTCAAAAGAGAAGACTGTGCATTGGTATTGCCTTGATTAATGGATCAAATACTTTAATTTTGGACGAGCCAACAGCTGGTCTGGATCCGGAAGCCAGGAGAAAAATGTGGGACATACTACAAAAGATAAGAAACGAAAAAACCATAATATTGGCTACTCATTTTATGGATGAAGCCGATCTTTTGGGTGATCGTATAGGAATTATGGCGAATGGTCAATTGCAATGTATAGGATCTAGTTTGTTTCTAAAATCGAAATTCGGAGTTGGATATCATTTGGTAATGGCAAAAGCATCTAATTGTGACGTTGACAAGATATCACAAACAATTAGACAGTATGTTCCAAATGCACTTCTGGAATCGAACATCAGTTCAGAACTATCGTATATTCTGCCGAAAGAAAGTTCTGAAAACTATGAGGAAATGTTCAGAGATATTGAAGATAATCTGGAAACTTTAGGAATCACTTCATTCGGAGTTTCTATAACAACAATGGAAGAAGTTTTCCTAAAAGTTGGAGAAATTACAAACGCTGATGGAATAGAACGCCTTAAAAAAACTGAAGATTCAAAGGAACTGTTGGGGGAAAATACGGATTTTACCCAACTGGAAGCAAATGTTTTATTTCAATCAAAAACTTTGCAAGATTTCAATTTTACTTTCGAACAACTGAAAAGTCAATTTTCAAAGAAACTCTCAGTTACATTAAATAATAGGATTTTGGCTTTCTTTCAGATGATTTTTCCTGAAATTTTAGTTTTATTAGCAGTTATTAATAGTGAAAATATAGAGAACGCTACAAAAGCTGATAATTCGGAGAGAGATTTAAGTTTGGGTATGGTAGATCATAATAATGTTGTATTTGGATCTACAGTTCAAGCTTTTGAAGATGGTTACAAGAGTTATGTCACAAAATTTAAGGGAACATCCTTCGATACTACGAACAATCCAAATTTAACCGCTGTACTTATTGATATTGGAAAGCAAGAGGTTACAACCTTTTTGAGCCGGTATTTAATTGCTTGTGAAATGTCAACGAACACGAAAATAGCGTATTTCAATGCACAATACTATCATACAGCGGCTATATCTTTATCAGCGTACATGAATGGATTAATGAAGGCCTTTGTGGGGGAAAAGTATTCGATCAAGACGTTCAATCATCCTCTACCTTTTCTTCCTGATGCTAAAGCTAAAAAAGATCAGCAGTCAACAAATATAGCATCTACTGGAGTTGTCAGCAATTTTATAATTGCATCTGCTATTATCTATGGAACTTTATGTATATATGCAATAAAGGAAAGAATGTCCAAATCGAAACACCTTCAATTTGTCTCAGGCGTGTCGTCATTGAATTATTGGATACCACACTACATTTATGACTTTCTAAATATTCTCCTTGCCTTGACTATCATAATAATTATTGCAACAGCTGCTCAATTGAAGGGTCTAAAATCAGATGAGAACTATTTGAAAGCATTTGTATTGAGTATCAGTTTTGCATCAGCCGGTGTTCCCTTAACGTATTTGTTTTGCAATTTATTTACGGTTCCATCTACTGGTAATACCATGGTTTTAATGATGTACTTATTTAGTGGTACTGCTACAGTCCTTTCCGTTTTGGTAATGAGGATAATTGGCACAACTGGAGCTTTGCAAGTTAGCGAAATTTTAGATTGGATATTCACTTTCATTTGGCCCTTTTACAATTTTGGTATAGGGCTGGCAAACATTTTTGAAAAACAGGCGAATTTGAAAACATGCGGAAATATTGATGAAAGTACTCTTCAGAGCTACTGTAAAACAAATGACAATTTCCTTTGCTGTAAATCGGAAAACAGAGATTCAAATTATTTCTCTTTTGACAATGGAGGAATTGGAAAACACATTCTCTTCCTTTTTCTACAAGGAGCAGTTTTCTTTGGTATTGTTGTTCTCAAGGAGTCAAATATGTTTGTTCACTTGAAAAGAAAGATGCATAAAAAACTAGTAGAAGCTCATGAACAAATTAATGATGATTCTAGTCCTGAAAAAATTTCTTCTTCAAGGCCAGCAGTCAATGAAGATGTCGATAGACAAAAAGAAAAAATTTTATCCTGGGAAATCAATGATCAAACTTCTGAATATGTTCTAGTCGCGAAGACGCTATACAAGTATTACGGAAGTTTACTAGCTGTCAAGGACCTATCTTTAGGTGTTAAGAAAGGAACGTGTTTTGGTCTTTTAGGTGTAAACGGAGCGGGAAAAACTACAACCTTTAAGATGCTTACTGGAGACGAGGTGATGAGTAAAGGATCCGCTTATATCAACGGTATCAACGTTTCAACAGACCTAGATAAAACTCACAAACTTATTGGTTATTGTCCTCAATTCGATGCCATCATTGATGAACTGACAGTAACGGAAATGATTAATCTGTATTGCAGAATAAGAGGGGTAGATAATGCGAAGGAGCTCTGCAATGAGCTATTAGACATTCTTCTATTGCGCGACCATGCCAAGAAGCTAACTGTTAATTTATCTGGAGGAAATAAGAGAAAGTTATCAACGGCCTTGGCATTTATTGGAAATCCACCAATAGTGTTTCTAGACGAACCAACTAGCGGCATGGATCCGTTAGCCAAGCGAATTGTATGGGATGTAATCACCAAGATGAGAGACAATGGAACGTCCGTAGTGCTCACCTCTCATAGTATGGAAGAATGTGAAGCACTTTGTACGGAAATGGCCATTATGGTTAACGGAGAATTCAAATGTTACGGCGGAGTTCAACATCTGAAATCAAAATACGGCGAAGGCTACTCGTTAATTGCAAAAGTAAAATCATCTCTCAATGATGAATATTCATTAAGCGACGCAACCGAAGAGCTTAAAGGCTTTGTTGAGTCAACTTTCGAAGGTTCCAAATTGAAAGATGCTCACGACGGTTATGTTCATTATCAAATTTCGTCAACGAACGCTCGTTGGAGTACTCTATTCTCAATTATGGAGAAGGCGAAAGAAAGATATCGAATAGAAGATTACTCAGTGAGTCAAACAACACTAGAAGAAGTCTTTATAGGTTTTGCAAAGCTTCAAAAGGAAAGAGAATGCAGAAATATTCCTCCCAGTATTCAATGTAGAAATTGTATGAAATTTCTGTTTTGTTGTGGTTGCTGCAATTAAGGCAATTTGAGTTAGCATTTTACCTTATTTTATTTATAGTATATACCAATTTATTAGTATTTCACTGCTAGAAATCTTGTATTAATTATTTTTTTTATGACTCTACTTTTTTAAATAAAATAGAAAAATGTTAAATGCATTATTTACAAAGAGAATTGTTATGTTTTCAAGTATGTAACACCAAGATAGAGTAATGTCGTATTAATTGAAAGTATGATAATTACTGATGTCTTTATTTGTTCATTTTGAGCTGAAAAACAATAACTACAATTTTGGTTCAATGTAAGTTTATTGTAATGGTTCTTTCAGTTCGATTTTAGCACTTTAATTAAATGGCTATGATCTAAATCATTTGCTAACTCTAATGGGGTTTGGCCATTGGCTTTTAAACTTTTGTCAGCTCCGTACTTTATTAACATTTTAACAATCTCTTCATGACCTTGTAATACTGCTGAATGAAGTGGTGTACAATTACCACATTCTTTATTCCTTGCGTTAATTTCAATATTTGGCTGTTTGCATAAGATTCTTACTATTTTTTCCGATCCAGCCGTTACGGCGGCGTGTAGAGGTGTATTTCCAGATTTAGAGGCAATGTTTATATTACAATTAAATTTTAGTAATAGTCTTAAAATATCGGTTTGACCCTTCATTGCTGCAATAAAGGCTAGAGATCTTCCAGAGTTATCTAGTACTTTTATATTTATCTTCTTGGTAGTTATGAGATAGTGAATTACATCAATAAAACCAAGGTTTATTGAGTAAAACGCTCGTTGGACAAATAACGGCAATGCATTCTTTGAATCAATCAGTTTTTGAGGTTCGTATGAAGTAATTTGCCTAAAAAATGAAACTACTGCAAACCAAACGTTAACTATTGTATAAGCTCTTAAACCCAGAGCCGCTTGAGCATGTGTACGAACTTTGGTTGTGATTGTAACGTCACTTAATAATTTTCGGTACTCATCAGTCCTACCGGAAGTTAAAGTATTTAAATAATCGAGAAAAATAAATGAAAATTGTGATGAGAGTAGTATCTTTGGATATTCTTTGAGAGTTGCTTCCATTATTTTTCCGATATCAGAACCGGATAGTTTTCCATGTTGTAATCCCGATTTAAATAAGAGTCTCATGGAATCAGACACAATTCCAACTTCCAGTCTCATTATTTCAACTTTTTTATTGTCTGGAAAGTCTGTAAGCCAGAAATGTGCGAAGTGAACAAAATTGTCTCTAATCCATTCTACCATATCGTCCACTTTTTCATTGCATTCATCCAACCATTCTGATAGAAGAGGAGTATCTACAAATGCCAATACATCATCTAGTTTAACTGTTCTCTTAACTGGCGGCAAGGGAGGAGGTTTAGGTAAATGATACGGTGGTGGGGTAACAACTGCGGTTCCTGAATCAGGAGAAGAATGTCGTGGCGTCAATGGAGGCGTACTACTAGCACTTCCAATACCAAGACCTTCATCTGCACTTTCGTCAATGAAAGACAAGCGAGAAATGCAAATTAGCTCCCGCAAGTCGCGAATACTTCGACTCATTTTTATATAATTTCTAACATTAGCTCTCTGACGGTCTGTATGTACAGCGATAATACAGCTGGTAACCAGGGAGTTCAAGCATCAATGGCGCTAACTATGATTTCAAATCAAAATGATCGAATAATGATTCTATATCTCATTATATCGAGGTAATTCGGAGTTCTTTGAGAATTTTTAGTCAATGTATAATATTGGGAATATTACTATATTCAAATAGATTATAATAGTCAAATTATCAATCAACTAAAGCGATATGTCAAGTATGTTCAATCATTTAACTTACAAATAAGTTCCAGAACAATTCTTATACCCTTCTTTTTAAGATATAAGTTTAACTCTAATCTGGTTCCTGTGTTTATTTCTACATTCATTTAGAGTTTATATAAGGCTAATTTCAAGTTCATTTTAAAAAGAATTAGGTAGCGCCACTGTGCAATCTTGGAAACAGATTGAATGATAAAGTGGATTAGGTGAATAATCTTGGTGAAAAATTCTCTGCGGGCTTTGTTTGTATCATAACGACGGAGTACAAATTTAATAAAAAAGTAAGTTTTAATGATATTTATTGCTTTGTACGATAAATCAATGATAAACTGTAATTAAGAAGTTTTCTATGGCAAAAATTTATAAAATAATTAAAGTTTATTGTAATATTTTGAGCGATAATAAATATATCAATGATAAATATCTATAAAATAAAAAAATTATTGTCTTAATCAAAAGTGTCGACCGGTCTGGGTTTGTCGACATTGAGGGAAGAAGAGGATGAGATGGAATGGTCGTCAGGAGAAGAAGAAGTATTTTTAAATATTTTTTAATTTAGTATTTTACTAGGACTAATTAAATATTCTTTCAAAAGTATGTTGAAAGTGAATACGAAGCTGATGAAGATGAATATGAACAACCAAATGAAGAAGATGATGATAATGACGGTGATTATGAGGAGAAAATGTCTACATGGCGAAATAAACCTAATCAGTTCGATAATTTATGTGATGGCGTTGTTCAGGCTATAACAATGGTCCATTCAGCCTTAACAGAGGTAGAGTTTATTAATAAATTTTACAAACATTACCTTAATCTTAAACCACCGCATTTTCAGACCCTTTTAATGAAAGATAAACTATTAGAACATCATTTACCTCCGAATGTTCTTGTCGAATTATCCTTAACATCTACAAAATTATATAGAAGGTTGGTTCAATCTCTGGGTAGTTTAGATTGTTTGCTGCTATATTTCTAATTTCTTTCAGTGTTAGTGATATGAACACGCCTGTTTACGAATTAATAAGACTAGTCCGTCTCTACTCTACCCCTTGGGAAGAGAAAAGTGCTGCTTTAAAGAAGTTACATGAAGATTATGATAGAAAAGCTCGCCAACTAGATGTTGCAGTTAAACGCCTTCAAATGGTTGACGCTCAAGCTCTTAGAATGGCTAGAGAAAGACGCATTCTTAATTGGGAGAAGCTCTTCTCTAAAATCTCCTGCTCGAAAGGACATGGGAGGAGATGGAAATTTCTTATTGATTCTTTTAAGAAAAGAGTAAAAGAAGGGTAAATAGTAGTTTTATTAATTTTTTTAAAATATATCAAAATGTGTAATTTACTCTTAAGGCCAGAGTCTTTTCAAGATTATGTAAATACTCTTGACCAAGACGATCAAGAAGACTCGGAGGATGAAGAAAATGCCATTTTGGAGGCAGCTGCGGAAAGAATCATTACTCCTAGTGAAGATAAACAAAGTACTGGAAAGGTAAAAAGCTATTAAAGTAAAAACTATAATTTTTTTAAGTTTAAATTATCTTCACTAGCTGGATAGTGAAACTTTCACAGACAAAAATGATTCAGAGACAGAAACGGAGAGGGATGGAGAATCGGCAAAAGTGCAATCCGATAAAGTAATTGGCGTTAAATAAATTCATATAATTTAATATACTACTATAACTCATCTGATTTATTGAAATCGATAGGAAAAGTCACCTGTACCAGAAAAAGTTGTCTATTTTAAGCCTGAAACGAAAGATGCTTGTGTGTATACTAATGAACCGGTCTATGATAGAAAACTCCATATCCGTCTCTATAAACCGCAAGATATTACTCAATCACAACTTAAATCGGTTGTTACGTATGGCAGTCAATACTTTAAAACTGGAATATTGGACGTTCCCATTTCACCAGTAAATTCTTTATTGATATTATAGTAACTCTTAATAAAGTGTTTTTTCCTTAATATTTAATCAAAGGAACCGACAGAAGACGCTGCAGAGCAACAACCTCCACCTCTTCGAAGACCTGGTAGAGGTAGATTAATTGGAAGTAAAAATAGTAAGTTCAGATCCTTCTAATATTGAAATAATTTGTAACCTAAATTAAGGATAAGAGTATTTACAGTAGATTAGAATAAGATAAAAGTTCTTAGTTATTTTTACGTCAAAACAATTGTATTTATTTTAAATTCAGCTAATGGAGTTCAGAGGCCAACTGCAGCTAAAAAAGATAAGAAGAATTCAAAACGGTAACAGTTCAATATTATTAAATGCTTGTATTCAAATTTTACAAAAAAAAATATTTTCAGACATTTTGAAGAGTGCATTCTTTTAGTTAATGAGGAACATGGAGTTACTTGGGTTGATGGTAGAAAAGAGGAAAAATCCTCTTTTAAAGATAATATAAGGATAGCCCTGCATCATGGGGAAAATGAAGATATGTTTGCTTTAGCAACTGTGGAAATTGAGGAACTAGAAAAGCTAGAATTACCTTCCGTTTTTCTCCGACCAGATATTGGAGACGATCCAGATTTGTCAAATCCATCAACATCAACATTTGTATCTTATCAGCAAGAGGAGAAAAAGCGTCTTGAAAAAGTTCACATTGAAGAAGAAGTTGAAAATTTTGAACCGATGAATTATCCACTTTATTCCATCCATACTGGTCTTGCTGATGCTATGCACATGCCTTGTGGGCAGCAACCACTTCTTTTCTTTTGGGTTAAAAGAGAAATACCTAAAACTGTTCACAAATTGACAGAAAGCGAGACGGTTGAAGAAATAGTTTATGATGTAACCGGCTTCGATATGTCAAAAGTCAGTAAAGAAGACCTTCACCGAGATACGGATTCAGTGGCTCTCTCAGCTCCTAGATTTACACCTGAACCTGTTGAGGAAACTGTTTCGAAGAATGAATATGAGAAAATGAAGGAAAATTATGAAGAAAAATTCCTACAACTGCAAGAAGAATATGAAGGAAGATTAGAACATCTAGTTAATAGCCTAAATAATTTAAACAATGAAGTAAATAAACCTTCAAAGACGGAGGATGTTCGAACAGCTGTTAGAACTCCTTCTCCAAAAATAAAAACTACTCTACAAGGTCCAAAGCCCCCAAATATACCACAAAGTACAAGGTAAATCTTATCAACTATACATTTTTTTAAATAATCGAAATTATTACTTCAGTCCAATTGAAGATGTCCCTAAACCAAGAAGGAAGATTTTGAAAACTGCTCCTCAATATGGTAGTAATCTTCCTAAGAGTGTAAGTAACACATTTATCTTGTATTTTAAGCATTAAAATCAGATATTGATTTTTATTTCTATTGCAGTTCTTTGAACGGTTAGCACTTTTCCAAGATTTATCAGAGAGACATAAAAAGGAACTGCAGGAAGAGCAATTAAATTCACAGTTTACAGCCAATGAACAGAAATTGGCAGCTGAATTTAAACTTCATAAACCAGGATCAAATGATCTAAATGAAAATTTACAAGACGTTACTTTACCGGCAGTCTTTCAAGCAATGCGGGGTAGTAGTATCTATAACCCACGAGCGTCAAAATATTTCCATCCTACTGGAAGTAAAGGATTACGACTCACTCAGCCACCTTCTATGGTTCAACTTCCACCTCTACCAAAAGGGGTATGTAGTAACGAATTATGTACTTAATTATATTGATGAACTTCTTTGGTTAACTTATAATTGTATTTTAGCGCCTACCCGTTGTTAACCTATTTGAAATGAATCAAAACTCACACAAAAGTGGCACTGAATGGTTAATTGATAGATATATACATCAACAACGAGAGAGGGAACAAAAGGATGATATTTACGTTCCAGCCGAATACGAAAATGATCCTATTGAACCTCAAATTGCAGAAATGCCCGAAATGACTGAATGTGATTAAAATCAAAAGTGCCTAATAATGTATTTATTAACAATATTTAGGTAAAATTAAATGTATATTTATTATTTTTTGAAAATTTTTTGCATGTTTTCTTCCTTTTTCTTTTTTTTAAAGTATTGTATTTAGTGGCCAAATTTTTCGAATAATTTATTTAATTAGTGCCAAATAAACAAAGCTGTTTTTTTTTGTTTATATAAAAATAATACTTTTATTAAAAATATAAGACACATAAAACCTTTTATTGTCCGCCATCGCAATAGAACATTCTAATAGAACAATCAGCGCCATCTTTAGATACGGATACCTTAAAACGTTATTTTGTTCAAGGTAAAGTATTAGTGTCTATAAAAAAAATGATTAACTTATTTGAACAAATAAATAATTTCACAAAGTAGTTCAAGGAAGTATGTTTAAAAGTAAAGTCTGTTTGTATCTATGGTTAAAAAATAGTTATGTCGACCATTCGGGGTTTATTTCTCTCCAACTTGTGTCTTTCGTCGGTTATACGTCTTAGATGCTTTATTTCGTGAAGAATTCTTTTAGCGTGATGATCATTAACAATTGGAAGATCCTTGATAAAAAACATAACAAAAATAAATATAACGTATTATCTTATTTAGAATCCGTTGGTATCTTATCTAAATGCGATTATTATTTGTATTTCGGATGAAAGTCTTACCAGGCCTAGATTATTTCGAGTGATCATTTAAGTGGAATAGATAATAAATTAGGTAAAATAGCCGCAAAAAAATAAAATAAAGCGTACTTCAATTATTATGTCGTATAAAGACTACATTTTGCCTTTAAACTAATCCTATAGATATTTATGAGAGTAACATATTTTATAATATTTAGCAGATATTATTTAGTTGAAGGATACAATTCAAACAGAACAATGCAAAGAATTTATATTTATCTCGCAAGTTATCGTAAAAATTTAAAATAAAGTAGATACTCTTAAACTGCTGTCTCTGATACAAAATAATGTCACATTGATGAACAGACTAATTAAATTGCTAATTTAGCTGTAAGAGATATGTCAACATTTTTCAATCTACTACAAAAGCTTACCTTTAAATCGTACAACTCTAAAATGAGTAATTGCTTTCCATTAATTTGATATGAAGTAAATAGGTCACAATATTCCTTAAAACCCAAGCTCACTAACCATTCGGTTACCTCACAAACAGTCCAGTTTTCAACATTTAATACTTTGAAAAAAAGAATCAATAAGATAAAACTTAGCTGTAAAAACGATCAAACTTAAATACTTCTTACCTTCAGGTGATTTTGGACGGTCAGATTCATCAGGTTTCTTATGTTTAAACCAGTTACCAATATAGAATTTCCCATGCTTTTTGTGAGAATGATGATGGTTGGAATGATCGGAATCATTATGCTCGTTGTGTTTTTTCTAATGATAAATATAATAAGACTGTTTAGTTAATAATTGTAAGAATATTTCATATACTTACATTATCTTCTAAAATATAGGATTGTATGTTTATACCTTGTCCTTTGCCCAAATTTTCTTCCATTTCTAATTGATTGATACTGTTTTCACGGTTTTGATCTAAAGGAGTATAGTTGCTTGTTTCAGTTACTATAAAAAGAAAAAGAAATTTATATGGATATACGTATATATATATATATATCGTAACACTGAACAACTCTAGGTAAGGAACGAGTGCTTGATAACGATAAGTACTTTTCTTATCTAGCAATTTTGTAAAATTAATGAACCAATCAAGTAAAATAAAAATAAACTTCTCACTAACTTATAGATTAAGAAACTTGATGATTGCTTGATATTAGGTAAGATGCTTGTACTAAAATCGATTAATTATTGGCCTAAACATTAAATATTAGGCTTATACTTCACAATAATAGTATATAACATAATTAATTATAAAATTGAGATTAAACATTTAGAATTTAGATTATATATTCGTATTATAGAATAATATTTACGATCTGAACCTATACATTTACTAGGAAAATACCCACTGGTTGTGATATAATATTTGAAAGATATTCAATCGATAAAAATTAGTAAACTGTTTAGCTGAGAATGACCTTTATTCTGAGTTGAAACTAGTCAAAACTACTCAACTCTTAGTTTATTAAATAAAATGAGTAAAAAAATATAGATTACTGTATTAAATAAGAAAACTTGACAGTATTTAGCACACGTGCTTTGTAAAGGTCAGAGAATCCATGAACACTGATCGCGAAAGTGTAAACAAATTAAAAAAAAAAAATTTCTAGTTTATACTGGTCAAACCTACTTTTTTTTTATCCAGAAATATATTAGCAGTGCCGTTGTTAACAGAGGAATAGTTACAAATAAGAGAAGCGTAGCACAATATTGCAAAGTTCTTATTGTTGTATATATTGCATACTTTAGCCCTCTACCGGATTTATTTTTGCTTTCTAAGTAAAAAATTTGTGAATCTAGTTCTGTACTATTTATGATAGTTGTTAAAAAACACATGCGTCTTTCTAGTATTCCTTATATAAATATTTTATTGCTAATTTGTTCGTACTTGAGTTATTTTTGTCTTGAATTTTTAAGAACTATTATTTGTTATTTTCATTTTAACTTTTTGTTCACTTGTATAATCCATATGATTTTACAAATGACACCACAAATTTGAACATAAAATTTTTGAAAGACGGATTAATAAAATAATTCAGTGACCTCTACCTTGCACGCCTATATATTTTTATGTTCAACTGTAATAATCAATATGTTATTTAAAATTTCAAACCTTTTTTAGCATAATACTTCGATCAAGCAAGATCACACTGCTGGTTAAGGAAAAGAAATTCGTAACAACTATCCATAAATTGCACAATATGACTTCTGGGGGCCTATAGTTAAGATTAAACCTTACTCTTACTTTGGTTTAGGAATTAGTAATACAATCTGTTTAAACTTTTTTGCTGAAAAATCACATATTTATAAGATCTTTTTGGCAATGATAGAAAAAAGAGGTAAGGACAAATTGTTTATTTTACTTCATTCGAGAAAAAAATACATACAACAATTTTTGTTTTTTCAAATTATCAGGAATTTAGCAAAGAATACATTACATAGAAAAACTTTCCACATTTATGAACACTAATTTACTCTTTACTACTTGTTTTTGCTGACTTATCAGCTGGAACAGACAGGTAAAGAGCCTCGTTAATCTTCTTTTTATCAGGATTAATTTTCTTGAGAATATCAGTCAGATGCATAGTAATTTCTTTACTTGTAAGATTTTGGTTCTTTGTTTTAAACTTTTTAATCAGTTCGGTTGTTGTCATTGGTTTTCTCATGAGATATCGTCTAACATTTTCAACATTTAAACTACTCTCTCCTTTGCCTAAATTAGGTGTAGCTACACTAGTACCAGGTGGAGTATTACCGGCTTTCTCGACTTGGGCGATAATTCTCTCTGCACGAGCTTTTTTAGAATTTGGTGGAGGTAAATCACTATCCGCTTTCCTCTTATTAGTTGCTGCTTCATTATTTGTTGGAGTAGCAGATCGGCTTTCGGGGGGAGTTTTCTTTTTCTTTTGCAAAAGCAGCGGAGAAGTGACCCCAGCTTCGGGATCAGAATCAGCAGAGTCGTCACTTGAATCAGAACTGCTGCTGGAATCGCTCATCAATTCTTCGCTTCCTACAAAATAAATTCAGTTTGATGTTGAATATTCGAGTTAAGTATTTAATATTAACCTTTTTTCTTTTTTTCAGCTTTATTTTTCTTTTCTTTTTCTTCATCATTATTTTCATCATCTTCAGGCTTCTCTTCTTCCTCTTCGTCATCAGAGTTTAATAATTTTTTCAGTCCGTCCTCATCAGCAACACCGTCCTCCTCATATTTCTTGGCGTCTTCCTTTCCTCTTTTATCATCATACATATTCTCATCATCACTATCCGTATCAGTCATATAGTCCAATTCTTCTTGCTCTTTATCGCCATCGTCACTATCATCCATGGCCTCATCGTCAGAATTCTTCCTCTGAGATTTTTTCTTCTGGACATTTTTCTTTTTCTTCCTTTTATCAGACACACCATCGTCGTTATCCCCACTTTCCCTATCAGATCCACCCCAATCATCCATTTCCGTAAGCATCTATAGTCGAGATGTAAACATCCACAAAATTTTATAACAAACAATATTTTTACTCACCAAATCTTTACCCTTCTTCTCTTTTTCTTTTTCTTCGGTATCTTCTTCATCATTCTTTCTCCGTATTTGACGCAAAACCTTGACAGATAAGCGACTTAATCTTTTATCACGACTGAAAACGGCAGTTTGTTTATTCTAAATTCAATGATAAATTTACCAAAAAAAAACGCTTTACTTTAGAAATTCCTCCTCAGCTTCTTCAGCAGTCAAGTGATTGTATTTTGGACAAGGCTTGAAGATATGCCAATCACTGATAGGGAACGCTTCAAATGCACCATCAGGACACTGAGTGAATATATAATACGATGCATTGTCTGAGGCTCCACCAGCTCGAACGCCTTTGAAACGCTTTTGTCTTTCCTTAGCGCCTAAATTTAAAATCCATGGTTGATCCTCCGGATTGTAATGTTGTCTTCTAATGCCATATTTTTTTCTTCTTGCTTCCTCCTTCTCTTCTTTACGATATTCACTCCCTTCTCCGAACTTTGGTGCCGAGTCAATATCATGTGCTTGTTTGTAGGCTTTCAAATTATTTTCACGTTGTATAACGGCCTAAAAGACAAGAAAAAGCATAAAGTTATTGTGTGCCTACCGTTTCTTAAAGTTATCTTGCTGACGTTTAGTTTTTATAATATTATAAAGATAAGAAAGTTAGCATACATCCCCAAGTCGATTAAAGTCCAAATTACCCGAATACTCAAACTTCATGAGCGAGTATTTTCTTTTGTTGCTTCTGAAAATATAAAAAAAAAGATGTACAAAAATTATCTTGAGCTAAATATTGGAGACAAAAAAAAAATGGTGGTTAAGTAATTTCCTTTTGAAGTTAACCAATTACTCAAATGACCCAAATATCTAATGGTTATTTTATTAAAATAAACAAACTTAGGTGCTCTGATAACAAACTCCGAAGTAGTACTGCCGTCGGGGTATTTCAAAACCTTCATACACGGCTTAGGTTGCGTCACAATAGTATTTTGTGTAGGTTGCGATGTTTCTGGCTTTTGTAGAACAACATAGCTAATATTTTGATTTGTGTTCTTCAGTCTAACAGCCATTTTAGACTAATTTCCAACTTACACCCCCAGCAATTCGCCAAAATGTTTCAAACAAGTTGATGTAAACGCAGCTAGTGATTGAATGAAAACCACGCATGCGCAACTTCCGCCATTTTTGCTGCTCAGCTGTACTGAGCATCAAGCAATCCTTTAAAAAAATTACAATCTGCCATTGACACTATTTAAATTTTTTAATATTTAATATATGCAATATTTTCGCTGAATAAAGCGATATTTACAAGTGATTATTAAAAGGATATAGTATAAAAAATAAACATTTTGGAAAATTAGCCTTTTATCGCTCTTTCGATGAAATAAAACATCATAACTATTTCTTAATATTAAAGTGTAAAAAAAATTTTTTAACCAAGAAAGAAAATTTACATTTTTTTTAGTTTATGACGTTGAACGTACTGATATTGTGATATAGTTTTTCTTCATCAGCAATTAAAAGCTTTTTTAAACCTTGAATTTTCTTAATGAAGTTATCATTTAAAGTAAATGTATTTTAGATAATTTATAGAGCTATAATATCTACAATTTACTATTTGACTCTCTTTTGAGCCATTGACATTTCTCACAACTCTAAAGAAAGCATGAATTAACCAGAATCTTTATTTAATTGAAAAAGTTTAATTCTCTTGTTAAAAACGCTTTATTTATATATAAAAAAAACAACTAACAATAAGCGAACAAGATTTTTAAAAGAACCGCGGACAAAACATTAATACTGAAACTTTAGAGATAAACTGGTACAGAAAAGAGTTTTAAAAGCAGTATGCTTTAAAGATGAAAACTGCAATAATGCAGTTGAAATTTTTAATAATTAAAAATTTTTAAGCTAACATTTTCAATAAATTAATATATTTTCATAATAGTGAGATACTTTAAATTGGCAAATGAATTTTTGGTGGTTTTTATAAAAGTCATTATGACTCCCAGGAATTAGGCATACCCAGCTTATTTTTCTGATATTTCCGGCTGGTAAATTTTTACCTTTCCTCTATTTGGTCGTTGTTTGATAAAGTAAATTTATCTACCATGCAAGACGCCATTAATTTAGTGAAAGGAAAATTTTTGGGGATAGCTGAGTCATTTACGCCCATCTTAAAGGTTATATCCATTAAGTAACTCGTAGACACCCGCAAAAATTCTTATCAAATTTTACCAAATAGGAATCGAAGTTCAAGGAGACAGGTGTTTTGACACCAGAAGAAGTATAAACCATTCTAACCAATGAATTTTCCCTAGTTTTTTATGTTAAAAATGCTTTCAGTTTGTAGCAGCCGGCGATCATCTTGTGCATCATTGCCCAACATGGAGTTGGAAGTCTGGAGAAATATCAAAGCGCAAACCTTACCTACCTGATGATAAACAGTTTCTTTTTACAAAAAATGGTTAGCATTATTTTGAAGTATTTAAACTCTTAAACGAAGTCAGAGTCACATGATTTGTCACGTAAACACTAATACTCACTTGACTTGAGATTTATATTTGGTTATTTTTCTGGTATATAGACTTCGATTTGATCATAAAGGTAAAGTTTTTTTTTAATTATTTTTATAGTACCTTGTCATAAGAGGGTAAAACAAATTGAAAACCATCAATCGGAGAATGAAAGAATCATCGAAGAAGACGACGAGGATGGCGGTTGGGTTGATACTCATCATCTATCTGACTGTAAAGTATATTACACGCAAATGTAAAACTTCTCTATAAATCATATAATTATTCTAGCTAGTGACATTGCTGGAGCAACGACTGCAATTGCAGAAATGGGAGTAAATGATAAGGTTTAGACTTCAATTCTTATCCTTTTTTTACAATAATTTTCCCTCATTTACATAGGAAAGAATTGATCAAATTGCCAATTATGACGACGATGACGACGATGATGATGAAGGATCGGCCGTTGATATGGAAGAATTTGAAAAATCCGGAAAGCTGGATGAAGAAGAGGATAATGTATAAATATATATGTTATTCTTTAAGTAGAGTGATTAAACATTTAGTATTACTCTTCCTTTTCAGACTATATTTCAGTCAAAACCTAAAGAAGAACCGAGCCAATCGACAAGTGGAATTCTGCAGACCAGAACTTACGACTTGTATATCACATACGACAAATACTACCAAACTCCTCGTCTTTGGCTTTCAGGATATGACGAAGTTTGTTAAATATTCTTATAATTTGTAATTGATTGTCGATTAACTTTAAATTTTAAAACAGCAAAAGAAACCGCTAAGCGATAAACAAATGTACGAGGATTTTAGTCAAGATCACGCTAAGAAAACCGTTACTTTGGAAACTCATCCTCACTTGAACGGCGCTTCTATGGCTAGTGTTCACCCATGCAGGTTTGTTGTTAACTTTAAACAATTACGACAAACAGCTATAAGGTACAAATTATAAAAATCTTTCAGACATGCTGAGGTGATGAAAAGATTAATTGAAAACTGTGCTGAAGGAGGAACTGAATTGGGTGTTCATATGTATTTGATGATATTTTTAAAATTCGTTCAAGCTATTATACCAACAATCGAATATGATTATACAAGGCAAATATTCAATATCGGAACTTGAGAGAACTGATGAAATAACAAAAAAATAACAATGAACCTTTTCTCTTCTAGCCTCATTTTATTTCTTTTTAACAAAATGAAAATAATATATATATATATATATATTTATATATAATAATGCTAATGACATTTTTGCACGAGAATACTAGCAGCTTTAACAATATACTAGTACTAGAAAACCAATAGATTAAACAATATAAACACGAAAGAAAGAAATAAGCAAGAATTGTAAGAATTTATAATTCGACATCGTTAACAAAATCATTAACTAACTATCTGCTTTACAGCATTTTGTCCAATCAGTTTTTGGAAATCCTTTGTAAAATATATTCCATAATACTGCAAACGCTACAAAGAGTAGATATAATACTATGGAAACCCAAAATACAACTCTTTCCCATTTTAATTTCTTTATATTCTTCATTACCGGTATACCAATTAGTAAACCGGCTAATGCTCCTCCTAAATGGGCTGCGTAACCGACGTTCGTTGTCTCTTCCAGAAAGTATCGTTTATATACTGCAACACCAATATCCGCACCAGCTGTGTAAAACAAAGAACAGAAAATTTATAAGATATGCAAACATACCAATAAAAAATATTGAAAAGCTATCTAAGTGAGTTAATGACAAACCTAATATTGTCCAAAAACCTAGCCGAACCGGTGCACTTAGCAGGAATTTAACCACCCCGTCCATCCAATCGTGTGTCATTTCTTTCCAATTCTAGATAAGAACAACATATTTTATTTTTAGCAGTTGTTGGAATTAACAATCGTTAATTAATTTACCATAATAACAATAGCAAAATGAGCTCCTATTAAAGCATAACAACCACCGCTGGCTCCCGCTAAAAATGTGGTTTGATCAAATACAGTATGGCACAATGACCCGGCTATAACTCCTAAGAAATAGACGATTAACATTCTCCACCATTTATGAACTAATTCCAATGGAATTCCAAGTAAAAGTTGAAAAATGAGATTGAAAATAAGATGAAGATAGCCTACGTGCATTAGCATGTAAGAAAGAAATCTCCAAGCTTCGTATCTTCTCGATGGATTAAAGATAAGAGGAGAATCAGTTGGGCAACCGGTATTTGCAGTCACTAATACGAAATGATTATTATTTATGAATATTTCACAATCAAAGAGAATGATGTAAATGTGTTACCCGGAGTTCCTCTTTTACTCAGAATAACAGCGTAAATGATAAAGACAATTGTTTCAATAACACTTATTAAAATCATAAACATAGGCGGAGGTTTGCAGGTGTAATGGTCGATATAACTATCTACAACGTCTTCACCGTATTCGTTGACGGCTCCTCTCGGTACAACTGTACTAATGGCTCCTCTAACTAATCTTTGAAATCTCGTTAAATGTCTTTGGCGTAATTGCATCTGTTAAATGAACAATAAACTTATCTTTTACTAAAGAAATATCATCTTTGAACATTACCAATCTAATAAATTCGTTATAGCTAAGATGGCCATCTCTATCGCTGTCAGCCTTTCTGATAAGTTCCCTCATTAGTTGTCTGGGAATAGAATCATCATTTTCGAGTAGTTGTTTTCTTATTTCACTTAAAGGTATTCCCCTTGGTCCATAATTTTCAAATATAGGTTTATATTTCTAAATTTAATAAAATTGGATAATGAAAATGGCATCTTGATTGTTTTTTTAAAGAGGTCAATTACCCCTTCGAAGTCAGGTCCGAGAGGAAAAGATTCTCCTCTTTCGTCCATCCTTAATTATCCCTTAACAATTATTCAACAGTTGTTGTATGTACCTGTATAGAGGACAAAAAATTGGCTGACTTGAAGTAATAGGCCTAAAGACTTTTACAGTAACAGTCTAACAGATAGTATTGTGCTGGTTTTTTTTGAGTAGTTTTCACCTTTTCTGATTGATATGCAAATTTCTATAAATACAATATGCATAATTTTCATACATACATAAAATATGAATATTTATTAATTAATAAAATCAATCAACACAATTTTATAGCGAGTTATGGTACAGGTATTCCTGTAATTTACTTAGAATATAGTCATGTAAACAAGGCAAAAAGAAATCTTTAATATATACCTGCTTTAAAAAACTATTGTGAAAAATATCGTAGAGATATTATGATAACGATATTTATCTACTACAAATACCGGTTAACAATTGTTTATAAGCGTTTGACTGTCTATCGTTGCGCTGAAAAAGGCCTTAGATGATAAAACAAAACTATGCAACCAGAATAAAATCTAACTGCATGAATCATCCCGCTAGATGGCGCTATGGACAATAAAACCATACTTCTATTATTTTTAACTATGTATAAATATAATATCAAAATTTTAAGTTTATTGAACAAGTAAACAAAGATAATGACGATGATGATGATAGTATGAATGAATTTTTACTATTTCAATTAGTCTTAGTATAACATATTTGTATCAACGTAGTACATTTCATAGTGGAATTCTTCTTTATGAGTTTCGTCTCGTAAGATACCAACAAAGTCTATTTCTAAATTAAATTCACCTTTAAATCTATCTGAAGCAGTAATTGCTAGATATTTAATTCTTTCTCTATCTATTTTTTGTTGTTTATCTTGTATCCGTCCTTTAGATGCTAAGAAGAATTTACTAAAAGGAATCTGATTGGGTAAAAAATAATAGAAATTTTTAAATAAATCAACTTTATTCAACTTCAAATGCTTATTTTACCTTTGCTATTTGCCAATATGGACCACCTCGTGTAAAGAGTGGGTATTGATAGACGTCATTCCATTGAATGTCGAAATATCTGTCCATTGCTAATACTAGTGAATAGGCTCTTCCATCACCACGAACTTTTAATAATAAATGAGTGTAATCCGACCAATCATATGGTTTTTGACGTTTAAATGATTTCATATTTACAGGTGCTCTAATATTAGCATAACCTGCATTTTTTGTATGACCATCATCTGGAACATCTATATCTAGAAAGCCTCTAAATAGCGCTGTTTCGTTTTCTGTTTTTAATATCTCAGCTTTACTTTTTCCCTCGAGTAAATCAGAGTCACATGTTACTAACCAATCCTTTACATCGTCCTCGTCGAATCTCCAAAGAACCTATTAAAAAAGAATCTTGACTGAGTAAAGAAAGTAGGGGGAACGTATATGAAAAATTACTTCATAGTCTCCATGATTTAGAGGAAAAATATGTTTTAGTTTTAGATTGTCTTGCCACTCTTTGGCAAATTTTTTACACTCGGGAAGAATCATAGGAAGACCTTTTTTGACTGCATTCCCTAAAGTTAAGGATTGAGTTGTTTTATCCGAGTAACCTCCTTTCCTATCAGCCTCGTAAAAAGCAGTGCATCGTTGCTCCCTAGATAATCCTAAGGTAGATTTTAAAAAAGACCTTGATAATCTACGAAGAGGAGCTGTCATATTCCTATTATAGTGTAAGAGATTAGAATAATCAATTTGAAACCATGCTTGAAAGAAACTTCTGAAAAGTACCCTTGACCTTGAACATAGGTCTGCCTTAAAACGGAGTGGAGCTAAATGAACCAACCAAAATATAATACAATTATCTTGTTTTGACTATAGAAACGCATGGATTAGAAATTTATGTTTAGTTCTTTTTATGCACTACGAACAGTAAAAAACTGAATATTTTCTTTGAGTCGTTAAGGGGAAAACTTGATTTTGTTAAAATTTTCATAAATCTAGATTTTCCTTTTTGGCAATGAAAAAATGAAATTTAGTTAAAGAAATAAAGTATTTTATTATGAGTTATATTTCAAAATATAAACACTACAAGAGCTATGCGGTGTCCATTTCTTCTGTTTTCTTCTCTTTTACATCGACAACATCAAAACTGATTTTCTTTACTTTCTCTTCCAAAATAGCTGTAGTTCCTTTAGGGTATTGATAAACACCTTGTCTCTTTCCCTTCTCGTTAGCCTGATCGAAAGGTCTTAGATAGTCTGTCCTATCTTTTGTTATAACACATAGATCCACATATGAACCTGATCCCAAATCGTTAAAAATACCAGCAGCAATTGCATCGCGTACTAGTTTCATTGCTTCTGCTCTCTCCATATCTGGCTTATAACCTAATGAAAATAGTCATGTAGTTAGGAGTTTCTATCATTGTAGATTTTTTGTTATGTAATGTATACCTTGTTCGAAAACAGCCATTGCAGCTAAAGATCCCGAACCCATTGTTACAAATGGTAGCACAGATGAAGATCCATGAGGATAAATACAAGACAAGTGGGGTCCGGTAACATCAACACCACCAAGTACTAAGGCAGCACTGATGTGTCCTTGGTAGCGGAAAAGCATCTGACGAAGAGCTCGGTTAACTGTTGCAAAACGGACCTGGCGACCAGTGTTCAAGCGATGCAATTCCATTTGTGAAGAAACCATTTTAGTTGTCTTTTCCGTATCGGCGGCTGTACCAGCACCGCAGCAACTAGAATATAAGAATCATAATGTACCAGAGTTGATTCAATCAGATATCATTCAAACATTTTTTCAAAATAATATGAGCGATTGTCAGGTTGTCAGATATAAAGTACGAAAAGTAATGCATTTTATACTTACTAAACATTAGGCTGGATATAGTGAATTTTTTCGCAGTTCTTTTCGGCTACGATAGTATCTTCGGTAGCTCTTGTGTCGGCACCGAGAACAACTCCATCCTAAATAAAAGAACTTTAGAACAACATCTTGGACTTAGTGCGCCAATTTACCTTAAAGATCACTCCAGCAATGGTCGTACCAGTCTTCAGAGCCTTCGGAGCCTTTAATCCTTTACCTTCCAACAATCTATTTCTGTTTGTAATAGAGCGATATTTAGAATTTTTTTGAATAGTGCTGAGTCAGATGAGGTAAAAGAGAGTTTAACAAGCTTGATCAAAATTTTACAAACTTCACTATACCATTTAAAATAATACTTTGCTTGATGGTTTTTCAAAATATACAATTTACCTTATACAATTGTCGAAATTGAAACCGCTTTTCGGTAACTCTTCTGCTAACGCTGCTGCCATTTTGGGTGCTACTACTATTTAGTTTTTGCTTATTTTCGTATATATAAAAATTATCGATATTTCAATACAGTTTAATTCCTATGAAATTTTTATTGAAATTTTGTAATTTATAAGTTTAGAGAAAGATTTTGTTTAGCATAATTTTATATTCACTGCTCCTCTGATATTTCCCTGACGACCATATAAAGCATCCTCTTGGATATATTATTTTTCTCTTAAAGTAAGATTTTAGCGTTATTATCATTATCAACAAGGGTAATTATACAGCTAGTGATGTACGACACAACCATTAACAAATCAACAAACAGTAACATCAATGCGGGGGAAATAATAACTATTAAAATTTTCTCACTTATATGTTTACAACCATAGTCTGTTATCTTGAAGGTTTTCAACAAAATCAAAATGGTTAAGAAAAAGACAAGGAAGGGATCATCGAGAAAGTTGAATAAAATGTCAGAAGAAGATCGAATTCTGGTTTTAGAGCAACAAAGATTAGCAGAGGAAGAAATGAGAAAGAAAAAAGAAAACGATTTAGCGAAATTCTTAAAAGTAATTAATTCACTATTTTGAATATAAAATCCATTATTATTATTAAATATTAATAATAAAATAGCACAAGTTAATGCAAGAAGAAAAGGCAACAAAATTTAATTTAAACAAATTGAATCATCAATGGAGAAATATTATGAGAGAGGCAAAATCAAAAGAATTGAAAAAAGATATTGAAATACTTAGCCAAACATTCGAACGAGTTGTCGATAGAAAAGAAAGTGTTATAAAAGCTTTGGCAAAAGATCTGGAAGAGGCCGATGAACAATATCTACTAGCTTTAAGAAAACATTTGTCAAATGTTGATAATCTAATGGATTTACAATATAAACGTATAAACAAATTGAGAGAAGAATTTGAAGATGAACAGAAAACACTGATGACTGAGTTTGATAGCGAAAGATCCCTAATTGATACAGAATTCAATCAACAGATGAGAGACTTAAACGATATACTATTTGCAATGGAAATGAATTTCAATGAACAAGAGGAATTTGCAAGGAACGAATTCCAGTCTAATATGGATGAAATAAAGAACAGAGTAAGTTATCTTCTCCTTTACATTACTCAACTTGTAATAAATGCTAAAGAATATTATAATACATTCTATCACAGAATATTGAAGAAACTCATGCACTAAAAGCGCAATTGGATAGTGCTGGTAAAAATCTCCTCGATCAGATGCACTTGGCCATAAACAACTACAAAGAAACAACTGACGAAAGGAAGAAAGCATTTGAAGAATTGAAGAGAAAAGATGAAAATTCTGCAAGCGAAATTGATACACAAATGAGAAAAATACAAAGAATATCTGACTCAATAGCTCAATTAAAAGCAAAAATGGCTGCAAATGCAAAAGAAAGCGAAGAAGCAAATAGGGAATTGAAAGAGGTATATTTTCAATGATAGTTTTCAAGGTTATTTGCACTTTTATATATAATTATCTCTATCTTTTTAAGGAAAAGGAAATTATGGTCAGACATTTTCAAATTCTAAAGGGAAAAATGAACGAAATGAGAGGCAATCAACACGAGCGTCTTAAAGATTTGACCATACAAAGTCAGGATGCAATTTCTAAGCTTAAAGAACAATTAGCAATGGTAAATTAATAAAGCCAAACAAAACAAAGTTTGAAAGAGTATTCTATTAATTTTTAAATTAATCTTAGGGTGAAAAACTACTGAAGCAGGCTGAAATTTGTAGAAAATTAGAAACTGAGCAGGAAAAAGTTTTACCATTCTACGCTTCATCGTTGAACGAAGAAGAGAAAGAAGATATTGAAGAAGCCATGAAAGAAGAATTAAATAACGAATTTGCAGAAGTATTCCGTCTCTATCTTCCGTTAGAAGGATTTTGGAAACGCTACAATAAATCTCTACTTGATAAATGTGCATTAGATAGAGAAAAGGCTGATCTTTCTCTAGAGAATCAACAATTAAGAACTCTTTTGAAATCATATCTTGATGGTATTTCGGTAAATGATGAAATACTATCAAACGTAAATCCCTTATTTGTTGTGAACCATAAATCAAATGTAAATATGAATGTACCAGTTAGAGACAACCGTGTTGCAAGAAAACCCCATCAACAGCAAATTATCCATTCAAATATGGGAGGAGGAGCAGGAGGACAAATTCCAAATTAGATTCTTAAATAAATCTTATATTATAATATATCTATTTAAATATTTTAATATTCATAATTTGAAAAAATGATAATAATACAAATTTTGAAAATTATACGCCACTTTTCATTCAATTTTCAATTCTCTTAATATTTATAATGTAAGAACAACAAAAAGAATAAAAAACAGTTAATTTATATAATCAACTAAAGAGGTATTTCATAGTTTAAATATAGATATATGTAATTATTTGTTTGTTATCTATGACCACTTCCTTTTACCATGGTAATTAATTTTATGCTTGTCTTATCTTTATCATTGAAATTATTGCTTTGTCGATGTTGCTTGAGTCGAATAAGATATTAAAAGATTATTTTTTCTTGATTATGAAATATATTTTATAATTTCTTTTATTTCCTAATATGGTATTGCTATTTAAAAATTAAGTCATTGACAGATAACACAATAGCAATTGCTACGAATTTCAAGTTAAAATTATATTCTTCAAAACTAAAAAAAATACATCAGAGACCTCTAGCCGTGAGAAGAAAATATTATCTGGAGTATAAATAGCACTTTCTTAATTAGACGATTTAGAACACTGGGGCATAGGTCTCTAACAAGCATACATAATGACTAAAAGCTATCAAATTGAGCAAATATCTGACTCTTCAACGACTAGTAATAATAATTATTAAATTTATACCAGCTTATTTTACTTATGACTTATAATCAGCAGATATGTACCAGAATTCTCCCATTCAGAACGACAATGAGAAACCCGTAGATACATTGGAGAAAAAGGATGAGAAAGAGGAGAAAAAGAAAGAAAAAGCCGTCTCCATCACTGAATTGGTTAGTTAGGCGAATATTAATTAAATAATATAATATGATTACCATTTCCTGTTAATATAACGTCTCTCTTTTCTAAACAGTACCGTTACGCGACTACAAACGATAAATTAATACTCTTTTTAGGAGTATTTTGTGGTCTTGGTTCAGGTGCCTTGCAACCTGTTATGTTTCTTTTCTTTGGAGAAATGACCAATTCGTTTATGAATGTTGAACCCGTGAACGGTACAATAAGTGACGAGATGAGGGAACAACTAATGGAGAAATTAATGAAGGATATGAAAAAATTTTCTATTTATTACGTTGGTTTTGGAGCGGCTAGTTTTATATTGAGCTATGCACAATTTGCTTGTTTCCTGAGCGTTTCCTATAGAATTGCTTATAAAATTCGAGTTGCACTATTTGGTAACATAATTCATCAAGAAATTTCATGGTACGATACAAACGATACTGGAGAATTGAACACAAGATTAACAGAGTAAGAAAAGTAAAAAATTATTTTTTAGTAGAAAAAACAAAGAAAGATAAGACCTATAAAAGATCATTTACCTTATTTTATCTTTAAACCTACCTGTACTTAATGATATAAAGAACGCTCATTTTAGATCATGTGATGAAATAGTCAGCAAATAGGATATATATGCATAGTGGGTACTTTAGATACATTAGAAAGCAGATATTTAAATAATAATGTAGTAGTAATTATAAATTATAGAGTAATAGAATAACTAGTCAGTTTTCTTGTGAGAGTGTTTACGATATCATAACACATTACAGATATCATAAGTAAAACGGTAGGTTATCATCTAATAGGCCTATTCATTCTTTAAGGCTTTAGCTATGTAGGATGTCAGGTTATCAATAACTTTAACTTGATATGAAAGCTGTTTTGTTGCGCAATACACTAAGTATATTTTTTTAAAGATAGGCCTTATTTGGCTTTTATTACTTGATTTAATAATTTGTTATAAATTTCTATATTAGCGATGTTAATAAAATACAAGAAGGAATTGGCGATAAAGTTGGAATGATATTTCAAAGTCTTGCAATGTTTATTGGAGGTTTCTCCATCGGATTTGCAAAAGGATGGAAATTAACGCTAGTTATTTTAGCTATAAGTCCAGTTTTAGCTATAATGGGTGGTATTACCGCAAAGGTATACATACTTATCATTAATAATTAACTAATTTAATATTTGTTTAATAATCTACGCTAATCCATAGATTATGGGTCTTTTAACGAAAAAAGAGTTAGGGGCCTATGCAAAAGCGGGCTCAGTTGCTGAGGAGGTTATAAGTTCAATAAGAACCGTAATGGCTTTTAGCGGTCAAAAGAAGGAAATAACAAGATATGAGAAAAACTTGGTGCAAGCTAAAGATTTCGGTATTCGAAAAGGGATTATTACTGGCAGTCTTATGGGATCATTTAATGTAATCATTTTTGGTATGATGGCTTTAGCTTTTTGGTTTGGAGGTAAATTAGTTAGAGACGATAATTTCGAACCTGGAAACATCCTTACCGTTTTCTTTGCGGTTGTCATAGCAGCTTTTTCACTTGGAATGCTGGTAAGAAATTTTTTTCATTTAGTTATTTAAACGATAAACTGAAATTTACACAATGTACTCTATAAAACACAGGGGCCCAATATTGAAGCTTTAACGACAGCGAGAGGAGCGGCTTATGTTGTCTTTGATCTAATTGATAGACAGTCAAAAATTAATAGTGATTCTACTGTTGGGTCAAAGCCAAAAATTTATGGCAATATTGAATTTCGAGATGTAAAATTTAAATATCCATCGCGTCCTGATGTTCAAGTCCTAAATGGAATTAATATTAAGGTTGAACCTGGTAAAACGTTAGCTTTTGTTGGTAGTAGTGGCTGTGGTAAATCGACGACTGTGCAATTAATTCAACGTTTCTACGATTGTGAAGAGGGGCAAATTTTAATTGATGGCACAGATATAAAAGAAATAAACGTTGAATGGCTGAGAAAAAATATAGGTGTCGTTTCTCAAGAACCAATTTTATTTGATTGCTCTATTGAAGAAAATATACGATTGGGAAGAGATGACGTCACTGAAGAAGAAATTAGAAAAGCTGCTAAAGATGCAAATGCCTATGATTTCATTAAAAAACTTCCAAAGCAATTTAATACTTTAGTAGGAGAAAGAGGCGCTCAGTTATCTGGCGGTCAGAAGCAGAGAATAGCTATAGCTAGAGCACTTGTTCGTCAACCAGTTATTCTACTGTTAGATGAAGCCACATCGGCGTTAGATATGGAGAGTGAAGCTGTTGTGCAAGATGCCTTAAATAAAGCTTCTGCCGGTAGAACGACTATTGTCATTGCTCATAGATTATCAACGATTAAGACAGCTAACAGGATATGTGCTTTTGAAGGTGGTAGAATTGTTGAAGAAGGAACTCATTCAGAATTGATGGAAATGGAGGATGGAATATATCACAAATTAGTATCAACTCAGCAAAACAAAACAGATGAACAAGTATGTGTATTTTTTTTCCTTGTTGTACAAATCTTAATTAAATGGTTCGTAATAGGAAGAAGAAACAGTTTCTCTCGATAGTTACTCTCACGAAAAACGTAGACGATTTAGCAGCATAAGTACTATTAGTGGAGGCAGTACGAGAATGAAACATCCAACGTCCCTTCTCTCCTATGGTAGTGTAACACCAAGCATGCACGATGCTCAAAAGTTGGAAACAACGGATGAAGAGGAGTTAGGATCACCTTCTCTAGGTAGGATTTTCAGACTGAATTCTCCTGAAATTAATTGGATTATTTTGGGTTGTGTTGGAGCTCTTGGTGTTGGTTCTGTTCAACCTGCGTTCGCTGTGATATTCGGAGATATTCTTAAAGTACTTACAAAGCCTAAGGATCAACAAGCTAAAGACATTGCTTTCTATTGTGGAATGTTTGTTGTCATGGGAGTTGGATCGGGTATTATGAAATTTTTGCAAGACTCTGCCCTAGGGGTCTCCGGTGGACGCTTAACAATGAGACTGAGAAAATTAACTTTCACCGCCTTTATGAAACAGGATATACCCTATTACGATAAACCTCAAAATTCGACTGGAGCATTGACCACAAGACTTGCAACCGATGCCTCAGCAGTACAGGGAGCAACTGGATCTCGTTTAGGTATAATAATTCAAAGTTTTGGCACATTAGGAATTGGTATTATTCTCGGTTTCGTGTATAATTGGAAATTAACTTTAGTCCTTCTGGCATTTGTCCCTTTCCTCATTCTTGGAGGTTCTATGGAAATGGTTGTAATGATGGGAATACAAGGAAAATCTAATAAAAATTTAGAAGAAGCCGGCAAAATATCAACTCAATGTATAGAAAATATTCGTACAGTCGCTCAATTATGTAAAGAGAAGTACTTTAAGAGGGTTTACTACAATTTCCTTGGATTGAATCACAAGAGCAAAGTAATTTGTAATTGTTATTCTCTTTAATTTTAGATAAATAATCGGTTGTATTGCATTTTTACAGATGAAAAAAATCCATTTAATTGGCTTAGGTTTTGGTCTTAGTCAATCAGTTTTCTTCTTCGCCTTTGCTGCTTGTTTTACGTTTGGAGCACATCTCATTAAGGTAGACGGAGAAAATTTTCAGAATGTATTCAAAGTATTCTCTGCTGTTGCTTTCGGTGCTCAAGCTATTGGTGAAGTTGCGTCATTTGCTCCGAATTATGGAAAAGCTAAAGTGGCTGCTGCTAGGCTATTTAAGCTATTTGACAGAGTGCCGGGTATTGATAGCTTCTCACCAGATGGCATGCGACCTAAGGAAACTAACGGTGTTGTTGAATTCAAGGCTGTTCGATTTAATTATCCAACAAGACCTGATTTGCCCGTATTAAGGGGTTTAAATATAAAAGTGGAGACCGGTCAAACTTTAGCTTTGGTCGGCAGTAGTGGATGCGGTAAAAGTACAACAATTTCCCTACTCGAAAGATTCTATAATCCACTATCTGGTTCTGTGGTAAGTTATTGCAGAAAGAAAGACATTTTTACCGAACCATTGTTAAAAATGTTGATAATTTTTAGACTATAGACGGTTTAGAAATCAGTTCGCTTAATATCGAATGGGCCAGACAACAAATGGGTTTAGTCCAACAAGAGCCAATACTCTTCGATTGTACAATTGGTGAAAATATAGCTTATGGGGATAATTCGAGAGTAGTTAGTCAGAATGAAATTATAGAAGCTGCTCAAAAGGCGAATATTCACAATTTCATATGTTCTCTACCAAATGTATGATAAAATTTTCATTTCTATAAGATTTTTCAAATATTTCTCAATGTCCTAAAGGGTTACGAAACACCTGTTGGAGATAAAGGTACTCAATTGTCAGGTGGCCAAAAGCAGCGCGTGGCTATAGCTAGAGCCTTAATTAGAGATCCAAAAATATTGTAAGTTTTGCTGTTTCTTTGTCTATCTATCGCTTTTACAATCTATTACCTAACATTTAGATTGCTTGACGAAGCAACGTCTGCTCTAGATACCGAAAGTGAAGCGGTTGTACAAGAAGCGTTAGATAGAGCTCGAGAAGGTCGAACTTGCATAACAATCGCTCATCGCCTTAGTACCATAAAGAATGCTGATGTAATTGTTGTTATATCTGAAGGAAAAGTTTCAGAAATCGGAACACATCAAGAGTTAATGGATGCACAAAAATTTTATTACAAACTTGTACAAACTCAACAGAGACCTCACTAAGATGACCTTAATATTACAATTCCCTCCATTTTTCTCTCATACTTATATATATATATATATACTGCATTAAACATATCAGCAAGAAAGCGATAATATAAAAATTGACGAATTAAAAACATTTCTATATACTGTTTATATTTTTTTATATATTGGATAATAAAACATTTATAAAAAAAACATTATTCACATATATCTTCCCTTTTCAATGACGTCATCGTCACTAAAGTGCGATCACTTTTTTTTAGGTTGTATTCATGAATTAAACATAAACTGTCTCTGTGTGTGTGTATGTATGTTTTTTGTACTTTTATTAAGTTTACTTTAGCATTTAAATAAGAGAGATAACAATATAGTTTTACTATCCTTAAATATCCCGTTTTTTTTCTAGTAAGTATTGACTGATTACGGTGTTTCAAATGCTTATACTGTTCTCTTAAAAGTTATAAAAAGTAATAAATTTGTAAAAGTTCTTAAATGGAAGTTGAACAAATCGAGGTATTTGAAAACAAGTGAAGAGTTGATGAATGATATGTAAAGCAGTATTTACATTATATATTACTAATATTATATATATTTTATGAAAATAGCTGAAAATAACTGCTAAGAAATAAAAAAGAAACATAAATTAAATAAAGGTTTAAAAGCAAAAAAAAAAGAAGCTGTAGGCAAATATTTTATTGTAGAAATGTAATCTCATGCTTTTAAATATAAGTCTCCATTATTTTCGTACGATAACGTTCATACACGCTATAGCACATACCAAATATCACATTACAAGATTCATATGCTGTTAAACAACTAATGCAAACAGAGGAAGAAAAAAAGTATTAATGTTCAAAATATGCAAAATAAGCGAAAAAGAAAAGAAAAGGAAGTACATTTTCTACATATTATACATATGTAATATACTGTATATTATCTATATAAAATTATGTTAAAAAAGAATTACAGGGTAAAAGGCTTGCAAATTAAACCCTTCTTGATCGACTACTTATCCATTTTGCTTTTTGTGCATTTATGTCTGATTTCATTGTGCATGCAAAACATATAGCCAAAATCTGTAAAGGATTGAGAGAAGACAGAATAGAGAAATATTTAGCAAGTTGAATAAACAAACCTGTAATACAGCTATAAATATTCCAACACCGGCTATAGGTATCATATTATCTTTAACCCAACTTTTAAATGTTGGAAAACAACCTTTTTTATATTCAAAATTTAGTCCTGTAGTTTCTTCTAAGGCTCCATATCCACATTGTAGATTAACGAGTTTTTTACCTTTCTCCTCCACAGAAGAGTAAGGATCTTTACAGCAAGAATACGGTACACCGCAAGATTCAAGGGCAGCGGACGAGCAATTAAAATAAATGTTATGTTCCCAGTCTTTATTGCTGTCTATTCCACAGCAACCCAACTGAAAAATTGTATTGCTATATAGTAATACAAGTATAATTAATTAAATACCTACCCAATCCATCTGAACCCAATCTATAATATCTTGCATATCTGGATCATCTCTATATCTTTCTATATATTTCTTTAATTTTCCTTTAACACTGTTCTCCAATTCTTCCGAATAAAGAAATATGGCTATTACTAACGCTAACTCAGTTAGAAAAATAATTAAGACCAAAACTGCGTACTGTAAAAAATAAAACAATAAACATGAATATGTATATAACAATTGATATAGTATTAAATAAAAAAAGAACAATAGTTTTTTTTAAAGTCATACCAGAATTAACAGTACAGTATTCTCCCTCAAAGCTCCGACACATCCAAAAAATGCAATTGTAAATAATATTATGCCTACAACTACAATTATCATTGCCGGATCGAATGTTATGTTTGTCAACGATTTAATATTTCCCATAGCGTTTTTTTCATGTATTGCCCAAGTTCCACCCGCAATAAGCGCTCCACCTAGAAGCTGTGAACAATGTATATGTTCTATAAGCAATACTGTTCACATTTAACTTAAGAAAATTATGAATCACAAAACTAGTTTAACTACAACTAAACTTACCCAAACAATAACATTAAAACCAAATATCAGGTATTTCATTATAAGACTAACTTCAGTTCGAGCCATTTTTACTTATGAAATCAGATCTTCTCTTTAATTATTGAAAATGTAATAAAAAATTTTTTAATGGATTCTCTTCTTTTGTATCAAAATAATGTTTCTGTTCTATAACAACCAAATCCTTTACTGAGTAGATTTATATTAGGTCAGGACACAATGCTCTGCAGGCTTTTTCAGGTTAGGTTGTTAATTTGTGACCATGAGCTGAAGAGAATTAAATATTTAAATATAGAAGAATGATGTTATGTCTTTGCTTACAATTTTAATGCTCGACACGAATCAGATTGATGAATAATAAGATCGTCGGGGTTTCCAATCACCCCGCTTCAAAAAAAGGTTTACTTACCAAATGCTTATGAATAGTTCAGTCAATTAATTAACAAAGAATAAACTGTGCGAAATTAATTGAAAACATTGATTTTTATCCCCTTATATATATATATATATATATATATAACATATATATATATATATAAGGATAAGGATACAAGAGACTGTCGTTGACTGAGAGAATAAATAGTTATATCCTGCTGGAAGCCTACGCCACCTAGATGATTTAATGCCCTGCCAATGGAAGATAAGGCGTAGCAACTACCAGTGAATAATTCACATTTCCCCGCCAGGTGGAGACTCTATCAAAAGATATTACTCTTTTCCTCGTATTAGCTATCCGGTTTATGGACCACGTGACCCTCTAGGACTGAATTTGTTGAATACCGTGGTTAACAAATGGCGGCCACAGAAGTGTTCAATTTCAAAAACTTGCAAACTTCATTCAGTGTAAGATTTAAAAAATTGCGATCTACATATTGCTGCATTTTGAGGATTCATTAATTGCTATTGTTTAAAAGAAAATATGCATTAATCTTATACACTTTTGTAAAAATGCACTTATTGTGAGCGATATTAAAATTATTATTGTTTAACAGGCGGCAGTGAAGCTCACGATTAAACAGCAAGACTTTCAGATCATTAGAAAGGATTATGAAAAATACAAAATTAGGTTGGAGTTTAATCAGTTGTAAATTTTTTCATACTTAAATGCTACTTTTTACACTAGTGATGCCGATAAAAAGATGGCTATGGATTTTGCCCTTAGAGATTCTATGAAAGAATTGCTAGTAAGCTTTAAGCAGTTAATTTCTTACCAAATATTAATAACACTAATTAATTTCAGTTTGAAAAGACAAATAGTGAAACGTTAACTAGTTTATTAAATCTCTGCGTCGAGTGCGTTAGTTTAGGTAAACAGAAGCTTTTAAGTCTAATTGCTAATAATTAATAATCTAATATTCTAATAGATCTCTGTACAACTCCAACACCTTTTATTGTTCTGTCGGATGTTTTTGATACACTCAGACTTAAGGATTGTGAAGAAATATTTTTATTTGTTGAATCAAAAGTTGGTACATGGAAAATGGTAAATATTCCTTTTAATATTGTAATTTTTAAACAAAATAAATATTAATATAACTATTTTCTTTAGGCTCCATTCTTTTCCGCTGGAAGGAATTATTTATTAAGAATGTGTAATGGTTAGCAATTCATATAAAATGCGTTTGACTTGTTATAAATAATATCTTAAATATATTTAAAAAGATCTTCTTCGACGTCTTTCAAGATCACAAAATACAGTATTCTGTGGAAGAATACAATTATTTTTAGCAAGATTATTTCCATTAGACGAAAGATCAGGTAATAAATTAAATCTAAATTTCTTCAATTATCATATTCTAGGTCATCTTTACTACATTAATCTTACTAGGTCTCAATTTAACTGGCTTATTTAATCTTGAAAATTTAACAAAATTTACCACAAACTCTGAACAGTATAACAAAAGTAGGGAACAGGTTCGTAAAATACTTAAATTATTCAAAGACTCTTTGTAAAATAAAGTACTCATTAAAACAGATGGAATTAACTGAAAAAGAAAGGCATGAGAATATGGATGTAGAAGAAGGAGAAATGGAGAATGATGAACACTTGTAAATTTAAAATTCTTAACTATTTGCATGTACATTCACAACTTAAATTTTATTCAATTTCAGAACGATACCGGTTGACTATAACTTGTATAATAAATTTTGGTCTTTACAAGACTTTTTTAGAAGACCAAATTCATGTTTAGATAAAATTCAATGGAATAAATTTTTAGATGTAAGTTAACCTCCTTTTATTTAGTATTTTTTTTAGTAATTTTTTCATGTTTTATTTCATAGTATGCAAAAACAACTTTAAGTTGTTTTGAAAGTTATAAATTAGATGATACAAAAACATCTAAACGTCAAGAAGAAGCTTTTCAAAGTTATTTTGCCAAATATCTTACGAGTGAAAAAGTTTGTATAGTAGCATAATTCGATAAAAGTTGATAACTTTTTGTTTATTCCATAGCTGTTAGATTTACAATTGTCGGATGGAACCTTTCGACGATATGTTCTTGTACAATTTCTCGTTTTATTTCAATATTTAACAGCTGATGTAAAATTCAAAAGGTACTATTTAAAAGTTTATATGTGTCAAATTTCTAACCACCGTCATTACTTTCAATAGTAAAGATACTTTAATGGATTCTCAAATGAATTCAATAAGAGATAACACGAAAAAAGTTTATCAACTACTCAGAGAAACCCCACCTGATGGAGAAGCATTTGCCAGTACTATAAAGGTTAGTATAGTGATATAGTTTGAAATCTAAAGTGCCAGAATCAAAATTTTTTTTTAACTAGCATCTAATAGAAAGAGAACATCTATGGAACGAGTGGAAAAATGGAAATTGTCAATCATTTTCAACTGCGTTTGATGAATCTAATATAAAAATCAGACAACAACGGTTAGATTTAAAACTTGTTTTTTTTTTGCAAATGTTTTTATCCGTCGTTTACAATACAACAGTATTCGAAAAAGAAGTGTTGGAGAAGATATGAAAGTTAACAAAAGAATGAAGATGGGTAATGCAGAATTAACTCGATTGTGGAATTTACAACCAGATAATATGGCGGCGTGTGTCTCGTCTGAAAGGTTTACTATTTAGTAGATTTAAAACAAATTATATTTTAATTTATATATTTTAATTCGTAATTTTCAATCCAGGAATTTTAATCCAACTTTATTGGAATTCTTTGAGGAAGCCATTGAACAAGCTGATCCTGAAAATCAGATTGATAGGGAATATCAGTGAGTTGTCATAAATAGTTTCAAGTCATATGTAATTTTAATTTTATTTCTAAGTCATGTGACTAAGCCAACATTCCAATGGCGAGCCCTACGGCTCCTTGGACAAAACTCAGGGACACTTTTCCCTTCAAGTAACCCTCAAAAGATTCAACCACTTGACGTCTTTTTAGAAGAGACGGCTAAAAATGTTGTTAAAAAGACTCAACCGGTCGTTTCAGAAGAAGTCAAGACAGAGGTAATTGAAGAGGTAGAATCTCTAAAGGACGATCATGTTGGTGATCTAGGCGATGACAAGGGAGGTGAAAACAGTGGTGATATAGAGTTATCTAGAGAGCTTATTTTAGCCATTGCCCACGACCTTGGCAGTGAATGGAAACAGTTGGCAGTTGAACTGGGTGTCTCTGATGCGGAAATTGCAGAGGAAGGAGAGGAAAAGGAAGCTTTTGAATACGCTGAAGAAATGATCCTTAAGTGGATGGTAAGTCTTATTCATAAGTACTGTCTTATCCGTTTTTATAACTTAAATAAGATTTTATAACATTATAGGAAAACGAAGACGATAAAGCTACTGCTAGTGCTTTAGAAAGCGAGTTACGCGAATTAGGAATGACCGTTATAGCCGATAAACATTTCCCTCCGAAAAATGATACATAAACCAAACTACAGTATATCATTGAAATATTCTCGTGTTGAAAAATAAACAAGCTTTAATCTTAATCGAACAAGCCGAATCCCATATCGTCATCAGATTCATCCGATTCTTCCTTTTTTTTCGCTTCTTCTTTCTTTTCTGCTCCAACGGCGGCTGCAGAGTCATCTCCAACAGCAGCAGCAGCGGCTGGAGCTCCACCGCACGGCATAGAGGCCAATCTAGAACTTCCTTCGGTCAATAGTTCTTCAACAGATTTTCCTTGTAAACTTTTAAGGACTATTTTAGCTTGTTTCTCGTCGACGTCGACACCAACGCTGCCAATGATGGTTTTTAAGTCATCCAAATTTATATCGCTTCTGTTGGCGAGCTTTGCCAATAAATAAGCTGCGACGTATCTCATTTCTGTAAAAGAATAAAATTTAAGGTGAATGAACACGTGTCGGTTTATTCCCGTATTATCGCCCTGGTCAATTTTTTTGAGTGAGGAATTCGTCGTCAAATTCACGAAAATTTTTGTAGAAAAAAGGTTACAATTATTTAATGCATATTCTTTAACAAAATGACCTTAAGAGTTTATGTCTGAAGACGATAATAACAAGGAAATTTGCAATAGAAAACTCACTACACGACGACTGTGTGGAATACTTCGTTCCTTCAAAGCAAGAGAGCGATGTTAGGTGGCGCAGTTGTAATGCGACTCCATTAAAAAATAGATCGCTCTAAATTTGATTTCTCTTATGAATTAAAATAGAGATAAATCTATTATGTCAAACTATTTTATTAAAATTTTGGCATAAAAATTTCAATTGCTAAAAAAAACCCTCATATAGATTACCATAGGAATAATTATGCTATATTTATTGACACAGCTCAACTTTCTTATCGCTCGATAATCTTTCATTTTTGTGATATCACCATTTAATGTCCAAGAGAGTTGCATTTACAATAATTAAGAAAGATATGTATATGCCTATGGTAAATGATTTATTAATTAGAAAAATTCTGTATTTGAAAGTTAACAAAAACACAAATATACATGAAAATTTCAACAATTTACAAGTTTTTCAATATCGCTAGCCAGTTTTGGACAATTTTTTGTTAGTATATCTGGTTCTCCGTCAGTAATTAATACATCATCTTCTATCCTAATTGCAGTATTTCTAAAATATTCAGGAACAAAAGCCATATCATTCGTTATATATATACCTGAGAGTGGAGATGAAAATGATAGAATATTTATACTAATACAATTAATAAATGTTTACCTGGTTCAACTGTTATTATCATACCATGATGCAGTTGTGTACCTCTGGGAATAGTATGTGTGTCGTGAACGTCCATTCCCAAGAAATGCCCAACGTGGTGAGGGCATATTTGACGCACTAGCTGTTATATTTATTGGTTTTGGGTATTTTATTTTAACTCACATTCGATATTTATAATAACTAACCCTTTTTATATCCATTCCTTTTACACTTTCTTTGATTACTCCGATTCTTTTCAATTGACTCCCTAAAAGATCTAACATTAATAGGTATAAATCTTCGAGGCAAACATTCTTAACGCATGCCTGGAGGACTTTTTGTTGAACTTCTAAAAGTCCCTCGTAGAGGGCTAAATGTTCTGGTTTAAAACGTCCCCCAACAGGCCAAGTTCGCGTGACATCACTAACGTAACCATGTAATTCTGATCCAGCGTCAACGAGTACCATTTCATCATTAATCTGTCTATTATTGTTTAGATAGTGAATTATAGTCCCACGTCCACCTCCAGCAACCACAGGAGGAAAAGCTAAATGCTGGGCGTTTCTTTGCCGGCATTCAAAGTCTAATTTTGAATGAATATGAGCTTCGTTAACCTGTTAAATGTTGATAAAATATAGCACTGAATAATATTCGAAATTGTATAACCTACACCAATTTTAGAGAATTTCATTGTTTCTATAAACATTTCCGAAGCAATTTGGCAAGTCTTTCTCATAAGTTCAATTTCACTCTTTGACTTAGTTAATCTCAGCTTATGAATGTAAAAATTGATTGGTTGAGCTACAGATTTATCTACTTCACTCCTAATGATTCCATTTATATAGTCGCTGTCGTGTTTATAATCATACAAGATTAGGTTTTGTTGACAATTTTTCTTTAAATAATTGGGTAGCATATCGTTGTTGTAGGTTTCATCAACGCATGTAAAAGTTAAAGCTTTCTCTGAACCCATACGTAAACCATCCCATCGTTCTCTCATTGGGTCCTTTTTCGGAACGAATAAGATCGATTTATTCTCTCTTAAATCAAAAACTAAACAACTGTCTGGTTCCTGAAATCCAGTCAAATACATAAAATCTGTATCTTGACGAAAAGGATATGGAACTTCATATGACATGTAATGAGTTGATGCTGATGGAATGACAGCGATAACATCTTTCCTGTTAAGACTATTCTGTATATGTTCTATAAGATTAAGTCGGCGTTGATTATATTCTTTTCGTGTAATTCCTGGTGTTACCTCATCTTCTCGAAGTAATTCAGGATGCGTTTGAGACACTGGTTGTCCAAAGTTTCTCCCTTTAGGCGATAATACGGAATATTCCATTTAATAGTTAAAAAAAAGATTTATAAAATGATACTTTATTTTTCAATAAACAATAATTTAAAATGATCATTCTTATTTAAAATAATAAACGGACATATTTTATTAAGAGAAGCAAGAGGTTGTTTAAGTGTGCGGGTTACTCTACTGAAGGCCGCCATCTTTGAAAAATATTGCATGCTTTCAAGTACCCGCCAAAAAGCTTAAATTTAAATATAATACTAAGCTTTCTATAGTAACTATTTTGTTAACATAATTATAATTAGTGCAATAAATCGATAGTCTATTGAAAGAAAAAAATTAAATGAAACTGCTAAAGAGTTTTTTTAATAGCAGAGAGAAGATTTCTTATTTTATAGAGTAATCCAAATAAAGTTGAACACTATTGAAAGTGCGAAGGAAGGATTATTTATAGAAAGTAGAGAAGTAGCTTCCAATAACCAGTATTCTTCAATTAAAATCATTATTGAAATTGTAATCGGCTTTATATCGACATTAGCCGTAAGATTAAAATGTAACTATTTTTTGTATTCTTTTGACCTATGCGATCTCTTATGAGGTTATAAGTAGATTGAGTACCTCTTCTTCTCTAGAGCCTATTTAATTGACTAAGTTATAAATAAAACTTAATTGTTTAATAATAAGCTCTCGGAGTTGTTACACACTATTGAGCGTATTTATGTACACTGTCCAAATCTCATATCCGATATTCAAGTATTTACAAGTATTTAGAGATCTCATAGATTTATGAACTTGCTCGAGTATGAACAGATCATAATTAGTTTGTTGTTAATTTGTTCAAGAGCAAACATTCAATACTTGAACTAAACGCAGAGGATTGTCAACAATCTATAGTAAAGATTACAACATCTATGTATTGAAATTTTTGCTTCTATTAATTAACTTTAATTTATTTACTTCCTTAAGAGTGAGGACAGTTACTTTTTTTTGTAAATTTATATATTTATTGAAATACAATCAAAGTATTCTTATTGGTTATTTTCTACAAAAGGTAATTTTCAAGTAAAAGAAACTGGTAGATATATTAATGTTTTGCCAACATGCCGGACAAAAAGCTCTCATACTTAGAATCTATGCAAAGGCATTTTGAGAATTATTCGAAGACTAAAGAATATCCTGTTCATTCCGCTAAGGTTCATTCTGTTGACTGGAGCTGTACCGGGAATCGTCTAGCTTCTGGATCTTTTGATAAAACATGTTGTTTATTTACAGTCGATAAAGACAGACTGGTTAGTACTTTAACGCTCATAGGCTTTTTGCTTTTTTCTGATAAATACTAACTACTTCTTCAAAATTTGCAGATAAAAGACCAAATACTTCGTGGTCACGATGCAAGTGTCGATCAATTGTGTTGGCATCCATCAAATCCAGATAATCTAGCTACTGCTTCAGGTGACAAAACAGTAAGAATATGGGATGCGAGAAGCGGTCAATGTGTTCAAGTTTTTAAAACTAAAGGTTAGTAAATAGAAAAATATTGAAATCTAAACTATAATAACTGTACATTGAATTTTTGTAATCTAGGCGAAAATATTAACATATGTTGGTCACCAAACGGTCAATACATAGCAGTTGGGAATAAGGAAGATTTATTAACATTTTGTGATTTGAAAGCAAAAAAAATTCGCAAAGAAGAACAGTTTAGAAGTGAAGTTAACGAAATAAGTTGGTCTCCTAATGGAGATTTCTTTTATGTTACATCTGGTTCGGGTCATTTAAACATATACAGGTAGATAGATATAAGTTCAACAGTACATGACTGTCAATTTCTGTAAACATTTTTTCCAGCTATCCAAATCTTAAGCTAACTCATTCTCAGCCTGCCCACTGTGGAAGTAGTATCTGTATAACATTTGATAAGTACAATAAACATATGGCTCTTGGAGGTGCAGATGCTTTAGTTTCGGTTTGGGATGTTGCAGAACTGGCTTGCTTGAACACAATAACACGGTATGACGTTTTAAATGATGAAATTATTAATATTTTAAACAAATATTTTATTATACGATAGGCTAAGCTGGCCAGTTCGATCTCTAAGCTTTAGCCATGATGGTAAATTGTTAGCTTCTGCTTCAGAAGATCATTTTATTGATATTGCTGAAATACCAAGCGGTAAGTCATTCTTTATTAAATATAAATTTAAAATGAAACTTAATTTCTATTATATTAGGAGAAAAAGTGACTCAAATCAAATGTGAAAATTCTACGTTTACTCTAAAATGGCATCCAAAAGAGTATTTATTAGCCTACGCATGTGACGACAAAGATAGATACGATAGGGATGCTGGTTCTGTAAAATTATTCGGTCTCTTAAGAGATTCCTCTGACAAATCTTCCAGCTGAAGTGAAAGATAAGTCCATGCAAAGCAAACTTTGTATATAAAAGATTCATATAATTGAACTTTGCAAACTATTTAAGCTATTAGTTGTTTAACTTTGTTAAATTTGCTGATAAAATATAACATAATTTTTTTTTATATTACTTCTTTTATGTTATAAATTGAGCTGTTTGTAGGCTGAGTTTTACGTTAAAAGTCGCAAAAAATCAGTACATTTTACCAGTTATTGTAGTAAAAAACTGAACATTTTTCTAAGACTTTACCAGTTTTCACAAAATGTCTACACAAGATTCATCCGAAAAAAAGGAAAATTCTGTTGAACACGGGGCGTTTGTGACAACAGATTCTTTTAATGATCTTGCAGATGCGTACTCTTCTCCTAAACTTCTGAGTGTTTCCAATCGGAATCAAGAAGTGTCTTCAAGTAATTCCTATGATGAAAGGGCTCAATTGTACCCAGAAGACGACGAGGACACATTATATGTGGAGAGTGAGGAATTCAAAAGGGAAGATAAACATGTATTTGTATTATCCAAAGCGGGAAAACCTGTTTATAGCTTGCATGGCAATGAAGATAAATTAGTTACAAAAATGGCTACAATTATAGGTTAGGATTGAATTAGGTGTTAAAAATTATATCAGTTACTGTGTTAGAAACAATTATTGAAGTTAAATAGATCACTTTTGTAGAAATAGTTCAATAATTAATCAATTTTGTATTGAACCTTTTCTTAGTTATATATAAATAAATAATCAACTAAATAATTATAGTATACAGTATATCTAACAAAAGCAGTAGATATAATCAACATCACCTAATATAATCCTAAAATTATTAAAAGGCTTGATAAGTGTTGCCGAAAGCATTAGAAAAAAAGATACATTAAAGGAAATTGTGGCAGGAAATAGAAAAATTGTCTTTGTCGTAAAAGAATACCTTGTTCTAGTCGCAATATCATCCAGAGGACAGTCAACGTCCTATCTAAATCTTTTACTAAATTATGTTCACAATCAAATATTATGTTTATTAACATATACAAAGCTTAAATGGAAATTTGATAATCGATCAAATTTTGACCTTAGGAATATTCTAGCTGGAGATAACACGGATAAATTTTTTTCAAATCTGATCTCAGACTTTGATATAAACCCTAGTTATATGCTCTGTTCTGTAAGATGTCTACCAGTTCCTGACAACATAAGAAATTCATTAGGAAAAGTCATAGCTAATGCAGGAAGTAAAAATATTAATAAAATAGCTTTTGCTTTATTAATTTGTGATAATTTATTGGTCTGTTTGGTAAGGAAGAAATCTTTAAAATTGGATCCCAAAGACTATCATTTACTTTGTGCCTATATCAGATCATCCGATAGTTTAAAGGTGCAGACACAGTATAATTTAAATATATTAGATTTTTTTAAATTGTATTTATTAAGTAAGTTTAAAAGCTATACTTGTCTCTATCTTTAAAAGACAACTGAAAGTTTAGTACCTATATGTTTTCCACATTTTGATAACGCTGGTTATCTGTTTGCCTTCTTGTCATTTTTGGATGCTAATCTATGCTTGATTCTCATTACTGCATCCGATGAAGATCAGCTATTAAATATGAGAGAAACAAAAAAGCAAATTTTGGAGAAAGCTCACAAACCTCTTTCAGTAATAAGACAAATTGCAACCGAAAGACCAAATTATGAAGTTTCAGCAATAGGAATCCCAGAGTTAAGGCATTTCATGTATAAGAATAGGATGTCTGCTCAATGGCATGCTCCCAATTTTACTTCGCCCTTTTCAACCCCAGATGAACAATCAAAGCTTATTCAACTATATGAAAGTGTACACGCAGCCATGCACACGCCCGGTTGTCCCTTAATGACTTTTTGGAAAGCGGCTGATCGACACAATATAATGGCTACTTCCACGAATGAGCATGAAGTTTATGCCATATTCTCTCCTCTCACTTCAAAAGCCGTTGCTCACTATTCCATGCAAAAGATTATTAAATGGGTAAAGAAGGAAGAAACTAAATACGTAATTTGGAATTCTCCAACATTTTAAGACTTACTACTACAAGAAAAACTTTAGAGAATATATTCTGTTGCTTTCTAAGCAACAATAAATTTTGTATTTCAATACTTGATTTTCTGACAAAAAAGTATGTAAGAAAAGAGGCACAATGTCAAGTTTTCTTTTCTTTAAATAAATAAGAAATACGATAAGACTTAATACAAAATAAGCGACAAAATGCTATAAAAGATAAAACTATTCGCAACAATACAGTATTCTTTTTTCCCAACATTTATATGTTTTGTATTTATCAAAGTCGAGATATAAATTGATTAACGACTGTGTTTTATCTTTGAGAGTAATTTGGGAAACTGTTTGTGTGCTAAGATAATTCTGGCGCCACAGAAATTTCAATTTTACGCTTAATCAAATAAAATTCCAGATAAGTAAATATCAACCAATGATAATTTGTATTAGTAAACTTGTTCAGCCAATCACCGATTGTGTACAAGATTTTCTTATATTTCGTGTGGGTTATTATTTTCGTTAATTGACGGCATGGGTGTTCCAGCATTTTTCAGATGGTTAAGTAGAAAATATCCTTCTATTGTTGTTCACTGTGTTGAAGAAAAAGTAAGCGTCTATAGCACAATTTGATGTACACACTATGTAATTTCTTGATTTTAAAGCCAAGAGTTATTGATGGAGTTGAAGTACCTGTCGATACCACTAAACCGAATCCAAATGATGTTGAATTCGACAACTTGTATTTGGACATGAATGGTATTATACATCCCTGTTGCCATCCGGAAGACAAGTCAGTATTAGCTAAAAAAAAAAAAGCAAAAAAAGGTGTAATCTGGTTTAATGTTGTAAAACGTTCCTAAATTCAAGACCAGCTCCTAAAAATGAAGACGAAATGATGATTGCAATCTTCGAGTATATCGACAGACTGTTTAGAATTCTTAGACCAAGAAAGCTACTGTATATGGCTATTGATGGAGTTGCTCCAAGAGCCAAAATGAATCAACAAAGATCAAGACGATTTCGTTCAGCTAAGGAGAGTGAAGACAAATGTCTTGAAATAAGCCGTTTGAAGGAGGAGTTACGTACAAAAGGCTGCGACGTCCCTCCTGATAAGCCTAAATCAGAACATTTTGATTCTAATTGTATCACTCCAGGAACACCGTTTATGTTTAGACTGGCTGAGTGTTTAAGATATTATATTCATAATAGATTGAACAATGATCCAGGGTGGAAAGGCTTAAAAGTTATTTTAAGCGACGCAAATGCTCCAGGCGAAGGCGAGCATAAAATCATGGATTTTATACGACGTCAAAGAGCTCAACCAAATCATGATCCAAATACTCACCATTGTTTATGCGGTGCTGATGCCGATTTGATTATGTTAGGTCTAGCCACGCACGAACCTTATTTTACCATAATAAGAGAAGGTTGACAATAAATTAGTAAAATCTTTTCCTCTTTTTACAGTCATTTTTCTTTGAAACAGAGTTTAAACCAAATAAACCAAGACCCTGTGAAATTTGCAATCAAATTGGTCACACAATGAAAGAATGCGTTGGAATGAAAAATGATGGAGAAGTAGTAGAAGCAATTCCAGCAGCCGAACAGGAATTTATTTTTATACGCTTGAATGTATTGAGAGAATATTTGGAGAAAGAATTATATATACCTAATTTGCCGATGAAACAAGATTTTGAAGTAATCTCTAGTCTATAATTTGTAACTTTATTTATAGTTAAATTTTTGCAGAGAGCAATTGATGACTGGGTTTTTATGTGCTTTTTCGTTGGAAATGATTTTCTACCGCATTTACCCTCTTTAGAAATAAGAGAGGGCGCAATCGACCGTTTAGTGAAACTTTATAAGAAATGTGTTTATAAGACTGGTGTATGTAATCATTTTTATCTAATTAAGATTTTTACTATTAAGTTTGATTATTTTACTTTCATAAGGGTTACCTCACCGAGGATGGTATTGTCAATTTGGAACGCGTTCAACTAGTTTTGAAGGGTAATTTAACAAAATTATCGTTGATGAATGATGTTAAACGAATTATCATATTTTTGCACAGATTTGGGAGAAGTCGAAGATGAAATTTTTAAAACACGAAGAGAGAAAGATGTAAGTCGTTTATCGTTGCCTAAATTCCACTTTCTATATATCTTTAAACAATTTTGGGATTAAAAAATCACAGCTGGAATACAAACGAAGACAAGCTGACAACCGGAAACGACAACGGCAATGGAATAAATCCTCTTATCCATCATTTGTACCCTCAGGCCAATTTGCCCCCGTACCAGTCGGCCAAACTCCAGCCGCTCTCGTCAATCCGAAACAAGCCTGTGCTGATTTAAGGACACAATCAATGAATTTCTCATCTGGTTCTTCTAATAGAGACGCAGCTGAAAAATTAAAAGCTATGCTGGTAAAATTATGAAGTAAAATTTTCAATCACAATAGTAAAGATTATTTTAATGAACAGGATAAGAGTGACAATCTAACACCACCTTCAAGTCCCCCCCGGGCCCAGAAGCGTAAATTGAAAGACGAGGAGGCTGAAGAGGAGAGTGAAGAGGAGGATAACGATGAGGTGAAATTGTGGGAGGACGGGTGGAAAGATAGATACTATGAAAGCAAATTCGGCGTTGATTCAAATGATGTTAATTTTCGTTATAAAGTTGTGAGTACGATATAAATTTTTTAACAGTTTAACCTATTAATGGGTTTGTATTCTTTTGAAGAGCAACGCTTACGCCCTGGGATTGTGCTGGGTTATGCGTTATTATTATCAGGTTTGCTAATGCTTTTTATACTCATTAAAACAATTTTCAAGATTAATCCATCTGAAAACTTTATTATAGGGATGCCCATCATGGAAATGGTACTTTCCATACCATTATGCTCCTTTTGCTTCAGATTTTAACTTTAGCACGTTGACTAATGAATTTGAGAAATCTACAGAGCCCGTAGGTTCTTAAATTTGTTAATATTATAATTATTTAAAAGCCACTTTTTAGTTTAAGCCCCTGGAACAATTAATGGCTGTTTTCCCGGCAGCAAGTAAACAATTTTTACCACCAACTTGGCAAGAGCTTATGTATATACCGGTATGTTTCTCATTAAAAATAGCCTATATATTTTTTTCACTTTAATCATATTTTGTAGGAATCTTCTATAATCGATTTTTATCCGTCCGATTTTAAAATAGACTTGAATGGTAAAAAATACGCATGGCAAGGTGTGTGTATACAACGGTTAAATGAAAGTATCGATTAAAGATAATTTTTCTTGATTTACAGGTGTTGCCTTGCTTCCTTTTGTCGATGAACGTAGACTTAAAGATGCGTTGCAAAGTGTTTACCCTGATTTAACGGATGAGGAGCAGTTTCGAAATACCAGGGGCAATGATCGACTTTTTGTCGGTAAGGACTGCCCTGCATATTCATTTTTGCAAGGTGTATACGAGGGAGATGAACCAGTTTGTAAAGAAAATGTAAGCAATAACTACGCTCTCATATTATGAAAAACTTATATAATAATTCCTAAAAAAAACCAGCTTATTGACTTGGAAACTTCTCTAACTTCCGGTATGGCAGGAAGAGTTTGGGGAGATAAAGATTCGTGTCTACCCAGCGAGTTAGTTTCTAAAGCTATCATATTTCAATAAACTATAGAGTTAATTTCATAAACAATAGAACTTTAATATCACCATTGCCTGGATGCCCCGGTTTAAAGGAGAATTTATCTATTTGGTATTTATAATAAATAACATATTATTAATCTTATTGAAACAAGATTTGACTTGTAATCGCGAAATTACTCCAGTGTTTTCTATACGGATTCTCATTACCCTGAAGATTTTGTATTTGAAGCTCGCCTGCTAAAAAACGTTCGGTGAGTGTGACAATGTTTCATTTTAAAGCAGTCTGAATGAACTTTTGTATATATTATATTTAGTATGCCTAATCCAACGCTGAAACCGGGAGATTTTGAACGCGGTCAGGCGTATAGACCACAACTTGGATTTAAGCCTGATTCTGGCTACCGCCACAGAGGCTCATATAATACTATGCCTATGCAAAGATTAACGAGGTTAGAAAACATAAATTAAATTGTTAAAATATTAATATTCTTATGTTTTCATCTCTTAGGGCTGCAATGCACAATCAACATGGCAATTATTCTCGTGATTACAATCACGATAGAGGAGGAAGAGGAGGATCCAGGGGATACAACTCGCGCGGAAACTATAACCGTGGAAGAGGAGACGGGGACTATAACAGATATGGTGGATCTGGTGGCTCAGACAGAGGTAGAGAATACAGTTAATTTTAAAAGCAGATGGCGCTACCCGTGCGTAATTACCGCAAACGCAGCTGCCCGATGCTAAAACGAGCGTTCTTTTTCGGCGGTAGATGATTCTTTTGAAGTAGGACAAAAAGCATTGCAATCGTTTGATCCTAGACTCGACTCTGCGGTAACAATTCGAGGGCGCGTTCATTTCTGTCCACTCTATCCCCTACTTGACGCTGCCCTTCAGAACATCGTCAGGCATACGTCTGGACTAGAACTAGCGTTTGTTAAGCCGTTGTTGCTCAACGGTACGGTTTGTAATTGCTGTACGCTTCGGCGATGTCGTAAATGAGCGTTTTCGGTTGATTTTTGATTGCATGGTTTGTCTGTGTTCTGCCTGCTCAGCGGTTGGTAGTCAGTGAAATTGAAAAATTTCGGGCGTATTACTTAATTAAAGCGTCGACAAATGACGCACAGTAGGAAAAGGGCGTTCATGTAATGAATTCTTTTGACGAGGGTATTGAGCGGCGTGTGGGGAGGGGTGAAGTATATAATTCTATGAGCGTTTAATTCATTGTTGAAAATTACTCCGTGGCCGTTTATATTCTTGTTCAGTGGAAATATATGACGGATACAATACCTCCACCGGAAGTAGAGTCTTATACACAGGTGCGAAATGAAACTAATTACGACTAATGAGTGAGTTTTTGGTTCTCACCGTTTGGTCGGTACGTTGAGACAGTTAGATGATTGAGAGGTGTGGGAATGTCGGTTAGAGTGAATATTAATGAAGAGGAAGAAGCGTGAGAGGATGTCGGCGTCTTTACGCCGAGTGGAAATATAAAACTGTAGCCGTTGAACGATACGTTTGTTTATAGAAACTTAGAATGTTGAAAAAATCTAGAATGCTGGTGGATGATGATGGCGCCAGGCTGCATGTACAAGCACTCGACTTGAAGTGTTTCACTACTGTATATAGAGGTCCTGTCTATATGTACTTGTTTACTTTTCTTTCGCTTGCCATATTTTTTACGTCATGACTGGCTCTAATGAGGTGCGTGTCCGATCGTCTCGCTCACGTAAAATCGAATAACAATTAGATGATGTTCCGCTGGGAACTGTTAGAACCCGTTCGTAGCACGTGCCTAGCGATGGAATTTGTCGAAATTGATGCTAATTATCTAGGCGACGTTATGTCAGCTCCGTCGTCAGGGAATATTCAAGTACTTTCTATTATGACACGTTTTTTTTCCAACACTCTTCTTCACTATACATGTACGAATTAATTAAAAGTGTGTGCTGACGATATATTAGAAATGATAGAATGCTAGGGAAAAAAAACGCGTACTTGAAATTAATGAACAATATAGAGCGACTTGCCAAATGCTTTTATCAAGTCAATAAAATTGCAGCTGTAAAAGTAAAAAAAACTCGTGCGCTAGAGTCTATGAAAAACGATTCTGTAATAGATCGCTATTTTTTCTCTTTGTACCTCATTAATTTTCTCATATTTATTTATTGTGCATGTACAAAAATCTTTTTTATTATAGGACGAAACCGATTTAGCGCTTACGGAGGAGGTGACAATTTATCTTGGAACAGAAATCTAAGTGGTCAACCTAGGGCTTATGGAGATAATAGAAGGAATTATCGCTATCCGCAACCTCACCAGCCGTATAATCAGGTACATTTATCTTGTCTATCAAGCGCGTTCGACTTGTAAGTGGTAGAAAGACAAAAAGTTAGTACAGAGAGTGAGAGACAGAAAAACGGATGAATGCAAAAAAGACGATTGGAAGATAAACAGAAGGACGAACGAAGAGTTGTTAAAGGGATAAAAAAAACCAACCGCCGATAGGCAGTTTAAAAAAAATGAAGGGGTTTTTCTTTAAATCCATCGAACTCTACCCCCTAATGACTTTTTTCAGATTGGGGTGTGATGTTGATTGAACGCATTAGGCGTGAACTAGACGCGCAAGGATTGCAGGCGCAACGGCGAATTGAAAGCGGACTGTTAAAGTAGCAATTAGTTGTACTAACTTTCCGCTATAATTACGTCGGCTTAAAGCAGTCGCACCACTCGCAGGTGTCGGGGATTAGCGAGTATAACGATAGGCCTATTTGTCGTATTTGAATGAGGGTCGTACTATACAGCCTTAGGCTATGTATTCACCCACGATTGTATACAGCAAAACAAGGCGTTTAATTTTTACGTTTATAAATTAAATAAAAAAGCCCGTTAGGATTGTTGACACATATTTTTCGCGCATACTCCGATGACCGTGATCTGCCCTGGAGGTGTGGCATTGGTCAGAATGTCTTTCTAGGCTTCGATTGTGCATACAAGTTTAGGGTACGATAGGTTTTATTTACTTATGAGCTAAATTTTTTCGTAACAGAACAGAGGAAGAGACAGAAGGGACGACGGCTATCGAAGATACTAATGGACTAATTTCCTCTCTTTTTCTGTCGACGCTTCGACAGGACCTTGAACGAAGCGTCATCATTTATTGTTCGTTGAAAACTTTATTATTTATTTGCCGAATGATTGTGATAGATAGTGCGTACTCGTTTTATGAGTTTATGATATGCTCGTGTTCGAGTAAAAAAAAATATCGTGCCCTCATTCAGGGCGTCTAATTGAAAAACGAAGACGGTGAAAAAAAGCGACGATGCCTCGCGGCTATTTGCTAAGCAGTTGGGGAGTTTTGTCGTAGCTTTCTCGCGACCCAAAACCCTCTTTTCCACCTTACCATTTCTTTACTCATTTCACCTATCCTTCCTTCCACCTGCCCTTTATACTAGGTGAGTTCCGGAAGAGGACGTGGAAAGGACGAAGAGGATGAGAGTGAAAAAAAAAGCCGGGGCTTACGACATCGATCTCGACGAGGTACAGCTGCGTTGTACAGTTGAGATGATGGAAGATATTTGCAGAGCTCTTCACCTCTCTCTCCATCATGCGGCACGCGTCACTCGAGACGCTTCCCAGGCCTCATTTGTTTAAGGCCATCGATGGACGCTGAGCGGACCGAATCGGCCGGTTACGTTCGGCACGTAAGCTAGTGAACACAAAGTACGCCTATATAAATATAAAGTCTATACGGTGCGGTATGCGTCGCAGCGGGTCGACACAGCGAGGCGTCTCTCGTTCGATGGTGCTTCACCAACTGGCTCGACTTTGCACGCATCTACATCCAATCGTCCAACATTAGGCCCTGCCTAATTGACGAGATTTACTGGGGAGACGCTAATGCAGGCAGACATCCTTAGCCTTCTACAGTCGAATTTTACTGACGTCGAGTGTTGGCGTAACCGCTTTGAAGTAGACGTTCGCGTCGGCTACAGATTTTTTTCTGCTTTCGGCAAAATATCCGCTCTTTCGTAACCCCGACTGTTTTCTACATGGTTTGGTTCTTTCTCTTTCGTCAGTCTCCTCCGTTCTGAACGTCCGCCTTCTTTTATAGAAGCTAGCGGATGGTGCTTGAGCAGGCGAAGAAGGCGCAAGTTGACGGAAAGAGAGCATGAACGCGGTGTGTGAGTATACTTGCGGTACTATTGCAGTACCATTGCAGCACCACTTTACGGGCGAATGTTGGCTCTACACTCGCTTCAATGCACCGCTTAAGCTCTCTTATGACCTACTTTAGAAGTCCTCTCCTACCGGGTCAACGTATCTCCGAGTCGACTGTTCAAACGCGGCTGTTCCTTATCAGCGTTCTGGCGAGCCGCTTAGCATGAGAGAACGACCAATAAGGACTATTCAATATAAAAGGATCCCGTGAATACCAGATATATATGTCGTTATATACAGAACATATATATAAAATATACTATTTATATATAATTTATATATTTATATATATTACTGTATTGAATATATGCCTGAGAGTATTTTATAGTTGAAGTATTGGAATTTGTTGAAAAGGAAGAACGCAATAAATTGTATCAAAAAGTAAGGGAAGAACTACTAAAAGAGAAAAGGAAATAGCACTAAACTTATATGTATATATATACAAGTATTCTAAGCGGTATTTATGTAAAGCATATCTTTATTATACTTGCTAAGAAAGATACAATATGCTCGCTCAGCGGTAATATACAAGTATTATACGGAGTATGCTGTTCGCATATATAGTATATACAATTTACACACGGATATATACCTTTAATCTAAACGATCTTAAATCTAATCTAAGTCTGTAGGCCTACGGAAATATTTACACGGAGAGTGAGGCGAAGACAATAACACCGAACGCAGTCAACACCCCGATTCATTCTTACAGGGAAGAAAATCCGTAAAAATCCTTTGGCAAGTGTTCTCCAAGCGGCTTAGCGCAGGCACCATTTGGCGCAGACAATTATTAATTGCTTTCTACCCTTACTTTACTTCATGCGTGTGATTGACAGGCGACGACGGCTTGGCAATGATTATTGACTAACTATAAACTCGATTCGATTTCGGGGTGGACCGTCAATCATTTATAATAGTTTCTTTTCTTATTTCTTTTCACTTCCTTCTATTTTTATAAACTATTAATCGGCTCTAAAATACATTTTTTCTCTCTCCACCTCCCTCCCTCCCTCCCTCCCTCTCTCTCTCTGTCTCTCTCTCTGTCTCTCTCTGTCTCCCTGTCTCTTACGCTTACTCGTGCTCTTTATAGTATATATATATATAGAATTGAATTCAATCGTACATATGCGCGCCTCCTAAATCTAGGTCAAGTATGTACGCGCAATCGTTCGATTCTGTTTGCCACTTTGTCCATGAAAAATTAACGTCGATCATTCGAACGTCGCGACCTTTAACCCCTTTCGAGTTTTTTTCAAGAGTGAATTATTTTGTTAAATCTATATAAAATATAAAAGTGTTAGATTCGATCGTGATTCGACGCTTTATAGGACTATTTATAGAAATGAATCGAGCGTAAAATAGCTTTGTGTATTTAATTAAATACCGCATGCATTGCAATTAAAAAACGACGCCCGCGTTACAGTTTCTAGCGCGCCCATATAAAATATAACTGAATATTATGTAA